TTTTCTTTTGTTGCTAAAAAAAGTTCAGGTGGGTTTAGTACTTTTGCGTGGGACCAAACCGCGCTTCGAAACAATAATAATTGAAAAATCATCTCATATATTATAACTATAATAAGAAAAGTAAACAGCTCGGATTTCTCAGAGCAAAAAAAAAAAAAAATGTTTTGCGAACACCAATTTTTTATATTTTGCTCCGCAACGCCTCACCAACCCCAGGTGAATAGCTTTTTAAACACGAGAAAAATACAAGATAATAGTTTACACATCCCGAAAAAAGGCGCTTTGAGCCTTTTTTTCTTTAGTTCATCTTATTGGTCTATGACCCAAGTTTTCCGACCATCAGAGATTTTTTTTTTTTGTCATCAAGGAAACAAACAAACAAAAAAAAAAAAAAAAAAGAAAAAAGCTACCGTACCAAAGGTAGTCGACTTTTATCTCAACCAGGGAAGCATGAATTCACATTTCAAGCCAGTAGTCAATATACAGTAGAAAAATAGAAGTATTTAACAAAGAAAATAATAAACCAGGGAAGATGACTTTGAATGATCGCTGTAAGCAAGTTTTGATCGACAAGCCTTTGACAAATTGATATAATACTCTCCGTCCTTCCCATACCAAAAAAAAAAAAAAAAAAAAAAAAAAAAAAAAAAGGTTCTTGGTTTGCTGATACTATACTTCACTTAGATAATTGAAAACCTCGTTGGCAAGAGAGGTTAGGTGTGTAACAGCTGATTAGTGTACTCTCCAACCCAGGACAATAGTGCGAGAATAACCTATTTAGGTTGATCATAAGGATAAATATGACAAATGAATTGAGGAAGCAGTAATATAGGATCATATTAATAAAAATAAGAAAAGGATGTTGGTGTATATCCAAGAGCAATGTAGTTGCGTGTACAGCGCTCTCTTTCACTACTGTAAAAACACTAGTATCTTGCGATAGTTTTTAGAAGGATGGTATTATACATCTTGCACTCAACAAGCCTCTACTTGCTGACAGGTCACTCTTCTGAGGATGACAGTTGCTTTCAGCATCCCCAAATGACAAAAAAACCCATTTACTCATGGTGTTATCATTCAGCTGTCATTGCAAAGCGCCACCAATGAGCGAACTAAAAATGAACAGAATGGAATTGGAATCCTCGCCAGAAAGTCGTCGACAAATATGATTATTAAATTGGATAAAATATCCTCCATTTGAGACAATCAACCACCAAATCAATTCAACCATTGTTATTGATTAAAATTTGATTTAGGACAGCATTTTAAAAAATATTTATCGACAATTTTCTGGCGAGGACTATGGCAGCCAAAGAGGACAAATGATGCGCGATCCAGTTGTTGGGATTTCGATCTCTTCATCTTGGCTGCTGGTAACCAGAGTGCGAGTGTTAAAGGGTATCCACATCAAAGGCCAATCAATATGCTTTTTTCTTCGTAGCGATTAACGAGGGAAAACACAAAAAAAAAAAAAAAAAAAAAAAACGTAGAGCTTACCTCATGTGAGAACAAGGCGGCACACGACACTTACAAAGTCCTTAGTCCAAAGAACTAACTCCGCTTTCATTCAAAGAATTACCTAATTTTAAGATGCCCTCTCGATTGATTTTTTGCTTCTTCTAAACTAAAAGATGTACTACTAAATATTTATACTCTCGCTGATTGGAACAAAATTAAAATAAGAAGGATGGCCCATCAGTGCCTTTATTAGTAGCTTGCGATCCCAATTCATTTTCAGAATATGTGGATCGGCATGGTACTGCCGCTATCATATTGAACCGTGTCTGTCTCTCAATACCCCGGGACCAAACCCAAGCTAAAGGCTGTGGCTGAAACAAGATCCGCACCCAGATTTCACTCTTGAGACATCTTAGCTGACCAAATCAACTCGTCCAAGGATACTAAAACATGTCTAGAATATAGACCACACAAACAAAGTACATGTAGTCAAAGGATTATAGCTCAATAATTTTGAAGACAACTCTAAGCCCTCACGAGCAATTAAACTATGTGGAGAACATTAATGAGCTTCCCTAAAGATCGGCTTCAGCCCGAGAAGTGTGTAGGTTACCAGAACAAGACATAGCTCAAACTTGAATGATGGTGATGGGGACGACTGGTCATGAAATGAATGAATAGTAGCTATAATAGCAAAGACCCATTGTTATAATTGACGTTATTGTTATTATTACTCTTACTGCTACTACTGCTATTAATGCTATTAATGCTACTAATGCTACTAATGCTACTAATGCTATTACTGCTGCCACTGCTACTGCAAAGCATGCATCGAAGCATCTAGTCTTGCTGTTTATACTATCTGTCCTTAGTTTTGTGTCTTCTGGCGTACCCATTATTCAAGCGTTCGTCACAACCAGTTTCTCCATCAAGCTATGTTTGAAATGTCAGAATCCCCACTATTTGCTATGATCATCTTGAGATCCACTGTCTAGCCTCTTGGTTTTCATATTTTCACAAGAAACCTTTTTGATTTGTTCATTTGGCTCATTTTGGCGTAACCACAGCAGTCAAAGTGAAAACAATAGTTGCAGCGGGAAGACAAGGCACAAAGTAAGTGCAGGTTTCTCGGTTCCATTAAGGGCTAGGACCTCATGGCCCCCGAGCATTTTATACGCGGCCCTAATGCTATAGCAATGGTCATACCCGTACAACCTTTCGCAGCAGAACATTTTAGTTTACTCTGTATGTCTGTCAATGACAAGTAGCTCACTATGGCTATTGTTATAGCTTCCGTAGTACAGTGCTCTAGATCAGAAAATGACCAAGAATAAGCTCGAGTTTTAGTTTCAATATTTCCAACTCATTATTGTTACTGTTGTTGGCAATATCCCTATTTCATGTATTATAAAGTCTTTTATTCTTGACTGAATATTTCTCAAGCAGAGCATTTCGAAGCTAAAACAAGGCCCTACGTTTACCTAGGAGGATGAGGGCCGATAAAGCATCATTGTAACGGATTGCAAGTGAAGACAGAGAGAGTTGATACAACATTGTATTCGGACTATGTGGTACAAGAATGGACTTACTACCACTGCGTGAGGAACTCGCTGGTCAAACCATTCGAGAAGCAATGTCATAAGTTCTCAGCGCAGCTGATTGTTACCAAGTCTGCAAAGACACTGTTTCAGTCAAAGATCCCCTCCCCCTTCCACTCTCCCGCTCCTTTTCCCTTCGAGTAGGGCGGGAGCCATTGCTAAACTATGATTGTAAAGGTGGACCAGCTACAACACTTGTTGCTGTTATTACCTTAATTCTACTTAAATCCAACAGAACACTGACAAAGTAGCGCAGTCTTATTGCGCCTTGTGACGCAAGCAAGCGAACCTGGAACAATAGGTGATATTTTTGTACTGGGAGTTATGCTGTGAAGGCGGGAGTGAAGATAAAGGACTCAGGATCGGTTCTAAACCTACTATTCAAAGGGGAATAGGGCTAGATATCGCTGAGCTTTGTAGGGACAGGTATAGTCACCGAAGTGTGGCTAAAAAATGAAGTGGGTGGTGGTCAATATGCGAGGCTGAGTGATCCTGTGATAGTAGCATCAATTGCGGCATGCTTTTTTTTTTTTTTTCTGAGGTTCACTATTTATGTGTGGGCCCATGGTAAACTCGGAGAATAATGTCGACGTTACAAATTTAAAGAGAGATACAATCCACAGAGGCATGCATGGATTACACTTCAGTTAGTAAAGGCTAGAAGCTCTTAGCCTACTCGAGGAGGAAAAAAGTGCTTCGTGAGTTCACAAACACGAAGCGCCCATAGGACTATCGGAATCATCGGACAATATTCACTGATAAAAGCACTATTGTGGATACATCTGGGTCATCTTTGTCGGTATCACCCTGTGACTCTCAATCGTGTCAAATTGTATTTCAAGATGGCAGAAACCCTGAAAAACAGTGAGTTTAAGATCTGCTAGTCGCAGAATCATTTTCTCTTGCTCTATCCATCTCCCTCTTATCTAATTCGTCATGTTACCCATTCTTCCCACTTGGGTGAACAGCATTAAGGCAATATTTACACCGTGGAAGCATAAAACTGATAAAAATCAGCGGGGGTTTCCTGAAAGTATTCAATTCAGAAAAAGGAAGGGTCGAATCCAGGCAAGGAAGGAAATCTCAAGAGCATTCAACGCACTTCGTTTATCGCAGAAAAAGAAAACAGTACACAGGCATACTCACCTTGTAGACGGCTTGCCCAAACCATTCTCTCGTGGCTCGGATGTGATTCTTCCTCCTTCACCACGTCCCCAACCTTCGATCCAAGGGACTTTCTACACGCGTGGATATCGACCTTCCCGTGGACGAATTGGTGAAAGCATTGAAATGGATAGTATTCTACAGTGCCCGAATATAAGCTTAGATTCCAGACATAGAGAGCAACGACCAATCAAGCTTTGCCTAGAGAAACTAGGCAGTTGTGGGTATACATATGAGGTCCCCCAGCGATACGATAGGAAAGTAGAAAAGAGCAGCAGGTCATTGTGTTATCCCACTACTGCTGATTCTGACTATGGAGAGCTCTCCTTGGTTGAGCGCCAGCAACAACCAGCTTGTCCTGCAACAACAACAATACCACTAAGACTCCAGACAGCTCCTTCAACACCACAGCTATCTCAACCCTCTTCCAAGAGGAGCATACTAGCTTCAAAAAATAACCTTGAGATCGTTATATGGATTCCTAATTCCTCACACGATGAGGTCAAACATGGAGACGTAGAACAAAGCCTACATTATCGTTCAATACGAGTGAAAAGGAGCGATAATAAAGTGGGTAGATTTGATATCCGGTCTCCTAATCAGTTTCTCAAAACGCCAACGACAACGACCTTTCGCAACTGGTTGCAAAGACTTGAAAAGTCTTCCTAACTGCTCTCCGTCAACTGACTAGAAGAAATGAGGTCATGTGACTGTTTGGCAAGGGACGCGTCCATTCTTAATGTTGTGGCAATAAAATCAGGGCACAACTTTCTTTTCTTCGAATGCTTCATCTTACACAGGACAAACACTAGGGCGAAATCTAAAAAAGAAGGCAACTACAATGAATAACTTGCAGAACAGAGCGAATGCTGTTTTAGCATTCTCCATTTCAGCCATTTTCTGTCTCCTTGGGGTAAACTTGCACTAATGTTAGCCTCTTCTGTGGAAAAAGAGGTCTCATGGTTAGATGTGTTTTATATGAGGAATAAATTAGCTCTTGTCCTTACTGTTATGGACCTGCATCAAAACAACATAGGCCATCGCTTTAAGCTCACTTGTCATCCCCAGCCAACCTTCTGGATCTGTTGGACTGGATTCCATCAAAGTGTAATTACATCAATTTTGTCAAAAGTAAAAAAAAACCTACTAGAGAAAGCTAAAACTCACGGACAAAGGACAAAAAAAAAAAAAAACAAAAAAAAAAAAAAAACTCAATTTATTCAACTTGTTCTCAAAACTCGACTCCATTAATAGTTTAACTGGAAGATATGATAAGAACTGGGTCGACTACAGGACGCGAGACAATGAATTTGCCAACACTGTGATGCATATCGATGCAGGTAACGTAATATATTGCCGTTCTTTTAGGTCGAGAAAAAAAAAATAGCTGCCTCTTATTGATACTTTTTTTTTAAACGTGTGAGAGTAGATCTTTCATCTCTTTTTCATTGGAACACCAAACAGTTATTCGTCTATGTCGTTGCAGAATACTCTACCCCAACACATGTAAGCTAACACTATGGATAAAGTATATATAAATGACTTGTATTTCTTGAAATTAACCCAGCAAGTTCTTTGTTTTTATTGTTTTTATTATTATTCTCATCAATGGAACAATACAAAAAAGCTTAAAAATGAAATCGTTTTATGGGATACAATCATCAAGCGCAAGTCTGCGGCTGTGATCCGCAAGAAAGGAATTAAGAACAAATATAGTTTGATCGATGTTAACAAGAAGTGGACGTAAGTATTTATACCCGAAACATTGCTCGACAGGTTTTTTTTTTTTTTTTTTTTTTTTTAAAAAAAAAAAAAAAAAAAAAAAAAAAAAAAAAAAAAAAAGGGGTGCTTTGACACGGAAATTAACATTTTTGCCTTAAAAAAATGTTGGTCGAAACAATTAATCAAAATCTTGATAGAAATGTGAATGCAAATGTGTCTCTTCACTGGAACATTGTCCCTTATGTTGGATTCATGACCTACGGCCGCTCTCAGGCGAGTGAGCCTTATGCGTTCCCTTTGCCCAGCGGCATTCAGACATAGACCAGCTTTCATCAAACTCTTAAATAAATAAAAAATTAAAAAAGTCTGAAAAGCTGTATGTAAATAGGGCTTTGAATGATATTACTCTTGTTGTTCTCTTCCATAGGGATAGAGGATTGATCAGTTTTGGTAGTTTCGCCTCGGTGTATCTGTTGATCTGTACGGTTTTTAAAGTTAGTCCAGAAATTCAGGGGCAAAAGATTAGAGAGGATGGATACAGGAGACGAAAATAAACAGAACTTACAAATTTTTTGTGGGTGTGCCGGCACCCAAATACTTGTGTCTAGCGTCGTGCGCGCTTTGCAGCCGGAGCAGGCGACTCTTCCGTGGGCTTGTACTTTGCAGGTCTCTCTTGTCTCTCAATTTGAGCAAGACCGATTCTTGCGATGTTTTCCGCCCCTACTGCGTCACGGTCGAAGAATACCTTACATGTCCTGCAATATTTAGAGCGAGGGTACACCGTCTCTAAAAAGCTATCGCAGAGGGGTCGGGGACAGCGGGCGCTGGTGTAAAATTCGTGCGCTCCTACAGCGAAGTGTCCTCGTGCTTTGACCTAAGCGTTTCAAATGGCAGTCGTTTATTAGCAAGGGTTTTATGGCTTTCCAGCTTTGCTTACTTTTTTAAAAACAGCCATACCTGTGTGACAAGATGTCTCGTTATAGCAGTGTGCTTGCTGGGAACTCCTTTACTACTTTCAAAGGACCCTAGGCCGACGACAAGTACTCCTTTATCCCCAAGCATCTTCAACACTCGCTGTACCGCGTAGTCGAACGTAGCTCGTTGAGCCTTTCGTAGGTCCCATTTTTTTTCAGGTGCCATCTGGACTCGTAGAACTCTTGAAGCACATCCAAATTCGCTGATCCTGTCTGTGTCTGAGACTCCTCGTTCATCCATTGAAAGTACTCATTATACGTATCCCTTCCAAACACAGGGATGGCGCTCTCAACCTCAATCATTCCTTTTTCACGCTTCCTTTTGTTCAACAGGTGATTGAAGCGGAGGACAGGGAGGTACAAGAACCTGCTTCTCACCTTTACCGTTTGCCGCAAGTTAGGGTTGTGAGGGTCCAGCGAGGAAAACGTAAGGGCGTTAACAATACCAGGATCACATCCGACGATAGTTGTGGTGTTTGCGGATGGGCATCGCCCTGGTTTGTTGAATGTGAGCTCAACGTTTTCAAGCAGCTTGGAGCTCCTCTTCCAGTTTATGTTTGCATAGTCTTCATCTGTTAGGTCTTCACCGGCCGCCTTTGAACACGTCGTGTTGAGAAATCCCTGAGAAAGCTCCAGTTCTTGGCTGGGGTCTTCTTCATCTACGTCAGACTGCTGCTGTCTCTTCGTCTGGGTTGTGTCATAGGCAAGTAGATTCAGAACTAGACCGTTGGTAGAAATCGTTCCTTTGAGTTTGAACCGAGTTAGATCTTTGTCCTGTGACTGCAGGGATACTTTGTCTTGATATCCACGAACCATGCGATCACCTCCAATGTCACAAAAGAGAGCCTGTATCAAAACCCCTTTTGTTCCCTGTACACACTCATACATTGCAGTCTTGGAAGCATTATTGAGAGGCAGAATACGCTCCAGCAGCTGCTTGGTATCTTCGGTCGCCCAGAGGATGTCAACTAGGGCGTGTTCAGACAGATACACATACCGGGGTGACCAGGGGGACGTAGGAAAGTCTGAGTAGTTTTTCACTTTTTTGTTCTCCCGCAAAAAAAACTCAATGTCGCTCATATCTTCGTTTGTTTTCTCGACATCAAACTAAAAAAAAAAAAAAAAAAAAAAAAAAAAAAGGTGTGAATAAAGAGCATTTGATTGCAGAATATGCATGAAAATACCCCTACACAAGCTATACCATTGCGTTCCTGTAGTGCTGCCTTAATGATGTCTGTACTTGGCCCATTAGTAAGTCTGACGCTCTTGGAAATGTGATCTTTTTGGGATCAAAGCCTTGGACGTCCCCCAATGTGATGTCTATTTCCTTTATTGGGGAAAGTTCAGTGGTGGCCTTGAAATGTTCATAAGCGAGGTGATGATGGGGCGTTTCTACCGCCTTTCCTTGTTTTTTTGTCCTCGCATAAGCTGAATTGGGGCCACCTTGACCACTCAAAAGAAGGGTGGCGAGACGGAAGGAATAATCATTGCTATCCAAGACCTCGTCCAGTGCCTTTTTCCTCGACTTTGCTGCCCCTGGTAACCGCATGATCCTCTCAATGTCCAAGGCAATCGCCCAGTATGCATAGCGGCGTAGTCGGTTGAGGACAACAACTGCCCCTCGGATCTGGCTTGCAATACTATCCCTTTCATCTGCGTCCAGTCCGCCTTTCCTTGCCATGGAGGCCTTAAGGGGCCCAATTGTTAAGGCCTTGATAGGGTGCTTACTGCTGTAGCTGTGATCAACCTTCGTAGCATCCTTCAAGTTCCTAATTGGTGCACCTTCTTTTTTAGCCCTGTGGGGCTTCTTGCCTTTGTGCTTCCGCTTTTGTTTTTTCTGTTGCTTCTTTTTTGCCTTTCTCCGACGTGGTGGATGCTTAAGGCCCGGCCTATCGTGCTGACGGCAGTTACTGATATCAACTGTGCACGCATTCAATATGCTCGGCTTGTCAGAAAAGATGGGCCGGAACTGGTTCCTATGTGACCCTTCCGCTATATAGAATGATGGTACGCCTCTACATTATTCAAGAAAGGGACTAACGATTAGTATTGGGGACGTCTGGTTTCAAGGCCAAAAACTATAGCTTGAGCTTTCTTACGTTCTGCGGCGCTGCGCTTGCCTTTGCTGAGCCGTTCTATGGCGAAGATCCTTTCCATTGAGTAGACGCTGCTTGAAGTTATCGAACTCATTGTTCGATGGTAACGCTTGGGCCGACGTTTGATGGCCGGAAGTAAAAATGCGGAGAGCTACACTGAAACGGCCTTCCTCAGAGGCTACGTTCCTTCCCAACACCTTATTAGCTTCCCCGAGGTAATCTTGAAGCATTTTATTGTAGTTCTCGTTCCACGCAACCTTTCGAACCAATCGAAGATTATTAACCGGGCCTAACGTCTCGAGGTTCCTTGAGTAGTCATTGCCTGCGATGGCACAGAATAACACCAGATGCGCGTGTGTTGGCAGTCTTAGTGCTTGGATAACGTTGTCTACGTCGTAAACCCCAAACTTCCGTCTACGGTGCGGAAGGGGTCGCACTAGGAAGCAGACTCGTTCGTACGCAAAAAAATCAGAGTCTTGGGATATCACGATCCTATCATTCTCCTCATCATGGCACCCTATGCATGGGTCCGCTTCATATGCACACAGACAGACATCGAAGACAGAACTAAGGCCTGTTGCCAGCTGATCCTTGTCCTGGACGCTCAGGGTGTGGACTTCTCGAAGACCCTTCTGGATACGCCTCATGACTTGAGGACGAGTCCATACCCCACTCCGAGAATTTCTCTCGAAGGTGCTCATATTGTTCTCCAAAGCGTCCATATTTTTTTGTCTTATGGCTTGCCGTTCTGTCCTTGCTTTTTCTTTCTCAGTACAAGGTTCCCCATCAATATGTATAGTCAGGTTGTCCGTTGTGAAAAGATCCTTTATCTCGAGTGCCAGGGACCTTCCTACATCAATGATGGTTTCGTTTTTCATCTTTGCATGGACGACTCTGCGGAGGATGTCGTAATAGAACGTACCGAGGAGATCTAAATGAACAGGATGGTCAAGATTTGCCGCCAAGAAAGTGCCCACGTCAGTTTCCGAAGGTAAAACCCCGCGATCCGCAACCAGTTTGAAGAAGGACTTCAGCCCCATGGTCAATATCTAAGCGAAAAGAGAAAGAAAAAAGGAAAAATGATGGTGATGAAAAGAAATGAAAAAGAAAAAAAAAAAAAAAAAAAAAAAAGAGCGACAAAGGTATAAAAGGATGAGCTTTTTATGGTGTAAAGATTCAAAGCGAATAGATAAAGAATATTGAGGGAAAGATACAGGAACAAGTGGCAGTGGTAAAAGGGATGGGACTTTGAAGGAGGAAGACAATGATCCCTTTTTATATCCTGGATTGATGATGAGTTTTATCATTGCCTCATATAGTTTTGATATCGATCCTTTGCTTCACAGGCCACATCAATCTTTATTCAGTTCCTTTGTTTGGATTGGGGTTTTGTCCCAGTCAATAGCAGAGATTGACAAATAAATACAAGCTCTCGCATGAACGGCAGATTGGAAGAAATAGCATTGAGATACCAAAGTGAAACCATCTTGGTATACAGCATATAGTGTTGATGTCGATCCTTTGTTATACAATTTTTTTTCAGCTTCTTTTGTTTGCAGTGGCCCTTGCTTTGTGAGGAATTTAATGATTTATAATTTTGAACAGGGGTAATAAATGCATTGACAGATATGACTTGGTGATTATATCCTTGTCAAAGGTAACAACTAAAGAAAAAAAAAGTCTTTTTTATCAGAGAATGGGTTCAGATGTCGTTCTTTGCTCCAACAGCCCCAGTACTATTGCGTTAAAGCAGAGATATTCGTTGGCTCTCAGGTTCCGGCATCAATGGCGGAGATAGGTGATGTGCTTATTGCTTGGAGTAAAAGCTAGCTAAGTACCCTTTCTTACTGGACGGTGCCTTGTTAATGGTGATATTGCGCAGCGCCTTGTGGATGGAGGGAGAGCAGAAGCGAGAGTGGTGGTTTTTGGCGGTCGTTTGGTGTGTGTATGTGCGAACTTGATAGTTGATACCAATCACCAATATATATGCATTTAGAATTACAGAAGCGAGATTAATACCGACGCGTTTCATCCTTTCCTAGGGATTGTTATAACCATGGCATGATTGTGGAGTGGCCGCCAAAATAAAGTTTGTTTATTTCTTCTGGAGGCACCAATGGAAAACGCTTGTGTTTTGTGTTTTGGAATTGCAGAAAATAAATAAGACGCCGCGATGTAAAATGTGTTTATGCATGTACAGAAACCAAAGAGATGCTCCAGCTGCTTATTCGTGCACACAGTGATTGACGAACAAAAAAGGAAAAAAAAAGCCCGCGATGAAAGAAGACATGTGCAGACAACAAATAAACACAGCAACTGTTTGCTCACATACTGTACATTTTTTTCACCGTTGTGTCTGTATGTCTATTAAGCTTTCTGTCTGGCCGTTTAACACAAGGAATCCTCAGAAAAAGAAATACCTCGCATGATTGGTGCCAGGTCTGAAAACACCAATAATGCAATGCTGTACGTGGAAGATTGGGTCTAGAAACTATACCATTGTTATGCGGACTCACCGAAATCAACTTTTGATCACAACTGCTACTCATGCTCTCTTGCCAAGGACTTTAACAGGTATACCAACCCCTTCTTCCTTGCTCTCATAACCGCTCACATCCTTTCGATGCATTCTTTCGCCGTTCATGTCCACTACATCTGAACCACACAGTTCACCACTCACTCCAACAGAGATATTTGTATCACCTTGGGTATGATATGTTGCTGTGGTTCCCTCTGGTTTCAACAGGCCCAACAAACTCTATTAGCAGTGTTTACCAACCCAGATATATCAAGAAGACGAGGAAGCAAATGATGTGACAAATCAAGTCTTGCCGAGCAAGCTCTATGGTGCGGTAGAATGAATCAACTCAGACTGCCCTCCTTTCAAGTCGATACTATGGCGAATATTATCACTTCTATTACACCAGTCAATAAATAAACAACACAATGGGCCCCCCAAGAGGATGCTAGTGTCATGCGAAAGCCTTCAAGAGTTTTTTATTGGCACAGATAAAGAAGCCAGTTTAGTTTTCGGTCATTTATTTCGACATCGAAATAAAATTTCAAGGCAATGCCCATGAATTGCTGGATTTTAGGCCCATTTATAATGGCAAATTTGCCAGGTTGACGGTTTAAGGGATAGTCTTTTTTTTTTTACTTATTTCAAATGTTGCATATTACAGTTTAGATCAATGCTCAACGAATAAATGGTTAGGTAAAAAAGTAAGAGTACCTTTATTTCGACAATCTGTGGCCGCCTATTGCCCCGCGTCGAAGTTATCACCCATCTACTTATTTTTGGACAATTTCTTTGCCGCGTGAAGAATGAAAGGTTCATATCCAAGGCCGACTAGCTTTCTTTGACGAGAAAAAGAATGTGTGCCATTTTGCGAGGTAATATATTCTGCTAAAAAAAAAAAAAAAAAAAATACAGCCTATTTTTACAATCCACCTTGAGCTTTAATTTGTTATAACGAGTCTGTACTGCGACGGTGGTGGCAACAAATACGGCAGACGATGAGATGCAGCAGCGTATCAGAATGCCTCGATTGTGAATCTTGCATGTGTTAATGTTGCACTAATAACAGTAATAACAGCAATAATCTTAGGAAATCTGATGCACCTTCAGAGACAGATGCCCTACACACCGATGCCTCATGCGAGGAAGAAAGGGTGGAATTGAGAACCATAGATGGTATTTCGCGTGAAGAAAAGAGAGCCCTTATCCATTCATTTAATGCCCATGGCTGTATCTTTTTCTTTGATTCCTATCCTACTTTTTTTTTTCTTTTTTCCCTTTTAATGTACCCTTTGATCCTATTTAGTAAATCGTTTTCATCTTTTAATGCCATTACAATTATATAAAAAAGGTTGACTTTTTAATTTCTTCCTCCTTTTAATGCTTACTTCCTTAATCATTAAAACTATCTCCTTATGCGCATTTCTTTTTCTTTTTCTTTTTCTTTTTTGTTCGCTTCATTCCCTTATCAAATTGCTGCGCCGCGCTGTATCTTGCTGATAGCGAGCAGTGATGACCTGATTAAGCTAACTTCTGAGGAATTACTAATTCCGTCGGCAGAAACTGTTGAAGTTGATGAAGTTGTCCATGACTGTTGCTCAAAAGTTTGGGCCTGCTGGTCCCAAACTACTTGTAACTGCTCATAAATTATCTTTAACGTAGAATTTGCCCCTTGTTGTTGATGAAGCGTCGCCTTCACATTGTTTCGTGAAAGCGCTGGAGGATGTGATCGAGGCGGGTATTCGGTCGTGTTACCGTTATTACTGGATACCATAGTCATATGTCGGTAGTTAAGAGATTTTTTCGCAGCCGTCGCTGCTAAACTATTAGTCACCACTACAGCAGTGCCTGAAAGAACCGAGCCACCGTCACTAGCGCGGCGATCTGCTGCACTATCAGGGACAGCAGATCCTGAAAGAGGACGTTTGCCGTTGTTCTTAACACTAGGCCTCGTAAAAAGATGACTTTGGCTATGAGTGCCGTGGTGCTGTTTAAGATACTGGCGCGGATGGGACAAGTGACTCTGATGTATATCAACTGTAGCTAGGATAGCTGCCACAGCAGATGAAGCAGCTGCATGGCTGTTCGTCGCGCTGACGCTACTGTTGCTGCTCACATTATGTGCGCTTGGATTGAAGTACCCAGATTTTTCGGTGATCTCAATTTTGAACTTGACTGCTTTAGCTTGCTGTCCGTTGATAACTATATGGACAAAAAATGTTTTTTTTTTTTTTTTTTTTTTTAGTTCTTTGTCAAGACACATAGTGCACAAACTAAGCATGCTTATAACGCTTACCTCCACCTTCGTACCGGCACTTAATCCCATAGCTTGGTTTCTTGAATGACTCAATTTGAATGTTAGACTGGTAGAGGTTCTTGAGGATAGTTTCGAGGCGCTCTTGAGTTTCTGCCACAGACCAAATGCTACGAAATGTCAATGGCTGAGGCTTGAAATCGAATAATCGGGCAAACCATGGGCGTTTAGGGCCGTTCGGGGAGATAGGTATTGGGGTCGACGTACTCTGCGAGCTTTCAGGGCCTAGAGAGAATAGACTTGTTAGAACCACTTTCCTTGGAAAATAATAAATCTGTATAAGAGTGCAAAAAACGCACACTACCAAAACTTACATTGACGGGAATGAGGCGAAACACAAACAACCATAGTTGTTGCGCCTGCCGAAGCCTTGACATCCAAGGGACGTAGAATAGATCGAGCCGGTTTCGCCGTCACCGTTACAGGCTTTGTTACCGCAGAGGTTAGTTTAGGTGATGACGTGGTTGGTATTTTAGACGTAGCAGCAGCAAGAGCCGAAGCAGCATCAAGATCAAGACGAGCCTCCGCAGCCGTACCACAATCTGTGGCTCCTGAAATAGTGGACGATACTTCAGCTTCTGAAATTTGTGTTGAGATGACTTGGCTTTCAATCGTCGGCGATGCAGTACTAGCTTCAGCATTTGAAGTCATGTTGTTTTCTTCCACTTTTACCGAAGTATGCAGCTTTGAGGTTAAATCGGCAGCGGATGGTGCAGGCGCACTCTCAAGCACGGTGTTGGCAATAAAGGCATGTTGGACCATAGGTGTTACAGATGCTGGTGCGATAATCTCAGAGCACCTGCGACTCTTGCCCTGAATGTAGTCGTTTGATTTAATAATCTTAAGGCTTTCTTCATCTTTAGCCTGAGATAAAGAGTGATTCTCGAGAGGAGACAGCTGCTTATCCTTCTTAACCACTGCGGCGGGCTGAACTCCATTGCCCAACTGGCTTTTTGACTCCCTTGTACCTGAATCGGGGTCCTTAATATTGATAGAAATGCACGAGGTGCGAGCTGCAATCTTGGCAGCGCTTGCAGCGCGAGCTACGGCAGCTTCCAGTGGGTTGAGAGTCAAAGGTGAGGGCTCAGTGGTTGTAGGTGAAGGCGATGATTCGGGTGTTGTTGCGAGTGATTCATGTGGTGAAAGAGGAGCGCGGCTAAAGTCAGGTGTATGAGAACGGACGCTCAGCGTAGAGCTAGGGAATGAGTCTGCGCGACGCCTAGGGCCATCTATCAGGTGCGTTGCAGAGAGCACTTTCGTTAGTCGGATAAAGCTATGCTTTGAGCCTCAGGGAATATCAAAAGTGTAAAATTTTTACCTGGGACAGTAGAGTCTGCACCATTGATCGAATAGTTTTCCAAAAGTTCAGTCTTGTGCTGGCATAGCAATTGGTAAAATAACTTCTCAAGATTCTCTTCGTCGTTGGTCATTTTCTCCTCAATCTCTCGCAAAAGAGCTTCTTCGTCAAACACTGCTTTGGCCTCTGGATCACTATGGGATGGTCCTGGAGCAAATAACCAGCGAATGTGGAGGAGAATTTCAGCATCCAATTCCTCTTTCAAGAACGGCCGGGCGCCTTTTGGGTCCTCTGCTGGCTCTCCTAAGGTATTATGATCTGGATTGACCATCCTGAACCATGGATGCGTCATGACCCCCTGCATCTATGCTCGAGTTGATACATTAGTATAAAACGAAAATGCTTCAAAAAAAAAAAAAAAAAAAAAAAAAAAAAAGAGAGAGAGAGAGAGAATGCCATACTGTAATACGACGCTTGGGATTAACGGTGAGCATTCGACTAATGAGGTCTCGAGCCTCGGATGAGATGTCTGTGGGCATATAAAATTTTCCAGATTTGACTTTGCTCAGCAGCTGGCGGATATTTTCATCATCAAATGGTAAATGACCAGTCAAAAGAGCATACAGAATGATTCCACAAGACCAAATGTCAGATGATGATCCATCATATTTCAGCCCCTTGCGTGAATGAAATAAAGCAAAAAATATTTAAGTATGATACCCTGAACTTGAGTTTTCATGAGCATATTTGTAAGAATGATAGAAAATGGGGATAAGATAAACAAAACAGGCTTACAGTGACAACCTCTGGGCTAGCATAATGAGGCGAGCCACAGCTAGTCTCCAAAAGTCGGCCAGTTTTTTGTAGAGAAGCCATTCCAAAATCTGCAATTTTGACGTTCATACGGTCATCCAATAGCAGGTTCTCTGGCTTCAAATCTCGATGACTAAAAAAAAAAAAAGAAAAACGCGATGATTTATCAATACAGATACTATGTGGTCTTCAGTTTTTTGTTCCTAGATAGTATGTTGCAATCCTCAGTGAATCTTACCATATTTTCCGCTTGTGGCAAAAGGCTAATCCAACTATAATTTGTTGGAAGAACCGGAGGGCCTCTGTCTCGTCAAGTCTTCCCTTATTGACAAGGTATTCAAAAAGTTCACCTCCAGAGACGTACTCCATCACTAAAAAGCTAATACAAATGCGATGGACGAAGCTTTAATCATCATAAGAGTTTACTTGGTGAAGTTAATATTTTTAAATTATTGCTGCAAGGGTGATGTGTATGCAAGCTTACAGCTCCTTCTCAGTCTCATATACATCGTATAATCGGATCACATGTGGGTGATTTATCAGCTTCATAATAGCGATTTCACGTTCGATACCACGATGGACTGCAGCCTTGTTGGCCAACGAGGCTTTGGAGATGATCTTGACTGCAACCTGCTCGTTTGTTTTACGGTGGCGTGCCAGCTTGACGCACCCTAGGAGTATAAAATGGAGTAAAGGAACAATTGTTTTATATTGGGCGTAATTGTAAAGTTGGGTTCATGACACGTGCGGTAACTGACAAATTTACGTGTGTTTTTTTATCTCATGATTACAATGTAGTCAAAGAGAGGATTGAAGGAGCGCGGGAAAAAAATACTATGCACATACAAAGTATGCATACATGACGATGTGGTCTGTCGGAGAGTAAAGGCATGTGTACATGAATGTGTCTGTGCCAATGACACTTCCCATCAGTCACATCAAAAAATGGAATAGCCACTTTGTGCACGTCGATGGTAGCACCAACACGAACCACATTGATCTAAACCCATTAGGCTTTTATCTTTCTCATATCATCTTCTCTGGTGTTGTGGTGATCAAGGTGGACATATGATAATAATTCAGCAAAAAGTATATAAATTTGTAAATGTTTAAAGAATAGCGCATGTACAATGCATGTGTAAACAAATGTTTGTGTGTCTGACCATGTAAAGATTGAGGAATAAACAAAAGAAAGTCCCTAAAAAAATAAAAGAGAGCGGGATCATCGTACCTGAAGACCCTTTGCCCAATGTTCTGCTCAGCACATAGGGTCCAACATGTTCCAGTACAGCCTTTGATATCGATGGTTTCGACTTCAGAGTGTCTTTACTTTCTAAACCTCTCCTTGGATGTGCAGGCGAAGCTCTATAGTTCTGTTGTGGTTGCTGTTGTTGCTGCTGCTGTGGCTGTTGCTGCTGTATGCGAGAATGATATGAGGGTGGTTGCTGAGGATGATGTGAATGATGATGTCCAGTATTCTGTTGGGGTTGCGGTGATACCGGGGCATTGGCATCTCGCACCTCCTTACTCGGAGCTTTGTTCGCAGCTTTTGCATCAGAAGAGCTGGGGTTATGTGGAGGGATCTCCATGACGATCGGATGAGGACGTGCTTTCCTTCCTGCCAGCATTACGTCAATTGAGTGAATAGGTATTTTGTGTCCTAAAGGGAGAAAGAGTGGGGAGAGAAAAGATCCAAAACAATTGTGGATAGAGTAATAGAAAATGGAATTGAGATGAGGAATGAGCCAACTAAAAACAAGATCAAGTTTTTTTCTTATGCAACGATGTTTCTGTTGGTCACGATGTCGGATGATGACAAAGAACAGTGTACGAGGAAGTAATATGGATGAAAGAAGAAATTTAAGAGAGGAGTTGGAGAGGAGAGGAAGGATGAAAGAAGAAAAAAAAGAAAAGGAGTGGAGTAAAGGGCTAGAAATAGAGGAGAGAAAAAAAAAGGCAAGGTGTGGACAACTGAAAAAGGGTTCTTATTCGTTTTAATTTTATGGTAGACACGATGAAAAGAATGCAAAGAAAAGACAAAAAGATGGAAGAAGGAAAAGGAAAAGAAAAAGATAACCTCATGCACATCCAATCGAAGGTCAATATGGAATTATAAAATGAATGCAGTAGGTAGGGATAAACTTGAGGCAAAGGACAGCAAAGTCGTGTGTGTGTGTGTGTTTTTTTTTTGTTTGTTTTACATGAATCTAATGCAGAATCAGATCGACGAAGGTGAAGCAATGCTAGGTGTGCAACACAAAAGAAGGTGAGTAAGAATGGTGGAGAATAAATAAGAAGTAGGCACTTTTCTTATTTGACAGTGTCCCATTCATCCTAGGCTTGATTACATTCGAGTGTTATAGTGGACCCAGGGAGAATAGGGATAAGCAGAGGGGGTTACAGAGGCTCAAGTGATGATACTCTCATAAAAAAAAGCAAGAAAAAAATACAGGGTGTGTGCCGTTCTTATAGCATGCGTGTGATCACCAGGTTTAAACGTCTAAAGCAAGCTTCCGAAAGGTGAATGGAGCAGAGGAAGCATATCGATAATATATTTTTGAACACGAGGACTTTTTGTTGTGGCCCCACCATCATCTGCAAGCTAACATCAGCATCCCAGCATAAACAATAACATCTTACATAAATAAACATTTATATTTATACAATGAAAATTGAAGTACATTCTGATGCAACTTCCTCCACACACAAGAAATAACGCGTTTTTAAAGAAAGACAAAGGGTTTTTATTTATTTTATTTTTTTTATTACACTACTTGACTAAAGAGAATCGAGATTTCAGTGAGGGGTGAAATACATTGCCTGACGTAGTAACAGATGGGCTTGAAATATATAAAATAAAAGATGTGTAAGTTTGAATTGGAATGAATGGAATGAACACTCGTAGTGTTTGAACATTGGCCTTTTGCCCTCCCTTGCCCTAGCATTTGGCTTTGATTGGATTTGGTTTCTGGTACTCTGATGAATATGACGGTACATCTGGTACAACAGCATCAGTATCTAATGAAGCAACATTTTTAGGATGCTATGCAGACGAGAAGGAGTTATTTTTTATCATAATCTCAATGCATGATGGAACCATGCATCAATACAAACTAGATTGCCTGATGAGGAGAAGAGGGGAAGGGTCTCCTCATCACGAATGTCCGCTTAATGAAAGTATTATGCAGCGAGAAAGTGGAGTGAGGATTTAAAGGAGTGGAGGCCTTCTATCTTCAATATCGTCATAATCCTCAGGCTACATGCAGGGGAAGTTGAGTGGGAGCCTCAACAGATTGTTGTTAATAAAAAATGGGTCCTCCCGATTCTAGTCATATTTCAATGTGATCTCTTGAAGAAAAGAAGGAAATGAAAGAAACATGAGGGATAGATGACCACAACTGAGAGGAGTCATAAAGTCAAAACCCATCGTAGTACGGATCAAGAAGGATCACTTCTTCCATGAAGAGCAGGGGTAAATGTCTCATTGCATGAAAATGAAATGGCAAACTTGCTATTGGCTGCGCCTTCGAGCAGATATAAAAACATTAATAGTGGCCCCACCTTTTGAAGCTTTCGTAATCTCATCTGCAGTAATGCTATAACTTTTGTGGAATTATCCGCAAGACATTCGTTGCTTTATAATGCTTAAAACGAATAGAAGGAGAATAACAGGATAGAAAATGACAGCAGGGTACAGCAGCGACTATCAATTTTAATTCATTAATTGCTAAAAGATATCTTTTCACAGTCACCCATCATGTACTTTGAGAGTATCCTACTCGAGTGAATGATATCCATGATGGAGGGGTCGACATTAATGCCTTTTTTTTATTGCAGCTTACTATGTGCACCCCGCATGTCTCATACTACATCGCATAAATATGGAGTCAGTGCTACGAAGCTTTATTGTGGACAATACTCAATGACTATCTATCAAAAAAGGGAAATAAGTTTTGGAAAGTTATTATTGTCATTCCATTGGTCATTACTTTCTTGGTATAAAGATTTTCGCAATGTCAAAGAGAACCGAGAGCAATATACTGAAGACATCTCTACATTTGGCGTGGTGGTATTTTTAAAAAAAAAGGGATGCTTATAAACAACTATTCATTAGTTGCCTAGTGGAGAAATGTAAATTGATCGTTATGGATTTTATACTTATTATAGTTGTGAAAAGTCAAGTAGAAGAGGCTCATGTGCAAAACTCTAGAATCCAGGAACAACGCATCCTCTTTTATTGGTACGTAAACGACGAGTCACGTGCAAACAAGCGCCCTCTTTCCTCACATTTCATTGGTCATGCCTCCAGTATCAATTTTATATTTGCTAGTCCTCATAGGACATCGCTTCTAATACCATTCCCAAGAGCATTTTATATCCTCTCAAAGTTGAGTTATTAGAGAGACATAAAAGCACAATAGTCGGCAGTATGAAAGATGTGTCATGATATATATATATAATAGGGGACTAACTTATTTACTAATTTATTGAGTGAGAGCCCTGTTATCTTGACTGATTGAATAATATACAACAACAATAATAATAATTTTCCGTGCAAAGCCCCTGGAGTGAAAACGAGTAAAAATTTTTTTTGCGCTTCTCCTTCGTACGCACTATTTCCATTGTGCTCTTTTTCTCTTGTCTCTCTCCTCTCTCTCTTACACCCACTTTCCCCTTTCCGACACATTCATTCATATTACTTTTCTTGCACGTCTCTCCTGCACCATCACATTCACATACACTTTACATATAAAGACATGCCCAAGGAACAGAAGGTCAAGGCTGCAAAGCCCCCAAAGAAAAGTAAGTCTAAGAAAACTGCCCTTAGAACTAAGACCACCATACCCACAAGAATGCTCCTCATCCTCATCCCCATCATGTCACCACCTCTCCTCCCAACACACACACCCTCTCTTCTTATAGGAACAAATATACACATTGATAAACATACATTTCCCATCCTTTTTCTCATATATATTCACGTACACACTTTCTCTCACTAAAATACAAACACTTGTGGACACAAACATTATATAGTTTCTTCTAGCGCTATCTCTTTTTTTTGTTTCTACTTATGATTTCTGAGTTTTCCTGTGATCAAAGATCAAAGACCCATCGCAAAGAGTAGAATGTCAACTTTTCTTTCTTCAATCTTTGAAGCATACGCAGTTATGGGTTGGGCTTTAGCAGACAGGCAAGAAGGCGGCCTGAAACACGTCTTCTGCAATGGCCAAGATACACAAGGGTATTTCAAGTGCTTTGTGGATTGCGACGTGAAATCAATTTAAAGACAGAGCTTGAATTGTTGCAAGGCGCGTTTTTTTTTTTTTTTTTTTTTTTTTGGAGATTGATTTTAATTTTTGACAAAGAACGCGAATATTTTTAATTTTTTTAAAAAAAAGTAAAATAAAACAATCAAAACGCGTACATTTATTTATCTTTGCCACTTTTTTTCTGCAGTGCCTAAATTGCACTTTACCAAGTTTATTCCCACACGGCATACAGATGTACTAACATTCTGTTTTCTTGTTCACGTGTAGCCCCCGCTTTGGCTATGCCTAAACGTCCTGGCACCTCCTGGAACATGTTCTTCAGAGAGCACATGGAGAGAGTCAAGGCTTCAGGCAAGCCTGTGGTTCCCACTGTCGAGGGCGCCATCGCCGCTCAATTGTGGAAGGGGCTTAGTGAGGATGAGAAACAGGTAACAAAAACAGGAGCAATTGTTACTTGTCAAAAAAAAAAAAAGCAGTTGACAAAGGTTGTTAAACATTTGGATAATTATTTTTAAATACAGGTCTATCAAGACAGATACAAGGCCAACTTTGAGCAGTTCAAGAAGGAGACTAAGCAGCGTCTTCAGGAATTGACTCCTGCGGAATACAAGGCTGAGAACCAGCGTCGTCAGGCTTTACGTGATTCTGGAAAGAAGGGACTACCTTCACTCAAGGATCCCAATGCCCCTAAGAGGCCATTGTCCAACTTCTTCCTTTATGCCAAAGATCTCCGTGAATCTGGCAAGTATGCTCACCTGTCCCTTAAGGAGCAGTCCAAGGCCTTTGCTGACGCCTGGGCTACGCTTCCTGAGGCCCAGAAGAATAAGTACACAGAAATGAACAGGGTCGCAATGGAGGCCTACAAGATCGAGAAGGCCGCTTATGACGCTCAGGCCTAAAAAAATATATATAGCCATCACTCATTTTCTCTTTTTTCTTTTGTCAAGCATTATCATTATGTAGTTGTCCTGTAGTCTTTTTTCCTTTCATTTGATCAATATTGATCATTAATTCTTGCTGCTTGTCTTTTTCTCAAATCAAAATTATTCATCTCTTTTTTTTTTTTTTTTTTTTTTTTTTTTAAAAAAAAAATGCATCACTTTTGTGGGGGTATCATATTTGTGTTTAATTGGAGCTGTCATAGCTATATTATTGGGATCTTGACGAGAGACGATCGTTGCTGGTTTTGATCCTGGTCTACAGCAGCGTAGTTCTCTACAGTTATTTAATATTAGTAATAAGAGATAGTCCATATTTAATTCGTTAAGTGTGTGCATTCCTTCTTGAATAAAGTGTAGTATAGATATATATGTAACAGGGGTTGTTACCTGTTAGCTCAATAGTTCTGAACACGTCCGTCCAGTTTTCTAAAACTTTGCAGACGGCTAATGTTAATTATGGGAAAGAATTCGAGCCGTTAGATGTAACCAACATTTCACGTGCCAATTTTTTTTTTTATTATATGTTTTAGTTACAAACATTCGTGTGCTCTACCTTCGTTGCCCTGAGTCAATGCCTCAAACTTCTCAGACAGCTCATCGAAATGAGTTTGAAGACGACTTGCAAATTGCCTCAAGGCTAAAAGATGTTCGAGTTCCTTCTTCTTTTCAGCCATTCGCTGTAATAGATGTGGTGGTGCTGAGGTTGAAGACATGTCGTGTGTGAATGTGTATGCTTGTATGTCTTTCTATGTTTGCTTAATAATAAAGGAGACGCGTTATTATATTTTGGTCTGAGTTCAACAGGGCAATGCGTCCAAGCCACTAAGTTTTGTCAATCGTCTATATACATAATTACCTCATACCACGTTTGTCGTTGAGTAAATACAGGTCTGTAAGACGTCAGGTCCTTTGCAGTTCTTCTTCATCATCACATCACTTTGGGCGATATTTCAACCCAGTTAGTCAACGACAAGAACCAATGCTTCGCAATACAAACTTCATGAGTGCTTTGCCGCTGATTACATTATTTAAGTATAAGTTATTTTGAGTTTCTGAAAAAGACACTTTAGTAAAAGGGTTTTGATGCTTTTCTTTATCGATCGTTATTACCATTTATCACCAATTCACAGTGTCTATTAGTTGGCCATATATAAATGAGAGCCATGGAATGAGGGTCAAACAGAAAATGTGCACCACATGAGACTCGAAAAGTATATATCATTGATACATCGAATGTTACTCTCTTTTGGAAAAAAAAAAAAACACACGAGAATATCATGATGTCTGTTGGTATTTTTTGTTGTTATTGCATGTCCGAACACAAACAAAGTCTACAATTGCTTGCCAATGGTTTGGAAAATTGCAACATCATTGTAATAGCCAAAGGACTTTGTTCCCCTTTAATTTTTTTTTTTTTTTTTTTTTTTTTTTTTGGTTGGCTCGCTCAATGGTCGCTATTTGTTTATTGACATGACCGCCTGGTGCAATTTGCTAGAGAAACATTTGGAGAAAGAAAGTAAGAAAAGAAGAGACCAAATAAATAGAATCCCCACACCTCTCCATGTTTATATCGTCCCTCTCTCCCTTCTTGCTCTTCCTTTTCTTCTCTCCTTTTCCACCTACTCTCTGCATTTCACTATCATATCTTTTTTGTCTTTGAGTTTTGTGCTTGGGTGTGTCTATCATTTCCATTTACACTATTTTTTTTTTTTTTTTTTTTTTTTTTTTTGCCGTTGCCTTCAATTTGTGCTGCAACATCTGAATTCACTCGGTTGAGCATTCAACTCATTCATAGCTTTCATTCTCCTAATTGCTTTTTCCTCAAGTGGTTTTGGGAACAACGCACGCGTGTCTTTTTTTTTTTTTTTTTTTTTTTTTTCAATACCTCTTTAAAGCCGGACTAACTAACGCCTACTTAACATTTTGAACTTGGGCGTAATCATCAATGGGTAACCAGCACAGCAAAAAATCAAATTCAAAAGGGTCTGGTCGGCCTTATCTCGAGGATACTACAACTAAACAAAAGCTATCGTCTGGTCATCTCAGCAGTCTGACTCCTGATGCCTCTCCTCAAGGCACCGTCACAACAGCCATTGGTGAGAATGGAGCTCTCCATGATAAACAGCAAAACGAAAATCTTGCTGTGAATAAAAGCCTTGGCATCACCAATGCAAATATTGATAATAATAGCGAGTCGACTATTAGATCTACCAATACCCATGCTTGTAGCAACAGCCTCAAACCATCACATGAAACTACCAGAAATGGGGGTAACAACAGCCCAAGTCCTGTCCCGTTCTTAAGTGCCCTTCCCCGCACGGCGACTTCTGGTTCAAAAGATGCTAGCCCTGTACATGTCGATGCTTCGGTTGCATCAGGCATGATCCTTCCAAGCAATCAAAATCAAGATTCTTCCGAGAAGCGACTCTCAACATTAATGAATTTCGATACCATTCAGATACCACCGTTAGCACATGCCAATGATAACTCACACCACCATCATCACCACCAACAGCATCAACATGAGGATCAACATCAGCAGCATCAACGCCATAGTATCCACGCTTTTCCATCGCAGCCCTCCCGAAATGGTCAAACGACCGTAGGCCTGAGCTTAGAGCCCTCTGATATGCAGTATATGAGTAGTGGACACAGATCAAATATCCAGAGTGGCCCATTCACGCCTGCAACTATCCTGAACAAACATGGTGTTCTGACAAATGCTTTGCAGCAGCATCATAGCCACATTAAGAATGACATACTTAGCAATGGTGATTGTAATTCGATTGGTCATATTAATCAACAAAATAATTACGACAATAGCCATGGAACACCAGTCAATGGTCATGATGTCAATCAACAGGGACACGAACAGAGCCAAGGCAATAATGTCACCAAAAATGATAGTAATAGCAAAGACATGTTGATAGAGGCGCACACCAACGATGCAGGGCAGCATAATCAAGAGCCATCATCTCCTCCTCCTCCTCCAGAGCCTTGTGTTCCATTTGCGGTTTTGGAGCCAGGTGAATCTATCCTGGTGAGGAGACCTAATCTCAATCCATTAGCTGTTTTAACGTCTAGTGTATCCCCATCTTCTCGATCGCCTCCAATCTCGCCAAAATCCAAATCATTGGAGCTCTCACCGACATCACGAATACCATTTTTGGGGTCGTCAGTCCTAATTGACAAGAACAAGAGTATGGATCTGGACGATATGATTTCACGCCTGTTAGATGCAGGCTACTGCGGCAAGGTCTCCAAGAACATTTGTTTACGGAACAATGAGATTGTATATATCTGTCAAACAGTACGGGAAGTATTTTTGTCTCAACCAGCATTGATTGAACTGAATTCTCCAGTGAAGATTGTGGGCGATATTCATGGACAATATACGGATCTTCTGCGAATGTTTGAGATGTGTGGGTTCCCGCCGTCAGCCAATTTCTTGTTCCTTGGCGACTATGTGGACCGAGGCAAACAGAGCTTGGAGACTATCCTATTGCTTTTTTGCTACAAGATCAAGTATCCCGAAAACTTTTTCTTATTACGTGGTAACCACGAATGCGCCAATGTCACAAGAGGTACTCACTTGAACTTGTTTTTGGAGTGTGTGTAAGATAAACAGTAGAGAGAATAGGAGGCAGCTTTTTTTTTTTTTTTTTTTTTTTTTTTTTTTTTTGGCTCAGATGCGTTATACTCGGGTTTCGTATTGAACAACAAGGCTCGATCCTCGTTGGTCATCTGGCTTTAATTTTTGTGATTTGAATCCGTTTGTGCCCCTGAGTTTTTTTTTTTTTTTTTTTTTTGCGGGTAAAGAAAGCGTGATTGTGTGACATTGGTGAGAAAGAAAAACTACATGTGTGGATTGATTAGCTTTTCTTTACTTTGTGTATGTTCAAATACAATAGTTTACGGGTTTTATGATGAATGCAAACGTAGGGCTAGTATCAAGATGTGGAAGGCTTTTGTGGATGCGTTCAATTGCCTACCACTAGCAGCTATTGTTGCCAACAAGATTTTCTGTGTCCATGGCGGACTTTCACCTTCTCTGGGAACCATGGATGATATCCGAGCTCTCCAACGACCGGCAGATGTACCGGATTATGGATTATTGAATGATTTGCTGTGGTCGGATCCATCAGATACAGTGGAGGACTGGGAAGACAATGAACGCGGAGTGTCCTACTGTTTTGGACGGAGTATTATTCAAAAGTTTTTGAGCAAACATGATTTTGATTTGGTCTGTCGAGCACATATGGTGGTCGAAGATGGGTATGAATTCTTCAATGACCGGACATTAGTTACGGTCTTTTCAGCACCGAACTATTGTGGTGAGTTCGACAATTTTGGAGCTGTGATGAGTGTGAGTGAAGAGTTGCTGTGTAGCTTTGAGCTTTTGAAACCCATTGATCAGGCCGCAGCCATGGCGCAAATGCAAAGTTTGGCGGCTACGAATGGTGGATGGCGAGTGAACAAGCAACGGTTAAGGTAAAGCAAGAAAAAAAAAAAGAAGTTTGCGTTAAGCCTAAAATATCAACATCCATATTGATTAGCCTTTTTCTCTTCTTTTTTATCTTTCAGCATAACGGATAGTAATTCACTCTATGGAATATCTCAGAACTGTGCGCTAAATGCTTGAATTGTTTAACGATCCTATCTGTTTTATATCCAATAATGCTCATATTCTTTTTCTTATTCATTGTACAATTAATAATAAGGCTTAGTGTGTAATAGGCAACTGATATTGTCAATGTATAATGTTTTAATGGTTAAATAATTTCAAAAGTCAATTGTTTAGTATTATAGGACCCTTTCAATGGCTTCTCTTTAGCTTAATTATATGGTTGCATGCTGTAGTAATCAATGGACGTTTTTCGCTTCCATTGACGCTGGCATGCCCAACAGAGATAAAAAAAAAAAAAGAATAAGAAAGAATAAATCCAGTTCGCAATACTTTCCTTGTTCGAGATTGGTGAGCCCTTAACAGATGAGCAAAGGATGGTCTCAAAAAAAAAACATGCCCATAACACACGTGCTTTTCATTATACCGAATGTGCTATTATGTCACATTCACGACTTTTTTCTCTTTTTTTAATTTTTTTTTTATAACAATCTCTTCTTACACCATTATTCTCCCTTCTTTAGTAAACATGCTGTCCTCACTTCACAACAAGTTCTCTTCACTAATTCACCATTATAGGGAGAAGTATGCAGTTAAAGATGCATCATTATCTCAAGAAAGCAGCAAAAATGTCGTCACTAGCAAGAATTGGGACTATGAAATCCTTTTCAAGGGTGCCGAAGTAAAGTTATTACCCTATTAAAGTATATTCTCTCTTTTCTCTCTCTTCAAGCAGGAAAGCTGATTTCTCTTTGTTTTATATTATCAGGATGTTCCCGTAGGAGATATCCTCACCTCAGACCCTTATCTAGAAGCCTATCTTGGCCCTCCAACAGATCCAGCAACATTGGCTTATATGTAATAATATTTTTTCTCTTCTGCTACTTTTTTTTTTTTTTTTTTTTTCTTTATTTGTTCTCATTACCTTTTCATTTTCATTACATCTTCTATAATAGTACTGGAGTGCATTGGAGCACGTTGAACCCCGTCTGGAATGCCAAGTGGAGCCTTTTGAATGTTCCAGAAGGAACTGTACTCGAAATGAATATTATGGATAAAGACAAAATGAAAGAGGACACACCGTTGGGAAAAGCTTTCCTTGAACTCGGATCCAAACTCGATGGCACTTTGGAACATGTTCTAGAAATCACAAAACCGGATGGAAAGCAAAGGGGTCATGTGTTGGTTCAAGTATGTGTTTTTTATCATTCATACATTAATGAATGTGCGCCAGATAATTTTTTTTTTTTTTTGTTTTTTCGAATACAACGTAATCTTAAGGCATGGTCTGTTTCATAACATGACAGTGCCTGATTGTAGCAATGATGTGATTGGCTGATTTTGTTTCTTTCTTGTGCGTGTGTATAGACGAAAGGATACAGAAGTGCAGGCGAATCTGCAGCATTGACCAAGCCTTCAACCAGAGGTCCAGCCCGTTACTCACGTCATACAAGCTATGCTGCCGGTGTCTTAATTTGGGAGAACAAGTACGAGTTTTATGCATACCGTATCCGCCTATACCACTTGATTGATGTCTTTGGATCAGACCGTCAGCATTGGAATGTCAAATATGAAAACTCTAAACGGATTTTTGCAGACACTTATGAAAGCTTAAACATCCGCAACGCCATTCATTCTCAACATTCTTATCTGTATCGTCATGGCCATAATACTATCTATGGTGAGCCGGCAACGGCAGCTGACCTAGGCAAACTATTACATGGTGATCGGTTGAAGAACAATCCGGAACAGGATTTAAAGATGGTGGTATTCACATATAGTCTTATCCCCAAGGGACTATACTTTTCAGAAACTGGAGCAGCCTTCTTTCAGGATTTCATGTCCAAACACGCAATGCATGCTAATCGTGCAACTGAGGTCATTTATGCGGGCGAGTTCCGATTGTTCAGGGATGAGTCCCATCATGACGACTGGACATTGATGATCGACAATAATTCGGGAACATATGCACCCAAGAAGGAGGATCTGCCCAGGTTGAAGCGGGTGTTTGAGCTTAATTTTCCGGATTTAGTCGTCATTGGTTTGGATCATGAGGATCCTCAACTGAAGGAAATTCGAGAAGAAACTGAGAAGATTGAAGCCGAAATGGCTGCAAAGCGGAAGCAAGGTTTCTCATTATTCAGTGGCATGACCTCTCGTGCAGAGGATGTTGAAGACGAGGCATAGCACACATTCATATTAATGTTAATATTGCAAAAATATTTTGTACTACTATGTCACCATTACGAATAAAAACAGACTCTTTATAACGCTTATGGATCTTTTTCTTTTTCTCCCTCCCTAAATTATCTACTCTCGAGAGACATCACGTCCAAAGATCCTGGACTTTACCCAATCGCCAACGACTAAGAATCGATTCCTGAAGCTGAACATGTTGGAGATGTAAACAGAGCGCCAGAAGACATAAGTTGCCACACCTCCGACGGAGACATTGCCATTTAAGAAGGGTAAGTCTGCAATGGCTCGGTCGGATCCAATGTATGCCAAGGATCCTTGATGAGTGTACTCGAACGGGGAGATCTTTCTATTCTCACCCCGTTCTATCCTAGCCAAATTTGCAAAGACAGAAGCCAAGTAAAGTCCCTGTTGTGTCGCCACTTGAGCAGTAGGTGCATACTTTGTGAATGTACAGTCTCCAATGGCATACATGTCCTGTGCTCCAGCCACGCGCATGTACTCATCAATGAGCAATCCACGAGGTGATGACTGACCGCCCTCCTTGAGACGTGCCATCAATTTGCGAGCCAAGGGTCGAGGGCAATTACCTGTTGCCCAAACCAATAAACCATAAGGAATTGAGACCATGTTTTTGTTGGCATCCATGACCTTGATCTCTTTGTCAGCCACTTCTTTGACCATAGTCTTTGTCAGGACTTCAATATTGTTCTGTTTAAATGTTCGTTCAGTGTATTGGATCAATTGGGACGAGAACATGGGTAAGACATTCGGTAGAGCCTCCACAAGCGTAATTCTGAGCTTATCTACCAGTTCAGGGTACCAGATCTGAAGATCATCCTTCAAGAAATCATGCAGCTCAGCTGCATATTCAACCCCAGTGGGACCTCCTCCAACAACGACCATATGAAGCAAACGACTGACCTCCTCTGGCGTCTGAGAAGCGAATCCCGCCGATTCAACACAATCCATAAGACGGGTACGGATCTTTTGAGCGTCCCAAATCTCCTTCAAAAAGCATGCATGTTCCCGAACACCCGCCATGCCAAATGTCTGATTGTCGGCGCCAATGGCTACAACGAGGTAATCATAAGGAATGGTGGTGTTGCTAACAGCTCCTTTGATATCAGAGACATCTAAGCGCAGATGAAAGATATGAAGAAAAATAAAAAGATATATCATTTTCTTGATGCCAAAATGAATAGTGTAAATCTATAAATAAATTTAGTTTTTACCTGTAATACTAATGGTTTTGCTCTCCGGATCAATGTCGGTACATTCACTCTCATAGAACTTGACATTGCGACTCTTATGGCGAGTGATGAAGCGTATAGGTTCCATGATGGAGCGAAGCTCAATGGTTCCGACCGTACAGCTGGGCAACAAGGGTGTGAACAAGAAATAGTTACGAGGAGAAACAATTATCTACGAGAGAAGAGAAACAAGAGTGTGATCATTTTGGTGAGTTAAAATGACTTTCTTTGGGTAAGCACAAAATCCTTATCCAGCCATTCCTACATACCACGTTGAAATCATCTGTATTGAGTTTCTTCAAAAATGATACGGCTCCCCATCCAGTGCCCAAGAGAACAATTGTGCGTTTTGAAGGATCGAATTGCTTCTGCTCCGTAGGATGACGGTTTTGATAAACAACTATATATTGAATAAAAAATAAAATTAAATACCAAAAAAATACTCATTTTGAGGAAGATCAGGTTCTTGAATTTCTCATTAAAAAAAAAAAGACAATTGGTAATCAGCTTTACCATAAGATGCATATCCGACAGCACCGACAGCTCCAAGCTGGATGATACGCTTCAACGCACGTAAACGGGACCAGCGCTTCTTCGGTTGTGGTGCAGGTGCAGGGTTGGGTATAGCATTCTTGGCGGCAGCCGTAGCCATCGTGGCGCCAGTGCTGGTCGAATTGAAACGTGGAGAGATCAGAGCACGGGGCCGTACCACCATTCTTGGAGCGGCAACACGTGCCATTTGAGCGGCTAAAATGTTGGTTGGATCGATCAAATGTCAATGTCACTTTGTCATTTCATATCATATTGACACCAAAAACCATTTTTTAACACCTGTACGCCATCATAAAGGATAAAAAAAGACGGCGAAAGGAGCCTTGTTATAATAAGTATTTCCAATTCCCTTTCTCTCTGCCGTAGGAAAGCTTTGTTTTATTTCAATTCCTGATAGGCAACGCTGCGTCATATTTTGTAATAGGTTATTTTTTTTTTTTTGCTTTTCTTGATGAACTGTATACAATGAATAGAGATCTGTGAATCAATTGCAATAGAGAGGAGAGATGCTTTGCCCCCCTTTCAACCCCATGTCTTGGGACACACACCAAAAAGGGAGTTGTTAACGCGATGACTCTAGACGCGTTTTTCTTTAGCACTTGTTCCGCTGTGAAAACGTCTAAATGAGTACCGCGCTTTTTACCTCTTATAAAAGACATTGGAACAAAGGATCAATGAGGCTGATTAGAGTGGAGTGGAGTGGAGTGGAGTGGAATGGAGTAGAGCAGAGTTGAGAGGAATGACGAAGTGAGGATCAGATCTGTAAAAAAAAGTGGGTCCAGAAAAATTTAGGGGTGCAAATTCAGACACAGTCTACGACAAAAAAATAAAACGGTCGTCAAACTGCTCCTGACAAACATATTCTTTTTTTTTTTTTATTTTTATTTTTTTATCATCTTCTAGAACGTTGTGCACTTAGTCTTGAGTAGCGAGAGCTGTATCAATATCCTTGAGTTGTAGCGGTTTCATTTTGTCTTGATGAAGTTAGCTTCATCAGAAGGCTGGATTTTGGCTTACTATGTTCAATAAACAGAAGCAAAAAAATTCCATTCGTTTCTTGCTGTTGTGGTCATTAAAAATCTCACGTTAGAAGCACATCTTAACTACTAATCTATCGCCATGACTTTCAAAGCGCCTGTCTAATTCAATACACATTGCATATGGCAATCCCACGTGTACCACAAGATTCTCAATTTAACAGATAAAGCGAAAATGTGGGACAATAGGAAGGTCAATGAGCTCTGGGTAATAAAAAAAGGGGGAAAATGGTTTCCCATGAATGTTTGTTGTTTTCTTATTACGTGAACAAATGTATAAATATAGACCTTGTTTCTATGTATTAACTTTGATTGTAAAAAGAATCAGTTCGGTCCTGTCCATGTTTCTTTGACGCGCATTTTTTTTTGTTCCACAAACATTACGTTTCCAAGACGTCGTTGAAGATGGGTGGTTGAAGGCTGTAAAGGTCCTTTGTTCAAATTTAAATATTTGGAACAGGCGGAGAGTCTTCCGTAGGATGTTTTTATGGATCCAAGGGAAATAAAAACGTCACACGGAGGTTTGGCTTGCCTATTTAGGAACATGTGCTTGATTGGTTCCTTACTTTTTTTGATGACAATGACTTTAATGTTGCCAGCATCACCCCGACATTCTTACCGTCCACTTCACCAGCATTCACCAGCATTATATGTCTGTCATTTCGAAGACATCACTTTATTTTATTTTATTTTATTTTATTTTATTTTATTTTTTTTCTCTCACTTTCTCTCATTAATACTAATTTCAATTCACTCTCTTTGTCACATGGCAGAAAGAGCACGCTCTCGCATTCTCTCAACACTTTATTTTTAAAACAAAAAAAAACATCCCTCCACCCCTCTTACTCTCATAATCTCTCACATCCACAACCCTTGTGGCTCGCATCTTGCACTATACTATCCTTATTCTTTCTTCCTCTCAATTGCTCTCTCACCCTCACATTATCGTTTCTTCATTCACTCAATCTCATACACCCACGCTCTCTCTCACTCTCTCTTCTCTCTTTTACATTGTCTTCTAATCCCTCTATCATCTCCATCCACTTCTCCGGTTCATTCGACACACACTCGACATTGTATATTCATGAACCATATGGATACTTATCGTGAGTAACATCTGTCTTGTTCGTTTCTTTTGAACAGACCTTTGCTGGAACATTAAAAAAAGCCATCGGAATGGCACTCAAACAAGGATATGGGATCAATAACAGTGATAGAATATCACCATCTGCTACTGTAGAAAAGACAAGGATGTGGATGGCTCTGCAAACTTCTGCTATTACTGTTTGCCATTGGGGCCATCCACTCCCAATCACACTTGATTTTTTACCTATTCCACCGTCCATATCGTTCTTTTTTAACTCAAAATGATGAAGAACACTGTGCTACATTTACTTATCAATCATTTAGTACATACAGCCTTGTGTTTGAAGATCCCGTGGGTAGTAATCAAGGGATCTGATTCTATAGCCCTCTTTTTCAGTTGCTTTCCACATTAACTTGTCGTATATGATGCACTCTATCTCCCTTCTCCTGCGATTCCTCGACCCTTCCTTTTTTTTTTTTTTTTTTTTTTTTTTTTTTTAATACCTCTATCCCTTACTGTTTCCTATCATGCTACAATCCCTCCTTGGTCATTCGTTTTTACAATTGCAAATTCGATATGTTTCATGACCATGTTATACGTTCATTCATTGACATATCACGTAAACTAACTTCTTGATTGGGATTGCTTTGCGAACTAAATTCTTTTTAGCACCACATCGTAGGAGGCAATCCACGCTATTCACTTCCACTAAGTTTGACGGTCCACTATCATCAGATAAAACAAGGTGTGACGGATTAGATTCGCCATCCTCTTCTCGATCACTTAAACCTACCACACCAACGAGTATCAATCGCAATTCATTCGGGTTTTGGGGCGGTAGTAAGTCTGCAGCCAGCACTCCCAACCTCGGAAATATGAACAGACCCAACACGAATGAGTATTCGACCTCCTCCATTACTGCTGTATCCGCATCTGCAACATTAATCAAGACACAGGGATCAGGAGAAGACTCTAGCGCAAGCGTGGATGGTTCTGGTCCTTCATTTCAACATCGTAGAAAGCGGAGCGAGAGCATAGGTGGAATTAAGGTAAAATAGAATGTAGATTTAGTAGAGGGAAGTTATTTGTGACTTTTTTATAGCTTATCAAACTATGAAAAGGAAAAGAGCTGAATTTGGCGCCTCACAGGCACTAGGAGAATTGCCTTTTGGAACTTGATATGAGAGCATTATTTCTTTTTTTGTTCCATTCTGCAACAAAGGAGCAAACTAGCGTGCCGTACTAACTTAAATATCTGGCTTGCATATTACATTCTCCGATACATCCATTGTAATAGGGTACTGCTGGAAGCTTTACCAGAATAGTCAAGAAAAGCAGTAGTAACTTTTTAAGAAAGCTTGTTAGGGTAATATTACAACACTATACCACTCAAAGCATTATGTATTCATGTATACGCGTTAAATTAGCACATTTTACGGATACTTATTACTGATTTACTTGGAATCTATTCAATCTTTTCCTCCAATCTAGAATTTTGATGACAGAGATGCACCGCCTACACCTACCGTTCCTTCACCCAACAATGCCTCATCACCCATTTCGCCTTTTGGATCTCGATCAACAGCCGTGCCTGAACTGCCTCCTTTCTCTACATCTTCATATACTGATGGCCGTATTGGACCCTTGGATACTCCACCTCCTTTGTCACCACTAATGGGCCAAGATTTAACAGAGGATTTCTCATCCTTCGCTGCTTCACATGATCATCTACATCGTGCAGATCAAAATGCTACGGTAGAATCATGGCTTAGAGCAACGAACAACAATGTGGGTGCAGAACATGAGCACGAAGATGAAGAAGAAGATGAAGAAGAAGATGAAGAAGAAGATGAAGAAGAAGATGAAGATATGCCGATTAGTATCTCAAATAGGCTCTCGAAACTCTATGAATCAGGGTCGATGCATCTGAACCAGTCTCAGACTTCGCTCTATTACTCGACCAAATCCAACTTATCAGACCTTGAGGCACTTGAGATGGCATCTCGACGGGCTTCACTAGCACAAGACGCACTTGGATATAGTTTAGGATTCTCTCCACACAACTCAATCCGCTTTTCGCAATACAGCCTTGGGAGTTTACATTTAGCGCCGTTGCTACCATTAGGATCATCGGCACCTGGGCCTTCGTCAGGGTTTTTGAAGGATGACAATCCAGCACCACGAAGACCTGTATCCATGTTTATGCCCTTTGGTTCGAATAGTGTGTTAGATACGGACGATAAAAATTTGGTCGATATAAAGATATATCGTTCTACAGAGCAGGAGGTCGATCATAATGCGGATGTAGATGTTGATGCGACTCCAACTAACCTTTCTGTCGCTGATACAGCTTCATCTTCATCAACGTCACTACGCATACCTGGGGGAGCGAGGGGGATGCGTCCTATGACGATATGCTTGGGTTCGGAAGATGCCAACAAGATTGCACCCTCTTCGGATCTATCCGCATTCATTACACCCGATATGTCTACTGAGAGTCAACGAGAGGCGGCAGTGGCGCAGGCGTTTGCTTACGCTGCGAGATGCTATGAAGAAGATGAGACATTTTTAAAGCGCGACGAAATCGCAGAGTACCTCGGAAAACACAAACCCTTTCACCAACTTGTGCTTGCTCATTACATGGATCACTTTGATTTTACGGACCAACGGCTCGATGTTGCTTTCCGAAATTTGTGTCATAAACTTATCCTCAAGGCTGAAACCCAAGAAGTCGACCGTATTTTGGAGGCATTCGCACAGCGATATGTCGTTTGCAATCCCAGGTCATTACTTGGCGGTGCTGACAATGCTAAAGACGTGGTTCACGCGATTATCTATTCTGTCTTGTTGTTAAATACAGACTTGCATATTGTTCAACAGTCAACTAAGATGACGCGTTCTGCCTTCATAAAAAACACACTGCAAACTATTCAGCTGCAGTCTCAACAATCCCTGGGTCGAGCAGAAGACACTAGCAGTACTCTGTCGGCCAGTGCCCCTAGCTTGGGACTGCCTCGATCTGCAACAGGAGAGTCAGGTTCTGATGGCACTCTATATCCGGGTCCGAAGAAAAAGACACCAAGTGTTAAGAGCTGGAAGAGCGGACAAAGTCACCAAAGTGGGTTCGCTCAAGTCTTCGGTGGCCATCAACAGAATCCTAGCAATAGCAAGATGGGAACAGATGCAAAGGCCAATGGGGGATACGGGAATGGTAAATGGTGGTTTCAGGAGTTGGAAAGTCTGTTAAAAGATATTTACAACTCTGTGAAACAGAATCAAATCCTTTTGCCAACATCGTCAACAGCTATGGCATCTTCTGGGTCGAAATCAAACATTACCATTTCTTCACCGCCAATCTCGCCAACTACCACAGGAGGTGGATCATCTGTTTTTTCAACCAATCGAATGAGTCGACTTATTTTTTCATCTTCATCATCCGGCTTGCTGCAACAATCGCAAGACTTGAGTAGTGGGTTTGGTGTAGGGATCTCTGGTAGACGAAGCTCTATCAATGCTCGAACGAGGCAACTGAGGAATGATGCATTGCAGCGTTTAAACGCTCAGGCACATGCTTCTGTAGAAAACGATCATCTCCTTGCTTCAATTCCATCTTCAACTCCGTCAAATTCAATTTCCCGTTTTAGTATGATGAGCTCATTGATGGTTCCTGACTTGACAGGGTGTAGTCTCAGTAGGGACCTTGACTCCAACAAACGTACAGGAGAAAACCAGAGTCAACATAGTTCTAGCAGTCTACTATCTACCCTGACCTCACAAACGAACACTTCGACCTCCATGTCTCTGACTGCGTCCTCGGCATCTCAGAATAGCCTGACTTCGCTCCATTCTCAGACCACAAGCATGCTCTTCACAGGCCAAGAAGATGGCTGCAAAAGATTGCGAGAACAGTCGCAAGATCAAGTACTAGATCCAAAGAGGCTGCTGCATGAACAACATATCCAGAGCAGGTACCGAATAGAGGGTATACTTTGGCGAAAGCATCTGCTGGAACGCACGGATAAAAAGGCCCAGCATCGAGCCTGGCGCCAATTGCTTGTGGTTGTCGATCCGGATCAAGGGACGCTCTCGATGTTCCGCTCCGATGGTAGCTTACCGAAGCCACCTCCACCATCACATGGACATCACCAGCAATCTCTGGATTATGACGCTGATGTACCACTCTTTGATGAAATTCCGTTGCAGCACACCATCACCAATATCCTTCCGCCTCCTGGGTACTCTACATCGAGGCGACACGTCTTTGCAGTTCAGCTCCATACTGGAGCTGTTTATCTTTTCCAGACGAAATCGCCTGCAGAGTGTGAGGCGTGGGCGAGAACATGCAATTATTGGGCTGCCAGGACGAGTAAGGAACCGTTGGTTGGGGGTGTGGTCAATATGGAGTATGGCTGGGGTAGAGTGTTGGATGCTCAAGCCAGGGAGGAGGAACTATCTCAGAGCCCTGTACCGATGAGTAAAGGATCTTTAAGCAGCAACAATCTTAGCGATATCGATTTCGAAGCTGGGCGAAGTATGAGCTATTTAAATGGTCCTCCAAGCTCTACCGGTCCTGGTTCGAGTGGTCGGAGTCGAAGTGCCTCTATTCGGTCAGGAACCCGTGGATCTATTTCTTCAGGTTCTGGAATTACCATGTCAGGAATCAGTATGGGAACTAATGGAACCAATTCCTCATTAGGAGACAGCGTGGTGCTGTTTGATTGGGCTGCTCCAATGCCAACCATGTCCGTGAGCACACTCAGCGAGGAGGAACAGATGCAGGTATTGCAGAAGTATGTTGCAGGACTAGAAGCTGAGATGGAGGAGCATCAGGAATATCGTATTCCTATGTCCCGTTTGGTAAGTTTTTTCTCCTTTCCAGAAATCGCATTAGACCTGAATAGAGAAATAAGTTTTTAATATATGATTTCTAACATAATGTTCTCTTTAAACGATTAATTCATTTAGTTCCTACCAAAGACAGCCAACTTCACGAAGGCCTTCAATAATTGGGAACGACGATCCCGATATCTACTCAAGGAGATGGTCAAGTATCAGATCTACGTTGAATGTCTGGAGCAGTCAATTCAACTCCAAGAGCAACTTTTGTTGCAGATGGAGAGGACACCACAGGGAGAACACCAGGACTTACTTGATCAAACTCAAGGTCATCTACTTGAAAGCCAAGATCATCAAGGTCCTCAATATCTTCAGAGACATGTTAGAATGGAGGATGACCTAGAAGCAGAGTTGGCTCGTCTGGTCGTTCATGAGAATCTGTTGTAGTTGCTTAGCTTTCATGCTCTGTCTTTTCTTTTACACGAATCTTCCTCTTACTATTGTTATTATTATTTATTTCATGTATTCTCTATACCCTTGGTCTGATTTTAGCTTATTGTATATTAAATTACATGCAAACTAAAAATTACAGGGTGACTTTTTGAAGACATGAATACCTTTTGGGCTCTCAATGCTGGTCTTTGATGATGTATCTGACAACAGCATCTGCTGGTTCAGGAACTGGTTAATCGAAGAAGAAATTGAAAAGGAAGAGGAAGAAATTATGGTGGTAGACTAAGTATTAAAATGTAAATTTTATTGAAATATCTGTATTATTTGTATTACAATCATGGTGCATATTAATTAATCTGAAGCAGAGTGGTGAAGCTCCTATTTACACTGAATTAAAGGCAGAGAGGGGAATAAAATTAAATGGTCCATCCTCCAAGGCGCAAAACCATTTTTTCAAGCTCGCTCAATACAATCAAGATAACGCATCCAACAGCGACTTTAGCCCAAGTAATGCCACCCACAGGTACAAGCTCCAACACTTCTATGTTGAACCATGGGACGTAAATGCCGATAATCATCAAGACGAAACTGATCGTTACGCCTATGATCATCCACTTATTTCCAAAAAAGTTCACCTTGAAGAGTGATGTCCGCATAGTTCTAGACAAGAACCCCTGGAGTAACTGCAATGTTGTCAGAAATGTAAAGGCCTCTGAACGAGCATAGGCCAAATTTTCTGACGACCGATCCGCCCACATGTACACACCAAACGTAAGCAGCATCAGCGAGAGTGACTGGAATAAAATCACAGATATAGATGTCCAAGTCAGGATACCACGATTTGGTGAGCGTGGTTGACGATTCATAAGGCCTGGCTCTGCAGGTTCGATTCCCAACGCCATAGCAGGGGGTACATCAGCTATATTTATAGGGTATAAATAACATAAATCATTGGCATTAGATGTAAATCAGCCAATAACGGAGATTGAGAGAATTGATGACGATGCAGACGACATTGAACATACCGATAATGTTGGCCCAAAGAATCATAGTAACACCAAATGGTGGGTCTTGGTTGATGGCTGCGCAGAGAAGGAACAGGAAAATCTCGGCACAGTTGCAGCTCAGAAGGTAAACAATAAACTTAAGAATGTTTTCAAATACTTGACGACCTTCCTCAACGGCCTCAACAATAGTGTTAAAATTGTCGTTTGCAAGTACAATATCCGCTGCTTGCTTGGTAATATCTGTTCCGGCAATACCCATTGCTACTCCTACATTAGCAGCCTTGATGGCAGGAGCATCTAATGGTTCATTTAGCAAACAAAAAAGCATAAATTCCAAATGTCAGTAAGAGAGGCGGGAATAAATGGCATCGATGTTTGAAGTAGCGTAAAATAAATATGGAGAATTTACCATTGACACCATCTCCTGTCATAGCCACTGATTCCCCACGACTCTGGAGAGCAGTAACCAGCTTGAGCTTATTATCTGGTGACACACGAGCAAAAACATTGGGGAATGGCTTCAACTCAGCAATAGCCTGTTCTGACAACAGATCCAATTCCTCACCCTTAATAGCACGTCCACCTTCTTCAAGAATACCAAGTTCCTTGGCAATGGCACTTGCAGTCTTGATGTGATCTCCAGTAATCATAACAACAGTGATTCCGGCCTCCTTACAGATCCGTACACTATCTTTGACTCCAGCACGAGCAGGGTCAATTAAACCAATCAGTCCCAAAAATACAAGATCATTCTCCGCATAGCCAAGTGGAATCTCTTCCTCATCATCATCATCGCCTTGTGCCGCAACGTTAGCTGCTGTCATTCGGTCCACATCTGTAGGCAAATGCGTAGGCGGTGCTGCTTCTTTTTGGTCCTTGCTTTTGTTGATGTTATCTAATCCATCTCCATAATTTTCAGCTGTTCCAACATCCCAACCACCATTGACTTTGATCTTTTTATATGCCAAACCCAAAACACGAAGGCCTTCATCAGCCATTCTGCCTGAGGCATCTGAAACAATATCATAAAACTCCTCTGTTACAGGCTTAGTTAGGCCAATTTCACTCGGTTTGAGGACATCAAGAGGAGACGAAATGTTGCCAGGTGCCACCGACGGCAGGTATTCAATACACCGGTTAAGAATCTCTTCAGGTGCACCTTTTGCTAACAAAAACTCGTAATGGTCAGCCCCCTCAAGTGGGGCTTTATAGACGACGCTCATGACCTTACGTTCACTGTCGAATGCTTGTTCATAAATACGGGTGTATCCAAGCTCCTGGAAGTATGATTTTGGGAATCCAGCCTTTTGGGCTGCAACCACCAAGGCGACCTCGGTTGGATCACCAATGCCTTTCCACTCGACTTCCTCTGGCTTCGCTCGAGCGTCGGCGTCCTCAATAGTCATTGAGGTGGACTTGGCCGCCTGACTGTTAGCGATAGCATCTTCAACCAGTTCTTTCTTAACCACAGATGAATTGTTGCAAAGTGATGACACCATGAGTGAAAGCAGCATTTGTGCAGGAACCTGATCAAGAGATTTGCCCAAAACCTGCGGAGCCTCTTCAGATCCCGCTTTGAGAACCACATCACCCTTATTAGGATCCAAGCTAGTACTTTCTGTGAAACCATATTTGGAGCCGTCGCTTGTCCAGAGTTCTGCAGCCCCCATCTTCCCTTCTGTGAGTGTACCGGTTTTATCTGAGCAAATGAATGTCACACTACCAAGCGTTTCGACTGCTGGAAGAGTGCGTACAATAGCCTGTTTTGACGCCATGCGCCGGACACCCAAGGCCATGGTCACCGTGACGACAGCTACCAAACCTTCAGGAATGACAGAGACAGCCAAACTAATAGGTTACACATATAAAAACTTATAAATGAGCGAAATAGCATAATGAGCATCGACTAGGCATCCGCAATAGCTTTACAAAAACCTACCTCAAAGCGAGCTTGAGAGACCCCTTCACGTTGTCAGGGTTATAATGGATTCTGATACCCGCCATGATAGCACAAAATACGATAGCGAACGCAACCAACAGTTTACCAAGCATAGCGAGTTTACGCTGGACAGGAGTTAAAACCTTACGTTGACCTGTAATGGCCGCACTAATCTTTCCCATCTCAGTCAATCGACCCGTACGGACGACAATTCCTTTTCCACGACCCTTTGCGACGACAGTTGACATAAATGCATTTCCCTTGCAGTCTCCCAGAGGGAGTTTGCGTGTTAATGTCCTGATTTCCTTGGGGTCCTTGCTAACGGCGACGGATTCTCCTGTGAGAATAGACTCAACAATCTCCAATTGAGAGACTTCGGCAAGACGCAAATCTGCAGGCACGGATTCGCCCTCCTCCAAAATCACGATGTCTCCAGGCACAAGTTCCTCTGAGTCAATTACAGATGCCACACCATCACGGAGGACCTGTGCCTTTGGCACAGATAACTTTGTCAACGCATCAAGCGCCTTGCCAGCCTTATACTCCTGTGTGAACCCAATGATAGCATTGAGAATGACGACGACCAGTAGAACAGCCATGGGAACGTAATCTTCTGTAGCACCCATTAGAACTGCAACAGCCAAGAGAAGCAAAATCATAAAGTCTGTAAATTGGGTCCATAGCATCTTGAAGACAGAGGTGCGTGGAGGTTGAGGAAGAATGTTCCTTCCATAATGTTCCCTTAGGGCCGGAATAGCTTCTGAAGGCAAACCAGTCTCCAGTGAAGTACGGAACATTTTCAAACAACGTTTAATCCGACGATCGAAGCACAGGGCTAGAATGAAGTAATAAAATGTTAAAAGTTAACCATCATCTCCTCTCTGTACATATTAAAGGTATTAACGTATGGGCCAAATTTACCTTGAGGAGCAAGAATCACACCAGGCATCTCTGGCATTTTCTCAGCCTTGACGAAATCCGCATGTTCGCGCATACATCTTTCCACATTCCGCTGACCTTCGCTCTTGACCAACTCTTTCCAATCCGAGAACTGAGGGTAAATGGCGGTCAAGAGAGCAATAAGTGCTACAGCTGCCTGTTGTTGCTGAACAGTAGACCCAGAACCACAGCGGACATCCAACTTTAACGCATGGCGAAGATCCGACACTGGCTTTTCTCCAACTGTTTGACGAAATTCTTGCACTAATGATGTTCAAATGATAAGGTTACCAACAATGTTAATGATAAAATGGCGATGTGTTAGCTTAATTGAAACAAAACCAAAATAGCTCAAGTAGATTTTATACCTTCCAAAAGAAACTCTCCAAAGAGCTGAAAAGCAATATCAGCCTCTTCCGAGAGAGACTGGCGAAATCGTCCTTTTTTTTCAGTATCCCCCATGTTCAAAAGGAGACCGTCGGCGAGACGCTTCATAATGTCATAATCAAGACTTGGGAAACGACCGCCTTTGATACGATACTCCATCACATAACGCAACCCAACCATAACCTCCTCTAGCGAGATTTCCTTGTTGCTTTTGACATCGAAAAGATCCACAACTATTGAAGCATTTCAACCATGCAAGATGAATAACAGATTAGTAACAATTAATCAGACTCTTTTTATTTTTATGAGTACTTCGGGACCACAACCCAAAACCGAAGCATAGGTTACAGAACCATGCGGAATATCACTATTGCATACCGTTGATCTCAATCTGATGTTCGATGCTGGCCTATTATGGAGAATAGCCAAAAGAGAAAGTATTTTAGTGGCAACGTTTGTGGCCCTCAAATCTGGTTGGTTTTGCTCCCACAATAGACTCACCTTGCCGTCCTTGACGTTTGAGTAGATGGAGTAGCCTTCCACGTTGGATGGGCTTGCCCCTGGTAAGACTGGAGGTACATCCTGGATAGTGTCCCCGTCCATACCGGTGACGAAGGACAGTTGTTTGTTGTTGTTGATACTGCTAGAGCTAGGAGAAGCTTTGAAAGTAGGATGGTCTATACCAGCAGCATTGTTGCTAGAGATCGGGGGTTTATCGTTGACCATTCAGAAGAAATGTTTGAAGTTGGTTTGAAGTTGGTTTTAGTTGTAACAGTTGTGATGTAGCAATGAGAAATGAATTAGAATGAAAAAGAAAAGAAGTAAGAAAAAAAGAGAGCTTAACCTTAGTGCTTTGTGGTGTAGTGGTGCAAACCAAATTCAATTATTGGATCAATGGATTTCCAGCCCAGACAGGAAATCAGCGTGCGTTGATGGGGGCAAAGGAGGTTTTTTTTTTAACGAAGGAATACGATATGAATGCGTGCTCAAACTTTTTCCGACTGTTCTATTGTTTCTAGATGCTTTGTTGTTGTTCAGTTACACATCTTCTCTTTTATCAACATCCCCTCTGGTGCTGGAGCACAGGAAGGAGTTGTTGCAATCCATGCACTTCTATTCACATTTGTTCACAGATGTCCATGCATGTAAATATTTGGACGTAGGAAATACATCATTCAGCAGAAATAAATAAACAATAATATGAATTTGAGTAACTATGAATAGACAATGCCATAAGGGAACTTGTAGACCCCTCGAAATATTAACAAAGAGCTCCCTATTCCAAATTTCGCGGATATTGTAAAAAGAATGAGAGAATGCAATACATTTATATATATATACATGCATATTCATCTATTCTCTAGCTTTCATCCACCTATACTATCTTTTGCTACGATTATTTTTGAGCTTCCCAGAACTACGACTGTCCATTGGTCGGATTCTGGCTTGCTGCAATAACGCCCTGGATCTCATGCGTTCAAGATACGATACTGCTTCGGGAGATAGTATGGGTGAAATTGGTGTGTCTGAGGTATATTTCTGGGGATGCGACTGTCTATTAGAGTGGAATGACGATGACGATGACGATGACGATGACGATGACGATGACGGAGCTGAAGGGGATGCTGCCTGCAGCAAATCCCTGTACTCTTGCTCTTTCTTTTTCAAATTGCTCTCAAGATAGTCTTTCATATCTAGAAGTATAAATGGGATTAAATTGTGTTAAAAGGTCAACCCTGTACTTTTGGAGGGTTCACAGTAAAGAACGCATGGCTTTACCTTGTTTTGACATCTCCAAGTCGACAATCAACATGCCATTACTTTCAGCTGGTGCCTTCGTCAAGGCTTCTTGGCGCTCTTTTGAAGAGCCTAGTACCATGAGAGGCACTTTTCTCCACCAGTCGCTGAGTCGAAAGTGACTCCCGTCAGAACTTGCACTATCCAGATCTTCCTTTTGCCAATGAATCCACGTGCGGACGAGTTTACTAAGCTTCGCAGAGGAAATTTCCGGACTCTTGAAAAGGAGCGGGTTCGACTGAATCATAGCTTGTGTATCAATTGCAGGAAGCAATCCACCAATCTTTTCCAGTTGCACCTGGCTAACGCTTCCAATCGCTGGATTCGTCCCTACGAGAGGCAGTGATTCTGCTGCTACCGATGATGATCCTACCCGTCCAGAAGACCCTGCAAACGAAAACTGAAGTTCTCTTTGAAAAACTTCTGATATTGGTTTCTGTAAAACTTGCGTTTTTGCTGATTGACCCTCTGCTTCTGCATTCTGGACACAAATATCCAGATATCGGGCAACATCTTTCTGGTCTGGCTCCTTTACGGTTACACCCAGCTTCCGACAGAGCTCCAAAAATGATTGAACCATCTGCCACGCCTTAACTTCCTGTTCCAATACTCTCCGCTTTGCGTCCTCATTTGACTCTTGCAGAGATACTTTAGTCTCTAGAATAGGAAATGTATGTTCAATCGATTGAGGTTGGCTTTGATTAGAGGAAAGTGAGTCCGATGGATTGCTCGAGGAGTGGTCACCCATCGGTTTGAAATAAAAAACCAACTTCGTAGGCTTGTTCTTGAAAGCATCGTTGGGATGCGAATTCTTAGTCCTTATGTCATTGTTCTTCTCGTAGTTGACCAATGGTAACAAATCCTGTAGAGAAGCACTATTTTGAAGTTGTTCTTTGGGATGGTTCTGAAATAAATCAGGATGAACTCTTCGCAGTAGAAGCTTCAAGTATTGTTGTACATAACCATGTCGAAGATCCTTATTGGATTTAATATTGATGTTGCATTTCCGCATCGAACTACCTGATTGGTCTCATAACCATGAAATTGGCAATTGTCGAGATGCAAGGAAGTACCGGACTGCTTCAACATGCATAGTCAGTCACCTGAAACAAAGATTGGACAAAAAAATAAAATATTGAAATAGTTACGTAGGGAAGCGTTTCCTTCAATCTCTTTCCTTCCTGTTTTCCACATACAAACAGCTTGAGTAAACCACCATGGCGAGACACTTAGACATTGAGAATAAAGGTATCATCGTTGGAATGCACCTCGCGGGCATGAAGGCTGCGGAAATCGCATTGCAACGCGGTGTACCCCGAACCTCTGTTATTAATATTATCAGGGTGTACCAAGAAAGAGGCACCACTGCTTGCACTCCGATCCCAGGACGGCCCAAAGTACTAAGTGAACGGGACCTCAGGAGCATCGTTCGCCATACTAAGCAGAATAGAAGGTGTGCTCTTAATGATATCACTAACCAATTGCCGAACAAAGTTTGCGAGAGGACAGTTGCGAAGGCATTGCATTCACTGGGTATTTTCAGCCGGATTGCAGTAAAAAAACCATTCTTAAAAGAAGGACATATAAAAAGGAGGCTGCAGTTTGTCAAAAAATATATGAGTTGGTCCATGGAAGACTGGAATCGGGTAGTTTGGACTGACGAATCATCATTTGAAGTTGGTGAGCATTTTCGTCAAATAAGAGTTTGGCGTAAAGTAGAGGAAAAGTACGATCATGATTGCCTCGCACCCACTTTCAAAAGTGGTAGAACAACTCTGATGGTCTGGGGGGCGTTCACAGCAACCAGAAAGTCTCGGTTGGTTGTATTTGAAAGAGGTCGTAAAGATGGACGGTGTTTCGTGGAAGATGTATATCAAGGCGAGCTAGCCAGATTTATGGCTGAGGTAGAGGATGGCATACTTATGGAGGATAATGCTCCAGTTCATACTTGTAAGATTGCAAAAGAATGGCGCGAAAAAACAGCATCCCCAGGATTCCAGACTGGCCTTCATGCTCCCCAGATTTGAACCCTATTGAACATGTATGGTCACTTCTTGCGGATGCACTCGATAGGCGCGCTAAAGGGCCAAGAGATCTTCCCACTCTCACACGGGCTCTTATCGAAGAGTGGAATAATTTACCGCAAGAGAGGCTGGCCAGACTTGTCGCTACCATGCCCGAAAGGCTGGAAGAAGTGAATGGGGTCGATGGTAGGAACACTCACTATTGAACCTACATGGCACTTTTGCTACTCTAACAATGCCGTCTTCAAAACCCCAATAAATAACAGTATTGACCTCTTTAGTGAGCATGTAAAATTTCATGTGTATTGATGAAGTCTTTATGTATGTTGCATATGAGCTGTTTGTCCAGGTTGTTCAAAAAAAAATCAAGAAAATCCATTTTGTCCAAACTTTATTTCAGGTGACTGGTGATCTAAAAATGTGGTTGGCTGGGGACAGTTCTCTCTAAAAGTATGTCATTGACATGGCTTTGCAAACATGCAGTTTCTAGACTATGCAAATTTAATGGTTATTTGTGTTTTTCTAATTTTTCTACGGCTTCTGTCTCGAATGATACTTGACGTTTGACGTGTACTGAACAACTATCTTAATCCAAGGATACTCTCCGCACTTGTCTATCGATTGAAGATAGCGAGGCCACCGTTGGTGGAGTAGATATGAATGGACGATATTGGCCATGTTACGGCCAATCATCACATCTCTATGTGCATACGTCCTGCATTTGTAAACTATTACTGTTGCACATGTTAGAGCCTGAATGTATGAAATGGTCGGTGGGAAAGGTTGAATTAAATAGCAGAGGGTCAAGCTTGTCGCTCTTTTTGGTTAGCCCTTTTCAAATATAAATGGTTTACTTAACAAAACTCTTATAATTGAAAAGGACTAACCAAAAAGAGCGACAAGCTTGACCCTCTGTTAAATAGTGTGTGACTAACTAGATAAGTCATGTGGCGTGAAGGAGCAGCAAAATTGTAAAGCCAGTCATTAGTTCTAGAATAACGGAGTGCCCACACCTCTCCCCGTGACTTGGGTGGCGGCTACTACATTGCCCAATGCCCGATTCACCATGCTTGCCAACATAATTCCGACAATTCCATAAAAAAATTGAAGGACAGCAAACCCCTTACCAAAAGCAGGATCCCTCAGGAACAGACAACAGCAAATGCTTGGCCTTCTTGGTCTTGGAACAGACAAACGTTCATTTACTGCCCCATTCTTCGGATTGTTCAGGATCGCCATCAGCGAGCCTGTACGGTTCACTTATCGAGCACTTTATCTGAAGCTCGCCAAGATCTTGCTCCGTCCCACTACCTTGCTCTTTATCACCTTATTCTCATTTATTGTCTTTGATCTCGATTTCGAAGTCGTGTGGGAAGACGAAGGCGAAGAAGACGACGACAACCACGATCATCAGTGGCAGGATCCTACAGATTTTCACCGCTTAGGAATTTAAGGCCAGACATACTGCCAGTACCGAATAGTATCCAAAAATAGAAAGAGAAAGAAAGAGAAAAAGAAAGAGAAAAAAAAAGGGTTGCTTCACATCAACATAATGCATACGTTTGGAAAGAGTGGCAGCTTAGCGGCCACTAACAAGATTTGGAGTAATGCTGTGAACACGCTACTAAACGCTATGGGTACATATCATGTGAAGGATTGGAGACTTGATAAACTTAACGTAAATTCCCTTTGATGGATGGTCGTCGAAGCTAATAAAGAATATTGCTGGCTTTTATTAGAGAGCATCTTATTGGACGAGGACCTCCAACCACTATGGCCACGGGAGCAGCATACTCATGATAATAGAAAGAAGCATATGCTTCCGCTTGCATCACCTATCCCTAGTTCACACGATCCCACATTTTCACCACCACTCAAGCGCAAGAAAGACCCACTCCCGCTATCAGATCGCACCGCAAAATCTCAACGCATGACTGACCATCTCACGGCTCGATTAGCAACGACATTATACGTCAGTTCGTCCATGAATCCTCATAATTCGAACCACATTCATCAAACTGGAATGGAGAACATACGAGGGTTTCATCGAGTGCAAGAGCAAATAGATTCTCATCATCATACAGCGGTCCACGATTCTACTGATCGTACATCAGAACCGCGGAAATACAGGAAACCCGGTCGAAATCGTTCAAACCCCACAACACCAGTCCACAGCCATCCCCCAAGCCCGGGTGTCATCTCGATCAGTGGAAATGAAGGCTTGTTTCCGCCTTCCTCATCGATTTCGAATTCAAACATGATTCCTCATAATACACCTTCAAGTAGGCAAGCATTTGAATCATTTGCTAGAAATAATATTCCATCAAACATTTCTCTGGATCCCGCATCAACTTCTCAACCAAGTAGTCTGCTGATTAGACGAGAGAACCGAAGTAGACAGCATCCAATTCGTCCATCCGCACATCAACACTTGGCTATGGCTACTAGACTGGCACTCTTTCATCGAATTGTATCTACAACAAAGTCTGTGTCAGCTCAAACTATAGATATGGAAATCTGGATTGCGGAACAAATTGTCAAGCGTGGATTTCCGGATCGCTCCTCTTTTGAAGCGGCCATGACCTCACAAACTCAAGCGTTGAATGCTGCATTGTCATCACTTGGAGAGGGTTTTTCGCGAAGACTCCAGCTCTTGGCGTCAGCTCATCGTTCTCAGGATCAAGAAATTGTTGTGTATAGTCACATTCAGACAGTCGTGGACGCTATTTTAGAGACAGCACATTCGCTTTGTGGATCAGACTTTGATATGTCAGTCAGTCGTATTTGTCCTCAATGGTCATTGCATGAGGGTTCAATTGAACAAATTATACATTATGTGCAGGCTGTGGAGAGCATCCGTGAAATCCTATCAGATCAATTCCAACATCCGCAGGATCTCGCTGAAGATTTGGCGCGTTCTCAGGAGGTGATTGATTATCAAAGAAATCTCTTCGGTGAGGTGCTTCGTAATAACGGCTTGACATGGCGAGCCCTGGGTTTACCGTCGATGGAGGAGCACCTACAGAGGACACAAGAATGGATTTTGAACTTGGCCAAGACATTAACATTCAAAGTTCAAGCTGAAGTTCAGTTTGCTAACGAAAGTGCACTCCACCGTCACGCTACCTTGGATTCATATCGAAACGCCGTGATGGATGAGGAAGAAATAGACTCCATAATGGGAAGACCTGTTAGTGAGTTGATGGAGCTGGTGCTACAGGGGGCGATATTGTCAGAATCATGTCTGGAGCTCTCAGGAAAACGTTGTCCAATTCTTGTCACTGCATGGATGGAGCTGGCATGTCAATACTGTGCATATGCACTAGCCAAGCAGAATGAACATGTTCTCAAAGCAAACCAGGCTCGGTCTGTGGAAAACATAAAGAATGAGGACTTCAAATCGACAGGGTCGAGACCTCAGACGCAATATCCACAGATTCACCACCATTTACAGTCAAAGATGACGCGTGGAGCAATCTTAAAGACTATGGAGCTATTTGAAAGCGTCAATCGTCTATTACAATGTGTAATGGAGATGCGGGAGAGCGAAGAACCAGATAGTCTGAGCCTTGGAGCTTTGACATCAGGCCCAAATACTTCTGGTGATTTAGAAGATCTCCAAGCATTTCATGGAGCAAGTACAGCTTCAAGTGATCAAGATGATGCCATGGATTTTGTATCTACTTCTTCAAGCTCAGGCTCATTTTCATATGAACAGGGCTTTCAACAGCAACATCAGCAACAAGAGCAGTCGCGTCCACAACAGCGGAGGTCGCCTATGGAGCCGGCGCTATTGAAACGATTAATCACTGTGGAATCTCTAGCCTCTGTGCTGGTTGAGATGGGACTTGAGTTGTGCGAGTCGATGGCAGAAATCCTTGGCTATCGATACCATAAAGCCTCATCAAAATCAAGCCTCAATGGTGCAGTGGTCCCCAACAGTCTGCCATCGCCTTCCTTGGGTGCAACGTCTTCTTCTGGAATTGCACTATTATCTCATGATGGGCATCCTGCCGCTGCCACCACAATCCCATCATCTATTCGAGCGGCGGCTGCACTTTCATCGTTGACAACCTTTGCAGGTGGTAGAGCTATGGTTTCCGGTACAGGAGGTCTGGGTTTGATTTTTGTTCAATTTGTGATTCGTCTTTTAAGCAAAATCATTGAATTTGCAGGACTAGACTCGACTCAAGAGCATCGACTTTTGGTAAGCCATCATGAAGGATAGGATTTTCCCAGAAAAAAAAAAAAAAAAAAAAAAAACTCAGAATAAATCGCTAATACATGCTGTTGAACCTTATCAACAACACTAATAGAGAATACACGTCAGCTTACAGAACTTGGAGCATGCATTATCGAGTTAGTCAGGGTCCAAATAGAATGATGAATAAATGTTGAATACAGAGTGGCTTTTATTATTCTTTGAAATGTGCATGCAGACGTGACATTCCAACTCTGTATACCATTTGCACTTTACTTGTAGTATCTATGACAACGAGGACAATAAAGCAGGATGCAGGATTGATTCCAACTCTGGAGGAGCATATTCTGCAACTGGTTGACCATGAGGCATGGCTTGATGCTCAAATTGCGGAACTGGAATTCGCAATTAACCATGGTGTGTGCGTGTGAATATCAATTTTTTTTTTTTGTTAACTGAATCTTGACAGTCTATCATATCGTCTTACATTTCAACATTTTCTTTAGCAGGGGAGATAGCAGACACAGCCATCCCTAATGATAACATTTCACTTGATGAAATACGAGCAACAACAGAGATGCGAATCGATATGCTGAAACAAGAATTGATCGTAGCAACATCCCTTGAAACTGTTCGTACAAAGGTTATTGATAGGTAAAAAGAAAAAAAAAAAAAAAAAAAAAAGCAAGCAGGCAAGCAAGCACACAAGCACGCAGACGGGTTTTATTTGCTGCCTGGTTCAACTTACTACATATTTCAGGCATGTTTTGCCAAAGCATAATGAGGTGATACCTAACAATGTATCATTTCTTGGTTTTTTTTTTTTTTAAAAAAAAAAAAAAAAAAAGCGCACACGCATATCATATAATTCTCAAAAGTCTATTTAAGGATGATCATGATGAAAGGTACATTATAATATCTTTTCTTTTCTTCCGTTCACAATAAAATATGGATGATTAGTTTGTACCCATTATTGATCGTTTTTTTTTTTTTTTTTTTTTTTTTTAAAAAAAAATAAAAAAATTGTTAGGGCTCTTGCCAGTGCAATCCAGGAACGAGATGATGCAGTATCACAGTACCTTCATATACATAAAGAATTACAGCGGACACGGCATGATCTTTCAGAAACTCAACGCAAGACGTTAGGTATATTCTATCTTGATTCTGGATACTCTTTGATTGATCATGAAAAAAAAAAAAAAAAAAAAAAAAAAGCCAAGGAATATATTTCTTGTTTACTTTTTTTTTATTTACTTCATGAACATTAGATCTTCAAGATGAAAATCGTAAAGTGCTACAACTGTTATCAGATGAGTCTAGAGAAGCCAAAGAGGCCTCTAAGACCACTGATACTAGTGCTAATCAACAAAAAACTAAGAAGTATGTTTGAACGCCAAATTTTACCATTTATTATATTTTATTTTAATTCTATTTTCACACGTTTTTATTTTTTTAATCTATAGAATGAAAGAGGAGTTAAAAAAGATTATGATTAAATATAATGTCCTAGCCAATGTGTTACAGGTAATAACTACATATTCAGAAAAAAATAAGCAAGGGCCAGAATAATGCAGACCGTTCGTTCATTACATTAATATAAAAAGTGTATACTTTATATTTCCAAATTACGGGCAGGGACTTTTACTTGAGAGTAACGTAGACTGGGCGAACGATCCACATTTCCTTGAAGTCATGTTGAAACTGCAACATTCTGATGAATAAGATAAAATATTATACCAGTTCATTTAAAAAAAAAAAAAAAAAAAAAAAAAAAAAAAAAAAAACCAATGGCTACTTGTTTTCTGACTAGAAGATTTATCAAGAAATGTACATTATGTCTCAGTCTTTCAAAAAACTTTTTTGCATTATGGCGAAGATTAAATGATATTGAGATTGAGCTGACTCTCTCAAAACTTCAAGGTCCTTGATACTTGGAAGGTCTTGAAAACTTGGTAAGGCATTTTCACCAATTTAAGGGATTTGAATATGACTGTTGAATGAAAAAAGTAGTCTTTTTGCTGCACGAGACCAACAGTGCCATCTATCATCTATTGATGTGAGGTGTGAGAAGATCGAGCGTGGGACAAATGTCTGCTGATGAATCCAAAGATCCAAGGAATAAATTCTCATTGATGCGTTTACAAGAAACATGTCCATGGTACATGTTCATGTACGTAGTTATGCACATGGTAAAATAAAAATAAAAATAACCAAGATTAAAATGTTAGACACTAAGATATTTGTGGGGTTCTTTACAAAAAAAAGATATTAACAGTTAGTCACGAGGTCATACCACATTTTTATACCATGGGGCCAATGGAGCCATGAGCAGCTTTTGAAGGCTTGAGCATTTTGTTCGGCTCCTTCCACATTGTGGGAGAAAACTGGTCTCTGGATCAAAAATATACACAACAGCGTTTTTGGGCCATCTATTTTTTTATTTTCGGTATAAAGACGCCAGAGTAAGAGAGTAAGAGCGCTCGGAACAGTAGGACACTGAGAACTGCAAAAGAGATGATTTTGTCATCACCCATTAACAAATAAACAAAACAGAAGCAAATATTCTGTTATTTGGTCTTGTCAGTTTATATTTACATGAATGTGTTTCAATGGTTTTTTTTTCTTTCCTTTCCTTTCTTCCGAGAAAGGCGCACATGCTGCAAGAAAATGAGCGGGATTCCATAAGTGCTATTTTTTACCATTAGGATTTGCCAGCCTCGGGAAAAAGAATAAATGATGCAGCTGTTTGATCATGGGCAAGCAAGAAACTGAAGTCAATTCTGTGAATTGTACATGTATGCATGCACTGCAGTCGATTGACACTCGACATTGCCCTTCCCCAACCTGGGACCCCTGTTCTAACCGCTAACCCACACACAAGCTTTATTGCCTTTTTTTTTTTTTTTTTTTTTTTTTTTTCTTGGCTCACTTGAAATCAGAACTCAAATTCAACTGCTTTGCTATTTATTTGATGCCATTCCCTTTTTAAATTTATTAAAAATATATACTTTACGCATGTCCACTACATTTTGCCAAGATGAAATATTAATGTGAGACGGTTCGTGTTTGTGTGTGCCTGTGTGCACATCTGTGGATGTGGCTCAATCAAGAATTGATGGAAAGTGGAAAAATGTGTAGGAGAGATAGTATTTCAGTGTGTGCATGCCCGCAGCCTCTGGCGATTCCTTGTTCCTTTTCTTCCTTTTCCCTTCTTCCATTAGGATAAGAGAAAAGACAACCAACCCCATCACTCTCATCAACACCCTATTTCCTTTTTGTTTAGCTATCAACGATAGTTTTTTTTATTCCCTTCCTTCCACCTCATTGATTAACGTTCGTCATCTCTCTTTCATCACTACCTCATTTCCATCTTTTTGTTTGCTGTGCTAATTCTGGACAAGTGGCTCTCGACCAAAAAAAGACTTCCTTTTCCTGTAAGACAGCTTTCTCCCTTTCTCCATAAACGTTCATGCTCTTTCTCTCTCTCACCATCCAAACTTCCCTCCTTTTTTATTTTTAATAACGGCCCTTCAACTGCTTAAAAGTACTCCTGTTTTTTTTTTTTTTTTCCCTTCCCTTTTCTTATCTTCAGGGTCTTTTTTGTGTTAAAAAAAAAAAAAAAAAAAAGTTACTGGTCACTTTATAGCGACCACCTGTCTCCTTTCATCTTCTGTCTTTGTTTTCTTATTGATTTAATATCATATATCCTTCTTAAAGTCCTGTACTGTAGAATCAATCAACTTACCATCTTTTTCCCGTCTTCAATTTTAATTGTGCTTCGCAGTCTTTCTTCCGCTTAGACCTTGTCGATTATCTCATCTTGAAAGTATCGTCAGCGTCTAGCACCCCCAACGGAAATCAAAGAAAGAATTAAAAAAAGAAAAACAGAGCCATGCCACATTTGTTGGAATCAACCAAAAACTATCTCAGATCCTCGACCAAAATTGGCCGTCGAATGAGCACCTCCCGCGATGATTCGAGTGTGAGTGAAGCAAGCCTCACTGACCTTTCACCTGTATCACCTGTATCTATTACTACAGAGACAGTGAAGCAGCATCGTCCTTCCCCGCAGAATCGTCTCTCATCGATTTTTACGCTCGAGGGTCGTAACAGAAGTTCGTCTGAGGACCGTGCCACAGTCAATGTCCTCTCTCGAAAGGTCGGTCCTGAAGCACAGGATCAGCAGCATGACAACAAGAAGAAGCGAAGAAATAGTGGTAGTCAAAAAAGCATTTTGAGCATCCGTAGCCAGCGACAGCCATCTCCACAGTCTGAGAATAGAGCATCTGTCTACTCAAGCACCACTCATGTGTCAACGGCTCGTTCCCGCAAATCGTACTACGATGTTAACCCCACTGACTACCCGACTACCGACCAGTACCAATCCCATGTCTGGCATCGCACTATTCTTGAGGAGAGCATTATGCACTCCCTTAAACTTGGCTATGGTGAGCGTCGCTCTGGTAGTGAGAATCGCTCTCGCTCCGACTCTCGCTCTCGCTCCGACCCTCGTGCTCTAAAGAGAATCAACACAAGTCATAGTGGCATGTCAGCTGGTGCTCCCGATTCAGAGACTGTGGTCGATAGAGGTATGCCTTCCCCTGCTGCCCATCCCAACAGCCCTTACCAGATGCATGCCAATTCGTCATCGACTGCCAACATTACACATTCGTATGCCATCTTTACCCTGGAGCTTCCCGAGCATCAGGTTACACAGGTGATTTCATCGTCGGCTGTGCCCAATCTTTTCCAAATCAACAAGGGTGGCTTGGATAACGGCCAATCCAAAGTTCGACGAGAGTCCAACGCGTCTCGCTTCTTGCACACAGGACCTACTCCGTCTCCTCGTGTGTTGACAGGCAAGACGATCGCTGAACAGGCCGCAGCATCCAAGGAGAACACAGATCCTCTCCACATGTATCATCCTGTTGTAGCTGCTGTTTAAAGACAATTTATACTCTTGTGATTTTTTCTTGTCATTTCCCCTTCCTATAGCCATTCGCCAATATCATATTTCAATTTTGACAGAGTATGCAAACTTGCAGAAAAAAAAAAATACCCATTATCTCTTATAAGTTAATATTTTGAACCCCATTCCATAAGGAAGACTTTCACAACACCTTACATTTTATTTATCAACAGTTGTGGATTTTTTTTTTCTTTTTTGATTTTTTTTTTTTTTTTAACGACAATATGTTTCTGCCATTTGACTCCTTCCTCTTCCTTTTTTCTTTTTCTTTCTTTCTTTCTTTTTTTTTATATCTTTTTTTCAGGCTATTATTTCCTTTTCTTTTCAAAACCATCATTCTGACGGTCAAGCAGCGTAAAGTGCAGTCGTGTCTCCTGTTTGAGTGATAAACAAGTTTGGGAAAAACAAAAAGGTCTAGAAATTTATTTGATATATTTTTATATATTTTATTTCCCATAGGAAGGACAAATATATAGAAAATGTAGTAAAAAAAAAAATAAAAAAATGAGAAAAACCAAAAAAAAAAATAAAAATAAAAATAAAAATAAAAATAAAAAAAAATAAAAAAAACTTATCCTTGCGAATGTCGTCATTAGGACGTTTGCAAGTCAATAAATGAGGAAAAATTAAAAAATACTTAATAAAAATTTATTTATGATATTACATAGGACATTGGATCATGCAAAGCTCTGTCTTTTTTTTTTTTTTTTTTTTGCTGCAAACTTAGAGCCTAAAAGGATGTTGAGTCACCAAGTCGTTGGGGAAGGATAGGATAGGATAGGAGAGTCAGGATAGTGAGGCAAGGACAAGCCTTTATTTATTGGAAGTAGAGAGTGGCTTTGCTCTGTGTCTACAACTCTGATTGGTCCAAGTTATTTCAGACATTCTATGAGACGCGTTATGATAAATGAATAAACGCGCCAACATTTCAGGCTCTTTTTTTTTTTTTTTAAAAAAAAAAAGAAATTACATACACATTCACTTCCACATAAACAATAGCAATGACCATAGGGTACCCAATTGCTATTTAGGAAAGAAAATCCTTCTTTTTTTTTTCCTTATTGCTTTTTTTTTATTGTTTTATCATTCTTTTGAGCCGCTACTGTCGAATGATAAGGAATATATTTTACAAAAGGAATTGAAATGAATAAAAATAAAATAAAATAAAATAAAAAAAAAAAAAAAAAAAAGGAAAGCGGGAGGTAGTAACCAAGCGGGTTGGACCAAACTGAAGACTAGATCTTCTCATTCGGATGCAAGAATTTCCATGAACCAAAAAAGCAATATTAAAAAAAAGGCTTTCAATATGAAAGCAAAAAGCTCTTTCCAATCGTCATTTTGCATTATGGCAATATTTTTTTCAATTTTTTTTTTTTCTATTCAATTCATCTTCTAGGCCGATAGCCTCTCATTTATCGCTCGGTTAATAATTTGTCTGTTTATTTTACTTTATTTTTAAGTGATCCTTTCCTTGACGTCAATGACGCGCTTTGTCCATCAATCCTAGAAGAAAATCAACCAACTACAGGACTTTTTTTTTTTTTTTTTTTTTTTTCCTCAAAAAAGAACGAATCAAATAAAAGACAAAAAGTGAACAGATGGATGGCAGGCATCAAATCATGCGTATTTTATTACCTCTTTTCCTTTTTGGCAAGTGGTATGTCGTGATTATAATGTTTGCTTATTCGACTCCTGCCAAGTATAAAGTAGGCCTTTTCTCTTCGTTGCCTCAATATGCACGTTCAATCACGCATAGATGGAAAAACCTTTTTTTTTTTTTTTTTTTTTTTTTTTGTTTTTGGTACCAATGCGTACTAGAACCAAAGAAAAAAAAAATAGATAGTCTATATTTGTAGGCTACACACTTTGTAATCTAGGGAAAGAAACAAGAAAGAGCTTTTTTTGCATGATTTTCTTGGTCATTAACAAGATATCTTACTGTATTATGTTTATTATATATTTTGGTTATTGGATCATGAGTATGCTTTTTTTTTTCTTCTGTCGCGTTTCCTTACCACTTTTCCATGCATGCATGAAAAAAAAAAAAAAAAAAAAAAAAAGAAAGAAAGAAAGAAAGGTTTGCCAAAAGGAATACTCAAGCTTTCTGGTGCAAGAGTGGGCGTAGCAAACTAAAAAAAAAAAGTTACGTCTGGTCTGGATAAAAAGCTTATTTCTTTCGTGCCTTGTGTCGAGACTTGGTTTCACTTTATTTCACTTTATTTTATTATATTTTATTCTATTTTATTCCTCCTCCGCAATCCTCCCCAAGTCTTTGTTAATAGGCACTAAAACAAAAGGAAGATGGGGGGGTTGAGACTATTCTATCACGAAGTGTTATAGAAAGCATGCGGAGGAAAATAGGGGGAACTGAAAAGGGAAAAAAGAAAGAACGAGGAAAGAAATATAAAGGAAAAGTAGAGTAAAACATTATGCTATTCAGAAAAGATATAATGCTTTTATATATATATTCATATATATATTCATATAAATATGGATATAAATATTAGTCATGTGCATGTTTTTCCTAGGGAAAAAAAGGCCAAAGTTTCTTTTCTCCCTTCTTTCTTGTTATCGTTATTATATAGGGAAAAGTAAAATGATAGTATATACATACAGTATATAGATTAAGACACCACGCGTGTGATCTACATTTGGACAAGCATGTCGCATTGCAGATTAAGCTCTTCCATTGAACAAACTTTTTGATCATGTTATCCAAAATAGGATTGACAGCCTTATTTAGTTGAAGAAAGAAAGGGGTAATGACTCTGAATAGATCTTTAATTGGATTGAAAGATGGAAAGAGAGATGGATTCATGATCCATATACAGCACATCAAAAAAAAAAAAAAAAAAAAAAAAAAAAGAGTCAAGCGACCAGGCGTCAGAAAAATGAGAGGCAAAAAGTGACTAGTCTATAACAATTGAGACAAGTGATGTGTAAATATAAAAAAAAAATTAATAGATAATATCCATGGACATGGTTCCACTGATCAAGTCTTTTTTTTTTTTCTTTTTGGCTATAACCTTCATGGTACTTTCTTAAAAAAAAAACACAAGATCTCTTAATCCGAGGAAAAAAAAAAAAAGATTTATTGTTCCCCTCTATCGTGACGATCCTATCCTGGCTCACGAAAAAAGCAAATCAACAGTCGCGGATATTTTTTAAGTTAGATCCGAGCGCCGGAAAAACGATTTGCTATCAGCTGGAAAAGTAAAAACATAAATATATACAAAAAGTTAATAAATATTTGATAACGTGACAATGCGTAAAACGGTAAAAGGCGAAGTTTGATTGCACACGAATCAAATCGATACTTGTACTATATCCTTATAAAATAACATGAAATAAAAAAAAAAAAAAAAAAAAAAAAAAAAAAGAAATAATACTACTCTTACGTTGCGTCTGTGTTGAGATGCGTCAGAGCAAGTTAAATGAATACTGGTAAAGATGATGACAGTCGTGGTGGAGGGGGTTCAAGCGCAGGTGCAGGTGTATGAATGTAGAAAGACAGGGGGTGGTGGTTATTTGGTGGAGGTGGATGTTGTTTGTTTCTATTTGTGAAAAGAAAGGGGACAGAAATGACAGGTAAAGAGGTCCTATTTTTTGATTCATTTCTTATGATAGAGTGCACCAATCACAAGCGGAGAACCATTTCTAACCCGCCCCGTCATTGAGCGCAAACCATGCGCCCCACCATGCATACTCATCTCTTTCAATTTACTGTATTCTACCGGCTCCTCTTCCCTTCACCAATCTATCTGTCCACGATGACAGTGAAAGTACGTGTACATGAGGTAACATTTGTTCTCTTCTGTTCACAGTAACTACTCGTTTTGTCATGTTTTATTTGATCCAAAGGACCGTTAACTATCACCAGAGTAGAAAGGAGACGGGTAGGAGGTTAAGGAAGAGGAGTGGAAGGAGTCTGAGGGTCCCATGAATGATAAAAATAAAAAATAAAATAAAAAAAGAAGAAACAAAGCGTTGAAATTATTACCAGGGTCCCGGGACTTGGAAATGAAAAGGGCTCTCTAAGATTTAGGGTCCGTGAGCCAGGTGGCCTGACCGTAAAAAAAAAGGGCCTTCTTTGTTTTTTGCGAGCATCAGATGGACTAAAAAGGACATGAAAGAAATCGTAGGATAGAAAAAACAAAGGGCTTAATAAACGAAAAAAGAAACGTCTATCCAGATGATGGTTGTGGAAGGAAATCTAGAAGAATAATAATAATAAAAAAAAAATAGATGGCACGCGTGAGGCTACTCGCTACTCGTATGAACGATGTGGAGGGCTACTGTTAAGTTCTTTTTTTTTTTTTTTTTTTTTTTTTTACGCCATAATAGGGCTCAAAACGAAGGCTCAAGGCTCAAGGCTCACGGTCCATCAGTCCATCATGCTTGTTGTTTTTTTTTTCTCTCTGAATGAAACTACCATCCTCCTGCCTGTATAGTCCATATGCAGGATAGCAGTATAAGGAACGACCATTATCCATAGTATATTTCACAAAGAGGGTAAAAAAAAAAAAAAAAAAAAAAAAAACCCCATCTACAAGTGCGAAGCTAAAAGGAAAGGCATGGAGGATGATCGCCTCCTCTGAGGGGAAAAGGAGGAGTAGAAATCAGGCACCCAAGGTTATATTTGTATACAAAAACATGTGTTTATTCATGTTAAAAATATATAGGCAGATTTATGAATGAACATATTAACTACTTTTTTATGTTTGGACCTGGTCCCCTCCTTGATACTATACCCCACAGACCACCCTCTTTAAAATCTCCGAAGGGACCTCATTCTAACTTCATTTCTTTGGTATGCACAATTCTTTGCTCTCAACTATTTCTAACCAAAAAGAAAAGAAAAAAAAAAAAAAAAAAAAAAAAAAAAAGTCATCCGAACATGTAAAATGCTTTGTACTCTAGAACAATCGAAAAACACACATCTTTGAATACAATAGAATTATTCACATGGAAAGAAAATGCATGCAACGCTAAAAGGAATAAGCTAAGAGCTACATGGAAACAAAGCCTAGAACTATCAACAAAGAGAGATTGGGTTCAACAAAGCTTTGCAGAGAGATTTCCATGTCTAGTGCTTAACCTTAATGAGTATGACTTCTACAAGACTTTTTGTACATGTCCCTTAAACAATGTCCAAAGAACCATAGAATCACTACTTTAGTGTAGGAGGGAGTTGGAATAAAATAATACATTGCCCCAACCATGTGGATTAGAGGGGACAGACATTGCTTGGTGCATGTATTCTATTCAAATTATTGTCGCGTCTGATTGTAAACAGATACAATATTGAGATCTGGATAGTTCAAATGGTCATGTTCAGTCTGAGGAAATTGTCATGTTAGGACATCAGAACAACTGTCAGGTATACAAATATAAAAAAGACCTGAGTTTGAGACCCTGATAAGATCTATCACACAACGTATGTATGAAGCTGACCGTGGCTCTCCTCTACTTCCACACATCTACATGAGATTTGAGGCAGAGATGTATGCATGTATGTAGCAAACATTTTGTATGTCAGTTCTGAAGGGAAGAAACAAAATTATCGCGAGCTGAACAGTTGTTGGCTCTGACGATAATTAGCTGTTTATTGATGGCTCAATCAACGCCTCAAAACTTTTTAATTGGTATCACACATCCCACCATAGTGTATGTTGTGGGTATTATGCGATGATTACCGCATAGACAAGAGAATAAGGCACAACGATAAGTAGGGATTGACTCGAATCTAAGCAGATGATTGAGCAAGTGTCCAAAAAACAAAATGAATAGAATACATTCAATATCAAAAATATATAGAACGACTCCCACTGCCTTCCCTTTTTTTTTTTTTTTTAAACAAAAGGCAGGAAAAACTAGCCTGGCAGCATGTCAACCTTTCTTACTTCTGTATGCACTCAAAAAAAGGGTGAGTAAATTCAAAAAAAGCAAACACCTCCTTTGTGCAACTACACCATATTTTTAATTAGGACTATTCAATCGCTTCAAAGCTGGATATATTTCAATCATTCTGTCTCATCATTAGAGAATCTTTTTTTTAAATTCTGTTCATTATTTTATTTGAGGCTTGTATCTTCATCTGTCCTATGAAGAAGAAACGCGTCGCAATAAAGACAGAGAGGAAAAGTTTTTTTTATACTTATAACCTGTTATGGTCCTTATGGAACCACCAACATTTTTTAGTAACTAACTTGAATTGGAATAAAAGATTACGCGCCTTCAAAAAAAAAAAAAAAGACCAGAAATACAATGTCAAGCATAAGGGGGATGAGGGACTTGGTTGCTCTTCCATTCCTTCATCCCAACCCCAGTTCAGTTCAACTGACTCGGCAGCACTGCAAATATAGAATCCTGCTACAAAAAAAGTAGATTTTTTAACCGGCAAACGAACAGAGGCCGTAAGGAGGCAAGGAGGTTCATTTTTACTCTCCTCTTTCTTTGTTTTACAAAAAAAAAAAGACAGGCTGAAGTAACGTATTACAAACATCATATGGCAGTCAAGTAACACTGTATGGGCACGAAGTATCCTTCTTAAAAAAAAGTAACCATCCAAACATTCCTTTCATTTCCCGCGCCCTTGTAATATGTTGCATCGTGCTTTATAAGGAACAACTATCATAAATTGGCACCAAAAAAAGAAAAAAGAAAAATAAAAATAAAAATAAGAGATTAAAAAAAATGTAACTAGACTTTTACAATCTATTTGTTACAGGTGTTCAATTGACTCTATTACTTTATTTAAGCGCGCCAGCCCTGTCTAGGCTAGACTATTTTATGTCCATTCAATTACTTATTCCTAAACTGAGCAGGAGTAGAAGGATAGGGTGTGTTTGAGTGACCTCTCCAATTGAGCACAAAAAAAAAAACCTGCACCGTGCGACGAAGCTTAGTGCAGGGCCCACGAAATGGAAAAAAGGACATTCTATCTAACATGTAATAAAAGAAACAAAATTGTCTGATGTTGATTTTGATTTTCGTTAAGAGCAAGTATTGAATCGTCATGCATCCCAAGTTTGAATTGAATAAGGCACAATGCGTTTTGATAAAGAGCGAAATAAAAACAAGCATGTATGACAGCCATAGTTGCCAAATATTTGTACATGTACATGAAAGGAAAAGGAAATGAGAGTCGTTGTTCTGGATAGTAAGTACTATGGGTATGTTGCTCGTGCGCAAAAGCTATTTGTGTAAGAGTAGGCCACCTCGATTACTATAAAAGTGAAGACGTTCTTCCCTTCATGGTTAAAAAGGTATCTCGAGGATCAACCCCCCATGCCCCCCTTCCCCTCCTTTTATCGTCTTTTATGCTTTTCTCTCTTTGTTCGATTCTTATTTCATCCATTTTCACGGTCCTCGTTTTTTTTTTTTTTTTTTTTTTTTGTTTCCTTGGTCTTCATCTTTCACGAAATCTTTCTCTCTCTCTCTCTCTCTCTCTTTTTTTTTTTTTTTTTTTTTTTTTGGCCTCAAATTCTCTCCTTCAGCTTCAATAACTGTCTCACTTTTTATTTTACCTTTTTGCTTTCCTTTACGCTGTACTTCTACTTATTCCTCATTCTCAGTCAGGTGCTCGATATTGTGATCATTTTTAAATTGTGTTAGTTTCTCTTTCACTCTTTCGCTCTTTTTCTCTTTCATCTGCTCAGTTGTGGACTTCAAATTGGATTTCTGATCTACTTACTCGCCAAAAAGAACGCTCCCAAACAATCGTGCACTTTGGATCACAATATATTTCAATCTTTTTTTTTATATTTATATTTTTACTTTTTGGATAAGATCTATTTTTTTTTTTTTTTTTTTTTTTTTTTTCGGTTCTATCGTTTCTATTGCCTTTACTCAAGTTTCTCGTAGAATGTCACATTATCTTCAATACCAACAACACCAATCTGAACAGCCTACATTTCAACAGCAACAGCAGCTGCATCCGCAACAGCTTCAATTACAAGACCAGGCTCAACAGTCAATGGCATACTATAGCCATCTCCAAGTTCCAACCATGTATGGCATGTCGCATTGTCAGGGTTACCTTAACAATAACCATGATGACAGCAACATGCCAGTATCAACCCAGCAGCAAGCCACGAACACGAATAGCGATAGTGACCATTCTAGTCTAATCAATATTCGACGTGATTCGGGAATCGCACATTCATCCCTGGATGATCTATCTATAGGATCTGCGCCGATCAATTCTGCCAATCAAAGCCCAGAAGGAGACCTCAAAGGGGGTGCAGCATCATCTTCATTACCATCAACTCATCGTAGTATCGATAACAGCAAAAATAACAACAGTACCAACAACAGCACTAGCCCCTCTTACCTCCTTCCTTCGCAGTCTACTTCTATCTCTACTACTGACGTAGAAGGATCAACACCCATTGTCCCCTCCATGTCCAACCGAATGGATTACATGTTCAATAACATGTCACGTATGCTTGTGGTCCAGCCACAGCAGCAGCGTCCTGTTACAAGCATAACCACCACTACTACTGCTACCGGCCTTCAAGGCAGAACAACCCCAGCCTCCTCTTCTAATCCAGACTCATGGCCTTTCCCTCCTACCTCTCAAACGGCAACGGTAGCACAGACTACTGAGGGCAGCCCCATGAGTGCGTTGTATGATATTCAGCAGCAACCCATGGCAGCTTCGCAGCAGCAAGCAATCCCGCAACAGGGGTTGATACCGTCTCTCCAGTATGATCCAAGATATGGTCAACCCCAGCGCTCACAACAGCAGCCCAGATCCCCAGTACATGTCATGGCCGAGTCGCGAATGGCTCAGCCAAGCACTCCCTTATTCGATGCTGGCTTTTCTAAACAGCCTTCTTTGCAATGGGAGCAGTCTCCATCGTTTGAGCCAGGTCATCACCACTACTCATCATCTTCGGCCTCGGCGGTCGCCTCACCTTCCATGACTGCTGCCAATGATATTGTTCAGACATGCCAGCAAGGGTATTTTAACTATTGCCCACCTTCATGGGGCAGCATGGTTTCCTCTCCGATCGAATCCAGCTCCTCTTCAGGCTCATCGACGCCACTTTTTGCATCACCACCTTTATCCACATATGCTTATTCGGAATTGGCGGCCGCCTCTTGTGATTCCTCTCGAGCTGCTTCGCCTTCGTTCCCACCTGTCACTGCTACCCTTACGACAGTGGCTTATGATGCTTACTTATCCGAGCGCCGTACCAGACGGCTAGAGTCCGATAAGAACAACTCATCGAGTCTAACCATCCGTTCTCGTAAATCATCTACGTCTTCCAACTCCTCTGTGGGCTCTCAGCCCTACCGACGCACTTCTAACCTTCGTGAGACCTCCAATCATAATACTTTGCGCATGGGCCCAAACACCTCATCATCGTCGACATCTTCCTCGTCATCATCGCATCAATGTCCCAAATGCGGACAGTGCTTTGCAGGCCTTGCTGTGTTGGCCCGTCATATTGAATCGATCCATGACAAGTTGCTTTGGAACTGTGTGGGATGCAAATCCAATCTTTCAAGGCGCGATGCAGTGACGCGTCACATTAATCTATCTCCTATGGATTCAATCTGTCGCGCTGTTGGGACAATTGGTCAGGTCAAACTGACTAATGGAGTGGAGGTTCATTATGAAGTGAGCTCATACAGGGCCAAGCCGTTGGAAGAGGTTATGAGCCGGATGGGCAAGAAGATCCCTACCCAGTTGAGAAAGGAGATTGATCGTTCAAAAGCTACAATGCAGATGAGAGAAGCTGCCACAGCAGCAACTACTTCCATGGCGTCTGCTTCTCCAGAGAGCGTGGCAGTGCCAACTCTGGGGAATCCTTCATCATTGAGAGATTTTTCATGATGATGGCTGGTGCAAAATGATATGGAGGTGATGCATGCTGATCGTGATAGCGACAGATGGAGGACCCGAACAAGAATCGCAGAAGTAGCCGGTCCCAAAGGGGGAGCCGAAAAGCCAAAAAAAAAAAAAAAAAAAAAAAAAAAAAAACAAATGTGATATCTATACCCATTCCATTTTGATTTCTGCATTGTTTTTTCTTTTTATTTCATATACCCTTTTTTTTTCTCATTTTAGTCTGTTTACTATTTTGTATGAATAAAAAATGAACCTTAAAAACGATATTTTTTAAAAATGAGCTGTTGGATTATCCTGAAGTTTGTGCAACACACAGCAATTGAGGGGACAATCTCCGAGGACAAAAGAAAGGATATTGTGCAGGAACCATAGTCGCACTTGCAGTAGTATTTCCATCAAAAGATGAAGGGAATACCATCACTCAGTCACTTCCTTCACAATGCTGTGACTTGTGTGATCTAAAACAAAAAAGTAAAAACTATGCTGTACATGTATATATAACATGTGTTGGTTGTGGCAGAAGAGACGCGTGAGTTTGTTCACAACTTTATTGAACATTAAAACCTTCCTCTCTTCTGTGAGCACTTTAATTTGCAAGAAACTTCTGATTTTTTTAAACACATGATATTTGCCCAAGTTGAATGAGGTTGAGGATTATATTCAGGTTACCACATATCAACCTCAAAGACTTTGAAACAGCATTCTTCAAGAGCGCTGCATCGCAGCTCCTTAGTAGCAACCAGCTGTTTCTTACGCTGCATTAGCATCTACAGCTCGCGCTTCAAAGAGAAAGAGAGAGAACATAGATGATGACCCAAGCAAAGTAACCGGGTTTGCGTCCACTTTTTAAAACAAACTTTGAATTTCAACAGTCGCCCTTAGAATGTTCAGTAAAGGCTGTGGCACAAAAACGAGCCCAATTTTAGGAAAGCGAGTGAGGGCGAAGATAGCATTCACATTGTCTTCTTTTTCTCATTCTCATTCTCATTTGAAACTCATTCATTTTTATTATTATTATTGTTTTTTCTTCACTGTTTTCTTCACTGTTTTCTTCACTGTTTTCTTCATATTCTTTTTGCTTTTCACTTTGCTTTCGAAGAATAAATCAACTTCAACTTCAACCGCCTCCAAACAAACTAAAATGGCAACGAACCTCGATACTAAAAAGCCACATGTGTTGATTGTTGGTGGTGGATTAGCAGGTCTACTTCTGGCTATCTTACTTGATCGCCAAGGGGTCACCTATGACATTTATGAGCGAGCTAGCAAGATCCGAGCTCTTGGTGTGTGCATGATCTGGATCAACAAAAAACATATGCTTTCGTTTATATGAATTAAACAATTTCTTTTTTTAAAATTTGTTTGTCACATTAATGATTCCTAGGTGCTGTGATGAGTCTCAATGCAAATATCCTTCCTGCGTTCCAGCAGTTGGGATTATATGATGAACTCATGCAGGTTTCTTTCCCAAGTGCAGGATTTGTTATCTCCAAGAGCAACAACGAACATATTACGTCTTTGTCAATAGATAATGAACAAGAATTGCGAGTAGAAAAAAAAAAAAAAAATAGAATGAACCATTTTGTTTTGTTGGAGGTCGAAAAGAACAAGGGTCTAAACTTCTTTTTTTTTTTTTTTTTTTTTTTTTTTTTTTGAATGACTCTCACAGAATCGGATACAGACATCATCTCTTTGCTCGCCCAAGTCTATATGACATCCTTCTTAAGCGAATTGCACCTGAGAGGATTCATCTGAATAAGAAAGTGACTTCAATTGCTCAAGATGACGATAGTGTCACAATCACATGCGCAGACGGCACATCATATACCGGAGATATCTTGGTAGGAGCCGATGGGGCTTACTCGGGAGTGAGAGAAGAGCTTTATAAGCAACTGGAAAAAGAAGGGATCCTTCCAGAATCTGACAAGGAGTCGCTGAGCAAAGGCTACATCTGCTTGGTTGGAACTACCGATCCAGTCGACCCAGAGAAATACCCTTTTGTGAAACAGAAAGAAGCATACTTGCATCAGGTCATTGGAGAAGGAACACCGTACACCGTAAGGCCTCTCTTTTTTTTTTTTTTTTTTTTTTGTACTAGTTGTCATTCTATATTTCTCTAAAAAAAAGTATGTACTGCTTTTGACTCGTTGCTTTGTACTTTTTTTTTAATACCAAAGTGGAGCGCTTGTAATGTCCCTGGGAATAAAATCTGCTGGAATGTTGTTGTTCAATTAGCAGCAGCCTCAAAAGGCTCACTAGATGAGAAGTTGATGAACGCTGAATGGGGACCGGAGGCGAACGAATCCATGATCAAGGAGGTTAGCGATTTTTTAGTCCCCATTGGAGGCACTATGGGAGATTTGATCAATGCCACACCCAAAGACATTATTTCACGCGTCTTCTTGGAGGACAAGGTCTTCGAGACTTGGAATCACAAAAGGGTTGTACTCATTGGGGATGCGTGTCACAAGGTATTGAAAAAAAAAAACTTTTTTTTTTTTTTTTTTTTTTTTTAGACCATCTTACACATCTTTTACATGAACTAAAACATCGCATATAACATAGTTGCTACCAAGCGCTGGACAGGGTGCAGTAAACGCTATGCAGGACTCTGTGGTTTTATCCAACTGCATCTATGACATGGTATCAACTAAATTGAACGACGTTGAAGCAGCATTAAAGGATTATCGTGAACAACGGTTCGATTATGTAGTGGAACGCTATAAAGATAGCAAGGAGAACGCCAAGATCATTTATGGCCAGGTATTGGAAAACAGAGACGTAATAAAAAGAAAGAAAAAAAGAAAGGAAAAGAAAGAAGAGCGTTTACTGATGTCGCTTTATTTATTTATTTATTTTAAATTAGACATTGACTGAGAGAATCATTCGTCATGTGGTACTCAACTACATGCCTAGGTCTTTCCGAGTGACAACTACGAGCAGAAGCCTTAAATACAGACCTCAAGTCGCATTTCTCCCCCAAATTCCCAAGAGAGGCACTTGTCCTGTTTTGCCACAGAAGCCTTCGAAGCGCTATCAGCTTGAACAACAGACTGTTGTTGTGTGATGAGCATTGGAAAATAAGTAATAGAATTTTGTTTCCCACATTTAATAAAATAAGATCTATTTGTTTGTTCGTCCATTTCCGATATACTCGTCTAAAATCAGGCATCAGGCATATTACTCAAGTGAGGTTATTATTTGCTCCGCATAGTCTTTTTTTTTTTTTTTTTTTTTTTTTTCTTTCTATTTGTATCTCTTTAATGGTTTTAATCTATAGAGGTTGCATTAAGATCATTCAGCTCAGTTTTTTCTTCCTCGGTCTAACCAATCTAAACAGCTCCTTTCTCCTTCAAGGCCTGAATCCTATCTTCGTTATATTCTAGGATATCTCTAAGGACTTCATCTGTATGCTGACCCAAAAGAGGAGGTGGGGTACGAATCTTTGGCTTGGTCTCCGAATATTTAACAGCTGGTCCTGTGAGTTTGATCTTGCCAGCCTTTGGATGATCAACTTCTTGGATCATATCTCTAGCAATCACCTGTGGATGTGAAAATGTTTGTGCAATGTTGTTGATAGGTGCAAAAGGGATTCCCCGACCTTCAAATGCCTTTAACCATTCGTCATTGTTCTTCGTTTGAAGTCTTTCTGTCAAAATCTTGATAAGATCACTACGGTTTCGGACACGATCCTTGTTCGCTTTGAATGCGGGATCCTCACACAGGTGTTCCAAGCCAAGGATTGAACAAAGGATCTTGAATTGTCCATCGTTTCCAGCACCAATCATAATGTGCGAGTCCTTGCTTGGCAGTACTTGATAGGGAACAATCGAGGGATGTGACGTACCCATTCTTTTGGCTTCTTGTCCTGCGATCAAATATGAGCTTGCAATGTTGGCCAATGTCACGACCTGAGAGTCCAATAGTGAACAGTCGATATGCTGACCACGTCCTGTTCTGTAACGCGCGATAATCGCTGCCATGATGGCTCCATGGGCGTAAAGTCCTGTGGTCAAGTCTAAAGCCAAAAAGGTCGATATTTTTAACTCATCTTATGCGTCTCTCTTTTGAGAATTAAGATTAAAAAAGTTATTTGTAATTAATTTACCTGTCACAGCAACGCCTACTTTCACGGGTGTTCCATCTTGCTCGCCTGTGATATACATTAATCCACCTTCTGCCTCGACCATGACATCGTATCCTGGTCTCGTCCTATATGGCCCCGTTTGGCCATATCCTTTAAGTTTTTTTTTTTTTTTTTTTTTTTTAAGATCATCGCTTGAAATAAGAAGCTATTTTTTTTTATGGTAACATTCCACATATTTATCATATAATACTACAGCATACCAGTAATGGATGTGTAAATAAGTCTCGGATTTAACTTGCTTAACTCTTGATAACCCAATCCCATTTCATCCAATTTTCCAGGTACATAGTTCTCCACTAGGATATCTACTTTCTTGACAAGATCGTGAATCAACTGTCGACCTTCTACTGATCGGATGTTGACTGTAATAGATTTCTTGTTCCGGTTGACACCTAAGAAATAAGCGCTCTCTGGAGGGGTCGAGTCAGACGGATCCATGTTCTTGGCAAAGGGAGGACCCCATGCGCGGGTATCATCACCACCCTTAGGATTCTCAATTTTGATCACTTCAGCACTTTTTTTAATATTAATATTATATTCATAGCAAAAGTAAAATAATCAGATCGTTAGACATGTTTTTTTTTTTTTTTTTTTTTTTTTTCCTTTTTTCCTTGGGTCAAGATACTATTTACCAGACGCCTCTTACCCAAGATCTCCGAGTAATTGTGTGCAATAGGGTCCAGCTTCAATCGGTAAAAAAAGGGGGGACATCAAGCATAACATTTGTAACGGTTAGAATGGTCGCACGCATCGTTCGATTTATTTGTTTCTTTTTCCAAAAATTATTACCCAGAACGCGAGTTAGATCCAGAACACGAAAACCATCCAGAGGTCCTATTGCTTCAAACTTTTGGTCTAAATGCTTTAGGTCATTTGAACTCTTGTTATGACCTTCTTCATGCGTCTCTGATAGGAGTGATTCGATTGTCGTGCTATTATTGTGTTGATTGTGCTTCTCATAGAGCTGTTTCTGGATCGAAAACAATGCTCGCTGTTGCTTTTGCAGTTGTTGTTGTAGGAGAACTGACTTGGGAGCTACAAAGCGATGCTGTCTACTAATGCATGTAGTAGAGAACACATGTCGAAGAGAGGCACAGGAATGTTCAGACAGACGCTTAGATGCCAGAGTAAGGACTGATGAGAAGCGAAGATGAGTAGCATGCATTGTTTCGATTGTGCAAATAAATGTTATGAACGCTTTAAAATAAAAGAATGGATTTCCATGGTTCACCACTTTTTTTTTTTTTTTTTTTTTTTTTTTTTTTTCAGGAACAAACATTTCATCATTTTATCCCTTCGTCCATAAGAAACCCAGCAATCCATGGGCATTGTCTCGAAATTTTATTTCGACGTCGAAATAAATGATCGAAAACTAAACTGTCAAGGAGCTATCCTGGCTTCTTTTGTGCAAATAAAAAAGCTCATGAAGACTTTCGCATGACCCTAGCATCCGCTCGGAAGCCCATTGTATCGTTTATTTATTGACTGGTGTAATGTAGCAGTGATAATATTCGCCGCCGTAGTCTCGACTTGAAAGGAGTGCAATCTGAGTTGATTCATTCTACCGCACCATGGAGCTTGACTAACTTGATCTTTTCCTGTACAGCTCGGCGAGACTCGATTTTCACATCGTTTGCTTCCTCGTCTTCTTGCGTTCCCTTGATATATATATCTGAGTTGGTAAACACTGCTAATAGAGTTTGTTGGGCCTGTGGAAACCAGAGGGAACATATCATACCTAAGGTGATACATATATCTATATTGGAGTGTGAATGGTGAAATACCTGTGTGATTCAGATGTAATGAACATTTACGGCGAAAGAAAGTATTGAGAGGATGTGAACGATTATGAGAGTAAGGAAGAAGGGGTTTGTATCCCTTTTCAAGTCCTTGGCAACAGAGCATGAGTAGCAGTTGTGATCGCAGTTGATTTCGGTGAGTCAGCATAACAATGGTATAGTTTCTAGACCCTATCTTCCACGCACAGCATTGCATTATTGTTGTTTTCAGACCTGACACCAACCATGCGAGGTATTTTTTTTCTGGGAGTTCCTTGTGTTAAACGACCAGACAGAAAGCTTAAAAGACATACAGGCACACCAACGGTGAAAAAAATGGATGTGAGCAAACAGTTGTTGTGCTTCTTGTCTACACATCGCGGGGGTTTTTTTATTATTTCATCAATCACTATCAGTTGTATGTACACGAACATGCACCAGGTTATTGAATAAACAGCTGAAGCGTCTCTTTGGTTTCTACACATGTAGAAACACATTTTGCATAGGGATCTTTTTTTTTTTTTTTTTTGTTTTCTAATTCCAAAAGTACTGGAGCTGTTGGAGCAAAGAGCGACATCCGAACCCATTCTCTGATAAAAAAGAAGAAAGAGGGGAAAAAAGACATTCTTCTTTTGTTGTTATCTTTGACAGGGATGTAATCACCTGTTTCAAAACCAGTTCCTACACACCGAGTCAAATCTGTCAATGTATTTACTACCCCTGTTCAAAATTATAAATCATTAAATTCCTCACAAAGCAAGGGCCACTGCAAACAAAAGAAGCTGAAAAAAAATTGTATAACAAAGGATCGACATCAACACTATATGCTGTATACCGAGATGATTTCACTTTGGTATCTCAATGCTATTTCTTCCAATCTGCCGTTCATGAGAGAGCTTATATTTATTTGTCAATCTCTGCTATTGACTGGGACAAAACCCCAATCCAAACAAAAGGAACTGAATAAAGATTGATGTGGCCTGTGAAGCAAAGGATCGATATCAAAACTATATGAGACAATGTTAAAATTCAAAATGGCAAGCCAGAAGCCAAAAAAATATGGACGCTTTGGAGAATGATATGAGCACCTTCGAGAGAAATCCTCGGAACGAGGTTTGGACTCGTCCTCAAGTCATGAGGCGCATCCAGAAGGGCCTTCGAAAGGTCCACACCCTGAGCGTCCAGAACAAGAATCAGCTGGCAACAGGCCTTGGCTCTGTCTTCGATATCTGCCTGTGTGTATATGAAGCTGACCCATGCAAAGGGTGTCATAATGAGGAGAATGATAGGATCGTGATATCCCAAGGCTGATTTTTTTAAGTACGAACGAGTCTGCATCCTAGTGCGACTCTTCCATACCGTAGACGGAAGTTTGGGGTTTACGACATGGACAACGTTATTCAAGCGCTAAACCTGCCATCGCAGGCAATGATTACTCAAGGAACCTCAAGACGTTGGACCTGATTAATAATCTTCGATTAGTTCGAAAGGTTGCGTGGAGCAAGAACTACAACAAAATGCTTCGAGATTACCTTAGGAAAGCTAGTAAGATGCTGGGAAGGAACGCAGCCTCTAAAGAAGGCCGTTTCAGAGTAGCTCCACGTTTTTACTTCTGGCCATCAAATGTCGGCCCAAGCATTGCCATCGAACAATGAGTTCGATAACTAGAGACGCAACATCATTCTATATAGCGGAAGGATCACGTAAAAGCTAGTTCTGGCCCATCTTTTCTGACAAGCCGAGCATATTGGATAGGCGCACAGTTGATATCAGTAACTGCCGTCAGCACGATAGGCCGGGCCTTAAGCATCCACCACTTCGGAGAAAGGCAAAAAAGAAACAACAGAAAAAACAAAAGCGGAAGCACAAAGGCAAGAAGCCTCACAGGGCTAAAAAAGAAGATACACCAATTAGGAACTTGAAGGCTACGAAGGTTGTTCACAGCTACAGCAGTAAGCACCCTATCAAGGCTTCCATGGCAAGGAAAGACGAGCTGCACACAAATGAAAGGGATAATATTGCAAGCCAAATCCGAGGGGCAGTTGTTGTCCTCAACCAACTACGCCACTATGCATACTGGGCGATTGGCCTGGACATTGAGAGGATCATGCGGCTGCCAGGGGCAGCAAGGTCGAGGAAAAATGCACTGGACGAGGTCTTGGATAGCACTGACTATTCCTTCTGTCTCGCCACCCTTCTTTTAAGTAGCCAAGGTGGCCCCAATTCAGCTTACGCGAGGGCAAAAAAACAAGGGCAGTAGAAACACCCCACTATCTCCTCGCTTATGAACATTTCAAGACCACCACTGAACTTCCCCCAAGTAAGGAAATAGACATCACATTGGGGGACGTGCAAGGTTTTGATCCCAAAAAGACCTCATTTCCAAGAGCGTCAGAGCTACTCAGGCCAAGTACAGACATCATTAAGGCAGCACTACAGGAACGCAATGGTGTAACCTTGTGTAAGGTGTTTTCATGCATATTCTGCAATCAAATGCTCTCTATTCATACTCTTTTTTTTTTTTTTTTTTTTTTTTTTCTTTATTTTTTTCAGTTCGATGTCGAGAAAACTAACGAAAATATGAGCGACATTGAGTTTTTTTTCAAACTTAAAGAAACGATTTCTACCAACGGTCTTGTTCTGAATCTACTTGCCTATGACACAACCCAGATGAAGAGACAGCAGCAGTCTGACGTAGATGAAGAAGGCCCCAGCTAGGAATTGGAGCTTTCTCAAGGATTCCTCAACACGCCGCGTCCAAAGGCAGCCGGTAAAGATCTGATAGATGAAGGCTACGCAAACATATACTGGAAGAGGAGCTCCAAACTGCTTGAAAACGTTGAGCTCACATTCAACGAACCAGGGCGATGCTCATCCACAAACACCACAACTGTCGTTGGATGCGATCCTGATATTGTTAACACCCTTACGTTTCCCTCGCTAGACCCCCACGACCCTAACTTGCGGTAAACGGTGAAGGTGAGAAGTAGGTTCTTGTACCTTCCGGTCCTCCGCTTCAATCACCTGTTGAAAAAAAGGAAGCGTGAAAAAGGAATGATTGAGGTTGAGAACGCCATCCCTGTATTTGGAAGGGATCGTACAATGAGTGCTTTCAATGGATGAACGAGGAGTCCCAGACACAGACAAGATCAAAGAATTTGGATGTACTTCAAGAGTTCTACATCCGGATGGCACCTAAAAAAAATGGGACTTACGAAAGGCTCAACGAGCTACGTCCGACTACGCGGTGCAGCGAGTGTTGAAGATACTCGGGGAAAAAGGAGTGCTTGTCATCGGCCTGGGGTCCTATGAAAGTAGTAAAGGAGTTCCCAGCAAGCACACTGCTATAACGAGACACTTTGTCACACAGGTATTACTTTTTTAAAAAAAATAAGAAAAGCTGGAAAGCCATAGAACCCTTGTTGATAAACGACTGCCATTTGAAACGCTTAGGTTAAAGTACGAAGACACTTCGCCGTAGGAGCGCACGAATTTTACACCAGCGCCCGCTGTCCCTGACCCCTCCGCGATAGCTTTTTAGAGGCGGTGTACTCTCGCTCTAAATATTGCCGGGCATGTAAAGTATTTTTCGACCGTGACGCAGTAGGGGCGGAAAACATCGCAAGAATCGGTCTTGCTCAAATTGAGAGGCAAGAGAGACCTGCAAAGTACAAGCCCATGGAAGAGTCGCCTGCTCCGGCTGCAGAGCGCATGACGCTAGACACAAGTATTTGGGTGCCGGCACATCCACAAAAAAATTTGTAAATTCTGTTTATTTCCGTCTCCTGTATCCTTTCTATTGAATCTTTTGCCCCTGAATTTCTGGACTAACTTTAAAAACCTTACAGATCAACAGATAAAAGCCAACCCCACAAACACAGCTCCGATCAATCCATTTATATTATCTGTTACGAGACTTGCACCCGCATCATTAATGTCACTCTACATTTTTTATCAGTTATTCTCCCGAGGGTGGATAATCCGGTGTATAGCAACAAGAGTTTAGAGATGTAGTCGATAGCAATAACCGCAGTGGTAGTAGTGGTTTCGTTCAAGAATGCAGTTGGTGTGTTCGCTGCGGTTGATTTAGTTGACGATGAAGTGGAGGCGTCATTGAGAGTAGACATGATTTTTTTTAGTAGTATTCATGATGGTCTTTACACCAATTCCATATCTTCTCACCAAAATCAGTACAAAGCTGGGACTCGGTCACCCTTCTAAACGACAGCTCTATGATCAAAATTAGATTAGCAAACTTACAAAGTGGAAGTCTCGACATCCTCACTAACAACATGGAAGGGGGAAAAAAAGCAAAGAAATCAATTTGCATGAACAAACAGAAGGAAGCTGAAGCAAACAAGTATTAAGAAAACAAATATAAAGCCTAGACACTAAACAAGGTTGAAAGCGAAGCAATGAAGAAAAGGAAGAAGGGTAGGTGAAAAAGATGGGTGGTTTTTAGGTTAACCTCAATGAGATACAATGATAAACACGCAGATCATTTAGTCAAAAATTGGTGGCAAAAGGGACAAAGAACAGGTCGCCACTGCAATTAATGAGCATTTAATGTCTTGTTAACCTGTGTTCATTACCATCTGTCTCGTTGCTTTAAGATGTAGCAATTTAGCAATAGCCCTTTAACATTTTTAAAAAAGAAACTGGTGAGGAGCCTACAAACGGAGAGTATAAAGGGAGAGCGCTACCATGTATCGCTATGTTTGTTAGGGCTACAGGCTATATATGGATGACGTTCTGTAGAAGTAATAAAGACTGTTCAGGTGCCCCCCTTCACAGGGTGTGGTAACTAATTTGTCGTGAAGAGTGCATTAATAGACTATATAGGCTCAATATGAGATGTGGTGACTTCAAATGCCATGGTGCAACATTTCTTTTGTGTAGTGCGGTTGGTACTTGGGTATATAGCCATTCAGACTTAGGCCGCCAGATAAGCGAGTGGAGTGAAAATGACTAGCAAGGTCATTGTTTTTAGATATGTAAGGTGTGGTTGTGGTAACTACCTCTAGAGAAGATGAAAGAGGCTGACGAATATTATCAGAGAGCTCATTTGTGTACCTTTGACCCAAGTTTAGAACCAGTGTTCACCAATAGGAGCGTAGATTCGGTCCCTGTCACATGATTAAATCAATTGTGCCTTGGCCCAAGACTGATCTGATCTGCATCCCTTTGATTCTCTTTTTTGTCATCATCATCTCTGCCATGGACAACCCCATCCTTTCTTCTATCAACCAGACTTTATTCACTGTTTCGCGTGCCATAGAGGCTGTCCCTGGGTCTGCCATCGCCATCAATTACATTAAAAACTCCTATCAAAATGACCCATTTCGAGTGGTTCTAGAGATTGGCCTGGCCATTTTTGCAGTCAAATATATGCTTTCCAAAAAATACCGCATTGACCAGACTCAAATACCTCTAACAGAGAAAGTATGAGTGCATGAGTGCGCATATGAGATCTGATAGCCAATTGTTATCTCTCAAGTGGAAACATGAATTCCCTGACACTATAATCTTTACACTTGTCATTTATTAGGAAATTGATGAGCTAGTTGCAGAGTGGCAACCTGAACCACTGACTAAACCTCTCAACGATTTCCAGCGCATGGAACTGGATTCGGCTCAAGTTATCACGAGGTATCGTAGGATATTCAGCTTCTAATTAATTCCATAATATTCTGGTTAGCATCCTCTCACACGCCTTTCTTATGCTCGATTGTTTTCTTAGTGCACAGGGACCTAGACCCGTAGTTCAATCTACTGGCTCGCACTTATTAAACTTTGCAAGTGCTAATTATCTTGACTTCATTTCAAATAAAGATATCAAGGTATTGTATAGAAACTCAGCATAGCCATGATTAACTTGGTTTGAGGTAGAAAGTATTTCTGTCACAGCTACTGAAGCTATAAATATATTAAATGGACACTTTTGAATAGGACAAAGCAATCAAGACACTTCATAACTATGGTGTCGGTTCATGCGGCCCTCCTGGCTTCTATGGCACTCTTGGTAAGCCCTGGAAGTCTACATTGTGTTCATTGGCGGTTTTAATTGGCTCCCTTGTCTAACGCCTCTCAATTTTTCTCTTTATTATTCTATTGTTGTTTTATACATACTTTAATAGATGTCCACATCAACTTAGAAAAGGATATTGCACGGTTCTTGGGCACAGAATCTGCAATCATTTATGCACAAGGTTTCTCGACTATTTCTTCCGTCATGGCTGCTTTTTCGAAACGCGGAGATATCATTGTCGTGTAAGTTGCTGCAGCTCTGTCATATTTAGAGAACCAAGACATAATATGGCAACGAATAGCGATTGCTTATCAAAGTTTGCGTTACGAACCATGGGTTTAATTTAGTGACGACGGATGTAATTTTGCTATTCAAAAAGGCACGCAAATTTCTCGATCTAACATCAAGTGGTTTAAGCATAACGATATGAAAGACTTGGAGCGTGTACTGCAGACGATCCAAAAAGAGTCACCCCCTGTATGGACCCTGATCTTTTCCTCGTATCGTGATTATATATCGTAACGTATATCTTTCTCGAAGTCATTTTTTTTTAATAAGCTGTTGTGCTTTAACATTCTAGACCAAAAAGAGACCTTTGACTCGTCGGTTTATCGTGACAGAGGGTCTTTTCCAAAATTATGGCGACATTGCACCACTTGATAAAATCATGGAGCTCAAGCACAAATACAAATACCGCGTGATTTTGGATGAGTCCAACTCTTTTGGCTTGTTGGGCAAGACAGGACGTGGTCTGACTGAAGTTTTCAACGTTTCACCAAAGGATGTGGATATGATTGTTGGCTCAATGGCTAACACGCTTGCGTCCGCAGGCGGCTTCTGTGCAGGACCTAAAGAAGTAGTAGATCACCAACGTCTTTCAGGCCAAGCCTTTGTCTTCTCAGCCTCCATTCCTGCAATGCTCACTGTTTGTGCTTCTGAGGCAATTAGGCTTTTGGAGGCAGGACAGTGCGAGGAGCTGCTGAAGTCCTTGCGCGAGAATACTGCAGCATTTTTGAAGGTTATTTTAACAGCCTCTCAGTTTATTGAAGTCAGCTCTAGTCCTGAATCACCGATCATCCACCTGAGATTTCTTCAATCAAGGTTGGCGCCCCTGGGTGTGACTACGAGGGATTCGGAGACATGTTTGCTACAGACAGTTGTGGATAAGGTAAGCGCTTAAGGTAGTTTGTATTACTTAGTTGTATTACTTAGTTTGAATTACCTATTTGTGATGTTGCTTGCTAATGAGATTTTTTTATGTGACAGGTTGCTATCGATGGTGTGTTGATCAGCAGAGCCAAGTATGTTGAGAGCCAGGAAATGCACTTACCTCGACCATCAATTCGCGTGTCAATGTGTGCAAGTCATACACCCACAGAAGTTGAGGCTGCTGCGCAGGCCATCAAGACAGCCTTTATCCAAGCCTTGTCATAACGACACTAGTTAAACCGACACAGTATTTACATTACCATAATAAACGATTATAGACAGTATTTGTGTTTCTGACAATAGTTTCAGTCAAGACCTAACCCTCGTAAGAGGCAATGTGATGAACGTGGTTAAAAATGAAAAATGGAAAGGATTTAGTTATCGTTTCAGACAAATGTTTGCTCTCATGGCAGTAGCTCTATTTCACGTACATTGTTACGCCGTTGGATGAATAATCAAAAAAAAAAAAAAAAAAAAAAAAATTTATACATAAATAAATAAATATTGGGGTTACCCGTCTGGTCTTCAAAATCAATCTCGACTCGTCTACAAGCTTTCCACATTCCCCAGTGTACCATGACTACTACTACAGCCACCTCAGGCAAGCAACTTTTTCGCTCCTTCCATACAGAATCTTCAAATGAAGAGAACGCTCGTCTTTTGACTGCGGACCCTAAAACTGTTGATTATGAGCTTATCTACTTCAAGATCTCATGCTTGGCAGCTACGGCGCGTCATCTTTTTGCATTTGGCAAGATCAACTGGAAGAATAGCTTCCCAACTGTAATCATAGAGATAGTTGATTTAAGATATCATTTGATCAACACTGAATAATAAATTAATCAAGCTGTTTATTACCTTTTACATAGGACTGGGACGAGGAAAAATACGATTCACCATTCGGTCTTACACCATTGCTGCACATCAGGTCGCAGGGAAAGGAGGTATTAACCAAAGTCCAGTTGTAATTGGTTCAAAGCAGAGAAGAACAAGAAAAAAGAAGCTAAATCATCTTTTTTTGAACACTCCAACGGCCCGTCTTTTTTTTTTTTTTTTTTTTTTTTAGTTAACCCTGACGGAATCTATTGTGATTGATTTCTATCTGGCGAAAAAGTTTGATCTTCTTGGCTCAAATGAGTATGAGGAGCACGTTATCAAGGCCTTTTACAGCTCGATCCACGCTCTTCGTGATCGCTCCCTTCGGTGCATGACATGGACCTATGCAGACAAGCGTAAGGAGGCTTTCGAGACATGGACGACTGAAAACATTCCTCGCTGGATCAAGATCAAGGAGCAACATCTTGAACGCAACGGCTCCAATGGCCACTTTTTTGGGGAGAAGGTACGTTGCTTTATTAAGACACCAAAAAAAAAAAAAAAAAAAAAAAAGAAATACAACTACAGTCTCTAAGCGGTGTCATTAATATACTATTAAATTTTTGCTCTAGCTCTCCCTGGCGGACATCCACCTAGTCAGTGTTATCGATCATTTTGCAGAGCTCCCCAGGGGCGAAGAGATTGTAGCACTCTTCCGCGCATCCCCATTGCTCTGGAAGGTTCATGAGACTGTCCTGGCGAACCCCGATATTGCCGCTTGGAGGGAATCAGATGAGTTTAAAGAGATCGTCAAAGGTGGCAAGATCGTTTATGCCAAGTCTAGATTCTAATTTAATTGCTTAGTCGTGTATTGTAAAAATTAAAGCATCGTGATTTTACCACGGTTGGTGGCTTAAATAATTATAACTTGATCACGACATCCATGCATCTTCTTGAATGTCAACCATGGCCAGCCAAACCAATAACACCATTAGGGCTATTGACAAGGAATCTGTCCACAGGATATGCTCAGGACAGGTCGTCCTTGATATGGCTACGGCAGTCAAGGAGCTCCTGGAGAACAGTCTCGATGCAGGATCAACTTCTGTTGGTAAAAAAAAGACAGCATGGGCGCAGCATCAACTTTGTCATTGTTAATAGAACATTGCAATAATTCTTTTTTTTTTTTTTTTTTTTTTTCTTTCTTTCGAATAGCTATCAAGTTCAAGCAAAATGGTCTCGAGAGCATCACTGTTACGGACAATGGATGTGGAATTACAGATGCAAATCTCGAGACGCTTGGTATGTGATGTTATCTTTTTACCACCAATTTTAATATATTCTATAATAATACAACAATCATCAAGGTCTAACACCCTTCTAAAAAATAAAAATCTTTATGAATACAGCATTGAAACATTACACCTCAAAGCTGCAGTCCTTTAATGACTTGGCACATGTTCGCTCATTTGGTTTCCGAGGAGAGGCTCTGTCATCTCTTTGCGCACTTGCAAATCTCACTGTTACAACATCTACTGGATCATCGCCTACTGGTGTCTTGGTTGAATACACCTCAGATGGAACTATCAAGTCAAAAACACCGACTCCGATGACTAGAGGAACGATTGTCAAGATCTCCAATCTCTTCGAAGGCATGCCCGTCCGCAGAAGCGAATTTGTCAAAAACATAAAGCGAGAGTACGCCAAGTGTATCGGGCTCGTCCAGGCTTATGCATTGATCGTCCCCAATGTCAGGATCAGCTGCGTTTTGCAAATGGATAAAATGTATGAATCGCATAAACTTAAGCTTGGGCGACAACGATCACTGTTAGAAAATATAGTAAGTAATTTTTTTTTTTTTTTTTTTTTTTTTTTGCTAGGTCTGCCGTGACACAGATTGCAACCATTGGCAATGCATCTGTTCGACAGAATATTATCAACGTATTTGGACCTAAGGCTATGGCTGATGTCATTGAATTTGATCTATGTCTTGTCGAAGGAATATCGGCAGCGAGCATGGGAGCCATGGTAAAGGCTGAGAATGAAAATAATGAGGACGAAGGAGAACTCGACTCAAAAGGAGATATTAAATTGACTGGATTCATATCCTCGCCAGCCTTTGGCAAAGGAAGGTCTTCAACTGACCGACAATATTTTTATATTAACGGTCGGCCCTGCACTCTTCCTAAGCTTGCTCGTGTCATCAACGAAGTCTACCGCTCATTCAACACCAATCAAAGCCCTTTTTTGGTTGCAAATCTTATTCTGCCCACGTCTTACTACGATGTCAACGTTAGTCCAGACAAAAGGACTATCTTTTTGCATAATGAACGTATGATTATTGAGGAGCTTCGTACAAAACTCACGGAACTTTTTGAACCCAGCCGATCAACATTCGCAGTTAGTCAAGCAAGGCAGCTCATCAAGGAACCGGATCTTGCAGTGAGATTACGTTCCAAACCTTCTGGAGATAAAGGCAGCATACCGAACGAGGCACTAGAAGTAGAGAATGATGCAAGAGAGAATGAAGGCGAGTATAGGCTGAAACATCACTCAAAGGCTCTCTCTATAGAGCCCATTACACCACCTTCACTCCCGCCCTCCCATTTGTCTGTTCAGGGAAAATTGGACTTCATAGACAAAACTAATAATAGACAGTCAACACTCACAGGACGGAATTTCCTTGTCCAACGCTCTGAGAATTTAAAGCGTAAAGCTGAAGATCTTGACCCAGCTACAGATAACGAGATTACTCGTAATGGAAATGACCAGATGATTCGTGAATTAGTGACAAAGCAAGGAGCTATGGAAGAATCATCGTCGATCTTAGGTACCAATAATATTGTTGAGAACACAACACCTCATTCGAATGATTCCTCCAGACTAAGTGTGCACCCGGCCTCTTCAATAAATGTGCTGGAAGAATATGATCCATTAAATGACGAGACACGCCTAGATGAAGAAAGCATAAGCGATAGTGAGAAAGAGCAAGAGCTTGTTCCTCAGCAACGGCCTCAAAAACAACGACAGCGTGTCGTAGTCATAGATTCTGCGGTGCAACAGGATGACCAGCGGGAGTGGATAGAGATAGGATTCGATATAGACGAGCAGAAAAAGAAAAAGGCGCAACGGATCAATATCATACGTCAAGTACGCCGCTCAGAACAGGAGTGGAAGGAGTTGAGGAAAGATCATGCGCAAAAGAAACAGATGGAATCTGCACATGATGACGTGGAAGAAGTCGGTGAAGAAACACATAGTGCAAAGCTTCGAAGAAGTCGTCGGTTAAGAAATCAAAAGCTGTCAGATGCCAGTTTTGCAAACATGGATGATGCCAAAGCTCAAACATCTTTGAGCCGCGTCATCGCAAAGGGAGATTTTGCGCGCATGAAGATTCTCGGACAGTTCAACAAAGCCTTTATCGTTGCTCGTCTGGACAACTATGCCCCTGCCGAAGAGGATCAAGGAAATCCAAAATCATCTACGATCAGAGGAGCCAGGCAGCGACACAGAGAAGAACTGATTAGTTCTGATATTTTTGTGATTGACCAGCATGCTTCAGATGAGAAATACAACTTTGAGACACTACAAGCGAAGACGATATTCTCAACACAGCGGCTTCTCCAGCCCAAGGAGCTATATCTGACAGCACAGGAGGAGATTACAGTTGTAGAGCATATGAAGATGTTGAACAAGAATGGCTTTTATCTTGAACACAACCCCGATGCGCCCGTGAGTCACCGATTGAAGCTACTCACGCTGCCTGTAAGTGAGAAAGTTGTGTTTGGTTTCCAGGACTTTGAGGAGCTTGTGTTCTTGCTGTCTCAACAGACAGCGCTACCCGAAGCCGTGGAAAAAAATAGCAACGAAAGTATTGATCAGAATGAGCATCGACAGTCCATTAACATACAGCAAAACAATGGATCAACCTCAGAAAAAATGGTTCGTTGCTCCAAAGTACGTGCTCTATTTGCGTCTCGTGCTTGCAGAAGATCGGTTATGATTGGTCACGTCCTGAACCATAGCCAGATGAAGAGAATTGTGCGACATATGGGTGAAATTGATCAGCCTTGGAATTGCCCTCATGGTCGACCGACAATGAGGCATCTCATGGACCTTGCGGAGCTAGGGCAACAAGAACAGCTAGAACGACTGCGTCTGGATAGTATGTATAAAGAGAATCGTGAAAGAAATGACGACAAAGAGAAAAACGAGCTGTGGCGTGGAAGAGGATTAAGTGCATTTGAACCAATAGCCTTGAAAAGACCAACGCAACATCGAGGAAGCCTTTTCCGGCAGTTCATGGCCATGCCAGCTCGTGTACATTCTCATGAAAACCTGTAAATTAAAATATATATACATAGATACATTCCTTTGTTTATAATGTAAAATATGCCACTCGTGTGCTAAGAAAGAGAAAATAGAGCCTTCTAAAGGGTATATTCAGACCACAACTCACGTTTCCGATCCAATATGTAGACAGGGGAACTTGTACACCTCGTTTTGGATGTATCAGGCAGTTATCTGTCCACTGCACATTTGCTCTCTAAACATGTGCTTTTTTCTTTGTACATGCAGTCTTGTACAATCACACAATAATCATCAAGACCTACAGTATTTTCTCGAGAATTAAAACACGAAGAATAGAAAGACTTCCTCTTTTTTTTTATTTTTTTATTTTTTATTTTTATTTTTATTTTTTTATTTTTTTATTTTTTAAAAGATCTGTTTATTGTTTTTTATTTTTTATTATTTTTTTCTTTTTTCATAATGAGCTCATTCCCAATCGCTCCAGTCATCCTCATCCTAAAAGATAGTATAAATGCAGTGTTTTGGTTAGCAATAGCAACAGCGCCAGTAAACAATAGCAATAAAAAAGCTTATTACCTTGGATTCGGGTGATTTTTGCTTTGTACTCTGTTGATGGGCAAGTTGTTCCAATGCTGGTGAGGACGCTGTTGAGAGAGAAGCTACACTTGCCAAAGGAGCTCTAATTGGCGTCTCTACGCCGTCAACAACCTCGTATGTATCTTCGCTCGTCCTAGTAGAGCTCAGGTTAGTAACAGGGCCTTTAGAATGCGTACTAGTCGATGTCACATCAGGTCGCGATTTGGTTTTGTCGCCATCTTCCGAATCTGCCTGATTACTTGGGATTGGGAGCGCTGAGAGAGAGACGACTAATGCTTCAGCAGTTAGAGGCTCTTGCTTCATGTTCGATGAATCTGTGGGTTGGGAACCATTTAAGATCTGGCTGGCTGTTGGAGTAAGTGTATCCTGGTTTTTCTGTTCGGCCTTGGGTGTGACACTTCCTTGGCCCCCTGACTCTCCCTGATTTTCGCTGTCATCTTCATCACCATCATTGTCGTCCCATGTAAAGTCTTCCTCTGCAAGGTCAGCTCCGGCTTCTGAACAAAGAGAATCGATAGACGACTAGTATTACTAACAATGAATTGGATTTACAGGCGGCACAAGTGCATCATGATATCTAGCATTCCATATATGCACCACATCATACCCTGTACAAGCTTTTTGAGTCGTTTTTCCTCCTCCTCAATTTCATATAAGCGATAGTAGTAGCGAAGCCAGAAAAGCTCTTCATCTGCAACCTCAGCCGGAACTGATTGGCAAAATTTTGAAGATAATTGATAGTAAGTAAAGTTTGTAGAATAATGTTCAGCGGAATAAATACCTTTAATAATTATTTTACCAAGTTTGCCCATCAAAGCCTTTAATTCTGGATATTCGTTCAGTAATCGTGAGGTCCTCTGCTGATATTCTGCCATGTTGAATGTTTGCAAGAAACGTTTATAGCGCTCAAGTCCAATAATATCATCGTCTGCGATAGTAGTCATAGGATCGACTGTGAACGTTGTAGGGTCCATTCGTAGCTTCTCGAGCATGGCCTCCTTTCTATCAAAGCTATTATAATTGCCACATCACAAGATAATGAGGCCATTAGAAAGAATGAAGAGGTGAAGCGGAAAAACCATCTGATAAAAAAGAAAAAGTACGAAAACTTGACATTGTCATTCTATTAATATAAATATGTTTGGATCCAGATACATACAACATTTTCTTGCTGCGGGATGGAGTGGCTTCCTTCGCTCCTGGCGCCGAGATGACCACAGCACTGTTAAGAAAGTTCGCCATACCAGCTCCGAATTTGTTGACATATTGCTCTGCAAGAAGTCCATTTGTCTTGAGCGTTTCTGTAGTGTTCTTGAAGAACAAGTCTGCTTCACCCAAATGCTTTTCTGCTGCTGCTGGCAACTTTTTCTTAAAGAGCTCGTTTGCGCTTGAGCTTATATCCTTGGTACTAGAGCTCAGTGTTTGTGTCAAGCTTGTGGCACCGGCAGAAAGTAAGCTAGCTGTGTTAGCTAAACTAAAGTTTGGCTTTTCGTCTGGCTTAATCCTGGATGCAGTGCTATCCATGGTGTCCCTAGTATCAGTCAGCGATCCCTCTTCCACTGTTTTTTCGTTGGGAGATGCTGTTGCTCCATGACTATTTGCGTTTTGTTTAGAGGAAGGACTATCAGTAGATCCTGTTACTGATGCGGTTGAAACATTGGCTTCTGTAGTGTTGTCAGGTGCGACAGTCTGAGGATTAGATGATACACCCGTCGCAACCTCTTTAATTTCATGGGTGATACCCCCAACAACAGTCGATACACGTTCCAAGATCCCTGCTGAGGCAGTATTGACAGATGCAGGCAGTGGAGGAAGATTTGTTTTAAGGTCGCCAACTTTTTTGCTTAAAGACTCGATGGTAGTCGAGTGTTCCTGTTGTACCGTGTGTACAAGCTCAGAAAGATCTTTGCGGGTGACATCGACAAACTCGTTCATATCCTTTTTACCACGCTCAATTAGTTTGTTGAAAGAGACACCCCAGGCGGACCATGAGGTCCTTGAGGAAGTCGACGAAGTCGACGACGATGATTGAGCATTTCCTGTTTGTGCTGCGAGTGGTTGAGTACTTGGTCTATCATTCGCGTTGTTGGTTGCTCCCTCGAGAGGACTCATGAATTGGTAAAAGTCATCCATTTCCACCCGAGTGCGGATATGTGGATTTATTAAGAGGCCAAAAGGGTGAAGTTAAAGGTTAGTAAAATGAGATAACGAGGACAAAGGGTCGGAATGCAAATGGTGAATGAAAGCTTTCTTTGGAATGAGGCACGTGCCATTAAGCATTAAAGTGAAGGTATTTCTAGATCATGTCTCCCTTCTCCACTTCTGCACTACGCCACTTTATAGCCATGTAATGCAATCCCACTATATTCATAGCATGAGCAGTAAGAAATAAAAGGGAGAGGCTGATCATTTCGTAATAAGACAAGCTCGACTAAACTATGGTGTCACGGCATCAATAGGTCTGAATACTGGAAATCCAACGCAAAATTTTGGTGTCGTTTTTGCAAAATATACATTACTGATAACAAAGTTGTAAGGGACAGACGAGTCATTTGTAAATTCGACCGGCGAGCCTTCTATAATTCTTCCAGAAGACTGATTCTTTTTATTTTTTTTGACCATTGTTCCATTTCTGTTTCTTCATCATAGACAAGGAATACTCATGACTCAGGAAGAAAACATAAGGAAAATGTGGAAAGGTTTTTGCGCGAACAGAATCAACGTGGAAAAGACAAGGAGGCTGAAAAGGCGAGGCTGAATAAGCAGATGGATGAAATTGAAAAGGTGTGTATCTCTCTTGGCTATAGAGTATCTGCCTAGAATGACTATGTCTGTAGATCCTAATAGCTTATTGCCCTGTATATTTAGGCGGCAATGAAGCAATACCAGCTCGATGTTGAAGCCGGACTTGTAAAACAGCCAGGACAATTAGCTGCATCTTTAAAAAAGCCAGACATTTCACCCGCAGTGTCAGTAGTTCCCAGTACATCGTCAAAAATTTTGGCGGAAGCCTCAGCAGATATACCGTCGCCTGCAACAGATAAAACATCCGCTTCCGCTGAAAAAGACACGTCAGAAATAGCAGTAGGAGGATCCGACTCCAAGCTGACAAAAGATCTTTCGGTGGGACAGCCAGGCGAGTGGCAAGTCGTCGAAACACCGAAACGCAGAGAAACGACAATGGCATCAGAATCATCAAGGAATGGGAGCAAGAGCGATAAAAACCAGGTACAAGGGAATGAGAGCGGACATCACTATATAGCAGGTGCTGATGACGATGATGAGGCACAAGGTGATCCAGAGGATCTACGCGAATTCAAAATCGTAGAGAAAACGTATCCAACCGATGCGGATTTACTATATGAAGGAGATGGTGATACAGCAGCAGGAGACGGCTCTGCAGTTTTCAAGAAGCGGAAAGGAAGTTCCAATAAACAACGAAATATCCGACGTAAAACATAAATAAAAGACAGTCGAGCGCTACACCCATAATAAATATATTCTGGATCTATTAGAACTATCCCTAAGCCATGTATTAGTAGGAATAAGTAAATCCATTACTAATATCATTGGAACTTGGGCAGAGGCAAGACTGCTGAACAAAAAATTTACCCTTCATTAATGTCATAGCTTGTGATATCGTGGTTATGATACTGCAGCATGATTCCTTGCGTTCTCCTGGCTAGATTCTTCACCAGCAGATGCTGTTATCCAGTAGGTTAGGGAAAGGGGCCAGAGAATGCCATCAAATTACAAACAACTGGTCGTTGGTCAATGTCCCACATGACACATAGTTGAGTCGTGGAGGTAATCTTAAATTCGAGTCACCCTACTCACTTAAATGGTCTCTAGCCAAGAACAATACCAGGAATGGAACAGCACTTGAATAACTTCATGACACTTTACGGGAGATAGATCTAAAGGAAGAGCTATCAAATAGGTGCGTCCTTCCTGTTTTATAAGTGACAATTAGCGTTTCTCAAGGTTCGTTCTTCTGCTTTTTTTTTTTTTTTTTAAGAAAAAATGTTATGCTACTGACTATCTTGCTCTTGTACAATGCGAAATGTGGCAGTAAATATATCATTTTCTCCGGAAAACGGTGCAATAATCTTAGTGACACTGCGAGTTGACAGTTATTTGCAGATGTTAGAGCTGCAAAGAGATAAATGCATGAGCGCAGCTTGCTGATTTTATAGTATCTCTTGAGAACCAAAGCAGCTAAAGGACATTGGAAAAGACAGAGTTCTGCCTACTTTTAGCCGACTTTTACTTCCCTATTCACTTATCTGCTGGTACAAAGGCAGCCATGTGCACTAAGATTAAAACATCTACAGTACATGTATGATGAAGCTTTTTTTGTTTATTTTTTTAGCTGCGAACAATAGAAATATTTCAAGCGTCTCCAAACAATACAATAACAAGGTTATGTCATTAATGTAAACATAAATGTGCTATTACGGACAACATTTTGGCCACAAAGAATCTCAGTTTCTTTGTTCAAAAGTTTTACGAGAAGAGAAATGAGACGTAATCTTTGTGCCTATCAACAATACGACTTGTTTATCTTCAGATTTATTTAGGGACGTTGGTAAGATCAAGGGAGTAGAAAGAGAAGAATAATAAACCATCACAGTCTCGTAGACCCCAGTTATCAAAAAAAAAAAAAAAAAAAAAAAAAAGTAGTAAGAGAAGAAACATACTTTTAAAAGAAATTAGTATGGGCGCGAAAATCCAGGGGAAATTCCTGAATTCAAACAAAATCCAATCCCAAGGTATGCATGGGCCTTCACATAAAATGCCCATGCCGTATAAAACAGATTGCATAACGTAGAAAGCGCGTTATTTCCAACAACTTCATTCTTTGGGAAGTTGAATGATGAAGCTGTATGGATGCATGAGAACAATGTATATATATATATTTATGCTTATTTTATTTCAAATATTAGAAACGGTATGGACACAAGATAGTGACAATGATGGCAAGTAGCAAATGTTAAGATTGATTGAACACAAGATACTGAAATATAATATGTCTGAGCAGGTTGTGGAGGCGGAGGGTTCTGTAGTGGAAAGAAAAGGTAACAAAGGATAAGGGTCCTGTTCATGATTGGCCGTAAGAGATGAGAGCCATTTTGGCATGTCTTGTGGTGAGTCGGGTGTTTGTTTTTATTTGCTCTTCTATTGATGTCGACATGTTTTTTCTTCTCAGTCAAGATGAATAATAGGCTATGGCGCTTTTGTTTGTACAAATATATTTGTCTACTGCTGTATTACGCGTCTAAAATTATTGTTTACATCAATATTCAATATTATAGTATATATATAAATGTGCAACATAAAAGAATAGAGATACACATGTCTATAAGTTTATTGTCATGTTTGTTTTTTTTTTTTTTTTTTTTTTTTGGGCTAGAACATACTGGAAAACGGCGCAGGTGTCCATGGCTGAAGTCTGGCATATGAGGATAAGTAATGGCCCCGGATTGATATGCAAGATTATTGGCCACAAGACTAGCGCGCAACTGTCAATGGCATAATGGAAAATATCCCCAATTCAGCCGAATGGCGAAATTTCCATACTCTTGATCTGCAAAAAAAACTCTCATGGATAGTTTAGCGTGAACTCAACCGCAGAAAACAATAACGAATTGGCAGCCTGTCATTGAAGGAAAGACTACCTTAGTCTGCTCGAGTGGGACAGTCTAAAAGTACACAATGAGGTATATATATAGTCTAAAGATGCTTCGACAACAAAAATATAAATATGTATGATTGTTCCTCTAAAGTATTGCAGGAGTAAAGTACAGGATACACATCAAATAAACATTTTTTTGGTCATGGATCATTATTGGCTACGTTTACACTTTACTCAGTCTCCTATCAGGCCAAGCATTCACGTCCTTGATATACTAGCTTGTCGTTGTGGCACAAACATAACGACATTGAATATTGATGTGTGTTTAAAAATATAAGGCAGACTCGGCCAATTAATGTACACTCCTTCATTGACATGTCTACCTTTTTTTTTTTTTTTTTTTTTTTTTTTCAGCTTTAGAGGAAATAGATGAACGCTCATAGTGCGATTGTTTTAGCATATGATAATAGTGAGAAAAGGAGAGGAACACAGCAAAGCGAGACTAGTGGGAATGAGGGGCGAAATGACCGTGAGCAAGTGGTACATGTATATTATATATTCATTTTACTGAAAAATTCATGCTTAATGATATTTCATTTGTACATTGCACACCAAAGCGTGCGACTATCCTTTACTAGAACATGCCCAATAGGCCTATAAAGGATCATATGGCAACGATCTAATTAAAGATCATGTCTGTCTGTGTGCATTGTCTAATCTTCATAACCTTTTTGGTTTGTCTCCTGGTTCCTGGACTTATTAGCACAAATTAAACAGTAATCATCATGACTAAATGTTTTCATGAGGCTCAAATGCTTATTCAATAAGCGTTGTCCTGATGCATTACATACTTCGCATTTTGTCAAACCTAGAAAATTAAATAAATAAACAATTTAATACAATCAATACAAAATGTAATCCCCTAGAGCACAAGATTTAGTATCCCCTGTGTGCGCTCAAACTCTTCTTTCCCCACTGCTCCCCAATGTTTATAGGGTCTATCCCCCACGGTCTCTTCATTGCTCTCATGGCCCCGATTCTTCTATAAAACCTCCAATCTTCTCTCCTTTTGTTCCGTTGTCGCTGTCGTACATACACTCTCAATCCTTGCACACCGACCTAGTTCATTAACGTCTTCCATTTCACTTTCCCTCTCACTATTTTCATATTCCTCCTCATCCCTTTTCGAGTTGATTGTCATTCTCCACAGAACCACACCCTCAAAGGGTATTCTCTATACGTATCATCACCTATCATCCATTTGGTCTCTCATACACGATTAATTTATTCCTCTCTTAAGCATCCCATATTATTGATTAAGTTATCAGTTTCAGTCCCCTTTTTAAAGGACGCGTCCAGATCCTCTTTTAATATTAGATACTTCTCATCTACCAAACTATGGCCGAAACAAAAGAGACGTCCCATTTAAATAATTTACCCTATGATGAGAGCGAAGAAGACTACCATGAATTTGAGGAGTACGACGAGGTCACTAAACCGACTACTCGTCCCTTCTATAAACGTCGCAAGTACTGGATCTTCTGCGCCATCATAACGGTGATCACCGTGGCCGTGGCAGTACCCATAGCTCTCTTTGTCATTTTGCCAAAGATTGCTCAGGTCATTCTGAATCACTCGACTATGTCTTTTAACAGCATTCAAATTACAAATCCCACGAATCAATCGATGGACATGACAATGGATGGTGTTCTCGGTAATACTGGTCCCTTCTCAGCCACTATCAAATTCCCGGAACCCATTCAGGTGTACTACAACGACGTTATGCTTGGCTCTATGAATCTTCCTGACACTAAGGCCAGTGGTGGTAAAGGAACACTGCAAGCTCAGGCTGCTTTCAATATCAACGATGAAGCTGCCTTCGGAAGTTTCTCTGCCGATATGGTAAGAATTGATCGGGCCCACTGATCTTCTACTCCTCTATTTATCCACCAGCGGCTCAATTAATGTCGTGAATTTTTGTCACCCCCCTTTCATTTCATTCATCGATCATGTCCTATAATTTAACCACCGGTAGCAAACCAATCGTAAACCTTTGTCACACCTTGACCCCTGCATCACATAAGCCCTTTGGTTTATTTCCGCAATATTGTAATTATACACATTCACAAACATATGCTGACATGTCATTCTTCGTTACTCCTTGTTACTCTCCTATCAATTTCTTTACAGTTGAACCAACCAACATTCACATGGGTTCTCAAGTCGAAGGTCACTATTGTAGCCCTTGGCCGCACCGTAAGCAACCTCAACTTGGATAAGGCTCTTGAACTTAATGGTAAGTCATCTATTAGCAAGGATGCAAGTCAAATCCATGCGTCTTGCACACAATAGAGTTCAAGGACATTATGGGCCATGAGGACCATCTCTCACCTTTACGAAATCCTTTACACTCGGTCATATGAACCTTTATGGTTTATTTCATATACATGTACTATAGGCATGGGCGGCTTCCCAGACGTCAAGATCCTCAAATTTGATCTTCCTTCAGATGCAGCGCCTGGGCAGGGTATCAATCTGGTTATTGACACAGCCATGAATAACCCCTCTCCCATCGGAGTTATGCTTGGAACCATTGTCCTCGATATTTCCTACAATGGTACGCAGCTTGGTCAAGTCAAGGCCACTAATGCCAACTTGCTTGGCCGTAGTGAGTCTGTACTCAACCTGACTGGTGTCATGATTCCCCAGACAACGCCCGAGGGCCTTGCAACTGTTAGGTACTTTATTTTTTCACATTTATTTATAGCTAATATGCACTGGCATTCCCATATTTATATATCGTATTAATGATGGATTGATCCATTGCCATCTTGTGTTGATAGCTCGCTGTTTTCTGCCTACATTGCTGGTCAGACCTCTCTAACTTCGGCTAAAGGTGTCTCGGTTCTACCGGATGGGGTCAATGAAGTCAGTTGGCTCTCAGTTGGCCTTAAGTCCATGACGCTCAAGGTCCCACTTAGCACCCCTGCTCCATTGAACATTATCAAGTCCATCTCTCTTGGACCTATGGGTATGAACTGGACCAATACTGATGCGTACGCGCCATTGGCCAACTCTCCAGGGGTTGTCGCTGGGTTTGAAATGCCTTTCGGCTTCTCTTTGAATGTCACTCAGGTCCAGAACAACATGACTGTCATCTATAACAATAAGAATCTAGCCACCCTAAACTCGGCTCAATGGGGCCCCGCTACAACCACGAAGGATGCAAATGGCACTGCCATTAACTTTGCACTTCCCCCTACTCCTTTTGCTATTGAGGCTGATGCCCACGGTGACTTTGACACCTTTGTTAACAAGTTGACTATCGGATCAGGTGAAGCTTTCACTGTCTCTGGTTTTGCTGGCACTATCGCTATGACGCCTATCGGTGAAGTTCGCATCATGGGTATCCCTTTCAAGTCTGATGTCTCTTTGACCGGTCTTCAAGGTCTGAAGACCGAGCCCACTGTTATCAACAGTCTGACAGTCATTGGCGGTGTCCCCGAAGGTCTCCAAATTGCTCTGAATTTGACAATGGTCAATCCTAGCCTACTATCCATCGATACTGGTGTCGGCGATAGCGCTGTCGTCACGTTCGCTATGCAGTACGAGGGCGACAACGTTGGAACTGTCATCTTCCCCAGCTTGAGCCTGGTCCCGGGCCAGAATCTCCGCACTGCTGGCGCTCTGTTTACTCCCACTGGCACACAAGGGGGCCAGGCCTTATTGCAGAAGTACATGTCGAACCAGCCTGGCGTTGTCGACATTTTTGGTTCAAGTTCATCGTCTGCCATCGGCCCCCTCGCAGCTGGTCTGAAAGATGTGCAGCTTCAGTCTACTATGCCAGGAAATCCAGCTCAGCTGCTCTTGAGCACTGCGTTGACTATTCTCGATGACACTGGCAAGACTGGTATCGCTATGGCTACCGTTACCATCAATAACCCATTTGTTCCAGGTTTGACTATTAAATCAATCAAGTCGACGGTCCAGTATAAAGGCCGCAATCTTGGAGCCATAGATCTGCCTTCAACCACTATCCAAGTCCCCGGTATGACCCAACAGGCTTCCCAGCCCCTTCCATTATCCATGGATCTCTCGATCGACTCGTTACTCAGTTTGATGATTGATCAGGCCAACGCCAATAACCTGAACGCAGAACCTATTATCACATTGGGCAAAATGGCAAAGGATCCCACTCTCAAGGTCTCATCATCTGTCTTCGCTGGCTTTAACCTGCCCACATTCGTCAAGGCTGCTATGGCTGGCCTCAAGGTCGATGTTTCCATGACAGTCGATGTGATGGTCGGCGAATATCCAACTTCGCTCACCTTGACTCAAAATGGCGTCCCAACCCTTACCGACGACACTATCATGAAGCTTCTCCCCATTGTTGGAACCCCTATTGCTCAAGCTATCGTCGATCAGGCTACGCTCAGCTTTACCAGCGTCATGATCAACAGCCCTGCAGAGACTGATTTCACGACTAATATTAACGGCCTTATTGCTAATGCCGGACCCTTTGATTCTGAGATTTCTTTCCCAAGTGGATCTTCGGTCGCCTGGTTGAACAACGGAGCCGAGTCTCCTATTGGTCAGATTGCTATGCCCACTGTCTCCGCAAAGGCTGATGTGGGAGCTAAGCTTGCGTTGACTAATGTCCCCTTCCGCGTTGCTAGTGCTGATAACATGGGTAATTTTGTCAGCTACTCTTTGAAAGCCGAATCCTTCGAGTGGTCTGTTGTTGCTAACAACATGACTGTCACTGCCATGGGCGCGCCTATTCCCAATATCAACATGAAGAAGACTGTAACCCTTAAGGGCTTCAATGGTCTCCAGGGCTTGGAGATTCAGAAATATGATCTTCCCTCTAATGACCCCAATGGTATCCATTTGGTCCTCCAAGCCACGCTTCCTAACCCCTCAAACGTCGGTATTGAGATGGGTACTGTTGTCTTCGAGAACATCTTCCAGGGTCAGGAAATCGGTTTTGTTCAGACTTCTGGTCTCAAACTCTTGCCTGATGCTCTTACACCTATTGCTATGGAGGGTACCTTGACCAAACAGACCTCTGAAGCCGGCCTTAACGCGCTTGGCGATTTGTTCCGTTTGGCTTTGAACGGTGGGGCTCCCAACTTGATTGTCAAGGGCAAATCTGTCACGCCTGCCAGTGGTCCTGTCTCATGGCTGAGCTCGGCTTTTTCGTCCTTGACAATGAATGTCACTCTTCCAAGCCTAGGCAAACAGGATATTATTACAGGAATTACGCTCAAAACTATGACTTTGGACTTCACTGGTGGTAACCCATACCGAGTGATGACCTCTTCGGACAACATTGAGGCTACATTCAAGATCCCCTTCTCTTTCCCTCTGAGCATTACCCAGGTTGCTGAAGATGTGAACATTCAGCTGCCCAAGGGCAGAAACGTTGCAAACTTGAAGCTCCCTCTTGGAGCCGCTCAGACAGTTTCACCTGGTCTCCTCCGAACCGCCTATGAGAACCAGCCCTTGGTTGTCAATGATGATGCACATGAGGCGTTCAATAGCTTTTCTAAAGTCTTGACGACAGGGCCTGGAATCCAGTTCTTCTTGGAGGGTACTGCCGACACTGTTGCCGAGACTGCTGCTGGCCAAGTCAAGATCCCCGGTGTGAGTGTTAACGTAGCCTCATCCTTAGCAGGTATGGACTTGAACACTGGTGGCGCGCAGATCACTGACATTCGAGTCACTGGCGGCACATCTCAATACCTCGAGATCAATCAGAATGTCGTCCTTCAGAATCCCTCAGGGTTGACGGTCAAAGTTGGTGATGTCAGCTTTGATATCTCCTACTCTGGTAACAATATGGGCCGTGCAGTTGTAAAGGATATGGCCTTAGCTCCCGGCCTCAATACTCTGCCAGCTGTCTTCCAGCTGCAACCATCCAACGCTCAAGTCCGTGATGGATTCTTGAGTGGGTTCGTTTCGGGCGCAACATTCCAATTGGACATTGCAGGCTCAGCCGAATCCACTAAAGTAGAGTCACTCAAGGATGCTATGGCTTCTGTCAAAATGTTGTCGACCATCAAGGGTATCACTGACAAGCTTATCGCTCCTGGAAGTACTTCCCAGCCAGATATAGGCAACATGCTTCAGCCTTTTACCCCCCGCAAAACTCCTGTCCAGGTTATGATCTACAATCCTTTTGATGCTCCATTGTACATCAAGAGCATGAAGGCCATCACGACTTGGGAAGGTAAGACCTTTGGTGAGGTCAATGAAGAAGTAGGCATGACCATTCCCGCCAAAGCGACAGTCCGTTCGCCTACCTTGACCATGGTTTCGCCTTCAGGCCTCGGATTTGCTGTTGATACACTTGCCCCGTTCATGGTAAGGTATCCTCAGCTGCTCGTTGGTAAAGCTGCAGATGTGCCCTTCACTATTGAGTCAACCATCGTGGCTCTTGTAGGCGGATCGAGTGGATATGAGGGTAATGTCCAGTACACCCAACCTGATACTATAATCAATGTCAAGATCAACGGAGAAGTGCCAAAGGGCAACTTGCCGGGTGGCGATACAGCGACAACTACCACCACAGCGGCTGAAGCTCCAACGCAGACGACGACGAAAGGCGAGCCTACTCTGCCTACCTCTGGAGCTCCATCGCAGACTGAGAAGCCAGAGCCAGAACCAAAGCCTACCAAGGTCACGGAGCCTCCTACTGAGACCAAAATTGATAAGACCGCGGAGCCCGAGCCTACAAAAAATCCGGAGTCGGATCCCCGTATCCCCATTATTAGCAAGCGCCAGCTAGACATCCTCGAGGCTTTCCCCAAGGAGGCCACGCTTGAGAATGTTGAGACATGGATCAAGGCAATGGCGAACAGGATCGCATTGGAGGAGGGGCACGCTGCTCCTAATGCTTAAATAATTTTCTGTTCTACCATCTACATCTTTCCCTATTGTTCTATCTCTGTACTCGCAACTCTCATTCATCATACGTTTTATTTCTATTGAGATCCAAGCGGCAGGCTTTTGGAGCGTTCAAAAACCCAAAAAAGTAAGCCGCGTTTATGACTTTTCTGCGTTCATAGCAATATACCTTAATTCATGTGTAATGATTCATGTGTCTCAAAATCCAATCCATCATAATATTTTGTCCTTCATTCCTCTTTTCTTAAATCGAGAAAATAATGATAATAAAAGTATGAATGACAAATAAACAATGATATATACTTCTGTTGACTTCTTAATTGTAACAAGCCAGGTCAGTAAATGGAATTAAACTTTTATTCTACATGTAATAGGCTTGAAAATACTTCGTCACGTCACCAAGTTTCTTTTCTTACTCATTTTATCTTCATTCAAAAGAAACATGAATTGGCATCCCAGCAAGTGTCTTGAGGACCCAGAGGTATACAGGAGCAAGTTTCTCTCTGAAAAGACGGGACGAAACAAGTTTGCTCTTATCATTCTGAATCAACCGATTCTCATTCAGCGCAAGCTTTTTGAGAATGTCTGGAATAATGGTAAATACACATTTTAAAAAAAAGGCAATTGCAGGACAACCAATAATTACAACAATAACAGCAATAGCAAGGCTGCAAACAAGTACCACGAAACAGGAGAAAGAAAGATTTATATATTAATGTATAAAATGAATCTAATAACATCTTAAATAAACAAATAAAAAAAAAAGCAACATACAGGTTTTGTGCAGATGGCGGAGGAAATCGACTGTACGATTTGTTGGAAACGGAAGAGGAGCGTATAAAGTAAAGGATTTTTATGTCTTTGGAGAGAGTCCTTTACATTCTATCAGTAGGTCTAGCAATTGATTAGGATTTTTTTTTTTTCTAGATTCCTGCCTGATTATATCCGTGGTGATTTAGACTCCTTACGTGATTCAGTCAAAGAATATTATGAATCGAAGGTAATGGCAATACATTTCAGCACTAGTAACTTAGCGATGGAAATTAGTCCGAACGAATGAATCGCTTGCCTTACGAATATTTTTGTCTTTGCCTCCCCCCTTTTTTTTGAATTCTCAATAGGGTGTTCCGGTGGAACAAAATGGCGATGAGGAATCGACGGATTTCATGAAGTGTGTGGAGCTTGTTCGTGAACGAGACAACAAATCATCGTCCTTTGCCGATTCACAAATAAAACAAGATACAGAAGAGTTAGGTGGTAATTTAGGAGTGGTTGCACTTGGAGGAACAGGTGGACGGTTTGATCAGTCCATGTCATCGATCCACCATTTATATGTCCTCAACCGAGAGAGACACGCCACCCTACTATCGGATGAGAGTATTATTGTAGTTCTTGGCACTGTAAGTCGACTTATGATCTGTGTATGATCAAATCATCGGACAAGGGAAAGAAAGTGCGCTTCTGACCCTTTTTTTTTTTTTTTTTTTTTTTTTTTTTTTTCAATATCAATAATTCTAGGGCAAGCACGAGATTACTTGCAACTTAGATATTGAAGGGCCAACATGTGGCATAATTCCAGTCGGTTCTTCTGAAGCCACTCTGACCACAATCGGACTTAAGTGGGACATTAGTAAGGCATAATTTATGTATTGTTGATTGCTTGCCATCCATATTCAACCTTATCTGATTTTTTTTGTGTGCTTGTTTGCTAGAAAATTGGAAATCATCTTTCGGAACAAAAGTCAGCACTTCGAATGCATTGGTGAGTACCAAGATTACCATCGAAACCACTGCACCTGTTGTCTGGACCACTGAGCTGAGATACAAAAGAGAACAATAGACCTAGTATCAATGATACAAATAAATAGAATTTTATGTATAGCAGTTGACTTTTATATTATACAATGGTGACCATGAGAAGGAAAAAAGTATTATTAAAGGACAGCATGTGGAATATATGGAGCGAACAAAAAGTCGCTATGCGGAAAGAGAGAGTAGAAAAGGCATCCGTATCCTTAAGAAGAGTAGTTGTTCACAGGCAGGATGGGTTGGCTTTTTGTGGAGAGAATGAAGATCTAGGACACGCAGCCGACAAAATACCGAAAGGAGACAGGCGTAAAATTGCTTCGAGACTCTGGCGGCTGCAAATCATCAACAAAGAATCAATCTCGTACGCTTTCTTCCCTGGCATTTATACAGGAGGTAACTGAAATTATTTATTTATCATACCATTAACTTTATTTTAAAGATTTAGACTGAGGCCTAATAGCTCTCCATACGATGAACACGTGTTACCAGCAACTAAGAGAGAAAGAGAGATATGAAGGCACAGCTTCAAGGGCTCTCCCACTTGCTTCAAATCAGAAATGCCACTTGACAAATATTTATATCAACATGAAATCTTGTGTTAGACTAAAGCTAACCTTACTATTACTGAAACATTCTTGAAAGAACCTTTGATTATAGGATCCTTCGCCATCGTTTTCGCCCCCGCTTGCTTTGTTATGGCTACTTTGTCTTCCATAGCCTTGCGGGCGCTGCCCACCTCCCCCATATCTTCCTCAACTAGAAAAGGCGCCTCGACTGGAAGAGCTCCCTAGGTCACCAGTATCCACCTCTACCAGGAGAGCCTCCTCGATCGCCATACCCGCCTCTGCCACCACGACCCCCGCCTCTATAGTTAGTGTTTCCAGGTCTTGGATCGTAACCATAGTAAGGATAGGGGTTGGAGAAACGAGAGCCATCGTTAATAGCGCCACCATTATATGCGTCATACCCCGACCCACCGCCATAGTGAGGCTGTTGAGGCTGCTGAGGATATGCGCGGTCGTAGCTCTGGCCAGGATAGGTCCTATCCGCCGGACCACGGTTCTCAGGGGTAAAACCGCCTCGGCCACCTCGAAAGCTCGCCCCTCCTCTGGTATTACGATCAAAACCACCCTGATATACATTGTTTTGCCCTAGGTTTCCAAAATTATTGCCTCCATACCCCCCTCGACCAGAAAAGCCACCTCGACCAGGAGAGCTTCCTCGGTCACCATATCCACCTCTACCAGGAGAGCCTCCTCGATCGCCATACCCGCCTCTGCCACCACGACCCCCGCCTCTATAGTTAGTGTTTCCAGGTCTTGAATCATAACCATAGTAAGGATCAGGCTTGGGAAAACGGGAGCCATCGTTAATAGCGCCACCATTATATGCGTCATACCCCGACCCACCGCCATACTGAGGCTGTTGAGGCTGCTGAGGATATGCGCGGTCGTAGCTCTGGCCAGGATAGGTCCTATCCGCCGGACCACGGTTCTCAGGGGTAAAACCGCCTCGGCCACCTCGAAAGTTCGCCCCTCCTCTGGTATTACGATCAAAACTACCCTGATATGCATTGTTCTGTCCTCGATTTCCAAAATTATTGAAGCCCCCACGACCTCCACGGCCACCTCTGCCACCATAGCGTCCTCCCCGCTGCGTCCCTCCACCGTTCTTTATCCACTGAATATCGTCTGGTGACAGGACGCGCTTAGGAGGGTTGACGCCCTTGAGCATGACAGCCTGATGAACAAAACCTTCAGGAAGTGGTGGATTAGAGAAAATAACGCTGATGGAAGTGTCGACGGGAATGTCCTCAAGCCCATAGTCCACTAAAGGTGAAGGGAACGAGCTCCGGGGAATACATTGCGGATCTCGAGACACATTGCCCAATAAACGCCCACTCTTCTTGTAGTCTAGATAATAGACTTCGCCCTCGCTACGAGAGCTATAAAGCTTATCGCACAAAACGTCATAAAGCTTGCTCTTCTCACTGACAAAGAGCAACTCCTTGCCAAACTTATTGCGTTCAAGTTCTTCTTCTGTAAGTTTTGGGTACAGTGGTGCCATAGAGTCAAGTAACCGCTTAGGGTCTAAGAAAGGAAGCAGTGCCACACCTTGCCATGCAAACTTTTTGCCATTCAAGTCGAGTTCGAAGTTTTCGGGATAAAAGTCGATAATAGGCGAATCCTCCTCGTACATCAGGGGTTGGAACGCAAGGGGGATGTGTTGTTTACTCGCAGCAGGCAAAACTCCCATCAGCTGCTCAATTGGCTGAAATGGTTGGCCAAGATCAAAATTGATCTCAATATCGCCAATATCGACAAAATCGGAAGCGAAGGGGGAGTAATGGTATGGATAATACCATTGCCAGGACGGGCAGCCTTGCATGTAGTATTTCATGACCCAACAGCATCCTTCAATATAACTCTTGACAATCCTATGATTATAACAATAATGATAAAAGGTGTAGTCAGTGAAGGCTTCAAGCTTAATGCCCGATTTGTAGTTTACTTATTTCTTAAGTTCCTCTTACGCTCTGCGGGCTTCAGTATCGGAAAGCTCAATGTGAAACTTATTGCGATAATAGCGTTCTTTATAGTCGGGTTCCCAAAGTCTGACATTGTCCTCCGGTTCTTCGTCATCGGTAATTTTTCTCTTAGCGATTGTTGGAGGAATGGGTGTGGGTGTAGCAGCGGCTTCAGTATCATCATCTTCGTCTGAAATGGACTCTTCATCATCCTTATCGCCCTCGACTTCATCTATCTTTCGCTTCAGTGAATTCGACTCTGTCATTGTAATATCCTTTGGAACATTTTCTGAAGTAACTTCAGCAGCCATATCAGTCGGCTCCTTTTCTGAATTTTCTACTGATTCTGTTTCATTCGCCTTCTTGCCTTCCTCAGCAATGTCCCCAGTGTCTTCAGAGGCTGTTTCTTGCTGTGCAAGCTCTGCCTTTAAAAGAGCTGCTGCTGCGTGGTTTGCAGCCGTCCTAATTCGGACTTTCTCTTCCATGATCATCTTGTTCAAAGCAGCAACTTCTTTTTCAGCCTCTGCTTTGTTGCTTAGCCCTTTGACAGCAACAGCTGGCATGTTCCAGACTGGCGTTTGAGAAAGGGCAGTTCCTCCTTCCTTCGATGAATAGAGGTCTCTAGCCTCATCCTCAATTTTCCTACGCTTGTTGTTCTTCATTCTTCGTTCCTCTTTCTCTCGACGCTCCTGGAAGATCCCGTCTTCCTTCTTACCTAGCTCAGTCATCAAGAGCTGTGCACGCTTCAAGTCAACATCTCCACTTCGTGTCACGTATCCACCCATCAGAGGAAGAACCTGCTTCCAAATTTCAATTAAGATATCAATGGCACCTTCTCGTGTCTCCAGTGATGGAAGGTGGGGTAAGAAATCATTTCCGACAAAGAAACACAAGAACACCCAGTCATCAATCGCCTTCTCAATATCCCATTCAAAGGGAAGATTATCAATTTTGAGCTCAATTTCGAGATACTCACGCAGAATGCTAACATTCAGGTAAATATAAGGCTTCACTGTTGCAGGTGCTTTTTCATCGAAATCACCCGACTTGACCTTGGCCTTGCCCTGGCATTGTGCTGCCTGGTGACCTGTCTGATTACAAAGAAAGCATTTATTCTTTGAGCTGCCCTCCTGGAAAAATACATCTTCTCGAAGAACTTTGAAGTAAGGCTCATGAGTTCCTAATGCCAACATGATTAAATCAGCATCCTATTTTATTTTTTTTAACAAGAAAAAAAAAGAAGAAAACGTCAGTACAGTAGTCATAGATAGGAATAAAAACAAAAAAACAAATAAAGCTGCTGCAATGGCTTACCAATCCATAGATAACATGACTAGTATTAGGGTTATGATGAGGTGCTGCTCGCTGTGAGCGAATGAAATTCATCATCTTGTGTTCTCCTTCCCCAGGAACACTGCCATCTGAAAGGATAACCTTAAAATTCATCCAACCGGGATCATCATTAAGTTTTTTAGCAACCCAGAACCGTAAGGCTTTACCCAAGTTGACCATGAATGGCGTTCCAGGCGTAATACAGTTAGAATCAAATTTCTGTTGAGTATCGTGTTCAGGACGCTGGGCTTTGAGTTCAGCTAGGAGTTATAAATGAAAACAGCTCTGTGTTAGTAAATATAATTTAATTTCATACGACAGTCAACTAATGAAGACAAAGGTTTACAATGCAAGTAAATCTATACCTGTTAATTCTTCCCATGCAGCATCTTCACTTGCAGCCTTCTCCTTTGCTTCCTGTGCAGCTCTGAAACGTCTGGAGCGCTGTTGGTTCATTTTAGCCCGAGGGGCAACGCCGTCTAAGATAGCGCAATTTAATGAGCGAAAGTATGAAATGTTAGATGCCAAATCTATTCGACAAATTGATCAAAACTAGTTGAATGAAGATAAGACTTACCGATGGCCATGTAGAGCATCTTGCGGGGCCTAACCATATTTACAATGCGTTCGATATATGCAAAAATGGCAACAAACATCTCTTCTTCGTTACTTGGTGGCGGCTACAGACAAGCCAAATAGAACGTAGAGCAATATCGTGATTAGTCAGCTATAACATATACTCCTTAATGCCTCTTAGATCAAAGAAATGTAGCTGTGGTATTGGTCCAATACAGAGATCGGAACACTGTCTTACTTTCCCCTCTGGCTTACAACATGGATGGATAATGTTGTTCATATCCAGATATAGATAATCATTCTCATCTCCATTAGGATTTGGTTGAGTGATGTCGATAGGTATCGTAACACCGTTAATCTCCTTGGGCTCTTCCTCCACAACGTTGGTTGTGATTTTTGGATACTTGTTAGCAAGCCTATAATATAAGAGAAATGTAAATATTTTAGGAAAGCAAATAAATAAAATCTGATCAGGACAAGCAAAGATTACTTGATAGAGAAATTGTGCCCAATATATACCATCTGAAGAGAGCAGGAACTCCCATGATCTGAGAAGAAAGGAGGAAGTATCGTCCGACAGTGAGGTGGAATAAGCTTGTAAAGATGAATACAGTAGCTGGATCAGGGATACAGCGAGTGAAAGTGACGACTGGCGAGAAAAGAAAAGGAATGAGTGAAGCGAAAATGTTGATGCAACAAGCTTAATGAACAATTGTTGTAAGCTTAACTTTTGTGTTGCCATCAGTGACTGTCAATTTTGAATGACGTTTTACACTTGCGCACAATTCAAGTTTCATTCTCATTCATTTTTGTTTGCATTCAGCATTTCATTTCCCACTTCTTGCAGTGCTTTTTCCTTAACCATTTAAAACATAAATATCCACACACGTATCCACCTTTTTTCTCTGTATTCTATTTTATTTTTGATTGAAGTTTCTCAATATGGGGGATACTAACCATGAAGACATTGTTCAGTTCTGTACTATCACCTCTGCAGACCCTGATGTCGCCTCAAACTATTTGACAGTAAGTATTATGACTACCTTTACTGAGCTTGTAGATTTTTTTGGCCGAAGAGTAGATTTGACTACTAAGCGAACGCCTCCACGGCCTTACTTCCTTTTTTTTTTTTTATTTGTTTTTTCTTTCAGGTCTGTGAAGGATCATTGGAGCGTGCCATCACATTATACATGGAAAGCGGCGGCGTTGACTTGGCAGGAACAACACCAGTAACCAACAACAATAGCGGTGATAATGCGAGTACTCGTCGCTCACGGAATTCATCTAACAGTGGATCTCCAGGTGGATATCTCGATCAGGACGAAGAGCTAGCGCGTTCACTTCAGGAGGAGGATACAAAAGCCGCGAGCACTATTCGTGCACCGATAGCACCTAGACACGAAATGTTGATTAGTGATGATTATGGCGATCGGTCGTCACCTCTTTATGGCGGATCTTCTCGTACGTATTTACTACTTTCAACCACTTGTGGAAATGGGACCAAAGATGAAATTTTCATGCATGTTCAACAAACTTGGCGAAATTTTTCTGATCACATGTTTTTAATTGCTATTTTTTAGGATCCCGTCCTGCTCCATCAGTATTTTTACCTCCTGACTCTTCAAGTTTGGCCCGAGATGCTTTTCGTGACTTTGCCGCGGAGGCTGCCACATTAGGGGGTGAGACCAGTCCCAAGACATCGAGGCTGGCTGATCTTTTTAAAGCTCCTTTGGATATTATGGCCCGAGGAAATTTTGATCAGGTACATTGATAACCAAGTCGATCTCTACCCCATTCTTTAATGTTTGATTTATATGACTTTGGAACAAGTGGCTAACTATGGAATAATGTATGGTCATATGCTTACTGGTTTTATTTTAGAGTCGTAATGTTGCCAAGAAAGAAATGAAATGGCTCATGGTCAATATTCAAGAAGCAGGAGTGTTTGCTTGTCAAGTTCTGAACCGTGATCTCTGGAGCGATCCAAGTGTGAAGGAGCATGTTAAAGAGAATTTTATCTTTCTCCAAGTATGTTAGATGTCAGCATATTTGTGGACATCTATGGAATACTTCTTTAGGCTTTGTTATATCGATATCCGACTCTAATCCTCAACTATACAGTTCTACTCTGATAGTGTTGAAGGGAAAAAATATGCTGCATATTATCCTCTCCAGACATTCCCTCATATTGCAATCATCGACCCAAGAACAGGTACTCTTTTTTTTTTTTTTTTTTTTCTTTTTTTTCTTTAAATATGCAGCTGATGCTAAATATGACTACGTCATTCTCCCTAATGTATGATTACTGATAGCCGAGAGGATGCATGTATGGAGCAAGACCATTGATCCAGTGGACTTCCTCTCTGATGGTAAGCTTCGTATAACCAGCTATAGCTTAAGCATTTAATCAAATCAAGGGACTTTGTGGCTTACATGTTCGTCAAATTACGCCAACGTTTAGTATCCGAATTTCTTGAAGTTCATTCGCTCACAGATTCAACCTCAAAGCCTTCGCAACCAAAGAAAAAGAAGACCGTCAAAGATGTGTCAGATATGACAGAGGAGGAGCAGCTGCATGCGGCTTTGGTGGCTTCTATGGGGGGTGATACTTCAAACGCCGTTGACCTTGGAGATGATGAAGTAAACACGCCGATTTCAGATTCATTCGAAGGTATTTTTTTTTAAAAAAAAAAAAAAAAAAAAAAAAAAAAAAAAAAAAAACAGCTTTTACATTTAACCTTCTGATTAAAACATCGTGTCTATTACTCTATTGTGCCTCTAGAAGCAACTCCTGTAGAGCCAGAAGTATCGGTTTTTGACAGTATAAAACCTGTACGCCACGAGGAGCCTACCGATCCTGCTACATCGACTAGGATTGGGTTTCGCCTTAGCGATGGTTCACGGCTGATGCGCCGGTTCCCAAAAGATGCTCCAGTTCGTGCGTTGTTTGAGTTTGTCAAAGCAGAGGTTGAAGATGCGCGTACACAATCATTTGAAGTAAGCTATGTACTAAAAAATGCATACTCACTGCGTGAAGTAAAATGAATAGACGATAAATCTAATCCGTTACTTTTTTTCACATTCCCCTTTATTTCTCGTCAGCTTGTGTTTATTGGTAAGCAGCTTTTGGATGATGTTGACAAGACCCTTGCAGAGGTTGGTGTGGAGAATGCACAAATCATGGTCCAGATGTAAAGGACCAAAATGTATGATATAATGGATGATACGGCATGAATCATGCCAAATTAGATGTGTCACAGCAATCCATTGCATAGCCGAGAAAAAAGAAAATGAAGCGTGGAAGGTTGGCAGAGTCTCACGAGCGAGCGCAGGCATAGGTACTGGAACGACTGCAATCGCATGACCGCTTAATATCCTGCGACTGAAGAATGCAAAATGCACAATAAAAAAAAAAAAAAAACAACAGTCAATGGCGAACGTGTTGGGTCGAATTTATTTTGTTATTATACAAGACGAGCATTCCATAATGTAGTTCATGATTGTGATCCTTTGTTTTCTTCCTATTTGGCCGTTCTAAAGAGCTTTTGGAAAAAGGTTGGTCCCTTCTTTCCAATGGCCTCAATATTCTTCTTGGCTGTCTCTTTCTCCAGCATATCAACAAGCTTAGAGTAATAGTTGGGATTGCTGGCGGGGGTCAGCAACTTCGATGAGAGAGGATACTGGAGAAAGAAATAAAAAGTCAGTGCTGAGTTCATATACATCTCTCTGGTCGTGAATTCTACAACATTCCCCACCTTTTGTTTGAACTCATTTTGTGCGATCTTCTGCAAAGCTTCGAGTTGAACTCGGGCATCGGCCACTCTTGAGGCAAGAGTGTCGGCAGCATTGTTGGGTCCTGCTGTAGCGTTGAGGGGAGATCGAAACGACTCCATGACCTGGCTCCGGAGTGCAGTCTTCATATTGCGAGTAGGACGGATAGGATCAGTGGGCCATTTGTTGATCACTCTTAGGTAGGATCTATAGAGACTAAGGACAGTTTGTGTGGAAGGAGTTGCTGCTGAGGACATTAGAAATCGTGGCTGTGGTAAATTGAGGTTGTAAAGGAAGTAGGTTATGGTTCAATTGCATGCATGGCGGTTGTTTACTCTGTGCATGTCACCGTGGCTTTTATTTAAATGCATCGTGTGATTTGAAGAACCATTTGATGTCCCCGGATACCGCCTTTTTTGAATGCAATTTTATTAAATACTGTTGACACCCCTCACTTGCTTTTTTTCTCAACCTCATAACCACTTTTGATCCAACCATCCATGCCCTCGTCAAGGCTCCATACTTTTGGCATGTCTTTTTCATTCGATACAGCTTCCGCTCCTCCGCTCTGTTCGTTCTCATCAACACCATATCCTAATCTAACAAGAGACTCAGCGGCAAGGATCGATCTGAAGCCGCCCGCACAATAAACGACCACATCCCTTGGATCATTTTGCTTCAAGTACTTGCCAACATCTCTTTCGAGGATACCTCTCGGCAAGACAATGGCTCCTGGAATGGTGCCTGTAGTCTCAACTTCATGTCGTTCACGAACATCAATGATGTGAGGAGGCAATCGTGGGTTTTGAGCAGAGCTATAAGTGTTTGATTTTAATGCGTGAAGGTCCCTGGGAGAGATATGATGAATGTTTTTATTGCTAGCCTTGATCTCTTGCACAAGCTGTGGGAAGGACTTTTGAGTGAGCGCCGACTACAAAATAAGCATGATAAATAGAAATAGGCGAAGGATGTCAGAACATCATTTATTCTTGTCATATCATGGATAACTGGTGCAAAAAAAAAAAAGCGCACCTGCATGAACAGACGCTGATGCAAAACATGGCCAACACTACGAGGAGGCATACAGATAAGGCGTGGGATGTTGCTTAGCATGTCGTGTCACTAAAGGTCAGTGAAGATGAATTAGAAAACATGTACACACATACTTTGGGCACCAACACCAAATGATTTCTCGCTGCTCGCTGCTCTTGCCTTCTTACATTGTTTCTGTCCACGTGACACTAAAACAGTGCTCTTTTTTTTTCCCACAAGTTCCACTTCTACACATTTCACTTTTTACGACTTTAACCACAATTATTCATTCTCAATGGCCTCTAACGCTGCCTGCATCTTTTGCCGCATCATCAAGCGCGAAATCCCCGCCAAGGTTCTATTCGAGACCGAGCATAGGTACTGTCTTGAAAGCATGCCAAAAACGTGAATAATAAATAATAGTAACGCGTTGAAAGTCAACCTATTAAAGCTATCTCATTTTATTGATGAATGGCGACAGAATTAATTGAGCTTTTTCTTTGAAGTTTTTATTCACTATCACTTCATTTACCCTAAATATCCTCTCTTCTTGTTCTGCTCAATAGTCTGGCTTTTCTCGACATTGGACCTCTCAGTGAGGGTCACACTGTATGTTTTCATATTACCTTCCGAATCAATTACTAATAAATGAACGTGAGAAGATACATAGACTAAGCACTTCTATTCTCTTCGATATATCTAGGTTGTGATCCCAAAGTGTAAGGCCCAACTCTTTTTTATTTTTTTATTTATTTTTTAAACGAAACTATGCATGAATAGGCTACTGTCTCAAAGCTTACGATTAATCTAACGCCGATTCTTGCACTCTTTTAAACTGTATCGGCCATGTTAATATAATATTGTTCTTATCTAAAAAAAAAAAAAAAAAAAAAAAAGACCATGCACAGTTCCTACACGAGCTTCCTGACTCTGAGATGGTTGATCTATTGCCCACCGCCAAGAAAGTTGCTCAAGCCATTGGGTGCAAGGATTACAACATCCTGCAGAACAATGGGCGCATTGCTCATCAGGTATAAATTTTGTTTGAAAGCAAATAGATTGCCTAGATGATATTTTTTGAGAGTTGTCGCCTGATGAGTGTTGTTATTTTATTTTATTTTTGATCGAAAAGGCTGTCGATCACGTCCATTTCCATGTTATTCCCAAGCCTTCTGAAGATGAGGGGCTTACTATGGACTGGAAGACGAAAGAGACTAATAACGAAAAACTTGAAGCCCTTCGCAAGACCTATCTCAAGCTTTAAAGAGAGGAAGATAGACAAGTTTCCCTTTTTTGCAATACGACAAAGAAATACAAACAGAATAGTCTAGTGTCTCTCGGACGTGTACTCAAAATCATGCAGAATGCAGAAAATGTTAATACAACTTTATAACAAAGGTGCGTGGCTAGACCCAGCCCTTTCTATCTTGAATTATGACTGGAGACATGAAATATTTTGGCGCAGAGCCACGAAAGGAAGGAGGCTGCAGTTAATGGTCTCCGGACCGTCTCCCTACATACACTTAGATAGTGATACATGGTCCACCCAGAACAAAAACAAACAAACATAATGAAAAACTCTCACTCTAGCAACACCTATAGCTTGGATTTCTAAACCTCACCAAAAAAAAAAAATACCTGGTCTTTTAGGTATATGTTTAAGTATTTGAATTACTGAAAGAATAAAACTACTGCTCCTCATAGGAAGAGTCATTCTTCCTTTTTCTAAGCATAGCTTTTGATATTATCTTTAGCTTTGAAATATGGACAGCTTCCAAGTCGTTCCCGAATCTACTCCAGAGTACACCGGCAAACAACAGGCTGTTAGCAGGATCTTCCGTATCCTGGATGCGGAAAAAATGTCATTGTGCGGTTTTCTTATGTTGGCGTACAGCTCAGAGGATACGTTCGTGAAACAAAAAGCTGATCTTGTTGAACGAAATGATGGCCCAGCAAAATTGGTAGAAATTTGAAAAGACCATGATAGTTTTGAGAGCGGCACCACAGCAACGACAATTATGGATGAGCATCTTGGCGAGCTTTCCCAAACAATTCATAATCGATCGAACTCATCTTGAAATGTCGGCCTTCCCTCCTGAGGGCCTCCGCAAGGAAAGCATGCATTGATTTCATATCTCTGACGTCTTGTAACGTTATTCTGACCAGTATGGTAAGCATGTGGTCCAAATGCACAAGATCGACGCTCTCAAGCCAAAAAAGTTGATAACAATTCTACTGCCAACGATGAAAGTTGATCAATCCCCGACTGTGGGCAACATCGAGGCTATAGAGCGAGTCTCTACGAGAATACTTAAGCTGGGAAAGCTGTAATTCGAGGGCAGGTCGATCATCATCATCAGCGATCTGCTAACTAATTCGTGCGCAGTCTCCCCAGTAGTGGTGTACAACGGATATCACCAGATCCGATTGTTTAGAATCGGTAATTCCAGTGATGCAACTCTTTCGTCTTCAGATGAATCTCGTATCCACGACTTACAAGACTCATTATGGCTCTATGTCCGCAGAGGCTCGTTGGCATATTTTATGTCTATTTTAAAACTAAACAACTAATTTTTATTGCCTGTCGTCTTCCTCCATGAAGATTTAGTGGTAGCTAAATCCATATTATCAATCACTAAACGTATTGTTTACATTCGACTTTTGCATCAGTAGATGTCAAGTACTTTTGGAATTTGAAATCTTCATAGATTTCTGTAAAAACAATTAAAACTAACAAGATTTCTTTAGATCCAACCCACTCCTTTTTTTGAGCTTCTCAAGAAGTCTTGTGAAGGGCCTGCACTCAACGGGATGTCACTTGGATAGAGTAATTTGAAATAAATGGCTAGAAAATACCATGTCAACACAAGGGAAATTGGAGCTATTTGGTATACATAATGTTTCTGGATACACTTCTTCAATCCCATCAAAAAAACTTTAATGAGATTTGGTTAGGATTGTGATAGTAATGTCGAGTGCATCCTCAAGGTTCCTTGCTTTATATATATGTCTGCCTTTCCAGAATAAAATCGTACGACTAGCTCAAACAATGATCCCCTGGCTGTTCTATCGCCTTTGGGGGCCTTCGTCAATGCTCTTTTATAGGTGTCTTTTTTCATTAATTGAAAGATCCGAGCTGCAACATACCCTGAAGCCCATTCCAAACGATAGGTTCGAATATTTCCGCTGGCCAACAGTGAGGAAGGTCACTGGTTTGTATGGATTGCCCTTAGCTTCAAAGTATCGCATGAGCTGCGTTGACTTTTTTAGGTTGGTGAGAGCTACTTCAACAGTTTCGTATGCCTTCCTGGCCTTCGAGGTCATTTAACTCATTGGACAGCACCTTCGTCGGCTCCTCAGGGGTTTATCTTGCTACGCCTCCTACTCCCCATAGAGTTCTTCCAAAAGATCTTCAGTACTTACGTGAAAGCTTCTAACCTTCTTGCAGCATAATTTCAATTCCTCCAGCATCCGCGGAGCCATGCAATATGTCCACTGTACTCGCTTGTTAACATTTCAATAGGGCTGGTGAGAATTAGAATATAAAGTCTTTGGTAACACTGAGATAATAGCTTTGGCCTGCGGAAGTGATGGAGCTGCAGAACTATCCATTAGGAGCTATGCTTCGGGTAAGTCAGGGAATATTTAAAATCCTTAAGCTCCCCACTACGCATAGAGATAGGCCTCCAAATGCATAGCACTCTTTGTTTTCTTTTCCTGGAAAATAATAATCGGTGTTTTGTCGCCTTCACTTTCGGTAAGCAAACAGACGGAGAAGTATACAAGAAAGGCTGATTTCCCAATGCCTGCACAGTTCATGTGATAGCAATATTTTGTCGCTGTTTGGATGGTCAAATTTCTTATTAACTCCTTGGTAAGGGTTCTTGTAAACCTGCCTGACGTATAGGTGCTTTAACTCGTTCACAGGGGTTCCACCGGCCTTTTCCTAGTTATCAAATATCTGTTTTCGGAGGGTTTTCCTCAGAGAACATAGACAGTTTGAGTTGGTGTATCACGAGGGCTGCCTATAACGCCTGCGCCGCCAAAGGTATTTAAGTACAGAGACCCGCTCTTCATTTGTGAAGTGAAGGATGTCCACTTTGCCACCCTTCATGCCTTTGTAGGAAAGGTCTGCCGTATCAATCGCCGCTTCCATCACGCCAAAAAAAGACTAAAATGAAACTTGGACTCGTGACTGGCATCATTTAACCTATTCCAAAACAGACGCGTCCAAAGTAGGTAGAGTTAAAAGACGCCACGAAAAAATGTTTATTGTTGTTTATTGGCTTTAATTCTGACCCTTGCCAAGGACTTTTCTATCTTTCTGCTAATTCTAAATATATTCACATTTGTCAGAGCACACTACCCTACCATGTCACAGGATGAACATACTGCCAAGAAGCGTCGCATCAGTTCGGGAAAGCCAGCTTTATTACAGTCTCGCTCATCCTTTCTGGATGAATTGGAAGAATTACAGGAGACAACACAGGCTTTGAAAGGTCCATTACAGCTCAATGACATGTTTATTCTACATGACAAAATTGAGCAACTTTTTAACGGCTTCCTTCACATCTCTCCCCTGTTTCTTTTATTTATTTGAATGATATGGATATGGACATGGATGTGGATTACACGATACCAGTTGATGACCCCTCTTTGCTTTGGCAAAGACCTATTTATAAAAAAATTGATCCTGCAGCAGATTCAATAGGTATAATGAAGAGCATAATAAGAAAAAAGACTACTGTATTAGATCTTCGCCATTAAACAGCTTGTTTTGCTTTCGACTTCTAGTCTTCCAACAAATCGAGGCAGATGAATACATGGATTCGATAGCGCACACACCTGTAGTTCGCTTTTATGGAATCACTGAGGTGCGTAACTAATACCAGGACTTTGGAGTAGTTCAGGTTAGCATGGCTAACACGATGTCATTTGCAATGATAGATCGGGAACAGTGTTATTTGCCATGTTACTGGGTTCTTACCCTATTTTTATGTTCCTGCGCCAATGGGCTTCAAGGTCGAGAATATCCCAACCTTCAAAACAGCACTCGAAGTAGGAGAGCATCGATATGAATGGAGTTACCATGGAGGCCTTTGTTAGGTGAAATCACATTCTCACCCCAATACCTACTTTTCATGACATAGACCGGCATAGAGAGGAATAACAGCGTTGTTAAGGTCGAATGGAAACTGAAAGAATCTATATATGGTTATCATGGGGGCGAACAGTCTCCTTTCCTTAAAATTACACTTAAAGACCCCAAGAATGTTCCTACGGCAAAGCGAGCCATTGAGCGTGGGATTAAATGCCCAGGTTTTTCAGATGGTATTAAAACAACCTACGAAAGCAATATTGCTTACTTGCTGCGGTTCATGATTGATTGCAAGATTAAAGGTGCAAACTGGATTGAGTTGCCCTCGGGTACTTATCAAATGCGGGAGGACTCGAATTCGAATGCACAGATCAATGTCGAAATTAGCTATGACAAGCTAATCAGTCACCAGCCTGAAGGAGATTGGTCTAAGATTGCGCCCCTCAGGATCATGAGCTTTGATATTGAGTGTGCGGGCCGGAAAGGTATATTTCCTGAGCCCAAGAGTGATCCAGTAATCCAGATTGCATCTATGATTACTGTCCAGGGGGAGTCAAAGCCTTTTATCCGGAATGTCATGGTCCTAAACACATGTGCACATATTGTCGGGACTCACACTATGTCTTTCGACCGAGAGGAAGATCTGCTTGCTGCATGGGCAGATTTCGTCAGGAAGGTGGATCCTGATGTTGTAATCGGATATAACACCTCAAATTTCGACTTTCCATATCTGCTGGATCGTGCTAAATATCTTGGCGTTAATAAGTTCCCCTTCCTTGGTCGACTCAATGGTAATACGTTATTAACTATCAACTTTTTATGAAGGAACGTATTTTATAAATGTGAAAAATGTGAATAATTAATGAATCTGGAATGTACTATACTTGTAATGCTTCAGATATCAGAACAGAGGCCAAAGATACAAAATTCTCATCCAAAGCCTATGGAAACCGTGAAAATAAGGCCATCAATATGGAGGGCCGTCTCCAGCTAGATATGCTTCAGGTTATGCAGCGAGATTATAAGTTACGTTCCTATACGCTTAATGCTGTCTGTGCAGAATTCTTGGGTATGTATATCTGAATAATCTGGTTAATATATGTTTGATATGATTAACCAACTCAACTTCTTAATTCACTTTTTTTTTGTTCCTCAATTTTTTTCCTACCTAGGTGAACAAAAAGAAGACGTACATCATTCCATCATTACTGAGCTACAAAACGGAAATGAAGAAACACGTCGGCGACTTGCAGTCTATTGCTTAAAGGATGCATATTTGCCGCAACGACTTATGGATAAGCTCATGTGCCTAATCAATTACATTGAAATGGCAAGAGTTACAGGGGTTCCATTCAATTATCTCCTCGCGCGTGGACAACAAATTAAGGTCGTATCACAGTTATACCGCAAAGCGTTAGAAAATGGATTTGTTATCCCTGCTATTAACAGCCAAGGCAATGAAGACCAATATGAAGGAGCCACTGTCATCGAACCTCGCAAGGGCTATTATGATGTCCCTATCGCTACTCTGGATTTCGCATCCCTATATCCATCCATTATGATGGCTCACAATCTTTGCTACACAACGTTACTGACCCCGGCTGTTATCCAGAAATTCAATCTAGTCAAGGATATAGACTATGTGGTGACACCAAACAACGATGCGTTTGTTAAAGCGGAGAGACGCAAGGGGCTGCTACCAATTATTTTAACAGATCTACTTGACGCTCGTAAGCGCGCCAAGGCGGATCTTAAAAAAGAAACGGATCCTTTTAAGCGTGCCGTATTGGATGGTCGTCAATTAGCGTTGAAAATCAGTGCTAATTCCGTATATGGCTTTACTGGTGCTACTATTGGAAAACTGCCTTGTCTTCAAATCTCGTCTAGCGTCACTGCTTACGGACGTGTTATGATTGAAAGGACTAAGCAAGAAGTAGAGTCAATATTCACAGTGGAGAATGGGTATTCACACACAGCAGAGGTTATTTACGGAGACACGGATTCTGTAATGGTGAAGTTTGGTGTTAAGGAATTGGAACAAGCCATGGAGTTGGGTCGACAGGCCGCAGAGCTTGTCACGGAGAAGTTTGAAAAGCCCATCAAGCTAGAATTTGAGAAGGTTTACTTCCCCTATTTGTTAATTAACAAAAAGCGATATGCAGGATTGTACTGGACGCGTCCAGAGAAGTACGATAAGATGGATACCAAAGGAATTGAAGTATGTATTTCAGGGATTGTAGTAGTGAATCAGATGACTTCTCAAGACACATTGTGGTTAGTTCTGAAGTTGACCCCGGTTTATCACTTATTGCCATTTAGACTGTTCGTCGCGATAATTGCCGCCTCGTTCAAAGTGTAATTGACACTTGCCTTCGTAAAATCCTAATTGATCGCGACGTAGTTGGAGCACAAGAGTAAGGCAGCTACTTCTGTTTAGTATATGCGCCTAAGGTAGAACATTACTAGCAGGCCGGGAAGAGATAGTATTGTGATACTAACGGCTTGATCAAACTCCTGCCTTACTTATTCCGCTCATTAGATATACAAAGCAGATCATTGCAGACCTACTCCAAAACAAAATTGATATGGCTCAGCTTGTGATTACAAAGGCGCTCAGTAAAACAGGTATGGCATCTTGTGTAGGCATAAAACAGCCTTGAGTATGTACATTGGATGCTTTTGTGTGCTAATGTGCCCTTTCTTGAACCATCTATAGACTATGCAAATAAACAGGCTCACGTTGAATTAGCAGAGCGTATGCGTCAACGTGATGCAGGATCAGCTCCAGGGCTGGGTGATCGTGTAGCGTATGTCATTATCAAAGGCGGCAAGGGCGTAGCTGCTTATGATAAATCGGAGGATCCGCTTTATGTTCTGGAAAAGAACATTCCCATTGATACCAAATACTATCTTGACAATCAGTTATCAAAGCCTTTGATGCGAATTTTTGAGCCTATACTCGGAGACAAGGCAGAATCCCTTTGTAAGTCTTTTTTTTTTTTTTTTTTTTTTTTTTTGGTTGAATGACCATATAGTCTATTGAAAAAGAGGAAACTTTTTATTTGTCTAATTATGTCCATTTTATGGGAATTGGGATGCATGTAGTGACTGGAGATCATACACGCACGATCCAGGTCTCAACGCCTTCCATCGGAGGATTGATGAAGTTTGCAGTGAAGACTGCAACGTGTCTCGGATGTAAAACACCTCTTAAGAAAGACGAATCAGCGGTCTGCTCTGGCTGCAAAAGTCGTGCTCCTGAGCTCTATCAGAAGCAGCGGAATATTGTTAATGAACTGGAGGTCCGATTTTCAAGACTTTGGACACAGTGTCAGCGGTGTCAAGGGTCATTGCATCAAGAAGTGCTGTGCACAAGTAAGGATTGTCCTATTTTTTACATGCGCAAAAAAGTACAGAAGGAAATTCAAGACGGTACGGCCACATTGGATCGATTTATCGACTGGTAGAGACTTGTTCAGTATAATATAATACGTGGTTCATCTTCACTTGATGAAGTTATATATACCAATAGCGATAAGGCCTTACCCAGTGATATGCCAATACGGTGTCTAAAATAAAGACAGCGCTCCACGGTTTTTTTCTTTTTTCAATGACAGAAAAGTGCAAATTAAATAATTGAGAGAACGCGAAAGTTTGCGTTTTGTGTCACGAAAGGAAAAATGCACATCAATTTCAAAAGTGGCTTTTGTGTTTCGCTCTTCCACTCTTAGACTTCAAGTCTTCTGTACTCCCATCTACGCCAACGTCAGAAGGAATACATAGCAGGAATTCAACGACAGCTTTCAGCATGGCCAACATCAACATTAGCTGCATTGCCATCATCGGCAAGCAGGCAAGTCTTCACAAAAAAAAAAAAAAAAAAAAAAAGAAAAAAAAAAAAATGGAGGTCCAAGAAGCCAAAACTCTTTATTCAAGAACAAGGTGTAAAGCGAGGATAACTGTTCTAAAATGCACCTCTGCTCCTTTGATCAAACTTAGAATAATCCTTTGTTCATTAAAAACTTCAATGCTTCACATGCTGATCTTAAATACCATTATATCGCCCATACATCTTGCGACGTCATGGAGGAACGAGGTTTGTCTGGTTTCTTTTAAGCTTTTCAGCTTTGCATGGCTGTGTACTTAGCAATAAGAGACATGTCGCTTAAGTCTCTGTAGAGTAATAGTGGCAATATGAGCTCGATATTATATTCTAAGCAATCCAGGATTGACTACGTCACTACTTGGTTATTATTCATTTGTCATACAGCTGTAATGAAGACACAGGATATGTATTTGGGCGTCTTATTTTCAATGGAAGATCTATCCGTCTACGGATACATGACCAATACTAAGATCAAGTTTATCACAGTGTTGACAGTTCCTGATGTTATTATTAAAGATCTCGACATGAAAAATGTGAGTTTTATTTTTTAAAAAGAAAAAAACTTTACTAGCATTGTCTCATCTGTTGGTCTTTTTGTACTCAAGCTTTTTTATTTTTTATTTTTTATTTTCGATCAACTTCTTCCTTTTCTGTAGGTATTTCGACGGATCCATGCAGCATATGTCAATCATGCCAGTAATCCATTTTACGAGATTGACTCACAAAAGATGATCAAGAGTAAAAAGTTTGATCAAGAAATCGAGGCTATTGGACGGGGACGTCCACTGGAAGGTGGAAACAGAAACTCAATAACGACATCAAGTGCTTAAAAAAGAAAAAAAAAGAATAAAAATTAAGCGTGTATATCCTTTTTATGTTATTACATAGAAAATAAATAAAACATTTGGCCCTGAAGGAGAAGAGGGAAGATTGTTTTACCTGAGAGGACTGGGCTTTGCCAAAAATATTTAATATGTCGTAAAGCAAAGCTAAAAAAAAAAAAAAAAAAAAAAAAAGGCTGTAGAATATAAAAGAGTGCGCTCGTTCACCCCTCCATCAATATTCACATTCGCTTCCTCATTCGTTTTCTTTTCAATTTTCAAACCCCACACTCAGACAACTACCGTATCAGTCATGGCAGGTAAGGGGTTCTGACTAATAAAACAAACTTGGATTAAGTAAATATTGATTTAAAAAAAAAAAAAAAAAAAAAAAAAAAAAGTAACACATTATTGGGAAACACTAATAGATATCAGCAACAACAAGTCGTCAATGCTGACCGCCCGTCAAGAGCACTATCTCAAGAAATACCTCCTTGGCGTCCTCATCAACAGAGAAGTCGAGGGTTTACGGGAAGATCCTTATAAAACTCTCCCTAATCTTGGGGGGCCCTTTGATCCCAAAAATGAGCATACACAATCAACTATTCCATTCCTCCGTCACTTGTTCAAGTCCATTGTTGTCCCATTTCCTTTCCTAAAGGATCCAAGTTCCAAAGGTGAACTTTGGCCAAAGCTTCAATTGTTCATTCAAGAATGGACTAAATTGGATGGTGCAAGCAACGGAGTAGAGCGTGAGGAGATGAAGCGTCGGAAACGGCTAAGGAATAAAGCCGAAAAAATGGTGGTACTGATGTATTCAATGGCCGTCAAGACTGTAAAGCAACGAGAACAAGAACGAGAACATAAATATGAGCAAGGAGGAAAAGAACAAGAATTGGAAAGCAATCTTGCAGAGTTGCAATTGAGCACTACTACAGAACCAATAACAGGCCCATCGCTGCTTATCCATGGAATGCGTATCAATGTTGCTGGTATCCGGATCATCAAGGAAAAACGACATGTGCGCGAGCATGAACACCCTGTGAGTTTTTTGTTCGATGACCAATGTTTTTTTTTTATCTATCCAACTATCGTCATTATTTTGAAATGATACTCTGTGAAACGTTTAGCGAGGGTAGTAAAAAAAAATTATATGACGCGATCTTTTTATTACTGAGAGTTGAATGTCGAATGCTTTCTTTTTTTTTTTTTTTTTTTTTTGGAAAAGAGAGGAGAGATTATAACAACCAAACTAAATTCAATTAATTATTGACTGACTTCCTCACTAGGAATTCTTGGTATCGAGCATGCTGACAGATGGCAAAGAATACGTAGTTGCCAGACGACATGGTCATTTCCGTCGCTTATATATTGCGGTAATAAAAAAAAAAAAAAAAAAAAAAAAAACGCTTGCATATTTTGGCACAAATATTTTCCTGCAGGCGTCACTAAAAAAAGTAAAAAAAAAATGACTTTTACTTTACTTTGCTTCAGCTTGGAGAAGAATTCCCTCAATACGAATTCTCATTACCTCCCAGGAAGTTCTCTGCAAAGTCTGGCTCATCTGGTGCCAGAATTGCGCGTGAAAAGGATCGAGTCAGTCTTCGTGGATATCTTCATAACTTAGCCAAGGTTTCACCAGAAGTGGTTAATTCCTCGATTTTTATTGGCTTCCTCACCAAGGAACCCATCGAAACCCTGACAACAGAGGAAGCCAATGACATTCGGGTCCGTGCTGCGCTGGACAAGCATCGACAGGAGCAGCAGGCGAAGTTCGATCGAGAGGTCGCTAAAAAAGTACAAGAGCTTGATTCCCATATGAAGCAAGTCAAGATGGACCTGCTTAAACCAGGAGGCGTTTCTCGTCTATTCAGCGCGTTAGGCAAATACGACAAAGTGGAAAATTTACCACCGTTGTATCAAACTGTATTTGAATGGGGCTGTATGAGCCTCGCGTCAACGTTATATCATGTCTTTTCGGCTTCGGATGACGCGACTTTAAATTTCACGCAACTCAAGCGGACCCATACGCTGATGCCGTACAAAACCATGTGGGGGATTCTCAAGGTCTCGAACCCGATAGCCATGATGAAGGGTATCATGGACTTATTTTTGGCACAACCCTTTGGGCGTCGTAGTCTCATGCAGCGCATTATATCAGTGAACATTCAAGAAGAGATCTCCGAGTACAAGAAGAACGTGACGCAATTGGAGACCGTCATCAATGATCCCGGGCTATGTGAGAAGATCAAGAACTATGTCTATGCGCCCAAGGCCGTTATCGACAGTATCTTCCCTGATGGGGATACGAGGAATAAGGGTAATTTAAGTTGTTCGGCTGCAAGTTCGTGTCCATGAATCTTCTTTATGTAGTACAAGAGGAACAAATCTTTTTTTTTTTTTTTTTTTTTTTTTTTGAATTTAGGCCTTTATGACATTACAGATTTAGGGCTCGTGATGGACGTACTAAAGTCAAATACCATACAACCATCTCTTCAGCCAACCCAAATCAAGCGTGTCTGGGATGCTCAACAGCAACTCGAGAAAAATGAGGCAGAGAAGGAGCGTCTTATTAAACAGCGGCAGGCATTCTTAGAAGGAGAATATGATGAAGATAGTGATAACAGTGAAAGTGAATATTCTAATTCAGAAGGACCAGATTCATCAGAAGCAGAAACGTCTGCTCAACGTAGCGAGAAAAGCCGTCTCAAACTGAGTTCTAGTTCCAACCATAGGCATCAGGCTCAACACCAGGAGCAGAGTAATTTAATTCAATTGCTGCAGCAACTATTGGTGACGCAAGTGCGGATTCGGGATAAGGAGCGAATGATGGGATTAATCTTTCAGGGTGTGGCGGGTGAGATCTTCAAGGAGCTTATTTCGATCTTTTATGAGCCCTTAGTCCAAGTCTACAAAAGTGCAAACATTGCGGATAGTCTCATGGATGTGAAAGACTTTGTTGATGAGTTAGTCAAGATTGTGGAACAGGCTGATGTCAACGATGGTATGAAAAAAAAAAAAAAAAAAAAAAAAAAAAGCCAATTATTCGTTTCATCCCTTTGTTCTATTACCAATTTTTGCTCTTTCTTTGTGTTAAAACACTATAACAGACGAACATGGCAACAGCGCCTCTATTTCGACACTCTACCTAAATTTGGTCAAGAAGCATCTCCCCAGTTTCTACAAATTTGTCCATTCTGTCCATAAGCAGGAAGATGGGCTCTTCCGGGATCTGCTTGAATGGGTCGAAAGTATTCTCGCCTTTATGAGAACAGGCTATGCGCATCCACAGGTCAATGAAGAGACCAATCAGGAAGCCCGTGTCACAATTGACTTGGATACATTCTTGAAGGCTCAAATCCAGGAGTCTCAGTGTTCAGAATTACAAAAGGAAGCAGAGTTATTGCGAGAGTATTTCAGTCAAGTCAAGGACCAAAAGCGCGAAAAGGTTCGCCACATGGCTGGATTAGATCGCGCCAGCAACGATAATAGTGCAAGTGATGGTGATAACGACGGGGGCCAATCTAGCGTACTTTCATTACAAGAACAGCAAGATCGTGAGCGCGAAAGAATTGCAAAGGAATTGAGAGGGATGGGCGTCTCGCAGGAGGACGTGGAAGAATTTGAGATGGTCAACTATAATAACCACGATGATAGTGATGATGATGAGGAACCTGAAAGAGGGCAAGGAGACACCTTAAGATTAAAAGCACCTAAGGTCCCGATCATTGACACACTCCAAGACCCGTTTGTCAAACTGCTGGACAAAGCTCTATTCCAATTTGCTCGCGAATAAATTGTAAAAAGAGGTCGGTCAATAGAGTTAGGCGTATTTAAATTTTGAAAAAAAGAAAAAAAAACGCTTTCCTAGCAAGGTATTTACATATTTACATGATCTATCTTCTTATTTTTTATTTTTTATTTTTTTGTTTGCTAATAGTCGCTATTTTAGACGCGTATTCTATGATAAGTGACCCAATACAAAATAACACGATTGCTATAAGCAAATATATTTTGAGCCTGATAAACTTTTTTGTTTGTTCTCTGCTTTTTATCTTAAAACTCTGTTACTATGATGACTTTTCTTTTCCCTTTTTACATAACAATTTCGTTTTCACAGCTTTGCTTAAGGTCCTTGTGAGGCAAAACAATACAGTTCCTAATCACAATTTCATCCTTGACAGTGACTTCCTTGCCCAAGATTGTCACGCTTTGAACCTTGAGTCCATTCTTGGTCACTGCTGTGCTGTTATGAGCTGCAGGCAATGTTCCTTCCACACGAGACCAGCATCCGACCTTAGAGTTCCAGCCAACGATCGCATGCAAGATACAGGCGTTCTGCTTAATATCCACATTGTCCAAAATGATCGAATCACGAATACGAACTCCTTTGCCCACAAAGACATTAGGGCCAATTGAAACATTAGGTCCAAGCTGGAGAACAGGTAATGGTTAATTAGTGCAAATAAAAAGTCGCAAAGTCGTAAGGAATACAAGACAGCGTAGTTTTTGATGATGAAATCCTGTCAGTTTACCTTGGCCTTTGGATCAATCTGAGCAGTAGGATGGATGTAGACAGCGCCAACAATCTCGGGACCGCCAGGTGTATTTTTAGCGAGCTTCTCAGGGTTGGTACTCAAAAGTTGCTCCAAGTACAACCCATTGACAGGCACAGCAGATCTAATAGACAAGATAAAATTAGAAATGTTTTTTTTTGTAAATAATTAACAACTATAAAAAAAAGTCATTATCCCATTTCTTTTTTTTTTTTTTTTTTTTTTTTCTACATGATGAATTACCCTGCAGTTTTGATTTGTCTCCAGAAACTCTTAGTCTCATAAACAAAAAGCTTGCGAGCCTGCGCCAAAGGACGGAGAAGATCCTGCTCCAGGCGTAATTTATTGCCATCCTGGAAGACTTCCCTGCCATAGATATCAGTTTCAACACTATCATCAAATATATGCGATGAATATAAAAAATAAAAAAATACAAAAAAAAAGTTTTAATGCTTAATATAAAATCAACCTGACGCGATGATGACTCTTTCAATGGAGCAAAAAAAAAAAAAAAAAAGAAGAAGAAAAGAAAATAAAGCCAAAGACTGAAACTTACTTTCCTTTCTTATTCTCCAAAGACTTTCGAATCTCATCAAAGATAGCGCAATCAAACAAGTAGACACCACATGAGATCAAGTCGGAGATGAAAGATTCAGGTTTCTCAACATAGTGCAACACTTCATTCGTGTCGGGTTTAGCGACCAAGCATCCAAAATTATTGGCGACCTCACGAGGGACCTTGGTTCCCAAAATTGTGCACAGTCCACGATGACCTTCATGAGCCTTCTTCATCTGGATCAAGGGGAAATCGCAGGCCACATCCGCATGAAGTACAAAGACCTGTTCTGGGTTACCACGCAAAATCTCGTCACGGAAGTGATAGAGACCTCCAGCTGTTCCCAAAGACTGATACTCACGGAGATAGCTACATAGATAGAAAGGGAGAAGCGGTTAGATACAGGTTACTGAAAGATTTTTGTAGTAAGGTTTACGTTTTTTTTTTTATGTCAGAAGCGATTCTGACTAAAGTGATATGTCCATGTGGGCACTTTTTTTTTTTATTTTTTTTTTTTTTCCCACAAAAATAAAATCATTTGCTTCCTTTAATTGATAAAAAAAATTACCGGATATGAAGATTAGGGTATTCACGGGCAGCATCCTGAAGGAATTGAGAAAAGACCGAGTCCTCAAAGAAACCAATGAGAAGAATCTCTTTCAAGTCCTCGATCTTGGAAAGAGCTGCAATATGGTGCGAGATGATGGGCTTGCCTGCAACAGGAAACAAGGGCTTGGGAACATTGAGTGAAAGGGGGCGGAAACGCGTACCGCGTGAGGGACCGCCGACAAGAATGATGGCCTTTGGATGCATGATGTTTATAGATTGGATAAATGTAAAAAAAAAAAAAAAAAAAAAGATGGGAATAAAGGAGCAGTAGAGGCGAGGAACAGAGAGAAGGATGAGATGAATTGAATTGAATTGAATTAAATTTAAACAAATGGTGTCATCTTCCTTCCCCCGACCCTTTGTTGGATGATAAGGTTTAGTGCTTTAAAAAATTTAAAAGAGCAGAAGCCCTACTACACGTATTTACATGTAATTCATGATCGGAGTAGTCTCACGTCGACCCCCCAATGCCCAAGGATATCACTACTTCCCTTTGTGTGTTAACAAGGCCAGCTCAAAAAAAAACTAAAAAAGTGGATCATACGCATAATTCTTATTTCTTCTTTATATTCAATGTAATCATAATAGTATTAAAGTGGCTGTTGCAATTGTGTGCTCTGTGCTATGTGCAATGTGATGTGTGTCCAAGACAGGCCCTTAGATCTACTGGTTGTCTGCTCCTTATTGATTATTCCACAGTGGTATACTAAGGAATCAGCATGAAAGAGGTATATTCGTGTTAGGATACATCTTTTAAAGAAAAATTAGAAAGCTTTGCTCTTTTTCCTTTTTTTTTACCTCTCCGGTTTCTGCTTGAGAAATCTCTTCTTGGATTGCAATTTGTCGTGCAACTTTTCTTGCTAACGCTTTGTTAGGTTGTAACAAATCCATCGTTACTACACGATTACAACCTAATTGAAAGAAAGAGAGAGAGAGAAAAAAAGACGTTAGAATCTATAGAGTAGTCATAAATCAATTTACCATGTAAAAAAAGTAGTAGAAGGGATTCCCTACCATGCACTGGACACATGCATTGCCCACGACGCCCCTGAATAAGTGAGATGATTGCATCCTTTGAAAAACTATGCTTGCACAACGAACTCGTGACCGGGTCTTTTAAGAAATTTGTCGTCAATGGGCATTTCAAACTTTGTACACTTGTATCTGCAGTGACCACAATCTCCATATCCTCATCATCTTCGTCATATCCTCCTCCAGCTGCACTCCCTGCAAGGGCTCCAGAAGTAGGTAAAGGATCGTGTCCATGATGTACCTCCCAAACTTTTTTCCTCAACTCCCATAGCTCTACATCCACAACTCCTGGAATGGGACTCGTCTTCAATGCTTGTTTCCGCCTTGTCTGTAAGTGTTTCACCTCATTGCTCAATAAATGCTCAAATGACCTTCGTAGATCTTGTGCTGGTAACTTCCCTCCCAAGCTTAGAATCGATGTAAGCCCTTCCAGTGCCTGTCGCTCAGCTGCAACCTGTTGCTGTAACTCCAGCGCCGAATGCAATGCCGCTTCCATATCATGGATCTGGGGGTCCGTACTAAATGCATCCCTTTCAGCTAATGATGCTTGCATTAATTTAGAGCGGCTTGCAAGTTTCTTTGTTGATGTTTGAGCAGGCGAATCTTTTAATCCTGCACCCTTATGATTTTTGTCACCATGAGATTCTTCGTAGTCAACGGTCGAGTCTGCAATAAGCTGTAAACACTTCTTGATAGAGTCCATATGTGGTGTATAGGCACCAGCTGTAGGTCTCAAACTAGAGACAACCGAGCGTGGATAGATAATTGCTGCTTGTTGTCCTGAACTGGATTGTGAAGCACTTATTCCTGCTACAGACTGAGATTGTTGTGAAGGTGAGATCATTTCCACATCATTAAAGTTGTTACTTTGTGCAACCCTCTGCGACCGCACAGCAGCCTGTGGTACACGAGAGGCAGATGCGGAGGTTGAAGCTGATCCTGATCCTGCAGTCATTGATTGATGAGGAATGTCTGTTAATGCGAGCAAATAGTATTTCCACAATGGTGGCAAACAATTTCCTTGGACATGAGTGGCTTAGTTCAAACTTTATTTTTTGCATGCGTAGTTTATTGAAAGTAAAAATATTATATTGTCTAAACACCATTGACCGCATCTTATGGCTGGGCCTGCCCTGCTATTGTCTGTCTGTCTGACTGTGTCTAATGTGGATTTATAAGCTCTTCTTGTCCAGCGAGTCCAGTTCAACGCCATTTTCCTCTCTGAAACTATCACTACGACTTACGAAGCGATTATTGAGCTGTGATTGAGAGGAAAATTGCTGGGGTTGACACTGTTGATGATGTTGCTGTTGATTTTGCTGCTTGCCTTGACCCTCATGGCTCTTGTCCATGGCTTCTCTCAACTTGTCCATCGCAATTTTGTAGCCTTGATCATATACTTTCCATGCTACTGTTTCTACCAGGCCCAACATATCCAAATACCACATTGCGGCCATAGGAACTCCCACCATCGCCAACACCATCAGATAAAGTGGGTTCTTAATTACTGCAATGAACTCATTCCAGCCCAAAATCACTAATGCAACGCCCACCCAGTATGGTAGCTTGGCCTGTGTGGCAACCACTGATCGCTTGGCTTCCAGGTAGAATGCATCCGATTCGCGCTTGAACTTGTTTGTGATCTCTTGTTGGCGCGATTCAGAAAGGACCTTGAGTGACTGATCGAAATCAAAATCGTCGGTTGCCTCCAATTCGATTTTCTCTCCCTTAATAGGATCTAATGTATTGATTTTAGCAAACAAAGGTACCAGCTCGACGGTCTATTATCATAAAAAAATATACATATATAAAAATGCCACACAATTAACATGATTTGCCCTCGCGTAAAACTAAAGCCATTGTGGCTTTCACGGGACGACTAACTAAGACTTGCATCTTACTTCGTCACGAGCCTTGCGGAAGGGAGTATCAATATCATCATCAGGCTTCCAGACACGAGGAAGACCATGATCGTCATAGCGGAACTTCTCCTCGAATCTGTTGCGAAGCTTGAGCAACATCATACCATCGGCTGATTCCTCTTGGACCTTCTTCGTCAATAGGACCCATGCTTGACGACGCAAGTTCAATGTCAACTCAGCCTGCTCATGCTCGTTCAAATCAAATGTACGTGCTCTCTTCTGCAACAACTGCTCACCGTCCTCGACTGTTCGTTGATAAATAGTAATGACACGACCCCACATTCCTGGGCCGGGGTTATTGAGTGCTAGACCAATGGGCTCATCCAATTCCTTGCGCAGATGCTTCTCCAATGCTGCCAACATTTTATTCAGTTCCTTCTCACGCTGTACAGCCGCGAGTTCTTTCAGTCCCTGCTCAAGCTGATACAGCTCTTCGTCGAACGACCACTCAGTCTCATCAAGCTTAATGGCCTTAGCGCCCTGCAAAAAGTAATCAAGGGCCTCCTTCTTGGAATCGGCTACGGCTACTGAGAATTCTACACCATCGCCACGGAGCGTGTTTTGAAGCTTGGTTGAGAACATGCTCACAGCTTTCTTGTGAAGATTCTTGAGTTGACCCAAGAAATATGCCTCGAGCATATGGTTAGCTTTACTCATCATCTCTGCGCGCTTTCGTTTATATACCTCGGCATGGTAACGTGAAGCGTCCTTGTCAAAAGATTCTGTATTCAAGGGAAAACATAAGAAGCATATGGGTGAATATACTGAAGTGAATAAATTAGCAAGAAATATTTATGGTCAGCGATGACTTACTGATTGCAACACTACGAATTTCATTCATCTTGGGTCCAAGATCCTCAACAATGTTCCCGGATTCGATTGGCTGCCTAAATTCTTTCACCTTTTCCTGGAAAATAGCAAAAGCTGCACTGGCAATCTCGTCACAGCGATACTGTGCTAGCAATTCCTGTTGAGTTGGAAGGTCCAAGTCTTTGTTGGTCATGATCTTGTCCCAAATGCCTCCTGCATAGATGTGAAGACCATCCACAGGCACACGTCTGGAGTATTGAGGCTGGAACACATAATTGGGGTTGTTAGGGTCGGTAAATCTGCGAAGATATCCATAGAAAGGTAGTTAGCTCATATGAATAGAAATTTCCGAATTTAGTTAGAAAAAGAAAAAAAAAAAAGAAAAAAAAAAAATACCGAAGACGCAGTTGGTCGACATCAGCTTCGAATTTTTCGGGCTGAAGTAGCTTGTGAGAGAGCGTCGTGAACATGAAGTCAAAATAGTCTGTAATCTTGCAATCCTCTAGACCCTCCGGCTAGTATTCAACCCAAGAAGAGAGAAAAAAAAAAAACATTAACCAGCTGATAAAATGTTTCCCATTTCACAATATTCAGTTTGGCACAACTTTACCTTGGAAAGTCCGTGCCAGATTCGCTCAAGGTCAACGCGTAAAGTGTTGGATAAGTTGGCGAGCGGTGTTGCTCCGACATGGTCACGGATTACAAACAAAAGAAGTGTCTTCTCCTTGCTGTTAAGTCACACGCGAAAATGCCAGGATTAGTGCTCGTGTCTTAGATCTCATGACTCCTTTCTCCACCAAGCCATGTTTTTTAGTAAGCGCAGGAGAGTCCATGCGCTCGGTCATTATCAAACGACCATTCAAATAAAAATAAAAATTAAATTGAATCACATGCAAATATGTAAAGAAATTTTTGGATTGTCACAATCATATTACACATACCCTCGGTTGCCTCCAAAGAGTTGAAGGTTAACTTCAAAGACTGTCTTCAATAGACCCATATTGGCACCATTATAAAGACCAACCTGGTGCTCCCATAAATTCACAATCAATACCTCCGTTGTCGCAAGTGAGAAAAGGGCACTCTTACGCTCAAAGTCCTGCAAAGTGAAGGATTAAACATTAGAAATGTTTGTAAGATAAAAAAAACTATATAGTAGTCTATATGTAATTTATCATCTATTACCTGGTCCTCACCACGCTCGCGGCCATCAGTACCCTCAACATCCATGATCAAAACCTTCATGTCTTTGCCTTTACTAATCCAAATACCCTTTGTAGTTTGCTGTCGAGAACTCTCAGACATGACATCAAAGCTGGTACCAAATAATCGGTTCAGGAGAGTACCTTTTTTTTGTTCAATTGCGAGAAAAAGATTGTGCATAAAAGCAGTTAGATCGATCTGAATCTTTGAAATCACCCATCTCCATCCTACTATAGAGAGTAAAATCCATGAAAGTGAGATCTTGATGATAATATGAACCTACTCTTTCCAGTACTCTGACTTCCAAAGACAGCAGCGAGGTTATAGTTGAAGCCAGAGTCTTTGAGACCCCATTTTTCGTTAATAAACGACGAAAGGTGTTCACTATATAAGCGATACCAACATTAGGGATGAATGAGAAAAAAAAAATGCTTGTTAGTTTAGTGAACCTACAAGTCACTCCTCCATCCTTTATATAAACAAAAGTTGAGCTAGGTACCTGAACTTTTGTTCTTCATTTATGAGATGCAAACGAGGCTGAGCTGCCGCTGGTTTTTCCTGCTTGAAAATCTCTGGTTTACCCGAAGAAGGGATAGGGGAATCGAGCATATCAGGCACGATATAGTCGCGCGAGGAAAGATGATCAACATCTGGTACCACGTTCATGTTGTAATGATCGCTTGGATGTTGGGTACAAGCAAAACGTTGGGGAAATCGTGCGAATAGAAAAAGAGAAAAAAGGAGGAAAAGAAGATAAAGATGAAGGAAGGAAGGAAGGATGATGGGAAAATAAAATGAAAAAATGAAATGGAATGAGCTTTTTTTTTTTTTTTTTTTTAAATGTGGTCTTGGTTGTGTGGACTAGACTAGACTAGACTCTTGTTAATAAAGTTGTACGATCCACAAGAAATGAAGTGACAGGGAGGAAGGAAAGGGGAAAAAGAAGGGGGCGACAGGGCTAGGGCGTACGTCAAAGAATTATTATTAACATGTGTTCTGTATACACATGCAAGCATGGACACACAGACAAAGAGAATCGTGCCTCTTGCTATTCAACACGTAACCATTTGTATCCCACTCATTTTAGTTTTTAATTATGGGTCCAACCGACCCCACCATCGATATACTGCAATTCCCTGACAGCATAGATGTAGAATGGGTGGGGGTTGCCATTTTTACTTTTCAAATTTTCTCCATCACTTAGTTAGATATCCCCATAGGTGAGTCGGGCCCCGTTTAAACGGATCACAACCACTTGATCAGCGGTCGCCATAGTAAAATCCGAAGAATGAGTTCGACAATCTACATACGGAATCATGGGTTTAGCACCTAATCCCGTCATTATCAACTCACTATGCTTCTTTATAGCAGATTATTTAGTCAACTAAATACCCGTTGCTTATGATTGACGACGATCTTTGTAAATTTGGCCAAGTTGGTATCTTCAATGCTTCAGCTTTGGAATCAAAGATCATTCATTCTTGTAATGCTATAGCCGGGGACCAGTTGAAGAGTTCTATATCTATCAAGTCTGGTAGTGGGTGGCTTGATCTTGCAGATGCTTCTCTTGCAGGCTGGAATCAAAAGTCGACTATTAGCTGGCGACTCCTTTTTTTTTTTGATTTTTAATTTTTTCAGTCCAAAATCGTATGGAGGAGCGTACAAAACACATGTAACCTACAATCATGCTGAGATATATGACACATAAATTGGACATACAAACATCCACCAGAACATTATTCCCAACGCCTTCATGGCAATCATTACCTTCATTCACGATCAATACCATTTTTGTTTGCTGGTGTCTTAGAGCTGTGAAATTAGAGTACGCTGGAAGGTTGGGAGAAAAGAGTTTTAACGAAACGAGACCTGATTATGGAGTATGAGGTGTTTGTATGCTCAATTTATGTGTCCTCATATATCTCAGCATGATTGTAGGTTACATGTGTTTTGTACGCTCCTCCATACGATTTTGGACTTTGAAAAAATTAAAAATCAAAAAAAAAAGGAGTCGTCAGCTAATAGTCGACTTTTGATTCCAGCCTGCAAGAGAAGCGAGCCACCCAATTGCCTTTTTAGGCACTGCTGCCTTGCAGCATGTGTGCACACACGTGCGCTTCGTCCTCAGGCTGGTGACGAGCCTAGTTTCCTCTCACATCAATTACCCTAACTGCTTTTCGTAAGCACTTCCAAGACGTTTACGGTTATGTTTGATAGCCCACTAAACGTCCCTGAAATTCGAAACAGAGTGGCACTCTTCGTCTCAGTTAATGATGCCACTCTTGTCTCCAAAGGTTCCATTCGAGCCTTTACATATTCTATCTAGCATATGGTTGATTTCAAAGCCTATCCAAGGCTTGCACAGTTGGATACTTCGACTATTCGCAAGTTTGCATATCATGTTCGAGTCATCAGGAATGTGAATACTCAGACACAGCCGGATTTATTAGTGCAACACCTAATTGGCAGCAGATTGAAAATATTAAATATTGAAATGATGAAGAATCCTCATTTCCATGCAGCTTGCCATGACCTTATCCGTCGAAACCATGAAACACTGACCGATCTCGCGTTGAAGTCTAAACACGACAAAGCCCGGACGTCGATGAAATACCTTTGTCTAGATTCGCTAACTACCTCAACGGGAGAGCATTCAAAATTGACTTGAATTACTATTAAGCGGCTGCGCCTCACAGGATCGTCATTCGTGCCTCTTCTCCAAGCTTATCCTTCCCTTACAACCGTTGACGTGGCGACCACATCCTTCACTTTCAACCTAACCGATGATAAATCCCAACACACCGGAGTAACACAATTACATCCAGGAATCGAAGATATCATGCTTTCCAGTCAACCGCCAATCATTATGCACTTCCCAAACTTGAAACGCTGGAGGATATGGAGCAAAATAACACACGGCGCATCCTCTACTATGCTGTTGAAGGAAAGTGTATCCAAATAGTACTCCAGATTGACGGCCATTCAGATAGGCACCATTTCAGGAGATTTGATAGGCCACATTCCAATTCACGATGTATTTATCGTATTTATCGGCCTGGATGCCTTGACGATTCCGTACAAGGAAATTTCAGTTGATTTGGTCGTCACTCTTACACGCTGCCCAAACAAATGGATTTGTCTTCACGCCTATAGGCCAGCATCAATGGCCTCGGCCAACTGTTGGATAGATGGAGCTTTCCAGAGGCTGGAGCGATTTTAAAGTCCAGGCTGAATGCTTCAGCTTTGGCCTCGGCTATTTCCTCGCCTTGAAAGCCTTAGTCTCATGGAGCATGTGATGGATATGGATGAGGTCGAGAAGACTTCTTGGTTATGTGATGATTTAGAGGCGCTTTACGTCGGGATCTAAGGGCTTGATACCAGCGAGAAAATTAATCATGTATTGAGCAGTTGGATTAAAGCAAAAGTCATAAACGATCAAGAACAGCAGGATAATTCAATTGAAGCGCGTGTCCTTCGACATCTGTTCAAGTTTAAGAAGCTAAATAAGGTCTAGCTAGGTGGTGAGGACTTGGATTAATAAATGAGTAAGCAAGTTTACTTTGCCATAATAAACATAAGAAGGCGTAGTGTTGCGAAAGTTTTATTAATGAAAGAAAAAATATGACAGGGAACAATAAGTGCGCTTAAGCAAGACGCTTGGGAAGGCCTTCAGCATTCAAAAGACCATACTGAGCAGAGTCTAGGACACGAGGACCGTCATCAGCCTTGGTGTGCAGGATCTGTTTGACAGCACCCTGGGAGAAGACAGGTGAGACCCGCGTATCAAAGTTTTGAGGAAGCGCATGAACAGTGTCGTTCTTCTTCAATCCAAGGGAGTCCTCGAAAGCGTGGCCAGGGAAGTAATGTGAAAGAATAGCATAAATCTCCCGCATATTCTGCTGAGGAGCATAAATAACAGCATTTGGACCTGCATCGAATGTGTAAGCGGCCTTGATACCATCCTTATTATATTCCGAAATGATGCGGATGATGGCTCTTGAGATATCATTCATATAGAAGATTGGCGGGTAGGTGTCGAGGCAGACAGCATGGAACTGGTTAGAGTCCTGCATGGTGAGTTCTGCAAATCGGGGGAAATCTTTGTTGTGAATAGCGGCGATCATCTCCTCCATGCGCTTGGGAACCACATTCTTGATACGATGTTGCAACAGGGCTGACGTTTTCACAGTCAATTGCATTCCCTCAGTTGAAGAAGTGCCCTTCTTTTCATCCGAGACTACACAAATCAAAGCCTGCAAGTCTGGCCAGTGAGTCTCAGGGGCGACCTGAACAGCTCTGCTGTCCGATCCGTCTTCCTTCTCGCCCATTTCCCAGGCGACAAAGCCACCGAACAGACTCCTGCAAGCCGATCCAGATCCCTGGCGAGCGACAATTGACAGATCCGAAGCATTGAGAGGCAACTCAAACAGCTTGGAGAGCGTGTAAACCAAACAGGCATAACCAGAAGCAGAAGAAGCCAATCCAGCAGCTGTTGGGAAGTTATTCTCTGAGCAGATATGGATCTTCAATCCTGACAACTTGGGAGCAGATTCATCCTTGGCCTCGATTTGAGCGCGAAGAGCACGAGTTTCACGGAGACATGCAACAAGGCGCTTGTTCTTCTCAATGGATTCCTCAATGCCGTTCAACCAAAGGCGGTCTGATGTGAAATCGGCCGAGGCACGGATGGTAGTCTTGGAGTGAAGCTGATCCTGTGAGAGCGTGACAGACAAGGATGAGTTGGTTGGGAGGATTAAGGAGGTATCACGCTTGCCCCAATACTTGACGACGGCAATATTGACGGGCGCGGTGCAGGTAGCTTCAAAGAAGGTCATGGCTTGAAGAGAGGAAGTAGAGATGAAGGAAGTGTCTAGGAAAGAAGAAAGAAAAGAGGAAGATGATGAAGGATGGAAAAAGGAAAAAGAAAAAAAAATGAGAGAATGTTTTTTTTAGGATTTTCAACTGCCGATCGTCTTGCTTCGTGTATTTCTGCAAGGCAGACATGTCAAGCAACAGATCACAGCTGTTGTGGGAAGACAAACAACCTGATTGGCAGATGCAGGATGGCCCGATCGCATGTGTTACGTTCAAAGTAATGGGCAGTCTTTATCTTGAATATGGTGCGTTTGGTTACGATTCCAGCAGTTGTTGAGAGTACTAAATCCGACAAGTCCTAAGCGAGCCATCACCCTCTATGGATGACAATTATCATTCATGTCTGTGTGTCCAGGGTTGATGTCTTGGACACAAAGAAACCGGGGAAGCTTCAGCAGTCACTAGAGCGGGAAGCAGGAAGTTCTGGGAAGGGCAAAGCCGTGATTATTTTTACACATCATTCTTAAATAGACTGAGCTAGAGGCATTTTTATTCATTGACATTGTGCAATTGGACTAACAATAGTGCATGCATCATCCTTTCTCTCTCTCTCTCTCTTTTTTTTTTTTTTTATTCTTATTTATTTTCATCATCCGTTACGCTCTCTCTAACCACTGGCTGGGTCATCATCATTACCATCTCTTTCTACTTTTTTTTTTTTTTTTTTTTTTTTTTTTCAATTCACTCAACTACATTCAGATTGTATTTTCTCTCTCTTTCTCTCTGTGCATTCTTGTACCTCTCTCCCTTTCTTTATTGCTCTTTCTATGCTACTATCGCAATTGCTCCTCAAGCCATAATATCTTCACTCAGCTGTTTCTTCCACTCAGTGTGTCCCTTCACTCTAAGCATCTAGTTAATTGCCTTTGTCTTACTATCTTGACGTAAAACCCCAGTCATTCTCTCTCTAATTCTCTAAATACCTTCCTCTCCACTCTTCCACACAAAAACGTTTGCCATGTCCCGGCTGCTCTCTTCCACTACGCCTACCTTTACACAGGCACCATACACCCCTCTCCTCGACTCTAGACGCTCTATAGGGTCTATACATGATGATGAAGAACTCGATCCAAACTCTATATCTTTTTCCTCAAATCAAACATCCCTGAAGAATCAGCAAAGAGGCTCTCACACAAATACCAATGGGGATGCCAGTCAATCCACGTCCACGAATAACCCTAATGATCAACAGGAGCACGGTACGGCTACTACTATCTCCGCCACACATGTCCTTGCCGATGGCTTTGATTCAGACTCGGAGAATGAGGCAGAGTTAAGGAGAAACAGCGATTCTACCCGCCCTCAATCAGATACTTTTCATCGGGAGACATCTGGCGATGGTAGCAGCACTGTCGTTTCTATTGAGGAAGCAGAGGACGACTTGGAATCACTCAAATATGGGCGTGAGAGCTTCGAATATGAGGAACCAAACCATGATGATGGAGGCGATCACTTGGGTTCAGAAGAGAGCTGTCTGGCAGGAAGAAGAGGCGTAGAAACAGCAAAGGAAGGGGATCCAGATCAAGGATTATGGATGCAAGTAAGTGCAGTAAAACTAACGTAGTAGAGGAGTTAACACGCAACTTTGTTTCCTTTATTCTAATTCAGTGATTTTTATTTCTTCCCATAATTAAAAGGCATCGTCAACATTGGTTATTGCTGTCAGTGGACTAATATGTGCAGGCTGGCTATTGGATGCTGTTCAGGTACAAATGTTTTTGTTGATCGGATCGTCTGTGATGATGATATGATGTTGTGCATCTGTGCACCCTAATTTATTTTATCAGGCTGGACTAATACAGATTTCATTACCGCATTTTCTCAAATTCCTCATCCTGTGTAATTCATAGCATTGGGATGTTTTCATTGAGATCTCTGAGCTTATTATTTTGATACCTATCCTTCTCAACCTGAAGGGCAACCTAGAGATGAATCTTGCTAGTCGACTATCAACAGCTGTAAGTATTTCTAAAATGCTGCTAGCTATTGATCGCTGTTTGATCAAAGTTTGATTGATTATTGTACATGCTTCTGATGAAGAATCACGTTGATCACGCGATCCTTTCTTTCTAGTGTAACATGGGGCTACTGGACTCACCATTAACACGCAACGCATTCATCAAAGGAAATTTGGCTCTTCTGCAACTGCAAGGACTGACGGTTGGATCTGTGGCTGGACTATTTTCGTTTGCATTGGGTATGATTGTACATCCGACGACCAACAATCTAGAAGAGATTGCACTAATGATCTCGTCTAGTATGCTCTGCGCGTCCATCAGTAGCTTTGTCCTTGGTAGCTTTATGTGCGCACTTGTCCTAATCTGTAGGCACTACAGAGTAAATCCAGGTAAGCAATCCAAATTCATCGAATGAAGGAGATCAATCATTAGTAGGCGATTCAAGGACTGATTAATCAAGTGATGCCATACATACCAACTTTTTACCTTTAACGTATAGATAATATTGCATGCCCATTGGCATCCTCGTTCGGAGATTTGGTTACACTTATGATTTTGTCAAGTTGTGCAGCCTTCCTTGTGAAATTCATCCGTATGTATTTCGTTAGAGGCGTCTCTTTTCCGTTTTTTCTTTTTTCAGATAAGAACTTAAGGAGCAGCAGTCTGTCTGGCAATATGAAAATCGACTCAATTTATGCCTTCACTCTTTTCACCCATTGTTTTAGAAACATCACTATGTGTTATTCTACTGGCGATACTCCTCTCTTTGATTCCTGTGTGGCTATACTATGTGCGCCGCAACAAGTTTGTATCTGAGGTTGTCAAGGAAGGGTGGGGACCAGTATTCTCTGCCATGGTGATTGCCAGCACAGCAGGACTCACTCTGGAAAGATATATCAATCAATTTCCTGGAATGGCCATGATTTCGCCCGTTCTTAACGGTTTGACAGGCAATATTGGTTCTATATATGCGAGCAGGATCAGCACAGCACTACATGCAAATGTCAAAGAAAGCTATCGTGCTACGGAGAAGACGCTGTTCTTGGTTCACATCCCTATTGAGATCTTGTTTCTGACAGTGATTGGTTTACTGGGATTGGGCGATGTTCAATGGAGTGCTAGTGTAGTGTTTGGCTATGCAGTAGTAGCACTGGGCCTTGTGGTCATCGCATTAGTGTTGGCAAAGCAGATCACTCTTTCGTTCTGGAAATATGGATATGATCCTGACAACTATGCTCTGCCAATATTGTAAGTTCTCCTTTTTGATTTGACTACAATTTGATTAATCATATTAGATGAAAGCTGTACTAACCATATATCCATGGTCTACCAATACAAAATTTATAGAACCTCATTAATTGATGTTCTTGGAACAGCACTACTTGTAGCTGGGTTCTGGATACTGGGATATGGTCAACAGGCTTCAGTTACAGGATAAAAGACTCGTCATTTGTGTTTCTGTTTTATTCATATGGTTCCTTCTAAAACATAGACTAAATAAACGTTTCTTAATCTCGAGTGCACGTGATATCACAATACCTTCTTCTCGATGCATCTCTGCGATGCTTTTCTTTTTTTTGCAATTCATTAAAGTAAAGCCATGGTGCAAACAACATCAGAATTCAAGGTACAAAGGCTCGTTATGTATGCGCTCCTTTACATTGGTTAACTTTCATACCACAATAAATGGCAAATGGCTCACCAGTAGAATGAACCATGAAACTTTGTTTTAGACCGAATTTGCGGTCGAAATGACCTGCGAGTCATGTGTTAAGGATGTGAAGAAGGTTCTTGACAGAGCAGAAGGTATTAGTAACTACGACATTGACCTTAAGGAACAGCGTGTTGTCGTTGAAGGCAATGGTAAGTTGAGAATATTCTTGAAGGAAGGCTGGCATTCTATCCTGCCTGACTTCACTTGACTGCTGCTGCTGCGCTGCTCCGTTCCTCAAATTTAATGTCACTCTTTTTCCTTTTTTTTTTTTACTCATTCAACTTGCCTTTACTTTGAATGTATCTCTTGGATTGCAATTGGTCAACCCAGCACCACCATCAACTATCTCACGCCTGTTAAAGAGCACAGGCAAGATGGTAATCGTGCGCGGATCTGGCGTTGCTCAGGGTGTGTATTACGATTGATATTAATTTTGAGCTGTAAAAACCTGGAATGTGGCACATGCACTATTTTTCTTTGCCATCTGATTTTCTATATCCTATTCTTTACGTTTTATTCATATGGGTTTCTTTAATTAGGTGCACACTCCGGAGCAGCTGTGTGTATCCTTGATATCAACCAAGACGATCCTTTGGTTACTGTTCCTCCAAACAGTAAGAAGCCTTACGGCCTTGCAAGGTTCCTACAAGTGAATAATGACGTCTGTGTGGTCGATGTAACGGTCCAGGGGTTGAGCCCAGGCAAACATGGCATCCATATCCATGAATTGGGTGATACTTCAGGTGGAGCTACTACAACAGGTCCACATTACAATCCAACCAATGTGGACCATGGTGATCATGAGACGGGCCACGTTGGTGATTTAGGGAATGTGGAAGTGGATGAAAAGGGATGGGGCGATCTCGTATCGGAGAGCAAGCGGATCAAAGTCTGGGATATCATTGGACGATCCATGGTGGTGACCGAAAGAGGAGATGATCTTGGACGAACGGAAACTGGGCCTGCAGAGGCAGTAGCCAAGTCGAAAGAAGACGGCAACTCTGGAAATGGTATCATTTGTGGTATCATTGCAAGATCTGCAGGCGTGTTCGAGAATGCAAAGAAGATTTGTGATTGTACTGGAACAACCCTATGGGAAGAAGCACGTTTGATGGCTGGGGCCGACAACAATGATTTCTTTTGACGCCACCAAGAAGATGATCAAGATAGACGCGCTAACGCAAAATCGAAGCTTTGAGTGCTCTAGTTGTATCTGATCTTGTATGGGCTAAAAGGGTTAAAATGTGTCAGTGACAATAAAATAGAAGTAAGGAATAAATATATTTAAAGAGATGAAGGCAAACAAAATATCGAGAAAATGAGATGAGATGGGGCCTTCATCTAGGGCGCGTTATCAACGAGCTCGAGAATGAGATGCGGGGGTTCGTGTGTAAGCAAACAGTAATAAATAATGAACAGTTGACTAAGACAAACATGGAAAGAATGACAGCATACGAATGATGCCACTTCTTTCAATACAAAAGAACATGTCTGTTTCCTCTGTTCTGCGGAGTAGGATAACCATAGTTCGCTGATAATACGATTCTTGAACATCGATTAGCATGAACGAATAAGTATCAACAGTAAGCCTTTTTTTTTTTATATTTTCCGATCGGACGTGAATGTCATTTGTGCTGTGTATCTGCTCATGATATTGAATCTTACTCAATCAGATTTACTATAAGAAAAAAGGGTTTTTTTTAATGATCATTGCTGCACATTATGAGTCGTTTTTAAATGACTCTCTTTCTCTTTCCCTTCCTTCATTTCTTCTTCATCCTTAAACTCATTTCCTATATCCCCTTGCTTGTCATCCCTTCCCTGAGTCATCATTTCTCATTCTGTTTTTAATTGCTATTACTCTTCTTATATTCTGTGTGTGGGACCTGGCCTGGCTGATCTCGCCTCTCTTCCTTACATTACACACACTTTCATACATATTTCTTCCTCCCTCTCTTTGTCTTTATTCCTTTCCTTCTTTCCTCCTTTCCTCCTTTCTTTCTTTCTTTCTTTCAATCCCCAGGTGCAATGAATATTACCGAAGACTCATCAACCATGACTGTAGACAACTCTTCCCTTCCTTCTGACAGGAACAATAATATCGATATCAATACCGATATTGACATCAATAGAATTTCCAATCCCGGTGCAAATTCTTCATTTTCATCTTCCTCCAACAATAATAACAGTAGCAGCACTCAACAGAAACCATTTCAACAGGACAACAAAATATCTTCGGTCCATATTCCTGCTAATGAATATTATTCGAGTACTAATTATGTCAGCCGACACAGAACGTTGGGCAACGTAAGTTTTTTTTTTTTTTTTTACTGTTTACGTTTATGAAAAGAAAGGCTTAATGGTGTAGAAGTGAATATTATATAATTGTGAAAGGAAGAACTTTCAGGAGATAAAAAATTGTTGCTCTAGCATGTGGCCATGTTTTACTTTGCTTTTTATGTCCATTGCCGTACCATCTATTTTCCCTTTCCAAAACACATCATTATTTATTATTCGATGATCATGGATAATATGGACCAGAGTTTAGCCAGTTAATTGGGTTAGACTAGGCTTAGCTTCCATGCCGAGAGAGACTAGGAAGCTCAACCGCCATTCAATTGAGAAACATTGTAAAAATAGTTTGACAATGGAGTGTGACATGCCGGGAAAACAAAGGGAAAAGGGGTTTAATGAAGTGAATGTCGTTCTTATAAAAGACTTGTTATAAAAAAAGAAATAGCCGTTGAGCAACTGTTCAGATCTAAAGGACGCTGTGTATACATGTAGCACATATCACAGTTCAGCTAATGTACAGTTGCCTGTGTCATTCACTCAACATGAGTCTTCTGCTTCATTGAAAAATAATCTACGCCTGCATGCGGTAAAGACACAACTGAGAGGAACAAGGGAATGTTGTGTAGAATACACATGTTTACCACTGCGATGAGTCAAGTGTTTGCAAGGGGAAACGAGGGGCGTGTGTGTTTGAACAACAGAACCAATCGATGTTTGAATATCTGAGTGGTTTCATCTATTGGCGTTAGAAGATGTATTTAACTTTTTTCTTTTTTTCTTTTCATGGCGGTCAATAAACAGTCCAGCAAGCCTATAGCCTTCGAAAACTCGAATGATCCTATTACACACTCAGAGGCCGCCACTAAGTACAGACGTCCCCGTCGTGGTTCACATGGTGAGTTTAAGTTTAGCGACTAAAAAGCTATAAATTTTTTTTTTATCCTAAAAAAACCCCTGTATTATTCAAAGCTCATCGATCGGACGATGAAAAGCAAAAACGCGCTTTCTATCCACATATCTTGTCCACTTGTCTATTTTTTTTTTTTTTCTTTCTTCTCCTTATCTTCATTTATCAATGATTGGTACAGGGGAGCGGGCATCCAAAAAAAAAAAAAAAAAAAAAAAAAAAAAAGTCCACAGACCTTTGATTAATAATGTGTTGACCTCTTCATCTGTTGTGTTCCTTATCTTATCGCCATTAACGCTATCATTTTTTCTCCTTCTTGATTCTATCATTCTTAGATGACAAAGCCACTAAGCCAAGGCGGTTCCTTATTGACGTCGAAGCGACTCAGAAGCTGATCTTGGAACAGGAGGATACAGATGGTGACTTTCAGATTACAGTTAATGATGTTGGTCCAAAGGTCATCACTCTAGGCACTGCAGATTCGGCTGGATTCAAAAAGTATGACATTCGTGGAACGTACATGCTTAGTAATCTGCTTCAGGAGTTATCGCTAGCGCAGGATTATGGCCGTAAATACGTGGTATTGGACGAGGCTCGGTTGAACGAAAACCCTGTCGATCGGCTCTCACGCATGATCCGTCATCATTTCTGGGATGGACTCACTCGACGTATTGATGCAGAAGGTTTAGAAATGATTGCAAATGACCCTAAAACCCGATCCAAGAATACTGCGCCACGGATTTATATCCCTCATGGAGAGAATGAGGTGTTCGAGTATTACAAAAATATTTCTATTCAGAAACCCCATCTTAAACTCGATGTAGAGCAATTGCCAGAGTTCATCACACCCAAGTACGTTCAGTCAATCAACGAGAAACCTGGCATTTTAGCTTTGGCTATGACAAGGTTCGTAGACGAGGAAGGTTTGGACACGTTGAAGGGCGTTCCATTTGTAGTCCCGGGAGGTCGTTTCAACGAGATGTATGGATGGGACTCTTACTTTGAATCCTTGGGCTTGCTAGTAGATGGGCGGTTGGAGCTGGCGAAGGGTATGGTGGATAATTTTGTGTATGAGATTCAGCATTACGGCAAAATCTTGAATGCCAACCGTAGCTACTACTTGACCAGAACTCAACCTCCATTTTTCACCGATATGATGCTTAAGGTCTACGATCGTCTTCCATTCAGTCTTGAGATCGAAAACAAGCAATGGCTTGCTGTTTCGTTGACGGCAGCCATTAAGGAGTATCTGACTATTTGGATGTCTCAGCCTCGGTATGATCCAGTGTCGGGACTTTCGCGTTATTACAGTGAGGGCGTAGGCATGCCACCAGAGACAGAATCGACCCATTTCGACCATGTGATCAAACCCTTTGCTGACGCAAGAGGATTATCTATCGAGAAGTATTGCGACATGTACAACAGTGGAGAGTTACATGAGCCAGAACTGGATACGTACTTTAAGCACGACCGCGCAGTCCGCGAGTCTGGTCACGACACCACTTACCGCCTAGACAACTGTTGTGCAGACATTGCGACTATTGATCTGAACGCCTTGCTGTTCAAGTATGAGATGGATATTGCAGAGACAATCCAGACAATTTTTGGAGACACATTTGAGACCCCATTCTTTAGTAGCTATGAAACCCGCAATGTAAAATGTAAGGATCGGCCTTCATCGGTCACTCATACCTCTGCCGAATGGTTTGAACGTGCCCGTGCCCGTCAAGAAAAAATTAATCAGTACTGTTGGAATGAAGAGAAAGGGATGTTCTTCGATTATAATACACGCCTGAAGACTCAAAGTACCTATGAGAGTGTTACAACTTTTTATACCATGTGGGCCGGATGCGCCGACCGTACAAAGGCTGAGAAAATGATGTAAGTTGAAAAAAGCTTGAAAATTTGACTCTGTGCAATGAATTCGTCTCCAAAAAAAATAATAAGAACTATAATTATAATAATCACTGACTGTTATATTTCCATAGGGTTACGGCCCTTCCTTTATTTGAGGTTACTGGAGGATTAGTGTCTGGGACAGAGGAATCCAGGGGCATTATTACCTTATCTCGTCCTAATCGCCAGTGGGACTTTCCATTTGGTTGGGCACCTCATCAGATTATTTCCTGGATTGGTTTTGAGAAATACGGATTCATGGAGGAAGCTAAGCGCTGCTGTTACCGCTGGTTGTACACGTAAGTTTATTAATACTATTTATTTTATTTTATTTTATTTTATTTTTATCGAGTTTTTTTTTACATATATATATAAAAGCTTCTGACGTATTTTTCTTTTATTTCTCTCTTCTAGTATCACGAAATCATTTGTAGACTTCAATGGCGTGGTACCTGAAAAGTTTGATGTAGTGAACATGACCCACAGAGTGCAAGTGGAGTACGGAAACGTCGGTGTGGACTTCAAGTTTATTCCACGTGAAGGTTTTGGATGGATGAACGCGAGTTATCAGGTTGGACTTGGATATATGGATCGGCAATTACGTCGTGCATTGGGGGCTGTTATGGAACCTGGTCAAGTTTTTAAGAAAGAACAATCTGTCAACACTGCCAACGCTGCCGCTTCGTTCGATGGTGCGTCACCTAATTCTGGAAGGGCCCGGAGACGATCTAGCGGGCAAGAAAGCATTTTGGTACAACCACCAGACACTACAACTAGATTGAGACGCCCTAGCTCAGGTCGCAAAGGTTTAAAAGAGTGAGACTATGGAAAGGCTTTGCTCTTTTTTTTTAAAAAAAAAAACGTACAAACAATTCCCGTAACTAAAAATAAGAGCAAAAAAAAAAAAAAAAAAAAAATGGATGATCGACGACAAGGAGACTTTCTTTTAAGGCCTTTGGATCGATGAAACAATAATAATAATAAAAAATGCTATAATATGTATACACACATAGAAACCTATAATATATTCTTAATCTAATCTTCCTAAAGAGAGATGTCTTATTAAAATGGTTCCTTTCTTGGGTTCCCGCACAGGCCACCCCCCCCCCCCTTTTTTTGATGTGTAAGATGAGATGACGGCGAGAAGATAGAGGAGAAAGAGGAGGAGTTTGGCACGCATGCAGTTAATCAGTGTGGCTTTGCACACTCCTATTATCATGGAATTGAGCCCATGTCACTCTGTCACCTCTCTCTCTCTCTCTTTCTCTCTCTCTCTCTATCTTCCTCATTCATTCACTCAACTCATTCACTCACATTCTTTACACGACATCTTCATCATTCTATTTCAGCAAACAAGGCAGAAAGGAAAAGAGAGAGAAAAATAAAAAAAAAATAAAAAAAAAAGGCAAATAGTACAGAAAGGAAGTTCAGTGGAACCCAAGTATTAAATAAGACAGCATAATATATCATATCATAGGAGAAAAGAAAAACGCCATGTCGACTTCCGCACGTCGCAGATTGATGAAGGATTTCAAACGCTTGCAAAGTGATCCCCCAGGCGGTATATCTGGTGCACCTTGTTCTGATAACATTATGCTATGGAATGCTGTCATCTTTGGGCCAGGTAAATGTGAATAAATAAAATAAAATGTGGAAAGATGGTTCACTTGTGTAAGCAAAGAAAAAAAAAAAATTGGATGACCTAACCACACCACAGTAAAAGAAATAACAGTAATTTTGATTATGGAAGGGCTTATTTGGCCACTAAGTTGACCGATGACCCCAATCTAATACAGAGAGGGGGCGGAAAGGAAGGAGAAGGGCAAAAGAAAACGCCTCAATTTTTTAGCGCAGTCTGTAACACAAGAAAGTATTAATTTTTATTTTATTTTATTTTATTTTATTTTATTTTTTTTCCTTCTTCCAAAAGGCGAAACTCCTTTTGAAGATGGCACGTTCAACTTGGTTCTTCAGTTCGATGAAACGTATCCAAACAAGCCGCCGACTGTCAAGTTTGTGTCACGCATGTTCCATCCCAATGTTTATGCCAATGGTGAATTATGTCTGGATATTCTTCAAAATCGATGGTCCCCCACCTATGATGTGGCTGCCATCTTAACTAGTATCCAGTCACTTCTTCATGATCCCAATCCAAACTCGCCTGCTAATGCTGAGGCGGCCAATCTCTATCGCGAGAACAAGAAGGAATACACTAGGAGAGTACGAGAGATCGTGGAAGCATCGTGGGAGTCGTAAAACAAATTAACATCGACGTATTATTATTAATAAAGAAAAAAAAAGAAAAAGAAAAAGAAAAAACATTTAAAAAAAGTTGAAAATCAAATACAAAAGAATGAATGTGGCACCCTTATTCTTTTTCTTCCTCTCTTTCTTTCTTTCTTTCTTTCTTTCTTTCTTTCTTTCTTTCGTTCTTTTTTTTTTTTTTTTTTTTTTTTTTTCCTATCTACTTCTCTAATCAACTTCACTTCCTGTCTTCGCTTTCATCTGACGCTCCTTGACTGTTCCTGCCGTTGCTTTTGCTTTTCCTTTTATCATTGTTTTTACTTCCGCTCCCATTGACTTTATCCAAAGCGCCTAAGAGACCTTGGTAATCTGGATCTAACAGCCGATTCACACGACCGACATGTAGCTTAAACTTTTCTGATTGGTTTGCTATATTTGAAAGGTCTTCCTCTTCTGAAGGCGCAGAAATGACTTGCCAGGTTTGATATAGATCCGATAGGTCTTTGTTAGGCAAAAATTGAGCCCGGATATCTGCCCAGAATGTACCATACTTTCGAACACCTTGTTGCAAAAGCTGAAGGTCCCGATCAGACCAATGCAGCAGACGATCTTGGGTTAGACCATCATGGCCATCATGCTCCGTGTTAGGTTCTGCTGATGATGATGGGAGTACTTTGGATTCAGTAGGTCTATATCGTGTTGTGGCAATGCATTCCCAGCAATCTTGACATTGCTTTGCTGAAAAACTGGGAAGGCCGCCACTGACATTCCCGTTGTTTCTGCTGTTGATGTCGATACCAAACCTTTCGCTCAACTTCCCAGCGATTTTGTTCCAATCCAATTCGAAATCTGAGCGCTTTACTCCTTGCTTAGCTTGATGGACAAGCTCCTGTAACGCTTGGATCTTTTCTCGTGTCCATTCGGGGCGTAGGACCCATGGTTGGTAAGTTGTACCATCTTGAGGTAAAACGGTTGTCAACTTTGTAATCATAGGCTCTGCAATCTCATGGAGAATGAGTCTCAGACCCTGAGGCATATCGATGTTCTTTTGCGCCACAATTGCCTTGGTATGCTCTGATGACCCATCCTCATCTTCTTGTTTTTGTCCTTGTTTTCCTTGATCTGGAGCCGATATGATGCCAAGCCGTGCAAATGCAGACATGACGCTAGTTCTGAAAAACAAATCACATTGTGCCTCAGAGCGATGGCGCATCCACCTCGAGATATCCTTAGCGAATGATACCTCCTTGAGAGTTTGCTCTAAATCAATGTGTTGGTTTGAATCTTTCGTGACCAGAACACGATCATTGATCTTGCTGTGGTTCTTGAGTCCAGCATCATAGCTTTTGTCATTGCTGCTATCGCTTTCATTATGGTTTATGTCAACTGTTTTGCGCAGCGGTTGATGTTGATAAAAGTGAGCCCACAGCATCCAGAAATAAAGCCGTTCGGTCCGATGAAATGCCTTGCTCTTTGCAGACTTCTCATTATCCTGTAATGCCCACAATCCATCCCATCGACGCTTGCACTGCTCGACTGTGTGAGTGCCCACTGCAGTAGATAATTCAGTCCAGTATTTGTACTGCAACTTCTCCTGCTCCTCTAGTGGCTCAGCTGCTGGATGACCCTGGTCTTCCGGCAGAGGCTTTTCCAAAACGTCTAGAATGTCCGGTTGTGAGCGACTAAATTCCAGGACTTTGCGGGCCATAATAACATCATCCTCCAGTCCCCAGTCGACCCCTTTTCGTTGAAGTGCCCTGTAAATACTAGCAGCTTTGTTTGGAGTCAAAGGCTCTCTCTCCTGGATCAAATCTGTATCCTTCCTATCTTGTAAGATCTTTGCCTTTGGAAGAGCTGAATCCTCTCCAGTAGTGGCGATGGGTGACAGTTTTATCGGAGTAGCTGCTTTGGATGGCGTCCATTGATCGAGCAGTTCATCTGCATACGATGCAACTTTTTTCCAGTTCTCTCCATATAACTCGACGCTCCGTTGGATAGCTCGCTCCATAATCTCTCGGTTTGTGCGGATAGCGTTCGCAGTCAGGTTGGATTTATAAGCCAGATATTTCTTCTGAAGGAAAAGTCGATTGACGGGTCGAAATCTTTTGGATCGCTTTCCTATTTGCCCTTTGTTTTGGTTGGACGACGCTGCTCCTGGCCTTGTTGGCGCCTCGGACGGCTTGGAAGCACTGCTACTGATACTACTGCTAGGCACTGATGTTGCTCCTGTTTTTAGTGTTTCTAGTAATTCTTGAGGTGCATGTTTTGTGGGTATTTCCCAAGGCTCTTTCATCAACTCTAATTTTACAATGGCCTTGAAAGAATGGCCTTCGACATCGACCAAATAGACCAAGCGGCGTATCATTTCCTGATTAAGTCGACCATCTGGTAGATACCAAGACTGGATGTTGGGATCCAAGGCTGTGAAGTATCGTTCGTAACACTGGGAATGGGGTCGATTCAAAGCAGTATCAATCTCTGACCACTGCATGCCTTGTCGGACAAGACGAATGATCTCAGCATCGTCCTCCGGTGTCCACTTGCGGGAGGCTGTTTTTGATCCTAATGCTGAATCCAATTGGGTACCCTGCTCTGCTCCCCCTCTTACTTCTTGCGGGGCGATTTTATTATTGCTATTACCATTGTTGTTCCTATTAATGCCGCTATGATCTCTACTCTTAATTGGCTTATTACGTGAGAGATCCGCTTTCCGTGCTGTGTCAGGTTTTGGTCTCTTAAGGACGATAGGTCTTTCAGCCTCTGTTGTAATAACCGTAAATGATGAAGACGAGGAAGGCGAAGAAGAGGAATTGGAGGAATATCTCAAGGTATATCTTTGAGAAGAACGGATAGCACCTTGGGGGTACGACTGGCGGATACAAGCGCAAACAACGCGTGGCGTTATGAAAGGGGAGATCTTCCTGAGGAACATGTGCTGCTGACTCATTGGGGTGATGTCAAATGTGAATGAATAAAAAAAAAAAAAAAAAAAAAGCGTTTGCATGGTGCTTTTTAAACTCTTTCAAAGATCAAATGATGTGGCTTGATCCTTTCATAAAACAACACGTTGAACACGCACAGAAGAATGTTGGCATTTTATTTTGGTGTTTATCTCGTCCGACTACAAGTCGTACCTTCTATCGCCTAACCAGACACAGCTTAGTTCCTTGGACTTGAGCAGATGTTGAACGACACGCATTTCAATTGAAGTATCTTGTTGCTGTTGATCGTTTATGACGACAGGTGCAGATTCGTCCAATCTTATCTCTGCTACTCCTTTGCCTCCTTCCACTTTTTCAATACACTTTTGATTTTCTCACTAGTATCAAGCCCTCAAATTCTGGCTTCAATCTCCTGCAAAATCATCACATAACCAAGAAGCCCCTCTCGACCTCATCCATATCCATCACATGCTCCATGAGACTAAGGCTTTCAAGGCGAGGAAATAGCCGAGGCCAAAGCTGAAGCATCCAGCCTGGACTTTAAAATCGCTCCAGCCTCTGAAAAGCTCCATCTATCCAACAGTTGGCCGAGGCCATTGATGCTGGCCTATAGGCGTGAAGACAAATCCATTTGTTTGGGCAGCGTGTAAGAGTGACGACCAAATCAACTGAAATTTCCTTGTACGGAATCATCAAGGCATCCAGGTCGATAAATACGATAAATACATCGTGAATTGGAATGTGGCCTATCAAATCTCCTGAAATGGTGCCTATCTGAATGGCCGTCAATCTGGAGTACCATTTGGATACACTTTCCTTCAACAGCATAGTAGAGGATGCGTCGTGTGTTATTTTGCTCCATATCCTCCAGCGTTTCAAGTTTGGGAAGTGCATAATGATTGGCGGTTGACTGGAAAGCATGATATCTTCGATTCCTGGATGTAATTGTGTTACTCCGGTGTGTTGGGATTTATCATCGGTTAGGTTGAAAGTGAAGGATGTGGTCGCCACGTCAACGGTTGTAAGGGTGGATAAGGTCATGGCTAGTCGTACTTTGTGCACCATGATTTGAAATCGTCTCAAGTACTTACGAGGACGTGTTAAAAGGGCTAAATCATAGTCCTCGCCCATGAAACCAAAATGATGACCTCTTATCGTCGTCGCCATCACCATCGCCATAACCGTTGTTTTCGCCATAACTGTCCTTCACAAAAAAGGAACTCTACCTGAAATGGTAATCCTTTATAAAATTGAAACAAGCGGTATTGGAATTGTCAAAGCTGCTCATCTAGTTGGATACCGTAAGATCTCTTTCAACCAAACTCTGAAGAGCTGCTCCCATAATTGAACCAAAGCCTCAACGAGTTCACAGCGAGCAACACACTAGCGGCAAGATATGACCTCAGTTCTTGTGGTGTGTAAACGGTTTCTAACGCTTTCAACCTGGGCGACCATGTCTTAATGCAATTAATTACAATTTTAAAATTAGATTGAAAGATTTCAACTACAGCTACTACCAAAAACTTTCACAGAATCGTGCCTAAAATCCCTCCAAGCGCTTGGCTTGAACTGAAACTGCAGCCCCTCCCCCCCTCCTTCTTCCCCACCAACTATCGACACAAACAAGCACTGGCGATCGAAGGAGACTGAGAAACGAGGACCAGAAAACGTAGTTTGAGTTTTTGCCGACACTTTCCTAAACGAAGTGCCTACAAATTTTATTAAATTGACCTTCACCAGCTAGCAGGCGAAGCGCATGCGTGCGTACACACATGTGCTGCAAGGGGTGGCTTGCTTTTGCAGATGCTTCCGTTTCAGTGCCTTGCGGCACGTGTGCGCTTCGTCCGCTTAGGAGGCCTACGAAAATCAAATTCGACTGAATTTAAGACTACAGATGTTGCTGTATTCTACAGAGATCTAGTACACTTGAAGTATGCGAGTTGAGTAACAAGTCATTGAGCATTAGACAGTGTATTTCGTTTATTTGATAAATTCTACTGGGGATTGAATGAGACTAAATGCCTTCAGAGGGTTGTGAAGGCTGTGGAACATGTTGTTGTTGCTGTTGCTGATGGAGTATTTGCGGTTGTGGCGGTATCTGCATTGGTTGATATAGCAGGGATAGTTGCGACTGAACCTGAGGTTGCTGCTGCTGCTGCTGCTGCTGCTGTTGTTGTTGTTGTTGTTGTTGTTGTTGTTGTTGTTGTTGTTGTAGATGTTGCTGTTGCTGCTGGGCAAGAGCCTGTTGTTGTTGTGCGACTGCTTCTCTTAGTGCTGAAGGTGGTGGTGCCGCTGTTAGGCTGATTTGATCCCGAAGTGATCCACGTAGCCATTCTTTATAACAACCAATCGCTGAGGGGATTGGCATACTCAAAAACTGTGTCTTTGCAGGAGTTATTGCTGTGAAGTCAATAGCAGTCAAAGTATTAGAGGACGCGGCCGTTCCATTCGCATTATTCTCGCCAGCCATACCAGACTCTGAAATTCCTGGAGATGGAATAGTGATGGAAGCTAGTGCTGCTGCACGTGCTCTTTCCCAGGAATCGTACGCCCTAAAAAACTCTTGATGAACAGCGCCAAGGACATGTTGAACCATTGGAAATAAGTTGACGGTCCAAACAGGCGAGTTCTTGCGCTCTTTGACAACGATCACATTATCATGCTGATCAGGTGGCCACATCTGTGTCAGGTCATCTAAAATCAATGGGAGTGCAAACCCGTTGCCAATATCGGGTAGTCCATCTGTTGAAGGTTTAGTCATTGCACAGAACGCGTACAGGGATAAAAGGTCCTTTGGTGGTGCTGGGGGTTGATTAGACACGTTGAGGTTGATATTATTTACTCCCGGTACTAGCGCTCCATTTGTTACCGTTCCACCTGGTGGTCCCGATAAAGCATTTGTAGGAGGTGCAGAGTTTAAGAAGTCGTATTCCTGTCGGGCTGAATATCTCGTTCCACGAATACGAGTCCTCATGGGATCTAGCACATCTGCCACCATATCCACATACGACTGTTCACCTAGAGAGCAAACTGATATATCATATAGTTTGGAGGCCCATTCCAAAAACTCTTCAACATACTCTGTTAATACCACTTGACGTCCATCCCGAAGCTTCCTTACGCGACCAGGTACTATAGCGTTTAAGATAGGAAGTTTTAGATATCACGAGCTAAAATAGCATGCGAGATCACACCTTACTCTTCCCTAGAATTAAATCTTATAAAAAAAAAAAAATAAAAAAAAAAAAAAAGCTTACCTTTTGCGGCATCGGCCTCGGAAACATATCGTGTCCTCTCATTACCAACAAGTCGCACTAGTGTATCGTCTAAATCTAATACAAGTGGCAACCTCCGAGCTTTAAGTAGGTTGAGCTTCTGACTACTAATCATATTGGCGAGATCATCATGCTTGCAAATGTATCCAAAAATATTTCTGCAAGAAATAAATTATAATATAGAGACAATAAAGGTCAGTAACAGAAGAGGCGGATCATAGACATATCTTTGCTGAAGGTACTAAGAAAGAAAGAAAGAAAGAAAAGAAAAGAAACTCACGTGCGATCTCTTGAAGGTTTTAAATGTAGTTCCCACATGGTTGATGAGTTTTCAGCTTTAAAATCGATATATGTGCTCTATCAGACAAAAGTAATGTAGGATTAAGCATTGATAAATAAGATCTTTTTCTTTTTTTTTTTTTTTTTTTTTTTTTTCTTGTGATCAATTTGAACCAAAGTGTTTACTCATACCTTTCGCATGCCGCTTAGATCACCCCACCATTTATCACCCACTGGAAATTCAAAGACACAACAATGCCGGATATTATGTTGTGCCATAACAATATAAAAGCTTCTTGGAAGACTTGCTCGGACCATATAATATCTCTCCAAATGGAAAACAGGGGTTAGATCTGGTCTTGTAAACATTTCTCGGGTTTTGAGTATTGATGGACTTGAGCCTGGTGAAATCAAGTCAAGGGATAGTGTTGGCTTCCATTCTGCTGCGGCTGCGGGAGGCGTAGTAGCAAATGAGAAACGTAATGGGGGATGTGGATTACTGTGGTTATTGTTATTGTTATTGCTGTGGCCGTTGATATGGTGATGCTGTCTAGGAACCATCGATCCATTGGGCTGCTTATGTGAGAGGATAGGGCTGGGTGGAAGTAAATCGATGGAGGTATTGGGATTTGTACTTGCTCCTGCGCCTGCTGACTCCTTCTTTTCTACACCAACAGTGATTCCATTAATGGGGAATGCCCCTACAGGAGACTCAACGGCAATGTGTGGTCTTACCCTTGCCCCTGCCGATACTCTTGCTATTTCGGTGGATAGAAGAAAGAAGAGGGAGAAATAAAAAAAAAATAAAAAAAATAAAAAAAGAATCAATATACTATTCAGCTTTTTCTTTGGGGTTGTAAAAAAAAAGAAAAAAGAAAAAAGAAAAACACACATATACTCAAGTTGCCCTTAGTAGATGCCTTTAAAAGCTACAACTAGAACGATCACCCATTTTGTCCAAATGATTGTGGATCGCCACGTTGTTTGTAAGGCTCACATGTTCAAAAATAAAAAAATAATAATAAAAAACGTTCGGCCGCACAGATCTCACGCTTGCACACACTACAAGAAAAAAAAAAAAAAAAAAAAAAAAAGTCAATGCCACTTGTTACCTTGTTTTGATACTCCGCCGGGAGTCTTGTTAACATTGTTCGCGATCGGCGCGTTCAAGACTGAGGACTCTCCTGGTCCTGCTTTTGCTGCTGCTGCTGCTGCTTGTGATGCTACGGTTGAAGCGCCGGCTCCTGGTAGTTTACGAGTGGAGGGTTTCTTTTGTGTCATAGCCATTTTCATCCCAACAACTAGGCTCAGTGCAGTCTATAACGCGTTCACAGATCGGAGCAAGGAAAAAAAAAAAAAAAAAAAAAAAGTCAATAGTTGATTCAGAAAGCCCTTCTATTCCCTTTTTTTTTTTTTTTTTTTTTTTTTTCCAGTGCGTCTAATATCCATCATCCATCATCTATCATCCGCCATCATTCACGCATGGATGTAGCAAGAAGATCATCGCGTCAACCCTTGCTTCAATGAAACCTTTTTCCCTTTCCAGTTTTTAAAAAAAAAAAAAAAAAAAAAAAACATGATATAAGCATATGAGCTTGGGGAAAGGGGAGAGGAATCTCAAAATGAAACGAAGTGACAGGATAAAAAAATAAATAAAAAAATACGGGAATCAGCCAATTCAATAGAGAGAGAAATTGAGAAAGAGAGCCGCAACGCAAACAACCTTGACAAACACCAAATACAACGTGATGCAAACACAAACACAATGTACAATCATGAGTCATGGAATTTGTGAGTTGGTCATCCCATGGGATCTTTGTTCCATATACCTTTTCACGATCGCGGTCGATATCCATTGGGTGACTATCAGGTCAGAAAGTAAAATAGAAAGATAGAAATAGGTGGAGTAATAGGTAGGAAAGGAAAAAAAAACGAAAAATGAAAAACGAAAAAGGGAGGAGGAGGGGAGAAGAAGAGGTGCGTTGTTGTAGTATGTTGTAGTATGATATTTTTTCTTTTTTTCTTTCTTTTTTTTTTTTTTTTTTTCCTAGTCGGTAATGGATAATTGGTCTGTGTCGCTTTGTATAGCCTTGTTGAAGGAACAGGAACAGGCAATACGAATGTATAGAGTATTCAGTTTGAAAGTATTTTAAAGGTAGTTTTTTATCTGTAGAAAAAAAAAAAAAAAAAAAAAAAAAATCAATAGAATACAATGCTCTGTGGCACGATACAGGGAACTGGGGGGGAGGAGGGTTTACAGAGGGAGGCGAAGAGGTTTAGGGCAGGTGACAATAGGAGAGCTACACAGCAAGTACGATGCTGGCGTCTACCCTCACTCTGAAAGAAACAAAATTCTCTTAAGAGAGAAAGTAGTAGTCGCAGTAATAATAAAAAATAAAAAAAAATAAAAAAAAGTTGCAGAAGCAATAGAAAGAAAGAAACAGATGTGTTGGATGTTATTGCTGCAATTTATACTTGCACTCTTTTGGGTCCAAGCCACAGCTTGGGTCCTATTGTAGTTATAGCTTTTTACTTTTATAACTTTTATAACTTGCCAGTTACTACTTAGCCTAGTTACTTGTTACTCCTCCCGTAAACGAACAGACCTTTTTTTTTTTTTTAAAAGAGAAAAAAGCCACAGACATTCACTTCCTTAATTGACAAGAGCATATCCGGAGAACTTTTTCCATAGCAGAGCATAAATCAGTCTATTATCCGTTCACTCGCTTGGGAGTTTTTTTTCTTTTTTTTTATGTCCTACATGTTCTGGTATAGACATAGGGATTAAATAAAGAAAAAAAAAAAAAGGATCCAGACAAATTAGATTCATTCTATTGTGAACCAAAGCCTGAATATGAGTATCTAAGAATTTCTGTTGAAAGATGATTAAAAAAATAAAAATAAAAATAAAAATAAATAATAATAATAATAATAATAAGAAAATAATATTTTTTATATATATGTATGAAAAAAGAATAGAAAAAGGCCTTTGTTTACGCCCATTTGGCGCAGCTTTTTTTTTTTTTTTTTTTTTTTTTTTTTTGCATACAACTTTTTTGTTTCTTGAAAAAGCGCAGGTTGGTCACTTTGAATAAGTGATTTATTATTCGCGTATCGCCCTAAAAATCAAAATAATAATATATAATTGTATATATATAATTATATACTATATATATACATAATACAAGATATGTTCTATAAGTGTTAGCTTTATCACATGACATAGCCTCAATAAGGAGCTTCAAAATCGATATTTAGATGTTAATGCTGTTATTTTTAGCAGCTGATTGATTAATAAATATATTGTTCATTATAGATCCATTATAGATAGATCGATCCATGATCAATGTTTAAACAATACTCTCTGAAAAAAAAAAAAAAAAAAAAAAATTGATGTGATCACAAAGAAAAAAAAATAATGCACAACTCGCTCGCTCGCTCGCTCACTTTCCAGTAGACGGCTACAATCTTACAAGCTCTGATTGAATCTACAGTAGTCTCGAAAGAAAAACTCTAGACCACCTTGGTTGGAACGAGATTTGCATTGTTAAACAACAACAGCAGTAAAGTAAAGTAAGGCAATATAATGAAAAGCAATGTAAAGTAAAGTAAAGTAAAGTAAAGTAAAGTAAAGTAAAGCAAAAAAATATATATTTCTATAGAAAATCCACGCTTTGCCAAATGTGGATGAAACAACGGTATTATGTATTACCAGGAATTTTTTTTTTTTTTTACACAAGGGCAAAGTCCAAAAACTGCTTCGCCCTTGCACCAATAAGATCCCATCTCTAGATACCCTTTTTTCGATTTTTTTTTTTTTTTTTTTTTTTTTTTAAGAACAAAAAAAAAAAAAAAAGAAAAGAAAAGAAAAGAAAAGAAAGAAGAACCAATTATACACCTATAGTTTTTTTTTTTTTTTTTTTAATTTTTTTTTTAATTTTTTTATTTTTTATTATTACATGAACTATGGATTTTTTTTTTTGATTTTTTTTTTTTTTTAGATTGCTTGCTAAGATCTCGATTATGCCTTGTAAACTATTAGTGTTTGATAAAAATGATATTGAAAGAAAAAGAAAGAGAAAGAGAAAGATTTGTACAGAGGAAAAAAAAAATAAAATAAAATAAAAAAAAAACATGAAAATTGGTGATCGATATGATGGGTTCAAATCCAGGGGCTCTTGGCACAAGAAAAGGAAAAGAAAAAGACTGGGATGATGGGAGTCTTTTAATTTGTGTTCTGACCGGAAGCATTGATTGACAAACGCTTTTTTTTTTTATGCGTGTCAGTGCCCGTGTGTTGCGCCTTTGACTCCGTGAATGAGCATGTGATGATTTGTGAAAGAAAAAAAGAAAAATGTGGAATACATGGACGAAGAGCAGAGAAGGAAAAAATACATTGTTAAAGAAACATTAAGAGAAAAAGAAGAAGTTGAGCCCTGAAACAGGGAAATGCACACGACAACAATTAGGGAAGACAGACACAGACAACACTTGTTCATAAGCCAATTGAACAATCCGCATGGAACCGGGCTATGACTCATTGAGATGACAAGTTGAAGGCCTTGTTGCCTGCTGTTTGCTTGCTGAGGAGGGAAAGATCATTGCCCTTTTTTAGAAGTGGCAAGAATGTGCCCTAATCCCATCGCTGCGCCACGGGTCGTGTTTGTTGGTGTGGAATAGTATTAAAAAAAAAAAAAAAAAAAAAAGTTTGGCATGTTCTTTAGAAAAAAAAAAAAATTTGCTGTTGTTGTTGTGATAGTTGGCTCGATTGTCCTCTGTTATATTTGTGATGGGTTCAAGAAAGAAAGAGAGAAAAGAAAAAGAAAAAGAAAAAGAAAAAGAAAAAAAAAAAAAAAAAAAAAAAAAGCAGTTCATTCTCTTCACAACTTTTTTTTTTTTTTTTTTTTTTGTCTTATTCCTGAAGCCTCCGCTCGATTTCCTTAATCCTTGATTTTGCACGAGCAATATAATCACTCAATCTTTTCTTGGTCTCTTCAGCCTCGGCTTTGTCTCTCAAGACTTGGGACAATTTTAGGCCAAGGTCTACATGTTCCTGCTCCAGTCGCTTCAGGTTCGACTCGGACTGGATTCCTGGTTTGCTGTTGGAGAGCGGTGAGGGTGAGGGAGGAGAGGATGCATTGGAATTTGAGCCGGAACTGGCGCCGGATGAGGAGGCCGAGGATGTGGTGATTCCTTTGGCCTGTAGGACAGCCTGCTTTGCTGCAGCGACCTGTGCGTGAGTAGTCAAGACTAGTTGTTGATAGCCTGGGATGGAGGCATGTGCAGCATTGTAGGCTTGCTGGAACTCTGCAGTCCTGTTGCGGATCTGTTCCAGCTCTTGTTGAAGCTGAGCACGGGCATTGGCTGAGAGAGGACCCTGAGGCAAGGGGGCCATGACCACGTTCTCTAGGGTCTCTAGTGTTCTGAGGGCTATGATGGAGAATGTGGATGGAGGAAAGGTGCTTGAGGAGCTGTTTGTGAAAGTGGTGGTGCTCATGATATCTAGGGCTGACAACAGATCGTAAAAGATGTATGGCCGAAAGGAAGGGAGAAGAGAGGGAGAGAAAGAGAAAGAGAAAGAGAGAGAGAGAGAGAGAGAGAGGAAGGACAGGGGATGGAGTGGAGTGGAGATGGAAATGAAAAGGTGAGAAGAGAGAAAAAGAAGGGAAAAGGTTAGATGAAGAGGACAGAGGAAGGAAGAAGATTGAGATTTATAAAGAGAAAGAAAGAAGGAAGCAAAGAAAAAGAAAACCACGAATAAAATAGCGGCGTACTATTGAAGAGCAGTGTGGTGCAAAAGAACAAAGCAGAGCAGAATAGAGCAGTGTGGGTGTGGAGGATTGCTGGAATTGTGAACAGAGAGAATGGACTAAGTGTTGCATTAATTGACCCATAAGAAGACCAATAACAATCCAGGGACAGTGATGCGGCGAATTAAAGAAATAAAAAGAGGTGGAGAGGGATGGAGCAGAAATCAAGAAGTGAAGAACATACCCATATTTATAAGAGGGAAGAAGGGATACAGGGGGAGAACATGTAGGAGAGGGTGGGGGGAAGAAAGGAAGAAAGAAAGAAAGAAGTAAGAAATAAAAAACATTCAGATACCAACAGCAAGTTGTAGTAAAGCAAAGAATAATAATGATTTGATTGTAAAGCCAATGCCAATGGTGGTAAATCGGTCAAATTTTTTTTTTTTTAAATCCGTCCATTCCATCAATCAGGCTTCCGAAAAAAAAAAAAAAAAAAAAAAAAAACGGTGGCCTCGATTGGAGTGTCCTCTCTTTTGCTTTTTTTTTTTTTTTTTTTTTTTTTTTTTTTTCTGGGAATGAATATCAATGACAATCAAACGACAGGGGACCCAAAAATAAAAAAAGAAAAGACTAGAAAATATATCCAATCCTGTTAAAAAGTATTCAATCAATGGTTGTCGTAATGATTTCGTTGTTTGCTCTGCTCTGTTGAAAAACAAATGATGCTTAATGGTTTGGAATGATGATTATAAAATAATTCTGACGATGTCAATGAAACACGCGTATGCGAATGAGAATGTGCACATTAACATTTCTTCATTGACGTTGGGCGGAGGAGAAAAAAAAAAAAAAAAATTGTATACACAACACACACACACATTCACAAACACATACACAAATGTATTATTACAACTGATCTCAATGACGAAGGTGAAATAAAAATAAAACTCACCTAGTGGTGCTGTCATAAAAATAAGAAGAGGAATAAAAGTAGTTCAACACGCAAGACGAGGATAAGATAAGAAAAAAAAAAAAGAAAAGAAAAAGAAAAAAAAAAATTCTGATTGTAAATAAGAGGGTGAAAGGATAAGAGTTGATAAACTCTTTTTTATGCAAAGTGATGATAAATGTGTCAATGGGATTAAAAAAGTTCAAAAAAAAAAAAAAAAGAAAAGACGCGAATTGATCACTTTTTATATCTGAAATCGACCAGACCTCTGCATAAATCAAGGGACGAATATACTGAATCTTTCCTGGTGCGACAAACAAAGTGGAGACAAACAATACAACCACTTTCAGGAAACCCTTTGAACAATTGAACCTATCGGGCCAAGGAGAAATTGCTACACCTTTCTCAATAGGAAATGACTACAAAAAGGAAAATGGCTTATCGTTCTATTTGGTAATTAGGGGCACTTGTAGGATATTAAATCAACGAATCAAATAAAGCTCCACTTTCCATCTGTAGTAAAAAAGATTAAAAAGGTATCAATGCAATAGTTGTAGTTGTTAGTTGGCGCAATTGGCACCCAACAATAAGGTGCAATATATGCCTAATAGTTTGTAGGCTATTGTTTTGTAAGATGAAAAAAGTTTGTCCCACTTTGAGTTGGTCTGGTCCTAGTAAGAAAAAAACAAAAAAGATAAAAAAAAAAAAAAAGTGGGAGTGGACAGGAGAAGAAGACCGATATAAAAAAAAATAAAAAAAAATAAAAAAAATGCTTGTGAATGTTTTCAGATTTGTAGATTTGCACTGCACAAGGACCAAAGATCATGTCTGTCCTGCAACTGAAAGTTGTCCTTACCTCCCCCTATGCACACCATTTGAAAATAAAAAAAATAAAATAAAAGTGAGCAGAGAACAAGGTTTGTTCTCACACCCATGCGCAATGTGTGTTGCATGCACGATGGTTCTATTTTCCCTTTTCTCCCTTTCTTATTGTTTTGTTCCATGCATGCCATGCAAAGGAGCAACATGGTCCGTTCCAACAGCAAAAAAAAAAAAAAAAAAAAAAATCGCCATAATCATAATCACCATCATGCACTGTATGCTTTTTTTTTCCCTTTTCTTTTCCCCAAAACAACAACAATGTATATATGTAATATATATTACTGCGATATATACCCTGACTTTTGTATATCGCTCCTAATATTGAATCCCGTCTTTCTGACCCCTATTCTTGTCGGGGTGCGGAGCCAAGATGTGGATACAGATATTGCTGTATATTCATATAATCATAATCACACTCATATGCAAAAGTATAATAAAAAAACACAGGGGGTGAATAGTAATAATATATATATATAATAAAAAAGGGCATTAATAACAGTAACAACACAAATAAAATCCTTCACCGTAGTTTCAACTCTACTCATTCGCAGTATAAGAAGAAAAGAAAAGAAAGAAAGAAAAAAAGTATAATATAAATGTATCCTTTCGATCATTGACTACAAGGATATCATTGGTCTCAATATCCTCAATATCCTCAATATCTGAGCAATTCATCTCAAGATTCATAAAGTTTTTTTTTTTTTTTTTTTTTTTTTTTTTTTGTTTGTTCGCTCGTTGATCAGAAAAGGAAACATTATGCAGACACGGAACTTGTCGATAAACTTCTTTCAGCTCTTTTTTTCCTTTTTCCTTTTTCCTTTTCCTTTCTACTTCAGTCTTCCAAATAAAAAAAACCCCCCATTGGTTACCGACATAACTGAGCCAGGCTCAGATAAAATATATATTAAAATATTGCGATTAATGACAAATAGATTAGGCAAAAACTAAAAAGCAAAAGTAAAGGTAAAAGTAAAAAAACGTGGCAGAGATCGGGGAAATGAAGAAAAAAAAAAAAAAAATTTATAAAATGGCGCGAAAGCAAAAAACAAAACAAAACAAAGTAAAAAAAGACGAATAGGTTAATAAAAGCAAGTTATAAAGACTGAGATTAAGGGAGAACCCATGTATACTACATACATGTATATTATAGTTATATACTATAGATCATGTTGGAGTCTAATGTTGGACAGAGAAATTGAACCCATCTTCTGGGTTTAGGACGGTGACACCAGGAAGGATCCATAAAACAATTATTATGAACCATCTCTGTGTACACTTTAGCTCAATTTCTTTAATGTGTCAAACCAAACAAGGCAAAATAGTCCCATGAAATAAGCGAAATAAGCATAAGAGAATTGGGGGCTGTCGAATGAAAAGCGTCTTTGGAGTAATAAAAATTAAATGCAAGACTCGTAAATCATCAAATGAGCACTCTGAAACTAGAGAAACTGACAGGTGGGACTGCATAAACAGTTTTACTTGGGTGTAAAGGGGAGAGGTATAGGAGAGAAGGAGGATGGGATGGGATGGGATGGGTAAGGGTCGTGTGGGGTCGTGAGGGTCGTGTGGGGTCCCGGACCAAAAAAAAAAAAAAAAAAAAAAAAATAAAGACGCGTCTTTATTTTTTTTTTTTTTTTTTTTGGAGTGATACAAATAAAGAAATGCCCATCAGTAGGAATCTGATCTTTTTTGCTTGTGTTTGCCTGTGCTAATTTTCAGATCCTCTGTGATCTGACTTTTCACCTCAACGCGCATTACGCATGTACGCACAAACAAAAACGGGACTATCTCTGTCTACACACGACTTTTTGTCTATTAATGTGCGCATTACATCACTCTCTACTCTGCTCAACTCTCCCCCTCCCCTTTCTCCTCTTCCAAGCTTTCTCGTATCTCCCCTGCATTTGCAATCACATAGTTTGATGTTCGCGACAACAGTGCTTGACACTATTTGTATCCAAAAAACGTGTCATTGTAAAATAAAAATAATAATAATAATAAAAAAAAAAAAAAGTAAAAATAAAAATAAAAATAAAATAAAAATAAAAATAAAAATAAAAATAAAAATAAAAAAAAAGATGATGTGATGTGGTTTGATTCCATGTACAGATACGCGCCAGCTATTCGTTATTTCTTTTTTTTTTTTTTTTTTTTTTTTTTTTTTTTACAAAAGGTTATCATGTCAAAAGATACGTGATAAGGGGAAGAGCAAAGACATAATGTATTGTATAACTTACCTGATTTGCCCACTTGCTTGCAAGGATCAGAACTTTGGAGAAAAGGGAAGGGGGAAATGTCTTTGATATCAAAAAGAAAAGTCCTATGTATACTAAGAAACAAAAAAAAAAAAAAAAAAAAAAAAAAAAAGGACGTGTCTGTTGATAGATAGAAAAGCTGTGTAAGAAAAAAAAAAAAAAAAAAAAAATAGTAGAAAGAACAATTGAAGGAAGGAAAGGAAAGGAAAGGAAAGGAAAGGAAAGGAAAGGAAAAAAAAAATAAAAAAAAGTAAAGAGATAAAAAAAGAAATGTCAAAAAGTGAAGATTTGGTGTGGAGCTGTATGGAACTTGTGTTATTCAAGGTGACAGAAACTTGAAATCGCTCCAATGAACAAATGAACAACAGTGCGATATGTTTTTTTTTTTTTTTTTTTTTTTTACTTTTTCTTTTTTCTTTTTTCTTACTTGGTTGTGGACAGGTTTGCAAAAACAAATACAAAAAAAAAAAAAAAAAAAAAAAAGTAAAAGGGTGATATTTTCTTGGGGTTAAAGAGTCAAGGGTCAAGAAAGACTTTGGCAGAATGAAAGAAAAAAAAGAAAAAGAAAACAAAAAAACAAGAGTTGCTTAGCAAAACAGTTCTTTCTGGCTTTTTAAACAAGAAACTTGTAATGTCAGCATAAAAAAATAATAATAATAAATTTATAATCTGCAATCAAGGTGATTACAGGCGCACCCCTAACGCAACGTATGAGCACAGTGATGAACTCTTTTGTTTTTGTTTGTCTGAAAATAGTTATGATCAACAATGTTCGGTCATAGAGAGCTTAATGCTCTTGAATGAATGTTAGTGCTAATGCTTTGGCTTATGGTTTATCGAAGCGAAGAGTAAGAGTAAGATACAAAGATTGGATGAACCAATAGATTCCAAGCTTGAGGTTATGAGACTATGAAGATGTTCTCATTGCATCCATCCATTGATTAAAAAAAAAAAATTATCTTTCGTAAACATGCATCATACTTGGTTTCAATTAATGGATGCCTTTTTTGTTGTTGTTGTTGTTTTACTGTTCCCGCCGGGGAACACAGCTCCGTTCGTTTCTCGGTCCTTCCTGTTTTTTTTCTTCCTTCATCTGTGCGTTAATGAGTAAGATAGTGTGAGGTTATCCTGCAACAAACAAAAGCATAAAAGTTGTGTTCTGCACAGCAAAAAAAAAAAAAAAAAAAAGAAAAGAATAAAGTCGTGTCTTGGTCTCGAAGACCTGATCTGTCGCAGCATGAACCGCCAATTCTCTCTCCTTAGTCGATAAAGAAAAGAAAGCAACAAGCTCAGTCCATTGTTTTTACAGACGTGGGAGATTAGGATACGCCTTGGATGTATCCTTTCCAACGCGCATTGAGACACGTAAAAAAAAAAAAAAAAAAAAAAAAAATGAAAAAAATAAAAACTTGATTTAAATAGTTATTATGCGGCGGTGCTGCAGATAGACTTTGCATGATTGCTGGATGACAAGTTATCCATTGTCACGGGAAAAGTTTTTTTTTCTACGACAGTTGTCAATTCTGATTGGAGTAAAGGGAATGATGCAGTACTCAAGGTGAGCGAGGCAGTGGTAAACCATGCATACAACCGCACTTGTAAATATTAGGATAGTCAAAAAACAAATGGACGAATGAAAAACCAGATGACTTGTCTTTTGCCAGGGTTGCTAAACTATGCTTGTTTTTTCGTTCGCTCCATCCGATCTCTTACTTCCCTATTTTTTTTTTTTTTTTTTTTTTCCTTTTTTTCTGTTCCTCTACCTGGGTCCGTGATTGATCTTTTTACGTAAAAAAAAAAAAAAAAAAAAAAAAAAAAGCGTGTCAGCTGAAGAGGACAATCGGATATTACAAATGAACCCTGTGAGCAAAAATTCAAGGTTTCAATAAACACATCATCCATTCAGCAGCAAATACAGCAAACAGCGCCTGCAGCTGAATTTTCTAGAACTTTAGAGGGTGCCTTCATGGCAATCCATGACCGACTGCTGCCGCCCTAGGAATTTTCAAGAAACAGATCTAACATATCCGCTTATTTATTTGTAATTGTGCTAATGAATGCATTCTGTCCTAAGTATCAGTTCGGACATTGCAAAGCCAAAAAGAAAAAGAAAAAAAAAAGGGGGGGGGGGAGGACCTGCTTCATTTTACTCAACTCGTATCCTTTTTTCCGTTGGGTTTTTATCTAATACTTACTCTCTTTCTAATACTGATTATATTTCATTTCCTTACTTTGCTATCCGTGCTCCATTCAAAAAAAAAAAAAAAAAAAAAAAAAATTAACAAGATTGGTGTGTTTGCCACGCTCTTTAGCAGCTATTGTTTGATCGCCATCAGTTCTTTAATAGTGTGTTCGAAGCAAAGCTGAGGAAACGAACTGTCATTTTATATGCCTTTTTATATACTAGAGTTATGTCGTTACTTTTTTTTTTGGACCATAATAAAAACCTTTTCTTCCTTTTGTTTATCTTATGGCCCCATGTATATTCCATTGATGACCACAGATCAAGAACTCGGACACTTGAGGGGGTGCTTTGTCTGGCAATGTTGAGGCCCAACATGTTGAGTAGATTCCATCAAATGGATAGGAAGACTGTCCACTCTCTTACATCCACTCAAGGCCAGGATGGGTTGTCATTATTATTGCTTGACATAATTTTAATGTTCGATATTATGAGCTTTGATTCTAAAATCATAGAGCAGGATTATTAGTGAATAGCCAACGCAATTTTTTGCTGTATAGTTTTCAATGATTGAAGGTGTCTTCAGACTTGCAGGATAATAACTCTGACAATATTCTTAATGATCCATGGCCTCTTGGCCGATCCAATAGTCTAAAGAACATCTCACGCGTATCCCAATATTTTGTATTCCCAATACGTCCAAGCCGCATACACAAGTCTAGTATCACGTGCTTTTTGTTAGTGCACAGCACTTACCAACTATAGTTGATTAATTCACTGATGCATTTTTTTTTTTTTTTTTTTTTTTTCTTGTCAAAGGACACACAGGACAGGATGCAATCAGCAGATGCGAGGCTGAAATCTTTTACGCATAGGACGCGGACTTGGCCTTTTCTAAATGATGATTGTAATGCTAATCCTACAAAAGTAAGAGGCCGCATGCTTACTTGAATAATGAAATCGAGATCTCCTTTAAAAAGACCAGGCATCGCACTAAAACGTTATGCCCTCTTTTTTTTTTTTTTTTTTTTTTTTTTTCCTTTTTCTTTTCTTCTTCCTCTTCTCTTTAAACACCTTCTGGAACACTCTGTAAATATTATAAACTAATATTCCAGCTTGCCGACGCTGGATTTTACTGGAAGCCATATTCGACATCGCCTGACAACGTTGTATGTTTTCTCTGTGAAAAGTCACTGGATGGGTGGGTAGAAACCGACAATCCATACGAAGAACATCTGAATCATTCCAGATGGTGTGGCTGGGCTATTGTCAAATCTGTCCCTCTGGTCGAAGAGGGAGAGCTACCATTCCGCTGGGATGATGAAAATGAGCTTCCAAAGGGCGAAAGGATGACTAAAGCGAGACTAGAGACCTTTGGGAAATGGTGGCCTTATGAGAAAGTTAAAGGATGGTACGGAACAACTCGACGGGTACGTTATTTTATTTTATTCTAAAAAAAAAAAAAAAAAAAAAAGAAAGATTATAATATTGCCTATTACCTCTCTCTTATTTGAAGTCAATAAAATGCCTTTTTTTCTCTCTCTCTATACATATGTCTACTGTAGATGGCGAATGCTGGATTTTTCTATGCACCTACAGATGATTCAAATGATAATGTACAATGTCCGTATTGTCACTTGGGACTGGATGGATGGGAAGCTAAGGATGACCCGATACATGAGCATCAAAGACGGAATCCAACATGTCCATTTTTTGCGACTAGAGCCGCCGCACCAACAAAAGCCTCGTCCGCCAAAGCAACTAAAGCAAAGAAAAAGGATATCGCATCTACGGACTATCATCACTCTAATGAGCAGGTAAGCTCTCTCTGTCTCACCTTGTGGAATGATGATTATGTTTGAGATTTTTTTTCCCCCCTTTTTTTTATCAGCACTCATTTTTTTTAGTATTTTTTTTTTTTTTTTTTTTTTTTTTTTTTTTTTTTTTTCCTTCCTTTAATTTAGCATAGTGGGCTTGTGCCATCGCGTACACAACGCAATCAAAGCGCATCACAGGAGAACCAAGAAGTTCCAAAGAGTACACGCGTGAGTCGTATGTTAAGAGCGTCTTCTTCATCTGCTCCACCAAAACCTTTATTGAACAACAATGACTGTCGATCCAGGGAATCATCTCAGTCTAAGCACAGTGTGTTGAAGCCATCGACACAGAAAATAAGCTCGGAAGAGAGGTTGCCGTCTCAGCCACGATCAGTCGAGTTTGATATATTCAAGGCCTCTTTAGGACCGAAAACGAGCTCTTCCAACAGAAAGCCACCTATAGAAGAAATGGAGGGCAATGAGGAAGTAGAGATCTTTAGGAGACAAAAGCAACGGAGCCAAACAGAGGATTTTCAACAATCAGTATGGCCTAGGGTATCACTCATGGATATAACGTCAACATCATTGCCCGAAATGGAGACGATTGGCCCATCATTGTCACAATCCTCATCGTCCTCATCAGCGTCGGCCCAGAAAAGGCGGCAACGGGAATATAGTAATGAGGCCAGCTCACAGGAATCAGTCTCATCACGTATCTCAGTTGTCATTCCAAAGCGACGTAGATTGGCAAAAACAGAGCAGTTTAAAATAGATTCAGAAGGGAAATCAGATGAATCTCAGAAGAAGAACGAATGGGCTCGACCGGAAGACGAGATAGGACCAGATGTTTCAAATACTGAGGATATTGAGGACAAAACCGCTAAAACATCATCTCCTCCATCTAAAACAGCACCGTGGGAACGGAAACTAAAGTGTCAAAGCCCGGATAAAAATCAAAAGTTGTCTAAGGTTCACGACCAAGGACTAGACGTTTCTGATGCTGCAACCGCTGCACCAAAAAAACGTAATAGGTCCAAGAAGGCAACCCAGGTTGCTTCAAGGTCAAAAAAACCCTCGGCCCATCTCACCAAGCGCGTGTTGCGCTCGGCAGCATTATTGAAATCACCATCTAAGAAATCAACAAAAACTCTCATAGAAATATTCGAGCTACCTGACGAACCAAATGATGACAGGGATAAACAACCACCAATAGCAGGGTCAGGAATATCATCAGAGCCAGTTACAGTCAGGACGCCACCAGCACCTTCACCGGCAACACCGCCAATACTAACTAACGATGAGGTACTATCTACAACGACAGGGGTAGCATCTTCATTGCCACCAACGACAGGCTCCACCCTTCACATGACAATGGACATTGATGTAGAGCCAGAGGATTTGCTTATCGCAGAGCCCCCGGCGCTCACGACTGATAGTGTAGTGAAAGACAGTCGGATGGACCAAGTGACAACCAGAGCTCCTGAAACCGCAGAAGTATCAGAGCCCACACCAGTTGCCAAGGAGACACCTAGTAATGCGCAAGATATTTTGCCAGTTCCTTCAAACTCATCCTTGCACAGCGATATTGACGGCAAGGATATGGCTAATATGGCAGAAACGCAAGATGTAAGCAGCGTTGTAAGCGACCATATGAAAGACAATCTGGGTCTATCTTCAACTCCACCTTCAACCCCAAAACGAGGACAGGCTGTCTCCATGCAGGATATTGTGAATGCTCGGGTTGTAATTGTCGATCATGCCACACCTAATAAAAGAGTAGCTTCTTCAATAGACCTTGAAGGTTGGGAAGACGAAGATCGTCGGGGAAGCGCGGAGACGTACGCAACTAGCCCATTTGTCACTCCCACTAAATGGCATATGGATGGTATGCTTTCAACATCGACCCCAAATGCTAGAGAATCCCTTGTTCAACCAGCACTGACCTTCACGCCAAAGCAGAGAATCAAAGATATGGTGGGTGGCATGAGCGGTGACATTCTGCAGTCACCTCGCGCGAAGCTTTCCACTGGTAGAAAGACACATCGTTCTAGTCCATTCTCGCCAGCAGTGAAGCAACAGAGGCTGATCGACCGTCTGGAGAATCTGATGAATGAAAACGATAGTTCAGGAGTCTTGGCTGTGGCTGAGAACGCATTAAACGAAGAAATGAAGCAGTTAAGACGGTCGCAGAACAAAGGGCGAAAGCTAGCAGTGTCAGCAACAGTGTCAGAAGAGGCGACTGAGCCTGCTATGGAAGCACGTCAAGATACGAGTTTTTCAACACAACAATTTGAGGTCGCCAATAGTAACGATAATAGTCCCATCCAAACTCCTGTACGGAACACTACAGCAAATCTCTTGAAAGAATCTACCGTGCCAGTCACACCGACTCATAAAACACCTCTGCCCATCTCGAATGTAATTTCTGCTATTGGCGCAGCGTCCCGTCGTAACAATCAAGGGGCAGTCTCACCCTTTGTGAGGACTCCTGCCAAGAAAACTATAGATCTGCTCGCTCTTGCTGACCTTGAAGTACGGGGAAGCAGTACTGGCAAAGGCACTGGCAGGGAAAGATCTATGGCGAAAACAGAGCTGCAAGAGCCGGCATCTGAGAATCCATTTATTGTTACTTCACAATCATCTCCCCTCGATTCTCTGCAGAAAATGGATAAGAGCAAAAAGGCTTTAGCTTTTAGCCAGCGACTTGACAGTGTAGAAAAAGGAGATGAGGGGGAAGGGGGGAAAAAGGTAAAGGATGAGGATCAGCAGAGACGCTCAGGGAGTGACAAACCCCCCGATCTTAGTTCACATCGTTTCCATCCCGATCCGGCCGAAAACGAACGTCGGATGAAGCTGTCGCACGTTTGTGGTCTTACAGAGAGTGAGCTGAAAATGACGGTTGAGGAGTTCCACCGTGCGGTTCTAGAGGATCAAGTACGACAACTTGAGCTGATAGGCGAAGCATGGATCCAACGGTTTCAAGAAGAAAGTGATCGAGTACGCAGTGCGCTCTTGGATGATGGCATGTTGTAGTGGATCTTTTTTATATATTTTATCACTGTTGTATTGTATTTGTTACTTTTCTGTATATTTATGCTATAATATCAATTTAATAGAATTCACGTGATATTTGACAGATCAACATGTAAGCGAGTTTTTTTTTGGGCGGAATCAAAGCTTTTTCCTCATGAAGCGCCATGTCCGCCACCGATCTTGCACGGTACCTCGAGTGCCATGGTCTAGGGCTTGTCAGCGACAAGCAAAAGTATCGTAAAGTAGTGGCCTTGCAGAGACTCACCAAAGGTTCAGTTGTGATCACATCGCGTCCATTATGCAACCCGATTATTTTTCCAACTCATCGCCCCCAACACTGTGAGACCTGCTTTCAAACAAGGAACAGTCAAAGGAAGGTTTTAAAGAAGGCCTCAGAGTTGGGGCAGCAACAAACAGTTGAATTGGAAAGGTGTTCTGTTTGTAAGAAACGGTACTATTGTGATCGAGATTGCTTCACAATTGCGTGGAAGGGCTGGCATCGTTGGATCTGTACGGACAAGGATATGGAGGATTTAGATTACGAAATGTTGAAGATGATAGCCATATCGATCGAGCGGCTTAGGAATGGGGCCTACAAGGAATCGGAGGATGCGCACATTTTCTCAGCTGCATATGAGGCAACAGCTCCCGATGGTATAAAAACCAAGACTACCACTGCCATTAAGGCTGAAACAAGGCTTGACTCTGATTCTGGATCGGAAACCGGAACAGAAACTGAAATAAGAGGACTAGGATCAAGCCCACCATCAACTTGGGAAGCTGCGGACAAGAAAGAAGAGCCTTTGGGACTGACAGCTTATGTGTTTTCAACATTGCTCGGCCATGAAAGCATATCAGACCCAAGTCTTATAAGCAAGTATCGGCAGATTGCTACAAGGGTCCGCCAACAACTATTGGGATCCAAGTTTGTGTTCAAGAGTGAGATTAGTGGAGGCGAGCCACCATCAGTGACGGAGCTAATGCAGTATCTATGCCGATTTCATTGTAACAACTTTTCAGTTCATGATGCACAACTTTTCACGATGGCAGAAGGAACTTTCCCAGTGGGCGCTTTGTTCAATCATTCGTGTCGACCGAACGCGACTGTAATGTATGAGGGTAAACTGCAGGTGGTGAGGGCTCTTGAAGATATTGAGACAGGTCAAGAGATTTGTACATCCTATGTTGATAATGGAGTCCAGCGTTTAGAACGGAGACAATTGTTACGGGAAAAGTACTTTTTCGAGTGTCGTTGTCCGCGGTGTGGGAATGATCAAAGTTGTGAAAAGTCCGATGGATTGTCGGATCAAGATCAAGGAGATAGCGATGATGTTTCAAAGGTCAAACAATCAGGCTTCCGGATCCTGGATGATTTAATCGAGGGGAACGACGATGGGCCAGAGCGAGGGAAGAATAAAGTAAGTGGAGAGTGGCTTACAGAGCAGTTTAAACCCATCGTCTTACCCGGAGCACGATTTCTACAAGTCCCGGCCCCAACTCTTCAACCTCCATCGATCTTCACGCGAGCAACGTTTACAAGTTATGTCCTTCACTCTCTGGTACCCCTGATCCAGACAGGGGTCTCGGAACGGGAGTACACATCCAAGCTTTTTGAGGTTTATCAAACGCTTCAGACCACACAGCACAGTCATCCGAAGCCATTTACGACAACTGTGATGACGAACGCAACGTCATTCTTTAATACCTGTCTCGAACATCAGTCCTGGACCTTGGCATCTAAGATTGGAGCATTCATCTTGGCGCTCTATTTGATGATCTATCCAAGACATCATCCCTTGGTGGGCTTACACTGTTTCACACTTGCCAAAAGTCTGTGGAATGACATAGAGGGTGGATTGACTTCTGTGCGACTCTCGCATGAGATACTGAGGTTGTCTTTAAATATTCTTAAAGTTTCGCATGGTAACAAAGGAGATAATGGATCCTTGGTGCAAGAAGTGATCGATTTTATGAAGACTGTGGATTTAGAACTCGGGTCCTGAAAAATATGCATCTCTCTTTTTTTTCCCCCTTTTTTTTCAAGGTCTCAATAAACGCCATGAGTAGTTTAATTTATTATTATATAATAGTGTAGTATGGTTACTAATTACAGAGTGAAGTTAAAAAGAAAAGATGTTTAAAGGAGAGCAACGACAACAGCGGCAGCGGCACCGATAAAGGCACTAGAGCCAGCAACCAAACCGTTGGCGGCGCTGGGCTTATTGGCTCCATCGCCTGCAGCACCCTTGGCCTCGGCCTCAGCCTTGGCCTTCTTGTACCACTCAGCCTTGGCCTGGAACTGTTCCTGATAAAGATCCAACTCCTCCTTAGGGCAGCTCTGGTAGCACATACCCGCCTTGTACATGAATGTGGTGTAGGTGGGAGTGCCTCTCTCGTGGCCGTATCCAAGCGACTCCAAGAAGTAAGGGCTGTTGGGATCATCGGTATAGTTGGGGTTCATGCTCTTGCCAATGTCCTATAAAACAAATATACATATTAAAGAAAGCATGAATGAGTTTTTTTTTGAATGAATGAATGAATGAAAAGATATGATTGTTATTGTCTCTTTTTTTTGTTTGTTGCTGTTATTGATTCTGAAAAACACACCATCAAGCACTTGGAAACGCATGGGCCGTTGGGCTTGAAAGGGTACTCAAGAGCGCTGGTGACAGCAACGACGGAGGCGAGGACGGCGATGATTGAGAAACGCATTTTTTATTTTTTTTTTTGTGTTGTTGTTACAAGGTTGTTGAAGTGTTGATAGGTAGGATGTGAGTATCAAGCAAGAACAAGAAAGTAAAGAGAGAGAGAGAGAGAGAGAGAGAAAAAGAAAGAGAAAGAGAAAGAGAGAGAAAACAAAAAAAAAAAAAAAAAAAAAAAAAATGGTGAAGGATTATATTGTTGGATTTTATAGTTGATAACAGGTTGGTTGATCTGCATGCTTCTGTCTCAGTAAAGAAATATAAATATATAAATATATATTATTGAATTGAATGTGGATACTTCTCAAGGTGTACATGAACTGCATGTTACACACATACTTCTTCCGAAAACACGCGTGAATTAAGAGCCGTGAGAAGCGCAGCCAAAGACAAAGGGAGGAAAAAGAGAGAAGAGAGGGAAAGAGAAAGCCCAATCTTCTTTATCAGATCCCTGACCGACTTTACTCAAGATCGGGCTATTAATGACCACCTTACTTCACATACAGGCCCCCAAGAGTAAGAGTAATGATATGAAACAGGAAAACCCAGAAAAAAAAAGAGAGGGGGAAAAAAAAAAAAAAAGAAAAAAAAAAGACGATGCTGATAAACTGAAATGAAGATCAAACACCATAAATGGATCAAGGTCCGCAAAGGATGCAAAAAAGAATTAATGACGAACATGAAGAGATAAACGGTTCTTATTCCGTGGAGGGATAAAAGAAAATCGGTCAGGACAAGACAAGATGACATGGTCAAAGAACACAATAATAGAACCCAAGTAAGCAAGGTTCCGGGTCTATTTGAGCATTGATGCCCGGTCGGATGATGACTACAAGAAAAAAAAAAAAAAAGCATATAGTCTACATGTATAACTTTAGCTTAGAAAAAAGAATGATGTATGATATATACATGTATATATAATAAAAAGATGGGCAACTCAGACAAAGTTTCTGCTCTGTTGTTGTTTATGGATCTCCTAATTTGCATGGCGCCCAAAGTCAAACAAAAAAGTGAGTTAGCACTAACTAAGCACGAGTGGGGACAAAATCTGGAAATTCCATCAGATAAACAATCGCCCCGTCAGCCGAGGCTCTAATCTGATTCTTTTTTTTTTTTTTTTTTTTTTTTTGAATCCCCGGTTCATTACATTGACATCAAGCTCTGCTTCTGATTCGCCTGAATTGGGAAGCATAGAAACGAGAGCAATCCTCTCTTTGACAAAAACAGACAAACAGATGGGGAGGTGCATGTTGGACAAGCGCCAATTTTCTTTTTTTTTCTTCTTCTCCCCCCTCATGGTTCTTAATCATTTCGTGGGGTGGGGCTTCACGCTAATTGACTGAAATCATTCTTAACAACAATAAAAAGAAATAGCTCTTGATGCATGCAAAAAAAAGTCCACAAGCACACATTATGCCTACAACTTTGGTTCCTTAAATGAATTACTTCATCCGATTCACTACGATCCCTTTGCTATATGCATAGATGCATGTTTGGATTGTATACCTATACACACAGCATGACCACGTTTTCTAAACGATATGCTGGGAACATGGTCTACAATTTAGCAAAGGGAAAAAGAAATAAAAGAAAAAGAATGTAATGGTGTAGGGCAAAGCATAATAAAACCTTCAAGGATAAATCCAAACCTAGAAAGACTTGGAGAATAGAGGAAGCCATGGGTTCAGATGTCTTTGGAGCCTTCAGCCTACATGTGCATGTACACTCTAATCATGGTATATATATATAATTCATCAATTCAAGGAGTTTTTTTTAAAGACCAGCCTCGATAGTCAGGCTAATTGTTAGGATACAGGTTGCATGGTGTGTATGGGCGCTTTTACTTTGCTCAACTGACTTTCAGGTTTTTTTTGTGTGTCTTTAGATGTATGCGCGCCAACACAAATGCAAAATGCGTGTAATAAATGAATCAGTTGACCTCTGTTAGAAATTTGTTCCGCCTTGCATTATAAACATAGCGACAAAACAACAGATCAATGTCGTCAATCCACATTCTTTCTATGCTCATCAAACTTTGACACATGTTGCATCTTCCAAGAGTTTATCCATTGTGTATAAACCATGCCATGGAGCAAGACGGAGTTTTTTTTTTTTTTTTTTTTTTTCTTATCCCCTTTCTTATATTCTTACATGTACATTTTGTATTTATTTGTTCATCCATCCTTGCTGAATTGCTGAAGCCAACAGTTCGCAGCTGAGTTTTTTTTGTTGAATGAATATTCGTGTACTGTACACATTACATTTATTTATGAGTATGTTTACATGTCAGTTTTTCTCTGTCTCAACTACAGTGGAATCTCGATAATTGTACATTTTTGTACAAATTTCGAATTTGATATATTTCTAGGCCATTGGTTGGCTAAGAGCCTCTCAATTCAAAAATACTATTGTAAGCTGACCTCTCTATGTCAAACATGGCAGGAGGGCAGGTAAGTGACTGGCAAGTGAGGGAGATTGTAGCTAAAGGAAGGGATTGCAACTGAGGGAAGGTGATGGCGTAAGCTTGAAAAGATCTTGTGGTATTTTTTTTTTTTTCTTTTGTCAATCATCAAACACGACACAATCATAGCATCAGCCATCAAGCAAGTCCCTCTTCTCTAGTCCGTTCTATTCACGATGTCGGCTACTCTCTCGAGCAACAGACACAGCTGCAGCTGCATTGGTCCCTCTCTACCCTTAGGGCAGGGAGAGTTTAACAGCCATCTTCGCGGTGGCAAAATCCCACCATCTTCGCCATGGTGATGATTGTTAGTGACCAGCGCTGTCTCTGCAGTTGGTTTTCTGTCTGCTTCGAGGCCCTCCGCAAGCAAGAAGCAATTCTACAGGCTGGACGTCCAAACTCTTTCTCAAGCAGCAGACACAGTTGCAGCTGCATTGGTCCCTCTCTACCCTTAGGGCAGGGAGAGTTTAACAGCCATCTTCGCGGTGGCAAAATCCCACCATCTTCGCCATGGTGATGATTGTTAGTGACCAGCGCTGTCTCTGCAGTTGGTTTTCTGTCTGCTTCGAGATGGAGCAAGTCTTGATCCTTTTCACTGTCGCCTCTGTCATTCTCGCTGTCAATTGCCATAATAGTAACCACCTCAACATTTTTTCAGTCTACAGCTGATATAACATTTTGCCAGTACTCGATTCTAACTTTTTTTTTTTTTTTTTTTTTTTTTTTTTTTTTTAATAATATTAATAATCATATTATTACTATTATCAATATTATAACATACAAGACAAAAGAAGGAGGATCCGGAGCATCCGCAGCCGCACATGGACAAGAATGTTTGGCCTTTGTTGTTCACTCACCACTCACTCCCTCATACTTATTCGATATATAACATTTAATAAATCTACAGCTCGTCACTTTATTACTTTTTCCGGGGGGCTGGGAATGTGAAAAACCAAGTCTAAAAGTACTCCTCATGGATGGCACTTTGTGTGCATTGCATTACATTATGCTGTCCCGAGAGCTCCGTGCTTTACCGTTCCAAAAGATAAACGCTGCACTATTTATAAAAAGAGCTGAATCACCCATTATCCAATTATCCAACACTCTCAATCAACATTTTCTTCAACATGCCTAAATTCACTACTGCCAATAAAATTACTGCCAATAAGAAAAAGAGCAACTCTTCAAAAGTGTGTTCTCTCCCTTTCAATTAGATTGCCAAGTGCTGAAATAGCATTCCAAAAACATTGAACTGCCAACTAATATGCAACTAACATGCAACTAATAGGGACTCTCTATTGTTACGAATCTCGTCGGCCGAGGAACAACATCTTGCCGCCTTTCCCATGAACACTTGATTATTAATAACGTAGATGTTTCGTTGAAGGCAATGGAGGCGCGGGAAATATTTGTGAAGAAAGAAGCGACTTTGAAAAAAGCTGATGAGTTATTGTATGTCACTGTGTTCGCAACTGTGTTCGCAACTGTGTTCGTAGAGCGTGGAATGCGGAGTTGATACTTATATTAAAAACTCCCTTGCCGTAATATCTCTAGAACTCTCAACTTTATCTTTTCGAAATCAATTCTTAAATCGCTGGTTAGTGACCAGGTTCTTGGAGAGATATTTGGGACCAGGAAAGTAACCAGGATACCCGAGGAACATTGCAGTTTCCTTAAAGGATGAACCCGAACTGCGGGTACCCAGGATTATCAGCATTTCCAGGATAAGCTTTCCAAGGCACCAAATGCTGTCAGAAATTCGCTCACGTTCAAGGTAATCCAGAATATGACCTGTACCGATCGAATATGGGGGACCAAGAAAGGCCAATCGCTCAATGAAGCGACATACCAGCATTTCTTCGTTACTCCTGTAATTGAGACGCTCCTGCATGGATTGGGAGCAACAATTGCCATGTAATCACGAATTCATTTATAAGTATCTGCCAACCGGCAAAGTTTCCCCTAAAATCGTTTAACGCTCGATTTATGTCTTAACATCTGCTAGAGATTCTCGCCTCGAGGAGATGCCATCCCTGGATGCCAGTCTGGAAGAATTCCGACCCGACATCATCGCACGGGTAGATGACTTTCCAGTTCTCCTCGTGGAAGTGAAAAAACCTGGGATCAAGGCTGGGAAACTCCTATCGTTTGATTATCTCAAGCTGCTCTCCATGATGAAGCTGTCTTTAAACAAGATGGTCTGGGGTAACATCAATAACCCAGTGGTTGTTGGTGTGCTTGTCCAAAGTAGGTTTCAAATATCTGTATTTTACGTATGCACATATATATGTTTTTTAACACTATAAAGCCAATGCGTTTTAGGTACAGCAATGAGATTTTACATGATGGAGTTGAGGTCCGAGGCACTATACATCCCGAAGGAAGTTGGTCGGATGCATTTGCCCACCGATAGATCAACTTTCTCACGGATGTGTGGTGGGCTTGGGATTCTGGAAGACGTGCAGGTACCCTTGTCATGTTCGAGCTTTGATCCACATTGCATTATAAATTAGATCTATTATTAATCAGCTCAATGTTTTCTTGTTACTCGTAGCCGCTTGTACAGCGCGTGGCAGAGGCGGTTCGTGGGCGTCAGGCTTCGCCTCCTGGGCCTTCACCCCAAGAACCCCAAGATCTGAAATATACTCGCCCTTCGTATTTCATACGTCGTCGCGAATAAGGCTGAAGCACTGGCAAATGGTTGCCCGGGTTGTTTTTTTACATTCCTTTCAGAAGTCGGAACTTTTGGCAATATTGACACCGGTCTAAAGATGCACAATAAAGCCCAATGATACAGCTTTCAAACACCACTTGCTGAAAAAGGTTCGTGAAATTCCGATTTTTGTCACGCTCTCCATCCGCAGATAGATTTATAATAATATCATTGATGATTGTGGATGATTGTGACTCTAAGTAGCCCCATGGAGCCACCTGGCCTCTGAAAGCGATGTGTGTTGCGTATCGAGGCAAGCACCTCAGGGGCACTTTCATTTTTATTCATTAGGTTAGAACATGGTGTGACGGTCAGGCGAGACTTTAATAAAAAGTTCTGTCTGGCAACAATCTCTTTGGCTTCAAGACTCGAAAATATCGGCCTTGGAACTCATGAGCCAATAATAATCATAACAATCATCTCTAATTAACCTTGATCAAAGTTTGCAGAGAGTCAACTCAGCATTTAGCGCTTAAACATGGCAACAGTCCTTGAATAAATACTGGCATAAAAATCCTCAATCTACAACAAAACTATTCCTGCTTCACTCATCCACTCATAATCTCCCTACTTCTTACCATTTGCATTTATTTACAATGGAGTCTCAAACACCCATTCAACAGCGCTTGATATTTGTGAACTACAACGAGACGAATATGCATAGCGATCTGCTAGCTTCGCCTAGTCATAGAAAGTCTCAACAGCTTTCCACGAGTTCTCAAGAGGCTCCTTTGGACTTATGGAAGTATAGGCAGCAGATTCTTGATGCACAAAAGAAAGACTCCTCAATGCAAGGCTCATCAAAACAAAACTCGTCAGAGCAACATCCCCCATGGCTTAGTTCCGTGCTGCCTTCATCACAATCTTCAGAACAGTTTCCTGCACCGCTTCCACTAGCACAGTATCCACTCCTCCCTCCACCGCAAACTCCATATCAACTCCCTCCACCGCTCAATCTACAGCCGCCCGCACCACAACTTCAACAGCAGCGCCCAACACCACTGAATCAACTATCTCCTGCGCCCCAACTTACACAGCGGCTTCAAACACCCCTTCTACCACCACCACCACAGTATCCGCTGCTGTCCGCGGCACAGCCCCCACAACAGTTCCGACAACAGCCTATACAAAGCCCCCAACGGTTTCAATCTGTCGGCTCTAAACATGGGCCTGCGGGACGCATCAATAAGCCTGTGGTTTTAATGCCCAAACCATCCACTTCAAAGTACGAAATACATAGCTTTGACGTGAAGGAATATATCCTTCAAATGTGGAAGAGTCATGTAGCCAACCATCAGCTGTTTGGCGGAAAGCATTCCTTCCCAAAGCAAGGACCGTTTGAAGAGGAGCATCACCTTCGCCGACATACCATTAATCGCTTACTCGATTGGGAAAAGAAAGTCAAGCTCGAACCGCGGGCCAATTGGGGCAATAAGTTCAAAGTTGTGCGCCAGCCCTTTTATCCAGTGGAAGTAGTTCTTGTCCGAGCGCCGACTGCCTGTCAATCAACCGTTGATGAGGATAATGGCGGGCCATGTTTATGATATGCTTGTGACAAAGTTGGGTCCTTTGGAATTTGCAAAGCCCTCATTTTCATCAGGGTGGTTCGACTCATTCAAGGCCCATTGGGGTATTACATACCATAAGATGATGGGAGAAGCGGGCGGAGTTGACCTGGAAGCTATTGCGGAGGAGGTTGAAAAGATAAAGATTGCTTTGGAGGCGTATCGCATTGAAGATATCTATAATGCCGATGAGACTGGCTTGTTTCTCCAGACATTATCTTCATGGACTTTGGACTTTGAAAAGCTGGCAGGGATAAAGATTCCGTCTACAAGGGTTTCTATACTCCTTTGTACCAATGCTACCGGGACAGATAAAAGAAAGCCGTTTGTCCTCAGTAAGTGTTTGAGAGTATTTTTCATATTTTTCCCCTTTCATTTTTCAAGCGTGTAAGCATTTCAAACAGTGTATGTAATAACCAGAGTATTTCTAGGCAAATATCTTCCACGAGGCTTCCATAATGATAGCATTCTTCAGGAACTTATAGAGATTCATCCATGGAACGAGGCTGCTCAGGGCCATGGCAGCGATTTTGAGGATCATGACGAAAGTCTGAGCAGTACTCATACGAGAAGCCAAAAGAAGCCTCGCCATCGCCCTGACTACATGACAAGAATCGTGTTTTTAAGTTGGCTAGAGAGGTTTCAAGAATCAATTGCTGCCCAAAATAATGAGCGAAAAGTTGCGCTACTTGTTGATAATGCAGGCTGCCATAAGCTCCTGGATGAGGACAGGCGGCGCTTCCCCAACATCGGAGTTATCTTTTTACCAAAAAACTCGACTTCTGTCACGCAGCCGCTTGATGCAGGAATCATATCTGTTTTTAAGCGATACTATCAGAGCAACGTAAGGAATCAGACTCTGAGCATGCGTTTGGACCCTTTCAATGTAGATGGTAGGCGGGTGAATGCCGTCTCTAACTATGATGCATGGAGAATCATTGCTGGATCATGGGACGAGGTCAAAAGTATGAGTATCAGGAACTGCTTTGGTCATGTCCCAATTTTTGGTAGGCGTCAAAAGAATGAGCTCTCAGGCAATGTCGCGCACGATCCAGATGTGCTTTGGGCCCTAGTGTGCGATAATGAAGCACAGGAAGCCGCAACCAACGACACTGGCAACACGACAACGGACATGGGGCGCAATTACCCTCTTCTACCAAGTCCTAACCTTTCTGTGCCAAGTTCTAACATCCCTCTACCAAGTCCAAGCTCTAAGGATCCTTTTGTGTGCGCAGCTTACGGGGACCTTAATCGCACTGATCGTGAAGCGAGACTAAGGAATACGGTTGCACCATTTGCGAGGATCCTTGACGGGACACCCATCATATACCATGCCATCAATGAATTGCTGGAAGAAGAAGGCTTAGTTACTGAGAAACTTCTGTCGTACCTCGCCCCAAGACCAAGCGCCGCCGAACTTATGGATGTAGATTGGCAGGAGCATGATGATGACGATGACGAGGATCACGAAGTATATGTCAGTGATGCAGAGGAATTGGGCGAATATGTCGCGATATCAAAAGCTAGTAGGAGAGGCTCCTATGTCAGTCGTGTCCATATCCAACCCTCAGATGACGATTCTTCTATGGATACTGATGGATCTGAAGAGCAAGTAGACTATGATGAGAGGGTCCAGAATATGTCTCCTGGTGCACGGCATGATGTTATGATGCTTGCTGCAGCAATAGCAAAAGGCGATGCTCGAAAGATCATCCAGTTGCATGCTGACAAATTGTTTCTAACGGAGATCCCAGATTATGAAGATCCTAGTACCAAGTATGATAAGAAGCAGTTTTTGGCCGACCAAGCAGAGGCAAAAGCTAAACATCAAGAGCAACAAGAAACGTATGCGAAGATTATGGCTAAATTTCCAGATATACCCTCGTCCCAACGCTGAGAATTTTGCGCTGTACTGTAATGCAATGCACACAAAGTGCCATCCATGAGGAGTACTTTTAGACTTGGTTTTTCACATTCCCAGCCCCCCGGAAAAAGTAATAAAGTGACGAGCTGTAGATTTATTAAATGTTATATATCGAATAAGTATGAGGGAGTGAGTGGTGAGTGAACAACAAAGGCCAAACATTCTTGTCCATGTGCGGCTGCGGATGCTCCGGATCCTCCTTCTTTTGTCTTGTATGTTATAATATTGATAATAGTAATAATATGATTATTAATATTATTAAAAAAAAAAAAAAAAAAAAAAAAGTTAGAATCGAGTACTGGCAAAATGTTATATCAGCTGTAGACTGAAAAAATGTTGAGGTGGTTACTATTATGGCAATTGACAGCGAGAATGACAGAGGCGACAGTGAAAAGGATCAAGACTTGCTCCATCTCGAAGCAGACAGAAAACCAACTGCAGAGACAGCGCTGGTCACTAACAATCATCACCATGGCGAAGATGGTGGGATTTTGCCACCGCGAAGATGGCTGTTAAACTCTCCCTGCCCTAAGGGTAGAGAGGGACCAATGCAGCTGCAACTGTGTCTGCTGCTTGAGAAAGAGTTTGGACGTCCAGCCTGTAGAATTGCTTCTTGCTTGCGGAGGGCCTCGAAGCAGACAGAAAACCAACTGCAGAGACAGCGCTGGTCACTAACAATCATCACCATGGCGAAGATGGTGGGATTTTGCCACCGCGAAGATGGCTGTTAAACTCTCCCTGCCCTAAGGGTAGAGAGGGACCAATGCAGCTGCAGCTGTGTCTGTTGCTCGAGAGAGTAGCCGACATCGTGAATAGAACGGACTAGAGAAGAGGGACTTGCTTGATGGCTGATGCTATGATTGTGTCGTGTTTGATGATTGACAAAAGAAAAAAAAAAAAATACCACAAGATCTTTTCAAGCTTACGCCATCACCTTCCCTCAGTTGCAATCCCTTCCTTTAGCTACAATCTCCCTCACTTGCCAGTCACTTACCTGCCCTCCTGCCATGTTTGACATAGAGAGGTCAGCTTACAATAGTATTTTTGAATTGAGAGGCTCTTAGCCAACCAATGGCCTAGAAATATATCAAATTTGAAATTTGTACAAAAGTGTACAATTATCGAGATTCCACTGTACCAGATTGCTCTTCCAAGGTGGCGGAATCTCATTTCAAGCTCCTTCTCGACTGGTTGGACGCCATTTGAGGACATGAGATGAAGTCGAAGCATAAAAAAAGCTCGCTGTATTTACGCTACATGCTGATGCATGAGGATCTGATAAAGAATTTTTTTTTTTTTTTTTTTGGCTACTTTGGCTACCGAGAACGAAAAAGAGACGAAAGAGATGTATATGGATATAGATGGATATAGTAGTATAAATATATTTTTTCAATGGGCTGCATGCCAGATCTTTTTCGGATCAGATAATCCAATTCAATCATTGTTTGTTTTTAAAGTCAAAGTATATATGCATGTATAATGTAACTATAATTTATACATATTATCGAATGATCCACCCACATTTTATTTTACCTCTTCTTCCCCACCTTCTCATCTCTTTTCTTCCTTCTTTTCCTCTTTTTCCCTCCCCCTCTCTCTCTCTCTCTTCAAGAAATAGGCAACGTTTCTTTTGTTCCTCAATACGTTCCCTTCCTTCTTCCGTTTTTCCTCCTTGCCATAAGGCCTCCCTTTCATTCTTCTTCACCTCTGCCTCCATCCTTTCGCCTTCTCCCCCCCCCCCCTCCTTTCCTCTACCTCTCTACATCAGCAGCGGAATAAGCAGCTTAACGACAAATTTTCTTTCTTTCTTTTTTTTTTTTTTTTTTTTTTTTTAAAAAAAAAAGAGATCGTATAGATCATACAACTCTTTTCTCAGAGAATGAAATCAGACTCTATAAACGACTCGAAAGGGAAGCAACAGGAGCAGCCTCTACCTGATGGCGATCAGGTTGAGTCTCAATCTGTGGACTCAACCGCTGGTTCCGCTACGACTCCTGGAAAACGCCTCTTTAAGATTTTTATCGTCAACCAAAACATTGGATATCTAAACTTCATCTCATACTTGATCGCTTGTTTCGCAACCATCTGCTTGGTAGTCTATCTCTCCATCGTCCAACCATTTGTTCTCACAGTCCTGTTGAGGATCACAGAGAACACCGGTAACCTCACTGGCTCCTTAGTTCTTTATGATGAAATCCTGGCCTTGCCTGCCACATTGGTCTGGGGTGTGCTCTCAGATCGTATTGGTCGTCGTCCTGTATACAGTCTTGGCTTCGTCTTTCTGGGCACAGCATTAATCTTGTATTCATATGTCAAGAATGTATACCCCCATATGCTTCTCTGCCGTCTCTTATTCTCATTGGGCTCAGCAGCCTGTACATCCATGATGACGGCCACCCTCAGTGATGTTGCTGGTGGTCATAAGGAACGTGGACGTGTCAGTGCTATAGTTGGCATGTTTTCAGGTTTTGGTGCTCTGACCTCAGGTATGGCTCTGATCAACCTGCCCTATCAGATGGGATCAAGGGTCCACAGTGAGTCCCAAGGGATTCGGGTTGCCCTGTGCATCGTCGGGGGCTGCGCTATCGCCTTGGGAGTCTTCTTCGTCTTCACCATGCCCAACGTCAACCCGACCTCCAAGGGTTTCCTTGCTCGTCTTCGTGGTCATCGTGCCACTGAAAAAGAGGTCATTGTCACGCCTGCTCCAAAGAGGGTCGAGAGTCTCTTTGTTATTCTCAAGTACGGTATCCTTGCCGCTCGCGACCCTCGCATTGCTCTTGCTTACCTTTCTAGTTTTGTTGTAAGCATCCTCCTTTCTCGTCTCTCTTCTTTAAAAGAAAAAAAGAAAAAAGGAAAAAAAAAATTCTCTCAGTTTTACTAAACACGTTAAACATCATCAATCTTCTCAAAAATAGGCTCGTGCAGACACAGTCCTTTTCACATCATTTATTAGTTTATGGGTCATCCACCACTACCTCGACCTTGGTTGGTGCCGTGACAAGACTTCATGCGGTGCAGCCTCTGGTGATACTCATCAACTCACAGGTCTGGCCCAAGGACTTTCCTTAGCATTTGCTCCCTTCTACGGTTATGCGGGCGAGAAGCTTCGCAAGTCAACAGTCTTGGCCGTTGCTGGTATCATTGGCGCGGTTGGCTCAATCCCTTTCGCCTTCACGACCGTTGCACCCGCCCACAAGTCCAACTACGCCTGGGTCTGCTTAGTTGGCATTGGTCAGATCGGCATGATCGTTACGGGCATGACCTTGCTCAACGGTACTTACACAGAACCCAAATACCGTGGTAGCGTCGCCGGTGTGTTCAGTTTCTGTGGTGCACTCAGTATCATGATCATGGGAAGACTGGGTGGCTATCTCTTTGATGCCTGGATGCGTGGCGCTCCCTTTGTTCTCATGGGCATTGCTCATGCTGTGATCGCCCTCTTCAGTATCTATGTTCGTATCGTCTCCCCCAGATTGGAGAGAGAGGATCGTGAGAAGATGGAGAGAGAGAAAGCTCTTGGAGGCGACCCTGACTCTCATAAAGATCCTTATTATGGTCATCAACTCAGTACATAGTTATTTATTGTTACTAATATAATGTCTAAAGTTTCACAGTTTACTAAGCACACACAACTTGGAGAATACTTTGTATATTTTTTCGTCCTTGACTACTCATAAACATGAAATTCTGCATATTTTCTATATAAAAACTCATAACCAGTGAGTGCTTACAAAAAAGAAAAAAAAAAAAAAAAAAAGGAAAAAAAAAAACATATGTTTAATGATTGGTACGATTATATTATTTAAACGAAAGATTCTCTCTATTCATTCGATATCTATATTTAATTCAGTCCTCATTGGCGCGGATGCGTTTGGCACGCCTATGTTCCCTATGGTTCACCTTATCCCTCTTGGTCTCCATCATTACAGGCTTGCCCATGACGCGATGTTCATATATCGCTTTGGCTGCGTAGAACCTTTCGAGGATGGCAGAAGACCGTACAGATTCGTTATTGAATTGGTTTAGAAATTCGTTGGCCTTTTGAAGACTTTGCATATGAAACCCCACAAAGACAGCAGCATCTAAATCATCATAGTCTTCAAAAGATGTATGGATTCTTTTGGATGTGTTGAGTATTCGCTGTTGCTGTTGTTGCTGTTGCTGTTGTTGTTGTCGTTGCTGTTGCTGTTGCTGTTGCTGTTGCTGTTGTTGTTGCTGTTGCTGTTGTTGCTGCTGTTGCTGTTGTTGTTGTCGTTGCTGTTGCTGTTGCTGTTGCTGTTGCTGTTGTTGTTGCTGTTGCTGTTGTTGTTGTCGTTGATATAGAATATTTCCAGAACTGAGCCCAATATGTGAAAGAGATCTAGAAGATTGAGGAGTAGGGGGAGGGGGAGTAGGAATGCACACGGATGCGTATATCGGTGCAGTGTTATTGTTACTGTTATTACTACTACTATTATTATTATTATTCTGGGCGCCAGGCGGCAGTGGTGCTGGTACAGCAGGCGGAGGTGTGGAAGGTGCTGGCGAGAATGGTGTCAGCAACGGTAAAATACATCCAGACGCTGTTTTGGTGACAGCTAGAGTAGTCTCTGTGGTCGCCATCGTCATATATTTAGAATCACACCCCGATTCATGTGGGCCAGAAGAAATGAACGTGGTCTGTGAAGTCAATGGTTGTTGAGGACCTGGTATTGTTTTCTCGGGTAGAAGGCTTGGCGGTGAGGGCAACGGCACATAGGCGTTACCTTGCATGTGATATTGTGATGGTTCTGTTGCAATATTGGCGTCATCATGATAATGGTCACGGCTGTGGAGAGCTAGCTCCGTAGTCATTAGAGCGCTTCCCGTCTTGGGAGGCTCCTCGAGACTCGGCAATAGTGCAGACATCCAGGACATGTGATTATGATTCTGCGGACTTGAAATGTAAGTCAACAATTTTGACTGGAGGATACCAATTCTCTCCAACTCCTCTGTTTCCCAGGTCCTCTTCTGCAGCCAAGTACCCTCAGCAACATCACGATTGTTCGTGGCCGTTGCTACTAGCGTTGAGGATGTTGGCACAGATGTCACAATAAAGTCAAAAGATCTTCCAATACGACGCGTTGTTCGAATATAACGGCTCAACCAGTAACACAAATTCTGGTCCATCTGCCACAGATCAAGGATGGCTTTTTGATACCCCTGTACAGCGGCTTCGCGTTTCTCGCGACGGCGTTGTCGACGTGCCTGGCAATCACAATTGCAGAACATCGGAGTATCTTTTGTGTCCAGTATATCTATCCTATCAGTAACAGCCATAGAAGTGCCAGTGGAGCGAGCTTGTCCTTCTGGTATTGCTTCTTGACCTGTAGCCGATAAATATTGTCGGTAGAGGTTGTCGATGTCTAATATTTCACCCAAAATCCGAACTAGAACTTGCTGGTGTTCCCTCAAAGCAACGAGTCGGAGCCTTGCATATTTCTCATTCCTCTTAGCATTGCGCCCAAAGTCCTCTCCAGAGTAATACTCAGGTAGACCATCGATCATAACTGCCTGAGGAAGAGAATCTGCAGCTGAGGTCTGAACTAACCCCTCCAATGTATCAGCCTCGATATCGTTTTCAATTTCATATTCCACTTCGATATTAGCGATTGTAGGCTCGTTAGTAATGACGGTAGAGGTGGGAGCAGGAGCAGCATTGACGGCTCGTTCGACGACTGCAGGCGTTGCCGACGGTGTAGCTCTTCCGGTCTGAGCAATAATAAGGATCGGACCCTTATGTTCTGGGGAGCCATGTGCCGGTTGCTGCGTGGTCGGGCTGCATGGTCTTGAAAACGTTGAGCCTGGGGTACTAGACTGCTGTTTACGATCACAGGCTTTATTTGACACTTGAGGCGACTGCTCCAGAGTCACAATTTGTTGTTGGGATTGGTACTGCTGCTGCTGCTGCTGCTGCTGTTGTTGTTGTTGCTCGGCAGGTTGTGGTAGTTCTTGTTGCCATTGTTGGTGTTGGTGTTGTTGGCGGTGCTGGTGCTGATGCTGCTGATGTGAATGGGATCTCTGGTGACCTGGCCTGAGACTTGAGCTGATATTGCTAAAAATACTTCCTGTGCTGCCATTACGACTTCTGAAATGGAAACTAAAACCAGAATCAAAGCGCTTTTTGTTTGGAGCCTCCAACTCGACGTAGCCGTCACTCATGACCTCTGTACTTGAGTTTGGACCTGAACCTGCGCTATCAAGGACTGTTCGTATCATTGGTCGTGAGGTGGATAATGGTGAAGTTGGTGGTGAGGCAAGCGAATAGCTCGAAGGAGAAGAAAGGGAAGAGGTAGGAGAAGATGCCAATGGCGATATTAATGGTGTACTAGGGGCAGAGGAGGATGTAGGCTCTTGCTGTTCTTGAAACACAAGATCAAGGCTAGGCGGAAGAAGGATCGAGTCAGTTGAAGCCGAGGATAGTGCAAGTTTGGGATTAGAAGGATTAGAGGAAGAAGAAGAGTGAGAAGGGGTGCTGAAAGTGGATGAAGAAGCTCCAACAGACAGAGGCTTGAAAAGAGGGTTGGGGCGAAGGCGGAAGTTGGAGGATAGGCCGCCTAGGAATCCCCGGGCTGATTCTGGGAAGGATGGAAAGAGAGATGGGACCATTGTCTTGGTATATATTCTTTTCTTTGCCTTTATCTTGTGGAGGACGAAGGTAAAACAGGAAATAAAAGGAGTGATAGCAAGAAAGGGAAGGGAAGAAGAGTGGAACCAAAAAAAGATGGAAAAGAGAAGAGGGAAATTTGCATATGCTGATATATAATGTGTATGTGTGTGGATGTGGATGGATGTGTGGATGTAAGAATGCAAGGAAGCGGATGCAATAGTCCCATAAAGCAACTATAGAAGCGAAACAAGGAGAGGAAAGAAAGAAGAAAAAAAAAAAAAAAAAAAAACACGCGCTGACCAGTTGTGTATGTGCTTTATTTATTCAATATGTCCAAGAGTTCAACGTCAGATGGATGCGAAATGTCTTTTTATCTATGTATTTATTTTGTATTCTATACTCTTCAAGTATTTTTCAGGGATCGGAGGAAACGAAGATGAACAAAAAGCAATACACCAAACCAAACCTAAACACGTCAAATTACAATAGTTTTCATAATTCATCCGCTATTGGGAAAAAATAAAAATAAAAATAAAAATAAAAATAAAATAAAAAGAACATAAAAAAGCAAACAAAAAGATCAAAAAAGGATTCAAGTAAAGACTTTTGCAGCTTGCATATATTAATTTTAATCTACAAACGGCCATCAGTTTCAAGCTCTCAAAGTACGTAATGTCTATCCAAACAATAGCGGAAAGCCCTTCTTCTGGAATAGATCTGTTGTCGATATGTTAGCAAGAAGCCGAAGAGCCGCAGATGTATGAAGGGAGAGGCCAGGTTAGGCGGCTCGGATAGTCGCATGGCCTTTTGCCAGACAAAGGATCAAAGAGGCTTTGACAGTCAACGCGTGAACTCTGCTTCTTCTGTGTAACATGCATCACTTTTTTTTTTTTTGCTCAGAAACGTGCTTTCTATTAAAGTTATTTATTACAACTATTGTTTCTAAAATGCAAAGAAGGCACAGCTACATATAGCGCCATTTTCACTCTATCGATAAGATCTGTTCGTCCTGCAATCCCTGGTGTCCCTGAACTGGGCCAACAAAGTCATGTTCGTACACATGGTCATCTGTAGGTTACAATTAGGCCGAAGAAGCAGTGCTTGGGGAAAAAAAAAAAAAAAAAAAAAAAAAAAAGACAGTAGTCTAAGTACAATAGGACTCTCTTAGACTCTTATAGCACAAGGATAAAATGGGATGATGTCTTGGCTTAATTCCCTTTATGTATTCAATGTCCACATCCTCCTAAAGATCCATGTCGGCCGTGACTTACATTTAGATCGGTGCCATCACTACCATTCATTTCAACACTTTGCATTGACACATCCTCGACCTTGTTATATTCTTGACTATCGGCACCTTCATATATTAGACTCTTACAATCTTCTTGATTTAACTGGTTTCGGGCATGATCATCATGAGTATTGCTGTCGTCGTCTCCTTTGGCCAGCATCTCAATGGATTCTCCGCCTCCATCTGGGTCAGAATCAATGCCTTAAGGGGGATGCAAGTAACAGCAATAATGCCAAACCTAACTACAGCCAATATCGGCACAATCAAATCGGGGGATCGCGATTCGGTTATGGAGGCATCTCACATCCCTCCTCCCTCAAGACTCAAATGGTTCTAGGGTATCGAACAAGTAGTTGACGGGTTCAATCAGTCCAAGACATTCTCCTAAAATCAGCCTTACTGGATACTTCGCGCCTCACAGTTGCCCATGGACCGAATCCTTCCTAATACCACTAATGACGCCAGCCGAAAAAACTCCAGCAGGCCAGACGTTGTGATAGGCACGAGAGCCAGGGTATTTTCTGAACTGTCTTTATATTAGAGGCAGCACAATTCTCATTCTATGTCAGAGGTAAGTTGTATAGTCATCTCAAGTACAGCACATCCTAGGAAATAAAGGGATTATAAATACAGCATCGATGTGTTCAATCGAGTAAGCTTGGAAAATGCTTGCAGAGAAAGCTCCTGTTCTATCTAATCTATTGTCGCTAACGATGGAGTCGAATAGGCTGGTGACGAGCCTAGGAGTCAACCAACTGCTTCGGACAGCCATGAATGTTTGGACCCTTTTTTATTTTAATGTCTAATTTTATTTTATTCTATATTGTACTGTTAACGAAACGAAAATACGCGAGGAACAACATTTTCTGGTAAGGGAGACTGTAGATGTCATCCAATCTAGAATCAGGTCGTCACTGTCAGACTGAACCAACGATTTGACTCTCAGGGTCATACCAAAATTCCCCAGGGACTTGCTTTCTATTCAGCCAACTGGAGGGTTCATCGAAGTTAGACAATGTTGTGATAAATGTCGCAGAGTTCCACTACCCATCGTATTCTTAAAAGCCTCGGAAAGAAGGAAAAAAAAGTTCCTTCTCAAAAAAATGATGCAGACACCAGGACACTGTGTTGATAAAGAAAGGATGCGCTCTCATTGTATTGGATAAGCGACACAGTTATATATATAACCATATTTGGGTCAGACATGTTTGTGTCAAATGCCAAGACTCCAAAGCAAGTTCCATTCACAAGCATACATGCGGAAACAAAGAGCCTCATTCCAGTCCTCCAAGATGTGTTTAATGCATTGCTTTGATTACTTTCAGTGTTTTTAGAGTACTCAATGAACGATGTAGTCGAATGAGATGCGATTGAATGAGACGATGAAGGCCCATTACAGAGAATGTTTACAACACCAATTAAAAAAAATAAAAAAATAATGATATAGAAAGGCCAGGAAGAGCCGTTTTTAACACTGCAAAGATCAACAAACTGGATTCGCACGCGACGATTAGTTCATTAAGGACCGCATCGTTTAATGAAAAGATTTGCATTAGCTGTTATTATTTTTATTTTTATTAGTTGGTTTGGTCTCGTCAAGTCTTAAAAACCAGACAACAATCGACCAGCGACTATGGAATGGAAAATGAAAAAGACCAGGAAAACAAATATCCTTTTTACAAAGCTACTGTAATAAAAAAAAATAACTATTAATGCAGTAGTAGTAGTCTTTAGAGTAGCTGGACATAATTTTCAGGTACCAGTCCTGTCTTTCCATCCATCTCTCCTAAGAACCAGCCAGGGAATTGCCGGCAATGGATCCAGAGGAATTCACCTTCGCGGAAACTCAGCTCTGTAGAGTTCTCTGCATCGAAATCATACAATCCTCGTGCATGTCCATGAGTACGATCCTCTTCTTCGCCTTCTGCTTCATTATCATCATCCTCTTCGTAATCCGACTCCTCATATTCAGGCTCCGGTGGATAAAGGCCGATGTGGTAGGGATGTACTTTTGGGTAAGCAAAATCGCGGACAGTCACCACTAAAAAAAAGTTTGGAGCGCAAACATTGAGAGTTAATTGTCAAGTAAACTGTTGTGCCACAAACAAATAATTATCCAGTCTTGAAGAAGCGGAGAAAAAACACCATAAACCATTAAAAAATAATCCAAACCAAAGCGCGCCCCTGAAAATAGCTCACTAAAGTTGTGGAAGGATTGTTCCTTCTTTATGACCTTTTTGCTCAGACTTCATAGAATCCGCAAACAATTCAAATGGAAAAGGAAAAATACGCATACATACCTAGATCATTTTCGGTTGACTCCTCCCCTGTGGTCTATCGAGATCAAAAAAAAAAAAAAAAAAAAAAAAAAAAAACTATGAGTAAGCTTCAACAATGTAGTTGATGCAAAGTCGATTGTACTACACATCACGCGTCCTCCATGGATTACTAGTCTGCAGCTAGTTCATACCATGGGCAATGCAAAAAAAAAAAAAAAAAAAAAAAAAATTCTCGATCACTCCTTGGAACGCCACACAGATGTCAACTCCACGTTATTTCACGCATGTATACGGTAATGCAAAAAGGGGCAAATACAAAAAGCCGAAATGGGTTCCAAAATAAGAAATAGAGTTGCTTACCGGTCCAGCCGATTCGAGGAGCATCGCTTTTTCTGCCTCTACTTCTTTATCATAATTTGATTTCTTAGAGTCCCCGTTGTTGACGTCTTGATAATTATCTGTAGTATTGCCTTCGTCTTTAAGAAACGATGTGAGAGTCTTCAAAAGCTCTTTGTCTGGTTGGTTATCATTGTTTGAGAGCGATGCAGAGGAAGAGGAGAGCGATGACGATGACGACGACATTGGTAACGTCGTTGATAGTGATGATGGTGATGATGATAATAAAGCGTCATTCTTTTCGGATGACTCTGGCATATTATTCGAAGTTGATGAAATTGCCAAAGATTCTGAGTGAGATCTACAACGAGGACCAAAATGTAACGACATTCGTTTGGCAGCTGTGGAATCTAGTTGGTTTGATTATACTGTGGATGTCAGTATTTATTTTTTTAAGCAAAGAGCCCTCACAAATAAAAAAAAAAAAAAAAAAAAAAAAAAAAAAAGAAAGAAAGATTGTACGTTCAAGACTTAGAAAGGAGGCCAAACAGGTAAAAAAGAGAGATTGAAATTATTACCATCTGGATAATGAATGGAGGCTCTCTTGTTGTTGAGGTTTGCCTCCTGTTGATTGAGAGTATCGCCAGTAATAGGAGTGGCAGTAGTGGCAGTAGTAGGAGTAGCAGTAGCAGCAGAGTGAGCTTGACAAGGGGGAAAAGAGACTGGAGCCATGATCATACTTGCTTGATTGTTTTGTAAAGATACAAATGAAAATAGAAATCAGTAAAAAAAAGACCGGCTTTTAAACTGTTTTGTTCTTCTTGCGCAAGGTATAGAAAGGAGAAAAAGTTAGTAAGTGTCCTTGAGAAATTTGAATGGATGAGCAAGAAAAAGGGGATTGAAGAATGCAAATTTAGGCTCGACATCAGGTGACTATTTTTTTTTTAGACATACATTAACTGGGGCCAAGAGAATGGATGAGGTATGTACACTTGTTCGCTTGGGATGAACGATGACAAGAAAGATAATAGATATTTGGCCGTTACTGATCAGGAGGCGATGCTTTTTTTTTTTTTTTTTAGTCAGGATTCATTAAATGATTGGATTCTTGTGTTGCATGAAATAAATGAATGTGAATGGGGCAGTAACAGCTAAACGCAGACTAAAAAAAAAAAAAAAAAAATACTGGAAAATTATTTAAAAAAAAAAAAAAAAAAAAAAAAAAGATTGAAAGAAAGAAGAAATTGAACAATCAGTCGAGAGGCTGGATGAAAGACGAAAATGCAAAGGAGAAGAAAGTGAGAAAAGTGAGTAATGGGTAGGACAGAATGGAAGAAAAAAGAAAATAAAAAAAATAAAGAAAACTTACTGAAGTAAATAAATAAATAAAATTCAAACCTGTCCAATCACTCCGTGCCTCTGTTTCTTGACAATATGAGCAGACTAAATTCATCAAGATCATGTGCAATAAGAATTAGTCGACTATGTCATGTTGCATAGCTTTAACGGTGGTCCAAGTCAAAAAGTCAGTGTGTAAACATGTGTGCATTTGCATTCATCAACAGATTATTTACATGTCCATACCTCGCTCTTTTTTTTTTTTTTTTTTTTTATAAAAAAAAAAGCTCAATAAAAATATCCTTGGTACATGTAAAAAAGAACTTCATGTACATGTATACCCCAATCCATTCCTGCTCCTCCATTCCAAACTATCAAACAACATGAAGAGGACCTTAATAAATTTTTAATAAATTGCAATTTGAGCCCTGCTTTCACCAATGTAGCTTCTCCGAATATGAGTGTATCTATCTCACCTGTACATATTATACTTTTATTCCAAACTGGTTGTCATTAGTCTGAAAAGTAGGGTCACTCAAGTGACCCTTCTCCGCTGTATTGCCACTGGAACATTGTGACACCTGAATCCGAGCAGAAGAATGTGGAACCCTACTCACATTGGTTGTAAAAAACATTGATGTAAATATTTGTATGCAATAAGATTTTAAAAAAAGACGCCACTAATCTTACGACTCCTATACAGAATATAAAAAATGCATGGTCTTTATTTGTGATTTTGGTATTAGGGTATGCTCACATTTCCCCCTCTCTCTTAGATCTCCGAGACTAGTAGCTAAAACGGAAAGAAAGATGGTCGTCACCCTCATCCTTGGTAGTCTCATTATAATTCTTCCAATCCTGCTCGGTCCAGTTCTTGGTCTTTTCATCTCTGCGCTTGTTGATCCACATCAAGTGATATCGCTGGAAGATAAAGAGCACAATCGTCACTAACAGTGCACCGAACAAAATCCAGAATGCTGTAATAAACCGTGGTGCGTCCTCATCCCGGAACAGATTCACAGAAACCATATCACATGCATTCACAGAAATAATATATAGTGCTAATGCAATCGATCGCTTCCCGGCCGGTGCAGTGTTTCCCGCAATCCATGCAGCCTATTATTAAAGCAATAAATAAAATAAAATTGAGCAAGAGTTAATTAACTGAAGGAATCATTAAAATAAAAATAAAATAAAATAAAATAAATCTACAGTAATAGCATATAGCACTGCTACTTACGTTCAGAGGATGCCAGCATGTCTGGCCACCCATCGCAAAGATTAATGCAAAGTATAAACTGAATTTATTAGCATCTTCTGGCAGGGCCGCCAAAGCCAAGATGCAGAGTGCATAGTATGTTGATGCCAAAGCTCCATGGAAAGCACGTTCATTATGCTTATCTGAACTCCAGCTCACAAACGTCATGATCGACAATGAAATAACGTACCCTGGGATCACCAGCAGGTTCGACACCAATGACGGAACCCCCAAGTTCAAGTTTTTCACAATCAATGGTGATAGGACCGTCAATGGTGCGAATGGTAAGAGTCCGAGGAACCCAATTAAGATATTAGGCCAAATTCGAGGGCTTGTAAAGGCTTTGAACAGCTCCTTCTTACTAACCACGCGTTTACTAGTGTCCGCCTTCGTAGGATCATCACGAATCAGCCGTGTGATCGCGATCTGCTCTTGGCGGTCTGTCAGGTACCCATTCAAACGGAATCCACCCTTAGTGCTCGTGGGTCCCTCAGGTAAGATAAAGAAGGAGAGTAGTCCGACCAGCACTGTCACAAGGCCCTCAAATAAGAATAACCACTGCCATCCTGCTTGGCCTGCCACTCCGCGCATATGCAGGATCCCATATGCAAGGACGCCCGATACGGAGTTGGCCACTGCTAACGTGGACCAGAAAATCGCCAGTCGGGTTGCCATCTCACCGCGTTTATAGTACGATGTGAGGTAAACCGCGATCCCAGGGATGTAGCCAGCCTCAAACATGCCCACGAGAGCTCGGCAAATCAAGAAAGTCACCCGATCCTTGAGGAAGAACTGGGCCGCGGTTGAAAATCCCCAGAGACACATCAGCAACGGGATCCAGCGCTGAGGTCCTACCCGCCGAATCACCATGTTCGACGGAATCTCAAACAAACAGAAGAAGCAAGTGAAGATTGTTGAGCCGAGCGTCACAGTATTGAGTGACATGTTAAGATCTTCCATTAAGTTATCTGTCAGTGCATTGGCCATGTTGCCTCTGTCAAGCTGCATAAAAAAAACTAAGTGACAAAAAAAAAAAAAAAAAAAAAAATTAGTTTTATTTCAATAACGAGGACAATGAGTGAAGGAAAGCAAAGTTGTTAATATACTCACACATGACTCCAATCCATGACAGAATCTTGAAATCAAATATGCGTACGATCTGTTTTTCTTCTTCTGGAGTCCAACTCAGATCATGGACATAATAAGGGTTCCTCTCCCCGTGGACGCGTAGCCATTCATCCCCAGGCTTGGAGCTGTTGAGGGAACTGCTGTCATCACTTGCTGCGGTCAGCTCCTCATCTTTGAGTGTCCGCTTTGTTAAGCTCATGGAATGAGAGGATGTGCTTTTTTAATATAAATATGTTTGTGCGTGGTTTTGATAGTTCAAAGAGGAAAAAAAATAAGGTTGAACAAAGAATTAAAGCTGGTAACCAAACTATTTACAAAAAAAAAAAAAAAAAAAAGAGTAATGAGGGTATAAAGAAGTTTGGGACAATTAGAACCAAGAATAGAAAAAGAAAAAAAAACTGTTCTCCCTTTTAAATGATAATGCAGATATTGATCAGGGGACGGAAACAGTAACGCTGCCTCTCCTTGTTTGCAAGCAGTTCCTAAGCATCCACAAGCCAAAAGATAGAGTTCGAAGGGGTCTTTTTTCGCCATCGTATACCTAAAAAAAAAAAAAAAAAAAAAAAAAAAAGTATTGGCAATGTTTTTACAATAAAAAGTAGTAATAGTCCTGAAAGCGTGCCTACACGACATGATTTCACAAAATGATGTGATTTTAACAAATGATGGCTTCAGCAATTCAAGAAAGTTTGGACCTTATTTTAAACCTTGTAAATATGACCCAATCTGGCATATCGGCTCCGCCATGGCGTACAGCGCCAAACAGCTAAAATCTTTGATAAATGATACCATTCTAACAAAGATACGCGACTTTTTTTTTTTTTTTTTTTTTACCCTCAGCTCATAATTGATATAAATGATAAAGCCAGATGACGAGGGTTGGCAACATTTGACACTAGCGACTTCATGGAAAAAAGGTAAAAAATAAAAAGAAGAAACGTTTAAATAAATCAATGTCGATAGCCTCTTGGAATGAAATGAAAAAGAGTGAACAAGCCACCAATCAATGTCGTCTCTTAGAAAATAATTGATCTAATACATCTTGCCTATATATCATGACTAAAGAAGAATAAAATAAACACATGTGCTTGACATTAATGTATTAGTTCACCAGCGTCCATATTTAAATAAACTGGTCGGCGAATGGAGGCCAGGTAAGTAAAACCTCTACAAATTTCCGTGGACCTTAGCTTCGGCATGCCGTTGAAGATCAATGGAACCATAGAACAGAAGAGTATAGCACAGACATAGGCTTATTCAATCTTCACTAATTATATACAGTAAAAAATTAAAAACAGAATGCGTATAGCAAGAAAGAGGATATCTCATGGGAATAATGTATGTTATGGAGGAATCTCCAATACACCATCATTGGCTTCTAGAGATGTAATTCAAAGTAGAAGGAAGTCGTGTAGTGTGGTTAATCATAGTATATACTGTCAGTTGACGCATTTCGACGTATTACAACCGTTCAAATCACTTAGCAAAGCCAATTCAATATGATAAACAGTTTTAATAGGCTTGGATAAATAAGTATATATGAGTTGGTAATATGCCAATGCCAGCTAACTATAGAAATGCGGGGTATGCTGTTGATGATTATAAAATTGACTTTTTTTTTTTTTTTTTTTTTTTTTTTTCCTTATTATGCCTAATCATTCCTTGCCTTCAAGGACAGAGTCATTGAAGGAAGCAGCTGTACGCATGCGATTCATCTCTTGCTCAATACCAGTCTGATAATGAAGGGGCTTCATGACACGGCGCTTGATCATCTTGTACAGTTCAGCAAAAGCAATGAAAATAACCAATGAGGCGATAACAAGCCCCCACTCATAAGTCATATACGTGTGCTTAAAGACATTATTGTTGAAGCCTGGAATGTAAATAACTGGGAAGACCAAAAGGGCACCAATAACAATGGATAGCCAAAGCATTTTGTTATACTTTAAAGTCGCCAGGTTCTTACGGGTCCAACCAGGCTCGCGTAATGCGCGACAGTTGATAGCGTGGGCGAGGATCAAGAAAGTCATGCCTGCATAGGATGTGGCACGGGCCCTGAAGACACCATCACAGAGATCAGAGTACTCACTGTTGCACTCGGAACCAAACTCACCATTGTTGAAGCCAAAGATAACAATGCAGAAGTTGGCAAATGAAAGGGCACCCATTGCGAGACCGTACACAAATGTATCCATAACGACCTCGAAAGAGAAGAGGCCCTGCTTGGCTGAGCGTGGAGGCTCTCGCATATTGGACTCGCTTGGAGGCTCAAGACCAAGACCCATAGCAGGAGGTGAGGATGTGATCATGTTCAAGAACAGAATTTCAACAGCACTCATGGGAAAGACAGAATGGCCATCTCTGTCCTGGAAAACAAGTCCGATGACCAAAAGAACGACCTCAGCGACGTTAGCGGACTATCGTAAAAGCAAGACGAGACAGTGTTGTTAGTCATTAAATCAATTTACATGGTACCCATTTTAAAAGATCATTAGCGAGTGAGGTTTATCTTACCATCAAGTGCTGAACAAACTTCTGGATGTTAGCAAACATGCGGCGACCTTCCGCAATAGCTTTGACAATAGTGGCAAAGTTGTCGTCCGTCAGGACGATATCAGCAGCCTGCTTGGCGACATCGGATCCTGACTGACCCATGGCAATACCAACATTAGCAGCTTTGAGTGATGGTGAGTCGTTGACGCCGTCTCCAGTCATGGTGGCAAACAGGTTGCGACGATGGAGAGCGGCAATCATCTTGACCTTAGTGTCGGGGGCGCAGCGAGCGACAACGCGAGGAAGCTCCACAAGACGGTCAACTTCTTCATCCGACATAGAATCAAACTGATAAGCCGTCATAATTAACTGGCTTTTCTTCACATCAAGGTCCTCAGGAATAATAGCGACTTCCTTAGCAATAGCAGCAGCAGTAGAGGGGTGATCACCAGTCAACATATGAACACGAATGCCAGCCTCATAACACTTGAGCACAGCAGGACGTGACTCGGCTCGAGGGGGATCATAGATACCGACCAAACCCAAGAAAACCATGTTGGATTCAACCTCCTCACGGCCCAGATCACGAGCCAAATCAACACTAGCGGAAGCTTCAAACTTACGATAGGCTAGTGTCAAAACGCGAAGACCCATCTCGGCAAGAGCGTTCATCTTTTCGGTGATCATGGCCTCAAACGAAGCACGAGTATTATCTTTCTCGTCGAGGAAACTACGCTCAACATCGCCATCACGCCAATAATTACAGCAACCAATGACACGCTCAGTAGCACCTTTCATGAAGATGACTTTTTCACATGCATATCCAGCAGTGGCCGGTATCTGGTAGAGGACCGACATGCGCTTGACGGATGAATCGAATGGGAATTCGGCGATCAAATTGAAACCCTGCGCAACCAGCTCAGGTTTGGGAAGGCCTGCCTTATAAGCAAGGACTTGAAGAGCAATCTCTGTAGGATCACCAATTGCAGACCACTCGCCATGAGTCTCGGGATGTTGAGTTCGGCGAAGTTCAGCCATGTTGCAGAGAGATGCAGCTTGGAGGGTATGAAGGAGCTGGCTGGAACCGCTGCCCACCACGATCTTCTCTTCTTGTGCCATGAATTCAGTACCTAAAGATTCACCCTGGCGGTAAATACCGCCCTCAGGGACGAACCCAGTGCCAGTAATACGATAGAAACCATCGCTTGGGAGCCACATACGTACAGCGACCATCTTAGACTGAGTCAAAGTACCAGTCTTGTCAGAACAAATATTAGTGACAGCACCCAAGCTCTCAAGGGACGAGAGGCGGCGAACAATAGCCTTGACTTCAGCCATACGACTGACACCAAAGGCCATGGTCAAGGTCACGACAGCTACGAGTCCTTCAGGGATGATGGCAATTGAAACAGAGATGGCATAAATGGCGACTTCATTCGAATATTTGAATCCATGCACAGCAAAAACAATGAGGACAAGGATTAGAGCAGCCACGAAAACGAAGTAAGCCATCTTTGTGAGACGTTTCTGCAAGGGGGTCTGTTCATTCGAGTCGACGTTCATTAGAGTCGTTGCGATCTTTCCGATCTGGGTTTTCATTCCAGTGCCGACAACAATGCCTTTTGCTCGTCCTTTGACAACGGTGGTTGAGGAGAAAACCATATTAAGACGATCACCAAGAGCCTCATCGGCCTTCTCGATGACTTCCAAATTTTTTTGGACAGGAAGAGATTCTCCAGTCAAGAGGGCTTCGTCGGTTTGCAGATTGAAGACCTCGAAGAGGCGGCAATCGGCTCCAATGACATCACCATCCTCGAAGATCATGATATCTCCAGGAACAGCTTGGCTGTTAGGAATAGTAACACGAATCTCGTCACGGATGACATGAGATGTAGGCGAAGACATGTTGCGCAATGCCTCCATGGTCTGTTCTGCGTTGAACTCTTGCCAGAACCCGATCGCGGCGTTCATGATGATAATAAACAAAATAACCCCTCCTTCAGCGAAATCCTTAGTGGCAAAAGCAAGGGCCTAGCAAAACCAAAAATAATCACTCTCTTTAGACCTTTTTTTTTTTTTTTTTTTTTTAAGTAACATGAGACATGCAGGGAGGGAGTGTTGTTGACTTACAGTGGCAATCAAAAGAATAACGACGAGAGCATTGGCTACCTGACGCCATAGAACTTTGTACCATTTGACGCCCCCATTGCCCTGAAGCTCATTGTTGCCATACTTGTTCAAACGAGAGGTAGCCTCACCAGTGGTGAGACCCTCAATGATACTGGTGTTGAGGAATTCTGCAGTTTGATTGACTGTGTATGTGTGGAAGGGAGTCTCCGGCTCGATATTGACATTTTTCTTGCCCATGACCCTTATGAGAATTGCTGTAGCTGAGTTGTCTCGAAGAGTGTAGCTTTGTATGTGGAGGATGCAAGGGATGAAGTATAAATGAGAGACTTTTTTCTTTTGAAGAAGAAAAAAAGGAAAGCGAAGAGAAGAGAGGAGATAGAGAAGCTGTGTTGGTCGAACACTAATGATAAAAGAAGAGATCGGAAAAAGTTTACACCTGTTGCAGGGGAATGGGCCCGACTAAAGGAACACATATTTATGCATACACCCAGATATCTGGGGCCAAAATGCAGGGTTCAATCATGTATAGCTGATGCTCTGTGCTTATGAGCTCCGATGCTTTCAGTGTCAAAACATTCAATACCACGCGAAGGAACAACGTCATTCGTCATTCGTATGAAACCTCTAATAAAACTCAGTATGTAGAAGATTTTTTCTTTTGTTTGAGTTGATGCTGATATGTGGATGGCTGTGGCCAATCACTGGTCAATTCGCATTGTCATGGACTTGTCCATACTCGCTAATTGGCTGATTGGCCTGAATCGGGGCCAGTATCTTTGTATTGCAATAGCTGCCGCTTCCAGGAACGCTATGTAGATAAGCTAGATGCTTCCAACAGAAACCGACGTTTCCAGTCTAGAAAGCTGGAGCTCTGGGATCAAGCGCAAACTATAAAAGTACATTTATTTATATTCAAGGATAAAGAACTCATCTTCTATTAGAATTTTATTATTCCGACATTTGCTATTAGTTACTATACAATTGCTCGCTACTTTCATGAGGGAATAGTGGATTAATAGTTTACATTGTAAGAAAGTTGAAAGCGGATGGTGTTGATGTTGGTTAAATCTGCACTGGGGGGTAGAGTTGGTGTGAAGGAAAACGAGGGTGTGGATCAAGATATCTTGATCTTTCAGAGGGCGAAATTGCACGCGGGTGATGAATAGGAGGCGGTGGAGGGATCGAGGCGTAGTCGTCCGTGTGATGCAATGCCCCTGAACTACCGCTTCCACCGCTACTCTGAGATGATAATACAGGATATTCAGGGCTTGCGCAGCGGCTAGGCACCTGACTCACACTCCTACTAACACTTCGACTAACGTCTCGACTAGGGTTCCGGCTGTTGATATCCTCCTCGGACTCCGCATAGGTCGGCAAGTGGATCCTGGCCACCAGCGCACGAAAGAGGTCGTCATCTTCAGGGTCCATTCCTCTCTCAGAATCGAACGACACTCGAGGGGTTGAAAAGGATGTAAGGTAAGAGGGAAGCTCATTCATTTGATCACCTAAACTTTCCCCAGCACCTTCCTCCGGTGGATATTCATCTTCCATCGCTAAGACCTTCAGATCCATCTCATTCTCAATGCGGAATCTCTTAATACCATCTGTGCCAAGAATAGAGAACCTAAGTATATGATTCACTTTCATAAGCCCAATATCTGCGGAAGGATTACACTGATTCATCTCTGGTCCCATCTGAGGCATATCAAATAAAAGGACTTTGTTCCATGTCACAGCCTCAGTAGAAAGTTCTCGATCATCCAAAGTCCATCCTTCACTCTTTTGTATTTTGACTAGCCTCATATCCACTCGTTTGCGCCCTTCAGCTCTATAAACCACTCGCTCCCATAAGCCTACTTGTAAGACAGTGACGTGTGTACGGCTGTTGGGCGAAGTAATTGAAACCTGCAAAGGAATCTTTGTTGAATGAGGTACTCTTATCTGCGGTAATGTGATCTTGTATTGAACCTTATCTTCTGGAGAGCTCACTATCCTTCCTCCACGGTGATAGATACGTGATGCAGGCATACTTGCGGCGTGTCGGCGCAGGATCTGTACCGTAGCCGTGGCGCTGGAAGAGTTGAATGTGATTCCAGGCTTGGTCAGAGTTGCCAAAAGTCTGTATGAGACCTTGCCATGACTTGTTGATAATGACTCTGGAAGTGTGTCGGGTAGTTCGAGTGAGAATGGGTATGCATGCTGTCCAGCCAAAAGTACAGTGGAACTCTTCTTGTGGGCTGGCGAAATGATCGGCCAAGTGTGTTCGATATGTGGAGCAGTCGTATGTCGAGTAGCTGGAGAATATGCGTTATCTAGGTTAACAAGAAGCAAATTAAAAGTCAGATGTAAGCTTTTTAAAAAACAAATACGGTGGCTCGACTCATTCCTAGTTGCTGGATACAACAAAGTGCCCTTGTTCCTCCAGAGTCATGTTCAGCCTTACCATCGATCCATGTCACAGATGATCGTCCAGAGAATTCCAGTTGCAATGATTTGACTTTGGTATTCTTCTGTAGAGTTACATATAGAACGCCTTCTAGCACAGTTGGTTTTCCCGCCATGAGAACAAGCTCAGTTTGAGCCAACTCTATGCGAAGAGTCTTGATATGTGTATTAGGCTTTGGGTGAGCGACCTCATCTTGCGATGTAAATGCAGTAGTAGCGAAGAAGGAGAATGGGGGTGGTATGTGGTGGTTATCAGGGCGAACGCTGTTTGGATTCATTGGAGGTGGAGCTGTGAAGAAACCTGTAAGGGGCGTGGTGGAAGTAGTTGGTGCAAATGACGGTGATACTAGACCCGACGATGAAGACGACCTAGGCTCGAATCGATGTGTTATGTTGGTTTCCTCAGGTGTTGATGTTATTAGAGAGGCTCTAGCCTGCGTACCATCATATACAGACAAGTTTGTACCTGATGATGGTAGTGCTGGTGTTGATACTGATTCTGATTCTAATGACGACTCTGATGCTGTAGGCTTAGTTGGCAACGGAGAAGCTGATCGACTGTCATCATCACTGTAGTGTCTAGATTGTTGCTGTTGCTGGTGGGTATCCTCAAAGAACATATCATCGTCGAGAACGAAACCAGGTTGAGTCGAGATCATGCTTTCTTGGCCATTGTATAGATTTGAATCAAGGGCAGGAGTAGCTCTGTGTTCTCCAGCAACTAAAGACGGAGGCAACTGATCGACTGAGGATGTGGAAGATGAGGCAGTAGCAGGTATATCATACGTTGAGGATGAGAGTGGAGAAGAAGTAGAGGGTGTGGAGGAAGAAGATTTGGAGGTGTGATTTGTGGAATCTGGGTATTCTCCAGCCATGATTGAAGATCTGTAAGAGAGTAGGTTGGTATTAGATTTAATATCAGAGGGTATAAACAAGCGTGGGATAGTAATTCATGCACACACGCAAAAGGAAAGATTGCAAGGGAGAGATGTGTGTGAAGGGAATTTAATGATTGTGGATGATCGTAGAAATGAAGAGGAGGTGACAAGTAGAGCAGACAGACAAAGACAAAGAGAGAGACAGGGGGGAAAGGTCTTCTAACATTTTTTTACGTCTTAAGGATTCGCAATGAATATTTATATGCGCAGAGGAATAATGCCCGTAATGGATTGTGTAATTTTCAGCAAACTCAGCTAATATTTGTTTCCCCAGAATAGAATAGAAACGAATAGAAACGAATGTATGTAAAAAAAATAAACATCGTGCTCCGCTTGAATGTCAATATCGCAACTTGTAAAACACTTTTTGCGGTGAATCCACATCCTTAACCACACCTGTCTACTGAAGCCGAACGTGTTTGCTACTTTTCCACTTGTCTTTGTAAGAGAAGAATCCGATAATGATTTCATTTGAGTCGATAGTTGGAATAGAAGGGAGCGCTTCACCTTTCTTCCCTTGATTCTTTGCTTTATTATCTCCTATATATTTGTATAATATCTTACTGCCTTTATGTCTGCATGGGAGCGTTGTTTTTGTGGCAACCATGAAAGTTAAACCTTGTTAAACGATATTCCTCAACTTCTTTTCCTTCACGTTGAAGTTTGTTGCTTTAGGACATCCGAAGGGGGGGCAAACATATTCATAAAAAAACCCATCGCTTTTTTCAAGGGGCATAGAATGGATTTGAAGATTCGTAAAACATTTTTCTCTCATCTTAAAGGCCTTTACCAAATCATTTCCTATTTCATACGTTGTGAGCATGTATTTAATGATTTACTCCGTCTGTACGTACCCTACTTTAAAAGAGTTAAATAAGTGTGATGGGCAAAATGACCTAAAATAGCTGTGCATACCATTTATACATATTTACCCTATTTTTCCGTTTTTCCTCCATAATTGTGATCGACAGACGGACATTTTCGTAAAGTGTGTGTTAGACATTGGTATCCAGTCAATGAAGCGTTCATTAAAGAGATAGGTGCGGAACTCTTGAATCGGAGAAAGAATTGATTTTAACTTGGTGCTCTTATCAAAAGGGGAAACACGCCATAGTAGTCCTCATTGATGAAACCAGAGATGAGAAAGAGCACCACGACCTGTTCAGCATAGTACATATACTTGTAATATATATTCCTATATTTATATATTAAATAATTTTTTTTTAGCCTTTTACTGAAGAAGAAAGAACAGGAACGAAAGACTGGTATTAAAATAAACGAAAAAATAAGATTGTGGACTGTGCTCTTGTAAAGCACAAATTTCTTCATGGTTACATGCTCGATAGTATTCAATGATGATAGATTTTTTCCCTCCCATTAATCGTAGATCACTATGCAAAAATTTGCATATGAAAGAAAAGAGATTTGCACCAACCCTTATACCCATCAGAACAGTTGAAGTCTATATCATTTTGCCTACATCAGAAAAGAAGTGAGATGCGGAGAATGAACGGTCGAGTAAATTGTGTCAAGGCAATTCTCCCACGCATCTTATTTAGGAAATTGAGCCGATTTCCAAGCATCCAAACAAACAATGATGTACTGTAATGATAGATACTGCAGGTAGATCTAGATAATGCATTCTCTCCAACATCTATATAAAGTGCAATGCGTCTTACCTCACAGCAATGAACATGTATGAAACGTATCTAGCACACCACACCGACCATGATGCTTCATCCCTCCCTAGATGAGGAGCAAGGGAGAATCCAATGAAGGAGCCCTATTATTCGAGACATGAGTGTAATGAGAGGCTGGAGGTGTCAAGTTAGTATTGTAGGGCAAGACAACTTCGTAGGTGATCTTGGCACCCTCAACATCCCTCTTGATCGCTACAAGCTTAATCATTCATTTTGACATGTTGTATTATGTCTCAGGACTCCTTTCTTTCTCAGTATACAGGCTATACCCAGTTTGTATTTTCCCGTATCCTTAACCTCGATTACCGCCTGGATCTTTCGGACGTGGGTAACGCTTTCTGTAGCATTGCTCACAATCTCAAGTCAAGCTAGATCAGTGTCAGATATCGAAGGGTGAGGAATTCAGTATGATATTCTGTCTATGTTACCCCAGACTTCCGTTGGATCCATCAACAAAATCATGCTATCGGATAGCATTATTACAAACGAACGATTGGCACACTCTTGCAGTGCTGCTTGGCGTCACTGTGTGAATCTGAATCCCGGTTATACACGGCTACGCTTATTGCTTTATCGAGCATGGTCCTTTGACTATGTTGAACCTTGGTTTCTTATCAGCGTGTGTAATGAAGTTTCAAAGTCCTTGAGGCAAGGATTATTGTATACAAATATTCGTTTTGTTTAACCCTGACGAATTATGTACAGCCGCGCTCCTTCGTTTTTGTTATCCATCTCCTGGTCTCTACCAACACTTCCAAGCATTCATTCGCCTTACACTTGCCTATGAAGCTTCCTGAAGCTCTCCTCCTCGTTATTGTCCTTAAGGTGCCGGTTTTCGCTAATGAAAGGTCCCCTGAAACAAGAATGGGGCCCAGAACAGTGGTACGTCTATTGCCTCTGCCAAACGGGCTCTACACCATATTGAACAAATATAAGATCAACTCTGCGGCCCAAAGTGAGGAATGTGGATCTGCTTTCTGTTATGGGTCTCCTTCCAAAGTGAGCCCCCCTATCCGGTAGTTATAGCCAGGAGCTCTGTCCAGAAGAATTTTTTTTTTGTTGCTGAATGGTGTTCCAGGACAATAGCCCAAATTCAAACGTCCAGCGGGGTCAACCAACTCCATAGACCCATCCAAGGAGGATATACCGAATGAATTTAAAAAGAGTTCCACTCGGCCCCACCGGCACTTCGCAGCTTTCTAGTAAACGTAAAACTATCAGCTGCCATGCCAGTTCGCCTAGCATACCTATAATCGAAAGTTGTTCCCAAGGTCGATCGAATGCCTGGGTCTGTCAACCACCGCAGATCAGACAACTTTTGAAGCTGCCCTCAACATGGCGTATAGCATCATTAAATGCTTGAGTCATGATATCCGATACTATGCTATAATCAGTGCCTTTCTGTGTCGCTTACATTCATGGTCAATAATGCAAACTATCGAGCATTGCATCTAATAAAAAATGTTATCATTTGGACAAGAACGAGAGTGGGCATTTTCTCTCAAATTGTGGCTGTTTGCTGAGTAGCTTGCCTGGAATGATTGGAATCGTAATAATTATTAATTAAAATATGCAACATGGTCTTGCAATTTTTTTTTCATAAAAGCAACTTTCTTCTCATTTTCATTTTCATTTGCATTTGCATTTGCATTTGATTTTCACATTTACTCTCATTTTTATTTTTATTCTCCCATTTCAAAACAATAAACATGTATGCAAACAAGCAACCTCCTAGTGGCCCTAGAAAAACAGTGTCAAAAAAAAAGCAGCTGCATGACTTGGAAAGAGTCGCAGGGTCATCCTCAAGACCCTCTTCACGTCCGGGATCACGCATGGGCTCGCGTGTCAACTCGGATAATGAAGAAAGTGATCATGAATATGAGGCTGGAGTAGACGATGACTTTGATGATCAGAAACATGCAGACGAATCCTGGGAGGGACAGCTCAAAGATGCCATCGAAGATTTGAACGAGAAGCGATCGAGGTAAGAAGGGAAGATAAAGGGTCGAGGGAAGTATGTGTGTGCGAATGCATGGAGGCTGGCGCAGCATTCTCTCGGACCGCCAGAAAAAAAAAATTAATCTTTTTTTTTTTTTTTTTTTTTCCTCCTTAATGTAGCGTACGCGAAGATGCATTGACAAAGCTGCAGACTATTATATCTCAGCGCTTTACAGCAGATGTATTAGATTCACAGAAGGATGAGTTGATGGAATTGCTCAAGAAGAGTATCAAGAAGGGAGGTACTCGCGAATGCGTCCTCGCAGCGAATGGTAATATGCGTGTGAACTTTACTTTTTTTTTTTTTTTTTTTTTTTTTTTTTGAAAATGTGGAAGTGTGGGCATGTGCACAATAAAAATCCGCAGAAACTGAATCGAAATGATTATGTCATGGTCTATCTTTCTTTCCCAATTGCCAGTAATTTCGCTGATATTTATCACAATTGGCGAGGATGACGAAAAGATGTTTACGGACCTTGCACCTTTACTCAAATACACCATCACGAATCACGAACAGACTGAAGCCAAGGCAGCCGTAAGGAAAAAAAAAAAAAAAAAAAAAAAAAAAAAAAATTAGCTTCACTTATTATCCATATGAGAGAGGAAGACTAATATATTTTTTGTTTATCTGCATGGTATTCCTTCTTACAGTGTATATATGCACTAGGAACCGCATGCTTCATTTCCTCAACACCTCAGCCATCTCACTTGCCGACATATGACCTTCTTGGCTTCTTTTCTGAGATTGTTAGTACCTCAGGAGCGTCTGTAAATGCATCCCAGAACGCTGAGACTCTAGCAGCGGCGTTGGAGTCCTTTGGCGTTCTTTATGCAGGACTATTCCCACATCTTGGGCCTAAGCAGATTACGATGCATGCCCGACGCTTCTTTAACAGGGTTGTCGAGGGTGCAAAAGAACTGCTAGAGCATCCAGCTGTTGAGGTCAGAGTCGCTGCAGGCGAGACGATTGCGTTGATGCTCGAGATCCTAAATCATTATCAACGCCAGCGTGAGGATGGTGAATTTTCTGACGATGAAGACAACGACTTGGAGACATATAATGATGACGATCCAGAGGATTACGATGAAGTCACAGGAGATTTCCGGTATGAAGATCTGGATGGTCTTATTGCAGCGCTAGGTGCGCTTTCGACAGACTCAAGCAAACATCGCAGCAAGAAGGAGAGATCTGCAGGACGGTCTGCTTTTAGGGATATTTTGAAGAGCGTCGAGTCACAGGAACAACCAACAGAGTCACTCAAAATGAAGGATTACGATGTTGAGTTTGATGGGTGGGGTAAGTTATTTTGCTTCATATCAAAGCTTGTTGATCGTAAAGTCAATGAGATCATGGGGTGATGAATTTTAAATATTCTCAACCATCAATTATCGGGAATCCACTAATTTCTGTTATAATATTCCTTTTTATAGTCGAGATTATACAACTTCATTATCTTCGTGATCGTCTGACCTCTGGTATGCAGACCCATTTTGTGCAAAACACCATGATTCACACAATTCTCCCTAGTACAGCCATTCTGTACTCCCCAGAATTAATCGGTGGCGGGAATGGCACATTTGTTTCTGGGTCAAGGCTGGCTGCTGCTGCAGTCTCATCGCAAGCAGGATCAAAAGCTGGGTCTCGCGCCGGATCAAGACCATCGTCTTCGATGGGTATCTATGCAGACGCTGAAGATGCTAAGGCTGAACTAGACAGGGTCGATCGAAAGTATCTGAATGCAGAAATGGCTAAAATGCGACAGGTCCAGCGCAAAAAGGAACGCAGCCGTGGAAAATATGAAGATTATTGAGTTGACTTTATCATATCTGTTGCCCCTGAACATTTGTACTTCGAAAAATATCATAAATCACATACTTGTGTGCCACGATAATAAAGTACAGAAATATATTCAAAGACGAGTTCTTTTGGACAGAAATCTTAGACGACCATTTGAGCCAGAACATGGTTTGTCTCTTGTTTACTTTATAGAAGCATAAAAAAGCTTATTGTCTCATGGTTATCATTGTATCTTTGTTGGCGAGAGGTTCTATGATGGATATAGTTGTTTACTTGTAAAAAAAAAAAAAAAAAAAAAAAAAAGAAATGCGTAAAGACTGCGGCTCCTTATGTTTCTCACCACAATATATTTTATGAACACACGTTAGACATTTATGTGATGCCCAGATGGTGCCTTATGGAGCCAAGTACTTATTTTTGGTCACAAATCTAGAACCTAAAATGGACAATCGACTCCAAACGCTCTCATCTTTTATCTCTTCTTCTCTTTCCCTCTCCTTTCTTCCTCATCCTCTTACTGTTTGCTTCTTCTTTCTACTCGATACTATCCTGAAGGCTAATCCAAGGAAAAAAAAAAAAGATGGCCCACAATCAGCCTGTTCGTTCTGTCGACCGACGCTTCACTACAACGGCATTTGAATATCCTGGATACTACATCGCACAGGCTCACGGTGTCGTTCGAGGGTAAATGTTTCCTATGTAACAGTAACAAGTTGCATCTCTTGTTCCTTCAGATGCTAAATATTGAATGTGAAATGGAGCTCATGCTAATGTGAATGAACTTTTTTTTTATTCCTTGACAGCCTCACGGTTAGAAATCCAAACGTATGTTTCTGTAAAAAAAGGGGCCTGTGTTGAGATAAGCATGGTTTTTAATTATTCAATACAATTAAGCTCTCTTCTTGCCTGTTGTCAACCTGTTTTAGGCTGGCAAAGCCATTCTCGGTGCATTTGCGTCCATCGGAGGAGGAGAAAGTTCTACGTACATCGAGATGGCTGAAAAGGCTCGAGAGAGGGCTTTTCTGAGAATGCTGGAACATGCTGCAGCTGCAGGAGGGAATGGTATAATGATATCTTAACGGTTCGAGTGCATGTTGTGTCTTTGTTAATACCTTTCCATCTGAAAACTCAATTCCTGCTCTCTCTCTCTTTTTTTTTTTTTTTTTTTTTTTTTTTTTTGGTAAGCAGCTGTTATTGGCATTCAGTTCACTGGACAGGAGATTATGGAGGTAAAAGCAGCCCATCATTGCTATTTGTATTTATTTTATTCAAGATGTATTTATTTCCAACTGCTTAATTTATGATCTTCAATTTTTCTTTCTAGGGGTAAGAGTCTTAAAGCAGAATGTCACCACGAAGAGAAAGAGAGAAAAGGCTTTCAGTTGTGATAATAACATTTTTTTTTTTTTTTTTTTTTTTTTTTACTTTTGTAGAATGACCGAGGTGATGGCATACGGCACAGCGGTTACATTAGTACCTCTTCCAGTACAATCGCCCATTTCGCAGCCTGGATATAGTCCTTATGCTCAACAACAACAGCAACACCAGATCCCTCCTCAGCAGCAGCAGCCATTTTTGCCCGGTACACCTATCAAGCAGTAGTTAGCCTATGAGTAAAAAAAATAAAGATGTATTCATCCTATCAGAGAGGAGTCAAAAAGGGGTCCAAGATGAATGATCATCTACAATGGTACAGACTGATATAAATTTTCTGGTTCGACCATGTGCCATGCAATAAACGTCACATACGATCACGTTGCACTATAGTCACGTGGAACGCCATTCCTTAAACGCGGCTGAAGTTGTCGAAAGGGCGGTTAAATTTGAACATAGTCTTTTTAGCTTGTGTGCCGCTTTTTTTTTTACCGTCATTCAACTTCCTCCCTTTTACAAGTCCACTCCCTATGGCATCAACAGCACCGTCAACAGAAGACCAGGCAAAATTCCTTGAGGATGCCTTGAACGTCGTCAAGATCCAATCGTTTCAAATGAAGCGCTGCCTGGTAAATTCATACAGTTAAAAAAAAATAGTGGTGCACGCTCTATTTATGAACTAGTTTACTGCCACGTTTCTATTTTACTGGTTGCAAGCCAATTGCATGTGCTTCTTTTTTTATCGAGTAACAAACAGCGACAACAACGAAAGGGGAATGCAGCTGCGCGTTCTTACGAAAACATGGATTCAATTACCAAATCAAATCGCTAAATTTTCATGCCGAATGGTAATATATTGTTATAGGGCAATAACAAGCTGATGGACGGCCTTAAACATTGCTCCACCATGCTGGCTGAGCTCAGGACTTCCAACCTCACCCCAAAGAATTATTATGAACTTTGTAAGTGACACAGTGTCGATTTTAAAAGTGTCGCCTCACTCAATGACTTTCCTACAGTTAATTAAATGTGACTTTCATGGACTATATACCATCACGTCCTAATGGTCCTTGACTTTTCCGTTTCGATTTGTTTCAAATTAGATATGGCGATCTTCGATGCTCTTCGACACGTCACAACCTACCTAAAGGAAGCTCATCAGAGTGGACGACACCATTTGGCGGATCTCTATGAATTGGTGCAATATGCAGGAAACATTGTGCCGCGTCTTTATCTTATGGTCACAGTCGGCAGCGTCTACATGGAGATGCCCGATGCCCCTGTCAAGGAAATCATGCGAGACATGATGGAAATGGCACGCGGAGTCCAGCATCCAACACGTGGATTGTTTTTGAGATATTATCTTAGTGGACAAACCAGAAATGCGCTCCCTGTGGGAACAGAAGATGGGTAATACTGCTGTTTTAGTGTGCTCCTGATATGTTTAAGGCGTGAACCATACGAGTAACGCGTACGATGATCTAGAGATTATGTTATTTACGACGTTCTATGCCATTCTTTATGATTTCATCTTTTAGACCTGAGGGAAGCATTACAGACTCAATCCAGTTCATTTTAACTAACTTTATCGAGATGAACAAGCTATGGGTCCGTCTTCAGCACCAGGGCCATTCTAGGGAACGTGAAAAGCGTGAAATGGAGCGCAAGGAACTTAGGATCTTGGTTGGAACAAACCTTGTCCGTCTTAGCCAGTTGGACAACGTTGATTTGGAGGTCTATCAGTCTGTAAGCGGGCATTTTTATTTTTACAACTATTATTATTATTATTCTTATTCTTAAAAAACAAAAAAAAAAAAAAAAAAAAAAAGAAAAGAAACATTGCTATTTATTGCTTATGTACGAATTGATGGCTGATGTATATTCGTCTGGGCGTCATCTCTTTTAGACTATCCTACCAAGTGTTCTTGAACAGATTAAAAGCTGCAAGGACGTCATTGCTCAGGAATATCTCATGGAAGTCATCATTCAGGTATAGAAAATATCGATTACATATACAAACGAAACAACTCATGAGAACCAGTATAAAGAAAAATTCAGAATAAAGCCTTATTGACGAAAGCTTCATTCTAACCTTTAGGTGTTCCCTGACGACTTTCATCTGAGGACATTGAAGCCTTTATTGTCAGCCACAGCTCCACTCCAGCCCAAAGTCAACGTGAAGCAGATTGTGATCGCCTTAATCGACCGCCTGGCAGCACATGCGGCTAGGGAAGCTGATAGTAACGATGATGTCGCTATTTCTGAGACACCCGCCTCACCAAAGGCGCCATCTGTTAAAGCGATTGAAGAGAGCACCGAGAAAGAAGAACCATCTGCCAATGGCGATAATTCTGAGGAAGCAAAAGAGGGCCTTGGTGAGAAAGCTATGGTAAGGTATGAGGGCCTTGGTGAGAAAGCTATAGTAAGGTATGAGGACGAAGAGACTGTGGCAGGAGAAGAGGACCCAGAGCAACAACAAGAGCAGCCAGCTTCAGCTCCTAAGCCCGTCAAAGTCCGCAGAATTAGAGGTATCCCTGAAGATGTCGAGTTGTTTGAGATCTTTTGGGACAAAATTGTGGAACTTGTCAAGGTAAAAAAAAAAAAAAAAAAAAAAAGAAAGTAAAGAAAAGAAAAGAAAACTATAATATCTTCTTTTGACATTGCTTCTCGATCTAATTCGATCCATACTAACTGCCTTCTTCTGTGATTTGATTTACTGCAGCGCCGTCCTGAATTGTCTATTCAGGACATCACAGCTTTACTAGTTTCATTAATCAACTTGTCGCTCAGCTGTTATCCCGAAAATTTGAAATATGCGGGTCAAGTTCTTGGATTTGCCAAAGATAAAGCCTCTGAATATAGTGAGAGCCCCGAATTGCAACATAAAGACACTGTCAGCAACCTCCAAAACCTTCTCACGGCTCCTATCCAACATTATCCCTCTATCCTTACGCTTCTGGAGCTTCCCAACTTCATCGCTCTTCTCTCGCTTCAACCTTATCAAACGCGCCGTGCCATCGCCCATGCTGTTGTCGAATCTATCCTGAAGAATGAGACCATCATTAGTACTCCCGAGGATGTCAATGGAATCTTGGAGATCTGCGCTGTCATGGTCCGCGATCAGAAGGATGGTGGACACAACTCAGGTCCATTCCGTAGTACTCGTAGCAACCGTAATGAAAGCGGCAATGTCGACCCAGAGGAGTTTGCAGAGGAACAGGGCCATTTGGCGCGCATCATTCATTTGTTCAGGAGCGAAGATGCAGATACACAGGCTGCCATTCTATCCGCAGCCAGGAAACAATTTGGAGACGGAGGAGAGCGCATTCGTTATATGTTCCCGCCTCTTGTTATTCAAGCCGTGAAGTTGGCTCGTCGCTTCAAGAGATTGCAGGACACGGATGAAGGATGGGAGAAGAAATGTTCCACATTATTCAGGTTCATTAACCAAGTCATTTCTATACTCCACAGCAAGGTCGATAACTCGGATGTTGTGTTGCGGTTGTTTTTGTTAGCCGGACAGAGCGCAGATGAGTGCGGATTTGAGGATATTTGCTACGAGTTTTTTGTACAGGTATGTCCTTTCTTATTATTACCTGAATATTTAAAACAGTATAAAAAGGAACACAGAGCATAGAAAGATACAATAATCTGACGACTTCTTGTGTTCTAGGCATTTACGATTTATGAGGAATCGATCTCTGAATCCAGAGCACAATTCCAAGCAATTACTCTAATGGTCGGAACACTACAGACGACATCTTGCTTTAATGTGGACCATTACGATACCCTTATTACCAAATGCGCACTTCATGGAGCTAAACTGTTGAAGAAGCCTGACCAGTGCCGCGCCGTTTACACGTGCAGTCATCTGTGGTGGGGCACCATGATCGTTGGCCAATCCGAGGAGGGTGAGGAAGCAGTTCAGCCATATCGTGATGGTAAGCGTGTACTTGAGTGTCTCCAGAAAGCTCTCAAGATCGCAGATTCTTGCATGGACTCGGTGACGAATGTAGAACTCTTTGTCGAAATACTCAACCGATACATTTACTACTTTGAGAAGCAAAATGAGGCAGTAAGTCTTTTTTTTTTTTTTTTTTGACTTTTACATATCACAAGCGGAGTTGGAAGATTAATATCTTTAAATGTCTCATCCTCCAGGTTACTGTCAAGTACTTGAATGGGCTCATTGATCTGATCAATACTAATCTGGGCAACATGGAGAATCCTGATCAACATCCCCCATCGACCAACTCGTCAGCGTTGCTGGAGAATGACCCCGCACACCTTTCAGAATATGTTTTGGCTCACTTCCGTAACACAATCTACCATTTAGAACGTCGTAAGAATGCAGGCGATAAAAAGTATGCAGATCTCGATGCTAGCTTAGCCATCTAAATTTCTAGTTTTCTTTTGACTTTTTTTACTAAATGTTGGACATGACAGTGAAGTGGATTGAGATAATATAAGCACAAATAAACGAGCAAAAGATTTTTTTAGTATTTGCCACCATTAATCAACAATTCACATGACATTACAAAAAAAAAGAAAAGAAAGGCAGTTTTTTTCTCTTTGTTCAAAGTTCTATTCAGCTCTATTAATATCGTGGTCATCCCTGACTCTCTGAACTTGTCCAATAAACTCCTTGTGTGTCTCAAGAGGTAAAGACAGCTTGATTGACAGCTCGTTTTTGTCATGTCTGTAAAATCTACTATATCCGTATGCAGCACACTTGTCTAAAGGCACGCACTAAATGCTCCTGAGTGTGGCTACTACGTGGTTCCGTCTTCTCTATTTGTCTCAGTATCATGAGAATAAGTGAAGGCTAGCATGGTGCTCATTCTACAACTCGATTCCTCATTTGTAAAAGTAGAGTTTGTCCATGTTCATTCTTTTTACTTAATTTTGGTGGCAAACTGTAACTAAAATGCTATTAATATTATTTGTTTAGAAGAAAAAAACAAAGACAGAAAAAAATGCCCAAGGTTAAATCTGCCAAAGCGATCAAAAGTACGAAAACCGTGGATCCCATGATGCCCAAAAGACCCCTTTCGGCCTACTTGATGTATTGTCGGGACAATCGAACTAGTGTCCAAATGGAGAACCAGGGGCAAAAACCTTGTAAAGTCTACTAGAATGATGTCTAAATTTTTTTTTCTCCCTTTTCTGTTTTGTTGAAAATACTAACATTTAAAAAAAAAAAAAAAAAAAAAAAAAAAGCTGAAGTCATGAAAACCCTTGGCCACATGTGGAGAAACTTATCTGAAAAGGAAAAGATGGTTTGTTCAAGAAAAAAGAAAAAAGAAAAAAGAAAAAAAAAAAAAAAAAGGTTTATACCTACTCTCGTTTGACTTGTCATTATTCTGATATGCCTCGTATTGTTTTCCTTGTAACCAGGGATATAGTAGGAAGCATTCGGAGGAGTTGCAAAAATATATCGAGAAAGTAAATGCTTTCTTTGCAGAGAAAAAGAGCACCGACAGTAGCCGTGGTGACGGCACCAGCTCGGCGAGATCAACTACAACGAAAAAGGATGCCGCTCCAAGACCAAAGGCGAAGGCACCTTCTACTTCGAAGAGTAACGAAAGGGCAAGAAAGGAGTAGTGCAGAAAGCCACGGAAATTGAGGATACGGATGAAATGGAGATTTGTGAGGAGTAACTTCTTTGCTTAGAAAGCAGGATTTGGTTTCGCAAACGATGTTTGATTTGATATGAGGCAAAGTATTCATTTACGTCTGCTCCAGAAGTAGTAAAATTGAGAGAATAGCACTTGCAACTTGATCATAAACATTCTCAACAGTTTAGTGTTTATGTTATATATACATGTACATGTATATATTATTTATTATGTTTACGTGCATCATTAACGTGCCTAAAGATCAGAGATCATGACTCTTCCTCTTTCACGCGCAATGATCAGAATTTTTAGCTGAGGGACTTTGTCAACAACTGCTCTCATTCGTCATTCTTCACCCAAACACCTCTCTCTTTCTCTCTCTCTTTCTCTTCTTTCCCTTCATTCCTTCATTCCTTTATTCCTTCATCTTTTCCTTCTTTTATTCCAACGCGCTTTTTATACACATATAACATTCACTCCCCATAATCAGTAACACATTTCATATTCTAACAAAAAAAAAAAAAAAAACTTTGGACACAACAATATACTTTAATAAAAAAAAATAAAATAAAACTAAAATGGCCTGCACAACCGTCCGCTCAGCGATTCTTGACAAGGCAGCACCCATAGCCTCCATCTTGTCAAAACCAACAACAACAGCTACAGTCTCCAGATCTGCCGCGCCTGCTATAGTATCAACAGCAAATACCCCCAGAGTACCGTTTGCTTCCTCAGCAAAAACCACAGCAACCACAACTGCAAACTCGACTGTAAACTCACCTTCAAGCTCCTCAGCTACAACGATATCCACTGCAACAGCTACTACAACTACCACATTGGCTTCCTCCTCAACGTCTTCATCGCTTTCTACAACTGCCACAACCCCCAATGCTCCTCGGCCAAGATTTATCCCACGCAATAGAAGATCATTGGTAATGGATCAATATGTTTTTTATTTTCGTGTTTTTTTCCTCTTTTCATTCGTGTTTGTCCGAGAGGTGTTGTTATATCTCTATGTGTATTAACACGCGAATATTTTTACTTGGACTAAAAAAAAAAAAAAAAAAAAAATTCTATACTAAATGAATGCAACTAGACGTCATCCGGTGGCGATAATAATAATTGGGCAATCCTCTTTCCAGGTTCGTTTTATTAATATATTGAGGGCTTGGGGATAATAGGAGCAACAAATAGGATGTGCATATGAAATATGCCAGCAACCACAAAAAAAAAGAAAAAAAGGATCATTGACAATCAATTACTGACGGGAGAAGTAAGGGAAAACCCAAATGACGAAAAAAGAAAAATGTGGGGAAGGTATCCTATCCTGTAAATAAATCCAGGCAGGAGACCAGGGCAATGATAAAAAAGATGACACTTTATGCATGTGAGACATAGAGTCAGAAAGAGCAGCTCATGTCAGTTAATCAGTTCGTGACTGGGAAAAGGAGTGCCTAAAAAGAGACGAGCCGGGAGTTTGAACCTTGGTTTATTATTTTGCCATGAAATCACGCCTTTTTCCATCTCAGGTGCAGGAACAAGACAAATTACAACATAATAATACATTATATTACAACACACTTACATCGGAACACAGCACCCGTGGAAAGAAATAAATGGAAGATGTAAAGCTCAGCCCCAAGCTCATCTCAAATTGTATCTCCAACAACTGCTCTCCCTCGTGGGAACTGTTTTTGGTTGGGGAGAAATTCGAAGAGATGAAAAAGTCTATTTTTTTTTCTCACGATGTTACTTACTGACTTGCTACTTAATACCAAAGGCAGATTGGTTCTTTTTTACTTTTTTTTCCCTTATTTTGAACGAGATTATTTGAAAGCGTAGAAAATTTTCTGACGTTATTATTGTTCCCATCTGCGTCTCGTCTGCACTGCGAGTGAGCGATTGTTAAATCTTGTTTTATTTTTACATTCGGGATTGCTGTGTGGATGAAGAAAGAGTTTATGGGGCTTAGTTGCAATCAAGCATGATTATCGTACTTAACCTGCGTTCTCTCGCCATATCTTCGCTCAATAGGTCAGGGATCGCAATTTGTTGGGATGGGCAAGGATCTATATGATGCCTATCCGGTGGCGCGTCAGGTCGTGGATGAGGCAGATGAAGCTCTCCAGGGCACACTGAAGCATGTCATGTTTGAAGGCTCACAGGAAGATTTGACCAGAACAGAAAATGCACAACCTGCCATTCTTACCACATCAATTGCTATGCTAAGAGTCTTGGAGAGTGAACGTGGATTCAAGGTTGAAGAATCATGCAAATATGCTCTGGGTCACTCATTGGGTGAATATTCTGCACTCGTCGCAACAAAGGCCGTGGGTCTCCAGGATGCTGTTAAACTTGTCGTAAGTTCTACATCGCAATAGCAACTTTTTTTTAATTTTATTTATTTTTATTTTTATTATGTTATTGTGCATTTTAAGCACTAGTAAGTGGAACTCAAAGTCGCTCATATACTATTTTTCCTCTCTTTCTAGAGGCTCCGCGGCGAAGCAATGACAGAAGCAGTGACCAACAAAGCAACAGCAATGTCAGCACTAGTTGTGCGACCTGGAAAGTTGGAAGCGCTTGTAAAGGCTGTTGATGAAATCAAGGCGACACTACCAGGTGGTGAATTGGCTGAGATTGCCAACGTTAACAGCGTATGTCCAACCGGATCAACATTATTTGCATTTGATCGCTTAGAGCCAATCCTTTATCTGGACAAAATCGTATTTAACTCTTTTTTTTTTTTTTTTTTTTTTTTTTTTTTTTTTTTTTTTCAAATTTTAGTCATTTCAAGTTGTGATCAGCGGCACAGTCCGAGGGGTCGACCATGCATCAAGAGTTCTTCAAGCACAAAAGATTGCAGCACGCGCTGTAGATCTTCCTGTCTCGTATGTCTTTTGACCGACATCTCCTTATTTCCTGCGTACCCAAAAAGTTGAGAAGCTTAGTCCTCTGGTTGTACTGATTACCACTTCTTTATACGCTTATTTTCTTATAGAGCACCCTTTCATTGTAGTCTAATGCAGTCTGCAGCAGATGCAATGAAAGAGGCACTCAAAGATATTCAATTCAAAAAGCCAACTATCGATGTGATTTCAAATGTTACAGCAAGACCTGTAAGTGGCTCTGTCAAAATTGGCAATGGGATAAAGAACACAAAACGGAGGACTAAATAATCTGATACTCTATGACCATTTTCAAAACACAGATCACAAAGATTGAGGATATCTCAGATTTGCTTGTGCGACAGGTTACGGGAGCTGTTCAATGGCACACAAGTATCGGATACTTGCGAGACCAACAAAATGTGCATGACTATATTTCATTTGGTCCCGGCAAGGTGTTGGCCAATTTGCTACGAAAAGAATACCCGCTAGATTTTGTGAAGTATGTCACTAGAACCATCTTGAGCAATTGCATCCTGTAAAAAAATTTTATGGCAAATACTAAACTGCTTTTTATAAACCTCTCTCTCCTTAGAACGGTCACGACCGCCGAGGACATCCAACAGTGGACGTTGTAAAATAATCCCGCCGTGTACATTTCAACCTTCTTTGAACCTCTTTGCAAAAAAAAAAATCCGTTTTCTTTTTTTTTTCCCCTATATTTGTATCATGCCTCACACCCTCCCCAATCTGCTATAGATTGTGAAACGAAATTGCTCACCTGTGTCCATTCAGATGGACACAGGCGGACACAGGTGGACACAGAAGGATACCAAGTCACAAAATTTTTATATTTCGCTTCACAAATCTTTTTCCACAAAATGGATTTGTGAAGCGAAATAGACAAAATCTTTTTATGGTAGAGACAGTGTTAATGATTAAACATGACAGTTTTTATATTGATGAAGTATTCAATTATTTCTGTTATAGTGCGTTGGTAGCCGAGTCGAGTCAAAAATGCTTTGATAGTGCTTTGATGGTGTTTTGTCTTGTTAATAATGTTGACGATAATGCTTTTTCCTGGATGATACTTATGCTAAACACCTTGGAATATCACAAATTTCACGACAATGGATTGCTTGTACATTGTATTTTCTCAGCCTCTTTTGGCTCAAGGATGCAGCCAACAGTTTTCTGCCTCTTGTAGCTCAGTTCATGTCTTGGTATTTCCGACACCATCACTACTTTGTGCTTTATTGCTTAAATTTGTATCCGAGGATATATATATATGTATATATAAAAAAAAAAAAGAAAAAAAAAAATTACCCTTACTCATCTACTCGTCCGCATCTTGGTGGCAGCCTTCGTCATTCCCGGTGTCTTTCAGAAGCTCTAGTCGAATGGAATTGATTGTCCGACCCTTGTACTGAGCTGTCAGTGCGTCTACTACCTCTTCGAAGTCTCGCTTCTGTTTTTCGGCAATATTCTTTATCAGATCGAAAATTTGACGCCTGCGCCTGAATGCCTTGTGACGCGCCTCTGTGAATGGCCATTTGTGATTTTCCTGCTTTGCCTGAGCAACGGGCCCACGGAATTCATCCCATGCTTCCCTGACCGTCAATTGCTTGCCATCGCCTTTCATGAGGTAGCCTTTATACCTTTCATCTTCCGGCAATCGTTGTGTCTGCTCTGAGGTCATTGGAGCCTGCACATGGCTATGTTGATATGGCTGTTGCTGAGGACATGGTGGCAATTGGTTGGAAAATAATGGCTGCTGTTGCGGTGGAGTGGCCTGGCGAGCTTGATATAGACCCTGCGTAGTAGGAGCCTGAGGAACCGAAGGAAAAGAAGCTAGGCGGCTCTGTGCTGGCGCCAATGGAGAAGGATTAAACACAAAGGGCGGGCAAGACTGCACATGATATGGAAAAGGCTGCCGCACATTTGCGCTTTGTTGCTGCTGCAGCGATTGGAGAAGTAAGTGGATTTGCTCCTGTTGCTGCCTCTGTTGCTCCTGTTGCTCTGTCACAAGGGTGGATAGGGCCTCGAGCTTCTGGACCGTCTCATGCTGGAGTTGATGAAAGACCCGCGCCTCTACCGACAACGTGTTAATGGCGCTTACCATAGTTTGCGCATTAACTGGCACATCCGCTTGGATGATGCCTGCTTGTCGGCGATGTACGTCGATGGCCCGAAGCAATTGATGTTGGAAATCCAGAAAGAGCTGGCAACCAAAGATTTCTGGTAACGACTCGAGGAGTTTGTTCTCCAACATTTTCCCCTTGTCGTTCGGCTTCAAAAAGAGCACTGCATCCTGAAGGATTACTCGCCTCATACGCACAAGAAGTTTGAGGAACCCAATGCGTGTAACAAGGGAGTCAGTGCTGAAGGCACGGGTCAATCGTTTCGAGCTCGTCTTCTTCTCGATTGGCGTCCAAAAAATGTCTTCGTCTGTCGGGACATTTGGATCGACCCCCAGCATTTCTTTGGCGCACTCCTCTCTCCAGGAGTCAGCTCTCTCCGGCATATCTTTATCAAAATTTTCCTCAATCCAAGGAAAGACCAGACGCTGGAGCTCTAAGGGCGGGGTGACCAAATCACGCTCGATAAAGTAAGGCTCATTCGGTCCAAACTGAGCCATACAAAAAGCGCCCCTGGTTGGGTTTTTTGGAGCATAGAAGTTCTCCATTTGCCCCATGACCCACCTTCCCAAGTGGCGAATATCGTCCAGGCTTAAGCCTCTTTCGTAGGCTTCCGAGACCCCTGCATGTCGGCCAGAGTGCGTAATTTTGGCCGAATGCACGTCGCAGGCACGCATTACAGCCGCCGTAGTGCTCATTTGGGTTCGGCCAACAAGCGCTTCCTTTCGGTTCTCTAACCGTTCTTGGCTTGTTCCACCCCCTGTTAGCACCTTGATGCTGTACCACTCGTCAGGGTCCGCAAAATTGGGAAGAGGCTCCTTGAACACCTACAATAGGGAAAAAAAAAAATAAGGATATATGTCACTTTGTGTAATTGAATGAGAAAAAATCATACGCTCGCGTCAAGACTGACGGCATCATTTACCTGGAACCGTTCTAGCATATAAAATGCAAACCCGCCCACGGTGCACCTTAAGAACAGCTTATGTCGATAAGCTGTCGCATAGAGTTCGACACCTTTATGGTTTGTCTTTCCACGTGTGATGCAGAAGACAAGCCCCGACGCCAGCTTTGACCCTGGCGCGGGGTGACGGGTCTGAATATTGAATGTGTTAGCCAGGTTCAAGTTTCGGATGTCCTCATCCCGCAGCAACATATGATGGCGTGCAAGGAGGCATAGCCTCTCCCTCATATACTGAAATCTTGTAACACTGTCGTAAGGTCGCCTGCCGCTTACTCCAACCGTCGGAAGCATGCGCCATGTAAAGGCCAACATACGCAGGTACATTTTAGTGTTGTAAGGTTCTCGTACGGCACAGGTGGCAGTGCGGGATAAGGTGCCTGTCGTTACTTTGTGATGGACAAGTTTCTCTCCATAATTTTTGATCGCCTCCGCTAGTGGTACATCCGTTCTTGGGTTTGGGGCGGGATTGGGATACGGAGCTGTCGAAGAAGACTGTTGCCTCCATAAGTATTGCAAAGCCTTCTTAACATTTGCGACTGTCCCCAGCGTGAGAGGAACAAAGACAATTTTGCTGCCATGTTTGTCCTCTGGTGCTTGCAGGATAACTACAAACGCAAAAGTATATCCAAAAAAAAAAAAAAAAAAAAAAAAAAAAAAAAAAAAAAATAAAAAGTAAAAATTTACAAAATCAAAAGATACATTAAGGTGGATGCAGGATTAAGGAATGGTTTATTAAGTCATAATTTAGTAGGCTATTTATATTGATAATTAACACTGAGTTGCGGCCATGGTGTCTTGTCACCTGGGGTACGCGTGATGGCGGAGCCTTCCCAAAGGTTTGGATCCCAGTACTGTATAACAATTTATATATTAATACATGGTTATCTTTACATACCTTGTTCTCTTTCATTTTCAGTCCTGATAACGGCTGCAGTCTTCCGCTTCGGCGTGATGTTCTTGCTTGAACCCCCAACAGTTACAGCTTCATGTGATGCTCGCTCCTCATCATTCAATGCTATATCAATCTGCCATTGATGTGGGTCGACTCCTTCAGGTGGCTCCATATTATCCCAGGAGGGAGGAGCCTTCTTACCTCTCTGTGCCAATGACCTCAGCTGAAGCTCCAGATCTTCATCCTGTTCCTGTTCCTGTCCTTGTTCCTGTCCCTGTCCCTGACCCTGTCTCCGTTCCTGATCCTGTTCCTGACCCTGTCCCTGACCCTGTCCCTGTTGTTGACCTTGGTCTATGCTTTGGCCGTCGTCGTCATCAACTTGCTCGCTGTTATCTAATGTCTCCAGTCTCTGCTCCATGTCGCTTAGTTCATGTTCGTCGATATCTGCCTCGACTAATTCGTCGATCTCTTCTCCCTCATAGACTGCGTCTTCCCCAGCCTGAGAATTCGAAGAATCTCCTCCACCCTGCTGGGCATACCCAATAGCGCCACGGTAGCAACGATCTGTGCCGATCAATCGCTTTACTGTTCGCTTGAAGACAACCGTTGTGAAGTATTCAAGCATGCGTTTCGCATCGACGCTACAGTCACCTTGATAATTTTCATTGCAGTATTGCTAAAAACAAAAAAGAGAATTAGCCAAGTCGTCTAGTTTGATAGCCTGTCTGAGATAGCTCATAGCGACATTTTGATGATCCAACATACCTCCCACAGCCGGAGCTGTGTCTTATATTGATTCACTGTCGTCGATGAATCTGGATCATCTAAAATCATCTGCAGCACACTTCTCGCCGACTCCTTCCGTGCGTTCGCCAGGGCCAGCTCTTCTTCTGTCAATGGACCGGAGTGAAGGACATTTGAGGATAAAGAATCAGCCTCACAACGCCTAGGGCGCTTAAAAGACTTTGCACTAACTCTAGCAGTCTGTGCCACTGGTGAAGGCTCTGGAGTCGTTTCGTCAGTCAGAATAACTCTTTTTCTCCTCGGTGCTGCACGAGTGGATCCAGTGCGAGTACTTGACTTGGTTGGCTTCGTCTGACTGGTGCTTTGTTCCAAATCCATGCAGGTGAAATTGGATAAAATCTTTTCGTTGTTGTTTGTCATTTTGAAAGTGAGCAAGCAGGAATGAACCTTTGAAAATGCGAATGTGCCGTTATTTTTCTCAGTTTTAGTCAGGGGAGAGGGCAAGTCTACTCTGTGTATTGTAGGTTTTATTGTTTTATTGTGTATATGAATGTATGGAGGAATGAAGGCGTAAAATAAAGAAGAAAGAAAGAGATCTTTAGCATGCCATGATGACATTGTTAAAATTTCGATGGATTTGATGTCAATTCAAATTTCAGGACAAGTGTCGGAGTAAAAGCCACAAAACGGACACATGTCTTGTACGTACAGACATGAAACATAATACCCTTAAATGGAAAAAGGGCTGGATTTGGCATCATAATCCATTATAGATTGTGAAACGAAATTGCTCACCTGTGTCCATTCAGATGGACACAGGCGGACACAGGTGGACACAGAAGGATACCAAGTCACAAAATTTTTATATTTCGCTTCACAAATCTTTTTCCACAAAATGGATTTGTGAAGCGAAATAGACAAAATCTTTTTATGGTAGAGACAGTGTTAATGATTAAACATGACAGTTTTTATATTGATGAAGTATTCAATTATTTCTGTTATAGTGCGTTGGTAGCCGAGTCGAGTCAAAAATGCTTTGATAGTGCTTTGATGGTGTTTTGTCTTGTTAATAATGTTGACGATAATGCTTTTTCCTGGATGATACTTATGCTAAACACCTTGGAATATCACAAATTTCACGACAATGGATTGCTTGTACATTGTATTTTCTCAGCCTCTTTTGGCTCAAGGATGCAGCCAACAGTTTTCTGCCTCTTGTAGCTCAGTTCATGTCTTGGTATTTCCGACACCATCACTACTTTGTGCTTTATTGCTTAAATTTGTATCCGAGGATATATATATATGTATATATAAAAAAAAAAAAGAAAAAAAAAAATTACCCTTACTCATCTACTCGTCCGCATCTTGGTGGCAGCCTTCGTCATTCCCGGTGTCTTTCAGAAGCTCTAGTCGAATGGAATTGATTGTCCGACCCTTGTACTGAGCTGTCAGTGCGTCTACTACCTCTTCGAAGTCTCGCTTCTGTTTTTCGGCAATATTCTTTATCAGATCGAAAATTTGACGCCTGCGCCTGAATGCCTTGTGACGCGCCTCTGTGAATGGCCATTTGTGATTTTCCTGCTTTGCCTGAGCAACGGGCCCACGGAATTCATCCCATGCTTCCCTGACCGTCAATTGCTTGCCATCGCCTTTCATGAGGTAGCCTTTATACCTTTCATCTTCCGGCAATCGTTGTGTCTGCTCTGAGGTCATTGGAGCCTGCACATGGCTATGTTGATATGGCTGTTGCTGAGGACATGGTGGCAATTGGTTGGAAAATAATGGCTGCTGTTGCGGTGGAGTGGCCTGGCGAGCTTGATATAGACCCTGCGTAGTAGGAGCCTGAGGAACCGAAGGAAAAGAAGCTAGGCGGCTCTGTGCTGGCGCCAATGGAGAAGGATTAAACACAAAGGGCGGGCAAGACTGCACATGATATGGAAAAGGCTGCCGCACATTTGCGCTTTGTTGCTGCTGCAGCGATTGGAGAAGTAAGTGGATTTGCTCCTGTTGCTGCCTCTGTTGCTCCTGTTGCTCTGTCACAAGGGTGGATAGGGCCTCGAGCTTCTGGACCGTCTCATGCTGGAGTTGATGAAAGACCCGCGCCTCTACCGACAACGTGTTAATGGCGCTTACCATAGTTTGCGCATTAACTGGCACATCCGCTTGGATGATGCCTGCTTGTCGGCGATGTACGTCGATGGCCCGAAGCAATTGATGTTGGAAATCCAGAAAGAGCTGGCAACCAAAGATTTCTGGTAACGACTCGAGGAGTTTGTTCTCCAACATTTTCCCCTTGTCGTTCGGCTTCAAAAAGAGCACTGCATCCTGAAGGATTACTCGCCTCATACGCACAAGAAGTTTGAGGAACCCAATGCGTGTAACAAGGGAGTCAGTGCTGAAGGCACGGGTCAATCGTTTCGAGCTCGTCTTCTTCTCGATTGGCGTCCAAAAAATGTCTTCGTCTGTCGGGACATTTGGATCGACCCCCAGCATTTCTTTGGCGCACTCCTCTCTCCAGGAGTCAGCTCTCTCCGGCATATCTTTATCAAAATTTTCCTCAATCCAAGGAAAGACCAGACGCTGGAGCTCTAAGGGCGGGGTGACCAAATCACGCTCGATAAAGTAAGGCTCATTCGGTCCAAACTGAGCCATACAAAAAGCGCCCCTGGTTGGGTTTTTTGGAGCATAGAAGTTCTCCATTTGCCCCATGACCCACCTTCCCAAGTGGCGAATATCGTCCAGGCTTAAGCCTCTTTCGTAGGCTTCCGAGACCCCTGCATGTCGGCCAGAGTGCGTAATTTTGGCCGAATGCACGTCGCAGGCACGCATTACAGCCGCCGTAGTGCTCATTTGGGTTCGGCCAACAAGCGCTTCCTTTCGGTTCTCTAACCGTTCTTGGCTTGTTCCACCCCCTGTTAGCACCTTGATGCTGTACCACTCGTCAGGGTCCGCAAAATTGGGAAGAGGCTCCTTGAACACCTACAATAGGGAAAAAAAAAAATAAGGATATATGTCACTTTGTGTAATTGAATGAGAAAAAATCATACGCTCGCGTCAAGACTGACGGCATCATTTACCTGGAACCGTTCTAGCATATAAAATGCAAACCCGCCCACGGTGCACCTTAAGAACAGCTTATGTCGATAAGCTGTCGCATAGAGTTCGACACCTTTATGGTTTGTCTTTCCACGTGTGATGCAGAAGACAAGCCCCGACGCCAGCTTTGACCCTGGCGCGGGGTGACGGGTCTGAATATTGAATGTGTTAGCCAGGTTCAAGTTTCGGATGTCCTCATCCCGCAGCAACATATGATGGCGTGCAAGGAGGCATAGCCTCTCCCTCATATACTGAAATCTTGTAACACTGTCGTAAGGTCGCCTGCCGCTTACTCCAACCGTCGGAAGCATGCGCCATGTAAAGGCCAACATACGCAGGTACATTTTAGTGTTGTAAGGTTCTCGTACGGCACAGGTGGCAGTGCGGGATAAGGTGCCTGTCGTTACTTTGTGATGGACAAGTTTCTCTCCATAATTTTTGATCGCCTCCGCTAGTGGTACATCCGTTCTTGGGTTTGGGGCGGGATTGGGATACGGAGCTGTCGAAGAAGACTGTTGCCTCCATAAGTATTGCAAAGCCTTCTTAACATTTGCGACTGTCCCCAGCGTGAGAGGAACAAAGACAATTTTGCTGCCATGTTTGTCCTCTGGTGCTTGCAGGATAACTACAAACGCAAAAGTATATCCAAAAAAAAAAAAAAAAAAAAAAAAAAGTAATTGTATATATAATAAAAAGTATCAACCATTAGTGTAAATTGTAACAATCAAAGATACATTAAGGTGGATGCAGGATTAAGGAATGGTTTATTAAGTCATAATTTAGTAGGCTATTTATATTGATAATTAACACTGAGTTGCGGCCATGGTGTCTTGTCACCTGGGGTACGCGTGATGGCGGAGCCTTCCCAAAGGTTTGGATCCCAGTACTGTATAACAATTTATATATTAATACATGGTTATCTTTACATACCTTGTTCTCTTTCATTTTCAGTCCTGATAACGGCTGCAGTCTTCCGCTTCGGCGTGATGTTCTTGCTTGAACCCCCAACAGTTACAGCTTCATGTGATGCTCGCTCCTCATCATTCAATGCTATATCAATCTGCCATTGATGTGGGTCGACTCCTTCAGGTGGCTCCATATTATCCCAGGAGGGAGGAGCCTTCTTACCTCTCTGTGCCAATGACCTCAGCTGAAGCTCCAGATCTTCATCCTGTTCCTGTTCCTGTCCTTGTTCCTGTCCCTGTCCCTGACCCTGTCTCCGTTCCTGATCCTGTTCCTGACCCTGTCCCTGACCCTGTCCCTGTTGTTGACCTTGGTCTATGCTTTGGCCGTCGTCGTCATCAACTTGCTCGCTGTTATCTAATGTCTCCAGTCTCTGCTCCATGTCGCTTAGTTCATGTTCGTCGATATCTGCCTCGACTAATTCGTCGATCTCTTCTCCCTCATAGACTGCGTCTTCCCCAGCCTGAGAATTCGAAGAATCTCCTCCACCCTGCTGGGCATACCCAATAGCGCCACGGTAGCAACGATCTGTGCCGATCAATCGCTTTACTGTTCGCTTGAAGACAACCGTTGTGAAGTATTCAAGCATGCGTTTCGCATCGACGCTACAGTCACCTTGATAATTTTCATTGCAGTATTGCTAAAAACAAAAAAGAGAATTAGCCAAGTCGTCTAGTTTGATAGCCTGTCTGAGATAGCTCATAGCGACATTTTGATGATCCAACATACCTCCCACAGCCGGAGCTGTGTCTTATATTGATTCACTGTCGTCGATGAATCTGGATCATCTAAAATCATCTGCAGCACACTTCTCGCCGACTCCTTCCGTGCGTTCGCCAGGGCCAGCTCTTCTTCTGTCAATGGACCGGAGTGAAGGACATTTGAGGATAAAGAATCAGCCTCACAACGCCTAGGGCGCTTAAAAGACTTTGCACTAACTCTAGCAGTCTGTGCCACTGGTGAAGGCTCTGGAGTCGTTTCGTCAGTCAGAATAACTCTTTTTCTCCTCGGTGCTGCACGAGTGGATCCAGTGCGAGTACTTGACTTGGTTGGCTTCGTCTGACTGGTGCTTTGTTCCAAATCCATGCAGGTGAAATTGGATAAAATCTTTTCGTTGTTGTTTGTCATTTTGAAAGTGAGCAAGCAGGAATGAACCTTTGAAAATGCGAATGTGCCGTTATTTTTCTCAGTTTTAGTCAGGGGAGAGGGCAAGTCTACTCTGTGTATTGTAGGTTTTATTGTTTTATTGTGTATATGAATGTATGGAGGAATGAAGGCGTAAAATAAAGAAGAAAGAAAGAGATCTTTAGCATGCCATGATGACATTGTTAAAATTTCGATGGATTTGATGTCAATTCAAATTTCAGGACAAGTGTCGGAGTAAAAGCCACAAAACGGACACATGTCTTGTACGTACAGACATGAAACATAATACCCTTAAATGGAAAAAGGGCTGGATTTGGCATCATAATCCATTATAGATTATTGTCCACCCAATATGTAGGACAATAAATGAAATTGAGAACCATGCTTTCCTTCTCCATACTGTGATATCTATTATCGTGACCATTTGTTTAGTGCGCTAAAAAAGAAAAAAAAAGGTCGCGTCCTGATTATGACATGGTTTTCGGGGCGTCACATTTGGGGCTGCTAAAAATGTTTGCTCTTGCCTTGCATTCTTTCATTACTTTTTTTTTTTTTTTTTAACCTTTTCTTGGTAGCCTAGAGCGGCACTCTCAATGTACGGCACATCTGGCGCAACCTCGCCCAAACCTGCAGTAGGACCCTCATCATCGTCATCATCCTCAGGACCAGCTTCCACTTCATCTTCTTTAGGCTACTTTTGCATCTACAACCCTGAATTTGGACCTACTGACGAGACACAACATGAACAATTACTCTATTATGTGGCTCGAAAGACCGTGTCCATGGATGTGAAGATGCGAAATATTGGTTTAGCACAAGGACTGGTCAACTTTGCACGGTAACCAAGACCCAGCGCAATGGATGAGAAGGTTTCGAAATAATTTTTCGTGACGAAAAAAACCAAGAGATGGCTGGCGCTTGACAGCCTTTGACCTTTGACCTTGACCTTGACCTTGATCATAACGTGCAATAGGATATTCTCACCCACGGCCCCATGCGAGAACGTGCATTCTCAGAAAAACCGACTGGTATTTTATGAAGCCGAGCCAGGATATTGGCTGCATTTGGTAGGCTCACACTACAGATACTCTCCATAAAATGACAACAGTAAAGCACCTTAAATCTGACTGGTTTATCTTGATACCATGTCCCTACATCGGTCTGGGGTGTCGGTTCGACTCAGTGTATAGAACTTGGAACAATCAGACGATCTATTAAGGGTGCTGATGGAAAGTACCGCGTGGTGATTGAATATTTAGAGCATGAGATCCATGATGCAATTGTTTCAGCACTACTTCGACAGGCTTATGCGATGTACAAGGTTGCCAATGGAACTATGGAAAGTCTCGTCATAGCACATAATGGGAATACAAGACCATTACAGCGGCGACTAGAAGAGTTTTTCGAATCCTGGGTCCTTGGTTGGAATTTTGAGAAGGACATGACATTGGAACGAGCCTTGGATGGGATTCATTATTTGCCACTGAGTAAAACAGGAGTCGGGTTCCAGAATATTGATCAGATCGTGAGGAGTGTACGAGAGAGATATAAAGGACTGATAACACATTCTATGATAACGTTCGAGGACCAGCTGGTGGCCAGTGATATTCGAGATGAAGACCTCAAAGCGGTTTGGAACCATGTGTTACAAATAACCGGATACGATAGTGCAAGCATGAGCTCATTATTAGACCGACGGGAAGAAGAAGAAGCACGGAAGCGAAAGGTAAAGAGACAGGCCCTTTCCTTTTTTTTTATTATTTTGGTTTATCCTCGTTTAGCCAAAAAGCATTTCATATCAATCTTATTCTAATCGCTCCTTCTTCAAATATGCATCGACTCGTTATTTTCTTTTGACCGCCTCAGCAAACTTCCACATTTAGATTCGGAAAATCATGGTCCAACACCAGCATTTTTGGATTTTATCGGTCATCCCCTTCAGCAACTACACCGCCTTCAACACCGCCTCTTCGTCCTGCTTCACGTGTCAGCTCGCCAGCACCATCTATTCGGAGTGTTGAAGGCATTACTATCCCGGGCAGTTCAAATGCAAATACACTCTCAGCGCCAGATATAAACACCGCTGGGTCAAGTCCTCGACCATCCGGGGAGTCTGAGGCACTGCTGACGGCAGGTGGCAAAGCTCAGGTGAATCCTCTTTGGTACGGGCAGGATGCTAATAGTGAGGATGTTGAGGAACATTTGGGAATTACATTCAAGGTAAAGTAATCAAACAAAAGAGATAATTGTTGCTATACTTATTTTCTTTTTTTTTTTTTAAAAAAAAAAAAAAAAAAAAAAAAACTAACATATTATTTTATTTCCTCAATATCGATCACCTTTACAACATATCGTATACTAGCACAAAAGTGGACTCAACATATGCTTTTTTGCGTCTCTAGCAAATTCAGCGTCGCAACAGCTGATTGACAATCCGGAGCAATTTACACGAGAGCTAGAAGAGTTTCTATCGGGAATGATCTATGACCCTCCATTACTGGACCCCAATGGTAGCGGCAGTAGTAATAGCAGTGAAAGCATTATCACGCGATCGCTTCTTGAGGAAGTCGCAAGACAAATGGTGAAGGAGTCAATCACAGCACGCACACTAGGGGGCGCATTTTCTCCAGGAAGTAATAATGGCAATGGAAGTGGAGGGGGCAGTGGAATCGATAAGGAGATCCGATTTGTATACTTTAACAAAATGAATTTGGCAATCAAGGTACAGTTAGGATCTACAACTGGCAGAGGTGGATTCACTATTGGATCCGATATGGCATTGTCATTATTAGACATCAAACAAGACTTTGATCGGTAAGCTAAGGATACATCTTATGTTATATGAAAAGGATGTTTATCGACATTTCCTAATTCTTCTCTTCACTTATTTAAAAATTGTCCACGCTACCAAGTATGCCGGGTGCTTCAGAGATCACGACGCGGTCGCCTTCCAACCATTGGATTGTGGGCAAGCGGTTCGAAGATCGTGAAGTGTACATGATTGTATCTCGCAAAGATAGCACATTGGTAGAAGTGGAAGGTAAAACATGGCTTTAGGAAGAAAAAAAAAAAAAAAAAAAAACTAATATGTAGACAAATCAATCCTCTAATTCTTTTTTTTATTTTATTTTTATTTTTCTATTTAAAAAAAAAAAAAAAAAAAAAAAGATGAAGTCCGTAAGTTGACTTCATTATATTTTAATAATACTGGCATGCCAGCGTCGTCAACCATGACAACAACCGCGGTATCTTCTAGCAGGGCACATGTGCATAGCTCTCCCACGATAGAAAATAACTAGACTTTTCCCGACACATCAAATATAATATTGTGCAAAATGGCTAATGTATGCAGGGCCAATATTATTCTAGTATTATTATTATATTTTATTATTATTATTATATTATTGCTACTAATTGTTTTATTATTTTTATTATTAATGGTAAGTGTTGATTATTTCTACTGTTGTTACATCATGACTGCGGTATGAATTGCTTTGTATAAATAAAGAAGTAGACAAACAATAACCCGAAGTCGATATGGCTCAATGGTGTCGACCGAGTAAAATATAAATTTATCTGATCGTCATGTCTGCTCTTTTTTTTTTTTTTTTTACTCGCTGTGCCGCAGGTTTGCCTGCCCATGTGCTTGTTTGAGTGTAAGATTTTGGTCCTTGAGTAGATCTGGGTTCAGTTTATGGCGATGAAGTCTCCGTATGTTCGTTGAATCCAGATCTTGACTGTCTCTTTCCTTATCGTACTGATTATGACAGTGACCAGAGTGCTGGTGATGATGATGATGGTTTTGACGTAGGTTGATATGCTCTAAAATCTCCTGGAGTGCTTGCTGAGGTGTACGCGGCCTTGAAGGGGTCTTTTGGTTAGTATCGATGGAAAGTGTATGTGTGGCCGTCGCAGTCGAACATTTGTTGCAAGAGCTCTTTGAATCTGTTACATCACGGTCACAAGAAGGACTGCGGGAATGTCGATGAGAAGGAGAAGATGATTTGTCCTTAGATGCACTACGGGAATGATTACAGGATTGGGTTCGAGAGTGAGTTCGGGACTGTGATCGAGAATGTGCGTATAGCCGAGAAGTATTAGTCACTACGGTGCCGCTGGGGCAGAGTACTTTCGGCAGCGCTCCAGATCCATTGGTGTGAGATGTGGGACAATGAAGAAGGGTTGGAAGCTGTTGTTGTTGTTGTTTGATGCGGTTTAGTTTGTCAGAGAGCTCTTGAGGTGAAAAACTGTGTGAGCGATTTTGACTTTGATCCTGATCTAAGATTTGGATTTGACCGTCGGGACCATTGGTGTCGATAATACTGCTGCTGTTGTTGTCCTTGTTGTCGTTGGTCAAGGATATAGACATGGCGTACTGCATCATGAGAGGATCTTCACAGGTATCAATTGTCATTGTAGTGTCATTATTTCCAGAATTGTGAGTAGTAGTCGTACTTAAAGTGATAGTGCTACTACTGATTGTTGTCATGGAGAGTGTGTATTCCATCATGTGTTGATCCTGGGGAGTTATCGTTGTATCTGTTCTTTCATTCATCGTCTTGAATAGGTTCTGTTCCGATAATGGCTTGAATTTTTTTTTTTTTTTTTGGAAAGAAGGAGAGATGGAAAGTGTTGGGAAGGCCCATTTTTATACCCCCTTTTGTCGAACTTTACATGGGATATGCTGGACACTGCCACTTTGCCACGTAATTTTAGTAGGAATGTCAATATGTGAGAGGAAAGGTGAATGAGCGGCACAACCAAGGCACTAAGGAAAGAGAGAGCTGTGTCGCTAAAAAGGTATCTGTCTATTCCAAGTCTTTGTGCGTCATTGCACTTATTTTTTTTTTTCCGAGATCGAAGAGATGGAGCGTATATAATTAGCGTAACAGTAGTCGACGACGTTTGATCTTTAGTCACGCGGGTTACTTTATCCGCAAAAATGAATAGAGAAAGGCTATTGTTGCAAGGCTGTACCCTTTTCTGTTCCAAAGAAACAAAGTTTTAATTTTGTGGCATATTTTCTATCAGGAAATTGTAGTAATAAGTCGATGAAAATTATGCATATGTATGTGAAACGATAGGAAAGGAGTAAAGAGTTCTTTCTGACCCTACTAGTGATCTTAACCCTATTAGTCAATATGTTTTACAGGTATTTTGAAACATCCACGAAGGCGAAGCTAAGACGTTAAAAAAAAAGGAAAACCACTGTCCTAAATGGCATGAGTAAAGATACGCAAAGAGCTGCGCATTAGGGTATGTCGATTTTGTATTTTGTATTACACACATTTCTGCTGTAAATCAAGTTTTGGGGTCTTCAGACCACGCGGAATTGGGGGCGCATTCCTCAATTTCATGGATGACGCGCGCGTGATGTTCATAACAAAATAGACAAATGTTTTTTACAATCGAGTCATGATATCCGACAACACTTCAAGAGAACGTCAAGTGTAAAGCTATCAGGCATTTACTTTTCTAATTTCTCTTTCGTAAACTGTCGTATTCTCACCATGTACATTGACATTAAAAGATATAGGCAAAAAAATATGCTTTTTGTATTTTTTTTTTTTATATGTATGCTTTACAGCCTTAATTCCACATTTTTAGACGGGAGAATCAAGATTGAGTTCAGATACTTATCTACATCCATCCATGCGGAATCACTTACGCCTTGGACTCTGTAAGCAATATATGAATCCGGGCGTAATAATACAATGGAGCCTGGTCCACCTCTTGTGGGGATACCATACCGTCGATGTAGTAGGGCGGCGTCCTCATCTAGATACAGTTTACCGGCTCCAAAAGACTTATTTGTCAAGACCGAGAGCGTTTCGAAATCGGGTTGGGAAATGGGTGCGGTGATTACATGAATCATGAACATTTTGGATTGGCCCGTATTGCTATTTCTGCGGTACTTATTCTTTGCATCGTCGCCCGTGTTGTTCTGTGTCTGTTCCCAGTTGACTCCCCAAGTAGCAAGAGAGGTCTCAATGTTTTTAGAAAGATTATAAGCAACGGTTGTGCGGATATCTTTGAGGTCAGTAGCGATGTCCTTAGCCAGCATATCGGATGTGAAGACAAGGATATGGAAAATGCCTGGGCCGATCAGGAGATCATGTAGACGCAGATGCTGTTGTTCATTGACGTCCCTGAGATTTTCGGTACAAATAATCGATAGGGCACCATCGCGAGCACGAACCCCGACTTGGAACTCCTCTGCCGGGGCTGATTGTGTGGGACACCTCCTATTGATATTATTCTCGCGGTATCGAATTCGAAGCTAAAGGGAAATAATAGTTCCAAGTTAGGAACAAGTTGTTTAAAAGAGAAGTGTGTATGTTACTGTTTGTTACTTTTTTTTTTTTTTACCATGCACATAGGTGGACCTTGCGGTATACGGGGCAGGATATAGGGCGCTGTTAGGAGCGCAAATCGCTTTAGCAGCTTCTGCCAAAAGCCTTCCGCTATGACGCCGCCAAAGAGACCAGCCGAAAGCTTAACGATATTTCGAGCGACTTCGGAATGTTCAGCTTCATATGTGTCGAGGATGGATCCGGGAGCAGAGCCCTTGAGCACAAGCGACATTTTCCAAGTCAAGTTAAACGCATCCTGAAGCCCCATGTTTAATCCTTTGTTATTTATTCATGCAAGAGAAGAGTATGTTTTAGTACAATCTAGAAAACGTGAAATTGGATCAACTTTTTTTTTTTTCCTCCTCGAGACGAAACAAGATTGTGGTACCTTGACCGCCAGCAGGCGAGTGAACGTGAGCAGCATCTCCACACAGGAAGATCCGTCCCTTATCTGAGTATCGGTCTGCAAGGCGCTCATTGACGCGGTAATAGGTCAACCATTTACAGTCGAGGATCTGCATTTTGGCTGGGGAAATGGCCTCGTCCAGAATCTTCTGGAATTTAGGGATTGTGAGCTCTTCCGCCTCCTGGATTTTATCATTGCCAGGGGCAATGTCACCACAGTCAAGCATCAGACGGATACGATTATCACCCAAAGGAAATGATATTGCGGTACGTCCGCTGTCCCCAATAAGGATTCTACCGTGCGTAAATTAAAAAAGGCTGCATGTTATTTTATTGCTAAAGCTCACTCTGTCGAGAAATGTTGCAACATGTGAAACGATATGAATACGGTCCATAAGGAAACACTTACAAAATTTTGTCCACAGGAATGTTCGCTGTTACTTGCCCGTCGTAAATGATTATATTCTTGCCAAGGGTCCGACCTGGAAAAGCGATGTTCAGCTTATGGCGGACCGTAGATTTACCCCCATCGGATGCAATCAAATATTCAGATCGGACCACTTCGTAATCATATTCTTTATCCTTTAGGTCAGCCTCTAGTTCAATGGCTCCCAAGACTTTGCTCTCATTCGAGCGAATGTTGACGCCGGCTTTGACACGTCGGATTGTGGTTTCTACAAACGTTTTCCCCTTCTGAGGATTAGATACCCCAAAGCTTTCCTCCCCCTTTCCCTCTTCTATTACTCTAGTATCCATTAATTCCCATCCACGTTCGATTTGTCCACCAAGTTTTTCATATTCTTCGGTCAAAATGGTAACAGTCTTGGATTGCTCAATAAGGAGGGCTTCAGTGAAATGGGACTCGGAGTTTCTCAGCATTGGGATGGTTGAGAAGAGTTTGGTACCAAGGTAGCAATGGAAGTCAGCCAAAAATGTGCCCGAGTTCATGAATTTGTTGATGAGGTCGATCTTGGGAAGATTATGGCTGTGATCGTGGCTAAGCATATGGAAGATCTCAAGAGTGCGTGCATGGATCACCAGAGACTTGGATAGCTTGGAGACTTCGTGTTGACGCTCGATCAAGCGATGTGGAATGCCCATTTTGGTTAGAAGAAGACCTGCAAAAATACCTGTAGGGCCAGCACCAACGATCAAAACTGGGGTGCTAGGCTGAGTGAAGGTAGAGGATGAGGTGTTTAGGGATAACATGGCGGTTTTTTAGTGGCCCCTGTTTATATGGAGAAAGATGCAAGTTTATAGATGTTGAAAGCTAATGGAAGTGGTGTTAAGATGCGTGTACACTTTTTTTTTTTTTTTTTTTTTTTCGATTTTCTCTGTATTGATGATCGCTTTTTATACCAGAGCTCCTTCATTGATAAAATACACATTACATCGTCTGCTTGATATTTCAAAGCAGTATCACTATGTCATATCTGTGACAAGCTTTCAGTATGAAGCCAAAAGCTATGAGGGTATTTACTCTCAAAAAAAAAAAAAAAAAAAAAGCAAAGATGGTAGCGAGCGCCCATGAAGTTGCGGAGTATGCATGCGTACAAAGAAGGGGGTCATGCATCATGGCTTCATTTCATGTCATTCAAAGCGCAATATATTTTTTTATACAATTTAAATAAGCGGCGAGGATCACTGATTGTAAGTCGGGCATAATTGCGCCAACAATACTCTTCCAAGGGGTCTATGGCCCTTTATTTTATCCGTGCGCAGTTTATCCTAAGCTTCAGGCTCTAACTTACGAAGGCAAACAACCTCTTTTCTGGGTTATTTATTCCTCCAGGGGAAGAAACAGTTTCATTGTGATGGATGGATCAATTTCTGTACACCAACAGAAGTGAACCTAAAATATCTTATTGCTATTAAAGATTGGCTGAATTTTTTTACTTAAAGATCCGCTTAATGGTACTTCCGCTCTGCCGCCGCCGTTTCCTGTTGATCAGCGTGGCAGCGCCATGGCTTCCGACGCGCGGATATAAAAACGCTTATCCGTGCATTTAAAGACGCGATATGGATTATGCGTACCGAGAATAAAGAGTAGGAGATTCTTCTCTCTGCTGCGCAGTCGCGTTTCTACTCGAATTTCTATGCAAGACTTCAATATTTATTTATTTATTTATTTTTTTATAGGTTTATAATACGCGGTAGACAGAGACATCTAAAGCTTTAGAGCCCATCCCACAGCATCCCACCACGCCCCAAAACCAAAACATGTTCCTCCTCCACCAATACCAATGATCCGGTTTCGGCTGTTATCCAATACAGTGGCGTGGTTTACCATCACCAGTTCTCGAAATGATGAAGGACGTAGATATTGGAACGTACGAGCCTTTAGTCGGATCTCCACGACGGTCTCTTGCCATAACAATAGACCTGGAGATGAGACTCCTCCAATGACCAAGATTCGATCTTCATCAACAGCCACACTCGTGTGGCCGAACCTCGGCTTGAATAATGAATGAACATGAGCATGGTCACCGCTATTACTACTTCTACCTGCGCTACTGTTGTCGTTTATCTCTTGTAAGCTTATCTCATCAGCTTCTGCCCAATGTAGCACTGTGTTTTCATCTATATTCAGTGTTCTCCCCATCGTAACCCTTGTAACAGAATTAAGAACCTTTTCATCTTTCCCATGAATCCCCCCAATAACAAGCAATACATTCCTCTGGTCTTCATCTTTGACAACAACACTGCTATGTGAAAAGATCCCTTTGTATTTTGGCTGCCGTTCTGAACTGCGCCACATAAATGGCACCCATTGATTATCCGGAATAACAAACGCCCAGATCGTCTCATTAGCTTCTCCAGCTCCATTTCTTCCTCCATAAACGACCATCATCTCTTTATCATCAATTACCATCATATTGGCAGTATGCTTAAAGAGCCCGCTTGGGGCCCGATGGTTACTCATAGGGTTCACTCTGGCGCGCCATATGGGGTCCCATCCATTTTCTGGAGTGAATCTCCAAACATCGTTATGCACCTTCGTGGGACCGTCTCTGCCACCGTACATGTATATCGTAGAGCCATTCAGCGTTGACACAGCAGAATGGTGCATACGAGGTGCAGGTTCGTCGTCATCACGGGGTAACATCTGTGAGGTTCCATCTTGCAGATTGATCCGTAACATGGTGGCTAGCCGTGTTTGTTGCGACCGAGCGCGGAAAATCCTCTGATCTTCTAGACCATCTGAAGCATCAAGACCAAAGCCTCCAAAAGCATATGCATAGTCCCCCAAGATAGTAAGCGAATGGCCCTTTCGGTTAATGTCCAAACCTGGGAACAGAACTTCTCCTGCCCATTTGATACTTCCCACGATCGAACGTTGTGAAGAGGACGCAGATGCTGACTTATGGTCAATACTGATGTAGCTCGATTTATCCATAGGAGTCTCAGTCATAAACAAAGCGTGCTGAAGCTTTGCACTCAATCCAATGCCTCGAAGGACATCAGGACTCCGAGTCGGGACGGATACACCCTCCTTTGGGCCCGTTGAGGCGACGGCAGTAAAATAATAAGATCCGATCCAATGTTGTTCATCGTATTCATCAAAAGGCTCCAGTTGAGATATCCTGAGATGGTCGGACTCATTGGGCGTAACAAGTAAATCGGCCATCAGGTTCATATTCATGATTTCGCAATTGGGCCACCCCAACTCTTGGAATCGGTCGCGCTGATCCTCAATGCTCATATACTCACGAAGTGTCTTGAGAGGTGTCATGGTCCTTTCAAAGTGCCGAAACATCGTCAATGCGAAGGGATGTAAGTTTTCATTCCCTTGTTCATCTACATCGAATGTTGGGATACATTGCTCGTGCAGGACAAAAGTTGCTATCATAAAGGAAAAAAATAGTGATTAACAGTCCACTTAAAGAGCCACTCAGATATGAAAAGTCATGATGTACTACGCCCTTCTCTTGTGTCGAACCTTCAGGGAAGTCGGCGAAAAATTTGATGACAGCATCTGATTCTTCGGCTTCAAGATATGCCAGAACGACTTCAGAGACCACAAGAATGGGCATCCGCGTCTGTTGCTGTCCTCCTTTCTTGGTGATACCTGCTTCTTCAAGCCTCTTCTCCAATTCATTTAGGTTCCTCAAGTCAACGCCAAGACATGAATATGTATCCGAGACGAACTCTGCCACATCGTCCTTTGACGGATTCTCAGGAAGAAGATCAAATAGCTTTTCCTGATTCCTAACCATGTAGAGTCGCTCCATGATGAGCGTAGGGTAGTCAATGTCAATATATTTGAGCTTTGTCCTGGTTTCTCTCCTCTCTTGTAATAATTTTAGCCGGAAAAACGTTGGATCGCTAAAAAGTAAAAATAAAAAAGATAAACAACTTGTTGATTTAATACTAGTAGCCTTCAATAGACACATTCATGGAGAAGGAAAGAGAGGTGTAGATCAAACAGAATTACAGATTGAAAAGAGCCACAACCAAAATTCATTCTTACAATCCACATCCCAGACTAATTACGGCGCAATTATCCATTCCAAGCGTCTCACATTCTTGGATCCAACCTTCGACCAACAAACGTATGGTTTCTGTACGGTAGTAATAAGAGCGGTTGATGACAGGCGAACGCCGACTGGGCTTTTGAACCACATATTTTAGCATTAATGGCGAATCCTTTTCCGTGGCTCCTTCGACATGGCATGGTTGCAAATACCCCAAGCGCTCCAAGCTTCGCTTCGATGTTATACTAGATGTGTTCGTACCTGGAGAATACGATATATATATATATTTTTTTATATGTGGAATTAACGCAATCAGCATTACTCATCTTTGAAATTGAATCTCCATGTCTAATCGTTTTGACCACACACCCTGAACAGCGAGATCAGCAGCTGGGTCTCCCATTGCGAAAAATTGCTTGTGTATGAATAAGAGAAAATTGACGTCAAAAAAGATCGCTAGTCTATTAAAAAGTGACTTGATGTGGCGACAGGGTCGTACAGCGGTCACGGGCGAAAGGATCCCTAATAACCTGTCGTATACCGCAGAAAATGGACGCCAAAGCACACCAGCTTCTGAGACTCAAGTACAAAGCATAAAAAGAACCGTAAAGATGGCTGCAAAAAACAACAACCGAAAAGAAGCCTCTTCTAGATTTCAACTGATAATAAAATAGGCTGCATGACTAAAATACGAGTGATATATAAGCTGAAAATCCAAAGCTGTTACTTTTGCACCTTGGTGGATGTTTTGCAGCATAAATAATGAAGTGAGGGGATAAGGAGCATGGGGATGGGTATAAGAAAAGAGAGGCCCTAGTTTCCTCTTTCACCTGGCAGCTCCTGTTAAGCATATTAGCCTTTTTGTTTCTAATGCAATTTAGTAGAGTCGCATAAACTAAGCTTTTGTGACATGAATATCTGAGGCAGTCTTTTAAAAATAGGGGGGATGTGAGAGGTCATCAGTTCAAAGCAAAGCCCTTGGTGACATGGCGTGCAACAGAGAGCATGGGCATGTAAACAGGCATTATCATAATGTGTTGCAGGAACCAACGCAAAAGAGTGTTACCCCTAACCAAACGAGCGCACAGGATACTGAACAATCGAACATTCAGAGACCTGGCATCAAGTTAAAGATCTACATGTAATATGTAACAACTTCGTCCCTTCTTTCATTCTTTCACCTAATTTTCTCCAATACCATACTCGTTTTCGAAAGGATCCCTCTTCAGCAATTACCCTATCCACTCTCGCTAAACCCTCAACAATAAGCAGCAAATAGACTCTTTTGCTGGAAATGATTTACTACGGAACACCATAACCATGATATCCACTAAATCACAACTGTCAATAGGTTTTGCTGCTGATGCAACAAATGCGAAATACCTTGTAAATGTTCGTGTCCATATGCAAAAGTTGTGCCGGTTACTACTGCTACTTTTGATATCCCTGTCATGCACATTCGCTATACCAACGACTGTTACACCTATCAATGATGGAATTATCGATTTAGACATTGGACAACTTAACAGAATATCAAAACAAAATTGGGCATTGGGCGTCACCTTCATTCTCATTGGACTTTTTGAAGTTTTTTATGGCTTCAAGTTCATTCGGTTAACCCTCTTTGTCACTGGATTTCTTGCTTGGGGTAACCAAAACAGATAACAATGTCGTATAAAAAGAAATATCAGGAAAAAAACACTGACATACAATGCCTATTTCATTTGTTTCATAGCGGTTGCCGCCATGATGATTATGCTTGCGATTCGATGGGACCTCATCTATACGACGTTTATACCAAAGTACTATTACTTTTGGCTTTGGTTGGCAGCTGGTCTCGTGGGCTCGATACTATCGTTCCGCTTTTGGGATCTCGGCGTTACATTCACGGGTGCATTTGGCGGGTTTGCTCTAGCTATGAGCATTGTTGCCATTGCCAACCTCTCAATCACGAACGCTGGGCGATATGTGATTATGGGATCATTTATTCTGGGAGGAGCCGCTCTCGCTACATTTTTCGAACGATTTTTCATCATTTTCTCCACTAGTTTTGGGGGCGCGTACATCTTCATGTTTGGTGTCGATCAGTTCGCCCAAGTTGGTTATCGTGAAATGATCGTGATCTTCGACTTTACGGGCAAAACATTCACCTACCATCCAAGCTGGGATGTCTACTTGATGCTTGGGTTCTCACTTATCTTGGCAGGTCTTGGTATTGGATGGGAGTTTTGGCATCATTCTGCACCGCTATTGATGGATAGAAAGGCTCTTTTTCGAATATATGGAAGGCCATTTGGGAAACGGCCCAGGGAGCTTATTGGGCAAAAGATCCATCATTGCCTTAAGGCTAAATCAGATCTTTATGCGCATATTTTCAGCTGCCACTGTTTTCACCGTTGGACTATTGATGATGTCTTATACAATGAAGAGGATCTGTATGGAGTTTGCATTCCAGTCTCAGATGGTTCACCAGCAACAGTACCAACAGCACCAACAGCACCCTTTGTACCAAATGATGGCCCAACCAAAGAACCAAAGCCCTCAGCGTCTACAGATAGTGGCAACACGGACGTACCACCGAAACCTGCTCCCGTAAGCAAAGAACCGGAGAGGCATATCGATGTCTTTGACGAGAAATCGGAGGCTATTTGTGACAATAGCAACGGTACTGAAAGTCAATATGAAAGCGCCAAACATGACACTGAGAGTGGCCATGATTGTACTGGACAAAAAGAATCAACTATGACAATGACAACAAAGACAATCACATCAGTGACATTTGAGGAGAGCTACAGTACAGATCGAGCAACGGATCCAGAAGAGTCGCAACATCTTGAATTGCATCACCCATTATTTTCTCCACATGTGGGTGACCGTACCATGGCAATGCTGCGACTAGTAACCGAGAATAGGAGCTCAGGCAATACCATACCTAGAAACCTTTTGAGAGGTGACTTTAACCGTGTTGAAACAACGGTGACATCTTCAGCTGGAATTGAAACTGCGAAAAGCACAAGATCAGGGGCCTGGTACTCCTCTATCTCTGATAATTCAGATATTGAATCAAGTACTAACCTCACTGACGGTCTTGGTCATCAGATACCGGATGTTTCAGATAATTATCAAGATTCTGCCGATCTTCAAGAATCTGACGACTTCATTGGGGATGATACTAACTGGCCGCAAATGGGTTCAAAACGTGATGCATAATAATTTTGATTTGATAAATTCATATTATTGTACAATAGTAATATAAACCAATAAATGTATTAATATAAAGAAAATCATGAAGTTCAAGATTGACGTCTATATTGCAAACCGGTTATTATTTGGAGCTTGAGTTTGGTGTCCGTGGGCTTGTGGAGGGCCTCTTTCTTCTTATTACTTAATATAGGTTTCTGCTCACTTCATCTATCTTCTTCGCATAACTCTTTCTCTTTCTTTATTTCTCACTCTTCCAACACTTGAATAGAATCGTTATCGACACTTCTTACTTATCATTTCCTAACACTGATCTGATCTACTAGAAAGAAAGAAAAAAATGGCTGTAACTATGCAACATGCTGATCAGAAAATTGCTTTTCTTACACATCAAGATCAAGAACAATCCTTCTCTTCACAGCTCGCGGCCTCTGGATCTTTACTCTCGGCCGCAACCATTAATTTCCCTAAACGGAAACCAGCTGTCCCTATCTCTCGTCCCCCCTCATCCTTATCATCATCCTCTTTATCTCTGTCTGATACCTTGACAAATGTACCGTCTCGTATCACGATAGCTACTGGCACATCTAAAGAACCTAAAGGGGCTATCTCCGCTTCTAATATTAATTGGGAGAATCTCGATGCACCGTGTGATAGCCCGGCCAAGGGTAATGAAGAAGATAAAGAGTGCGGCAATCATAATGGCGATAACAACAAAGTGACCTCCAATAAGCATCGAGACAGCCCTTTTGCTGCGCAAGTTTGGCAGCAATACTGTCGTGCTAAAGACTTATTGCCCAATGGCCGGAGACTTGAAAATCTGACATGGCGCATGATGGCTATGAGGTGCTCAACAGCTTCTTCGACTGACACCGTCATTTCTATTGACGCTGCCCCAGACGATGTTAACACAGATGCTTGCATGCCAAGGTTTGTACTTTAAAACACTTATCAGTTTGAAAACTTTCTATTCCGCTTTTTGTTTTTATCACATTTGAGGAGAAAAAAAAGAAAGAAAAGCATAGTTCCCACAATAGTTTTATTCTTATCTTTGTATTCTCCTTTGGTATCTATCAACAATACTATATACATTGGGTATTTTGCAGGGTGGCGGTACAAATATTCCATTATTGTAATTATCTCAGTAAATGTAAACGATTGAGGTCTTTCTGGCTATTCTGTTGAATTGAATGATCACGTGTAGAACCCTGCCACCAACTGTTAAATGAGTAAGCTTTTTGTGTGTGTTTATTCTACCTTATCGTAAGTTGGAAGTGTCCAACTACAAACACCACAACAAGAGCTTCTTCATCCACAACAGCGCTCACAAAGATAACGAATTGATTACACGGACTACGATAAAAAAAAGTTGTCCAAAATATGGGCAATTGGGCAAAACAATTTGGCTTTGTTTGTTTTGTTCATCCCTTTTTTTTTCATTTGAAAAAAAAAAAAAAAAAAAAAAAAAAACACTTCATGCCCTGTGGGACCATGGCTTTTTTTGAGTTTTTTTTGTATTTTTTCAGTCTCCGATCGTATTCTATTGGGACAACCTCTTGAACGTCCACGTTTCCGCTATCTTTTGTTATCCCCAATCAATACCAAATGCATGTGTCTCAACGCGTTTTTGCATTTGTTTAGCTCGAAAGAACCTATTAGTGCGCAAGATTTTTCAAGTGCGGAGCATCTCTTCGAGAGATCGAATGTCCCTCCTTCCCCACTTCATCGCCCTTTCAATACCAACATCCAAGACCCACCACTGCCTGCTACCAGTGCCTCCAATTCCTGCATACCAAATACAGCTAAGGATGCCTGCCCCATGACACTTGCTTCTTCATACGGTCATGTAGACGTTACCGCTACTATGGGCTTCTTACCTGAGGCCCTATGCGTAGATACTACTACGCAGTCGAAGAAGGCTTGTCTTCCTAGATCTATATACCCCATGAAGGTTATCCCACCTGTCCATATGTCATCTGAACATGAGGTAAAATCCAAACCTAGGCATATTGAGTAATGTTGTGCACCAGCTTTGTCCGAGAAACACACTCATCTTTATCTTCTCACTAATCAATTTTACCTTAACGGGAATGCCAATACCAAAAAAAAGTTGCCACCAACAAATTTAGACGATGCCCATGCTCTCAACGCTCTGTTCGCTTCTTCGTCTCAGCACCACCGGCCTCTGCAGCCGATGACTGGAGTGGAGGCACTTAACACTGAAGTAAATGAGCTGAAAGGGAATGCAACTAATATGGCACTCTTTTATCCTGAACAATCCACGGCCCATCAACAGTCATTCGATAATCCTATGGTACTCCAGAGCTCTTCAGCGTCGTCACTTAGTGATAATGCGTATTCCCTAGGCCCTCTCGCACAGCAGCAGGCAGGTGGTGAATTTGGAATGAACCCGTTTGACGGCCCTTTGGAAACCACAAACATTGAATCTACAGGATGCTTGGTGTCTGCTGCCCCACCTTGGTTTACATCGAACGATCAATATAATTATTTTACTACAGACAACCCTGCAACTGTTACTGATATTACCTCGGGTAGGCTCAATATGACTCTTAATCGTATGGCTAACCCACTCTTTAACGAGCAAAGCAAACTCCATCATATTCAATGGCAAATATCATCCAGAAAAATCGATGTGACTGATACTAGTTCTGATACGGAGGATGAGGGTTTTACAACGTCTATGCCAACTACTGCTGCTCCCTCAGTTGCCATCAGCTCTGCTACCGCTCCCACTACATCGAACGAGACGCAGTGTACCAACTGCAGCACAAAAAGAACGCCTCTTTGGCGACGAGATGAAGGAGGAAAGCCGCTTTGCAATGCTTGTGGGCTGTTCCTGAAGCTCCACGGCCGTGTCCGCCCATTGAGTCTCAAGACGGACGTGATCAAGAAGAGAGTCCGAGGTGGTCTCAATTCAAAGTCTGGACCCGCTGCACCAACAGAAGCAGGCAGAAAAACAAGTTCAGGAGCCAGCAGTAACAATTGCGAAGAAAGATCTAAAAAAGGAGGAGATCATCGTCGTGAACGTGAGGAACAAAGGCAAAAGCGAATGTTAGGAATGGCAATTAATGAAGCCGACCCGGGTCTAGGAGCAAAAGCTGAAGTTGAGATTAAAGCTGGTGAGCAGTACAAAGACCAGCAACAACAAGGGGGCTGGGTCGTTCCAGTTGCTCTAACCAATTCGTACTTGGGCCCACCATCATCTATATCAACACCTGTTGCCGGCTCGCCTATCCCCACTACTACGTCCGCCTACAATCATTTCATAGGTTCCCCCGCATCTCGCCTAATAGCAGTGGTAGCAGAGGCCGAAGAGCGTACTCAATCTTTGTCACCGTCATCACCACCCAACTCAAACCCTGCGCTTCGTGGAACTACTGTTGGGTTCTCCCAGCTTCCAAGTTATCCTGCCTCGCCTAAGCGTCAGCGACACGCTTCAATTGATTATGAGGATCGTCTACCCGCGCCTTTGATGCGATCGCTTGATACGCACCCACTAAAGAAAAATGACGCCAGAAGGCCCCAACACCCGCTACCGCTCACTGGCGTCCCATCCCCTCTAGACCAACGACCTTCCGTGTCCTCCATCTCCTCCACCTACTATCCTTCATCCTCAACTTTTTCCTCACCTTCACCACCATCCCACCCCTCGATACCACAGCATAATTTCATTTCCTTCCCAGAGCCTAAGTGGACAGTACAGCAGCAACAGCAGCAACAGGCTCAACAATTGCACCACCATTGCCAGCTTCCGCCCCAGCTTGTACAACAACAACAAGAGCGGCAACCGTTACCTCTCAACAACGATAGTTGGTGGTCACATCTTATATCAACAATACCAAAGTCTCAACAACAGCAACAGCACAAATATCATCACCCTCAAGTCCCAATCATGACGACTACAAACATGTACATGTACAATAAAATAACAGAACCCTCGTTTAACCCAACTGCGGCGCTTACGGCCGCCACGGGGGCTATGCCCCTTGCTGAGCAACCGCAACAAGGATGGTTCTCTGTGACTACAGCACCAACAACAACCATACCCAGGTTTCATGTAATTACCACGCCTTCAAACTCATCTTTTGCTACAGAAAATGGAAAATCATCAAGTATTAAAAAGATGATTTAGAGGTCAATCGACCGTGAAAAAATAAATAAAAATAAAAAAAATAAAAAAGTAAAGAATGAATATGTACAAATATTTTTAATAATTCACATAGAAATCGACGCGTTAAATGAGACTATTTACATGTTTTCTTGACAATAAACGAACATACAAATAGAAAAAAAAAAAAAAAAAAAAAAAAAAAAGACAGAAAGACAGACAGAAAAGCGACGAATGGAAACAAAGATAATAAGTAAAGTAACAGCTGATACAAGGGATATAAAAAATAGAAATGAGATATGATAAATACAACTACATCAAACAGTCTTTTTACTCAAACATGCTTGACATGCTCGACAAGCTCGCTCGTTGCTTCCAGTGCGATTTGTTCATGATTTGACGTTGATGCGTCTTGGTATGTTGGGCTATTAAGGAGAAAGTATTTTTTTTTTATGTCAATAGGTGTTTACTACTAAAAGAAAAGGAAACTAGGCCAAAGTGCCGTTCAGAAGTAGGTGTTTTGTTATGAATAAAGTTATACTTACAGAGATTATCAGAACGCGAGAATCGCTTGTTACATCCCGGCATTGTGCAGGCAAAGGGCCGTTCTAATGTGTGAGTCTTGATATGGCGCTTCAAATGCTCCAGCCGCTTGAATCGCTTCATGCACCCTGGCACAGAGCAGCAATGGTTCTTGGCAGACGAAGCCGATCCACGCATCCGCCCCGGATGAACTCCCGGCATCATGACTGCTACTGCTTCACTTTCCCCTACACCCATCATCATGGAGTGTTGGTTATTGCTGGGGACCATAGAAGTCTGCATCGAAAGTGGTATATGGTGAGGATAAGTCGAATAGTACTGCTCCGATTGTGAACGATGATGATGCTGATATCGATTTTGCTGCTGTTGGCTGCCGGGACTAGGCAAAGTCAAAGACGATAAGGATGATGACGACAAAGATACATGCATCCTGTTTGGAGACATCATTGGGCCTGCATGGGATCGACTATCAGCCACAGAGGAATGGTCAACTTTATATTCCGAAAACGAATGGCGATGATGAGGATAATCCGGATAGGATGATGGTCCACTGTATCCCTCTGCTATATGCCAATCTCTGGCGGGAGAGCGCATAGGATCTTCATCTTCGTCCATGGATATAGGTACTGAGTCCATACGCCCATCTGGATGGCTTCGTGCTGGTAGTTGGAATGAAGGGACAGACTCGTAAATGCCATGCGAGAGATGATGAGTCGGCTTATAGAAATCTGCCTTGTCACCACTCTTCTTTTGATCCCTTGATAGCCTGTCTGCGCCATCATAGTCAATATCCTCTTCGCCTTCACTATGCATCATAGAGCCGTAGCCTCCATTACGACGGTCAGACATTTCATTCGATGGTACGAAATGAGATGCAAATGGCATCGACATGTTGTTATTGGACAAAGTCGCTCTGTTAGGCTGCGTAGGAGATTCGCCATTAGGGTTGGGATTGGGCCCGTTATGACCAGCTTCATACAGAGTTAAACCGTGCTGGTCGTGGTAGTGATGATCATTTACATTGGGCTCCCAGCGTGAAGAAAGAGAGGATGGGGGACTGAGTGACCGAGGTCTAAGGATTGGGTGATGACGGTTATGTTGATCTGCATCGAATGGGCGATGCACTGGCTTCCGACGGCCAGGAGATCCACGATAGTGATCAAAGTCTCGCTCATGCTCTGCTGCCTGAGCGTGGAAAGACTCCATCATTAAGTTATGTTGATTATGTAGTTGAACGTCATCAGGGTTGTTCGACACAGCTTTAATATCCAATTTGATGGCGTTGAATGTTGGTACATTCTTGTTATCAACGTTATTGCTGTTGTTCTTGGAGCTGGCTTTTGATGTTGCTAATACTAGTGCTGACTTTGTTGATTCCATTTCAGAGATGGCTGACCCGGCATAAACTGATTTAGGAGAGGAGCTCCTTGGCTCTGGCTTTACAAGAGAATTTGCTGTTGCTGAACGAGCGTCATATGGATGCACATCTGAAGAGCTTTGTGAACGTTGGTGATGATATTGGCGACGATATTGACTATCTAATGAGCTGTGTGATAATGATGTCGGCGTTGATGGTGAGGTCTCATACTCAGCCCTTTTGTGATAGTCAGCGGATGTTGCACGTAGACAATGAGATGGTGCCCTACGGGAGTTCACATGAACTGTCAAAGCGTTATTACATTGTGTTAGACAGGTTCACTTTCATTCCTTATGCTACGGATTAAGTCAACAAAAAAAAAAAAAAAAAAAAAAAAAAGTGATACAGTATGATAATTTACCTGGTGTGCCACCATTGGAAGCAGCATCAATCTGGGTCGACCCAGGAGATGATCGTGGGCTTGCCATTCCGGAGTGACTGGAGTTCATCATCCCTCCTGGTGTTGTCATACCTGCTTCTGCTCCATATGATGGGGCTCTTACAGTCGTGTTAGAGCCCGTAATGTGTCCATCGCCCATGCCCATTGGCATAAAACCTATAGGACCCATCATATGACGATCGGGTTTACGCATATGTATCGATTTCTTGGTATGAGTACGCAAATGAGCCGAAAAGTTATCAGACCGACTAAAAGACTTTTCGCATCCTTGAAACTCACAAACGAACGGTCGCTCCTTTGTATGGACAAGCATGTGTCTTTTCAAGTGTTCAAATCTTTTGAAGCTCCAGCCACACGTTGGGAACTTGCAGGGATGCTTATTGACTGAGCATGAGGATGAGTTGTTGGAGCTAGTGTTGGATGAGATTGAGTTGTTACGATGCTTGCCCATCAGGATACCATTATTGCTGGCGATGGTAGAGTGATGCAGGGTGTTACTGTTATGATTGTTTTGGTTAGCACTGTCCAGTCGAATATTGCCATTCTCAGCCATATGTTCACTTCTCATCATTACATTAGCACTATAGTGTTCCTCAAAAGAGCCCGTGTTGCTTATTGAGTATGGAACATGATCGTTGTATCCATTTAAGTAGTGGTGGCTGCTGTTGCGATATTCTGGCTCATTTTCGCCGTAGTACGAGTCATGGTGCTGTGTATAACGACAATCTTCTTGCTGTTCGATATAATAAGGTGATGATCTACGTAGCTGTGATGCCCGTGAATGTGAATGGATGTTTGTATCACGGCGACTTGCCCAATCGTCTCGAGTTTGATATTGATGTTCAGAAGAATACGTCTCCTGCTGACTAAAGCTCCGCTCCACAGATTGTGATCTTTGTCGGTCTGAGGGCATGGAGAGTATTGGAACAGAACCGCGACGATCTGAATCTGTTTGTGTTTGTGCGGTCGATATGGGAAAACAAAATGAGAGTGAAGAAAATAGGGAGAAAAAGACTTGTGAGACTAGGCAATCGAAATTAAAGTGTCTTCATAGTGCTTTTTTTTTTTTTTTTTTTTTTTTTTTTTTTTTCGGTGAACAAGAGTAGCACGGGTTCGAAGAAGAAAAAAAAGTTGAGGAGTGCTTATTCTCAGAAGCCAGGGGTTTGCATGACGTTTGAATAAGAAGAGAGTGCTGTTGAATAGAAAAACACAATAAAGAAAATGGAACATTTGTAGTCTAAATTTATAAGAATGGACTTGTAGCACCCAGGCTCAAGTGAACGGGTGAGTTCAAGATGCTTGTATGGGATTGGAGGGAGGGAGGATGGGGAGCAAAAAGGGAGCAAGGGGAAGGGGGAAGGAGGAAGAGGAGAACAAGAGTGTGAGATTAATAAGGAATAAATGCGAATGTATGAAAAGTGAAGAGTTGAAAGAGATTCAATCGGCTGTAATTGCTTTACTGAAATGCACAAGTTGAAACAAATCCTTGCATTTTCTCAAATGTAGATATCTAAGACAAGGGTAAAAAAAGCCAGTAGACGCATTCATAGACATTAATTAGGAGACGATGCTATACCTTGGTTGTTTGTAAGGTATTGTGTGGATCCCAATAGACGATCTGGTGAAGCGGCCATGATGAAGTGAGTGCCACTGTTGGTTATTCGCTATCCAAATGTACGAAGGCACGAATTGTTTATAAAAATAAAAACAAAAGCGATAACAATCGAGGATGTTGAACAAGACAGGCAAGTACATGCCGCGCTACCTTCAAATCTTTAATGTGAGCTTCTGTAATCACAAATGCAAGGTCACTAACAGTGTAACGTCCAACAGTGGTCAAAAGCGGAGGGAAAACAATAGAAAGCAGATATGAAAAAAAGAAAAAGATGAAAGAAAAAAAAAAGAAAGAAAGAAAGAGAAAGAGAGAACCAAACGAATGAATGGATGAAGTGAATAAAAAAGGAGTATAATGGTGTTTTGTTTTAGCCGAGGATCTTTTTTTTTCTTTTTCTTGGCTTGTGCGATAATAAACCTTCCCGATTTCTAACCGAAAGGTGACAGCGAAGATGGAGAAAATAGAGGGAGATTCAACACCCCCAAGGGATCAGGGAAAAGGGTTGATCTGAACCTGAACTAAGGAGGACACAAAGGAGAAGAATTGCAACTGGTTTTTTTTTTTTTTTATTTCCTTGGGATCGTCAAGATGAAGACAGAAGTAAGACTAGAAAAAAAAAAAAAAAAAAAAAAAAAAAAGACAGGTAGGAAAACAGGATGAACAAATCATTCGCTTTTCATCCCAAATGAACAATCAAGACTGGGAAGAATTGCTTCCTTGGTTTGTATGGTCAGTTGTAGTCAAAGCATACAGGAGAACTATAAAAACAAGGGTCGAGATCCAATTTAAATGCCACTGCGTGTGAATTGCGTGTGTATTGAAGTAACTCTGTCGCATTATCATTGCGTTACCCTTTCCTCAGGCTATATCATTGTCCTCTCATGTTTTCTCATGGAGTCATAGGCCCAACCTTCAATATTATATCAGAAAAGCGGAAATCTAAACGCATACACTTCAAGTTGCTGCAACAAGGAAAGGAAAGGAAAAAATTCATCATGGAGTACAGAGAATTGTTAATAGCAACTATGCTGATTTACAAGACCGCGTCTTTTCTAAAATTCTTATTGAGAACATTAACTTCAGGGTGATACGGAAAGACCTGCAGACGTCCTTGCATAACAGACCCCACTACCACAATATCCAATAACGCGTATTGAAGTAAAGTTGTGATGGATTTTCATGCCTTTTTTTTTAGTCCCTGTTTGGCTGAGGATGTGGTTGCTATCACTGTTGTTTCTTGATCAAGAAGTCTTTCTGTCTAAATAAAAGTCATTTGCTGACCAAAACTCAGGTGCAAAAAGATGTCATTCAAAGCAAAAGAGGAGGTAGCGAGGAGAATAAACAGAGGAGATTGTTCTTAACTGGCAATGTTACAAAGGGGTGATCAAGGGGGGAAAGACACGGAGTACACAGATCGAGGCAAAAATATGTGTATTTTTATATAGTATACATTTTAGATGGGAATAGAGAGAAAAAGAGGACATGTACACAAAGGGCATGGGCTCAAGGGGCAGGTGTAAGTTCACAGGAGACAGGCAAATACAAAAGACCCGGCAACAAACATCAGGAAGAGAGGGAAACAAAGGAGGAAGAAAGAAGGGGTCAGAGGGATTGAATGGATGTAGAAGTGTATATCACAATAAAGTTTTTGTTGTTTTCCAAGGGGTGCATGGCGACTGGGTGTGTGCGTGTGCGTGTGTTGTATGCTTGCGCCTTCTGCACTGTGATCGCAACCTTGGATTAGGGGAAGAGAGATAAAAAGGATAAAGGCAAAAGGAGGAGGCATACTAGAAAAGGAATGGTGTTCATTATGGCTCGTCTTCTTCATCAAGGCCTTCCTGGTCCCTTCCTTTATCCCTCATTTGGCCCATGATAGGAATCGCCACACTGCTTACAGTGCTCGTTGATGGTCAACACAGAGGGCATGGAGTAGGGGGGAAAAATAAGCAACAACTGAAACCAACACCACATGCCAATCAGCGCATCGAAGGTGGTTTTTTACCCTTCTTCCTTCCTCCAATGGATGGATGGATTCGTACTAAATTTAAAAAACAGGGGGAACGGAGTTACGGGTGCATGCAAACGATCCCGAGTCAAAGGATCATTTTCTTCGTCATTGAAAGGAGATGAAGGCGGGAGGAGAGTAAGCACAAAAAGGAGTCACCTTCAACTGGAATGAACAACAGTGGTGGGTGAATCTCTTCGTTTTTCCTTTTTGCTGGGAGAATATGTCTATGCCTACTGTCCCACGAGAGAATAATTACGTTACTCCTCTTTGTCTTGATCAAGATAGAAGAGCCACACTGATAACAAACGCCTCCTTTTTGAATTAAATGGAAAGGCCCCTGAAACTTTGGGATCATCATTGAAGGTCCTGATCTACTACTTCTTCTCATATTTCTCATATCAGGCATGATACAGTGAGCCTAAACGCATTCATCCCCCATCTAATATGTGCCCTTTGTCTAATTCAAGGCTGTACGATTAATTCTGCTGGCAATGTGATGCAGCTGGATTGATTAATATTATTTTTTACATTCTCCGTGGTGGTTATGCTCAACTAACGATCTCCACAAAAGGCAAGGAGGATGCCATATTGTTCAGTCCAACCAAGCGCTTCATTTCTCTCTGGTTACTTGGATACTTGATACCAAATAGTTTACCTGTAATAAAATGTAACAGACAAGTATTGATAGAGTCATTCCAACGCCCATGACAACAAAGGCTACGTTTCTGCACTACCCCCACCATCTACTATAATGCCGTCTAAAGCACTACATGAAGAAGAGCTCTAAAAGATGCCATTTAGTAAAAGTATGTTTGTAGGGGGAATGAGTGGTAATAAAGCTAACAAGTAAACATTTACAGTAAGAGCTTGTAACAATATTGTCCCCCTAAATATCTCAAAATGATAAATGGCTTGGACCAAAGCGTGACTCTGGGCGAAGTATTCATGCATGTTGGTCATGCATCCAAAAGTCATAAAATTGGTGATCGGATGACTTGATATCCAATAACCAACCAAATACTCCGTGATTGTACTTAACTCTGGTTATCACTTCGTAATGATCAACATCACCAGTGAGATCGCAAATTGTAGTACAAATATACAATTGATCAGTTATTGGAAAATAAGTGTTTCTTGGTCGCCTTCAATATCAAGCTTTTCCGAATTTTCTTGTTCTCATAATTCAACTTTTTCTTATATGTTTTCAAATGTGAGAATAGGTGAAATATGGGTGCATTATCTCCAAGTATGAGTACAAAGTGACGCCGCACTTTAGTTGCCAACTGGTGCACATTTCCTCCAAGAGCATTGCCAAACTGTATAGAAGGCATACTATCAGGACATTCAAAGTCTCAAATAATGGCAATGAGCTAAGAAAGAAATGTTCAAACTTGGAGGTATACAAGGAATACAAAGAGCCGATGCAAGCAACTTTGACCGTAGCAACATTGATTAGGCAAATTTAGCTCATTGTAAACTTTTCATCGAGTTGTACATTCCTGTAAATATTTTCTCTTTGTATTGTGTCGTAAAAAGGAAACGGATAAGTGGTGCAAATATTATTTTTTTTAACTTCTTTATGAGTACAGAATAGGGATTGGAAATGCAGCAAAAAAGAAAACGAAAGTGAAGAAAGTATATACAAGGACTGTATCTGAGTACGCGATCATAATAGTGCGATTCCATGGACAGGCGTGGATGATGGTATGGGGTTGGGGTATCAGGATATAGAACAAACAACTATAAAAAAAATAAAAAATAAAAAAAAAAAGCTATATAAAAGTATAAATGTAAAATGCTTGACATATTTTTTTCTCTCCTTTCAGAAACCAGAGTCAGCAATCAAGTTCTTGAGTTTCCGCTGCTTCACAGCACTACTCTGAAGAACCTTCTTGGCCACATCAACCTCTGTCACGACTTTAGAGGGCAAGGGCGTTGGCGTAGGGCTAGTTTCTTCTTTAAAAGACGATTTGCCCAACTTGCCAAGACCACTCAAAAGCCCTCCTTGTTTCTTATTCTTGGAAGAAGAAGAAGGGCCCGAAAAGGCTGATGTAGGTCCCAATAAAGGTGAGGATGTCAGCGAGACGGGGCTTGAAGGCGAGAGGAGACCCTGGTGCTCCAAAATACGTTCAGCCATATGCATCCTCTTTGTCTCACCACGTTCACCTTTCCACTCTTGCAGGATAGCACGGCATTGATCCTGTGCAGCTTTAGAGCTACGACTCTCGCTAAGGGGCGCCTCAACCACACTGGCAGCATAATTCAGGCTCTTGGCCTCTGAGCAAGAGAGATCCGTCAACAAGAAGAGCCTCATGAGATCCACGCGAAGGTAACGTGCAGTCATTCCAAGAGCGTTCCCTTCATTTAATGATTCCATATTGAGGTTAGCCCTACCCTTCTCACGCAATAACGTGTACAACTCCGACCCTGCGACAGAGACAATGTCGCTAAGATGAGGATTCTTGATGTATTTGTGGAAAGGAGTCAAACCACGATTGTCAGGGTCATTGACACTCAGCTTGCATTCTAACATCAGATACTTGACGACCTCGAGTGCCAGATTGTAGTTGGTAGCATGCTCAAGGACAATGTGTAGAGCTGACTGGTTGGTGAGGGTCGTGCAGAGCTGCATATTGGCACCATTGCGCTCAAGACTCTTGAGGACATCGAGCAAAGTCTCTGGTTGGTAAAAGCATGCCACATGAATTGGTGCAACTTCTGCGAGCATTGAATATGCAGGCAAAGAGATCAAACTATTGGGATCTGTACCCGTGGTGAGGATATGCCACTCTGCCAAGTCCGCATTACCTTCTTGACAGGCTTCCCAAATTGTCTGAGGGCTGCGACGCTTAGGCAGGACGTTGTATTGAGGGATTTCGGCAGAGTGAGGCATTGTCGACGTTCGACGGGCATCCCTGGCTGGTATTGCAGGATAACCGAGACTGCTAGTAGATGACCCACTTGAGCTGCCGCTGCTGACAGACATGGAGCGCATAGATGGCATGGAAGGTGTCGAAGGTGTTGAAGGCGTGGAGGAAGCTGCAGCTGAGAGCTTACGTCGCTGAGGTACTGGAGGCACTGGAGGTGGGATCTGTGGTGGAGGTGGGAGGTAATCGGGCTCTCGAGGTGATAGCAATAATTCGCGTGATCGGAAAAGAGGGCTGGGTGCACTCAAATCGTTCTCGTGGGAAGATTTTCCTACTTTGATTGTCATTGGTTTTGATGATCCATCAGCGAAACTAGAAGTTTTGGTAGGGGAAAGTGGCATCACGGGAAATTCATCATCTTTGGAAGGAAAAAAAAATAGAGTGAGTAAAATGAGAAGCAATGAATAGCTTAAGCATACAAGTCCATATATCTAAATACTTACCAACAATCCCAAGTTCTTCCATCTGCCGGAGAAGTGCGCTTGATGGTTGTTTCAAGAGCGCGCCAAGTGTCTGAATCACCCAGTCAATCGTCGGGCGCTCCTGAGGATTTGGGTGCCAGCACCGGGTGTAAATTTCTTCGTAGATGGGATCCGTACCTGGAACTGAACGTTCTCTGCGACCAACGAGGATATTTTGTGCCAATGATGTCATAGCACCGCTTTGAATGTTTTCAGAAGTGCAAAGATCCTCAAATGGAGGACGACCGCTCGAGATCTCCCAGAGGACCATGCCTAGAGAGTAAATGTCACATTCGGCCGAATACCGTGATCCATTCTTGGATAGTCTCTCAGGTGCCAAGTATGCCATCCTATAGGGATGTTCACGTGAGGACATCACCTCAGAATCTCTGCTATTTCCAAAATCAGAGAGAACTGCCGAGCCATTGGTGTCGATAAGGATGCTTGCAGAATGCAGATGGCGATGCTTACAACCTTTGTGGTGAAGATAGCGAAGGCCAAGAGAGATGTCCAGGGCGAGGTTATATCGATCAGACCAGGTGAGGTGTGGATGGAAATTGATGAGGTATGAATGAAGGGTACCATGTTCGTTATGTTGGAACACAAGATAAGGAATAGAGGTGGTGGGCTCAATTGTATATCCATATAGATGTGCAACTTGGGGGCAGTGTCGCAGTTTGTGAAGAAGGCGCACTTCCTTTTCAATTGAGGCGTTATCTCCGAAGGGTTGCCTTAGCTCTATATCTTGGTCGTTCCAACGGCCAGTGTAGACTTTTTGGAAGCGACCAGGCACATAGGCATTGTAATTGAGTCGGAGTATGTCTTGAAAGTGGATAAGGGGAAGGTTTTGCTGGAGGATCAGCGAGATGTCAGGATCGACCGGGGTTACAGCGACTGTCATGATGCTGTAGGGGTGAAAAAGAGAGTAGGGATAGTGAGGATGATGGTTGTGAAGAGTGATAGTCTATATTGTATTACTGAAGGGAGTATTAGTCAAGTTGACAGACAGACAGTACATTGGGGTATGCAGGAGGAAAAAAAAAAAAAAAAAAAAAACAAAGGCAAATAAATAGAAATGTAAAAAAAAAAAAAAAAAGAACGGGTGTGGCGCGTGATGGCCAGGATATACCGATTTGTGTCCAATTATCTGTTGTGAATTGAAGAGTCCTGAACCCACAGAGTGAAAGTCAAATGGAACAAACCCAGTTGGCTAGAGGGCTAGAGCAGTTTTTTTTTTTTGTACCCATTAAACAGAGATTAAGGCTCAATCTTTCGAATTGCCTTCATGCAAGTTCTCTTTTCTTCTCTAGCTCCTTCTTTTCTTTCTTTCGTTCTTCCTTCTTCGATCGATCGATCGGCAATAGAAATTAAAATAAACGGTTCAATTCAAAAACCAATGTCAATTTAGTCACTTTCTCCAGTCTTTTGCTTAAATCCCTCTTTTTCTCCGCCCTCGCACTGATGCTCTTCCAAGCGTCGAGATGATAGAATTAGCCCCATTATCAATCCTTTTTAACAATTGCTTGCTTGCAATTTTAGACACGAATCCATGATGGATCGCAAAATACAGTAAAGATTTAGTGGATGAAATTGTACCGCGGAGCATGGTCCACTTTTTAAAATGTGCGTAAGCTGTTGCATTTTATAAGAAAAAAAAAAAAAAGGAGAGGAGTGGAAAGGGGAGAGAAAGGAAAAATAGAGTAAGGAATCACCTACTGTAGCAAGTTGCAGTGATCGAGACGTGCAGAGAAAGGAAGAAAGAGTCGTTGAGGGATGATGTGAATGAAGGTGTGGGAAGGTGTGGGAAGAAAAAAAAAATGATAATAATCAGATTGAAATTATTTTTTTTTATTGCGAGGATCGCTTTTGTGGGGAGCAATGGAGAAAGAGAGGAAGAAAGAAATGAAAAGAAAAAGAAATGAAGAACGGAAAAAAAGAGAAGTGGAGTGGAAGTGAACAACAAGCACATGCGAAGAATCTTTTTCATTTTCCTTACCATCTCTTGGATAGAATTAACCAAAGGCAGTGCCCATTATTCAATTCAATTCAACTCTAAACTACGAACAAAAGGCGTCAACACTTTAAACCTGTTAATTTATGGTTTCCAATAAAAGAGCAAAGTTTAGTGGAGAAACTAAAGCATATATTCACAACAGATAAACGACAAACAGGAGCATGTAGATAACACTCAAGCTGCCCTGTCCTCATGAAGAAACAAACAAGAAATATATATAAAGAAAGAGCTTGGAGCATTTGTGAAGACGCGCATGCGAAAAGACAAAAGATAAACCAGAACAGCATGACGTTCAAGGTTTGATTGGTTTGAATGACTAGAATTATCTCCAAAAAACATGACCATCCATGCTGCTGCAAAGCGAATGAAAGTTAGCCTGGAACTGACGGACTTTGCAGAAATATATTTTTGTACTGAAGGCAATGCAATGCAATGCAAAGGTCAAGCGTAGTATACATATTCTATATTTTTGCTCTTCCGTATCCTTATGAATATATCCAAGTTGTATTCTTTGGAGTGGAGGCGAAACTCACGATATTTTTGTCGCACTAAATGCTCCTTTCTTTTTCTATCTTTCTTTTTCTACCGTTCAGACTGAACTTTTTATTTTTATAATTTATTCTTTATCTTTTATTTGCATTGCCAGCAACAGCACGCGACAATACCATCGACCATAGCATTCGGTTCGTTGCTTATTATTAAGACGAAATGAGATGCCTAATTAATCGGATTGCAAGAGAGAAAAAGTGGAAAGGATTTTCTATTTGGTCCAGAAGTCAGTCATTTAATCTGCAAGTCAGCATATTTTCTCCACAGCGCGTGACAGCTGCAAGGATAATATTAAAGGTAAGTGGGTCCCTTGTTGGGCGTAACTAAAAAAAAAAAAAATAAAATAAAATAAATCTGAGGCAGCTTTTTTTTTTTTTTACTCGCTCCACATATGACGACTGTAGTTTTCTAAAAGAGCAATATTAAAAGGGATCTTCGAGTTAATAATTTGTAAAGGCACTTCAGGATGGAGAACAGATGCTAAAGTGTGTTTGAGAAGGCAAACAAAAAAAAGTCAGGCCCAGGCACCTCTCATAACTTGTCAATGAATATGAAAAAAAAAAGTCTTTTCCTTCTTCTTGGTCGTAATTGGTTTTCCTACTTGCACCACGTTGCACGAAGTGTCACAATTCCTTGAATCCATTCGCAACAAACAAATAAACAAACAACTTGTTGAAGTCGTAAAAGGGGTTTTGGGGAAGAGCGAGATGGTGGTGAACGATAATGTATGGCCTACATTACTGCTTCATAAGCCAATGCGAAATATAAACAAACTAATAAACAAACAAAAATGAATGGAGAATAAATTGATTGTGAAGGGTTCTCCGCAGTATGTATAAGACTACACATTATAAATAAAATATACCAACGGTCTAGAGATGTTTGGAGCCCAAAAAATAAAAATAAAAACACTCACATACAAAAGTTTCTCTTGGTAGGACTCTCTTGGGTGGTTAGACCTCATGTTAAAAGATGAACAAAAGAGATGTGAAGAATAACAGAGAGGAAGAGCAGGAAGACACCATTTCATGGGAAACTACCGAGAGCAAATTCGCCTGTCCGATTGCAAGCAAAAGTGAAAATCAATCCAAAAGGCTTGAGGGTTGGGAAATATGGTGTTCATGTTCAATTTTTCTTTCTTTCTTTTCTTTCATTCTCCATCTTTAGGAGCCCGCACACAGGTGTGTGCGCACAAACACATTCACTTGCTGATAAAGAAAAATGGGCTTTTTTTTTTTTTTTTTTTTTTTTTTTTAATGGATATGCTGAGTTGTTCTTTAATGTGTTGTGCTCGCTTTTTGACAACTTGCACATGCTTGCATGTTCCATTTTTTCTATCACCAGAAATGCACATGGTTTGTATGATTTCTTGACCTCCACGGCGCCCACGCACCCCAAGGGATTCATTATATCATTTTATTTGGGGGTGAGGAAAAGAAAAGATACTATGTAAGCTGTACCAGTCAGAGAGCTCACATGGACCAAGCACAAGAAAGAAATGATGATGGAGAAAAAGAGGGACATTCTTTCATGTGGAGAATAAAAAATTAAGCATTTCCATTCTTGATGGTGCTTGGATACAAGGACACAAGTAAAGTAATCAGGAGATTGGTGTGGGGGGGGAGAGCATGAGCCATTGAAGAAAAAATTCGTCTTGCAACACATGAGGAAATGTCATGCTCAAAGGGTGACATGTTATTGATAAGTATATATTTATGTGTATCGTACAAGCGCCCACCAGTGCTCGACATCAAAGCATTGTCGATGTCAACCATCCACTCTTGTTAAAAAAGACCTAAATTTCGTTTAGAAGTATATTAGCATTTTCTCCATCCTCAGAAAGTACTAAAAAAAAAAAACTACTGTAATTTTATTCATGAGATCGAAGTTTTGTTCAGATTAACAAAGCCTAGCTCCCAGTTGGCTGCCTTTCGATTTTTTTATTCTACTAATTGATAGTCATCTTTCTTGAAAACAAAGTAAAGAGAACCGTTGAAAGTCTAAGAATGAGAGGACACAGATCTAGAGAAAATCCTTACATCTTGCAAAGCAAGTCAGGCACGTGAACTCTATGATTAAGGGGTAATTAAACCGGCCAAGAGAAAAAAAAAAAAAAAAAAAGTAATCTGCATGCCTTTGCTCATCACTAATCGCCATCGCACAACCTTACAAGACTTTGTCAGATTAAAAAGACGAAGAAAAACACCAATATACAGCGAGCATTCACACTTTATTCTCATTGTGCTTCATCTTTCTGCTCTTGTTTTTTATCATCCATTCATTTAAACGAACAATACTACAACACTTTTTTTTATTACATCATGGGTAAGCATCTTTTTTTTTTTATTTTTTTTTTTACATCTACAGGAAACAAATGAACGACCTCCACAAAGTCCTATGTTCTCATTTGGGTTGTACAGGAGCTATCCCACACAACAGAAGGATTTCACCGCCGCTTTGGAAACATTCTAAGGCGTAACATGGTTGACGGAAATGAAAATATGTTGTCAAGCTAATCACTGTTATCACTATGAATCAACTTCAGAAACAGGAAAAATGGACTGATCCAAAAAGGATGTCTATCTGGCATGACGTGTGTATATTCGAGTTTATTTCAGGAACCATAAAAAAGCAAGAGCTTGCTTGGTGCTAACTACACTTTTTTTTAAAAATAAAATTGGTTATAGGCTCCATCTTTTCTCGTATTCTTGGACGACTCTGGGGGGATAAAGAGGTCAGGATCTTGATTCTCGGTTTGGATGGCGCGGGAAAGACCACGATATTGTACAGACTACAGGTTGGTGAAGTCGTAACAACTATCCCAAGTAAGTCATTTTTATGGACTATTTTTTTCCCTCTTTTTACAGTAAAAATTACCACACAACAAACCCAACATGACATATTAAAGTGATACTTATAATCAAAGTTGCAATCTCGTTTTTTTTTTTTTTCCTATTATTTAAACTTCTAATTTAGCTATTGGATTCAATGTGGAGACGGTACAATATAAGAACATCAAGTTTCAGGTCTGGGATCTGGGAGGACAGACATCTATTCGGCCGTATTGGAGATGTTATTATGCCAACACGGATGCAGTCATCTATGTGGTCGACTCGGTAGATCGTGATCGTGTATCGACAGCCAAAGAAGAGCTGATGGCTATGTTAGAAGAGGAGGAGCTTAAGGATGCAGCCTTGCTTGTGTTTGCGAACAAGCAGGATATGGCTGGAGCCATGACTGCAGCAGAAGTTTCGGATGCACTTGGTTTGAGCACGTTAATGAACAGACAATGGAGTATTTACAAGACAAGTGCTGTCAAGGGAGAAGGACTCACAGAAGGATTGGATTGGTAAGCTCCACTTTTTTTTTTTTTTTTTTTTTTTTTTTTTAAAAAAAAAAAAAATAAACCTATCCAAATCCTTGGCATTGATTGTATCGGGTTATTAACTGTTTATTCTTATTTTCATAACTATTAGGCTTATCAACATTATGCAAAAATAAGAAAAAAAAAAAAAAAAAAAAAAAAGTTTAACAGGAATACGATCGACGTTCTTTTTCTTTTCATCTCCCATACGTACTCTATATGGCCTAATTTCTTCCTGGCTTTGATTTCTACATAGATTTTTTTATCTTCACCTTCCTCTAATATATACAACTTTGTTGAGCACTTTGAACAAGGGAGAGGCTTTTTTTTAATATTTTCGCTGAGACTGATATATCATATCTGGAAATAACCACTGGTCTTTTTTTTATTATTTTTATTTTTATTTTTTTTTAATCATGATTATTTTGTATGCCTTATAATATTATACTTTTATAAACTATTGTACAAAAAACTCAAGTCATTACTCGGATGCTGTCCTTCCTAAGGACGGTCTGCGGTGGTTTGAATACGATCCACCTACATAGTATTGATTGGATACATTATGCTCCCAATCTTTGTTTCCAGATTCGGTATCGCCGCATTCATATTCTGTCTGCGTGGTTGGAGTGGCAGTCGTCTTGGTCTGTGCACGATTTACCATGGCTTGTGTCCACGGATCTTCTGCAAGAATGTGGCTCGAAAATGGACTGCTTCTACTCTGGCTATTATTAGTGCTGTTACTACTGCTATTATTATTATTATTATTACTATTATTATTATAATTGGTGTTGGATGTGGGTGGTGATGATGATAAGTTCCGAGTACCCATATTCATACTATGTCCAAAATGTGTAGGCGATGGAGAATTTCGAGCGTTTGAGCCTCTGAAACCAGGTGATGGTGGTGATCCAAGTGGAGGTGATCTGGATGCTGAATGCAACGACGAGGGAACTATGATCGCAGACGGATCACGGAGAGAAGTTCTAGAGGATCCCAAACTGAGACCGGCACTTTGGTTGATACTCATATTAGTACTGATGGTGCTGTTGCTATTATTTTGACCAGGCTCATTGGAAACTTGGTTCTGTGAGGTAGAATAGAGTGAATGAGGAAAACTTGGAGATGGGAGTGGAGATGATGTCTGCTCACGTCGTCCGGAGGGTGTTGTTGAGCTCCTTGTAGTGCTTAGGAACGGCAACGGGTTTCCTGCTAATGACGCACAGGGCTCGTTGCTGTTGGTGTTATTCATATCAGTGTTAGCAAATGCCCCAAGAGTTGTGCCCGCTGTCTTGAACGATTTTGAGCGTTGCCAGCTTTGACGCGGAGGAGGAGACAAGGATGTTTTGACTATGGCAGGAGGAGACACTGGGGACTCGGCGGACGAAACATCGGATAGGGAGTTGAAGAGGAATGGCACATCAAAGGCGGGCGTCCGTGGTGATGTCTCGACACCTTCACGGTATACAGGCAAATCAGACTTGGAGCGCGATGCGCGCGACGATATTGATCCTGCTGCTGCGGACTGCTTAGAGCTCGGTTTTTTAGACCCTGGTGATGTAGGTCGCGAGGATCCTTCCTTTTCCTTATCTTTATCCTTGTAGGAAAAATAAGAGGATCCACTATGTTTTGAAAGACTGTCACGCGATTTGGAGGATCCCAAGCTCGGCGTTGACGATGGCTTAGAAACCGTGGATGAACTTTTAGCATTCTCAGACGTGATTGTGTTGTAACCGGGGCCTCTCCCTTGTGTGCGTTTGCCGGGTCGATGATCATATGGATCTGTATAATCAAGGGCTAGAGGGCCTCTCTGAATCTCATCATCGCGTTTCTTGACCACTGACAGTTGCGCCAGCTCTTCCACTGTAGCAGCAATCGGACTTTGGCTCGGATCCGGTGGCCCATCAGTCCTCCTATTGTGATAGCTGCCGCTACGATCCTTATGATCATGAGCGGCTTGGGAAGACTTTGAGTTACCGGATCGATCGCCTCCATTGAAAGCCTTGAAGACAGCTTTGAAGCCATCAACGGACTTACTATCACGGTGCTTATTATTACTATGACTGCTATTGCTGCCACTGCCTGTAGAAGTAATGTTGTATGAGTTGTCGATTTCTGACGAAAAGTTAGACCGGGCAGATACTGGAGGCGTAGACCAAAGTGAGGGATCGATTATATGGGAAGGTGACTTGGCTTCAAGGTCTATACCCAATCCAAGTCGACTGGTGAAACCTCCTGTTGCCGTTGATGATGGTGACAACGATGTAGAAGAAAGAGCATTTTTATCGACCTTTGAGAGTCCATCGCTAGACAAACGGGTGGGTAGATCACTCAAGGTACGAGCTTCATTAATACTGGGACGCGGTGAATCCAAGCAATATGGGTTGACGGATGGCAGTTGGAATGTACGGTCGAACGGTTCTGCAGTCGCGCGGTCCTCATGATAGGCCTGGTATGCAAGTACCTTGGGCAGAAGTGCAGAACGATGCTCGGCCAATTGTCTCTGTAGACCCGTGAGCTGTTCAATCGGGGTGTCGAGGGAAGGGATAGAGTCTGAGACGGAAACCCCATCATTGTTATCACTGGACATCTTATTCAACTTGTCTTTAGTGCAGTCACTAGAACTCATATTTTTGGAACCTTGAGAACCATGTTCTCCAATCTGCTCTGACTTTGTCGTGTTATCTGCAAAAGTAAAATATATTTATTGATGTACAATTATCAGCCTGTGTATTCTCAACAGTGCTATATTCATGCTTCTTGGTGGGTAAAATACAGTTCTTGCTTTTTTTTTTTTCTTCTCTTTTTTTTTTTTTTTACTAATAAAGAAAAAAGTTCTAACCTTTAGATTCTAAATCTCGAGCGAACATATTGTTGTACTCTTGATGGGACTTTGAGCCATTTTGAGTGTACTCCATATCTGGTCGGCTGCTCGTAGCAAAGGCCCCATTCCTGCTAGCAGCAGTGCGCAAGTGCTCCTCCGTCAATATTGGCTGTAGTGTCTGCAGTGTCTGTGACGTTTGTGGGGCCTCCAAGATAACTGATGACTTCACTTGGCTCTGATCGCAATATGTCTTTTTGCTCTTTTCAGACTCATTGACATTACTATTATAACTATCCAATGTTGATGTTGGACAGTGTCGTGATGAATCCATTAGGGCTAGGTTTACGGTGTCTGTGTTATGACTGCTGCTGCTGTAATAAGGCAAGTGAAAAGACTCGGACCTGTCTTCATACTGTGATTGTGACGAAGATCCACATTCGAAATCCTTGTTCAGAACTCTGCTGCTTTCGACAGATGTACCTCGTTCACGCGATTGAAAGATCTTCATTGGATTGTAAATACTTTTCGGACTAGTTGGATCTTGAAGCTTGTGTTGAGTACTAGTAGTTTTGTCAGGACTCATGTCAAAAGAACAACGAGTCGCACTACCATCGGTTCGACTACTCCCAATTCGTGTGTCGTCTAAAGATATGGAAGGCTGAGGAAAGCTTGCGAGAGCATTGCTGTCATTCGTGAAGGAACCATTGTCTTGATTCCCCGAGCCCATGTTCCTTCCTGTGCCGCCACCATTACGAGCTGAATTGCTATTGTGACTCCTGAATTTTTTAAAATGCTCTCGATAAAACCGCAAAAGGAACCCTGGAGCGGGAAGGAAGAAGATAGGGCCGATAGTTATGCGCACACAAAGATCTAATGCCTGCATTTGCTGCTGGAAAATGTACTCTGGCTTAGCAATGTACATTATATTGAGCGACGTATATACCTGTGTGAAAAGGAAAAAAGGAACAATGTAAATAGTTTAATAAAGCAGCGGCATTGTAACATATGAATACGAAAATCAATAAACCCATTGCTGGGAGGTTGTTTATCATTAACTTACAATAGCCAATAACATGATACAGCTCAGATACCAGACACCGACAGCCATCATATCACTATCAACAGGTCGACCTATAGGGCCATGACGATGGTGCATTACCAAAGGAACAAAGAGATACATGCAAGACCATAGGCAGGTCGCTATCATGAGGTATTGATGAGCCAAGTAAAAAGCTACTTCGGGTCTCGAGAACATCTCACGCTCTGACCAACAAAGTTGCCGCCAATCTTGCGCACCATATAATCCGGTATCAAATTTGGGAATCAAGTTCATAGTCTGCGTTTTCTTAAGCTCATATGCAAGTGCAGTAACACTTTGAAACCCTACGTTTACTATGTCTTTGCGAAGCTGTAGAACTGCTGGGCCGTCGATCAATCGGGGGTAGAGCTTTTCATTGACATAAAGTGCCACATTCACTAATGAAAGAAATCCATAGATGCTGATCAGAATCATAGACAACCGCCAATAGAGATTCCGTTTCCCTGCCATAGGATAGAAACCAGATCCAACAGAGACAATTGTCAGAGTTAAAGCCACTACTGCCAAGCCTTCGCCTAAAAAATTCCATGCCCAGTACCAACCAGGACTCAAGTAAGCTTTGGCACGCAGAAGACCGATGATTGCAATGGTCAATCCTACATAGGTGAGGAAGCAGGCAAACGCCCGAAGGCGCGTACGTGCTCTTAAACTCATCATGACAGCAACCGTGAAAAGAAAAGTGAGATATATGGTCGCTACCAAATAACTGGTATCTGCTCCAAGATTTAGTCCCATTTTGTTGAAGCCTCCTCCCCTTCCTCCTCCTCCTCCTCCTCCTCCTCCTCCTCCTCCTCCTCCTCCTATTAATTTAAATAAGGCATCGAGAGTCATATCTTGATTTGACATTGGTTGGTTGGGCAAAGTGTCATTCTCACTTGCTTGTAAGGAGCCAAACCAGCCATCATTATATGAGAACTGGTTGCCGGACATTGGCTGTGATGAGCGGCAAAGAAAAAGAGAGGGATGTAGGTGATGACGGAGTATATGATACTGATTTGTTTGTTGTTAATGAGTCTTCTGCCTTCCGAGGTCGATTATTTGAATGATGAAATGTAGAACCAGTAAGGTATCCAACGCGCCGGATAACCGACCGAAGAACAAGGTCCAGCCAACAGAAAGAAATAAAACAAATTTGCGAAATGTAGAATAGGATGTGTGCAGCGAAACGTGGGATGACAAAGCGGTCCGTGGAAATGTAGTAAAATTGTGTGTTACCAAAATAAAGGGAGAGGAAGGGAAGAGGTCGAAGGGGCGGATAACGGTGAAAAGTGTTGGATTGGATGGGTGAATGAGTGAATGAGTGGATGAATGGATGAGTGGATAAAAAAAAATAGAGAAGTTTGTAAGGTGGTGATGGATTTAATGCTGGATAGATCTTGAAATGGTTTCAATGGTAAAGTGGTTGAAAAGTTATCAGTGTGGATGCTGGAAAGGTGTGGAGGAAATGGAGAGATATATGGGAATATGAGACTAGATGGATATCCCGAGAAAACAAATACTCATCAACACGATCGTGATGAATGCATTTGAGAATGAATGGTGAAATGATTAGATTTAGATGATTGAGTGATCGTAATGAAGAGAAGGGTTGTGATGAAGGGGAAAGAGGAGTGAAAACCGACAAGTTGCTGCAACTATTGGAATTTGTTGAATTTCCTCACTGGGGAAAGGATCTCTTTAGACTGACACGAGTTGGTCGAAGCAAGCCCAGAAAAACCCAAACTGGGTGCTCTTGCTCTCACCCATTGCTGCAATACAAAAAAAAAAACTGTAACGGCTCCGTTCTTTTAAACGTTAAATAAAAAAATAAAAAAAACAGATACGAGTACAGAGATACCAACCAGGTCACTCTACATCGTAGCAATAATAAGGTACATTATAAAAAAGATGTGGGTACGCCTTTTCTTTAATTCCTTATTCATTTTCAACTTAATACAGAGCAGAACAGTAAGTGTCGATCACTTAATTGAAGTTACACATCTTCTAGACGTTATTCAAGCTTCAAGCGACAATGGTAAGTTTCAGTCCAACTATTAGAGAATGGTAGAATTGTCCGTTAGAATTGTGGATGAACGTGTGCACTGTGTATGAGTATGTTTTGAATCCATGTGCTATGGATCTTAGGCATATCTTGTGATGAAAGTCCTCATGCCATGCCCGATTCGATTTCATCTTGCCCTTGGTAACCAATTATGGATTTGCCCATGGTCCTAAACTAGTCATGTCCGTGTTATCATGTATAGACTGTTGTCAATGACAGTGATTTTTTTTTTTTTTTCCTCTTCTGCTCCAGTGCTCAAATAAATACATGTATCCAAACCCACAGAGGAATATTCCTACTGACCGGGTCTCATTTTTCCTTCCTCTACAACTTTGACGCATATTTTCCTGCTCTCTTTATTGGCAGTAGAAGATGTTTGTTTTAGTGCTATTGAATGTGTGGCCACTCATGTTTGAATAAATACCGGTCTACTTCCTCTTCCACATCTACATCGGGTTTAGTGCTCACGGAAAAGTAGGTTCGAAATATATGTATTTCAATAGGGATGCATTTAGTGTTGTGACACACAAACGAATAAACGTACAAGTGTTCTCTTCAAATAAAACTCCCTCATGCAGATTAGCGCTAAAAAAAAAAAAAAGTAAAATAAATAAAAGTAAAAATAAAAATAAAAACATCTTCGGTACAACATATACATTTATATGATATACAGTACTCGCATTTGCCACTTATTCGCGTCAGACTGAAATTGTGCATATCTATTGAGTAATACTCCTCAAAACAGTTTAGCATGAACCTGCGGATCAAAACAAGCAGATCATAAAATGAAGACCGATTGAGAAAAGACTAGAGATGTTTGTAGACTAAACCAGGACTCTACAAAGGATGAAGGTCTGATGAGTGACATGTCTATACATGCATCTGATGCTGATCCCGATCCCTGTCGAGGCAGCAACAAACCTTAATTCAGAAAATATACACACGCTCCATTATTTTTTTCAAGTCCGCGTCCCGATAATAAGTCTTCTCCCGGTCCCTGTTAAACTCCTGCCTCTGATTTGATACCTGTGCGCTCCACCCCCTTGTTTGACCTTCTATGGATTTGGTATAGAAGCCAATCTTTCATTTGTTTAATTCTCAGCTTTGGTGGCCTATTTTAACCCTCATTCTTACCCCCTATTCTACCTAAGCACAGCATAAACCTTCGTACACATTTAATACAAAAAAAAAAAAAAAAAAAAAAGCGAAGAGAGGATAAAAGATAGGATCTTAGGTCAGAGAAATAACAGGATCTTTATTCTATTGCTATTCTGATTGTTTTTTATTGGTTTTTTATTTCTCCAAAAATGCCTCACATGATTTATTGATCAATGCATATGAGCCTCTCTGAGTTCTACCACTACAACAAGTGTTGACTTTCTAGTCTTTTTTTTTTTTTTTTTTTTCTTTTTTCTCCTATCTTTTGTTCAAAGATTATCGCTAAAAAACAAAAAACAAAAAACAAAAAACAAAGAACAAAAAAAAAGTTTAATAGTTTTTAAGGACTTATATATCGAGAAGTAGTTCTAGCCAGCTTGCATCAACTCTTAATCCTTCTTCCTCATTCCTTTACCCACCTCAATGCTTCATTAAACTTGATAAATTTCCGAATGTGCCAAAAGAGACCGATTGGTCATTTGGACGCTATTAAAAAAAAGGTCTGCGTAACTGTGTCACCATGGCAAAAGCAAATCTTCCATTTAAAGACATCCAGGGGCGTGATTGATCCCTTTGCTGTCCTAGGATCTGCAGTGTGACAAACGCGTCTTGCAACTTGGGAAGTAAGATGATTAAACTAGCACAGTATTGTCCATTAAAGATTAAGCAATGTAATACATGAAGGGGTCATGGTTTACATCTGATTTGTTTTAACTCAGGAAACAGAAGAAAAAAAAAAAAAAAAAAAGCTCTCAGATGAATTCATAAGCAAAGCTATATCTACACAATTACATTGAGAATATACACAGGACCATGTATCAGAGCTGCAACATCTTACTATCATCCATAACTGAAGCTGTCAACCAAGGCAGAAATGGAGCATGCATCTGCTTGGTCCTTGTGGATGTCTCTTAGCTTGAAAATAAAAACTCTGTTGGTTTTACCGCTGGTCTGGACTATTTCCAATCCTTGCAATTAGATGGACCTCTGCATTTCATGCATTTTTTTTTTTTTTTTTTTTGTTCATAGTGGATTCTGATGCATGCCACAAGCAAGAAGCACGAGGAAAGACAGAAGAGCAAAAAAAAGTGAAAGATTACACAAAACCGCATTGTTCTTTGTTGTCATAGTCCGATCCACGTTGTCGCCCTAGTTTTACTTTCTTTTGTGTTTTCATGATCAAATTACTGCTTACTGTGTGGCATTTTGGCTCAATATCTTTCTGCGCAAAAAAAAAAAAAAAAAGGCATACATCTGGCCTTCTTTTTCATAAGATCCAACAATCACCTGCAATGCACAATGCTAACTGTATTACGACGCCTTTGAGCCGATATACTTTTCGCCGATGTACTGTACATGTTTGTCTTTGGTCGGCAATGTGATGAAACCAAACCAAAAAAGAAAGTTTTCTCCAAGTGTGGAGATGCTGTTGTGTTCATTGTACGGTTTGTAAACATTACTTCAGAAGTTGCTATCGATGTTAAAGTTTTTTTTATGTTGGCTTGCATCTTTTTTTAAACAGATCTATGAGAGAAATGATAACAGAGGAGAGGTGTTCATGGAGTCACTAATTATTATTATCAATATTATTATTATTATTATTATTATTATTATTATTATTATTATTATTATTTTATTTTATTTTATTTTTATTTTATTTTATTTTATTTTATTTTTTTGGCGTGATCGGAGCACCAGAATCCTTTGGATGATTGGATAAAAAGACGCGTCTCTTATCCTGAAAATAGTCACCAATGCATTCATTCACAATTACAATGAGTTGTCCTTCGCATGACTCCCTCTCCGTCAGTCCGTGTATATTCCTGTGTGAAAGAGTTTGTTTGTTGTGTTTTATGTTGTGCTTCTTTTTTTTTGCTTTTCGCCCGGGCCAAGCAAGTGGTCAAGGTGCTGTTGCTGTTGTGTTTATCAACAAGTATGCATGCTTTTACGATTTGCAGCATGTCACCATCCCTATCCTCTTCCCCACTGGATCCGCATGATTAATGTACCCCAAGTCAAAAGTGAATGCTAAAAAAAAATATTCACTTCTACATATCACCTACCCATATGCAGTCCGCGGCACTAACATTCAAAAGTTCAAGGAAGGCTGAACAGATACGACATGCAGCTCAGCAAGAAACTCGAATTAGCCCATCGTTGAATACTCTGCCCCTTCTCTCCCTCTTCCTTCCCCCCTTTTTTTGTTGTTTTTGTTTTGTAGAGATGTTTGGCATGTCTGACGGGTCAATAAGTTCAATGATGCGTGAAAAATGCATATTTCAAGCAGACTTTCCTTGCCAAATGAACACTGACGATCATCAAGTAACTGAGACATATTTTCCCTCGAGTCCTCGGCACTTGTCCATAATCAATACTGCATCATCCTAATACAAGCAGCGGGACAAAAAAAAAAAATTGAGCGGCTGGATTGATTTCAGTGTTTTTTTTTTTTTTTTTTTTTTTCCTTTACTTGTCGTTTGCCTCGCTCATTCAGCGTTTCAATATGCTCCGATAGCACGGCCTTATCTTGGTCCTGTAAAGTTGTCTTTTTTTTTTTTTTTTTTTTTTTTTTTTTTTGGTTCTCTTTGTCGTCTGTCCGCCCCTGATTTTTTTTATTATTATTATTCTCTTTTTCTCTCTACTCGAACGGAAAAGAGGGAGCCAGAAACACAGAATATGAGGGACAACAGGCAGAATCTAGCCTCGAGGCATCTTGAGCTTAGAATAGGATGGACTAGAATTGGGGAGAGGAGAACTCCATTCACTTTGAAAATAAGAAGAGGTCTGCGGACCAAAAACAAAGCCGAAAACAGATCTCAACTCAGTCCCCATTTTCGAGCCCCATCATTCTTTTTTTTTTTTTTTTTTTGAGGTAAAGCAGCCTTTCTCAAGTTACTGCAAACGAACGGGACATTTTTTGCACAGAAATTACGGCAGTACGTAGAGCATTGTCTGCTTCAGAAGGAAGGGGAAATTTTTCATCCTATCCTGCCTTCACAAGAACCGAGAATCCAGCCATACTTTGCACAACAAACCCAGCATGCCTTTCTCTCTCCATTCTTTCACTTTTTTGCTTTTAAATCATCAAGACATCTGCTCTCATCATTTTTATATTCTTCTCCTTTCCCTCCCTTCCTTACTTCCTTCCTTCCTTGCTTCCTTCCTTCCATTTATTCGACCTTCCTCCTTCTTCTCCATTCCTTCCCTTACTCCTCTTCTTCTTTACCGTTGCTCTTTCATTCCATACCCGTTCTTTCCTTTTTTTCTTTTTTTTCTTTTCTTTTCTTTTTTTTTTTTTTTTTTACTGACATCCCCTCTGGCTCCTTCCTCCCCTTCTTAAATAACTCAATCTTACAAATCCAAGTCTTCAGGACCTGACAGGTGCTGTTCCTCTGATCCATGTAATAACTGCTTGAAACACAACTTCCTTGACAATACGGCTGAATTATAGAGTTACACAATCCTTAGGGCTCTTTCTTCACTGTCATCTGCCCTGTCCACTTTTTCCCCCTCCCTTTTGCCTTCGTCCCTTCTTTTCCTTTCATTCCTGTTTTACATTGGTAGTACCAAACATTTCCTTGTTTTTTGTAATCTTTTCTGGACAAGATGCTTTTTTTTTTTATCACTATCGTGCTTAATTATCATTTTTGCCAATTCGCTTCAGATATCATGCGTCAATCTACTGGAGGAGTCACACCATTTCTTTTATCTTTTTTCTTAAGCTACCTCTTCTGTGCATCTTTTCACTAATCCTCACAAGCGCCTGATACATACCTTTTTTTTTTTTTTTTTTTTTTTTGGTGCGACGTGGTCAGTGTTTGCAATCAGCCCTGCATTTCGAGGTGGCGAAGTGAGCAAAGAAATTGCCGCACACAACACTTCTAGCAAGAAGGATACTCCCCTATTTTCCTTTTTTTTTTTTTATTCACTTCCCTTCCCCCCCTCATTCTTTATTGTATACTCTGTGGTCGCATCTCTAAATATCTCCCAACTTCCACCCCCTCCTCCTTTTTCTGATCACGGAAAATGCTCAAGAAAGAACAGGGCAAAGAAACATCTGCCATGTTTTAAAGAGCATGCTAAAAAAAAAAAAGGTTTCTGTGGAGGTGTTTTTGGTATGCCCTACTGTATTACATTACCACTCCAGATCCCCTCCCTCTTTTGACGTCCATTCGAGTCAGACCACATCTCTATTTTATTGCTCAAAGTACTTCAACAAATGTATTGATTTATTTGTACTAACTAGATCATTTATATTCTTTTTGCATGAACTCCCTGTTATTTTCTTTATTCTAAAACAGTAAAACAGTACTTTGGTCACATTCATTCACCCATCCATCATTTTGCATTGACCCTGCCCCTTATAAATATCTCTGCAACAAAAAAAACCATCTGTCAGAGCCTTTTATTCCTTCAGACACGTAAAACAAACGTCGATTTTATTTTATTTTATTTTTTTTTTCTTGTTGTTGTCGTCAGGGTAATGGCCGAGAGCACTGGTAAGGCCAAAGCTCTTTTCCCTTTCCTTTCTGATTTGCTGACATACACATGCATAACTAGTCCAATCACTAGTTTACTTTTGCTTCGCTTTGCTTTGCTTTGCTTTGCCTTGCTTTACTTTGTCTGTTTGCCTCTTCCATCCTTTGCTCAAGAAAAGGAAACTTTTTGGTTTTCCACTCACATGCTCATCTCTTTCTTTCTTTTTTTACTTCTTTGTTTGTGTTTACAGTTGCAGTCGAGTGCAATTCCACAATGGATACTTCCTCAGAATCAACCCAGCCGTGCAGTCAGTGGATGCGTCCAACTTCCCCAGAGGATGATATTAAGCAAGAAGATATGGCGATGAGCATTAGCATGGCCATGTCATCATCACCCATTTCCACTACTACCTCTATGCCTTTGGGAATCAAACAGCGGCCAGCACCATTGAAAGGGAGCAAGAGCAGCGCGACCCTTCGATCCGTCACTGCTCCCCATCCTCTTTCCATGTCCACTACTCACTCTCTTCAACATTTCCAAAGTACTGGCAATACCATGTACAACACACCATCCGCATCCGTTGGATTCACCAACGGCATGAGTGGCAATAGCAGCTCCAGTAACCCGATCTTCTCACCCAACACGCCTATTGGTCCCTTATCTGCCCCCTCTTCTCCTTCGTTTCCCAACGCTGCTGCTCCCAACACCGCTGTACCACCCTCATTCTTGGCCATGCATGGCCACAATACAAGTCTTTATGAACCCTTCAGAAGGAACTCGGTCCCAATCCTAACTGCCGATCAAGCAGAACATAAGCGCAAAGCCTCCGAGGAGAAGCACATGCAACGACAGGGATCCTGGTCATCACTCACCCCTCCGTCCAGCATGATGGGTGGTTCGATGAATAATGTCCTCGGTGTCCCATCCCCTGTTCTCCATCATTTGGATCCAGCGACGATGCACTATTACCGAACACAGTTCTCTCATCAGCATTTACTCCAACAACAGCATCAACACCAACAACAGCTCCATGTGCAGCAACATTCGTTAAACCAAGTCATCCCCTCCGTTAACTCGTCCAACTGCTCATCCCCCATGCCAGATAGCTTCATCTCTGGTGGCAAGTCCATGAACAATAACACACAGAATGGTCCTAACGGTGGAGCAGGTGGATCAGGAGGGCTCTCACATCACTCAACGACCGGAGCGATTCGTGGCAGTAGTAAAGTGAAGCGCAACAATTCGATCTGCTCTACTACTTCGGTATCTTCTACAGGTAGTGGCTCGAATAACAAGCACCCATGCAAGTTCCCAAGCTGTGAATGGAGCTTCAAGAGATATGAGCATCTGAAGAGACACATGTTAGTCCATACCAAGGAACGTCCCTTCCAATGCGACTTTACGGGATGCAACAAGTCATTTAGTCGCTCAGATAACTTTTCAGCCCATTTGCGAACACATTCCAAGAAGGCTTTGGCGCGTCGATACGACAACCGCAGTTTAGAGAGCGGAGGTACTAATAACAATAACACTGGTGATGGTGGTATTAAACAAGAATCGCATGATTCCTCACAGACATCGTCGTCCTCGATCTCTTCAGCGGATCAGTCAACTTCCACAGGCATGGCGCCATTCATGCCCCATTCGTCACTCCATCTTTCCAGTGGCTACAATTCAAACTCGGTCAATCAAGATGCATCTGAGTATAGTCGGGATCATTCACCTCCTACATCCCCTGGCGATGCATCCTCGGCCCGGCCCTCATCCGCCATGGGCACATCCTCCATGAATGATGACGAGTCGTTCGATATGGTTGGTCACCCCAACTACTCGTTCGGAAATGGCCCTATGTACTCATTAGATCACTTGGACCCACTGGGCAACATGGTTCCACGGTTCGACACAATCCGTCTGGATCTCAAGTCTGTGGCCCCTGCTGATGTTCACAAATATGTAGAGGAAGGTTCATCTGAAGGATTGATGTCGACTCAAAACCCTAATGGTGAATCCCCTCGCTCATCACCCATGCCTCAGTACGACCACTTCTCTTTCCCTACATCCATATCTACACATTTCATGCCAGTAATGTCCTCAGGATTTTCTTCAGAATCCTCCAACGGTCTCCAACAACAACATCACCACCACCATCATCAACAACATCAGCATCAACAGCAACATGATGCATTGACATCGAGTTCATACTCGACCGATTCTTTTCATCATCAAGCATACCATTCGGATACTGACCTAAAGACTCTGCAGTTCCCGCATAGTATGCACAGTGCAGATCCTGATCTTCAATATTCACCTTCGCCACCCTCGAACGAGGATAGTTCACATCTTCATCATCCTCAGCCGTATCATCACACGTCATATGAGACCAAGGTAGCGGGTAATAATTCGCATATGCTGCACAATCATCATGGAGGATATACTTCCATGCCGTCGACTTCAGTAATGCCCACACATCCACTCATGTCGAGCATGTCTTCGTCTTCTCCTGTTCCTGTTGCTGGCCTGACCGATCCCTTATCAGGATCACAAGGTGAATAGAGGAAGAAAAAAAAAAAAAAAAAAAAGAAGTGCTTGCGACTGCTTTTAAAGGATAAAATCCAATTCAATCATATTAATAAATATTACAATAATCACTTTCCTAGTCAAAGCTCAAAGACCCATGGCCAAGTTCCAACTCAAGCAACAGCGTCAAGCCCAAACCGCATAATACAGAAAACTTATATTCATATAGTGTTACCAAAAAGGAGGTTTATAATTGCTATTATCATTCTTTCAGTTTACGCTTTCTCTCTCTTTTCTTTTTTTTTTTTTTTTTTTTTTTCTTCTCTTTCTCTTGCTCTTTGTTGTGTATATAACTTTAGTTTGACTTTTATTTTTTTTTATACTCTATAGAAGGTTTATTTGCCATATTTTTTTTTTTTTTTTTTTTTTTACTTTTCATGTCATTTACTTCCTAAGAAAGAAAGAAAAAAAAGAAAAAAGAAAAAAGAAAAACAACAAGCCAGCACATAATCAAATTATTATGATTGTTATTGCTGTGTTAGCTGTGTGAGGATCTGAAGACATTATTAGGAGGAAATGGGAGGAACAATACATAGACTGAAATATTCATTTTCATAATAAAAAGATAAAATTGATTGTACCCCCAATTGTCTTGTACAAATGTATGGTCAATGCGAGGAGAAATCAATGCTCCCCTAACTCAATGGGAAAATATTTAAACAAAGGCTTCTGTAGTTTCTCCTATTTAGATGGACCACATTTCTCATAGGGTCAACAGTGATATTGTCGATAATGCAATGGGTTGCAAGTAAAAAAAAAAAAAAAAAAAAAAAAAAACCAAACACATGTTCATGTACACAATGGGAAAGAAGGATGTGTTGGCGCTGAAGGAAGAGTGTGTTTGCACATTTCGTATCGGACTATTTTAACATTCTTCCTCATGACAAATGGTCTAAATGATCAATTGCTTCCTCCTCGAGGGCCAAGGTCTCCCCCAGCCATTTAGCATGCGAGAGCACAATTAAAAAAGTTGGAAGGGGGGGAGGAGGACGTCAATCCTCTCTCTTTTTTCCTTTCTTTTCTTTTTTTTCTTTTTCTTTTTTTTTTTTTTTTTTTTTTTTTTTTTTTTCTTTCTTATTTCCTCTCTTTAACGTTGCTTCTTTAACCTAAACAGAGTTCTCCGCTCTTCCATTTCATTTCATTTCTTTTTTTTTTATTTTTTTTATTTTTTTTTTTACTTATTGCTCCACATCTCTGCTGACTCTTTTCTTATTTACAATTGAAGAAGTAATAAATAAATAAATAAAAATGGCCGATATCCCTGACGGAGAGTTATACCCCGTCCCACAGAGGCTTTTGGACCCGGCTCAGTGTCCAGAGCCTTACATCTCATCGTTGCAACAATACAAAGAACTGTATCAACAAAGTATTGAACAGCCCGATGAATTCTTTGGCAAGGTAATAATAATGATATGACATGATATGGAGTCGACTCTCTCTTTCTCTCTCTTTCTTTCTTTCTTTATATATATATATATATATATCAGAACAAAAGGCGTCAATTGCCAACTCTCTACCCCTCTTCTTCCTTCCATCAACCATTCATTCAGAAATAAGGTTTATCTTTGGTAGGTGAGATGAGGGACAAGTGTTGTGTTGCAAATAGATGCTTCTACTTTCTTTCAAAGGTGGTGAACATGTACAAGCATACAGTGTAAAAAAGAAAAAAAAGGATGCTGAAGGAACTAGTGTAATGGAATGACAATCGATAAAAAAAAAAAAAAAAAAAAAATCAAAGTACAAGATCAAGAGAGAGTGTGCGAGAAAGAGAGAAGGATCATTCATTATCTTGTGCCACATCTCTTTTATTGCTTCGTTTGTAACTTGCTTGTTTAAAAGAAAGTATCAATATTATCATTGAAATTATCATTATTACTAACATCGGTCTTCGTCTTCTTCTCCCCAATAGCTTGCAACAGACCTTCTCACCTGGTCCAAACCTTTCAACCGTGTCCGACATGGAGGATTTAAATATGGTGATGTCGCTTGGTTTCTGGATGGCCGAATAAACGCTTCATACAACTGTGTTGATCGTCATGCTATTGAGAACCCAAAGAAGGTAAATAACAAGAAGTAGAGCGTTGCCCGACTCTTTTTGTGTCGTGAGAAAAAAAAAGAAAAAATACTTTGTCAAAATGCCCTTAAATGTTCATCAAAATTTCTAACAAAAAATAAAAAAATAAAAAAATAAAAAAATAAAAAAATAAAAAATAAAAAATAAAAAATAAAAAATAAAAAATAAAAAATAAAAAGGTGGCCATCATCTATGAATCAGATGAACCCAACCAATCCGAAAATATCACCTATGGTCAACTTCTTCGCGATGTGTGTCAGCTTGCAGGTGTACTTCGAGCAAAAGGTATCCGAAAAGGCGACACAGTAGCGATTTATATGCCCATGATCCCTGAGGCTGTGACTGCAATCTTAGCCTGTGCTCGTATCGGAGCTTTACACTCCGTGGTCTTTGCAGGATTCTCGGCCGAGGCCCTTCGAGATCGTGTTCAAGATGCTCAGTCCCGTCTTGTCCTCACTGCAGATCAAGGCAGACGTGGAGGCAAGACTATTGAGATCAAAAAAATTGTGGATGAGGCCCTAAAGTCTTGTCCCATGGTCGAAACTGTTCTCGTCTGTGAACGTACTGGAGCTGATGTGCCCATGACACCAGGTCGTGACCATTGGTGGAGTCAAGAAGTTTCTCGTACGCCTACGTACCTCCCACCAGAGGAGATGCATTCAGAGGATCCTCTCTTTCTGCTGTACACCTCGGGCTCGACTGGGAAACCCAAGGGCGTGTTGCATACAACCGGTGGTTTTCTTTTAGGAGCAGCTGCTACAGTGAAATATGTATTTGATTATCATCCAGGCGATATCTTTGCCTGCATGGCCGACGTAGGCTGGATCACAGGTCATACCTATATTGTCTATGGTCCATTGGCCTTGGGTGCCACCACAGTCTTGTTCGAATCCATTCCAACTTATCCAACCCCATCCAGATATTGGGAACTGATTGCAAAACACAAAATCACTCAGTTCTACACTGCTCCTACCGCCATCCGTGCTTTGCGTCGCTTGGGAGATGAATGGGTTGAGGGCCATGATCTGTCCAGTTTGCGTGTCCTCGGATCTGTGGGAGAGCCCATTAATCCAGAGGCATGGCACTGGTACAATGATAAGGTTGGTAAAGGTCGATGTGCTATCGTGGATACATATTGGCAGACAGAGACCGGAAGCCACATCGTCACTCCCTTACCGGGCGCTATCCCCACAAAAGCTGGTTCTGCGACACTTCCCTTCTTCGGGATTGAATTAGCGATCCTCGATCCTGTGACAGGCAAAGAGTTGACTGGCAACAGCGTTTCGGGTGTATTGGCAGTGAAACGTCCTTGGCCCTCGATCGCACGCTCTATCTATGGCAATCATCAACGCTTTCTGGAGACATACCTTCGACCCTATTCTGGATACTATTTCACAGGTGATGGCGCCAGCCGTGATAAGGATGGTTATATCTGGGTCGGAGGACGTGTCGATGATGTGATCAATGTCTCAGGACATCGATTGTCGACAGCGGAAATCGAGTCTGCATTGATCGTCCACCACGCCGTGGCTGAGACTGCTGTCATCGGTGCTAACGATGAAGTCACGGGCCAATGTATCCATGCCTTTGTCTGTCTCAAGCCCGGTCTGGCCTCTGGTCATTCTCGTGCATTTGCTAATGATCTAACCAAAGAATTGGCCCTCCAAGTCAGAAAGGTTATTGGCCCCTTCGCAGCCCCAAAACGTATCTATTTGGTCGAGGACTTGCCCAAAACTCGTTCTGGTAAATTGATGCGACGAATCTTGAGAAAGATCGTCGCGGGCGAAGCAGATTCCTTGGGTGATATCTCTACCCTGGCAGATCCTAGCGTAGTCGAGGCTTTAATAGCCAAAGTCAAGAGCGCAGCCGCTCAATAAAAAAAAAAAAAAAAAAAAAAAAAGTAAATTACAAAGAACAATAAATAAAAGCCAGTCTTTGTAAAAAAAAAAAAAAAAAAAAAAAAAAAAGTGATAATGATTGATACATGTAATTTTTATTATTATTTTAATGCAAAGATGATAGGACAAAAAGACAATGGACTATAGTACAGTTATAAAAACAAATATCGACAAAGTGGTCAATAATAGAGAAGAAGACCATTTGAATAACGACGATTTTTTTTTCTTCTATGCGTCCATAGAAGGGGTTGAGCTCTTAATGTTGTTGATCTTATTCCCATCGTACAACGTTTGGAGTCCGCCCTCGTCATCATCATCATCATCGTCGTCGTCATGGTTCTGTGGGATATAAAAAGTTTGCTGAAGTTGGTGTGGAATTGATGTCCGTTGCTGTTGTTGCAAATGCTGATGCATACCCAAAACAATCGAGTTTTTCCTCATCTGTTCCTGCTGCTGATGCTGATGCCTCCGTTGTTGTTGAAATTGCTGCTGGAACAGAGCATGGGCATTATTCATTTGTTGCTGCGGCTGCTCCTGGCTTTGTCCTTCTTTGAGCTCCATCTCAGGTTGTGAGGAATCATCCGCACTAATGTTAATACTTTGTGAAGATTGATGAGACCAAGGGTTTTGTGGATTGTTATGAGCAGGGACACTGAACGATCCAGTCTGTCCAGAGGTCCACATTGATCCCAAAACATCTTGATAATCCATTTGCTGTTGTAATGATTGTGATGGCTGCTGCTGCTGTTGTTGCTGCTGTTGTTGAAAGAAACCAAACTGATTGTCATAGATTGCTGAATTGAACGGTGTGGATCCATGATGTCCTTGAAGTAAAGTAGTACTAGAACTATCCGCAAGATTTCCTGTAATTCCACCTAAAGGACCAACAACATCCTTCTTCATTAATGCTTCCAGCGACTCATCCATATCCAAACCAAAATCGCTGAAAGCTGCGTGCTGAGGAAATGCAATGGCACCATGTTGTTGTGACAGATGGGGGTGGAAAGTTTGTTGCTGCTGCTGACTTGTACTTTCGCTTGCAAAATCAAACCCAGCTTGAAATTGGTCACCAGAGAATGAATGGATTGGATGTTGCTGTTGCATAAAAGCGTATTGATGCTCTATCTGCGATCCTTCTAGACCCAAGGAAGATAATCTAGAGTCATTCAACTCCATGTCTCCCATATTTTTCCCTTGAAGTGATCCATCTGGGATTACGGGCTCTGCCTTTGCGCTTCGAGGAGAAGACGCTACGGATGATGCTGGAGAAGATGATGCAGGGACGACCAATGACTCATAAGTCCCAATGGTGTTCAAAGGAATGGTCATCGAAGCAGTGTTTGTCATCGGCAGTTGAAATTGCTGCTGATAGTTGCGATAAGACGAATGTTGCTGTGGCTGTGGTTGTTGCTGGGCAACTGGAATTGAACCACGATGATATGAATCATGCTGCGGCATCATTAGCGTCTGGTTAGGGTCAAATTGCATAATGTTTTCATTTCCAATCGCAGATGGGATTTCAAGCGAGGCGGTTGGAGAGGGAGTTACTGTTTTCAAATCGGGCTTAATACTCTCATGAGCCTGCTCAGAGGTCATAGTTTTAACTGAGGCTTCTCTGGCAGCTCGTGCGGTGCTCGAGTTCTTCTCGGCATTTGTATTAGCATTAGCGCTGGCATTGGCAGTCGTCGCTCGAGTCGCCGCTGCAGAAGTTCGTTTTTTGCGGGCGCCTTGTTTCTTCTGGGCTGCCTCTGCAATCGCTTGAGGCAATTTTGGTGGCGGCTTTTGGCCTGCGAATCCAGCAGCCACGTGAGGTCGCTTGACAACTTGACCATTGCTGTTGATGATTAGATTTTTCTTTGGATCGCTCTTGTACTTCTAAACTCAGAAGGAGGAAGTGGCAATGGATTGTTTAGCAACTTTTTTTTTTTTTTTTTTTAAAAAAATAATAATAAGAATAATAAACTATATATAATCATACCTTCGGCATTTTCTTTTGAGGTCTGCTGTTCTCTTGAATATCACCGTCCTTGCTTCGTGAGGACTGAGAGATGTCCTGAGATTGTCCGATGAGGGCCTTGGCAATGGGTAGATCTTGAACTGTGACCAGGAGCATCTCAATACGCTTCATTCTCTCTGCATAGTCTAGCGGCGATTGATGGTTCTGCTGCTGCTGTAGTTGTTGCAAATTGAGCTTCTCTTCATGAACATTGTTTTGCATTGACGATGAATCCTTCACAGCAGGCGAGGCAAGGGAGATATTTGAGAGACGTTCCATAGGCGACATGGTCATGTCACGTTGCTGCAGTTGATTCAAACCTTGTGTGATGACAGACAATGGTTTCTTATCGGCGCGGCCTCCATGCGGTGATGCCTGTCGCTGCTGATGCTGCAACAGCTGAGAACCATTTGCTCCATTTGTAATAAATTCAGCGGCGCCAGGGATGACGCTGCTCAGTAAGAGTTCAATTCGCCTCATACGCTCTAAAGTCTCTTGATCCTGGGGTACACTGGAGGGTCTCCATGCTCCTGATTCTGAACCACCTTGCATTGTTGGCGCCTGTGTTTGCCCTAGCGCAAATGCAGCGTTCGGAAACGAAGATGATACAGGTGGTGTATCTAATTGCATATCGTTGCTTGAAGTATCCAAGACCCCAGCGAGGCTACCGAGACCCAAACCGGCCAAGGTGAGAGACCCTACAACAGGTGACACAGAAGAGGCACCAGTCTTTGTGGAGCCGCTACGAGTAGACGCTGCATCGTCATGTTCATCATTCTCATCTTGGTCTGAGGAGTAGGAGGTATAAGATGAACTGTGATATGAAGAGATACTACTGCTCCGATAAGACTTGTTGCCACGAGGAGATTGCACATCCTTTGTGTCAACACGACTGCGTTTTGTTTTATTAGTGATGGTAATTGGGCTTGAAGGCGAAGACTCGACACCAGCGGAGGCAGCAACAGCAGCGTTGGCAGCGTTGGATCTGCTGAGCAGGACTGAAGGAGGGGTACGGACACATTCTCGCTTGGAATGTTGACAGGAGTTACAAGGTGACTCTCGGTCGCACCTGATTTTACGGTACCTGCACCAGTCGCATACTATTATCATGTATGCAATGCAATGTAATGTACGTATTACGTGTAATTTTAGTTTATCTGGATGTGCTAGTCGGAGATTTTCATTTTTTTTTTTTTATCTCTGGGGACTGAAATATATCATGACGGACACTCATCCAATGACAAGTGAGGAAGAGTCTTATTTGAGTCCAAATCTGGCGACGATCATTGTTCTATTATTTCCACCAACAAAGTATACTTCTGCATGTGGGGAGAGAAGGGAAGGCTTAAAATAAAAAAAAACAAATAAATTAAAAATAAATTACCTTGGTTGACATTCAGGCGTTTCCTGTAGGCAGCGCTATGTGCTGGGCTGAGATTCTGGGGCGCTCCTTTTTTCTTACCAATTGAGGAAGTTTTTGATGAAGTTAAAGTCGAAGTTGGTATGGGTGTGGCAATGGGCGAAGCTGTCGGAATCTGTTGTCGTTGTTGCATATCCATTGATGAGGTCAAGGGAGACAAAGTCAGTGAAGCACTCGTGGATGAAGTCAATTGAGCTGTTGATGTTGCCTCTGTAGCATGGATACTATGTTGCTCAAGAAGCATCGAGGTATTGACCATATCCACCTGGACGAGACCTCCTAAGGGACTTTCCATTAGGCTCATCGATGGCATTGATGACGACGATGGTGGTGATGATAATTGGGAAGTAGGGATTGTTGACTGGCTCGCGTCGCTCGCAGTGATATTTGTGCTCTTTGCCATAGAGAGCATATCCGATGCCATTTCAGACCCATTTGTTGACTTTGCTGAGATTGTATTTAGTGTTGGACTAGTGGATCGTCGATTCAGGTCCTGTCTAGAGGATGATGCTGTATATTGCTTTGAAGATTGCTGCTGTTCTAACTGTGGGGATTTAGCTGTCGCAGACGTTGGTGAAGTAGTGGTGGAGAAGGAAGGAGAAGTGGATGACTGAACGCCTCCCTTGCAGCTTTGCTTAGGATCACGTACAATGAGAAGACCGGAGAAAGTCATTCTGGATAAATTATGGGTGAAGGTAAATGAAGCAAGGTTATGCAGTAGCGAGTGAAGAGAGAGAATATACTGTATACAAAAGATGATAGTGCTAGACGAGATGTAAGTAATGATCCAGGAACAAAAAAAGAGGACTGGAGAAGTTCTCCAGATGATGCAAGGGTGGATTTTTTTTTTTTTAGAGAGAAGATCGGTAGAGGGTTGATATGCAGAGGGATGTGCAGGAATGTATGTGTTGTGTGGGATGCGAAGGAGAGGAGTGTCGAGTATAAATTTCTTGTAACAAAAGATCTACAGTGTGAAATAAAAAAAAGTGCAATTCCATTCAACACACACACACACAGATGAAGAACGAATGCAAGTTGCAATCGAAATGAGAAAGATGAAAAGCTTTGAACGAACGAAAGCAAAGAATACAATATACTAGAAAGAAAACAAAAAGAAAGAAAAAAAATGAAACAGAAAAAAGATGTGAAAAGAAGAGTGGAATAGGAAGGGAGATATAGTTTTTACAAGCAATTATAGTGCAAACTGGTCAAGAGGAAAAGAAAAAGAGTGTTAAGGAGTTGAAAGAAGAGAAGGTTTTGTGTATTGCAGCAGTTTGTGGGTCATTCAACCAACTGAACTCTAAAGTACATTTTCATCAATATGCAACAAACCGGATTGCACCAATGTCTCTCTATTGTTAATAGATCCTTGGTTCCCAAATGACGGCTGCTAGAGTGCCACCTTAGGAAAGTGACTGTAAGTGAATACGTTCGACTTTATTGAAACAATTGAAACAATACGAAAATAACCAACCCGGGTGATGGTTGAAAAGGTGAGTTGTCTTACAGTTTAACAAGACTATTTTCTCTCTAAAGAAGCCTCTGCCAAGGGTACGATCCCAAGCTGATCAACCATCCTCCATTCCAATATCCACGGAATTTCCCAACAGCCAAATGCTTGTTAAGCAAGCCTTTTTTTTTTTTTTTTTTTTTTTTTTTTTAGGCCTAGACGCACTAAGAGACTATAAAAGTAAATGAATGTATTTGTCTGTTAAAGGTCAATTCTGATCAAGAAAACAGTTGAACTTCCTGAAACGGAGTGGGCCAGAACACAGAAAAAGAGAGAGAGAAACCTGCAGCGATATAGGCCCATGAAAGTAGCTACTGGACTTACTGACGAATCAAATGAGCAAAAGTCAAGTAAAAACCATCACACGCATACTAAGCATGTATTGGCTCAATCAAGCCCTTTACGCCCATTTTCTCCCTTCCTTCTTCCTCCTCGGTTTCTTTTCCGAAGCTGAGAGTCAAGTGCGCAGAAAAAAAACTGGGGTCAAACGGTTTATGATGTGATATTTGTATTAAGAAATGTACATATGCCCTCTAAACCTTTTCTTGCTGAAACACACATAAAAAGCAGAATCTGGGGAAAAATCCGGGGGGGACGCAACAATTCGGAGCAAAAAGAAAAATTCAGAGCCGTGCGTGATAGTTTTTGATAAATTGAGCTGCATTAGATTTTGAACAAAAGGCAAAAGGGCCACAATGGTGTTAGGGAACACCATCAGGGTCAAGATTTAGACTAGGAACATGTAATAGATTAACTCGTGAGAGGAACGAAGATCTATGTTCGTTTGGGCTTGCTACTTATTAACGTCAATTCCGGTTATTTCCTTATCCTCTCCAGTCCTATTTGATCCTTTGGTCACCGAAATCCCCCTATTGCTCTTGAAGAACCTGTCTAGTCCTGTGCTTTATTAATTACAAAAAGGAAAAAAAAAAACATCAGCCTGGGTCACCTCTTGATAGTCTTTATTAGACTGCTAGGTTTTCTCCAAGTTTTGTCCTTGAAATGTTTTACTCCTTTTCCTTATCTCTGATTACATTTTTAACTTTCTTCTTGATTTTAACATTGGTCATGAAGCAAAACAGCTTAATGACAAAGAAAAAAAAAAAAAAATCTTTCAGGTAATAGGGATATAATTCTACAATGTTGAACACTGTATCCAAAATATGTCCTTTAATAGGATTCAGATCAGGCAGAGGAACTACTGGGCTCGTCATTCATTGTTTCGACTGGTCGATAGTCCAATATGACTTTAATGGCATATACTACCTTTTAATCAAAATGGATGGATCCCTATGTCTTTCCACGCTCCAAACCCATTCCTTCCTTGAGTAAAAAATAATTATAATAGTAATTATGGCAATAAGCGAGGCCTTGAAAATTCTGACAAGTATGATAAAGTAGACTGAAAGAGCATCGAAGCACGTTTGACCAGTTACGAAAGGTAAAAAAGACCTCCTGTAAGCCTTACCTAAAGACTTGGACATCTCTGCTTCATTGAATGACAGCGCAGAGCGACCAAACTTTGGCCTATGTCTTTCCTCTAGTTTCCCACTGTATTTTGTAAATCTTTTGACAGTGTAGGACAGAGTATTAATCAGAGCCTCCAGAGCAAAATTAATATGGCAAAAGAAAAACGCGGGGAATGATTCAAACGGGGAAGAATGGATGGGCTCGGAAGGAACCACGCGACATGTCGGAGTGCAATGAAATGGGGTCAGTGCCACCAAAAAGAAATTGTGGGGAAAATAAGAATAAAAGACTAGGCAAATGCGACTGTTACACAACACCACTTTGGCTGCTCGATATTTCCAAAAATGAAAACTAACACGAACACGTTGGCATTTTTTTTTTTCTTTTTAAAAAAATGAATTCGATCAGTAACGCGACTAATTTTGTCTGATATTAGGAACAAGCAGGCAGAAGTGGTGTTTGTGTAACAAACTACAATCTACAGTACGTATTATACATTTATGACTACGTTCATGCTTCATCAAAATATTACGCGCTTTCTGAAGGAGCTCTATATTTTCCACGTGTTTTCAAGTACGGATTTCTTTGAAACGAGGTACTAGCCCTCATCTTGAGGCTTCATGCTATATTGATTTTTGGATCGTTTAGCTTATGGTGCTTGTGAAAGCAAAGAGCGCACTACTGAATAGTTCGCACTTTTTTTTTTTATTTTTATTTTATTTTTATTTTATTTTGCCGCCTGTAAAGTATCGCTTTTATAATACATATATACGAAGCACTTTATACTCATATCCCCGTCAGAAGGATCGTTCCAAGAGGTTCTGAAGCCTTTTTTTTTTTTTTTTTTTTTTTTTTTTTTTCAAGATTGCCAAGAGCATTGAAACACCACTTCAACTGGCACAATGGCTAAGTGAAAAAAACAATAAATGTCGGAGGATAAACTACAGTCCTGCACGAAGTAATCTGTAACAGTCCGGTACTTTTTCTCTCAAACTTATTCCCCTGGTTGTCTTTTCTTTCAGTTAACGTAAAAAACAGGCGATGTACCGGGCCCCAGTCCTAAGCTATGTATCAACCCTCTCTTTTCTTGTAAAGTTCCATGTCCTTATATTAATGGGGGTCGAGGTCTATCTGTACGTTATTATTTTTCTTTCTTTCCATTCGGCTTACCTACTTGCTGTTAAGAATAAGGGAGGTGTCTAAATAATGCTGTATCTCTAATTGCACTAGTGGACTCTGTATATTCCACGTCGAAAAACACGTACAAACTTCTCAGTGGTCCATCTAGAGGGTAAAAGTTCTAAAGAGTCAAAGCGTAGAATATTTTAAATGAAGATTGTCCTTGGACATTTTTTTTTTTTTTTTTTTTTTTTTCAGCTGCATCGGAAATTGTTTGAGCGTGATAAAATGCCCGAGAGTGGACGACTTCTTTTTTTAACCTTCTGGGACAATCATAGATGCACAGCAAACCCAAAATTGAAAGCCTTCTAAATGAATGCGTATCATTTGTATTTCCATTTGTACATTATTATAAGTACATGCTATTCCTCTAGACTTTGGCTGTACCTGACTTTTTCCCTTCTCAAGATCATCCGTATGACCTACAGTATATACCATTTTCACAACTCAGGGGGGTGAGACGCAAGGAAGTGGGAGGAAAGATAACCTTTTCATGCATGTGTCCCGCAGAATAGACTAATAAAAAAAAAGGCCATGTTCTTCCCCTGTCTGAATAAAAGTGACAATGCATCAATGGATCAATGTGGTCTTGATTTTCTTTCTCCGCTCTCTCTCTCTGTCTTCTTGTTCATCCTAGCTTAAGATGGTAAACGTAAATGCTTGAACCACTTCTATCTGCAAGTTTGCTTTGCCTCCGGTTCTTATTTTTTATACTTTCCTTGGTCTTGCCCTGTGCTTTTTTTTTTTTTTTTCCCTCTTCTATTGCTTATTTTAGGATTATCGTTTACCATCATAGCTCGCTTGAGTTTCTCAAATACAGAGTGATGGATTCTCATTGCTATCAAGGGGAAAGGGGTGAAAAGAAGGTTAGGGGCCTTTTGATTTGCATTCCTTTCAAATCTCCTTTAACACTGTCTCCCCTAGTAGTGTCTTTTTCACCTTTACACGTTTTGTTTTCCCTATCTGATTTGATCCCATTTACTTCACTACTGGTATTTTTTCTTTTTTTCTTTTTTTTTTTCTTTTTAAAAAACTCATTCAAAATTACCCTTTCTAACAAAAAAGAGGTTTTGTTGAGTCGCTTCATAGATCCCTAGACTAAACAAAGAAAACATTGCAAAAGGCGAAATTGTGGAAAAGTAGGTATTGAGATATGGGAGGAATATCTGTGCTAGTTTTTTTTTTTTTTTTGTTTTGTTTACATTGGCAAGGCTTTGAAATAAATATTGCTCTGTTCCTGACTCGAAATGCAAGATCTTCCTGAGGGGCTAGGGGAAGGAGAAAGGATGTCTTCAAAAATAGCATCTCTTTGTGATACATCAAGTATTATGAAGATCATAATATATTAATACCTTCTTAATATGCAAAGGTGTAGACGCAGAATTACGAAGAGAAGAGAGAGAGAAGGGGGGAGGGAGAGGGATTAGAATAGTCATATGCCCTGATACATGTCGTAAGAAGACATTTGTAAAAAGTCAAGTAGGGTTTCTTTTTCTACCCGCATGGAATGTTTGAGAGGAGTATTAATATTATATATCATATAAATGCTTGTGTTTATGCTGCTTAGCAGCGAGGAGTTATCAAACCAAAGGGTTACAGTCTATGCATCAATGTAATGAGTATGTGTGAGAGCATTCTAAGGTGATTTGCAATATGCCAGCTCTACAAATCAAACAGGGGGTATCGGGCATATGAACTTGAGTACATGTACATCGGAGAAATGGAAAATAAAATAAAACCCTCAAGGCACAGCCTAACATACCCTGCACGATTTTTAATGCTGATCATGGACATCATAACTGGTCTATACACTATAGTTCTCTTTCCCGCTGCATTGAAATATCCATGTATATATACTGTATATACTTGGCAACAATTGGTTAAAAATCGTCTAGGTCACACAATGTTGTGCATCGCGATTTTTTTTTTAAAAAAAAAAATCTTAGCAGGTGACTTTTGACGATGGAGCAGCTGTTTCGCGCTTTAGTCCTATTTGTGAACTCGCAACGTGTATGGTATGATCTTTGACTGCGATGAACACGTTTTTCATTTCTGGTAAACAAAAGGGCACTGTTGTATCTTATATCGTACATGTCCAATGCCATGTTGTTTGAAACGACACTGTTTAGGTCAGCGGAAAAATGAAGGTAAATGGGAAAAAAGTAAAGCCAGCTTAGGATAACTAGGGATTGCTTCTTTTTCGAACATGGATGCCGCTAACGATGAGACAACGAGCAAGATTGACTTTGATCTGAGAGCAACAATGAAGTAAAACAAAAAATCGAGCGTTTGTGTTCGCTCAGGCACACAGGCTTTCTCCTTGTCAGAAACTGTTATGAGATCTTTGATGGAGACACTATTCGAACGAAAACCTTGTATCTTTCGAAAGCATCTTTTGGCTGATAAAGAGGTATCAAGGCCACCTTTTATTTGTGCAACGCCTATCATTGATAGATCTATCCAAGAAAAAAAAATACTCTTGGTGTTTTGTCACAAGCGCATTTCATAGAAATACTCCAATAACACATCCAAAAAAAAAGACATGATGAGTTATCGAACGCCAGTACGATTGTTTATTAACTATCATTCATCCAATCCATATGACTTTCGTCGTATCCTCTTTCTGTACCTTTTTTTTTTTTTTTTTTTTTTTTTTTTGCAAACACAATGCTTGAGAGCTGAACAGAAAGTTGAGCAAAAAAACATAAAAAAACAAAATAAGAAAAAGTACGATTTTACGTCAAGAAACTTCACAAAAAAAAAAAAAAAAAAAAAAAAAAGAATCCTAATTCGGTTCTCATCATTGTCTTCCACTTTCTTCTCATTCCCATCCTTCAACTCTCATTCACACCTTTTCTCTCGTTTTCTTTCTCAACTGTGTTACAATCCTGGAGGTAGAAAGAGAGTTCATAGAAGGATGAATGTTTTTAGAGCTTATTATATAATATAAAACACATAGCCTTGTAAATCATCTCATTAAACCCCCTGTGCTCTTCTCTTTCAAACATATCCTCAGCCTCTGTCTGTGTTCCTGCCATATTGTAACCATTTCTAGTAGGGTTCCAAGGCACCCGGACCTTTTTTTTTCGACCCCTTCATTGTCGAGTAAGTAATCCAGCGCCAACGACGCGTCCTAGCAATATGGTTTTATTTCATTTATAATGCCTCAATTGCTACCAGGGGCAAAGGTCATAACGCAAGCGACAGGCATGTTATCATTTTCATTTCCTCCGTCTCTTTACGACCGCCTCAGTTCCCGTCCTTTTTTTTTTTTTTTTTTTTTTTTCATTTCCTTACTAAAGAGGCTTTTCGGTGTATGTTATTAAACTCAATTGAGCTATTTAGAAATATGGAAGATCATTAGTAAAGAAAAAGGAATGTTGAATAATGAAGTGATCACAGAACATACGAGAGTTTACCCTGTGTGGTGGGCTGATGACAAATTCGGTGTTCTATCACAGCCATCGAGTGATCGAGTGAAGAACATTCAACAAACAACATTCTCAACCCCCTACCTCTCTCTTGTCTAGCAAAAAAAAAAATAAATAAAAAAAATAAAAAAAGTCTTCTTCTTTGCTTAGTCTATTCGGACCCTTGGGTTGCAGTGATGGGATGAATAACAACAAATGTCTCCGACAACTAATGCGAGGTTTTGCCCTGTTTTTTTGGTGTACGCTTGTATTTCTCTCGCAAAAAATCCTATTGTTTTGACCATGATTGGTCTATGCCGAGGTACAGATGTATAAAATCCTTAACAAACATGGGTGGGTTGTGCAGGAAATCACGCATTCAGACAGAGGCATGCTCTTTGTCCTCGTCCAAAAAGGTTTTTTTTTATTTTATTTTTAATTCTATTTTATTATTTATTAAGATATATATTGTTTTAAATATATTCAGTTCAATCGAAAGTTTATTTTAATTCCTGTATTTACTTTCCCGTGGGCATGGCACAGACAATACAAGGGCTACCATTCCACCATTCCACCATTCGACTATAAAAGAGATTGGTTGTCCAACCCCACTTTCTCACCGGCCATCATCTTCTTCGTTCTCTTTTCCCTCAATACCCTTTCCACATCCACATACCCTTCTATCGTTTGCTGTCATTCCTCAAAGACCTACCTTCCTTTCCTACATTGTTACTCCAAATTATAAACGTTACCACGATCCTACATTTTTATCTTTTATCTTTCATATCATCTTTATCTTCAAACGTTTTCTGTATTGATACGTGAATCATAAAAGGAAAAAAGAAAGAAAATACTCACTACTTGAAATATAATCCAATCTTACTATTATTCCATATCGTTCAACAATCCTCATCTTAATTGCCACCTATATCCTATACCAGCTTTTAATTTTTTTTAATATATACCAGATATCCCAGACATCGTAATATCTTTTATCCATCATGGTTCAATTCCCTGGAACAAAGACCACCACAAAGACCACGACTGTTAATGGGGTCACCACCACTGTCAAGACGATTACGGCGCCAGGCCAGCCCACTCGTATTATCACCACTACAACGACCAAGGTCCCTGCTGGTCAGCAGCCTGCCGACAATCAGCGACTCCCTACTCAGTTGGGTCAACCTCAACCCCAAGGCCGTCAGCCTGTTCAACAATCACAATCACAACCACAACCACAGCCACAACCAGAGCAGCAAGAGGTAAAGCGTAAGAGCAGTGGATTCTTTACCAACCTTAAGAAGCATGTCTTGCCCAAGAAGAATAACAATGTCCCTCAACAACAATACCCAACTCAGCAACAATACCCAACTCAACAACAACAACCACAACAGCAACAGCCACACCATACGACCATTATCCGCCAATCGGAAGATGATGGTCCAATCGACAACTTGGCAGAAAAGATGCGTCATGCTGCTCTGAGCCGTCCTACACAGCACGTGGAGCACCATTCATCATCCACCACAACTCAGGATGGAAAGGTCGTTCGGCACAACAGTGTGTCACATTCGCACGATGGTCCAGAAGACTCAATTGCTTGTCTCAAGTAAGCTTTTTTTTTTTTTTTTTTTTTTTTTTTTTTTTTTTGCTAAAACACTATTCTTCAATGTTCTAGATCTTATTTCTCCAGATTAATTTTTTTTTTACTAATCATAACTTTTTTTTTTTTTTTTTTTTTTTCGGTCTTGACAGGAGGAGTCGCCCTTGTGTTGCGCCCGACTTTAATGGCCAGAGATTGGACGTTAGTGCTATCGATTTTTCACGCGAGGATGGACATGCACGTGCATGCCCTAGCTCTGAGATGACTTCCATTCCACGTCTATCACACTACTTGACTTCCCCCTTCAAGGGTAATCAGATCTCTCAGCTTCGAACCATTTTCACCTGGCTGGCCAACAACATCGCTTATGATGTTCCTGCCTTCATGTCCGGTCGGTATGGTGATCAAGCTCCCGAAGCTGTCCTTCGCAATCGCAAGGCCGTCTGCGAGGGTTATTCCAATCTATACATTGCCCTCGCTGAGCCTGCTGGTCTCAAGGTTAAGAAGATCATTGGAGTTGCTCGCGGCATTGACACCCAAGTCGGAGACAACCGTCTTGGTTCTCCCCATGCCTGGAATGGTGTGACGATTAATGGCGAGCACCTGCTGATCGACTCCACCTGGGGTGCTGGTGTCTGTGACCTTAGCACAAGATCCTTCCGCAAACTTTTCCGCCCATTCTTCTTCTTGCTTCGTCCCAACAAACTCATCTATACTCACTGGCCTGAGGACCCCAAGGAGCAATTTTTGGACCCACCAATTGATGAGAATGTCTTCCGTGGTCTTCCATGCATCAAACCCGAGTCTTGGCAGTTGGGCATCAAGCTCTCTGGCAATCACCGGGGTCAAGTGATCAAAACCAAGGATGATGCTATTGAAGTCGAAGTTCGTTTGAAGAAGCGCCCTCAGGATGGAGCCACTGGCAAGATTGTTGCACGCTTGAACTGGAAGGGCCAGTCGATTCCAACATCTGTACAATGGGCACGTGAGGATGCCAAGTATGTGTACATGTTGATCAAATGTTGGTGCCCCAGCTCAGGATCAGGAGAGCTCAGCGTCTTTGGATGGCCACCAGGTGGTGATCAAACCAAGAATGGACCACAATGCTTGTTGTACAAGGTCGTCAACGAGGGGTCTGGACGTGCAGCAAAGCCATTGTTGCAGCAGTATGTTGTCAAGGGTTTTTCTTTCTCGGTGCTGGAGCCTATGACTGCACAAGTCAACAAGGGTGTTCCTCAAACGATCCGTGTCCGTGTGTTTGATGTGGAGAAAGGCATTACTCCAGCATTGGCCTTGCAAGGCCCTGAAGGGGGTATGCCAGAGAGATTGCCACAGGTTCAGCCTGGTCTTTTTGAAATGACCAAGGTCTTGACACCAGGTCAATGGAAGATTGTGCACATGACCTCTGAATATGGCTTCAGTTTTGCCGCTGTCTTTGACGCTGTATAAAAATAAAAAAAAAAGACTCGAGCTCAAAATCCTTCCACTCATGAAAAAGTAGCATTCTAGTTATTTTTTGTTCTTTCTCCCTTTTATATATACCATCATCCAAAAAGTTTTAACCACAGCCTTTGTTCATAATTTCTTTGTACTCTTTATAATTATTTTTGCATATTAAAATATAAAGCTGTTTTTATTCATTATCATACAAAAAAAAAAAGAAGCCTTGTTGTATTTCTCGAGGATAAAAAAAAAGATGACCTTACTTGGATTCACCAACGTCCTTGACCATTTCTTTGACTCTGGAAGGAGGCTATTCAAAGAATAGTGTTAATGAAAAGGTTGTTCAATGTAAAGATGATGCAAGAAGAGAAGGAAAAAAAAGTGATTTCTTACCACAGCAACGATGGCTTTGCCTTTATTCCAATCAACGACTAAGGGTCTCATCATATATCCTGGGTTTGCATCCAGGATTTGTTGAACCTCGGCCACTGTAGAGGCTTTGGGAGCCTCAGGAGTGAGGATGTCCTTGCAGCCTTTGGGGATTGAGCCATTGCCGAGGTATTCAACGATGTTGGTAACTTGTTGGTGTGTGGGCGGAGTAGCTTTTGAATCGACGACATCAATAGTAAAATCGTTGTTGACCGATGCTTGGCGTAATAGCTTCAATGCTTGGACACTAACATCGCTGGCTGGGTTATGAAAGAGTGTCAGCATTGCAAATCTTGGCAGACGGAAGGACATGGTGAAGTGAAGTCAAGATAATGAGTTTGGTATTGATTGATGTTTCCAGTTGATTTCTGTTTTTTACGAGAGTAAGAGTGAGAAAGAGAGATGGAGGGAAAGAGAGTGGAGCAGTAGTGAATGAATAGGCGAATCCGAGTGATGGATGATGATATATGATGGAAAGGATAAAAGAGCGTGAGAAAGAAAAGAAAAGAGAAGAAAAGGAGATCTCCATTCTTAACAAGTGATCCGGCGCTTTGGTTCAAGTTGTCATTACTTTTCACAAAAGAATATGACCTCATTTGTGTCAATGGTCCAATGCTGAAAAAAACCCATCCACACAGCCAGATTGTGTGAGATGTGGCGACGCTAATCCATGGTGAAGAGCAACAGGAAACAGCGAGAAAAGAAGGACGAGTGAGCATATTCATTGATGGGTATCGCCGTAATCAAGGCAAACAAAACAGCCTACTTTCATACGCATTTGCACGTTGATACCATTAACATTAACACGGAGTGGATTTAAAAATAATTACATCTTTTCTTATTTCTTCTTTCTTCACTCTCAATCCCCAATTCGTTCATTTCTCTTTCGAATCTCATTATAATAGACATCAACTACAAAAAAAAAAAAAAAAAAAAAAAAACGCAACGAATGTCTGACCAGGTTCCTGCTCACATTGCTCAGCAGCAACGGCTGTACCAAGCTGCAATGCAGAAGCAGAATGGAGGGCAACAGCAACAACAGCCTAACCCAGGATATGGTGGATACCCTCAGCAACAACAACAGCATCAATACTATCAAGGTCAACCCCAGCAGCAACAGCAACCTTATTATGGGCAACCCGGTCAAGTGGATGGCTATGGTGGTCAACAACAAGGCAGCTACAATCCCTATGGTGCACAGCAACATGGATATGGAGGATATCCTGAACATCAGCAACAACAACAAGGATATCAGCAGCAACAACAACAGCATCCTCCTGTTGTCCCTGCTACTGTTTCAATTCAGCCATTGTCCTACAACGGAAATTCTGGTGGTGCTGCCACTGCTTCTCCAATTCAAGGACAACAGCAACAGCAATATGGAGGATACGCTAATCAAGGACAACTTGCACCACCTGTTACAGCTCAGCAACAACAGCAAGCCCAACCAAGGCCTAATGCTACTCCCGGCAGCGAGTATCCTCTTCTTGTGGCCATCGATTTCGGTAAGAGTCTCTTTCCACACACACACTTAAATCTCCAAAAAAAAAAAAAAAAAAAAAAAAAAGAAAAAAGTCAATTCCACACCACATACTTTTTTTATGTTTAAGGCACAAATTGCCCGTAATAGTGAGAGATGTGTTTTTTTGACCAGAAACATGTCGACTAGGATAAAAATTTTATTTATTTTATTTTATTTATTTTTTTTGCTTCACCTCTAGGAACAACGTTCTCTGGAGTTGCGTATGCGTTCAAAAGCAACGGCGATGTACTGGAGATGACTACTTGGTAAAGATAAGCTTTATGTCGAACAGCTGGTTTCTGACAAAGAGCCTGCCCGCCCTAGACATTCCTGATTAGATAATCAATTAATATTCAAATCATTATCACTAATCTAATAGGCCTCATCAAGCAAATCTCTACGGAAAAGTGCCAACTGTGAGCGCATATAGCAAAGAGAATGACAAGATGCATTCGTGGGGATATGCAGCCAAGGCAGCGATGTTGACGCCCAATGGTCGTAACCTAGATCTCCTTCAAAAGTTTAAGTTGTTCCTCGACAATGATTTAGCGCCTTACTTGCCGCCTTTACCTAGAACTATCACACCTCAACAAGCTATCAGCGACTATTTACGTGCTATGCATACGCATGCTATCAATGAGATCACAAAGAACAGTGCTGGAGGCGTTGTCTTTGATCAATCTCATATTCAATATTGTTTGACCGTGCCTGCTATGTGGACAGATGCAGCAAAGGGTGTGATGAGACAGACAGCCATCCAGGCTGGTTTGATTCAACCTCAAGACCCTTCTCATCGTCTTCTCCTGGTTTCGGAACCCGAGGCTGCGGCCATGTATTGTGAAAGGAAATGTGAGCAATTCAACTTGCGTCATGGTGATCGCTTTATGATTTGCGATGCAGGAGGTAAAGTAGATAACTTCTTTTTTTTTTTTTTTTTTCTTCATCAATTCGCAAAGAACGACGTGTTATTGTTACGCATTCATAGGATTGCAGCGAAGAAACATTTTAATTATTTAGTTAGCGTCTTTTTTTTTTTTTAAATTAATTAACAATTTCCATATCTGACATGATATTGACGTTTTTTTTTTTTTTTTTTTTTTGGTAAACATAACAAAATAGGTGGAACTGTTGATTTAATTGTCTTCCAGGTTGATTACAGCAGTGGGACACGTACATTAACAGAGGTGACCCGTGGATCAGGAGCTAGCTGTGGATCGGGTTTCTTGGACGAGAACTTCTCGATGTTAGTTCGTCAGAAGCTTCAGCGGTATGACCTTCAACCAAAGGCATGGGCTCAAATCATGGAAGAATTTGTATTTATGCACAAGCCCCAGTTTGATGGAGATGAGGATTCGTTCATTACCATGCCAGCCACGGTTGCCAATGTAGTAGACCTGGACATGCGTCTCGAGGATGGACTGTTGGCGATTTCTGCGCAGGAGATGCGTGAGCTCGTGTTTGATCCGGTTGTGAACCAAGTCTTGGGGTTGATCGATGGACAGCTGTTCCAGTCACAACAATGTTCAGCCATCTTCTTGGTCGGAGGATTCGGTTCATCCCCTTATCTTCACAAGCGTGTTCAACAAGAGTTTGAGAACCGAGTGCCCTTGATTCGTTACCCTCCTCGTCCAGATTTAGCCGTTGTACGTGGAGCAGTGTACCACGGATTGACACATCAACCCGTTCAGGCTCGTGTGGCACGTCGTTGGTATGGAGTGGACACGACACGTCCTTACAAGGCTGGAGATCCTGTGGAAAAGAAGTATATGCAAGATGGCAAGTATCGTGTTCGGGATGGATTCTCGGTCTTTGTTCGTCCTGGACAGTCGATTGCTGTGGATGAATGTATTAGCAAAAAATATATCACGCACAAATACCCAGAACCACTATCATCACCACTCTATGTCTACAATGGAGAGAATCAGCCCGAGTTTGTGGATTCGCCCGGTGTGCAAAAGCTCTGTGACTTCACTATTCCTTTGCCACATATGCCTGGTGCTGCACCTGGTACGCCTGTAATATTCACCTTAAAGCTGTACTTTGGACGCACGGAATTAAAGGCCGAAGCAGAGTTCCAGAGTGGAGAGGTCATTTCTACATTATGCCAATTCCAGTAAAGAATTAAAATCAAACTCTATAATATCCTTTCGTATTTATATTGTTTTCATTAAATTCAAGCTGTTCATGTTGGTTTTATAACAATGCCGTTTTATGTTACATATTACGTGAATAGACTTTTTTTTTTTTTTTTTTTTTTTTTTTCCTTTATGTAAATGAAACCATGTTAGGGGTCTTACTACGATCAATTTGTATGAGATGCGAGGCAACAAGATCGTAGACGGCTTGAATACCGAGCTGAGTCGTACCACCTCGCTCAGTAGCTTCCCTACCAATAAGATCTTTAAGATCTTGAATTGCTACAGTCCCACCGACTTCCATCAGCACTTGGAGTGTACGGGCAATCAGGAAGACTCTGTCCGTTCGTGGCGGATCAAATTCTGGGGCTTTAGGATCAGCGCAGCTTTCAACTAACGATCTGCTAATTTGCCTAGGAAACAAGGAAAACGAAATGAACTTGCATATTCCATCGCGAGTAGAGAGATAGGTGTATAGATGTGAACTTGATTAGGGGAAGTAAGCTTACTCTAGTACGTCTAACATCACAATGTGCCGTTGACATCTCTCTAGACCATCCAAGAGTCGTTCTAGTTTCAAGTATGCTTCCTGGACTCCTTTTGGTAGTATTAAAGTGTCACCCTCCTAACAAATGGACGTGTAAAAGAAGCATCAACCATTCTACTCTAAGAAGCCTTGTTTTTCCCAGTAAATCCTCAAGACATTGCAAGCAGTTAAAAAATAAGATACCTGTATCGTGACCTTTTCATATAGCCGCATTAGCTCTTCAAACTGTGGGCTCGAGTCCTCTTTAGCTAGTGCTTCTGCGTCTTGTTGCGCCGTAAGTAGCTCATTACTTTCGCAAACTAGGTTCTCATACATGTCGACTTGCCAAAATCGGAAATAGAAATATTGACAATTAGAATACAACTTGATAGAGGCCAAAAAGTACAAATTTTGCAGCCAACAAAGTGTAAAGTGTCGATTTACCCAATTCCTTTTCTTGCCACCTTTGTTCTTGAATTCTATGGTTTAGTTTTTCAATCTTTTTTTTTTTTTTAAGGGTTAGTCATTGCATTAGAAAAAGTAAGCCATAGGCGTGGTTTGTTCTTTTGCCAGTAAGATGATATATGTCTAAATAGGCATTGGTTGTTGCTACCTCAAGCTTGCTTGCCGCAATTTCTGTATTCGTTTCTGGATCTTCCTCCTGTGTAGCGCTATCATATTGCATCAGCTCCATTTCTGAAAGACTCGCAAATCCATCCAGTTCCTGTTGCATTTGATTAAGCTATGCGATACAAATCAATGGTTTTTAGACAAAATAACTGTTAAAAATAAAATAAAGCAACTGTCAATTTTTTTTTTTCTTTTTTTCTTCTTTTTATATTATTACCAGCTGCCGTTTCTCGCTTAACATTTGCTCCAATGCAAAGATCTCTCCTTCTTCGCGCTCTACATCGGCCATGATTTCATCACCTTCCTGCCATCCTGGTCCTGACTGCTGTGTATCATTTGCCGAATTTGATCCTTGTAGCTAGTGTTATTGAGACAAGGATTTTGTTTAAAAAAAAAAAAAAAAAGGCCTACTTCTATTCTCTCCCTTTTCTTTCTTTTCTCCTATCTTCATACCTCTGCAAGTCTAGAAGAGAGTCTGGCAATAGAGGATAGAACGTCTACGTGTGCATTGCTTATCTCTTCCAATTGTTCATACACGTATTCATTCTGGCTATCCAAAAAAAAAAAAAAGTGAGTTTATTTCTCGTAACATTCAAGAAAAAAAAAATAAAAAATAAAAATAAAAAATATAAAAAATAAGAATGGCACTTTTTTAATTATTACCATATCTCATTCAAGGAAGTAGCTAATTCCATTGTTGACTCGAAATCATCCATATTTTCCCTTGTTCTTAAACTGATCCACACATACGTAAGTCAAAGAGAAAAAAAGGCAAGGGGGAATGATTATCAGCTTAGTTAGTAAATTGATCAAACTACGGCTGATACATGTATATATTGCTATTGCAAAAAGCCTTCTTTTCTTTACTTTACTTTCTCATAGTTTCAATTGGATTGGTAGTAAATAAGCTTTGCTCATACGTCTTTGCGTTTCTAACAGGAACTGCTTGGTTCTCCAGCAAAAGCGATGTATAAAACCGCGGCGCTGAAAAATCTGCAGATGCCAATCGGCGAGAAGCTTCCTCCAGCTCCAAGAGCCTGTGGTTAAATGATGTTGACATGGCTTTAGTAAATTAAATGAATGGAGAAAGTGAAGGAAAAAAAAAAAAAAAAAAAAAGGCGCGCCTCTTCGGTCTTGAACCTGAAAAATCAAGTTGGAGAGAGATACACGTGATTAACCATATATTAATGCTTGCTTTTATTGATTTATTGGCTTCTACTGTCACCATGAGATGCCTCATATCCATGTACACGCACCCTATAGAGGCATGTAAATCTCGGGTTCCCCCAGTTTGATTTGATGCGTATAACGACACCGAATGCAGGAACGTTCTGTTTCGATAGCGGGATTGGAAATGTCTGGATAGCCTTGATCCTCTGACTTGAATGTGTCTTATCATCGCGATATTCCTCTTGCATTGATGTAGGTATCTGGTATTCAATGGTGGTCAGTAAGGTCGCTCCTGAAGAGGGTGATCCTTCTTTCCACCATGCACCAAGTATAGGTGACAAGCCTCCCTTTCTGTTAATTTCACCGTTGTCGTCATGGCCGTCATCAACTGAGTCATTTTCTAAACTTCTATCCAGCTCCTCGTTCATAATTTCGCCTCCATTTTCATGCATTAATCCGCCTGCTTGCTCAAGCGGCTTAGACTGCGGTCGCTGTTTACCAATGGGCGCAGCCAACCTCCAGATCTCTATTCCTCTTGGAGCACTTCCCCGTTCATACGCGACACGAGGATGTACATGCTCAATTGTTATTTCCGTTACCACAATACGCCTAGAAAGCCGGATTGCAACCTGTCCCTCTGTTCCGTTCATTGCCCAGCACCTTCCGATATGCGTTCCTGGCTGGATAACCTCCAGTGGGCTCGCTGGTTTCAGTAAAGATGAGGAAAAAGAGCGAGGTGGCGAGAAGATGTATTTGAGTCCAAGATTACCGAGCAACGTTGGCTTTTTAGGTGCCTTGTATGTTGCAGATGTCATCTCGAGCATAACTTCTCCTCCTGCACTGAAGAGTGCATAATCTGGTTTTGCGATCACATCTGCAGCGTATTTTTCTAAAGCCTGATCGATCAATTCATGAATAGCATGTCTTTCTTCAGGACCAAGCCTGTTGGGAGGGTCTTTTGGCGAAGGCCCCGATGACTGCCCGTCCCCGGTATGCTTTGTACCCATCCATGCTCTGCCCACCCATGATCCGAAAATAGATACAGTATTCAGTTTGTTATTCTTTTTCATTAGCTCGACAACTCTTTTTTCCATACTTGACCAAATGGCATCGACTTCCGACTTGATGAGGTTTAGAAATTCCATCCTTGACAATACCACGATACGATCGTCGATAGCCCGATGCAATAATCGCTCATTTTCATTCAGAAAGTCCATCCACTGCTGAGCTGTTGGCGACTCTTTCGACCGTCCTTCTGTCTCTTCGCGTGCTACAAATACCTGCCGCGCACGATCCCAGAATGCATCAGGGATTTGAATTTCGCCAGTAGCAGGGTCATGTGTTAAAGCAAGGTACTGTGGTATTTCCCGTTTGAGTGTCTCCAACATAATGCGTTCGATCCATTCCCCGCTTACGACGTCCTCCTTTAATGATCCATAGTTCTGATCGCTGTCCGCCATTTGGTCTTCTACTATCAAGACTCGTCGTTCAACTGCATCGAATTTGGACGTAACCTCCTTACGCAAAGCATGCTGTGACTGGTCAAGGTCTTGAATCGCATTCTCCATCCATTTGATCCAAGGCTCTAGCCCACCGACTGACCGGATAGAGCCTTCTGAAGCTTGAGTGCGGCTTGAACGGCGTCTATACCAAGTGTCCCGCGGGTCGAGCCATGATTGTGTATTAGGAAGCTTAAGGTGATCGAAAAGCTTAGAGACTCGAGGTAGCTCGGTTATAGAAGAGGTACGATGCCACCACAGGCCCAAGTTATCCTTTAGGGATACAGTGGAGGACGCTGCCGAAGGCCCATTCATCGATAAAGTCATATGCAATGCAAGTCCCACAAACATCATCATGCAAAAAAAAACTAGAAGCTGTGCTCGCCCTTCTAGTAGTGTGTAAACTAACTTCCTAATGCTACACAAGAAGATTGAAGTGGCTTGCATGGCCAAAAAACCTCCCGTCATTAAAAGCGTCAAGAATATGTCTACTATTATAGTCAAGGCGTAGTAGAATGGCATCATGAACCATCTTACAATAGCCTCCAATACCCCCATTAGGACGTGACCTATCCAGGATATAATCCACAATATTACCGAGGCTGGCAAGGATTGACCACTCAAACCATTCACTTCTTCCAGTGACCTTTGGGTAGCATCTGTATCCACTGATAATCGCCAAGAGTTTGCTGTTTGGTGATGTCCTCGGCTCCACCATAACTTTATTGCACTCCACTTCGTGGCAACCGATCCTCTCAGTTTATTAGCATGCTCACGCTCCAATTCCCTGTAAATCTCCTCTTCCTCGGTATAACTCCTCGTATCACTGTTATCATCACTATCATCATCACTACCGTCATCACCGTTGTCGTCGACGCCACTGTCGTCCTCACTCCTTGATTTAGTCTTCATAAGGTTCGTAGCGGATCGATACCTGTCCTTCCCACTACATCGAGCTTGAGTGGCTTTAATACCGTCATTCCTGACGATTGCGCCGTCAGTGGAGCTGGGGCTGGATTCTTTAGGGAGCAACGGCGGAGCAGACATGTTGTAGGCGCTTTCGGAATCGCTACTACTAAGCTGGTGTTAAAAATTGCGTTGTGGTGGTTACTACGACACGATTGGAGACTGATGGTGTGATAATATACTGAAAATCCACAGGCCCGGGACGGAATTTTGGTTATTTATATGTGTTGGGGATATTCTGTAAAATAACAAGCATAATGCTATTGAGTGGCGGGAGTAGGGGAGATAAAAAGCGAAACGCAAAGAGCAGAAATAAGATGAACAGTTTGGTTGTTTAGCTGTGGCAGTAGGCTTCTTTAAGGCAAAGTAAGAACTTTGTGCACACAAGGAATTTAAATCTGTCTTCCTTCATGATCTTTCTCTTGATCAACAACACAGTATACATTATTGAAACTACAAAAAAGAAGTATACAGTAGTTTGTACCACAGTTGATGATATGTTATATTTCCGTGTTTATGCGTTTACCATTGCAAACATGTAATGTATCGCCTTTGTTCATTATTAAGCTATTAGGATAGACTATATGCAAGGTTAAGGGTATATGGTTTAGGGTTGATATTTTACTAGGAGGGGGAAGAAGGTGAGAGATTGATCCTCAAAGGGTTTTAGATCAATGCAAAGACAACTGTGCTAGCAAGAGCAAGAGCTTGCGTGGTATACGGCACGAGGAACCCGCCTGATGCGCCGTTTCCTCTATCTTTAGACAAACCAATAGGCTCATCGACCTCAATATTGGCACCACCAGTGGTGACCTTATTAACAATAGTGGAGCTCTTGTTGGTAAGCTCAGCGAAGCCAACGCGACCACCTGTCTCTGCATTTGTACCAAAGTCAAAGACAGTGTAAACATTCTTGATCAGCGTGTCTCCCAGAAGCCAATTCTAGAATTCAAAGTAAAGCATCAAATTGAACTGAGTTAGCTGAGAATTTAAGGACAAGTTACCGATCGATGAAAACATCATTTTACTCCTCTTACAGAGATGACTGAAACACTGCCAGTAGCAAACATGGCTGAACTTGCACAGTATAGAGCACCTGTCTCGATGTCCTTGTATCGAATGTTTTGAATTGCAAAGATGTGGTATGGGATCGTAGCCGTGAAGTTTCCAAAAGTAAACGAAACAGGGGTGTCACCTTCACATGGGATGATCCAAACGATACCGTCAGCTGATTCGGTCTAAAAAAAAAAAAAAAAAGCACGATAGTAGAAAAATAAATCATTAGCTAAACGCAGATGAACAATGTACAGCATGTCATTAAGTCTATGAAAGCTAACTTACCAACTTAACACTACGGGGGATAGCGCTATTGATAGCGTCAGATACAACCTCGGGAAGAAGCATAGCAGATGTACCAGTGTCAATCGTTGCCAATGCACTTGTCACAGCGATTTTTTTGCCGTTTACAGATACACTACCAACAGGAATCTAATGGCGCCAAACAAAGCAACACATAACCATTGAGTAAATTCAGTGCATGACATCGCTATGCATGCAGATGTAACATAAAAGAGAAAAAAGCAGTGAAGCGTACAGTCCATGGAGCGGATGGATCACAATCAACATAGGTGATACCGCCTGTGAAGCGGGATGGGTCTACACCTCCAAACGTAATTTCTCCACCAGGTGTTGTGAGTGACGTTGAGTTTGTCTCATCAAGCCAGATACCAACCAAAGGCTGAGTCAAGGCATCAGAGTCCTTCAACACATTCAAGAACGCAGCGTTGGATGGGATTTTCTTATCTATAAGGGTAATGTTGACAAAGATTTAGAGAGATGTAAGTTATCGATACCCAAAAGTACGATATGGGATATTTTATGTCATTAACGGCAAGGAACTTACATTGACGAATAGTGTACCACAGTCCCATGATGCCGTCAACCGTTGGCGGCAGCTGCGCGTTATAGCTATTTACAATGCCAGCAAGGGAACTGAAGCTTAAGCTTCCGAGGCTGAAGATGTCTGTCACATAGTCACCAACAACACCATCACCAGAAACATATGAAGCATTCAAAATGCCACTATTTGGAGATGATTTACAAGTTCTAAGTTTGATATATATATATAAAGAAAGAAAAGGTATTAAATTAAGTGATTGTGTCGTTTACAGTAAAGCAGGGAGTTTTCAAGCGTCAAAGGAATGGTGACTTACGGTGATGATAGGCAATCAAAGCGATTGAAAATATCGGCGCAGCTATCCCCAGAGCAAGTCTTGTTGACGACCCATGTAATTGGACTTCCAGTATCGATGGCTAAATTAAACAGCTGAGGTGGCGTGCCAATGCCTAGGGTCACAGCTGAAGGCGCAAAAACACATGCAAAAGAGAGAATGAAATAGAACATTTTAAATGCTGTTTATAGGCTGGTGGATTGAGGGAGTTGAAGTATGAAGATGATGCCCTAACTTACTGTACATCACATCTTGAGCGACGCTTTTCAGAGAGCTTGTTGAAGTTGAACTGCGCCTTTGCAAGTATCGCTTTGTGAGAGAAATGGCGTTCTGATGCTCGGGTCGTACCAATGCTTTCATTGGTACACTGTGATTGGAGATCAAGGAGAAATATGTTTGGAATGAATGTTAGAGTGATACTATCTCAATTGAGATAAATGAAAACAAAGAAAGTCGGTGGCGTATAATTGGATTTGGTATGGTTATGTGGATAATATGCTTGATCAATCGATCTAATATGTCTAATATGGTTTTATCGAATTTTTTTTTTTTTTTTTTTTTTTTTTTTTGAAAAAAAAAAAAAAAAAAAAAAAAGTTGAAGACATACGTTACAACACCGGTGCCTGCAGCATTGGCGAATATACTGCACGCCAGTCCCAATGATGCTGCAAGAAATGTAGTCACCAACATTGTAAAGAAATGTAGGAATATATGTTTGATTAAAGTGATTATGCAGATGAGGGAAGGTTGGGTTGGCTAAGATGATATATCAAGAGGGCAGAGGAGAAAAGGAGGTATGGTATTGCAAAGGACGATAATCAAGGGCACAACATGGAAAAAGATGCGAGGAGCTGGGAATGGGAGAGATTAAGCAGTGGATGTGGAAAGAGCAAGAAAGAAGGAAAGAAGAATGAAGAGAGAAGAGGAGGAAAAAAGGAAAAGGAAGCAAGAGGGGTTAAAAAAGGCTTGATGTAGAGGAATATTAATACAAAAAGCATGCCAATCCTGTTTCAATACGATCTGAGATATACGAACGTTGTTTATCTTGTGTTTGTGTTTGCGCTTGTGCATGTTGTGTTTCCATGCGCATTGACGCTGCAGGGTTTCTGTTTAGTAAAAAATATACGCCGAATGTCTCTACGCTCCGAGAGCATACTTTCTAGCCTTTGATTCTTGGGTTGCAAGGGCTTGTTTGTGTTTGTGCATCGGAGGGTTTGTGCTCAGACAACGCATTGTCCTCCCGTCTTACATTTTTCTCTGCGGAGAAAATATAATTTGAACTTTATTAGGTACATGTAGTGTCTCCTTAACCTTTAAAGTTGTCATATGTACTATACTCAGGCACAGGCACAGATACAGGTACGAGCAAATGCACAGAGTGTCTCTATCATCCAGGAACCAATACAACTATACCTTCTATACCTTGACTGGCCCGGGAGAAAGTACTTGCTCGACAATGACACTATAAGCCATCTGATAACAAATAGGCCATTTGTAATGTATTTCTGCTCTGCAAAATGCATGATATGCCGGAGAGATTCTTGAAAAAACATGATGTTTATGCACATGCCGTTGAATCCAGAATTATAGAATCAATAAGTTGATTTGATATTTCACTCTGTAACACAAACAAAAACGGCAAGGAGACTATCTCCAACAGCACCAAAGGCTGTTTTATTGCGCCACATATGCATTTTTTTATAGAGAGCTGTTAAAGTACATGTACTAAAAGTTGTCTAAATCGAACAGCAAACAAAAAAGGTATCTTGCAATGTTGCTGCAAGCTGATCCAGGACTACGGAACAAAAACCCCTCATTCGCTAATCGAGCTTGAAGGTGGCTGTGAGTGCCGGAACGCTGAGCGGAGAATACAATACAACCTTGAAGTCATAGCATGACGTGGAAATGAATCGCAAATCACATAGAGATAAATAATATAATTATGTTACCGACATAAACTATACAAACTCCATAATCTCTTCCATGCCATTTCCAAGCCATTTTGGACTGGGCCAAAGCTATTCCACAAATTTCATAGAAACAGAAAGGTTACAAAAAGATCAGCCAGTGTCGAGGCTTTTTTTTTTTTTTTTTTTTTTTTTTTTAAAAAAAAAAAAAAAATACGCTCATTGCTGTAAAGATATTTTTTCTTACTCTTGCAAAGACACGGCCAAGGATCAATCCTCCACTAACAGGGCCATAGACGCGCGAATCAGTCGAATTGTTAAGGTTATCACCCATCAACCAATAGTGCCCCGGAGGAACCTAAATAGGATTTCGGAAAGAGATACGTGTCCGTTAGGACCAAACAAAACCAGACCGATTTTTTTTTTCAAAAAAAAAAAAAAAAAAGAATCTACAGTTGATACAAAAAGACCACAGGCAACCCGAGTGGATTAGGACGATTGTTTGTAAGTGACTTACAGTAATATACTGCCGGTGCAAAGATACAGGGTTGATGCAGACCTTATCTCCTGGCACACCAATGATGCGTTTACAAACTAGTTTTGATGGATCCAGTGGAGAGACAGCTACAACGAGATCTCCTGTATCGAGCTTTGAGAACCGTTGGGTCAGATGCTCATATGCGACAATATCTCCCGTCATGTTTAGTGTAGGAAGCATTGACGGGCCAAAACACTATTATATCCAACATACCAAATGGCGAACAAAATTCAAACGAAAAAAAAAAAAAAAAGGACAGACAAGGACATGTGAGCATGAAAATGAGGATAGTAATCGATAATTATAGTTTGTTCATTTCAAGAAAAAGAATAAAAACGGAGTTTGGGTCAATGAAAATGGTGGACATCAGAGTAATTTGTACGCACTCATTAAGAGAAGTAAGGAGAGAAAGGAGAAATCATACCCAGGTGAATTCGGCAATATTTTCATTAAATAACTGTATCCCACAGGCTACCTGAACCACCAGTGCCGTGCTCCGGAGATATCGCGACATTGGGATCAGATTTATGGGGAGGAAAGTACAACAATGAAGACACTGAAGCAATGCATTGCTTCAGTGTCATTTCTGAAACACGTCATGCTGTGGGGTGTAGTCACGTGACAAGACTAGTCCAACAATGTTTGTTGGTTACGCGGTAAGAACATTTACGATTCTTTGTCATGAGTGGAGCTGTAACCTTAAAAAGAAGATCCTGAGAAAGACGTGGTCCTGCTGTTTTAATGTTTTGTATGTCAGCGTATCAGCATTGTAATAAAGAGTGGGCGGCACAGCAGTGTTACAAAATTTGTCGGGTATCTCACAGTATTAAGGTATTGACTACATGATTGATGCCTGTACTCTAAAAGAAAAGCAAATTTCCAACTTGACAAAAGGGGCGACCAAAGAATAAAGGATTAAACGCATACAATTATATAAAGACTTTTCCCCCTGACTTCTCACGCGCTTCCAGCAGAGTTCCGTACCACCAAAGAATGGGTGAGCACTCATAGTACTAGGGACTAATGTGTATTACAGTCATTATTCAACATGCTTCCTAACGTTAAAAAGATTAATAGAGGAATGTTGTCAAAGCTCGATAATGGTAGGAACCAGGTGGGATGCAACCGCCAGATCACCCCTATATAGTGCGCCATGGACATGTACTCTTTATCTTTTTTCTTTTTCTTTTTTTTTTTAAAAAATATAATGATGCTATAACTGCTATTAACGAGAACTCGATGTTAAGCACTTGATGCCAAATGACATAACAAAAGCTCTTGCACTGTCTTTTTTTTAAAAAAAAAATGTAGAGAGTGATTCTCTCGTTACTTTCTTCTAAATGGGTCGCGCTCTAGACTTACCTGCAAAAAGTTCATCAGCAATGCTCTTTTCTCCGCTTCCCTGTGTCCTAAGTAACGTAGCCCCGGATCATGACCTTGGGATCTTTTCAAAAAAAAAAAAAAAAAAGAAAGAAAAAGAGATAAAGAGAGACTTTGATATGATATCCAATCTTTTAGGTAGCCTGTTATTCTATGATACTCCATTGTCTTCTCCATTCTGCACTTCGACAATTTTGCAGCTAAGATATTTTTAAGCCGGCAAATGTTACTAGTGCAGTCGTTCTTGTCCAGAGGAAGAAAGGAGAGAGAAGAGGCCAGTCCTCGAACATCCGAAGAATGTGAGGTATTTATGGGCCTGTGAGTGGTAGAGCAAATAATAGAGGAATGTAATCCATACAATGACAGCAGAAAGTCAGCTGACCTCTTGGTTTTTGGGCCAAAATTGTGCTACACTCGATTTGGCAGTGTGAACTTCATTGCCAGCATCCTCCTCTTTGACTTCCTCAACCCGCATTCGTTATTTGACATCCGATACATTATGGGAGCTGAGTACATTGTCTTTGGCAGAGCCATCCCCACCTACAAGGTATACTTTTGTAGTTTCATCATTAACAATAGCAACAATAATAACAACCTCATGTATACATGTTCAGACCATCCAATTCAGTAAATCAGATCATATGAAGGACATCAAGTAGTTACCACAACCCTTTTTGGCTGATTCAATGACTTCTCGCGACTATTTAAAGCATGCAAATACACAGTCAATCGAATGGAGCTGTCGACGTCTATACTGGCTAAAATCGTGATCCATGTTTACAGATGTATTCATTTCAGAGAATACATAACTTCGGAACAGAGTACTTCACTCCCAGCCAGGAAGAGAGACCATATGCAGAACTCAGTTTCATGCCACCACTCAACGTCAATATTAATAATGGATTAATGCACGTGTATAGAGCAGAAGTATTAGTGATTCATAAAATAGAGACATCAAAAGCCAAAATAATTTCTACATGACAAACAAACAAATGATCTAACAGTTGTCCTTTCGTTTATCATTGTCCTTATTGTATTGCTCATAGCTGGCTCTTGCCACCTATGCTGCTATTGCTACTCCTATTGCTGTCTCAAAGTTCACCAAGAAGGATGCTGCAGCTGTCAATGTCGTTCCTGCTTCTTCTCAGGATGAAGATGCCTTTATCCATGAGTTCCTCAAGGCTGCTGAAGAAGACCATACTCACAACGTCTAAGTTTCTTTAGCATGTTCCATTTGAACCACAGCCAAACACTTGAATAGAGGCATGTAATAAATAAGCATAACTTCAATTGCTGATTTGTAGCGGCGAGCGTACAAGCCAATCAACTCAAAAATGGGCATTTCAGATTGTTTTAATTGTTGCACTAAAAAGGCTTACCAAACCGATGTCAGGGCGCCGTCGATCTCAAACAGGATAAAATTGGCCATAGTAAGCTGAGCTTTTACCAAGGGATGACAATAGTTGGACTGTAATAACCCTGTGACCCGATAACATCGTTACTATCATCTGCAAGTTTCTGGCGAAGCTGTTTTTCTAACAATCAGACTCCTTCCCTCGGCAGAGAGTATTTCCTGAGCCTCCTTGCTGTAGATAATCATCTTGTTTGTTAGTAACCTTAAAAACGGATCTGAGCTCGTTGGAGTAAATAAGGTACTCGGCCACTTTGGGACACACCGAAAAAGAAAAAAAAAGACAGGGACGAATGTTTTTTTTTTTTTTTTTTTGTATGAATGTAGGCTGAATGCTTCCTTCTCTTTTTCCTCATTCCTCACCCTTTTACTCTCGCTCGCACCGTTCCTCTCATGCAACTATACCCAACATAACGTTTCCATTTTCGACTTTCATCCCTGTCACTCTCCTCTCACTCTCCTCTCACTCTCCTCTCACTCTCCTCTCTCTCCTCTGTCCTCTCTCCTCTCTCTTTCTTTTATACTCCTTCTGTATATCACTTTTAATATTATTATATAATACATAGTCTAAAGATGTTAACAGGAATGTGGCCAATTGAGGACTTTCCGGAAATTAATGTATGCATAGTCATTTTGTGCCAGATCTTTCAAATCTGGATTGAATTACATTTTTGGCATTCCATTCAGGTTGGTCCCTAAATTTTTTTTTACGTTGCTGTCTGCTAAATGTGACCTTGATTCTCGTCGTTTCCATTGCTAGGTCCGTTCGTATATTGGCGTCATTATCGCAATTGTTGGCAATGTAAGTTGCTTAGCATGTATTCAATTGATTTGCTTTGACACTCCCCTTTTTCCTTTTTATTATTGTCTTGGATTGTGTTTGCAGGATTTCCTTTTCTGAAATCACGCAAATAATCTAACTCCTTACCCTCACTCTACTTGTCTTATTCTTAAACTCTTCACGACCTTTCTGAATGCTTCTACATCTCATCTGAACCAGATTCTAATATCAGTTGCACTGAATATACAAAAGTACGCACATAACCAACTTCAACCCAATGTCGTTTTGACTCCCACTAAGAGCGCTAAAAGCTTGCATATAGACCCTGAAGAGGAATCCATTGGTACTCAGTACGATGCCCGACATTATCAACAAAATACTGCGTCCACAGCTAGTGTATTGAATCGTAGCACCAGAAAACAAGGCTACCATGATGATGGAAATGATCATGGCCAAGATGAAGAAGAGGCAGACACTTTCAGTTATTCTAGCAGTCAGTCCAGTCGGCAGAGTAGTCTTCACAACTTTCATCGCAACGGCCATATTAACCATGGCGGCGATATGGGTCAGAACGATACCACTGCGCCTGCATTAACTGCTCTACATACTCGTCCTGAAGGACTCGATGAGTTTTACAATTCAGATACAGCATCGGATACACTATACCTGCGATCTAAGGCATGGTGGCTGGGCATGACGCTAATGATATTGGGAGAATGCGGGAATTTTCTAGCATATGGATATGCGCAAGCTTCCATTGTAGCACCATTGGGAACAGTCGCACTAGTGAGCAATGTGATCCTCGCGCCGCTTATGTTGAAAGAGCCCTTCCGCAGACGCGATCTCGTTGGAATTATAATTGCTGTCATTGGTACAATAGTGGTTGTGATTAACTCGAAGGAGAGTGAGGTTAAGGTACGACACCCAACTGACAATGATAGAAGGTTGTATCGATGCTAACGACAACAACAGGAAAAGTATACATAAACAACAGCAATGTTAACAGCAATGTTGACAGCAAAGGCAAAAATAATGGATTAGTTAACATGACAAATCTAAGCAAAAAAAAAAAAAAAAAGGGAAAAAAGATACCAAGGAAGACAGCTGACAGCTGAGATTTTCAGCTATGATGGCAAAGTACATTTCATGGACTGCCACATTTGGAATATCTGTTGCAGCCATTTAATGACTTACAGTCAACTAATCAATTATCCGTCCTGTGCTTTTTTAAATAGTTAACTCCTGAGTCTCTCGTTGCAGCGTTGCTTCAGACAAGGTTCATCGTGTACTTTGTTCTATGTTGCATCCTGGTGGGCGTGCTTGCATCGCTATCGGATACTATTGGAAGTGAATACATTGTTATTGATCTCGGTATCGTCGCTATCTTTGGTAAGAAAATGAATCAACCGACAAGTTAATAATCAAATCAGAGAGGCAAGACTGTCAAGGATAAAAAATAATTTTATGTACTGAAGAGTTTGTTTCTGACCAATATTTCAAATGAATGGGTGATCCACTATTGTAGGCGGTTATACAGTTTTGGCGACCAAAGGCGTTTCTTCCTTAGTCAGTCTATCATTTTATAAGATGTTTACTTATCCGATCGCTTATCTGCTGGTTTTTGTCATGGTGTCGACGGCAGTACTGCAAATCAAATTTTTAAATAAGTCTCTCCAGCGATTTGATTCAACTGTAAGTGTCGCTCATGCAATGTGCACTGTAAGCATCAAGGAACTAGCTGGAAATTCCTCGGATCATTAACATTAATAACGTCGCTTCAATCAACTCTATATTATGATCTATATAGCAAGTGATCCCTACACAGTTTGTCTTATTCACCACCAGTGCTATCATTGGATCAGGGATTCTGTATAATGATTTTGACGAAATGGATTTTAACAAGGCATTCAACTTTTTAACCGGATGCTGTATGACCTTCCTGGGAGTCTATTTTATTACATCACATCGGGGTATAGACGATCAACCTACAGCACCAGCTGTTGTGGATGCGCATGAGTGGGCGTTGGCTTCTCAAACGCATTTTGCTATACCTGTTAATCCTCGAACTTCGATTGACTCATATGCTACAGGGAGAGCAACATACTCTACGGAAGTCAATGGCAGATCGGAATCACTCATGGAACAGGGATTAGTAGGGCAAGGACAAGGCAGAGGCTCAATCTCGAGTGCTACAAGAGGATATGCGATCCCTCAACCACCATCCAATCGTACAATAGGATATGGAATCGGAGGCGGTGGAGAATCGTCCTTGGGACAAACTGACCGAACTCCATTGTTGGGCCCGTCATCAAGGCAATCAGGCTCTGGGACAAAAGACCAAATTTCATCCATTGCAAGCAGTGTACATAATGCTCTTGCGACCGTAGGATCAGCCGTCGGCACTCATCACACTGCTCTCCTCAGCTTAGGTATGTGAGAATAATAATAATTTTTTTTTTTTTTTTTTTTTTTGTGTATATGGAATACGTGATAACCAATGCTATATACCTTTACACACTTCCAATAGAAACAATGTATCCTAATGCCCGCAGGAATGAAGAGCGTCGTGACAGCATTCAGAGTCTTGGCCAGGTTCAACTCCCTTCACAACGGCCGCCACTTGGATCGCGCGCAAGCTCAGCTTGTAGCGGAGGTTTTCCATTACCATCCATAACCGCACGTCCTTCTAGTACATCGCTGGCTCAGTACGATATGAATAATTATGGGACATCCCTGCAATCCACACCAACACCTATGCATTTTGCACGATTGAGCAACGCAGGCTTGGCAAATGATCCAAGGTACCAAGCATCTCATCTACAAGAACGCTCTGTCTCACAAGATCCGTTTAACAAGAATCATCGGAGAAAGGAGTCCATACCTCTTATGCCCAAAGAACAGACTAAGAATGGACCGGTATCTTCACAAAGCAAAAGTTCTCTAGACATGCATGCAGTAGCGACAGCAAATACAAATGTACCTTCAAGTGGAGTGGCGGTTCCAAGGCGCAGCGATGATCGTCCTGTATATCATCCAGCTTCGGCTAGCGAGCTTGGTTTTGTAGCAGATGTATCACAATCATTGGACTCTGAGACTTCATCTACACCTAAAGCTACATCTACAGCCAAGTATCTTGTAGGAGCCATATTGAGCTCAAGCCCTTCTACGAATCATGCGCAAGGATCAGAATATGCTTTCCAAACATTAAAATCGCCTTCAACGGACCCTAGCCCTGCATCTTTACCGCCATTACCTCCTTCACAGCTACCTGAGGAATCTTTTTCATTTTTGCAACAGCAACAACAACAACAACAAAGCCTGTGGAAGAAAAAGAAACATGAGTCATTGACAAATGAGCCAGGTCCCCAAAGCGTGCAGATGCAACCGACAGGTGTAAAAAATACTGGCACAGGCGCAAGTTCGAATACGAGCGATGGTGTCAACAGACCAAGAAGGAAGTTGAATGTTTTTAAGAAGGACAAGGACTCTAGCTCGCGCTCATAATAAACATGTTCTTTTTTTTCATTAATAGCGTTTCACTCATATATTGGTTTTATATTTTTACAGACTGCTTAAAAAACGATGTTGGGTGTTTTTTTTTTTTTTTTTTTTTTTTGCTTATTTGTTTATTTGTTTGAAATGGTTGCTGTAAAATGTAACTTAGAAAGTGGATGAATCATGAGTGTTGAAAGAGAACATAAACTGTTTTAGTAGAAAAAATCTAGATTCAACGCGTCCATTTGTTTTTAAGAAATAAACTTTGACAAGCATATTGCAGCGAGCAATGAATAAGAGAAAAAGGGGGGGCAGTAAATCTGTAATATCCTTAATGACTTGTGCATGGTGACATGTGTTCCTGAATGTGTTGTTCATACTTTTCAAGAAAATCTCAGGGGCATCCTTAATCACCCCCACCCACCAGATGACCAGGTTGGAAAGTCAATGCTCTTCTTTTTCCTTCCTTCTTTCCTTTTTTTTTTTTTTTTTTTTTTTTTGTTAAAAGTAATGCCCTTTATTATTCCATAATAAGTCCATCCACCGCTTCCACAACTATCACTAGGTTACTCACTCTTCTCGTTGTTTCTGAATAATCATAGTAGTCGTTTGGAGGCAAAATTGAAATGGATATTAAGATCGTTTCAGCCATCACTCGTTTGGCAAACTACATGCCATTGGGGTCCTATGTCATCTACACCGCTCTGTAAGTTTGCTTCTTTGCTTCAATTCCGTTGGTGGGGACATTTACCTTGTTAGCTATCGTTCCTTATTTTTACAGCTTTTTACATTGTAACGTTAAATATATATTCTAGAGAGACCTATTCTTTCTCATTGGGTGCAACGCCTGCGCCAGTGACAACCATTGTCCAAACACCAGCTGCGAACTATACATGTTACTACTATCCAGGAACATCATTTACATACAGGACTTGTACAGACGATCAATCCAATGCCCTCAAGATTTCATTAGCAATTGGATTTTTCCTTGCTGTCTTTCTATCCTTCTTGAAGCAGATACCCAAAAATGGGACACCGCCTTTGGCTCCCAAAGATGAAGAGAAGGAAAAAGAGGAGGAGGATGACCAAGGTGTAGGAGGTGGAGAAGCAAACAATCCTATCAGGCAGAAAAAACAACAAAAGGGGTCATCAAAGAAGACGAGAAAGTATCGTCGGGGTGTACTGTAGGTTTTTTTTTTTTTTTTTTTTTATTTCCTTTGTTCAATGCATGGATATTGTTTGTAGATAATCAACAATCTTTATTCATCAATGCTGTAACCATTAACGCTCTTTTTTTTTTTTTTTTTTTTTTTTTATCTCGACCACCACCAAGATATGCAGAAGGTAAGACCGTCTTTAGAATCCTTTTTTTTTTTTTTTTTTTTTTTTTTTTTCAGCGTAGCTGTGATTGTTGGTCAACTTTACTGTATCCATACTAACATTGCTTTTTTTTTTTTTTTTTTTTTTCAACAGGAAACATTTACTATCTTGATTTTGGCGAGTAAGTTGTTCATCTCTTATTTCTTCTTGCTCTTGGGACTTTTGAAAAAAAAAAAAAAAAAAAAACTGATCTCCTTGTACTTCCACTCTCTCTTTCCCATCTTCAACAATAAAAAAAACCTTCAAGCCATCATATTTGGGGTCATGCCGCTTTATCGTTTGTCGCATTCGGAACACTATCCTTGTTCTCTGCTTCTGTCAGCCAATGTCTATTCCCAAAGGTCCGCTCTTGGATTTTTGTCTTCACACAGGTGGTCCTTTTAGTCATTTGTTGTTTTATTGCCATGTTCTGGATCGATGATCCCACTCTCTCTATCGGCCTTATGGTTGTCCCTACTACTGATGATCACTCTACCCAAACCGGTAATGACAGCGCTCGTCCTGGCACTGGTAGCGGCAATGGAAGTTCCAATCCTGCAAATTCAATAACAACAGCACCTGTGGCGACCTTTAATGCGAGCACCAGCACAACAGCACTTCCGATGACATCATTCCGAGTTTCCAAGGATCATTTATCCACAACCTCGGGCCTTGCAAATATTGCTCTCACCGACACATCCTTGAATTCACCCATGAGCATGTCCTCAACCTCTGGATTTTCAAATGCCAGTTCAACTACAACTCTAGCCTATGGAAGTGGAGGCACGGGTATCGTTGGAACGACGCCTACCACTCGCATGAATCTTGTAACCAAAGGACGTGCACCGACCATGTCCTCTGTCAATGAGAAAGAGGGACAGGAATCTATGGATGAGAAAGCCTCGCAACCTAACCATGGCCCTGATCTCAATTTCGACTGTAATCATATTCATCACCATCATAACCATCATCACGATCAGCAACAGCAGCAAAGGAATGATTTGATATCCACGACAAGTCCTGTATCTGGACTATCACCCTTGTCTGAAAGCCGAGTACGAGTAGAGGAAGCAAAAGATCATTTGTCGCTCAAGATGGATGAGGCATAAGTTGACCCAGTGAGCATGAATAGACTGCCATTTCGAGAACATACGACCTTTACTATAAGAGTCTTTATTTCAATCTATCCATATTGTATGTAGAACGCTTCTCTTTTTGTCTTTTTTCGTTTGTTTCTATATTCACAACCAAGACACCAAATATATGTATATATGTATATAAAAAAAAACTGTATATTACTCAAAATTGGATCCAAAAAAAGGGAACATTAGAGCTTTTTTTTTTTTTTTTTTTTTTTTTTTTGCTCTTAGGGATCTACTTTTTGCAAGCGTTCTTGTGGGTAGCATTCCAGTGAGCGATCTGGCAGGGCCTTGAACAGTAGGCGACCTTGTTGCATTTGTTACATTTGATTAATGGCTTAGGCTTCAACTCCTGAGAGCGACCCTGGTTGGCAACGTTGTCGGGACGACCACAGTTGGCACACGATGAAATGCCAGGATTCTTGAATGATTTCTTCAAGAGCTCAGAAGCCTCCAACAAAGCTGCGGTAGGGTCAGTCGAAATGAGTCCGCTACGAGTGGCAGTGCGGATCTGGAAAGCCTGGATAGCGGTTCTCTTGATATCGTTATAGCCAGTCATGACGCCATAGAGCTCCTTGAAGCGAACATCAGCCTCTTGGGCCTTCTTGAAATACTCCTGAGCCTCCTTAAGGGCAGCAGCCTGCTTAAGAGCCTGATTGCTCTTCTTCTTGGTGGCGTTTGAGGGCGCAGAAAGAAGAGTCAAGATGGAGAGAGCATAGTAGGCATTTGGAAGAGTGCGTGAGTCAGGATGGGCGACAGCGACAAACTCCTTAAAGTGATGAAGAGCATCCTGAGCTTGGTGGGTGACATAGAAGATGTTTCCGAGGGTAGAGTGGTTCTCGACGTTGACAGGCTCAATAGTCAAAGCCTCCTCAAAGTCATCATTGCAAGCCTAAAGAATTTTAATTAATTAAAAAGATATTTGAGTCTCTGGTTTATATAAGCTCAGCTTTTCATCACCTGTTGGCTAAATAGCAGTAATGTTCTGTCACAGTAGTTTACCTTGAAGTTACGAAGAGCCATATAGCAGTTTGCACGGAGCTCCAAGAGACGACCCTTGAGAGGCTCAAATTCCTGGATAGCAAAGGTCAAAGTCTGAATGCAGTGCTCATACTGTCCACCACTCCAGAGAATCATGATAACTAGAACCACAGGAAAGAAGCAATATGAAATGATTAGATATTCAGCAAATCTACCGACCTTTTTTTTTTTTTTTTTTTTTTTTGCTTCGTGTGACATTGTGGGATAGGGAACAGGGAATAAAAACATGAGCAGGAATGAACCAGTTGCCAAACTGGAAAATTAAGGTGATTGAGAGCCATGATTTTTTTAATCAATTATATCCTTCCAGGGACCAATCGAGCGCTCACAACACAATCCTCAACTCACGGACACAATTTATCCCACACTATCAACTTTTACTAGATCAAGCATGATCAAAGAGTCTAATCTGAATCATAATACTTTTACCAGGACTTTGATCAAGTAAAAAATTGCAATAGGCCATATCCCTGCATTTTTATATCCCAGCTTTTCTTATAGAGCAGAGCAAAGTATGAATGAAGATGTAATCCAAAGTAATGGTAAAGAAAGATAGAAAGTAAACTTACCAAAGATAACAGAGTCGCGAGTGTAAACGGTGGTTTGCTGTTCAGCACCCTCCTCCTCAGAGTCAGCAGTAGCTGTGGAAGTGCCTTCAGGATTGTTGGCCTGAACATAAGCCTCATACTGTTCAGCAAGCTTGAGAATTCTCTGGTTCATTAGGCAAGCCTTGTCATCCAGCAAGAATGCTTGCATAAGATCCTTAGTAACCGAAACAATCTCATCCTTGTGCTTCTCAATCAACTCGGCATCAGTGCCCTCTGGGATCTGGTCTAAGCGCTCGTTGGCCTTGGCGAATAACTCCTTGGCCTCGAAGTATTTCTATTGATACCATTAGATTTTTTTTTTTTTTTTAATGCCAGGCAGCAATAAGCGATAGAGCCTCTCAATGGATCAAGTAAATTCTTTTTTTTTTTTTTTTTTTTTTTTTTAATAAAAAAAAAAGAGATGAAAAAAGCGAAGTAATGAATGGCGTACCTTGACAAGAGGATCGGTGGTCTTGTCTTTAGTGCCGTTGACCTCAAGAAGATCATAGTCGTGTCTTTGTCCAGCAAGAGCCTGTTGTTGCTCATGGTCGTGCTCATGGTCATGGTCGCAGTCAGGACCATGAACATGTTCAGCAGACTTGTCCTCAAGAGCAATCTCGTTGGTGGCGGCAGTGACTTCTGCAACAGTAGCGTCCTCAACAGCAGGGGCAGGATGAACGTCGGTCATGGCGAGTAGTAGCTAAAAAAACGGAGAATAGGGAAGAGAGATGAGGAAAGATGGAAGGAAAGAAACGATTATGATCGGAATCAAGGAAGACGGGTTTCTCCTTTTTCCTGACTGTGAACTACTGTCGCGAAAGATGCTACGCTTCACTTCTTGCTCCAATCCAATGGGATCCTTGCGATCCAAACGGCCAAGGTATATTGTGGCTTATATCGCATTGTGCACGTGAGCAGTACTCATCATTTTTGAGATCGCTATTAATCAAATCAAAGCTTTGTGGAACAATATCCACACATTTTTCTGTTGTTTATTTGTTCGCGTTGTCTGGATATTTTTAATATTAATTCTGTTTCTGGTTTATAATGGGCAATGCTTTCTCGAGCTGTGTTCTTTCAGACTGCCATTGATAACAAACGATGACCAGAGAGGGTTGGAATTGATCAACAGAGCCTGGACTTTGTCTTTTTCCTCCTAACTGGGAGTCGTTCAGGTCTGCATATATTTGTACATGTATCCTGTGGATCGTTTTTTTTTTTTTTTTTTTTTTTTTTTGTCCAATCTGTCCTCCCAGACAGATGGTCGTGGCCCTTAAAAAATCGATAAAAATAACAAGAACTTGTAGATGAGAAGCAGCCAATCGCGCTTTTTTTTCCCTCCTTCTTTTCAAAGGAAAACAAAAGAGTGCGGGCAGGCAGGGAGGAATTTAAAATTATTGCCTTATTACCTTTCCTCTCTCATTGCCATCTTGCTCACTCCATCTTCAGCCTCATCCCCGCATCTCTTTTCTTTCTCATTTCTTATCGCTTTCACATTACCCTGACAACACCTATTTCAACTTTTTTTTTACTCAATTGCTCCTACTTTTACTTTTCTTTCTTTCTTCCCCCTTCCTTATCTATCATAAACAACATTTGTCTTTGTCACAACTCGAGTTTAAATAATCCGACACAAAATACAACTTATTACTTCACCAACAGAACCGACCGATGTTGCGGCTGGCAAAATCTTTTCAATTCTTCCATAACACTCCTGAGGATGTTGTTGCGCAATCCTTCCTTGCACAACCCAATGGATTCACAGTGACAACGCCCACTAGACACTGTATCGACAACTACTATGGTCCCGGTACTGTCTTTCAGGGCCAGTTGAACCTTCAGCTTGCAAAGCCTATCCACGGACCCTGTCGGTTGCGTGTTGTCTTTGCTTGTTTGCATACTATGCCTCCACCTGAACATATCCATCATCCACCAACTGCTCAACCACAATCAGGCCGGTCGTCCTCGACAGAAGAGAGAGGGCGTGCCAGTTCGGATTCTTCTTCACAGGGCCAAAAGTCCATTGGTTCATCCCATCACCACCCTCCACAACAATATAGCATCTTTGAAATTGATCATGTATTCGTTGAGGACGAGCCCCTCCATGTGAAACGACATGCCTTTTTGTTCAATATCAAATTCCCAAAAGTTAATATGCCTGCTTCTATGGTGGTAAGTTTTCTTTCACCGTTATTACCGCTACAAAATTTATAAAAGTTGTTTACAAACTCTTCTTCATCATGATTATCTCATCCTCTCTCTCCCCCTTTCTATTCTGTCTTGTGGCATGCTTGTTTGGGTGACATGAATTTATTAACCTGATCAAAAACTGATGCTCATGCTCTAAATTCTTTTTCTTATTTGCTATTTGGTCATTTTAACTCTTTTTGTGTGAATAGGATGGGGAGCGCTCTGTCATCTACGCTCTACGCGGGGAGCTCACTTTTCAGACCACGCCTGGTGTCGAGCATACACAGACCACACTCTCATCTCCTGCTATCCATCTCAAGTATCTTCCGATTGTGCCAACCTCAATTCCTCACTTTCCTGTGATTGAGATGGCACAAGTCATGGACCCGTACACCAATCGACCATTGTTCAAGGCATCGCTTGAAAGCCCACAGCGTGGTGTTTGTCCAGGTGAGTTTTTTTTTTTTTTTTTTTTTTCAAAATCCCCAGACACATTCGTTTTGGTGCATGTACACAACAACAACAATAAGAAAATTTCCGCACCAAAAAAGTGAAAAATTGTGCGTTCGTTGATGTCCGCGTGGACTTTAGTTGTTCCTTTTCCTATTTCAGCTTTCGGCTCTGCGCCTGGACCCTCTTTTTTTTTTTCATTTGTGCAAACCCTGATCCAAATGCACTGACTCACAATAACTCGTGAAGAAAAAAAGGACGAGGGTGAATTCATAACCAAACTCTTGTTGGCTATATCAAAATACTAATCATAGATGCATTCATTCATTCATTCAATAGGCGAAGAGCTTCCTTTGATACTCACCATCACCAACTCATCCGAAACAGACCTGCACTCTATTCATTTGACTCTTGCTCGTGTTATCTCCTATCCAACTACATCCACACCATCTTCACCTTCATCAGCTACATCACCCATAACATCTATCAACTCTGCATTTACTACAGATCCCACCACTGTGCACTCTGTAACGATACCTATCACCAAAACATCCAATAGGAACTCTACTTGGATGGAAGCAATTCAATTCAAGGTACCATCTACCCTAGGACTCATCCCCACTACAAACAAGGTGATCACGCCTCTCTACAAAGTAGATTACTACCTCTCTGTCTCAATACCACTTGCGATCCGTGGATCGGGCCTCGCTAGCTGGTTCACTCCCACAGTCAAGAGCCCTCCTCCTGTTGACATTTCATTGGTTCGCAGCGCAAATGGAATTACAGGATCCGAACCAACTAACACAGAAAATGAATCATCCTTTACCAATGGCACTAATACATCGCGAACTGGTTCGCGCAAGAATTCTGTCGATAAGCTCATCAAAGTTAATTTACATATGGACAGGATCTCAACCCTTAGCTCGACCATGAAATGGCCAACCTTGGTTCAGTTACCACTCATTCCGGTGATTGTTGGAACTGTCCCCTACAATATAACTGAAAAGCAGCTACGTTGGCCTATACCCAATTACTTGGACGTCACGGATCGACCTTGCTTTATTCGTGATCGATTTGAAGAGGAAATGATGCAGCATCTCGAAAGTCTTGAGACGCTAATTGTAGAAGAAGACGATCAAGAAGACATTGAAGAAATTATTCAGGCAGCCCGAAAATCGGCTTCCTCTGATGAAAGTGACGAGGAAGGCCAAAGAGCAAGGTCAAAGATTCCTGAACGCTTCAGAGATAAGACAGGTACAGGGAACTCAAGACGTGGGGCACATGCTTCTGGGCTCGGTACACCACCACCATCACCACCTTCGGCCACGGCCATGATTGACGGACGTCCTGGAGTACATACACTGCCCCGAGTAGGACCACGCCGGTCGATGAGCCCGAAAGCTGGTGGATTGACCAAGGAGCTATTACTGGAGATGCATCACTCAAAAATTCAACAGAGTATCCACGCAGGACTTCAGGATATTTAGAGAGATAGCTTTTTTTTTATATTTTTTTTTTTCACTATTTTTTAAAAAAAATGTGTGTGTATATATTGGTGTTAGAACATTAGAGCTGTTACAGATTATGCTTGTCAGAGTAACAGTGATTCGTGGAGTTAATTTAAATACGTGTCGCGCTTATTCAAAATTGAAGGGTTTAGCTGAAACATTTTTCGACTAATTGCAATGTGCTAGTTTTTATTGAACTACAATTAAAAGTCAATAATGTTTATATTTTATTCATCCTTGGGACGAAGACCAAGAACACGCAAATGCTCCAGATGAGAGGCGAATGCTTGCCAGAAGGTATCCTAAAAAAAAGTTTTAGATTCAATAAGTCTTTATATATAATTCAAACACAATTATTCCCTACGAAACCCATTTTTTCCTTACCTTGACTAAATAGGGCACCTTGAACTCGGTGCAAGTTTGACGGATGATGGAGAGAATTTCAGGGTAGTAATGCTGAGAGACATTTGGGAAAAGATGGTGTACAGCCTGATAATTCAAGCTGCCAGTGATGCTAGTCCAAAGATGGGAGTCATGCGCATAATCCTGGGTGGTCTCGACCTGCATAGCGGCCCAATCCTTCTGAATGACTCCGTTCTCATCCGGAAGAGGCCACTCAACTTCCTCGACCACATGGTTGGCTTGGAAAGTGAGTGCTAGCCAGTAAGAAGCAACCATATCTGCGATGGTAAAGAGAACCAAGACTTTCTTGACAGGCAGGTAGAACATGGGCAGGAGTAAGCGGTAGAACACAAAAAACAATTTACCACCCCAGAACATGGTGGTATGCCAAGTAGAGATAGGGTTTACACGGATAGCATCATTAGTCTTGACAAAATACAAAATGCTGATATCCTGGATCCTGACCTTAAACGCCAACAATCCATAGAGGAGAGGAACAAACAATTGTTGGTTAAGGTGGTTGATGAACCATTTCTGATGAGGCTTGATACGACGGACATCAGGTTCACCCGTTGAGACATCGGGATCAGCACCAGCGATGTTGGTGTATGGGTGGTGACCCAACATATGCTGATACATCCATACCAAGTATGACGCGCCGTTGAAGAAGTCATGAGTAGCACCCAAGATTTTCCAGACAGTGGGGTTATGGGTGACTATCAAGACAAGACGGACAGGGGGAGAAGAAAACCACAATTAGAGTTGACATTCTTGAGATAGAGCCCAGCTGTATGACAAGAAAGGCTTTTTTTTTTAATACCTGAAAAATGCGAGGCATCATGAAGAGGATTGAGACCAACTTGAGCACAGGCAAAGCCCAGAATTACAGCAAAGATAACCTGGAGCCAAGTACGTTCAACCACAAAGGGGACAAAGAACTGTGCATAGTAAGAGGCGATCAACGCGCCAAAGATAACAGAGTATCTTCCCCAGATTTCTAGTCTGTTCTGTTTTCATTCAAAAAAAAAAAAAAAAAAAAAAGAATTAGAATTAGAATCAAATAAGCTTTTTTTTTTATTTTATTTTATTTTTTTTAAATCAGATCACGTACCTTTGGATCCTTGCCTTGCCTCTTAAAGTAATTTTCTACTCTTGACTTGATTGTCTTGTGGAAAGCTGTTGGCTCTGGGAAAATAGGCAATTCATTGGTGATCAATTTGCCGACATAGTACTTTCTATTATCAAGGGAAGGGGAAACATTCCGTTTTAGAATTTTCTGCGATGGCTGCAATTCTTGTTAACTTTGTCCTTTTTTTTTTTTTTTTTTTTTTTTTTTTTGCATGGGCACAATTCGTACTTCATGATAGAGTCTACAGCGCCAAACTCGTGATACATTTCAAAGACCTAGAATAGAATACAATGAAAGGTCAGGGGTCAGATAACAAAAAATTACCCCAAGTTATCCCCAAGTAGAGCGACAAAGAGATGAAGAGATTAAGTCATGGTGCACGATGGGTGTATGGGTTATATGAGTGCATGTGTGTGGTGTGATTTTTAGCATGATTAGTATTCCGTATTATTTTTTGTGTCTTGATTGATTGGACGGAGTTTTTTTTTCAGTTGCGCGTGTAAAAAGGACCCAGAAGAAACACGCATGTATGTGGAACCAAGGCGAGAAAGATAATCAATCCAAAGCGTGTGTGTGGTTGCTTGCAATCCATGCCAAAAAAAAAAAAAAAAAAAAAAAAAAAAAAAACGCACCGGAGTCACATCTCTGCCTGCTCCGAGGAGAAGCGTGTCCACTCCACCAGGGTGTCTCTTGAGGAACTTTGTAACATCGTAGACCTAGTTGAAAATGTAGAAACAGTGAGTTTGGGTCCGTTAGCATTTAATATCGAAAAACTCAATCAAAATGTGAATCTGTTTTTATCAGATCGACATTGTGGAGATTGGATGAGAAACAAATACGACAGAAGAGAATGATCGATCTATCCATTTACATATTTCACCCACTCAACAGAGAAAGAGATCCAATAAGCAATAACAATAAAAAAAAAATAAAAAAAAGCTCGGCATTTTTGCTTTTTCAAAAGCACTGGGGAAATAACTCTGTTCTCATTGATTGTCCCTTGAGAAAAAGATTAAAAAGAGTTGTGTGTTTGTGTCCATTATCCGTTGTGTGAAGAGGAACATGTACACACAGCACCACCCAAAACGACAAGTTTTTTTTTACTCTTACTCCTGCTCTTCGATTGCCAAAATGAATGAAAGACAAATCGAATAATTTTACATTTTTTATTTTCATTTTTTATTTTGACTTACATTGCTACGCACAGCGAGAAGCAAGTCGTCGCCTGTGTTGTGCTTCGCCAGCTCTTGCCTTTAGGAAAACAAATAGAAGCGCTGGTCTCAGTTGGTCATTACAGAAAAAAAAGATTGATGTTGCTCATTTCATCTCAAGAACAAAAGAAAAAAAATTATGCCCTGAATAAAAAAAATTTTTGTACCAAGTAAATGTCTTTTCGGTATAAGATCCCATAACCTCTTTCTTATTGATATATATATATAAAACGTAAAGGAAAAAGAAGAGATACAAAGGCAAATACAAAGAAGAGCAATTGAAAAGGTAAAGACGAAATAAAATAAAGAATAATAAAAAAAAAAAGAAAGAAAGAAAGGAAGCTACAAAATCAACAGTAATCCTCTTAGTAAGACAGTGTCTGCACCCCCCCCAACTTTTTTTATCTTTGGCTATATATCACGTGATGATGGAAATAGGAAAAGAAAGTTGCTGTGCAACATGCTTTCACATGCACTCTTTTTCAACATGTCTTCACGAGATCACCACAACAGTGGCCACAGTAGTAGAAAGAGGGAAAGGAGCCCTGCAGACGACAGAGAAAAAATCAATGTCAATCGTAGATCTGACAAAGACAGAGACAAAGACAGAGACAAAGACAGAGACAAAGACAGAGACAAAGACAGGAATGAAAGTAGCCGTAATCACCGCTCGTCGCATTCGTCGCGCCACGACTCTGCAAGATCTTCCAGTAGGCGCGATAGCAGCCCAAAGAGGCATCGATCTTCACGGGATGACGATGAAAGAACTTATAGAACGAGCAAAGATGGACGCGAACATGAACGTGATCGCGATCGTAATTCTCGAAAGAGCTCCCATAAGGACGAAAAAGACAAAAAGAAAGACAGAGACAAGGACAAGGACAGGAAAAGAGACCATCGAAAATCTTCGAGACGTCATGAATCTGATGACAGTGAAGAGGAGAGCTCTAGCTCAGGGTCAGATTCACGGACTAACAGCGCAACAGATAGCGAGAGTGAGGATGACGAATTGGTTAAGAAAGCGAAATCGATGATTCAGAGTAATGCTTGAAGATTTTTTATTTATTTTTTTCACTGATCTTTTTTTTCATTATGGTTATTGATGCTTTATTTTCATTTATCATTTCAACGTCTTGCTAACGTTTTCATATCTTTTTTTTTTTTTTTTTCTACAATAACCGCCCATAGCAATTTCGGAGGATGATTACTTTGCGAAATCGACAGAATTTAGGTTATGGTTACGCAAGTCCAAGAAAAAGTACTTTGAGGATCTATCTGCAGATGAATCAAGGAAGTACTTTAAGAAATTCGTCCGCGCCTGGAACAACTTTACCCTTGATGGTATGTCGCGTGATGCCAAAACAATCAATGGATGGCCATGGGTGACTAAACGTACCTTTTCATTTGTTTGCTTACTATTATTTGTTTATTTGTTCTCCCATATGCAGAAAGTTACTATAAAGGAATTCGGTCTTCCCAAATGGCTAGCAAGGACTTGACAAAATATCAATGGGGTTTTGCGAAAAAGATTGACAAAGCAGATCAGAACAAAGTTGAAGCAATCCGGGATTCGATCGATACAATGACCAACACAAGATTTGCTCAGGAAGTGAATCGGTTGACTGGCAAGTCTACAGCTTTAGACTCAAGCAATACACCAAAACGAGTACTCGGTCCGGCATTACCGCCTTCTACTTCTATCCCTACATCTAGAAGACCTTTAACTGGAGACGAAAGTAGGTTTGTAAATGGATAAATAGAGGGCATAAAAGATATGTTCTGATAATATATACTGATTTTTATTTTTTATTTTTTATATTTTTTATATTTTTAATATATTTATGAATTACCCGACTGGTTTCATCTTTTGATTAGTTGCTGAAAAGGAGGAGCAAGACGAGTTTAACCGTCGAAAATATCGTGCGGAACAGCGCGCTTATCGGAAAGAAAAGGAGGTAGTCATGGAGGAACTGATCCCCAAAGCAACTGGTCGGGAGGCAATGTTAGAGAAGAGACGTGCTCAAAATGCCTATCATAAACGTGAGCGTTCACCTGATGTAGAATTGTCAGAACAGGACCTGATGGGCACGGGCGATGATTATAAATCCATGTTGGCAGCAGAAAGGCGACGGAGAGAAGCAAGAGAGACAAGGAGACATGGTGGCTCGGAGGGCCTACATGCAACAGGTTCCATGGGCTCAAGTCAAAGTTCAGCTGCTGTGGCCCTCAAAGAGGCAAAGCAGCAAGCATATAAAGAAAAGGAGGAAAAGCAACTGGAGGCTTTACGGCAGCTCTGGGCTCAAACCCAGGCTACCAAGGGCGGCTTGCAATAATATGCTCCATCACGCGGTCATCATTAATAAAACATTTTTCGTTAGCAACGAATATGTGATAGTTTATATGTATTATGACAACTGCTCGTCTATAGAACAAAAAGATTACAAAAGCTGCTATATTGGTTACTACTTGACTACTTGACTGCTCGACAAAAATCACTCGGTTTAATTATACTCCTGCCTCGATCATTTTTAAGTGTTTAAGCCCACATGCAACCTTCTTGCTTTTGATTCCTCGGTATTTCCATTGCTGATCACATTCAGTCACAGAGCACTTGCCTCGTGCCGCTGGATATGCAGGCTCCTTCAAAGGTATGATAGGTTTCTCTAATAATTCAATATTCTTGTATTCTATTTGCTGTTGCTCTGCCTCTTTCTTTATGATGGGAGGGATAGTTTGTTGCATCCAGATAGGTACATCCTGCAAAGATTCCTCGGGTATGGATAGCGTAGTACCATCGACACGATAGCTGACTCTTAGATAACTTGTGGGCGTCATATACCGATTTCGAGTTATTGTTGCTTCGTCATTGTCAGCCTCATTCTTTTTGGTATCTTCGCCCCCTTCATCATCATCTTGTGCACCTTTCTTGCGCTTCCCAGCCTGTTTTTTGAGCAATCTGTTGATGGTATCAAGTTTATCCTGCTCGGCACGCTGAGCGGATTGATTCTTACGTCGACGAGTGATTTCACTCCTCTTGAGCGCCAACTCCTCTTCAGTTTGATGGCGTTTCCTTGAAGAAGATGCTATTAATAAATGAAACGAATGAAAGAAATGAGCTCACCAGTATTTGACATATGTCTTATAGCTTCAAACAGCAGAAAGACAGAGTCGACTGACTTACTGGCGGGAAGCTCAAGGAATTCTAAGGAGCCATCGTGTGTATCTAACTTTGATCTTTGTCGCTTGGTCAATTGGCCCCCAAAAGCCATACCTAGTGATGGGTTTGAGAAGTCTTCATCTGTGAACTCTTCTTCGTCATCATCCTCATCGTCATTATTTTGAGCACCACCGTTCGCATTCTTCTTGCCCTTTGCAGCAGAAGACGATGATGCGGCGCCAACACCTGCTTTGCGGATATTTCCAGTCGCCAGAAGCTTGGTTGACAGTGGTTTAGTGTTTTCGACATCATCTTCATCCTCGTCTTCATCCTCGTCCTCGTCCTCTTCATTATCTTCCTCCAAATCAACCTCATCCTCGACTTCAACTTCCTCATCATCTAATCCATCCTCGTCATCATCCCGAGTGTTGCGTGGATCTACATCGTCATCGTCCATATCAACATCCATCTGATCCTCCTCATCCTCTATCTGATCATCGACATCACGATCTTCTTCTTCTTCTTCTTCTTCTTCTTCTTCTTCTTCTTCGGAGCTCAATGACGCTGATCCTAATTGTTTTAAATGTATTTAGAGTCAACTAAAGGCCAAAGACTGATCGTTTGAACTGACAATCACAGTATTTTTTTTCTTTTTCTTTTAGCCATCCATGCTTTTAAATCAACTTACTTCTTCGCTTTTGACCAGACATTATTCGGCCAACTTGCTTGCGTTGAGATGAAGTATTGACTGCTGTCGCTGCTACTGTCGCTGCCCTGCGGGACGACCTGGCTCCTCTACCAGTATCTAATACTGCTGTTGGTGCCAATGAAGCGGCACCTCCTCGTTTGCGAGCTCCTGTAGATCGCGACTGTGCTCCATTATCCTTGCCTCGTCGCCCACTATCCGGATCATTAAGATTGTCGTCGTCAAACATTTCTTCCTCTACTACTTCCACCTCTTCATCTTCTTCTTCTTCTTCCTCTTCCTCATCATCAATATCGTCCTCATCTGGCTCTGCATAGTTGACAGCTGCTTTTCGAGACCGTGTGGAGGATGGCGTCACAAAAGCATTCCGATCGACAGCAGCGGTTCGTGAGCCTCCTCCTCCGCGAGTAGAAGTGGTACTAGACTTTTTAGTCCCTTGTTGCTTTGAACTAGAGTTCGCCGCCGAAGTCATATTGGGTCTGGCAGAAAGTCTAGAAGACGAAGACGTTGAAGATCTTGACGGCGTTGCTCTCGATCTCATATTTTTGGTTGAGGAGGCTACTTTTCTACGACGTCTAGAATTGGCAGTGTCCTCATATGCATCCTCCTCGCCGTCGTCATCATCGTCATTCTCGTCTGAATCAGCTTGGCTATCATCTACTTGATCGTCCTCGCCTTCGCTACCGCTCAAGAGATCATCATCATCATCGTCTTCATTATAGTATTGACGTGATTGTGCTCCTCTTCTGGATGACATGCTTATTTTTTCGAAGATTCTATAAGTAGTTTATCGCTCTATTCTTGTTCGAAGAAATAAAGTGAGCGTTCACAGTCACGAATGTACCAAATCAGCTTACTGAGACCCTGAGATTTGTCCAGATGTGCAATGTTGATTATGACCTTGCCCTTTCCCTTCGATAGTATCTCGTCGGCCAGCATCAGCATCAGAAACAGCAGTGGAGTTAGAGCCATTCATCTCCGATGAGCTCCTGTCTCGACCCCCGTAGTAACAACACTCTGGCGTTGACGATGCATTATTACTGTCTTCATGTACTGGTACCAACAAATTGAAAGTTTGACTCCGCACAAGATACTCCTGACATGAGTAACTGGTAAGAGGAGAATATTCTTAAATTTTATCATGATGGGATGGACTTGACGAGAGCCATGGTTCTTCATCGCCATCATAGTCATTATAATGGGTATAGTTGTGCTTGTTATTCCTACGTTGTTGAGCGGTACAGCATTCTCTTTGACACAAATCAAGATCTGCTGACGACAAGCTTTTGTAAGGGATGCACCTTGTGGTGCTCTTTGGTCGCATAAATGCGGACGGCACAATCGGCACAGGCATTATTTCATAGACAGAAGGTGTCCTCAAGTATATATGAAGTGCATCGCGAGGTGGGGGAAGAGCACAAAAACTCGGTAGAGCTCTAGAGACACTTGAGGATCTTTCAGATCCGTTATAGGGCTCTATACCTAGCGCGACGGCATTGCTATTACTGTAACTAATGATATCTCTTTGGTGTCCGAAACCCAGCATTAACTGATGAGATTCCTTTAGTGATGATTTTGATGGTAGCGGCGGAGGAACACCCCATGGCGGTATTGAATATAAAATGGGTGCTGAAATCCCTATTGGTTTCTGAGGTTGCTTTATCTTTCTTTGCCAAGGCCTTAGCATCATCATATTTGATTGGTATGATGGTGATGACGGTGATGATGATGATGTTAAAGCGGATCTTCGACCTTGATACTCCTGTCTCGCTCACTTGCGCCGTCGATAGAGCTCAAAGAAGAAGTAATAGCATAAAATAACCATAGTAAGAGTACCGAAGGCAATCAAGCCAGTGATAACCTCATTTTGCAATAAACTCCCATAATCTTGAAGAAGTTGATGCAATGGTAGCGGAATTCGACTGATTCTCACGTGTAGGCCGCGGTGCCATTAATAGAGAGGTTTTATAGGGTAAGATAGGCAACCCTGATAATATCTTTGAGTTCGATTCTTTCATAAGCAGCATGAAATAGATGGAGCGCCTACAAAGACGGATTGTGGTGCTGATACTGCTACCGTTAATACTTCTACTATTGGCGTTAATACACCACAATTCAAAATAGACTTTCCGTCGAAGCGACACAGTGACCCACCATCATCATAAAAAGAGAAATAGTAGTTAATGTATTTGCGACACGTTATGTTGTCTCAACACTGTTATATTGACATTGTTTTTGAAAGGGTCCACAGAGCCGTAGGAGAATACAAATGCTCTACCTGATTGATTTCAACATTTGGGAGTTTAAGTGCCACTTGGTGAGCTAGCCGAAAGGCCGTAGGCCATGAGCCCAAGACCTTGGTGCCGACCCCCAACATGTTTCCCATCAGCTTGATTTCAATTGGAAGCCATGCTTTTAGCTTTAGTGGCAGCAGAGAATGGAGTGATGGCGATAAAAGCGTTTGATTAGATTGAAAAATCATAATGGTATTTGTCTGTTGATCTCACAAGTTGCATCAGCGACTCTGTTCAAATAATCAAGCAGTATTATATAATAGGACTGTATTATGTTTTCAAATTAAGAAGATAGGCGGAGGTTCATAATTTTATCAACTGCAAGAAACATTACTTTTATAATTGTTACCTAGGATCGACGCTGCCTGCCGAAAAGTCTGCATTGTCGGTAGTGGACACTTTTTTTTTTTTTTTGCTACACCTCAAAATACCAGACATAAAATGTAAAACGCAAATTATGTCTAATTCTCATGTTTTCTAAAATACGGGCGACAGGAGTATATGTTCAGGTTTACAGACTTTATAAGCATATATTGATATTATATCTTCGTATAATGAATAAAGCTTAGGCTGATAGTATTAGGGTTAATGGGAGTAGAGTTGATAATGATAACAAAGAAAAGAAGATTATTGATACATATACAAATGGTAAAAGGATAGTGTCGCTTCCACTTCAAAAGAGCTCAAAGGCAACGTAGGCGAGCCCCAAGGTACTCAAGATATCCACCAACTGTGCTAAAGCATATAACGCTGTTAGCATGAGCAACAGTCTCGCTTCTCGTCTTAGCTCTTGGAACTGCAGACCGAGCCCAATACTGACAAAACTCATGGTCGAATACCATTCACCCACCATAAACGAGAACTTGTTGACAGCCTCTCTCTCTTCAGATGGGACAGCTGTGTTGAATAGGATGGCAGTCATGATAAAGCCCAGCACAAACTTGGGGAATCGGCTCCAAAGAAGTGTTCTGTAAGGCACAGGTTGAAGTTCCGACTTGGCACGGAACGCAATATCCTCAAATGTGCTGTGCAGCTCCCGCTTGCGGCGTTCTTCGCGCTTAGCCCAAGCAGCAGCAACGCCAACAGATATAGGACCAATGAGTACGTTCTGTACCATTTTGACCACCGCCGAGGTTTCAATGGCAGTTGCGTTATCGTAAATAGTGGAAGCAGCAATCACAGCTCCTGTGGAATCCACACATCCTCCGAACCAAGCTCCAGAGACTTGAGGACTGAGACCTATAGCCTTCGCGATATAGGGCAACGCAATGATAGAAGGGATAGTAAAAACAGAAATGATGGCAATTGGCAGATCGGCCTTACTACCTGCACCCAATGAAGCAGCGAGAGCGAGGGCAGCTGAGGATCCACAAATGAAGGTTGCACCTGACATGATCATGGAAGTCTGAAGGTCAATCTTGAGCCAGCTTGCACCAAGTACGGCAACAATGACGAACAGAAGAGGGGTATCAATCCATGAGACAAAGAACGCGCGTGGAGCTAGAGGTTTGAGAACGTTGAAGTCGATGCTAGAACATTTTATAAAAGTTGTTGTGTGAGCGAGCTAAACTTCATTGGAAAAATATTTTCTGACTTTGATTGTAACAAATAAAGTTGATGACACCAGATGATGCCATCAAACTATTGCATGCAAACAACACAAACTCTAGTATTACAAACAAAACAGACACACACTCTTTTCTTTGGCAAAATGGCAAAATGAATAGGGACACGGACAAACATTGATGTGTTTAAAATCGATTGGGGGAAAGGGGGGCGTTAATTATTTTTTTTTTTCCCAAGCACTCCTCTGTGAACGTCCATTTGAAAGCATTGGGCGTCTAGAAATCTCCAGGAGAGAGATGATAACAATCTATCACACGTCTCCTTTTTTTCTTTCTCCTTCTCTTTGGAAAGTATATACCTACCATAGTAAAACCAATGAAGTTGCAATGTAGAGTTCTGTCTGCTGTGCGACCTTTAACCAAGGAGGTAAAGGCTTGGAGCGACCATCAGGCTGTGGGGACCCTGCTATCATATTCCTGAGGGCTGCCCCAAATAAAATGGCCCAAATGGAGTCCCCCAGACTAGCGCTTTTGATGTTTTTTTGGGCTGCGAGCCATTTACTTAAGAAACTGAGTGAATAAACAACCAAGTAACCCTTCCAAAAGTCTCTGAAAGCCTTGGCTTTGATCGCCCACAACGCCAACCAGACTAGCATCCCCTGAAGCGGAAATAAAACTAGGAGCTCGTAGTTTTCTTTCCCATGAAGCGAGTCAAAGGGATTAGAAGACCAGAGCGCAAAGTGGGCAGGCTCAAGACCCTTATGGACCGCGATAGCAACCATACCAAAAAGGAACAGTCCGATCCAGCATGGCCACCAATCCTCGTGGTTCCAACCCATCAGCCAAGAGTGCCGAGTCAGAAACGTCCCCTGTTCTTTTGTTTTTTCGTTTCGATTGCTAATAGTGTTATTGTCTGCATTTATTGAGGGTGTGAGTGATTTATCTTTTTCTGAAAGAGTATTGGGTTCTGAAGAAGCGATAGAGATAGACATGGAGTTCCGCTTGGGAATTGAGGAGGATAGTGTAGAAGCGACGTTGTTCACAGAAGGCGCTACAGGGGATGTGAGTGTTGATGGGGATGATATAGGGTTAGGAGTGTAATTGGGTAGAGTCCGTGCCTGTAGCTGGTCAGACTGATCTGCCTTCTGACACATATTTCTTGAAGGATGTTAAAGGAGGAAGGGGAAGAGAAAGATCACTTGTAGCCAAATGGCAAAATGAAATAAACTAAAAGAAAAAGAAAAACTAGAAGAGAAGAAGAGAGAGGTTCATTAAGAGAAGACCAATAAGAGCATTGGTAATGTTTGTCTACAATTGCAGCGTTTATATACCTTTTTTTTTTTTAATGTTTCAAGACCAAGTCCCGGATATATAATAAATAAAAGATTGTTTTTCGCTCTCACGGTTCTATCTTTTGTAGTGGTCTGTTGCAAAGCAGCAGCAGTTAGTCCATGAAGCACCTTCTCTTCTCTCGACGCATGCAATTAAATAATCTGGATTGAACAGTTTTCATAACTCTTCGTAATGGACGGACATTTAAAGCCAGGGGAAAAAAGAGAACATGGACCAGTTTTCTTTACGCCCAATCCGCCCAGTTTCCTAGTTTTCCGTTGTTGGTGGCTTTTTTTTTTTTTTTTTTTTTTTTTTTTTAGACATTTAAGAGAATAATAACGACGATGAGAATGAGAGCAAGTAACAAGTAAAATTAGGATACAATGGCAAAGTATGAATGCAAAAGGAAAGTAAGAGGTTGATGTCCCTTCCCAAAGAGAACATCCCGGTTAGCCCTGTTATATGCCTTTGTGCATAACAGAAAGATAGAGACATAAACGAGAAAAGCAATGCCAATCATCCATGGCGAACGCGCTGTATTATTCCAAGCAAATTACTAATGACAGACAACACATAAAATAAGCTGTTGAGTACTGGTGGTGGCGATGGTAATAATAGATTCACCATGTATATATGAGCAGACAATCCAGGAAGTGCCACATGGAGGCGACCTGGGTTATTACGCCACTCAATCCTTGAGCCAGCTCAACCAATGTATTGATCATGGCTTTTGGAATAACAGAAAGTCTGCTTTGACAGAAAGCATAATAATAGTAATAAGAATTGGCAGTTCATTGAAGAGGATGTGTGACACGAGGATTCTCTCCCGCCATCCTGAAAGGAATTTGTCTTACAGACGCCGCTCATAACCGATGATCTGTTTATTGCCCTCACCACATATTTTCATGTTCCTTGAAGAACGTCCGAAGAGCCGACTGGAATTCTCACTTGCTGCGATAAAGGTACAGTCGAATTCAACATTTAATAGAGCTTATTGGTGATTGAAGCCCCAAGAGCGAGTTGTTTCGCATAGAATTCTTTGATCAACACAAGAAAAAACCTCGGAGTAGCACCATGGAAAATTTATAGACATGTGTGGTTTATAATCATCAAGCATTCTGAAAAACCCAACGGGTGTTACAACGAAGGATACCTATGTCACATTCTCGAGAAGAACATCGTATGGAATGAAAGTGGTCATCTCAACCATTATCGACAGAACGACCCTGAACGCTCCTTCTTGAATTTACAAGGCAACGCTATCGATAGCACTTGGATTGTTCCTTACATTCTATGGTCTGAAGCCAAATACAGCGCGTATACCAACATTGAAACACTTCCGTTGACCTCGCAATCTACAAGTATATGAGCAAGGGCCATGGCTACTACTGCTACAGCGAACAAGGGAGGGGAGCTTATTAATCTCAGTAAGATTAGTGTTTCATGATCATCAGCAACCCTTCAGAACGTCGGCATTTATCTTTCGCAAGACATTTTTAGTCATGGCCCTGACTAACTGCTCAAAGAAAACTAAAGGCAAAGCCTGGGTTGTATACACAGAATACTGTCTAAAAGAGATGTAAACTTAGTGCCATTCACGGGCGGCGCAGTGGAATACCTCTCGGATGTTTTGGTAGATATGAGCTACAAGCCCACTTTTTATCCAGTTCACTTCTTGAGCATGAACTCACTTTATATTATAAGTTTCTTTAGCTTCTGATGAAAGCAAGAAAAAGAATCCTGAGAGCGAAGATATATTTCTCTTGAATCATATTTTTATATAATTTCAGTGCACACAAAAAGCCTTTAAGACCGTCTCCTCGTGTCGAAACGCAAAATGAACTAGGTGCGCTCAGAACTATCACCATTTTATGACACCCCTAAAGTCCTATTCCAGTTTCTCTCTAGTAGAAGCAGCCGCGGATGAGCTAGTATAGACACAAGACAAGCTAATGCGTGATGTTGAGCAGCCCTAATTGGGCCCATAAGATGGTTTGTGAAGGCTAGTGTTATTTTGGTGATGTCCATGTCCAGGATGGGTACGATAGTGGCGATGTGGCAGTTGTGGTCGATATATAGGCAACACTCCTGTTGATCTTGCCCGCTCCATCTCAGGCCGGTCACTTGAACCTTCACTATTGTTCAGATGAGAAGCAGAGGCTGGAAACTGGAACAACAAATGTGAGGGTGAAGCCGTTCCTATTGTTGGCCCCCCTGAACTTCCTACACTCCTTACAGCTACCGCACTTCCTCCTCCTCCTTGAGACGCTGCAGCAGTAGACGGAGGAATAGGCAGTAAAAAAGGTGAAACTGGGGCTGTGTGGATGACATTCGCAGGATTGGGTCCTGGTGCGCCTCCATTTCCAGGGTTCGAAAAAGACCGCTCCATGGATGTAGAATGGAACGGGTCTACAGCCTTCTTTCGCAAATAATTCGGTAAAGCCTCACTTAAAGGCATGGGCGAGTTATTTCGACTCAACGCTGCCAGCTCTTGATGGCTCAGCAAATGGTGATGATGTTGATGATGGTGCTGTAGCTGGGGTGGACAAGGGGATGGGTTTTCCTGTTGCTGTAGCTGTGCAGAATCAGATAACGATAGTTTATCAAACCCGACCAACGCAGGTGTGGATCGTTCAGAAGATGGTAAACCCGTGTCGGATTGATGACGGCCAAACAAGGCTGGTGTATTGGTGTTGCTACCAGTGGCGCTCACACCGATGCTTCCTCCTGAACTTTCGGTTCCGCTCAATGAGTTGCCCGTAGTAGTAGGTACCGCTGCGCCAGGTAAAGCCAACCATGGAATAGAGTTAGGAAGCCAGTGATGATGTTCAGAGTCATAAAGCTTCGACAGAAAAGCAGGGCTCTGAGTTGTTGATCGAAGCTGACCCGTCGCATTCATGTTTTGGTGATGGTGATCTATTGTATGAAGAAAAGGTGATGTCGTCTCCGATGGAGAGCGGAGTGTCTTTGCTGGCGCAGCAGTGGCGGTGTTGGCGGTCGCCGGAGCGCTTGCGGTGTCTATATCGGAGACTGTAGACGCCGTAAGGCCCTTCCCCAAGTCGATAGCTGATTTCGATGTTGAAGTCCTTGCGTTATTGCCGCTAGTAGGAAGTCCTAGAGTTCGGTTCGCAGGTAGAGCAGAGGCCGAGGTGGATCGAGCTACGAGTGTAGGCTGCGGTGGGCTTTTCAAATTAGCGAACCCAGTCTTTGGAGTGGAAGCAGGTATAGTGCTGGCGTTAGTGACAGCATGTTGCTGCCCAAGTAGACGTTGTCTCTGAAGCTCATGGGCCTCTCGTAAGGTCTCAGTATCTGCCTATTGCAGGCGAGTAGAAAAGTAGATAGAGGAGGAGTGTTGGGTCACAGAGAGAAAAGCCAGTCAGCTTCATAGGCAAATGGGCACAATAACCAAAAGCGACTTCAACAAAACCAATGGGCGTGTGAATCGTGTGAATTGTACGAGCCATGTATGATGCGCTCAGTATGACTGCAATTTTTTTTTTTTTTTTACTAAACGTGGAGAAACAAAAAAGCTAAAATATGATTTTTTTTTTTTTTTTTTTTTTTTACCTGGATGCCATAGATGGTCTCCATATTGCGCGGCTGGTTCAGTGTTTTGATTATGAGTAGAAACTGGATGATATGGATTGTAGTCAGGTGGTGAAGACAGAGTCTGGGTTTTATTTTTCATGTGTCTGTGGGGCACACAGCAGTTGTGGTATCCTCAAGAAATATGATTGTATGATTTTTGTTGTGTGTGAAAGTGGGAATGAACAATTGAGGTTGACAATGAAATGAAAAGGAATGAACAAGGAATCAACGGATTAAGAGTCAACACAAGTTGAAGTAATGGAGGGTCATTCTCACACCCCTTTTTGTCTGTCTTGTCTCTCTTTGCATAACGACACAATCCATACACTGACCATCTATTTCAGTGGAGAAGAGAGCTACGCCCAATCACAGCCTTGATGATTGATTTATTTCACATTTCTACTTGTATGTCTTATTGGCTAACTTCATTTTTGTGAGAACCCTTCATTCCCTGTCACTCCCACAAACCGCGATGTCATTCTATCTATCACCCGTGTTGTCGCTGAATTTGTTGTAGTTGGATTCATGTTCGTGCTCGAGTGCATATCCATGTTTATATTCGAATTTATCCCAGATATGGATGATGTTGATCCCGGCCTAGACCGAGATCCTGAATGAGAACCCGCTCTGGACTCAGGACGAGATCCTGCATGTGAACCTGAATGTGACGTAGGCAGGCGACCACTTCCGTCTATCATCGCCATCGTTGCCCCTATTGCTTCGACGCTCCCTCCAGTCTGTAGCGGCATGGATCCAGATTGTTGGCTGACCGAGCTATCCATACTGACACGCGTCGCTGCCGACATCATGGTTAGAGCTGTACCTTCGGTTTCAGTAATGCCTGTAATGCTAGTGGTTCTACTGCTGCCAGTACGATGGCTTGCAAAGCTATCCTCGCGCGTCCGCCTGGATTCATATCGATTGATAGTGTGCTGCGACAATCGTCCATCATAATCCTCATCATCACTATCAGTCGAGTCCTCATCATCATCGTCATCATCATCTGATGACGATAGTGATAAATCGTCAAAGCTGGTACGAGCACGATGTCCACGGATAATAAAATTTCCAGTACCAGTGCCACTGCTACTGGCACTCATACCACTGGCTATAAATGCTGACACTGAACTTGAATTACTTCCTGCATTGCTGCTACCAGCACGACGTCGCTGGCCACTTGAACTAGGCGGCTTTGTTGCTGTCGTCATTGTCGACATAAGATTCATGGTTATATTACCATCATCACCGTTAATAATACCATCGTTGTGGTAAGTCATTGCTACACTTGCTCCACCAGATCCTAAACCAGATCCAGAACCAGAACCTGATGAGGATCGGTGAGTGCGATGACCAAAGCCCGGTGCGTATAATCTCATTCGGCCATTTGGGCCTCTTGTGACATTGATGCCTGCCCCTGTTGTTGGCTCCCCACCGGCTGCAGTTGGCACTGCAGTGTTTGCGGTTGTCTTCACGGCCATAGTCGTGGTTGTGGTTGCAAGTGCCTTCGCAGCCTCGTCCTTATGAGACGTTGGTGATGTACGCCTAGTATCGATCTCCTCTCTAGCATGGGTATCAATGTTAGTGCTAATCGCACTCATTGTTCCTATACTGTCCTCTGCCGCATTGTCTCCATTACTAATATTAGCGCCAGTACCAATACTAGCGCCGGCGCCCTCGTTACTACTATTGTTGCTACTATTGAAGGATGAGGGCTCCATCAGGAACGACGATCGGATTGAAGAATACGACCGATTGATTGATAGACTCTTATTTAGGATTTCGACAGCCATCAATGCTGAAGACTCTTCCTCATCATCTTCTGCAATTCGTTCATGAGGCGGTAAATAAAATCCACCAAAGTCATCTCTGCTCGCTCTGCTACTATGACGGGAATGCCGTTGATGACTACGTCCATAGGCACCACTTGTGACTATACCTCCTCCGACCCCACCTCCGCTTGTTCCCCCTCCTTCACCAGTAATCAACCCTAATCCATCACCAGCTGGCTTTGTAGAAGAGCCAACAGGAGTAGAAGGATTAATGCTGCTAGCCATTACTGTAGTGCCGTCCAAGTTTAAGGTATTGGGGTCTGAGATTAGCAAGCTATGTCGATAGTTCCAATGATTTTGCAGTGACGGATCTCCAGCAGCAGCAGCGGCGGCGGCAGCAGCAACCACATAGACACTCTCTCGCTTCCGTGCGTCACCTATACGAGCGCTCGCTGCAAAGTGCTCTGTCAAGTCATCCAATGCAGATACTAGATGGCCATACTGAACTTGGCCACGATCAAGGCCATAAATACCAGCTGGTCCGTCCGTTCCAATGTGCATGCCATCCAAATCCACAAAATTCAATGCCTGATGACCGTATCCAGGATATCCTCCGGCTATACCCATGGGAAGGCCATAATTCATCATCTCATGCTCCGCCAGCAGCTCTACATCCGTTCCCCAGTATCCGGTGCCTGTGCATGTCAGCACCACAGCGTTCACATTCGCCCGAGTCATCTGCCAAAAGTTTTCTCTACGTGAAGTAGCATCCTCTGCAGACAATGTAGCGGATGTGGACCAGTAATAAGGGTCTGCGGACATCATGGCTGATCGTCTTTCCAGTCCGGTGCCTCCACCTAGAACACCCTTGGTCATATCTTCAAAATTTAGTGCTGGTCCTGGACTCTGCACATCTAAAGGTACTCGGATCTTGAACATTTCTGTAGATTGCTCTGTCAAATTCATGACTGCATCCAAAACCTCGAGTGCTTCGGTCGCATAATCTGTCTGAAGGAGCAATCGGAGGAGTGGCATCACCAACTCGGGACCAATTTCCAAAAACTCGGTTCGCTTAGTCTCGACTAATGGTAAGAGCATCTTGAGACATTTCAGTGCCTTGTGCTTGTACATTGGATGGCTATTATAGAGCAGTCGCATGAAAAACAAGATCATTTCGGCTTGCAACTCGGGGATGAATAAATTTTGCATCAATACTGCTATCTGTCGCCAAAAGTCTTCTTTGGTCCGGAATCTTTGCTTAGAATACACCACTAATAAACGTGAAATATTGTGGTACCCATCTCTCTCTGCCATCGCTCCAACGTCTCTGGCCCACTGGAGACAATCCTCGTTCACATCTTTGGTTTCTAATCCCTCTGCTAACTTGGGCAGAATCCCAAGAAATAGGAATACAGATCTGTGGTATGATGGGTCGATTAATGCATTCTCGCCTACAAACATCAACCGCCTTAATAGCCGCAGCGAGATTTGCTCCGTCAATGTCGACCGAAGTCCCTTCAACAGGAGTGGTTGGATCCCCATGAATGCACTGTCCCAATGTTCTGGGAAATACGATAGTAAAAACTCTAGCGTCTGCGGGTCCATTAGATCCAGTCGCGTAGTGACAATATCCAGAATCTTAAGCCCTTCCAGGTATTCTTGGTCATGTCCCGTGTACAAGCAGGCGATCGAAGCCCAAAATACCTGCGGGAACTGCATCATTCTCGCAGTATCGAATGATTCAATGATCGATTGCAATGAGATCAATATCTCCATCGCAAAAGCCTGAATCTCTTGACTCTTGTCTCCAATTGTGTTTGACAATCGAGCTAACATATCTGCGAGCATATGCTGGTTAAAACTTGGCGCCAAGGCCCGGAAGATCTGAAAGGATCTGCAAGCGATATGACGTACAGGGCAGGCAGTGGCCCACTGAAGTGCTGTCTCTCCCCATTGTTGACGGATCTCGACTTCAGACGCCTGGAAAACTTGAACAGATCGGTAGACTAAACTCTCGAGCTCAAGTGATTCACGAGTGTTGTTGAGTGAGATGATGTCGTCATATGCCCATAAAGACTTTCCTTCCTTTGTGTTCAAAAATTCAACTAGTTCAGTCGATTGATCAATGATCTCCAGGCTCCGAGACTCTCGGATAATGATGGAATGGATCAAATGCACAAGGAGAGATCGAGTCTGATCGCAAATTAAAGCTGTATAATGATCTAGCTGGACAAAGAGCGCCTGCAGTAACAATGGTAGATGACGTCTTAGCTCTGCTCCTGCTTCTACCGCGAGATCTACCAATAGCACCGTAGCAAGCTGGCCTCGCGAAAATGCCGGTCTCTTCTCCATTCCGTTCATCAAACTGTCCAGATTAGCCAGATAAAACTCTGATGATACAAGTGGCGGCTGAGCTTGGCTGCGATCTTGCTTCAACTTGGGCACCATAGCCTTGGGCGAAATTTCGCTTATCAGAATATCAACCATTCGAGAACAAGCCGAGGTTCGTCCAAGGAATACAATCACCTTCTTGGCTGGGTGTACAAACTCGGGATTCCTTTTCTCAAGACCCAAATCAAGTAAAAAAACGATAATAGGCCGAATGTTGGCGAAGTTATCTCCTGCCACCAACTGGACCCACAAATTCTCTATTTCTTTGACATGGTCGTCTCCATATTTGACAGTCAGGTAAAACAAGTTTGTTAGGATCACAAATGATGTCATGCTCAGCTCTTCTTCTCCATCCACTACTAATTCTACATTGCCGAGCCATGGTGCAATATAGTAGAGCATTTCGCCGCGCCAGAGTGGTTGGACCAAATCAAACCGCATCATAGCTTCCGACAACAACAGGTATGTTTGTTCTGGTCGATCCTGAGCCAGCCGCGCTGATAACACATATTGAGCCTGACGATAGATAGTTGGCAATTTGTTGACAATCCCAATCTCATATTCACCCGCACAGGTCTCCGGGAAGTAGCGGGCTTCTATGACTTTTAAAAGTTTGATAGCCAAAGTACGTATTTGGATATTGGAGTCACCACACTTGAACAGCGCAAGGCAGAGCATCTGGTTAATCTGGCATGGATAAGATTCAATCCTGAGAACAATGTCGGCCAGTGCTGTGAAATGCCCTTGAATAAATTTTTGTGACATATCTCCAGCATAGCACTGGTGAAGAGCATCTTCCAATAGTTCACTTCTGTCCTGGTTGTGAATCAGTAAAGCTTCGAGCGCGTTTCTGTAAATGACCAGGAAAAAAAAAAAAAAAAAAAAAAAAAAAATTAATAAGTAGAAAGTCAGGCCATATTATCAATATCGTTGAGCCAACTTAGGACAAACTTTAACACTTACTGTGCAATTGCTTGTAAGCGATCCTCCGGGCTGCGGTAGACGCTCTCGATCCATCCAAATATCTCCTCAATGTTGAAGAAGGCCTGTCTACCGGGCTTTTGGGCCCCTGCCGGCGGATTAATGGGTCCTTGGCAGAGTGACGCCATGGCTCGAAGTGCAGCTAGTTCCATCTGAGATTTTTCTGCCATCTGCGTTTCATTGTTGAGATCCAAATTAAACCAAAACGACTTTGGGTTGTAGTGATGATGAGTTTGTTGATATTGCTGCTGCTGTTGTGACGATGGCGGATGTTGATGTTGAACTTGTTGACTATGATGTTGCTGGCTATGATCTTCACGACTCAAATGATGCCCACCATGGCCACTCCACTCCTCAAATAGCTTAAATAGTGCCAGCCTCCAGTCAAAAGTGATAATGGCCTCTGTGTTGCCGCCCAGGGAAATTCCATTGTACAGATGACAGATAAATCCACAAAAGTGTGTTCGAAGCTTCACAAACTCCCATTCGTGCTTTACTTCTGTATCCAGGAGGAAGAGCAATGTTTCCCGAACATAGCCTTTCAAAATTGTTGTAACATGTTCGTCATGGACCAAGGCGGGCTTCCTCAACAGTGGCGCAGTAAGATCCAGAATATGAGCAATCTCTGCCCGTAGTCGGTCCACTTTCTTGTTGCGTTTGCCCTGATAAGGCGGTTTGATGCTGCTCCCTCCACTCTTGGACCGAAATTCATCATGGACAGAATGAAGCAGTGGTTGAATGTCTTCTAAGAGCGCTTTGTATAGATTTACATTGATCCTTCCCAGTGAAGCCACGACTGATTCTCGGATCGAATGGCGATCGCTGCTTAATAGTGGGAGAGTTAGCCTGAAGAGATCTCGCGCACATGTGATTTTCTCCGTTGGTGCAGATTTCTTGCGCCCATGTCCAGGAGCGACTGGCGATGGGTGCTCATGTCGGACCATGGTAGAGCAAACATAGATGAGATACGTCCGCCACTGCTCCACCATCTCATCCGTAGCCACCTGTGTAGTCTTGATTGAAAATTTGGATGCTAACGTGCTGTTGAGAGCAAGATCCGTCGTCGTGACGATAGCTGGGTAAAGTTGCATTAAACGCTTGCTCACCATGTCGAGACAAGGCTCACAAAGACTGGGGAAGTGTTGGAATATCTTAGCGATCAAAAGTGGAAAACAAAAGCGCCAGATACCAATATCCACCACGTGTTCACTCGCTGCTAGCAATGAAAACACTTCGCTGGAGCCTTTTTGATGATGGATTTGCAGGCGGATTAATTCAAAGAGCGCCAGTGGGCAATCCTTGAGAGCATTGCCGTATTCGTCAACCTGAAGTAATTCCTGGACAGCATTCTGGAGCAAATGATATATCCTAGTTACTTCTATCCGTGGTCGCACAGAAACACTTGCTGGCATGACAGCCTCCTTGAGTTCGCCGCTAGGAGCAAGATTCTGAGCTTCTGCTCGGTCAAAGAAAGCTGCTATCTTTAGGATGGAGATGGCGTACTGTCGAATTACAGGTGATTGGTTGCAGAGGAACAGTAGTCCATTCTCCTCAGTTGTCTGTAACTGTGCTGCTAAGCTCACTTCAGGTACATGGGAAGGGAATGATCGTGATCCTTCTGTTGATGTTGTAGGACTAGCTAGAGCTCCTGGAGAGACAGTATCTTGGCCTTGCTGCTGCTCTTGCTGTTGTTGCTCCTCTTGCTCTTTACGCTTCCTATTAGTCGTGTCTTGAATCCATGCCTCCAGGATCTGAATGTAGATTCCCAGCAATCCAGTCTCTACTGGAGTATTAGAGCCTGGTAAACTAAGTCCAGCCAATAGTTCCGAGAGGCGATCCTCAACCGTGCAAACAAACTCTGAATATCCAGCTACGACCACCTGGGAGTTACATTGTTTTGCAATACGAACCAGAGCAGCGGCCGATGCTTTCCGAAGCTCAGGATCCACATGGGCAGTATATCTCGAAAGCATTTCAACCAATTTCACAAGAGGAATTCCCGAAGGCATACAGCGTGGGAGACACGATACCCAAGCGGCCATTAAATCAAAATAAACCTGCTTCTCTTTCGAGAATGATACTGCTAATGTAGAATACTGATGGACAATGGAGGCAGCGCCATCGCCTGTAGCCGTTGCCTTAAGGGCCGCTGCAGAAAACATGCTCCGTGCTGTTGTATACTTTTCGTCCAAAATTAAGGTATGGCCATAGTTGCGGTCGCAAACAATAGCAATCTTTCCGAGGACAGCTGTCATTTGATCATACGTATCCCTCATGCCCGCACGATTGATAACACCAGGCTCCATCAGATCAGATGACGTGGGTGAATCTGAAATCACATTGACAGCATCATTGGCTGTCGGGAACGGCGGTGAATGACTACTCCCTCCTTTATCCAGATCTGCCAAAATAAGCATAAAAGACCTCACAGCAATCGTCATCCGCTCTGGTGAGATCATATCCATCGTCAAATTTGTAAAGATGACATTTGACAAATTTTCCAGGTTTAGTAACAAAAATATAATTGACCGTGTGGCATAATCAGCGTGGCGTGATCCTATATAGTGAACGATCCGGACAAAATGGCCCAAGGTGCCCTCCACCATACCAGACGACTTTCGATTAGGGGGGAACAGCGCTCTAACTATCGTGTCCAATGTCCTAAATGTGCCTCCTGTTGCATCCGAACAGCGATACAAATACACCCAGAGCAGTTGAGAGGCGCAATTGAGAGCTATCTGTCGCATTGCCTTATCTTTGAATTTCTCACGACAGGATTCAAATACGGAGAGCCAGTGCTTGATGAAAAAGTCCTTCTTACTAACACAGAGTAATATGGTGACGAGAGGGAGGGCCACTTGGACATGTCTTGGTTTGTTGGTCATTTTGCGAGCCTTTGGGTATATAAGTTCTACAGTTTTGGACCAGTTTGGGTGATTAACTTCTGCTAGCGCCACCTAATTATTGAACAAAAAGATTACGCGGATGGGCGCTTATGCAAGTTAGTTCAATGAAATAAATTGAGGACAGAGTGCAAGGTGATGTTTTCATGCACGAACCTTTGCGATGGGCGTCAAAAGTTGGACAAAAAGCTCTGCATAAGCGTGCTTTATCCTAATGCCTCTAGCCATTTTGAAAAATCTTGCACAGCTCTGCAAAAAATCTGCTGTTTCTTCGAAGGAGGACATAGGATACAGCTACAGAGATATTGAGGCATGAAAAACAAGGGGGTTAAAAAATGGCTACGAGTTTACCGGACCTCGAATGTGTGATTGTGATACAACCTCGTCCTCGTTACACCAAGCCCCTTTGCCTATTTATTCCTGTACGACAATGATAATAAATCAGAGATGAAACAAGTACCTTCAGGTTCAAATATCGCATTCCTCGAATCAACATTTCCATGCGTTGCTCCCGTTCCTTGTCTTTTACGGGTACTCCAGTTTTGTATTTCTCGAGTTCTGCAATAAATCGATCACTCACAGTTGCAAATCGTACATTTGAAAGTGATCCCATGAGCTCCACCAAGACATTCATATTGGCCATCCTATTTGATGATCGCTGAATGAATTCACTAATTTCATGAACGACTGAGTTAGATAGGTTCTTTATGCTCACGACTGATGCCGTGAAGTATATGGTTGGAATACAATACATGGTATCACGAATCGTATTTTGTTTGGACTTACGGATCCACATTTTCCAGTTGACTAAAAATGGTTTCTTCTAAGCGTGAACCGAGTTCATCCGGTAAGGAGTCCTTTTGCACCTGACGCACGATCTCAATCAAAGAACGCGACATGATGAACAACGACACAACCTACAATTTATTGAAGTGCATCAGTACTTGCGGTTGTGAAAATACTGATATACTATATTCAACAATTGAACTCCAAGATCATCCTTTGTTTATTTTGGTTACATACAGACTTTCGCTCCTTGATGACCGTCTTTGGATCTCTAAATTTAAAGTTTACAGACCATTCTCCTCTAATAGAGAGTGAACAAGCCATATTTAATACAAGGGACTTTGATTAGCAGCTAAGGAATGAAAAGTGTTACAGATAAAGATGCATGTTGTTCGCGTTTAACGTAAAGTACTTGAGTCGAAAACCTTCAAACTCGTGTAGTCAACATACGAAGTTGATTTGATCGAAGGGTCATCTGAAGATTCGATCTTGCCTTTGCGCCACAACATTACACAGTCGATAACGGGTTTGGGTCGATGTTGAGCGATAGAGCCAAGAGACTCTAGTAGCTTGTCGAACTTAGGATCGACTCCATGCTTTAGAGGTGATAGAATGTCGGGTTCTGTATCTTGCTATTTGTATGAATTGCACAGCCAAACAAATTGACGCGTAAAAAAGATCGTGAGCACAAAAATGGACTTTAGCTTAATCAATAAAAATCCTGATCACATATTTAATGTTCGCTTTTTTTTTTTTTTTTTTTTTTTTTTTTCCTTTGAAAGACTTGTTGACATTACCAAGGGTAAGTGCACCATTGCATTGAGCTTCGCCTCGGCCATTTTGACAAACTGTGTGAATAACATCTTTAGAGCGAACTCGGATGGGGTCTGTAATTGATGTGGTGATAACGTAGCAACAGGGCCTTGAGTCTGCTCTTGTGGCAGCTCTGGATCAGGAACGGGTATAGGGATGTGCCCTGGCTGAGCAGCATCATGTTGCTGCAGCTGGTACAAATAAGATGGGTGTGGATGGTGATGAGATGTTCCTGGATGCTGTTGTTGATGTTGCTGTTGTGTTTGTAGTGGGTCGATCGACGTTGCTCCAACACTGTCTTGACTCTGATTGTGGTTGTGGTGAGTGTGTTGCTGTTGCAGCTGACTGTAGGAATCTAACTGCTGACTAAACTGATTCTCTGCAAATATACCGTCCGAAGATCCAATAAAAGAATACGGAGATTTTGGTGTCTGACTCCCATCTCTAAATTGACTAGCATTGCTGGTCGAGTACGATATTGGCTGTTGATGCTGTTGATAATGAAGCTGTTGGTGAAGTTCTTGTTGAGATGTCAAAGAGTAAGAGGGCATTGGATAGTTGAAATAGTCTGGCTGTTGTTGATGGTGTTGTGGATGTGATGGATATGGATAAGATTGTTGTTGATGCTGGTGCGGAAACTGTTGCAATTGAGCAATTGCTGGGGACAGGGTTGCTGCTGTGGTTGATGATGCTACTGTTGTTACTGTTGCTACAGCTGCTGTTGTAGTAGTAGTATCTTGATAGTGCTCAATGGCTGCTGGGGTGGCGACTCGAGATGACATTGGGAATTTCCAGTCATTCAGAGCTGGACGATAGCCAGGCCCCACAGCTATATGACCTGGGCCTTTGTTATTACTGCTATTACTTGTGATGGAAGAGGAATTGTCGTAAGCACCGCCCGAGGCTGAAGTTGACGTTGTAGCTGCAAAAGTTCCAACAGCACCAGGCCTTGGAGAAGCAACGGGTGGAACATTAGATGGGTCTCTGGTCATGTCATGGTCAGCATTCTGTGCCATTGTGGAATTATTTATGACACACGTATTACTTTTTACAAGAATGAGGAACGAAAAGAACAAAAACGAAGGAGATGAAGCGATTATGAATAAGAATGAATCGCAATGATTCAGCAGGAGATTTTTTCAAAAAAAAGGGGGTGAAGAAGCAAGGTTGAAGAGCAAAAAAAAAAAAAAAAAAAAAAAAAAAAATAGAAACAAAACCAGACGAAGGATAGGCAACAAAGGCCAACTAAAAGCGACGGGAGAATCAACAATAATCCCAGCCATATACCAGCCATACCATAACAATGCTGAAAGACAAGGGAGCCTAGAAAAGATTATATTTTATTGCTACCGCGATTATACATGTTTCTATGTCTCAATCCTCCGAGTTGTCCTTCTCCAACTCTTCAGTTTGTGCAAGTAATCAATGGATCGTGGTTAATTGCGCAATCGCTTTTGTCCCGCTTTTTGTACCAATTGTCCAGCTGGCGGAAATGGATTAATTTGTTCGGAGGAAATGAATATGAATGGGCAGTGCGTTGGATTTGGTAGTTGATGGGAAGATGGGATCATTCATGGGCAAGATGCATTCTCTAGTCAAGGTGGAAGGACAAACAGCCTGCAGACGTGAAAGTATATTCCTTTATAGAGAAATATATCTGTGTCTAAATGGTTATTCATGTACTTTTTTTTTTTTTTTTGCTCTTATAAAATCTATTTTCTCTTTGTGGAGTAGAACTAGGTTGTGCAGATCACTTCCTATTTTCGTAACAGTGTCTAAAACCAATTTTTTTTTTCTTTTTTTTTTTTTTCATGGCAATGCCAACACCGCGTTTAAGATGCGGTGAATTCCTTCTCTGATGTATTAAAGGAACGAATTATCCATAAGAATGAACATGTTCTACTGTCTTTAAGCTATTATCCTCAGCAAATATATAATATAAACTTATAAACTTATAACCTTACAAATATTATCAGATTATCAGATTACTGCCTCTGATCATTCCGTGCATACAAGGAGTTATCATTTTACTCATCCTTTATTTAGCTTGAACATCCCAAAGAGTTTACATATGGGCACCAAAGAATGAATAGATTCTGATTTTTTTTTTTTTTTTTTTTGATGGTCAGTAGCAGCCAAGGGTTCTTTTTTGTCGAGTAAATCGTATTTTGGTGGCAACCCTTTTCATACTCATGCATATTTACATGCACCGTGAGAAAAATTTAAAAAAACCCAAAAAAAATTAACAATCCAAATAACGCAATACAATAACAGTTTCATATTCACGTACTCTACACCTGCAGGTGCCATTGCACTTTTAATACATTTTATTACGTACTGCGTTCATCGATGTGTCTTACCGAAGCCATGCATAAGGTAAAAGGGCTTTATTTCCTGGAACGAACATTGCGGAGTAGATAATTCTAGATAAAATGCTTCTATTCGGAGTAAAGTGGGTGCTTCTTTACGATGGAGGAAAAGGATCCTTTGTATTTCTCTTGATGTAATGGATGACAAAACATGTTTTCGCTTGTGTTACTACAGTTCATCCTTCTGTTTCTTCCCACATTCAGCTGAGCCATAGTACTGCCATTACTGTCACAAGGAAGAGATTATTCTTTTACAGCAATGTATGGTTTAATATTACTTTATGTAATGAAGGAAGACTATTCTTTGATCTTGGGAGAACTCGATGTATTTTTCGCGTCTCCCCAAGATATGCCATGGGACAAACACATGGTGTTTGGTTTGTTTTGGTATGTACGGTATGAGATAATGTCAATGCCAGTACTGATGCCATGACCAATGTCGATGCCCCGGTCTACCTCTTCAGTAATTAAGTGGTTGATGCGAAGGAAAAAAAAAAAGGGTAAATACACAAAAGAGCTTCTTTACTTTTCCTTTCCTTCCCTTTCCTTTCTCTTTTTGTTCATATAAACTTCTCTTCATCTCTCTTTTTTCTTTTCTTTATTCCTCTCCACATTGTCCTCTTTATCACTTAAGATCCAAACCCCGATCATTCCTTCTGTCCCTGAACACCTCCACTTTGTCTCTAATTTGTCCAGTTTGACTCTTTAAATTTTCTTTTTTCAGTTTCACTTTTCACTTTTCACTTTTTCGACTTTCTTTCTTTCCTTTTCCTCGTTGTCCCTTTTACATATCTTTCCTCTTCTTCCTTCTTCTTCGTTATCCTTTTTACATCTCTTTCCTCTCTTTCATCTTCCTCCACCTTCCTGTCCCTTTAGATTCCATCGTTCACGCATCTTTTACCATGACCATCAAGACACTACCCATCCTCGAGGACTATGACATCTCCCCTGTCACAGGATTCTTGCCTGTCGATGAACCTCTGGAGGTCTTGTCAGATCCTTACTTTGCACCTTGGGAGGAGACCTTCAAAATCTTCAACGGTCTCTTGCTTGCCTCTCGAATCCGCCAGCATGTGCAAGATGTAAATATTGTGATCTTTTTTTTTTTTTTTTTTTTTTTTTAAATACTTTTCTTCCTCATTTCTATCAACATTGTGCTGTGTAGTACTGCCATTGCTTAGAGTATGGCATGGGTGTAACATGCATTGGTCTCATTACTCATTCAGTCTTTCATGATCCCACTCAGCGGCCTTATTTTTATTTTTTTTTACCTGTCACACATTTGTTCAACTGAAAATGCATCCCCATCCCTTTTCTTTTCTTTTCTTTTCTTTTTTTATATTTATAGCCATTGTTTGGTTTTTTTTTAAATGTCTGTGTCTGCACATCCTAACCTATTCCACCCGATCAATCATATTCATAAAAAAAAAATAGCTCCCCATCCTTGATGCTTCTCGTCTCAAGACAAAAGCAGAGCAACGGAGGGCATACTTAATCCTTTGTATGCTTTCGCATGCCTTTGTTTGGGGTAAACATGAAATCGCAGCCGAGGTAAAAAAAAAAAAAAAAAAAAAAAAAAAAAAGTTTTAGCAAGCGAAACTTTTCCTCTTCTGGAAAAAGCTGAATTATGGATTTCAAAACATCCCATACAACAACCGAATTAATAATAATTAGCTCACACGTACTCACCCGATACATTTTTATTTTCTTTGTGTGGGTTCTAGTCTTTGCCTGCATCTCTAGCTGTCCCCTGGCAAAAAGTAGCTGATATGCTCGAAATTCAACCCGTTTTGACTCACGCAGCCGTGGTCTTGTGGAACTGGAGATTGTTGTACAAGGATGGACCAAGAGATCTCAGGTAATAAATCTGAATCTGAATGATCAACGAAAACAGTAGTCATCCATATGCATCTCTTAAAAAAAAAAGCTAATGTTAATAATATTGTCATTGATAAAAAATTCTTTGGTACATTGCATTTCAAACCTTAATTTATCTCTCTCTCTCTTTCTTTCTCGTATAGTAATCTAGATACATTGGGCACATTATCAGGTTCAAGTGACGAGTCTTGGTTTTACTTGGTCACAACCGCTATCGAGGCTACAGGTGCTCCCGCCCTTAGCAAGATCCTTAAGGCGATTCAACTGGTCCGTGATGACAACATCTCGGGATTGACCGAAGAACTGACTGCAATTCGTGGAATCATTGAGAGTTTGGTTGCAGTCTTGAGGAGAATGTTTGAACGTTGCGATCCCTATGTTTTCTACTGGAAAGTCCGTCCTTACTTGGCAGGATGGGAGAATATGGCTGAAGCTGGATTACCCAACGGAGTCCGTTATGAAGGTGTCGATGATGGAAACTACAAAAAACTGGCCGGTGGAAGTGCCGCACAGAGCTCCCTGATCCATGCTCTTGACATTGCGTTCGGAGTAGAACACTACCCTACTGGCTTCCGGCCTAACAAGGCAACAGGAACTATTACAGCCAATGGCGTCCCTCATAATTCCTACAATGATGTCTCAGCTCCCACCCCTGGAACAAAGGCAAATGGAGCACCTGCAAGTGCCGGGTCTGGATCAACAAACTTTATCCAAAAGATGCGATTCTATATGCCGGGACCTCATCGCAACTTCCTGACCCACCTGACAGAGGTGGCCAACATCCGTCAATACGTCACTACTAAAGCTGCAGCTTCAGAGAAAGGCAGTCGACCTGCAGATGTGGAGCAATTGATTACAGTCTATGATGAATGTGTTCATCAGATCAAGGTCTTCCGTGATGTTCATATTCAAATGGTTACCCTCTATATTGTTATGCAAGCCAACCGAGGACCTTCAATTTCGCATGGAGGATTCGCAATGCATTCTCAAGTACAAAAGGACAAGCATATAGACAACAAGTCCACCCACGTTACTACTACTGCTTTATCTGTTGATTCTACTGATACGGTATCTACAACTACGACTACAGCATCATCTGTATCAGCAAACGGAACTGGAGCACCCGCAACCGGATCCAAGGGCTCAAGCATTCTTTATCCACAAAAAATAATCTTTGGTGCGCCTCATGGTCTTGCTAAGAAGCAGGAGGCAGGGAACGATGTTGTTCGTGGAACTGGTGGCACAGATCTTATTCCTTTCTTGCGTCAATGTAAGTACAACCAAAAAAAAAAAAAAAAAAAAAAAAAAAAAAAAACTGATTATCAGATTTGTCAGTTAATCTTGCCAATCATGACTGATTAGATGTAAATGTTCCATTTTACACATACTAATTTTTCTTTTCTTTTTTCTTTTCTTTTCTTTATTTTTATTTTTATTTTTATTTTTTTTCTCCTTCTCTCTCCTTCTGGTCAATCTATATAGCACGCGATGAGACGAATGATACCAAGATCGTGCCAACCCCATCAATTGGCACACGAAAATCATCCGTTGCTGTGGCCTAAAAAACAAAAACAAATCACTCGAAAGAGACATTCTTAAATCCTGTATCAACTTTTTCATAGATCCTTTATTTTCGTTATTGCATTTTTTTTCCTATTCAGAGTTCAACCAAAATGAAGCGTCTGTTTTTGTATACCATATATTTTTTTTTTTTTTAAAAAAAAAAAATCCACCCTGTTTAAATTGGACATAAATGTGTTCAGACATCATACTTCTTTCAAAACAATGATCAGTTATTATGGACCGATCGACCGAAATACAGTCATCTCATGTTTATTACATGCCTTTAACATATACAAGTAGACATGGCCACTATCAACAGCATACATCTAGAGTTCGATCAGTGGGGCTTCTTCTACCTTGGGCTGGGATGGGGTAGCACTAGCATAGACCGGTTGGTGTTGGTTTAATTGCTGTGACTGTGGTTGTGGCTGTGGCACATATTGTTGATATCCGCCCGAAATCTGTTGTGGGATTGCTCCTTGATGCTGCTGCTGCTGCTGCTGTTGCGGCTGTTGTTGCTGTTGTTGGGGAATATAGGGTGCAATTGACTCCTGTTGCTGCTGAACAGTAGGACCTGATATTGGCTGCACCGGTTGAGCTGGAGGAGACTGAATAGACTGTTGTCCGACAGATTGATACGTGTTAAGAATTGGTTGCTGACCATTGACTAATGCGGGCGAAGAAACAGATGGGATTGTACCATTCAGTTGCTGTTGGGGCAAGTAACTCTGTTGTTGGGGCTGTGGAAGCTGTTGTTGCTGTTGCTGCTGTGGAACAGTTTGGTAGTTTTGTAATGTCGATGTTTGACCTGTTAGTCCATACTGCTGCTGCTGAACTGGCTGTTGATCTAGGACACCACTCGGTGTAACGCTGTATGGTACAGAGGTAGAGGGTTGTTGATATTGATAAGGTGTTTGTTGTTGAGGCTGAGGCTGAGACTGGGATGGTAGCTGTTGTTGCTGTTGGAATGGAGTCTGATAAGAGATCTGAGGTGTGTGTGGCGCTAGCGCATTGCTGCTATGCACTCCGGATATGCCAGGCACATACTGTGCATATCTTGACTCTGCTGTAATCTGTGGATATGCATGGCTAACCTGAGGTGTCTGCGGTGTGGTTAATCCAGTGCTGTAATATCCCCCTCCAGAATGTCCAGCATTATTCATGTTCATGCGGCGTTGATATGACGAGTTGAGACGCTCTTGCAGTAAATGGTCGTAAATCCTGACTGCGTGGTCAATCTTTTCGTTAAATGTGACAAATTCCTCTTTAGTATGACAAACACGGCAGGAATTGGAAAGAGTTAGTTTTCTTTTTTTTTTTTTTTTTTTTTTTTAAAAAAATATATATATATATATATAAATATACATTGTCGAAATGCAAAAGGACAAGAATAATAACAATAATAAAAGACTCACGTTGTTTTCGGGCAGCCTCTTCAAGGCTCAGCACAACCTTGGTCTGCAGTTTCGAGATTTGTTCGTAAAGAGCCTGAATTTCTCGATTACCACTGACATCGCCCTGCATCATCTGAATGCGATCAACTAATACAGAAAACATCTCGATGTTGGATTTTTCGGTATCGCTCAACTCATGTAAAGGCGCCGTTGTAACCTAATACATGTTATAAGAAATATTGGTTAAAACTATATTGCATATACTCTAATTCACTTTTGCAAGCGAAAGACAGTTAGGATATACTTACAGCAGACTTCTTAGTATAGTTGTATGATGAGTAAGATGACTGTCGTTGGTTGGAACGATGAGCGGAAGTAGAAGATGGTGAATGAATGCTAGTCTCTCGTAAAGAAGCCTCAATAGCAGCCAACAAATCCGCATCTTCCTCCTCTTCTGATGTAGGAACAGGGGCCTTCTTGACAGGTTCCGTATATGCTTTCTTAGGAGCTGAGTATCCAGGTTGATTGTTGGCCTCCTTCAACGACAACTCGATAGCCTTCAATAGGTCCACATCATCTTCTTCTGCAGATCTAGAATTATTGTTGTTTGATGTGGATGCTGTTGTCGTTGAAGGGTTTTTGTTTGTGTTGGAATGAGTTGTAACAGGCGAAGGCTTGCTGATAAGATCAAGTCCGCCACCCAAGCCATGGCTTTCTAGGGCAACAACACTCTTGTTACCAAGTTTCTTCTTCATAAAGCACCCATCACACACACGGACTTCCTGAGTTACACCGAAGTTTGGCAATGCCATTGTCTTACTGGAACATTGTCCACAGAAAGTGGAGCCGCAAGCTCGACAGTGATGCTTACGGTTGAATGTGGTAAAAGCGATACGACAACGTATGCATACGTCTGAATCTGTCCAGTCTGGTGGCTATCAATGTGTTGACAGGGTCACACATAGCAAAAAGATTAGAACACCATCCATTAACTGCTTAAGAAAAACAGCAGCTTGTTTTTATTAAGTGATAGAATAATCATCGGCCTGTGCTTACCGATTCTGATTCAACAAGAGCTGCGCCAACGTTGTCCTTAGGAGGGAATTGAAAGCCCTCATGCTGAAGAATCATATAGGTATCGCAAACATAGCCAAGTCCTTGTTTTCCTCTGAATAACAACCCCCATGTTTGTATCAAACCCAAAATCTTGGCCTTCACATCCAGATTGCACGCAGACTACATGCACATCAGACAAACAACAAGGATTAGTTCATGCAATAGTTGAAGAGGAAAAAAAAAAAAAAAAAAAAAAAAAAAAGAACATACCGGTGCCTTTAAAATCGAAGTCAAATTATCCATAAACTCGTGCGAAGCAACCTCAACTAAGAAGTGTTGTCCTCCATTCTTCACACAAACATCGGTGAGCTATGTAGTCAAGAAGAACGATAACTAAGTCAACAATGACAGGTTCTTGCATAAGCGCAAGTAGCAATAGACAAATTAGTTTTGCAAGGAAGAAAGAAAAACCTCACCTCCAATGCAAGGAGTTGCACATTCGGATTCTTATGGTTGAGACGCCTTTTCAGTGCTTTAATGGCATCTTTTGGAGACACCTGCTTGGACCGAATCTGGTCACAAATCTCTAGATTCAAAGCCAAGTCCTCAGCTCCAACAGGCAAGTTCTCTGATGTAGCTTTGTCTGTCCAGTTAAATGTTTGACGATGCAATTAGAAAATGATTAATGTCAGAATTGACCATTAAGCTTTTTATTGCTTCAGGGCATGGGCATGAACTGTCTGTAAACCCAACAGAATAAAAATGAACCACAACAGTACCAACGAGTTCGTCAATAGGTGATGTACTCCAAAGCCAAGACATGGTAAATTAAGTTCCAATCGAAGCGAAAGGGAGAGAGAGGTTTGATGGAAAGTTAAAAAGCGGAATAGTGGGGAGACAGACAAAAGGAAAGAGTCTGAAAAAAATATTGCGGTGCATTTGTGCAACCAGAGGGGACTGACGTCTTGGCCTGGATGGTTTGTGTTTTTACGCGTCCTTCGACTTTTCAAACTCGTCCTCAGATTCATCCAGTACAATCGGATTGTTAATCAGTCCTCTTGCCGTCTCACCATCCATCCCTGGCATTTGCTCTTTTGTTGTTACCGCGCTTTTAGTAGTTTTTGAGTCCCCTATTGTTTCATTCTTGGGCTTGACTACATGAAGTATCATTTTTTCTATGCTTATGTATTCAAGTACACCCTCTGATATCAACTGCTTCAAACAGTCCCTTATCATCTTGTGTGCCTGCTCTTGTTGATTTCTTGATGGGATCCCTGGGTACTAAAGAAAATTTAGTCCGTCAACGTTCCATTTTTTTTTAAAAAAAAAAAAAAAAAAAGTAAAGTGGCTGCATGGATGCTTAAAGAACAGAGACAGCATCAGCCAAATGCAACACCAAAGAGTATAATGTGACCATCACTCCCTACCTTGATTTTTACAACTTCATGGGCCAACTTATTATTGTCCTCATCATCTTCAAGCTCAAGATAGCAAAACTCAATACGCTTCAAGACCCAATCTGTAACTCTCCTCAAAAGTTTCTCTTCCAGGAATGAAAGCTCAGATCTCTCCTCACAGCTTGATTCTTGTACCTGGTAAGCGATTTTAGATAATATAACGTCCGGTAACCTGACTGGTTTTGAATAAATAGATCGCTCCATGTTTAGGACTCTGAGCCTAAATATCGTCTCATCGTTGGGATCTGTACAGATCTGAGCATCCCCGGGATGAAAGGTAACCTGGATATGCCCCTTAAACTCACTTGGTTGACCAACTACTCTGATCACTTGGCCCAGCTCATGCATGTGAAGGGCAGGGACTCTGTCAGTGTCTTGTATATTCTGATACTGGTCAGGGATCCACATTATGCATTGAACAGCCCCAGTTCCATCATCCACTGTCTCGTAAGGTCATGTTAATTTTAGTGGCAATAATTTAAAAAATTGGTGGCAAAATAAAAGAGCAAAGTTTGGAAGTATACCATTGTAGAGGATAAACTTGGGTCTACGATGCACCAATTGTATCATCCCCATGATTTCTACATTCCTGACAGCATGAGTATGATGGTAATAGACCCCTAAGTTTCAATTTCGTTATTAGTAGAAGGATTTATTTTTTGACAATGAACCTTGAAGAAGTATCTACTACATTTAATATACCTTGCACACGCTGGAGAGCTTTGACTTGAAAAATCATCAACTGTAGAGGAACATGGAACAGAGGATCCATTCCCCACAAGATCTCTGGGATCTCCATTACATACACATTTACATTTACTACACCGATCCGCAATTAAATGAACGAGTAAAGGGAGTCTACAAGAACAGGGTAGAACAAAAAAAAAAAAAAAAAAAAATAAGCCACTCCCATGCGTTCCCCACCCTTTCCTTGTAAGTTCAGACTTTGCTCTTTTTTTTTTTACAAAATTCAACAACGCATCATGGAAGACGACGAACTTCAGCAGATTCGCGCTCGGTAATGCATATGTGCAAGGGAAAAGGAGAACTATAAAATAACGTTCTTCCAGGGATTTATAAACTCGGAAAATAGGCGAAACGCCCTGTATCCTACACTTTCCACTCATACTTTTTTGTTTTTTTGTTTTTTTTTTTTTTTTTAAAAAAAAAAAAAAAAAAAAAAAAAATGTAGCCGCATGGCAGAACTTAGAGCTCAGTCCGGAGGCTCAGGAAGCAGCACGGGTGGTCTCCCTGTAAGTCAAGAAATAAAACAACAATAGCAGTTACAAAAGTCATGAATACTTCTACTATATCATAATAGAACTCTGGCTGTTATTAGAGCAACAAAATATTGAGCTACAAAAGATATTGCCATTTACTCCATTTTTAGGCTGGCTTGAGCGGCGGCAAGGACGATGATGATGAAAAGAGCAAGAAGAGGTATAATGATAATAATAAATAAGGCTTCCAGGCCGAGGACGGAACTAAGTAATTAAGTGATAAAAGCGATAATACTGATGTTATACTCTTATTCTTATTCTTATTGTTATTGTTGTTTTAAACAGTCAGATGGAAGAGATGCGCCGTACAATGGTACGCATTGGTACTTAAATTTGAAAAATAAGTGGCAAAGTTGAAGCAGACAATGTGAGCTAATTCTGTTGCTGTCTCGTTCTTTGATAATGCCATTTAATACACTAGTTGATCCAAATCCTGGATGGAGAGGCCCGTGAACGCTGTAATGTTTCGTTGCTTCAATTTCAACCTTTTTTTTTTTTTTTTTTTTTTTGCTTATTTGACTACTATCTCTTCTGCCACTAAAATAATGTACCTTTTTTTTTTTTTTTTTTTTTTTTTTTGGATGTTTAAAAAAAACAAAAATGCCTTATATAGTGTCCCGAATTGCTATCGTCAAGCCAGACAAAGCCAGAGCCGTTGAAGATTTGTTGATCCGCATGGCGCAGGGTGGCCAGGTCCGATCCAAGATCACAGAGACTCAATTGATCGAACTCTTGGAGCAGGTTAATCAACAGACGAAATCAGAGACCAAAATCGTGGTATGTGTAAACTCAAAGTTCTCTTTTTTATCTTTTTGTCTGTCGTGTGATCATCTCTGAATTTTTTAATAATTTATTTATGTCATATATAGTACAACCGTCGACGCTACGATGATTCGGACGATGATGACTATGGCCTATGAGTGTTTGATCTGATAGAGTGTAGACGTACAAATGTTGCAAGCATATAAAAGAATACATTAAAATTTTTATATTTTTTTATTTTTTTATTTTTTATTTTTTTTTTACACAATGTATGCTGGAGATATCAGTGTCTGTAAAATGCTTAATGATTTGTTTTTGTTAAATTTTTCTTTTTTCGTGCGCATGGATATATATTTCTACATATGCGTGCTTGTGTGGTATACAAGTGCATGTGTATGTGAGTATATATGCATGCCTATTCAAAGGTTCTATCGTTCCGCGATCCAAATTGCTATCCCGTCATTTTATCTCCCGCTGATTGAAAGTAAGTTTCGAAAGAGCATTCCATGTCCATGTTCCTATCCCCTTTGTCTTTTTTTTTTTTTTTTTTTTTCTTTACTGCTGGCTCAATGCTTCCCATTGTGCTGGTGTATATGTTTTCTATTGCATGATCAACATAAAAAATATATAAAAAAAAGTTAGTCTAGCCTTTGCATTGTGTTATTGCTAAAGGAGAAAAAGAGCCATTTGAACTTTCCAAGATTCTCCCTACTCACTAACCTGTGAGAAAGCATGGACAAGTGCAATCTGTTCCTTTAGTGCCTCGTTCACCAAACGGTGCTTCTGAAGTGTAGACTTGCCCTCAAACATGGGAGAAACGATGATGATCTCAAAGTTCTGTCCACATCCTCCTATTTAGCAACATGACAAAATTAATCATGACAGGCACAAAAATATGCGTGCGTTAGTGTCTGCTTTGGAAATTTTTTATGCTCAAAGATCTGATAAGCACATCACCCATTCTTTTTGTACGCTGTACACAAAGCGAAAGAAAAAAAAAATCTGATAGCATGCAACCTCCTCCCCTTCGCTTAGAACCAAACACTTTCCCCGTCAACCTTGCATAACCATCTGCTACGTGTTGAAGTGACATGGATGGGTCATACCTGAAATATCTTTTGCTTGCTATAAAGACAAGAAATGCACATTGTTTTTGATCAATAGGAGGATGACGTTAAGCTTCGTTAAACAATCTTTGTCAGAAAAAAAAAAACACATTTTGAGATCCTTGAATTGAGAAATGTAACTTACAACATAAGTAGCTTCAAGTCGTTCATTGCATGCTGTTGTGAGAGATTCGATCGTGACAGAAGTGACAGGTGTTGACATGGTGTAAAATGTACCTTTGAATGAACAGAATGAAGAAAGAATGAGAGAGAGAGAAAAAAAAAAAAAAAAAGGAAAGGAAAAAAAAAAAAAAAAAAAAAGAGAGAGTGGTGTCTGTTTCCCCACTCCCCATCCTCGTTACCTCTGTACTCAGTGTTCCCGATTGACAGTCGCATGGACACTCACTTTCCACTTTACGACCCTTTTCTTTCCTTTTTTTTTAAACTTTGATCAGCCGTTCTGCTTTTTACATGGATTGACACACGAGCATTCGAAATTGTCTCTGCTATCAACTGAGCCCCATCTTTTTGAGAATCACTCTTTTTTTTATCTATTATCATTACTTTATTGTTTAATTTTAACTATGTCAACAATTCAATTGCAAAAATGCAGATCACCTCAAAGTATATATATTCATTCGTGTTTTCAATTAGCAAAATATGCCTCTACCTGGCTGATCAAATCTGCCTTCTTACTTCCATTAGGCTTCAGATTCACTGAGCTTAGGAATTCTTTCAGCATTGCAACTGTTGCCTATGATGTTCAGCAATCATATCATGACAAATAACATGTGAGCCGCTTTTTTTTTTTTTTTTTTTTTTTTTTTTTTTTTTTTTTTTTTTTTCATAGTTATGACAAATACAGCAAATACATATATATTTTATAATATACCTTGTTCAATTGACCACCATCATACTTAAAACGCATATCTGCTAAAAGACTGGCATTGTCAGACGGTTGACTTGCTTGACTCGCCTGGGTACTCTTTGATTTCTTGGATGCTGACGACTCTTGTGATTGCTAGATATGAATACGATCCAGGAGGAGTTAGTATAGTGATATAGCACTACATGCATATAAAAAATACTCATGAATGGATGAGCTATGGTGCTTACTGATGGTCTCTTGGATGATGCAAGTGAAGAATCAATAGAAGGCTCTGGAGGTTCGATAGTGGATGCCACATCCTTGAAATTCCGAATATACTCTCCAGCACGCTATAGTCAAAAAAAAAAAAAAAATAAATAAATAAAAAAAAAAAAAAAAAATACACCATTGTTATTATCACTAGGTCCAATCATTGATTAATATATATATAACATCTCTACTTTAGATTGGATGACTTACTTGGTGCATCTGTTCCGTCTTGGGAAGAGTTTTGTCATCAATATCCATATCGAGCTGATTCAGCGCTGTGGCCTGAAGCACCTTGTAATGCTTCTGCAAAGCTATTGTTTTAATCAAAATGAAGATTTGGTCAATCCAATTTACATTAGCAACTGAGCTCGGTTTGATGTGATCGGTCCCCAGCATTACTTACATGGATTTTCATAATTATCTGGCTGGAAACCTTTCTTCATATTTAGTTTGGAGATGATGCCCTTGGCGGCATCGATAAGTTCCATGGGCGCTATGAAGAATTGATAAGAATGCAAGAATGCTGATCAACAATCTGAAGCAATCTTGAGCGATGCAAACAAAGATATTTTGCTGTCTGGCCTTTATCTTACGTGTGTAGTCAGTCTGAATTGGGAGCGGTCTGATGTCGTCCGCCCATGGCAATTGGATCAATTGGAAGCCAGGAGGTTGCTCTTGACCATTTTCACTGACAACTTCCAGCTATGACACGATCCACCGAAAGTATATCACTGCGTTAGTCGTGTACCTTTTGGCATCATGTAGCAGCGTTATTATTATTACTTTAAAAAAAAAAAAAAAAAAAAGATTTTAAACTATACCTGGGGAATAAGAGCAACTAGTCTTGTACTGTAGCCTTTACGTTGTGTAAAAGAGCAGATCGCCACCTTATCCATTTCTGCCATGGCCTTCAGCAAAGAAGAAAATGCACGCGTACTGCCCTCATATGATTTTTCATCAGGATATAAAAACATGGCATGAGCAATGTTAAGGTGCATTCGGATAGCACTTCTAGGTTTGAACCCAATCAGTGCTAGTCCTGGTGGCCCAAATGACTTCATACCCGCAACTTCGTCCTTCGAGAATACAACCTTGACGCCCCCAAACTCCCAATAATACTTCAGATCGGTGGGCATAAGGTACTGAGCCGTATCTGCGCACAGCCATGTTGTAACAGTTTGGACTTCTCGAACCGCCTCTCCTAGCGTATAAACATTTCTGTGCGCTCCTTTGCCCTGAGCCAAAACAAGGTTGTAACCCTTGACGCCTATCTCGAGACCTGGCGCCAGCTTAAGTGGGATATTAAAATACGCACGCTTCTTCACTTCCTTGCGCTGGACCCTTTGAAGGAGTTCACTGAGTTTTGTAGAGACATCATCAGTTGTTCCTTCCTCATCGTCATCCATTACATCAATTAAAATATCCTAGGGTTCCCAGTTATCAAAAATTATATCAGCTAGCATCCTATACTTTGCGCATCGATACATCACAATAATATGATATATAATGAGGTACCTTGTAGAACGTTTTCCGATTGAACTTTTCGCCAGGCTTATCAATATCAAAGAGTTCGATCTTGATACCAAACTGCTGGAGATCATTGGCTCGAACTTTGGATGCGCTTCTTAGACTGATATCTCCCGAATGGGGATCATCTTCATTTGTGAATAAAAACAGACGCTTGGACCCAATCCTCTGTGCACTACATGGTCCAAGGATCCGAAAAATTATCTAATTAATATCCGACACACGACTTCTATTATTATATAGCCATCCTAACTAAGTAAGCATTTTCTCATACCTGCTCCCGAAGAGACTAGTAGCAGTCCAGAACATCTCACCCAGTGTATATTTCCCATTGCTAGTACCGAACTCCTGATTGAAGTCGATAGTTTCTATGTAGATACAGATTGGTCAGATCGTCAGCACAATATCCTGTTTTTAATAAACTTCAATAACAACTAGGCTGCACAATCGGTTCGATATCTACTATCATCAATAGCCTCCAGTTGCTGGATCTTGCTCACGTCAGGGGTTTCTAGGTCTTGCAGCACATATATGTGCTCAAAGTTATTTGCATTTTTGGATTTTTCCTAGTGTAAAAGTCAAACCAATTATGAGAGGAAAAAAAAAAAAAAAAAAAAAAAAAAAAAAAAGACCAATGCACATCACTTTATTTACATTTCATTATCTAGTATTAATGTATCAATATTGCTAAAAGCCTTCACTTACAGTGCCATAGAAGATAACACCAACCAAATCAGACTCACTGCTGATGATCTTATTAAGCTGTACAGCCATGGCGCATTTAATTGCGGTATAAAATGGGATCTCACCGTCTTCTGATGCTTTAAGCATAGCAGGTGAGCAGTCGATTACAAACAGAATACTGTCTCGACTACTCCATTGCGTCTGAGTATTACAAAAAAAAAAAAAAAAGGAAAAAATTCAGCAGTATTTCCTGTCAGTGTTCATTTTTATGACAAAAAAAAAGTCCGTAAACGGAAGGACGCGTTCCGTGGGAATGAGCCCCTTACCTCCTGCGCATCCGTCAAAATGTTCTCATCAGCATCATCTTCAAGGTCGTCGTATCCGCTTCTCCAACTAGATGAATAAGACATGGCTGAATGCTTGAGGCAATTGAATGTAAAGAAAGGATGGGAGATTTAGCAAAAGAAAATAATTGAGATAAAAGAGGTGGTAACATTCTTGCCGCGTTTTTTTATAAAAAAAAAAAAATGGTGGCAAATTGTGACTGACTTGAGCTCTTTTTGACTTGCTCGTTCATTGTGAATGACCATTCTGTGAACTACACGTGATAACAAGAGCAATAATCGTAAATCCCAATTTTAAACAACTCGAAATTCTTTATTCTTGTGCAATAAACGCAAGCTCGATCAGAATAATGAATATACGAAACGAATATATAGTGCTTTTCTGTTCAAAAAGACGAAATAGATACAGTGAAGGTTCAAGTCTCGAGTCCCAATAGTCTGTGGAAATGTAGGCCCTTTTTTTCTTTGTTTGTTTCATGGACATCGTTGACCGAACCAAATATAAAAAAAGGAAGAAAGATTTCGATAAAAAAAAAATAAAAATAAAAGACGCAGGTTCAATATAGAGATCTTATAAGCTTTAGAGCTTCCCTTTGGTGAGTGAAGGTTATCGAAAGAAAAAGTATCTCATATCTCAAAATCATTCTGCGGAGTCGAAATGTAGAATGCCAACTTGGAGGCCCACTCCTCATCACTGTCCATCTCAGACATTGTGCGCCAAGGATTGGATGGCTCTTGTGAAAGTGGGTTTCCCCAGATTGCCGGCGTTGCCACAGTCGTCATTGGATTGGGCGCCCTTGTATTGAGGGAGAGTGGGGTCTCACTCTGACTATATTTTGGAGCGTGGCCAAAAAAGGATAGGGCCGAAACTGTCTCATAGTCTTCTGCCGCCGCATACCCCGAGGTGCCGCGATGATATTCAAGTGTCGCAGCGGCAGTGCTGATCGGCTCTATTGCGTAACCACTGATGGACATCTGTTGTTGTTGAGATACAGTTGATGCTTGTAGGGTTGTATGTGTAGCTTTAAAGTGTTCTGTTTGACCCTCTATCGTCATAAGCACACCGAATCCACCAGTGGGCAAAGACAAAGAGCCGCGTAGGGATGTATCAAACATAAATGGCCCCGTGGGTGCGATGCTTGTAGCAGCCAAATCACTTGTTCTCGCGCAATGTGCCAACTTTGGAAAGTTTGTGGGAGCATGGCCAGGATCCGAAAGAGCTCGGATTCGTTCGTTGGGCTTTGCTTCACCTGAAGAAATAGCTGTAGCTGGCGTCACTGGCGCTTTAGGTACGAGGCGAGTAATGGTAGGGCTAGAGGCTGTGGAAGCTGGTGTAGCAGAGAATCCGCTACTTCTCTTCTTAGTAAAACTTGAAATAGGCACACGTGCCTCTTCCGGATGATGAATGAAAGTGCACCGGTCATTGTATTTACAGTAGCCCTGGCTCTGAAAGCTAGTGCAAAATTGGGTCTTGTAGCGCGGGTGCCGGGTCACGTATTGAAGTTCCTCGGTGCTGTGTGCAAACTGGCAGTTGTCACCGTATCTATTGAGAGAATTAGGCATTCATGCACAAAGGACATTAATTTTATGTACTTGAATACAAGCGCTTTATACAAACATTGCTCGGGTGCAATATTGTCACTGTAGCGCAGCTACATGGAGGGTGTTTAATACACTTACTTGCATGGAACACCAGAATGAACCGAAACGCACAGCTCGGTCTTGTAAAGCTCAGACTTTCGATGTGTCTCGCGAGAGACTGATCTTCGAGCAACTCCTCCACCGGTGGCTTTCTTTCCAGAGGGTTCAGCTCTGCCTGGGTTGCTCGTGGCCCTAAGGCTGCTGCTAGGCCTTACAACTTCAGCATTGCTGTGACTACCCTCGCTCGAAGTGCTTGGCATGATAATCAACGCCCTTGTACCGTGATCCATAAGCTTAGACTGGAGCTGGGCATGTATTCCTGTCTCATTTCCATGGCCTCCCGGAATCAACCCAGGGACTGCATTTGGACTGCTGTTATCACCAGCGTTCCAAGTCTTTAGGATTGATTCTTGCTCGTCAGGGCATAGGTCAGATTCAAGGGGTGAAGGTGGGTTCACACTGAACACCACAGAGCTGCCAGCGCCAATATCCATACTAGTTTCTAACATGCCTGCGTTCGGAAGAGCTGAACAGGTTGGATGATAATATAGGTCACTGTGTTGGATATGAGTGACCTCACGCTGTTGATACAGAGAAAAGCGTGCATGAGGGGAGTGTAAAGAAAGGTTATGGAGCTGTCCCATAGTGCAAAGAGAGAGCTATTGAACAAAAGAACAACGATATCCCTAGTTCTTTTAATATACCAGTGGATATTGCTAAGCAATCCGTCAGATGGATGGAAGAGGGAGAGTGAAGAAGAGAAGGAAGTGAGCAGGGTTGAGTGAGTTGGATGTCTAGAGGAGGGAAATAGATGACTGTGATGGGCCACTGATCAAAGACAAAGATAAATAAATAAATAAAAGAAGAAATAAAAAAAATAAAAAAAAAATAAAGAATAGGAAAAAATAAAAAAATAAAAAAAAGGCGTTGACTGCATGATGAATGAGAGAAGGGATAAATGGTAGTCAAAAGGAATCAAGCATACCAACGTTATATTCTAAAACCTACATTCATGATACACATCTCCCCTATATACATATATATTATTATTAGTATAACTACAAGCAGTGTGGTAGTATGGGAGAAGATGATTGCTCTCGATCGCGCTACAAAAGCCGTGCAGCAAGATGGTTCGGTCGTACCTTCATGAGACTTACAATTTAGTGACAACTGGGGTAACTAAAAAGATCATCCATGTAGAACTTTCAGGTCACTTTGGCTGATGGTCTGTTTTTCCTTTCTTTTCCTAGTTTTTTGCAGTAGCATACTATGTTTCTAATGAAGCTCGGTCGAACAAGCTTGTGGCCTGAAGCATTGTGTGATAGTTTTATTGACTTGTGCTAAGTCCTTCTGGTAACAAAGCCCCCTAATTCATTATGGTATGTATCTAAGGCAAACCGAAGCTTAATACTCATAAAATATGGGTAGATTCAAGATTGATGGTATCAGTGTGGGCAAAAAAAAAAAATGGAAGCGGGAGTATGTAAGTGAGAATGACCACTATGGTGTGACAGTGGGCGCGCCTAAATCGTGGTTTACCTAGAGCGTCTGCCTCAACAAGCCTTTTTTGCCCTTTTCGACATGTCGAGTGTACGGGACTACGCTTTCCTTTCGTAGAATAACAGTCGCCTGACAACATCGTAGAAATTGACTGCATTAATGGCGCGCTTTTAATATCATGCATGCAAATAGAAAGCTCACTTTATGCAGCAACACAGCCTTCCACGGGAAATACACAAACGCATGAGCCTATGTGTCTAATTAAGAACAAACATGAATTAGTGTGTACTTATTTTTCATTCTGCTTTAAAGCATTATTTCAGGTTGACTCCATCTTTATCATCCTGGAGCTAGAAAGCTTTGAATAATGGGTGAGATGCTTGTTTACAAGCTGCTCGTCTGTAGTATAGAGGTATTGCCTGAGCTCCGCGGTCAAACTGGATGCTAACTGCTGGTATTGTAGTAAACAATTTTGATACACCTGTATCCAGGAGAGTGACAGTTACGGCCTAGCTGCTGATTGAAGAGCTAAAAGCAAAAGTTACGGCGTCACTGAGTTCCATTGTCTTTATCAGCTCTTCAATCTGATTCCACTCATGGCTTCTTTTATTGGCTTTATCTTCTTGATTTGAAGCTGTGGTTTTGTCAAATACCAAAACTTCAATGGCTAATCTGAGCTCAAGGGGCCTCTTGAGTATTGACAGAGCGCTGCTTCATCTAGTAATGGCATCCAGAAGCATGACTAATGGCATACGCATCGAAAGGGCTCCTTCTTACATTCTCATTAAGATCTTCCTCTCTTGGACTTGGGATGAAGTAACGTCGCCAAGTTATGATACTTGTTTTCAAGCATATAGAACAGTTGTATATCATGTGTGCAATTAGAGTGAAGGGGAGGGGATTTCTCATCATGGGTGCGCTATCAATTGTAACACCCACATTGGGCTGTCAACCTTCCAAACATCGGATGCGAAAGTTCTCCCTTTCACAGGCGTTTTCATCGATTAGCTGTTGAATACGAATGTGTCCGGAACAGAAAGTTTATCCTTAGCAACAGCATCTGATTAGCTGACCATCTATGTAGAACAAACTTCATGCAATATTCAAAGGAATTGAAATTGCCACCAATCCGGTGTAGCGTAATCTCTATGACAGAGCTTGCTTTCTCGATGCGTCTAACCGTAATTATGCCGTCGAATTCAAATGAAATTCTGTTAGCATTTTGTAAAAGTCCTCTAATGAGAGTAACCCATGGTAGTTGCACTTGTGGGCCACGCGCTCTGATGATGCCGCATAAAATTAAAGAATCGAGCATTGAAAAGAGAAGCACGTTGGTGACAATCCAGTTCAGTGCACTACGAGCAATCAATGGCAGAAAAAAAAGCTATAAATGGCAAAAATACATTTTTTAAAGTATTCTTGACGAACAGGCTACACCAATTAAAATGGAGCCACACAGTTGCAGCTTATGTACGATGCTGCTATTTGTCATGTTGACGAAAAAATGATCGCACAAGAACCCCTGGGATCACGCATCAAGAAGAGCACTTTTGATTGGCCTATGCATTTCCCATCAGATCAAAACATAAAAAATGATTGGCTTCCATGTCCTCCACCCATAACAAGTCCATTTCATAATTAATTATGTGTTACATTCTTGGATGTAAACTTTTTTTTGTGAAGTAACGAACAATGTGAGCTTACTCCAAAAAAAAATAAAAAAAAATAAAAGAAGGGATATTGCATATGCACTCCTATATTCGTATGTCTTAAAAGTTATCAGCTAGCTTTTGTTCATTCCTTTCAGAAGATCTCTACTGCACATTTTACAGTAAGATTGGAAATGGCATGTTTATACCGACATGTCCTATTAAAAAAAAAAAAAAAAAAAAAAAAACGGCTCTCAAATACGCTTTTGTTGAGGTACAACTTAAGAATTGGAGCATTGGATGGGTAAAATGGGTCGTGCATATTTCCCTTCAATAGTTGCACGATGTATAGGAACAGGGACCCACATGAGGGCTCTGCTTGAAGTCACCCTATTGGATGACTGGGTTTGTGCAGAAGGAGCCCATGACATGGTAAGCACGAGAACGTGCACAACAGCAGACGATTCCATGGGACACAGTACATGAGCTTGGGTGATAAAAGTAAGAATGTTAAAGAAGCCAGCCATCGTTATGGCAGACGTTGTAATTGTGCTGTTATCTTGCTCTCAACATTGAGAAAAATATAAAGGTACAGACAAACCACTTCTCGACGCTTATCTGTTTGTTGGTACGTATCCCTCCCACCACCATCAACACCCTTCCTTCCCCCATCCTCTTTCTCCCCTTCCTTTGCCTCACCCATTCCTAACTCCCTTTAGTTTAATACCTTTTCACTATAAGCATGCGCCTTTTGATCCTATTACCTCTGTTGGCTGTGGCCACTGCTCATGTCGAGCATTTTGAGAAGAGATCTCAACCAGGTGTCTCCCATCCCGACCCTGCTAACCTCCGTCCCTTAGAGTGGGGTGAATTGAATGTCATATCTACCACTGATACTCACGGTTGGTTGGCTGGGTAAGCATCATTTTTTTTAACTGTATTGAGTTAAGCAAAGTCAGGGATGTTAACCATTTACATATTTAATAATATAGTCATGTCAAGGAGAACTCTTACTCTGCAGACTTTGGTGACTTTGCCTCATTCTTGTCGCACATGCGCGAACAGGCCTATTATCGCCGCAAGGACCTGTTGGTAGTGGATTCAGGAGATTTGCATGATGGTAACGGCCTGGCGGATGCTACACCTGTCAACGGTCAGATCTCGAACCCTATTTTCCAAAAGATTAACTACGATGCTTTGGCAATTGGTAACCACGAGATGTACGAAAATGATGTGGCGGAAAACGTGTTTCGCAACTTTGCACCTAAATGGGGCAAGAAGTACTTGACCTCCAATGTCTTTTTTAAGGATTCCCATTCAAACAAGACTGTTCCCTTTGGGAACCTTTACAACAAGTTCCGCATGAGGTTTGGAAGTAGGTAGCCTATTTTATTTTATTTTCCTTGTTTCTTATATTAACAGGTAGTAACTGATTTTTTCCCCTTCACCTTTCAAGCCCGCGTGATGAGCTATGGTTTCCTCTACAATTTCAAAGGTGGAGCCAACAACACAGTAGTCGAGCCCGCCAACGTCACTGTGACTCTCCCATGGTTCCAAAAGTCATTAAAAGAGGATGTGGATGTATACCTTGTGGTTGGACATGTTCCCGTCCGTTGGTCGGAGGCTCAGACAGTTGTCAAGGCTATCCGTGCTGTTCATCCTTCCAAGCCTATTCTTGTCTTTGGGGGTCACTTACACATTCGTGATTTTACTTCGTACGATGGCCGTGCTTATGGCCTCTCTGCAGGTCGTTTCATGGAGACTCTTGGTTGGATGTCCGTCTCGGGTATTCACGATCGCTCCTGCCGCGTTGAGAGCAATTGCATTGGCAAGAACTTGACTGTTTCCCGCCGTTACCTTGGTAAGTCTTTACTTTTCATATATTCCACATAGCCAGCTGTATGAGTTATAGTCATGTAGGCATTAATTGTTGACACCACCACCTTTTTTTTTTTTTTTTTTTTTTTTTAAAAAAAAAAAAGATACCAACGTTCATACCTACAAGACCCATTCGCTTGCTCATCCGAGGCAGCGCTTTGATACGTGGAGAGGTCGCAAGATCAGCAGTGAGGTGACCAAGCAGCGCAAGGCCCTTGGTCTGACAAAAGTTTTAGGATGCGCTCCTCAGGACTATTATCTGAACCGCTACCCTTACACCGACAGCCGCTCGCTTTTGAATCTAGTCGTGAACGATATCCTACCCTTCTCCGTCACTGATAAGAAGCGTCCTTACCCTAGTGTGATCATCATCAACTCTGGTAGCCAACGCTTTGATGTTTTCAAGGGAGAATTCACTGTTGATGATACCTATATTGTCTCGCCTTTTTATAATGACTTTGTTTATACAACGGTTCCATATAAGGTTGCAAAGAACGTTTTGAATGCGTTGAACAAAGCTCCCTTCCAGAAGCGTGCTGATGATCCTTTTGGTATCCCTGCTCTTGGCGATAACAACTCAACTTTAACTCCCGGTTATGTGACTAAGGATGATTATGGATATGGTGGCGATGACTGGCCACACAGTGCTATTCCCTATGTCCCCACACCCAACTATGTCTCTTCTCCCTTGCCCTCGGGATTGGCGGATGGTGACCTGGTGGACGTTGCCTGGTTGACCTACTTCTCCAACTTGGTGGGCCCTATCCTCAAGACCTTGGACCCTGCCAATAACTATACTTTCCAGACATACAATGCTGGGATCACTACTAATAATATGTGGCCCATCTTTGTCCAGGGTAAGTGGAGTAACTCCACTACCTGCTAATGCACTATCAATAATCACTTTTATGTCATAGTAATATCATATTATCCAAGCATAGCATTCAAGAAACAACCATTCTGGCAAGTGTTCGCCATGGGATAAAAAATAAAAAATTTCTATATTGATAAGGCTTCTGTTTTGCTTGTTGCGTTTGTTCTATGAAATCCTTTAATCAATGGATGGATAAATGCAATAAATGTATGTCGATATTATGATATTATCATGGATCATAGCTGTGTTAAAACCAAGGGAAAGAGTTTTTCCTTTACTCAACCTTTTCCTTGTTCTCCTTATTGACAACAGCTTCCAAAACCTTCTCCTTCTCGATTGGATTCATAGGTAATGTCTTTCCGCCACCACCCTCCAGCTTCTCAAAGACTTTGTCGACAGCGGTCTCAATAGGGTGGTCAAACATGATGGGCAATGCAGGAACGACACAAAGACCAATAGCCGTGGGTCCCCATTTCTTAAGCGTAATGTTAGCGCTGTTCTTGAAGAGTCTTGCAGATTGATGGACAACAGTGTGAATAGTGATTGCGGGCTGTATGTTTGTTAATATAATTTAATATAAAAAAAGTTAAAAAGAGCTGTAACCTCTGTCTGATAAAGGATAGAAGAATAGATGTGATCACAATTTGTTACCATGAGTAAACTTGCAAGTCCCTGGAAAATACCACGCTTCAAAACCTATTTTATGTGAAAGAAAAAAAAAAAGTTCAATCACCGTAAACTATTTTTTTTTTTTCGAGAACAATTAAATATGACGAGCAATTACCGTCATTCCAACAACATCCGTCGGTGCCCCAGCAATTTTGGCCTTATATCCTTCATACGCAACATCGAATCCAACATATGCGAAGGAAACTATTGCCGAAACGCACGACAGACATATTGAGAAGAATTAATAACGAATAGCGAAACAGAAGCAGATCATAATTTTGGAATCAAATCATCACTGTTTCCGAAGTTTGATTTGTATTTTTTATTACCTCCATACATGGCATTCACAAAGAATGGCGAAGTAACAGGGCGGAATGCTTCGCCAACATCAGAAGAATAAGCAAGGTAGCGAGAGGAGGCGATGAAGAGGTTTCTATAACGTCCAAGGTAAGCGAGGTAACGAGCAGGAGTCTCGACAGTATCGATTTCACCTCGCTCCAGCTCTTTAACTTCTTCCTTAACCTCCTTCTTGATTTCATCAGTAATCTTTGAAACGACAGGTGCGTCAGGTGGTGTTGATCCTGTAGTAGACATGATGTATTGTATGCTTTGAGATTTAGTAGTGTTGAATGAATCTCTGGAATAAATGATGCGAAAGAATGAAAGAGGACTCTTCTTAAAAAACTCTGTGACACGCACTTATCCCAATAAGGAAATTATATCGATGCCTGATCGAAGACACAGGTCGTGACCAAACAAAATCTTACAGTTACACACCACATCTTTAGTTGAACATGTTGGCTCTGTTACTTTTTAAGTCGACTAATTTTTCTTTTGGTTCTGACGATGAAGGCTGCAGGAGAGTGTAATTTTAATCGAGTGAAGTGGTCAGAATGAAGACTACAATAAAATATGGAAAGGACATGTTATGGTGCTCCGGTTCTTTTTCGACTTGGAAAGTCTCGGGCAGGGGTTCGTGCGTCTTGCATATAAGCCACAGGCCAGGGAATAAAGTTACGACAGTCCTACACAGGCATCTATGACAACTTCAACATCTATCGCATCACAAATGACACACGTCTAGACAACAGAAGCGGGATCGGAAATGGAACTACGACTATCTTGGTCACTGGACACCCAGCGGATGATGATCGACATGCTCTGTATCAAAAACTTTGTCTCAAAGATCTTTTGATTCAACCTTCAAGTGACCACCATTTCGACATTGTGTGCCAATTTCGCTTACTAGCATTTCTAAAGCGAGACTACAAGAAAGGAGCTAGAGACATGAGAAACGACGCACCCGTTATTGATTGCATCGAAGTCAAGGAATTGGAGACATTTCCTCTACCATCAATGGATATCGATGAGTTAACCATAGGGAAATAAGGAAGTGCTAGAAACCATCGTTGGACATACACTCAAGTTACCGCCCAGCTACTTTAGTAAAAAGCGATGTATCCTTATCGCTGGAGATCAATCAGCAATAACCAAGCTTCGCAAGTTACAGGAATATCGTCATGATCACGACAATATCTATGATAGATTGGCATGAGTAATTCACGTAATCCAATTATTCCATCTTCAGATGCTGCTCTGCAGCCTAATTCTTTGCAACCGTCACGGCTCGATCAAGACTGCAGGCCCGCTTGCCTACTACGCAAGTAATCTGAAACGGAAGATCTCCCTCGAAAAATTTAACTTTAATGCTATACATGATTTTGCAAGGCATGTTTTTGAGGCAGTTGTGTTGAGAGCGTGGGACAAAGAGTTGGGAGGCGACGACGAAGGCAAAGAAGTAGGAATTGACACAAACTTCGCCACATTGGCCGGCGATATCACGCGAGAGTATATTTCAACTACTGAGCATTTTAAGGCTTTCAAGAAATACAGCTTGTTCCTTCGAGACGCGATGCTTTATATTGACCTTTCATTGGCTATCAAGGTAGGCGAATAGGACGAATTGAAGAAGTCCTAAAAGCGGCATACGTTCAAGCTTCAGGCAGGGTGCGCCAAAAGTCATACTAACGGCCTTCTACACTTACACTGTGGGATTCATCATGCATCTCAACGGACTAAGCATACTACTAGGTCGTCGATGTTGATAAATATTCATGACGAGCCAAAGTGATGGATACCTGCAGATTTGTATCAAGGGTACAGCAATCTGTTTATTAAGGTTGTCCACGTCGCAAAAGGAAGTAAAGGGTCGATAGAGATATTTAGAGATGTTGCAGCACAACTAGAACTAGAGTATAGGACAGCTCGAAATAATAGTCACTATCAGTCCGTGCCGGCCGAGAAAGATATCAAAGATGCACTGACGTCTCTAAGGGAAAATGGCATATTCGGTAATACAAAACCCGAGGTGAAACGAGTTACGAAGCCTATCAGGGACCTCTAGTGCGAAGATATTACAAAGTTGCCCCACGGAGGACGAATTGAAGCATTCAAAACCAGACACTTGGACTTCGATCAATCCTCTGATGACAGCCAGGCCATTATAGGCCCCTAGAGCATGTAAGTGCATATTTACGACTATATCGAATTCGATCTAGAAGATATTGAAATCAATAAGTGCAATTTGTACTCCAATGGTTTTATTTCATAAAGTTGCTAGCTGTAATATTTCTAAATTCACCTACGCGTCGTGCCTGAGGCTTGCTTCGGCCTAGTACAAGTCTTGTTGGCAGAGGTGCTGCATCTATTTGAACATCTTCCACCTGATCTATAAATCTCATAACAGGGGAGATAAAAGTGCTCCCCTTTTCTTTTGCAACTCTTGGTTTATTCCTATCACGACATGGCATAGCTGATTAAGCTCCTTGTCATGCAATGATGCCTATTTAATGAGCTAAATTATTGATTTGGATGAAGCCACTTACGCAGGCTTATTAGCAAGTTGATTGACCGCCGAGCTAGACATGACACACCGCACTGTGTTTCGTTTGGACGACAATTCCTGAAGAGTTTTATTCCTGGCTTCTTTTTTTTTTTTTTTTTTTTTTTTTTTTTGAAAAAATCTGCCAATGGATCCTTCACTTATAATGTAACTCTATCCCGTGTCGGGAAATGCTTTTCAAGCTTGCATTATCTTAGTACTCGAAGTAGGGTGAAAGATATATAATACAGCTGTAAACATTTGTCCAAGATTCGTGAACCTATTCTTTCAACCCTTTGTAGCCTTCCGTGGCTTGGCGTTTAAGTACTGACTGGATTAGAGTCTAGTGGTTGTCGATATTGCAAGAAAGACTATCTGCCATCTTGGAAATTTTACATTAAACGCGTGCTTAGGCTTGCACTCGACAGCGAGCAACAAGCAACTCATCTATGCCAACAGCGATGCTAATAATGGCCATGAATATTTAGATATTCCGCACCAACCATAGTTTCTGCGTCCACAGAGCTAGAAGCACGTCCAAAGGAATGCTCATTGTCATACTGATACATGCCTTAAGGGTCTTGTCGTAGACACAGTTTAAAAGAGAAAGAATGCAATACCTCTCCAAGATCAAGAAGACAGAACACACCGTCTACAACAACAGAAACAAGATCTGCCATGATTCACCGCTCCGTTACTGTGCAAAAGCTCGTAACTCTAAACGCGCAATTAAGCAACGCTAATAACATTAGTAATAATAATAAAAGCAACAGCGGCAGCAATAGTGGCAGCAGTGGCCACAAATTGGCCCTTGCACAATTGTGGTCGCAATGCGCATCCCCTGTGTCTCATACATCTTCGCTTGCTGCGACATACATTGTTGACTTGACGCTGAAACGCTCACTTGATTGGAACGATGCTTTTGAAGGATTCGAGAATGCATTGGCCACAGCTCAAGGACAGGCCCTTTCTAATATTGTACACGCGATAAGCAGACTTTGTATTGCTGCTGCCGAAGCTTTCTCAGTGGATATTGCCAATACCATTTCATTATCGTCGCCACCGTTGTCATCAACATCTCTGAATATCAGCAAGAATGTTTTTGCCATCAAGAATAATCGGCACCCATTTATTGCATTAATCACCACAAAGACCAATGTTGAGGCTATTCTGTTTGCTGAGATGGACAAGATCATGGATTACAAGTCAGATTCGACTTCATATCGCATCGCCGCTCTTGAGATCTTATCACCGTTTCTAGACTTCGTTTTGCTGGATCGAGAGTGTAGGGCATCCATGGTCGCCAGCACTGCGATTTTATGGATTTCTAAAACATTGAACGCATGTCTACTCGATCATGAGTTGGAACTGTTCATTGTCAAACTTTTCGATTACCTCTGCTCTATCCCAAGTCGTTTTCCTCTGGACCGATTTCAGCTGAGCACAGGATTACAGACCATCATTAGCATTTTGGTTGATTTTTACAGCCTTCCTTCAGCACAATTATCACTCTCTGATGAATATAAATCAGTCTTAGGAAGTCAGCTCTTATTGACCATTCTATCATGGACAGCTGATTTGAGACGATTTGGGTTGCCTACGCTTCAATTGTTACAGACAGCTCAGAAGCTTTTTAAAAACAGGAAAGGATATCATGCCCCAACTCTTCCCTTTGATGTAATTTGGCCTTTACTCTCGTTTTTGTTGATGAACTCACCTACAGTAGATGAACAAACAATTGTCGTGGACTGGATGCATGTTGTTATAACAACAACGGAGAATCATCAGACAAAGGCTGTAATCGCCAGCATGGCATTCTTATCCATTTTCCAAGTCATGAGCGAGTCACAGATTGAGGGTGTCATCAAGAAATGCTCCGATATCCTGCAAAGACTGGAGACCATTCCCAGAACAACAGTATCTGATGAGGAAGTTCAGGGTCACTACCCTCCCTCATCTTCCTCATCTACTTCTACGCCATTATCGCAGATAACCTCTGGTGTTGCAGCCATGATACAAGCTGAAGTCGCCCATCTTTGTCGGATATGGGAACTAGGGAAGGAGCAACAGGATGAACCATTCCAACTCACGCTGAAAGATGACAGTACACTATCTAGCCTAGTCTTTACCAGCTTCATGTTTCATCCGAACGAAAATGTACGAACCCTTGCTGCAGCACAACAGGCTCAAATGGGAGAAGGGCGGTTGGTGACACTGGTTTTATTCATTTATGTACTGCGAGTAGATCCTTCACCTTTGGTCAAGCTGTATTTATTACAAGAAGCAATTCCTTCTCTCGTTACTTCTAAAGACGAGGTAGTGACTGCGAAGGTTCTTCGAACCATTTTGACGCTTATCAATGGTGTCCCTAATGCGCCAACGGGGTCAAAGTTTGTGCACTCACATATGGGAGCAGTCGGTATCAGGATCTTGTTTCTGATCTGGAAAAGGCAACCACGTATTTGGAAGACATTGCGTCATGTTATCCACGGCTGGGTCGAGAGTCGGTCACGGCTTCTCAAGACTCCGTTCAAGGGTGAGCCTGAATATGACATGGAGGTTGCTGTCCTCACTACGATCAGGTAAGGAGAAAAGGAGGAATGAAAGGAATGATAGGGAAAGGAAGAAGAAAAGAACAAATGAATATACATATGTTTTCAGGACATATATCAACTCAACCGCCTCTTCGTTTGCTATCATGCTTGATTCTAGAGACATTTGCGCTTATGATGCGGCAGGCTATGCTGAGGTACTGATCCCATTCTTGGCAACTCTACTTGGCTCTGTAGAGCTATATGCATCCTCAATTTGCACTATCATTGAAACCATGAATCTGACAGTAGAGGCCAACGTAGTTGAACCCCGAGCAGGTATTTTTTTTTTTCTAATTAGCTATGCGACTCTATCTTTGTGCCATGCTTTTATTTTAATGTCTTTTCTTTCTTTCTTTCTTTTTTTTTTTTAAAAAAAAAAAAAAAAAAAAGCATGGAACGTCTTACTGTGTCATGTGGCGGAACATGCTATGAAAACCCAGCATGTAGCAATACTCCAGGAGATGTGTGTGTTTTATGGTATTGTGGGCTCTAGAAATGAAGGTATTTTTATTTATTTATTTATTTATTTATTTTTAAACAGACCAATAGATCTGTCTTTGATTAAATACTCATTTTTGCATTCACTTTTATCTTTTACTTCCTCCAACCCTCAGATACTCAAGTCTGTCTTGATCTTCGCGAAGCCGTTCTTGTCAACTATATCCAGCCGCTTTTGAGTTCTGAAAGCCCCAAGGTCTTAGCATCAGCACTGAGAGCGCTTTCTTGCTTCACAGCATCTGAGATCATGCCTATTCTTCTTCCTGAAGGGCCACCGATCCTTTACATTCGTGAACGAATCCTTGAGGTCGCTCAGAACTCAATGGTTGTGGACGAGTATTCGTTGGTCCTTGACAAGTTGGTCCGCCATGAGCTCTCACACATGAGACGAAGTCTCTTCAAGGATGCAGCGTTCAAAAAGTCAACACCTGATAATGTTTCTGCAGGCGCTCAGGAGCTGGAGAGGCTGCAGGGGGTTATGGAGATTGTATCAAGCAGTATTTTGCAGAAATGGCAATCCGGGAATGTCAATCCTGGCCTTCGAATCGGATATGCGCTTTCAGGCCTGCTATGCTCATCTGCGGTAACTACCGCGGATAGCGCTTCCACAGCCGGGGACAATGGAGTGGGTGGTGTTGAATCTATGGAGACGATTCGAACCCGACAAAGCTACAGAAATGTAATGACAGCATTGACAGACGTGACTCTCACAGACCACTTGATAGAACGTATTTCAGCGCTAGAAGGGTGGACTGCCTTGTTCGATAACATGTGGATTCCAAGCGATGATACACAGACATTGATAATCGCAGAGACGCTTATTTTGGACTTGTACAAGAAAATCATGGACGGCTATGTACCTGCGCATTGTGCTAATGCTGTATTTGCCATCACAGGTAAAAAAATAGTCTTTCGTATGAAAAAGAATGAAAGCATCGGTTATGTAGTAATATCACTAATGTACATTGCTCCTCTTGAAATACTTTTGGCTCTCTCACACCCCCTATAGGCATCATTTTATCCCTCCATCGCCACTCTCATCCTGCTTCGTCAGTCCAAAGCTCCACGCTGGCCAAGTATCTGCTACAGAATTTTGTCCGCTCAGAGACGCTAACAGATGTTAGTGCAAGCGACGAAGTCCAGTTCGCAGTCCTGGTCTCATTGAGCTTTATCACACCTTTAGCAGCAGTTGATGAGAAACTGGTTTCTTCTGTCCTTGATGTATTTTATGATCGCCTTCAAATGAATACTACCCATACAAACACTTCAAGGTATAAATATAACAGGAAGCTTTTTTTTTTTTTTTTTTTTTTTTTCTTTTGGGAACACTGACATGATTGACTTCAAGTGTTAGTACTAAAAGTTATTTTACTTATTTCCATAAAATATAAAAATGACTTTTAGTGAATTGTCGAGCTGGGCTACATTTGCAATCGGGTGGGCGTTCTGCAATGTACTAGCAGGATTAGTGAACTCACCAACAAAGACTGCAGAGTTGAATAAGATCTGTCTCGAGCAGCTTCAGCTACTCTTACACGTATATGAGGCCAGCACAGGCTCTTTTGAATTAATATTAGGTATTCTCATCGCGTTTCCACGCCTGTCAGTAGCCATCGCAGCATCATCTTCACCAACACGCAAAAGTGGAGACACAACAGCAAGTTGCTCAAATGAAGAAACGGAAATTGTGCAGAAAATAAAGATCATGGCCCGGTGCGACCTAGAGGTATTTTTGGAGAACCAACAACAAGGGTTTTCTGCACAGCTATTAGCCAGGCTGCTAGGCGCGCCTTGGGTAATTGCATTCTCTGATAGGGCAGAGGCATCACAAGATGACATCAAATCAGATACAGGGTTGTTAGATCGTACGCTCTTGGCAGCTACTTCGCGAAGAGACCTTCAGCCGCAGCTTGTCCATTTCACAGTGCCATTCTGCCATATGATCCACACAAATCTCGATGTCCGCAACCCGGCTTCGCATGAGATATCGCTCTTCACAGGGAGAGTTCATTCGCTCGTTAATCTTATCCGGATTACCCCTACTTCTGCAGCCAGACACACTGCCGTTGTGGCTCTTGCATCACTATTCGGTGTAGATTGGTGTAGAGGGCCAACTGTCATGTCCATGGGCAGTAATGGTCTGTTTTCCTATTTTACATCTTCTAATAATCCTGTGGCAATGACATCTGTTTCCAATTCGGCACTTACAACACTGATGGAGTTGAGCGGACTTTCTATTTCTATCACTACTGATGTCTCTAAAGAGACTACAGGAGTGGGGACATTATCTAATGCTTATGCGATGGCTATTCCAGCATCCAAGGCTCCATCTGCAAAGTCTGCACTTATGGTTCAGGATTTGAAGGCTGGCCGACTGGCAGCTATGGTTCTTGGTCATATCGCCTGTCATTTTCATCGACTTGGACAAGCAGATGTAGGCAAGGTTATTGGTACTAGTAGTGAACCCAAAGATTATTCACGATTGCCGACCTCAACTTCATGGCTCCGTGCGCTCTGGGATGGAATGTGGGAGCCTTTACAGATGGGAACTGTACAGAGGTCTAGGAAATCTTACCGAACAGCGTTGGAGGTAATGCTTTATACAGTCTACAATCTTCCAGCTCCTTTACCTGCCGTGAACTGGTTCCCGCTCTTAACACAGCTGGTGGCATTGGAGCCCCGACTAATCATTCCAGCGATCCATATGGCTTCCAGGCACGCTAATACTTCGACATCGCTGATGGAATTCCTAATCATGCAATTGTCAGGATTCAAAATTGGAGATGTTGTTAGCTCTTCCAAAGAGACTAAGGAACCTAAGGAAGGACGGGAGGAGGAAGAGGGACACGGCGTTGAGGAGCTCTATGTTGGCGAGGAAGGACTTGGAAGAATATTGGCTTTGGGTGGTTTGCCCTTGGTTGTGTTCGGAGGTGGTGATCAGGTTCTTGTGGAATTGGATAAAGTCCGTGGATTAGGCGGGATTGCTAAGAAGGTGTCGTTGCCAAGCTCACGCGTCATTGACGTGATGGAGAAACTGAGCAACGAGCTTTTTTTCGCTGTAGGAAATTGTAGTGATGTTAATGTTACAGAAAGGGCGTCGGAAAGACAGGATCCACAGAAAGAGGTACTGCAATTATTATTTTTGGACACATTGAGTAACCATATTCGACCTTATCGCCAGGGCCAAGGCTGTTCAGCTGCGGCCGGCAAAAGTTCTGGTGGCGATGGCATAAGTGCTGTTGGCACAGCTGTTGCTGCAGCCTCAGCAACGCAGAACAAGGCGATCAACAACCAAAATACACTCACTGAGGACGCGAAAGAGCTCTTGAGTGAGCTACGAGCTGTGATATTGCGTGTATTTTATCGAGTTTCTTTCAACAACTTTCTGACAGCACAGCGTGTATTGAGGCGGTTAGCAGACCTATCCTTGACCTCGTTGTCACATCTGGATGCCGCTCAGTTAGATACTTCCTTAGATGCAACGACTGGAGACAGAGGCTCACGCGTTCTTAAGGAGGCCATTGGCATTTCATCCCTTTACCGTGCAGGCTATTTAACATCACAGCAGGAAGCAAGGTTAATCCGGACTGCTCAATCTGCATTACTGATCGTGAGCGATACTTCCCTTGGGATTCAAAACAGGAAGTTTGCAGAATCCGCCATCTCTGTACTTCTCTACGCCATGAACTCTGGTGTCGCAGAGCGACGACCACCATCATCTTTGAGTATGCGGCGAAAGAAGAGGAACGCTCAACGTTTTACTTGGTTACAAAGAATCTTGGATCTTCTAGTTTTGTTTTCAAACCAATACGAAGCGTTTTCAAAGGGCGTGACACTCTTGCTGGGTGGTGCGGTACTTTTGTGGTGGGATGAGAAGGATATTGTTTCAGGTTTCAGTCTGGTAGATCTAAGATCTGAAGGATTAGGTGGATCCTCTTTACAGACTCTCGACAACATTGATGATACAGAGGTCGGTTTACTCGCTAATGTCGATGAGCATGACTTGGAACACGGAGACGATGCTTCCGAGAATAATGCTACTGCTGGAATGGATCACAATAGCCTTGAAGATGATGAATTTGAGTTGTGGCATCAACAGTTCGTACAGGGTATCTCAGTAGATGCTTTGACTAGCGAAGGAGCTCAAGAGCAATATCACCATCATCAAAAAATGAATGAGGACGGTCATCAACGAAACATTATGGGTCGGGTATCTTTGATTCTACCAGATATCATCATGAACATTCGGGGCAGAACTGCATCACCAACTTCCAGCGATGGCCAAACTGCTAGCAGGTTGCTTCGAATGGCGCTGGACACACAGATTAATCCAACAGAGCGGCAGTTCCTGATAGGATTATTGAGACGCATAGAGGATTTAGTCCCCATTGGACAGACCTGGATTTTGAAGTGAATATGTTGTTAGATTGAAACAATAGAGCAATATGCAAACATTTATTTATGATACCAATTTCATTTGTCTATCTGGATTCACATTCATAATGGCTAGTCCGCAACAGTATTAAATTTACTGCTAGGATTTGTTTTTATTGTCTCTTCGAGCGACTCGATCTTGATGAGGATAAGGCTGAGGTTGAGGTTGCCTTCTGAGTTGAGATCTTTTTCATACTTCCAATACCATTGTTCCTGAGGATAAAGTAATCCAGAAAGTCCACCTTGTCCTGAACGGTTAATCCCAATTTTCTGAATCGGGTTAAACGTCCCATTAAGTTCATGATTACACTACCAAGAGCGTCTTCCTCCACTGGTTCGACTACGCCAATGGCTGCGCCAGAGGGAGTGCTAGAGAGACCATCCATTGCCGAGAAGTTTGGGTTAGAGGGTGATTCCTCTGAAGCAAGGCTCTTAACAGTGAGTGAATTGTAGAACTGAGCACATGTGCGGAACAGGTGTCCAAAACGATAAGAATTGTTGAGCCCGACAGTGAAAGTTGGCGCGAATTTATAATAATCATATTTGAGCGCCATAACAGTGATGTCGATTGATGTTTCGGGCACAGAACAGCTCTTGAAGATCGGTACAAATTTCAAAATGGCTCTGTTGTTGGTTGTGGTACCCTAATGAATATTATCGAACTCTTATTTTTTTAACTATTGCATTCTCCCTTTCCTCGCACATAAACAACAGTTTTTTTTTCGTTATACATAATAGTACCTCAGGAAAGACAACAACGGGGCCGGCACCTTTGCTGTGCATTGCTTTAACAAAGTCCAGAAGAGGCCATGTCTCAACGCCTTCAGGTGGTGACAGCTCTGGATAGCTTCCTGACAAGCGCAGTGCCTCCCAGAATGTCACCTCACGAACAGTCAACGTCTGTAGATAGATCTGGGTGAATACAGGATTATATCTGTTCACTATCTGGGTTAAATATTCTGAATAATTTAAAAAAAAAAAAAAAAAAAAAAAAAGATAACAGTATGTTCATGTTGTTGCCTCACCTGAACGCCAAATAAAGGACGTCGATATAAGATGACCAATTGCAGACAATAAGGTTTCCTGATGAAGTTGACTTCTTGGCGGATATTTGGTTTTTGCTCGTACTCGAACTACGTCTATGTATCCGGGAAAAAAAAAAAAAAAAAAAAAAAAAAAAAAAGTTTTTTATTCATTAGATTGAAGTTCTTCCCCCTATTTTTTTCCTTGTCTGTAATTCCATGAGAACGTTTTTTTTAAAAAAAAAAAAAAAAAAAAAAAAAAAAGAAAGGTAAGCATTGAAAGAGCTGATTCATCTTGACATACCCCCGTCGGATGGTAACAACTTCATGTTTGATCCAAAAAAAGCCTAAAAGGCCAAGGATAAATCGCGCAAAGATGGCCATTATCAAGCGGCTATATAACCTATACAAGAAACCCAGAGGAGACTAGCCAAAGTGATGATTGTCGGCCAATAAAGTTCAATGAGATTGCTTTAGCGTCATGCCAGCCTCCAAGATTGAGTCAAAAAAGCGAAAATAGAACATTTTTTGTGGAATGCCCCTTATCCTCCCTTACCAGCGCCAGCCCAGCCATTTGAAAGAGTACAAATGCAAGGACCACAACACTGACCAACGCCAATTTGACAACTCCTGTGATAGGCTTGACAATCATTAGGATGACAGTCAGGGTCTTCTCAATAGGCGAGTGATCTGCATTTGCAGGCTAGAATGGCCAACAGTGTAGCAAATTAGGAAGCTTTTAGTCTCAATTGCAAACACGGAGAGGAAAAGGAGGAAGGAGGACAAAGAAGAGAAGGACATCAAGAGTGCATAGAATGTGTCTGTGTGTGCTTTTTTCTAAAAAAAAAAAAAAAAAAAAAATTATTGTTATTATTTTACCACCGGTGGCAAAAACGGCTGTATGCCTGTGCCTTGATCCTAGAACAAGAAGACCATATAGGGCATGGACGTGTCGGCGGAGGAGATAAACAAAACAACAAGAGATGAGCTTTCATGACTATTCCACGCTGAAAAAAATCTCCTAGTCTTCTTTTGATGTATGGTAGAAGCAAGTTTTTCTTTTTAATATGATCTATTTTACTTGCCCTCCAGCGCGAGAATTTCTCCATGATGTGATTAGAATGTGATGCAACTGTAAATGCAACGCAAATGATATTATGTATAAAAGCTCTTTTTTTTTTTTTTTTTTAATAGATGTCACGACAGGAAGATTGGCAAGTCGTAAGTTTTAAGACAACCTTAATTTTCTAGCGTTGTCATTACGCGACTATTTTTTCAATGCTTCCATCGTTTCCATGGAGATGATTGTAATCAAATAATTAAAGTTTGCAAGTTCATCCAGGGGAAAGCTAAAGACACAGGGACCCAATAGACACAAAACTTTAACCAAAAGAGTTTATTTATCTCATTTGTTCATGTACTCATCATCATCGGACAACAATATCAACGGTAAATTGGAAATCTATTAGTCTTACTTGAGCACAAAGACGTCCTTTTGTTACAATCCATGCTTCTTTTTGTTTGCATCACTTCTCTTGTCTTTTAGTAAACTGTATACGAACATCTTTACGTCTTTACTTGTTCCCCCCCCCCTTTTTTTCTTTTCTTTTTGGTCGCTTCTCTCTCTCTCTCTCTCTCTCTCTTTTCTCTTTTTCTCCCTTTCTATAACTCGACTATATACTCCTCATTGCCAGGCTTGTTCCTATACACTGCTCTGCTTTTGTCGCATCTATTTGAAACCTGCATATCATTATTTTATATTACTTTTTTATTTTTGGTCTCTCATTTCAACCCATTTTTTTTCATTTGATTCAGGCATCTCATTCATCCCTCATTCACCATCCCTCACCCTCACCTGTATTTCCTATAAACTATTCGTATAAATATCAAACCAGACCTTTTCGAGCGCAGAAATAGAAACCAAAGCATTACTCTTGGTTTTCTAATGCAGATTCCGGCCTCTTTATCTCGCTCCACATCTTCATCGAACATGTACCAGCGCAGCCTCCAGGCGTTGTTTGTCGGTGCTGCCATCGCTGTGGTGGTACTCGCGACTCTAAAACAAATCTTCGGTAATTAATCGCGTCTAGACCTGAAACACATCGTCTTTTTATCCCTCGCGGAGCCAAACGTCTCGATAAAAACACATGCACGAAAAGGATCTAATATTTTTTTTATCATGCCTTGTTCAGATCCTGCGGATAGGACACGATGTGAGAGTCTTTTGAATCATGGATCATGGTTGGACATAGAGGGCACCCAGTGGCAACCAAAGGGATGTATGCTCAGGACATATAATCCACAATATACAACATCATGTATTGGTGGGTCAAGAGTTGTCATGATCGGAGACTCAGTTTCACGCCAGCTATACTATTCGCTTGTCAAAAAAGTCATTCCAGATGCCAGCACAGATGGTGACCGCCATTCTGACATATTTAATCGGGACCCAGAGTCAGGAACAACGTTTGAATTTTACTGGGACCCCGTTTTGAACTCCACTAAAACCATGGCCCTATTAACTGCCTCTGAGGATCGAGTAATGAGAAGCGAAGAAAAAACGCCATCCATATTTCTAGTCGGCACGGGACTCTGGTTCTTACGGTATGCAGAATGGTCAGGAGGTATTGATCAGTGGCAACACATCATGGAACGGCTAATTCTTCAGATGGGCAGTCCTCGACTGGAACCATTAGCACAGCATCTATTCATTTCACCTATTCCCTCTGTCAACACTGAAAAGCTCTCAGAAGAGAGGCTCAGAACCCTACTGCCTGATGAAATCAACAAAATGAATACTTTCCTCAAAGACGCTACACGCGGGAGCTCAATCACCGTTCCTTTCGCATGGACAAAAATGACCAAAACTGCCGCAAGCGAAACTAAAGACGGATTACACTATGCAGACCGGATAATGGCTGTAGAGGCCGACATCCTACTTAATTATATTTGTAACAATAAGCTGCCAAAAACTCCACCGATGAGCACAACGTGCTGCTTCGACTATCCCAGCAACTATTGGTTCCAGACTCTAATGTTGGGTATCTTTTTGGTGTGGCTGCCGCTTGGACTTGTTGTGCAGACATGTAAGGGTCGAGCTCTCTATTGCTTTAATGCATTTCCTGCTAACTTAGGAGGTCGCTAACATGTACTGTGAGATGTATCTTCTTGGGCATGCTAATATAGACTATCGACATCATGCCGCATCATCCTTCTTCCCAAGTCTTACAGTTTTGCGCTCTTTTGCCGTGGTCGCTGGTGCAGTTGTCTATATGTACTATGCAGATCGCACTAGTTTATTTGCAAAGGGAAATAAGTTCTTTTCCTGGTCAACTTTTATATCTCTCATCTTCCTTTGTATTGTGGCTGGCTCCATGACATTGAAGAGGGCAGAAAAGGACCAGGTATTTTTGAACAGAGATCAAACAGACGAGTGGAAAGGCTGGATGCAAATTGTCATTCTTATTTATCACTATGTTGCAGCCTCAAGTGTCTCATCCATCTACAACCCCATTCGAATGCTTGTGGCCAGTTATCTGTTCATGACTGGATTTGGTCACTTTGTCTTTTACTACAAGAAGGCTGACTTCGGGTTCAACCGCGTAGCCTCGATCCTCGTCCGATTGAACCTGCTTACTGTCTTATTGACATATACTATGAATACAACCTATCTCGCCTACTACTTTGCTCCGCTGGTTTCGTTCTTCTACCTGACCATTTACGTCATGATGTATATTGGTCATACCCACAACCATAACCCAGTTTTCATCATTAGCAAGGTCTTGATAACTGCTATAATCACCACCACCATCATCCGGGTCCCTTTCTTCCTGGATACAGCATTTACCGTCTTGCGGTTCTTCTTCGGTATTTCCTGGTCAGCAACCGAGTGGCGATTCCGGCTACATCTGGACGTCTGGATTGTCTTTATTGGTGCGCTCTTTGCATATGGATTTATCAAAGCACAAGAAATTTCTATTACCACACATCCTCATTGGGACACCATTCGACGAGCATCCATTATAGCCTCTGTCATCGGACTGGTTGGATACTTCATCTTTGAGATATCCATGCAAAAGTTTGAATATAATCTTTGGCATCCTTATATTTCTTGGATTCCAATCATATCGTTCGTCATCCTTCGCAATAGCACCGCAGTACTAAGGAATACAACCTCAACTTTTTACTCGTTTGTTGGCAAATGCTCTTTGGAGACATTCATCTGTCAATTTCATATGTGGCTTGCAGGCGATACCAAAGGTATTCTGGTCATCTCGCCTTGGGCGGAGGGCCCAGGAGCATGGTCATTCAATTTGGCGCTTTCATCGTTCCTTTTTTTAATGGTTGCACATGTGCTAAGTGGGGCAACAGGCGAACTCTCAGACTGGCTGGTTACAGGACGAGAGCCAAAGCCCAAAGTCAACACGGCGATACCAACAGTCATCACAACAGCAGAACGTATGCCCATTAGTGCAAAGGAGAGGGAAGGGGGGTCGGTGTTACCCATCACTGTCAAGCGACAATCGGTCATGGTTTCGCCTATTGCGGCTTCAGCAGGCGTTGCAGGACCTGCTACTCTCAAGAATCTAATGGAGGCCAGTCTAGCAAGGGAAGTGGCTAATGGTAAGCCTAGTGAGTCTGGAGCAACAGGCCAACAGGACGAGGCCCTGACACACCTTAATCATCCAAAAACTACGGATTCAGCAGGAAGAGAAAAAAGTGGAACAGCAACGAATGGAGGAGAGAAGAAAGAAGGTGTTGTTCTGCAAATCGATACTAGAAACACAAACTCGCTACGCTCTGGAGGTGCCGTGTCTTCTGCGCTGTCACCAACTTCGATTACATTCAAGAGTCTGTGGGCAAAGCCCGTGTGGAAAGTGGGCATCTTTTTAGGAATCATCTGGGTACTTAATTACGGATCAACATGGCGCTCCAATACACCCAGTTAGTGCTAAATTGCGACAAAGTAAATGAAAAGATCATAGATATTTTCATTGCGTGCCAGTGTTGTCCTGCTGATGCGATAAAAGGCAATATATTATACCGAATATTAAATTATACAATTCACACAGTCTCAAAAGTTTTTTTTTGTTTTTCTTCAGTATCGATTCCATCAGCATACATAGGCTTTCTCATCTCTTAATTTCTCATCACTTTTGGTGCATGTGGCCTTGCTTATAAGCCTACTCCATCCACCTATTTTAAGTCCAAAATCCTTAGATATTCATACCAACACGAGCTCCTTCAGTTAACGAAAACAAACATGAACTCCGAGAACAGTCCTGAGAATAGCATCTCCACGCCCGTGGAAGAACACACTTTAGTGCCTCAGCAGACTGTGATACACAGTAGCACTGTTAGTCTGAGTGATGCTAATAAACTAGACAATAAACAGCCGGCTCAAGTCGTTTCCAAGGATGACAAGACTGACTCGCAAACTGAGTCTTCTTCTGGCACTGACGCTAGCAATGCGCCTCTTAAGCAAGATAGTATCACCAATATCAAGGTGATTAGTGAGGAGTTTGCAGAGTTGAGAGTGAGTCTCCAGAAAGCTGTTTCAAGCCTGGAGCGACTTGGTAGCTCCCTGAAGACGGCAAGCCTAATTTCCCATGAGGATACAGCTTTAGATACAGTAAAGCGGCCCATCAGAGAGGTACATGGTTCTACTTTACCACCCAAAGAAAAGGGAGCCAAAGCTAATTCACACCATTGGAGAGCTTTCCGAGGAAGGAATCGATTTGCTGGACCATTCATACCTCGAAAGCCCAACTGGATATTGAAGGTATACTGTAGTAATACTCACACACAAATAAGCTCCTTTAATACGATTTTAATTTGCTAATAGAATCCTCTTGTATTGCTTTACATCTCGGTTAAAGATCCTTGACCCACACGGGTTGGAGGAGGTACACTCAATTGAGTTAAAGAATGGCACTAGGAAATGTCTGGAGACCGATGGGTAATTATTGCTAAATACCATGCAAACGTGCCCGGACCCTATAGATGAGGCAGTTAAATGTTGGCTACTGACTCGAACCCATTCTCAAAACATAGTATCACTCAACTAGGATATATCGAGAAGAACACCCTAGCACAGCTTATTTCAGGTAAACAATATGGATGAATGCACGAAGTTGGTTAAACGAAAAATGAAATCCTATTCATGTTGACTTCTTTGTTTTTGATGGGTTGCTATAGGTGATGATGGCATCTTGCAGATTAGGGGGAATAGGCTCGAAAACTACGTCATATATCCAATTATTGATGTTCTCGAAGATGCGACTTCCGAGTTCCAAGTATTGATTTTGATGAATCGTCTAGATGCTCAGAGTAGCAAAGCGTTCGTCTCTTCACTTAAGAAGCATCTCAATGTTGCGGAGGTTCCTAATACTTTTTATACGGCCCAACAGGATAAGATGGTGGGTCTTGGGCCTCTTCTCAGTAGCTCCACCACGCCCTCTATCTACGCGATAACCCCGGAAATGATGACTCAGTTGAAGAACGAAGGTGTCATCGTACCCAAAGCAGTTCATGTGATGATTGTTTATGAGGCCGAGTATGTTTTGCGGACACCCGCTCAGATCGAATCAATCCGTATCGCGCTGGACGAATTCGAAGTCTGTCAGGTGATACTAGCGGTTCATGATGCCACTGAGGATGTGTTGCATGCCGCAGAGGCTTTTGGGTTCTCAGACAAGACCATTGTGTTTAGCATGGATCACACCAATATCTATACTGCAGAACACTATCGCTTCACGGAGGAAACAATGCTAGAGTCTCTTTTGGATCGCGCTGTCCAATTTAGCAAGGAGAATGCTGTTGTTGTCCTTTGCCATGATGCAAGAGAAGCTCAGCGAATAAGGGGCCAGCTTGCTGAACGCGCTGAGATGGCAAGTCGTGGAGAAGAAATTTATTTTAGCTGCAACCGTTCTATATTCTCTAACTCGATAGCCAATGTTTACTATTCTGTTGATAAATAGCTCACTTTCAACAAGTTGTCAGAAGCTGACGCATTAATAAACGGGATACTCGTCACTCACCAGGTTGTTACGAGCGCCTTCCATGCCCACCGCCATAAGGATGTCAACATGATCCTCAACAATTCGAACCTGATCACTACTGCGGATCGATATCTTGAAATGTAAGCCTATGAGTTCGAGAATTATATGCTTGCCATCGAGGGCTTCATGCTGTGTGCTTGAAATTGATGGCACTGTTGTGGTGGCTGTAAATAGGCTTAGCTCGTATATGTCCCTTGGTCAACCATGCAAAGTCATCACCAAAATCGGAAGTCCCGAAGGATTAAAAATGCTTGAGAAACTCGGCGTCACCTTCAAGGACATATCGTATGCGGATCAATTGTAAAAAGTTCCAGCAACGTTAGACATCGTTCTATTCTTTCATGGCGCTCACAGTACTCGCTCAAGCCCTACCGTTTATGCAGAATCCAGGAGCGTGTCAAATCGCTCTTGTCTACCATATTAGCTTTGCATGTACTACTCAAATCATGGAGTGATGCACGTCTCACCTTCTCCCTGAATAAAGTTTACATTGCGGTCACAACTTATCTCTTGAGCCTCTTTTATGACTATTTGAAACATCTTGAATTGGATAAAACATCAGAAGCACCAACATGAACAGAAGACGAATGCAAATCGGTGGAAGGGCGTATAATGAACGCCTGAAAGCCACGAATGTGCGGCAACTCATTTACTCCAGTAGCTCAAGCGAACTCTTCTCTTTGGTCAATGCATGTGGAAGTCTGATTTTTTTTTTTTTATTATATGTCTTGACAGGAATCATACCAAAGAGTGGGACAGAGCTTGTATGACAGTCAGTTACAACAACTCCAAAGCCAGCTCGATACCTTCCGTGCCAATTTGGAGGTTTTTGCACGAGAACATCGCAAGGATATTCAGAAGGATCCAGTGTTTCGAATGCACTTTCAAAAAATGTGTGCCAACATTGGTGTCGATCCTTTGGCCTGTAAGAAAGGAGCTCTGCCGCTGATGAAATTGATGGCATAGTTTGCATGTAATGTATACAACATGTCACGATTGCCATGACGACTGATTTTTTTTCTTATGGATATATTTGTGTAAAAATAGCGAGCAAAGGATACTGGGGAGAGCTACTGGGTGTGGGTGATTTTTACTATGAGCTTGGGATCCAGATTATTGATGTCTGCCTATCGACACGAGCGTTGAATGGCGGCTTAATGGAGCTTTCAGAAATCAAGCGACGAGTTGAGCGGATGCGTGGAATACAAAATAGTAATTCCAAGACTACGACAACAGGAGGTAGTAGAAACAATGCCCCACAGGATAGCAATAGCAGTAGCAGTAGTAGTAAATGGGCAGCCATCACTTTAAGCAATAACAACAAAGATACCAGTATGGAAATCACAGAGGATGATGTCCTACGAGCGATCAAGACACTCGCTCCATTGGGAAGCGGGTTTCAGGTCTTACAACTTGGAGACAAGAAAATGGTCAGCTCCGTGCCAAGAGAGTTGAATCGAGACCAATCTTTGATCTTGGCACTTGTGCAGGTACAAATAAAAAAAAATACCTTGCGTGTCTTCTGGGCTTTTGAATGTAAATGAAAACAATCCTATAATACGACTAAATTTTTTTTTTTTTCTCTTTTTTTTTTTTTTTTTTTCCTTTATAAACTGCTGGAAAATAGAATACGAGTGGTCATATCAATGCCAACATGGTCAGTGAGCGACTTGGGTGGGAGAGTGGACGTATTGAAACTGCTTTGGTAAGTTAGTACAGAATAACTTGGAATTATTCGTGTCGTCTCTGTGGATGTGCTCTGAATCTTTTCTGTTGCCATCATTTGTTATCATCCTGAATCGATAGGATACACTACTGGAGGATGGTTTGATGTGGATTGACCAACAAGCAGAGCCATACGAATATTGGGTACCAGGGTTTTTTGAGCCTGAGGACGATGAGATTTATGCGACAACAACAGTAGCGGCGTCTTCCTCATGAGCTCAACTTTTTTTCTTTTTTTTTTGTTATTGGAATTAAAAAAAAGTTAAACAAAAAATGTCAGAACAAATTTACAATATGCAGGAACGGAATGTCCTTTTTTTATTATTGTTTCCGTGTTACTCAGACATATAATGGCTCATGCTTTGCTTATTAAGGAAGCCCTGATTCCACTTCAATAGATCGTTAATATCCTTGATCCAATCTTCTCCTGCATGAACTCTATTAACACAAGGCATCGGGAACGCTGACATGCAAACCTGAAGGAATTCGTTCTTATCTAGAAAGAACGTCTCCTTTCCATCAAGTGATACCTCTGCAGGGCCTCTGGATTTTTCTCCGATTTTAAGCTGGATTGTTGCATTTGGTGGCAATAGAACAGGCCGAAAAGAGAGGGATCTTGGACAAATGGGCGTCATAAGTAAAGTTTGGATGGATGGATGGACAATGGAGCCTCCAGCAGAAAGGGAATAAGCTGTAGAACCTGTAGGGGATGCTACAATCAACCCATCAGCAACAGCTTCTGTAATAAGATGGCCATCAACATAGCATCCAATCCAAGTAAGATGTGGATATCGTCCACGATGAAGATTGACCTCGTTCATCACTGTCAAGTCGTTGATCTGGCCTGAGCCGTCCTTTGCCTGCAATCGCCGTCCATCCGCTCCATGAAGCGTACACTTGAGACGCATGCGAAGCAACAAGGATGCTTGTCGAGTATCGATCAATTTTGAGAGTGCATTTTGATAATTGTTGATATCTAGAATGTGTATTTACATGACAAGGACGGGTAAAGGAAGGGAAGCATCCGTGAATAGTATGAGGGAATTTTTTGTTTTTGCTTGTTTCTTAGAACGCCCTATAGCCATTCCCCAGTACAGATTTCCATGATTAACATTAGAAAGCGTCTTTACAAGTTCCTTACGATATGGTAAAAGGAAGCCAAGCGTGCCCATGGAAAACGAGATGACAGGAGGAACTGCAGAATTGAACAAGGATGAAGTATGGAGGATGGTGCCGTCGCCTCCCAAAGTTACCACCAGATCGATGACGCGCGTGTACTCATCACGTTTGTGATCTAAGATCAGTATAAAAACAATAATAATTAATACGCGATTATTACAAAGCGGCTCTACGAAGGAAACATGATTGCACAGGCGCTTGCCTCCTCGTCTACAATCCTTTTTGCTACTATTAATAACAAGTTCTTATTTACCTGGGATGGTATACAAAAAAGGCAATCGTTCGGCAAACTCCTGTGCAACATCTGGCTCTACCACAACATTCATATGTGGATAAGTGGTGTGAATCCACCTTTTTTTTATAAATCGCAGAGCATAGTAATTTTATCAGCTATTTGTTTAGTAATATTTCAAAAAAAAAGAGTTATCTTAACGCTGAGAGCGATATGAAAGCCTTACGTTGCAACATCAACTAATGCATTGTCTGTTAGTTCATCATAGGGTTTCTTGATGATAAGCACTGTTCTTGGTGCATCCTCCCATTCTAATTTATAATTACCACTGGAGGGATTTTTTTTGAGTTCTAGCAAAACTTGACTTTTTTATCAAGACCATAGAGAATGTGCCAATTGATCATATATTTATGCTATCGGTAACGTTTTTTTATGTATCTCACCCATATGTAGTTCCAAAAGACTGCCGGATCTCCCTACTCGGCTCCTTATCGGTTGTAGGTGCAAGATCTTTGGGGAACACGCCTTCCATGGAGAACAGAAAAATGGATACAACGAATCAGGATTAGATACCATAAAAGGGGCTTTAACAGATGTAGAAAATTGGGTTACCTGGTGTGTCGAGGAGCATCTTGATCCGAGTCGGTAGATCGCTTGTAAACCTGAATGGTTTACTCTTTTTTCCTCCTCCACCTCCTCCTTGTAGTCCGTTACTGACTTTTTGTGTTCGATCCAAGATTTCGTTAGTGCTCACATGATCTCCATGCTCCTTGCGACATATGCCTAAGCTTGAAAATGCTCTATACTGTGCGAGCGACATGGATAAGCCATTATTCCTTTGTCTCATTATGCTTCCGAGAACATGCTCATTCCGACATGGGGACTGGGACTGGGACTGGGAATGTCGAGACCATAGGGTGTTGGTAGAGAAAGAGGTATAGCATTTTATCCCTGAAAGAACTGGTTTCGCACGAGAAGCCCATGATAGCTTATGAACACCGGTAAGGATACGGAAAGGCTCCCGCATGGCATGTATAAAGTAAAGAACTATAAACTAAAAAGATGAAATATCTATGATTCAGATCCAAGTGACTTGCCATTTATATTCTACGTGGCTTAGTCAGCAATTGGAAGGAGCCAAAGTATTTAAACTTTATGCATTGCATTTCATTAAATTTCATTGCATTCACTTTTACTCATCTCTTTCTTTATTAATCATCCTTTCATCGCCGGCTTTGCTTATAAGAAGCCTATTGCAGATAAACCGCAAGCTCTAATAACGTCGACAGAATCTACAATTGGAGACATTAGCATCATGACGGCTGCATACTCGATTCTTCCTTCAGAGATCGACTTTCAGGAGTATTCGTTCGAATTCGAAGACTTTGTCAAAACAGAAGTTGGATTGGATATCACTAATTTGGCAAAGAAGAATGGAGGTAATACATCATATTCATATAAGTTTTTTTGTTTTTTTTTTGTTTCGAATAAAAAAGGCGGATGACCATATTTCCCTCGCTACAATCGCAGAAGAAAAAAAAAAATCTATAATATACTTTTTTCTGCTATATTCTGTTTGAATTTGTCTCTGCAACAAGCTTTGATAGTTGCTAGTACAGCATCTCTATATGATTCTATATTAATGACATGAATGTCTCGATGAAGTTAAAAATAATAATAAAGTCCACAAGCATTGATCACTCACTAACATCAATGCTATTTGAAATTACTCACGATATAATATGGATTTTTTTTCAAAAAAAAAATATAGAAACGGGGGATAATATTTGTAGATTCTTTTTGAAAGGACATTGTTCAAAAGGAAACAACTGTCAATTCCGTCATGTCAGGACAGACCCTTCTAAAGCAGTCGTTTGTAAACATTGGCTTCGAGCATTGTGTAAAAAGGGAGACAATTGTGAGTTCTTGCACGAATATAACCTGCGCAAAATGCCTGAATGTTGGTTTTATAGCAAGTATGGAGAATGTAACAATGGCGCGGAATGTATTGTAAGTGTGAAAAAAAAAAAAAAAAAAAAAAAGAATTAATATAATATCATAAAGTAAAGGCGACTGTTAATTGTCATATTTTCTGAATATTATTTGCTCGATTCGAACTTGATAGTATCTTCACATTGATCCTGAGAGCAAGATCAAGGATTGTCCATGGTATGCACGAGGATTTTGTAAGCACGGACCTAACTGTAGGCACAAGCATACGCGGAAAGTTATTTGTCAAAACTACGTCACAGGATGGTGTCCACAAGGACCTAATTGCCCCAATGGACAGTAAGTCAAATGCTTTTTTTTTTTTTTTTTTTTTTTTTTTTTTGATTGTAGAAATTCATTGTACTTACTCGTTGCCTACTTTTTTTTTAAAAAAGTCCGAAGTACGAACTTCCGCCACCAAATTGGGATGATGGCCAAGGCTCAAGACCAATGCAGGACCGAACACATGGAGAGGTGAGATACAGAGCTAAAAAGCTCGAAAAAAAAAAATGCAGGTTATATTTATTATTTTTTTCTAAACATCTCTACACTTCTCTTTTTTATTAGTCATCACGACCGGATGGAGAGACCCCTACATATCGAAATGTCGAGGACGTTACTTGCTTCAAGGTTTGTTTTTGTTGTTGTTGTTGATACCTTTGCATTTTAGGAGATTATTCTGACCCCTTCCTCTCTTTTATGTATTCTTCCTTCAGTGTCAACAAAAAGGACATTACGCAAACAAATGCCCACAAGGAAGACAACAGTACGACATGATGTAGCTGAACAGACAGCTTATTCTAATGAAGTTTTTGTAGATTATTCGTAATCATTATAATAGAGTAGTTCAATATTGTGTATTTCATTATAGTCTTTAAAGAAAGTGACAACCAGTTGTTCCTTCAAATATACAAACGAACAAATAAAGCAATCTGGACGCGAGATGTCCTGTGCCCTGTGCATTTAAAGTTTAAAATGTGATCCCCTATTTTTCTGCATGTTTGTTTAAAAAAAGGAGCGCGTGGGCATATGACTTTTCAACGATACGCGGCAACACCCCTTCGCTTTTGTCTGGATTCCCTACTCCCTTTGTCATCTGCCCATGCTTCTTTTTTCGAGCGTGGCACGATCAGTGATCCCTTCAACAAATTGTGGTGCTCACGCCACTTTCAAACCAGATAGGAGTATTGACCATGCGGATCATAAAAAAGCAACCATCATATGTCCCTCTTTTTTTTATCTTACCTCATCTCCCCAAGTGCATCTCTCATCGTTTTCACTTCTGCTTTGCCCATCATTCCCTTGCCAATAATAAAGCATAGGATCTCGATTTAGCTTGAAAACAATCACAACTCAGCATTAAACAATCAGAAGATACGAAAAAAAAAAAAAAAAAAAAAAAAGTTCAATCATGGCATCAAACAAGGACAGGGACCTTTGCTGTTGCTGCATTCGACTGCGACCGGCCGTCGCTGTGATTTCTTTGCTGTATATAGCTGTCATTGCTGCCACAACTTATCAGAAATATGTTGCGAATGATAATGGTAAAAAAACAAAGAGAGGCATTCTGAATCCAATCTTCTGCCCTTTTTTTTTTTTTTTTTTTTTTTTTTTTTTTTTAAAAAAAAAAAAAAAAAAAAAAAAAGCTGAGGATTTCCTAGGACTAACCTGCTTTTAAAATAATAAAAAATACTAATCTTTTTAGGTGATAAAATTGCCAGAATTATTATCTTTGCCTCAGCTGGTATTCAGCTATTGATCGCGCTTCTTGGGCTCCTTTCTGCGGCTACCAAATCTGTTATCATCACTAGAGTATTCTCTATCCTATGGTGGTGCCTTACTCTGGTTGTCCTGGGACTGTCGATTGGGAACCTTATTTTGGTAACCAGAAATGACAGAGAGTCGATTGAGAACGCTTGTCGCGACAACCTTAGATCATCCGACAATGGATTGGGGAAGGTCACAGATCCAGATGATGAGCTGGTCAACAAGTGCTATCGAATGGTTGTAATCATCTCTGCAGTGGTATTGGCTATTCAGTTCGTGTTGATGTGTCTTATTGGTTGGATATTCCAGCGGTACCTGAGAGAGGTCAAGCAGGATGCTGCCGTGGCAGCAGCGCTCAAGTCAGTTGACGACGGTGATGCCTAAGGGAAAAAAAGACGATAATGATAATAATTAAGTAACATTTAGCTTATTGAATATTGTAGATAGGCAAGTAAGGCTCCGAACTATCGCACTACCCTCTCTATTTAATTGTATATATTGATGACCAAAATACATTTAAACATTTAATTGATGTCGTTAAGTATTGAGCTCGTTTTATCCATCGCTGCTAGCATGTCAATGGAGTAACACCGTGGTTATATTATATAATACAGATGTATATATTCGTTGCTGTACGTATAGTATATATATACGGAGGACGCAATAGAGCAGAGGGTGAAGCTTGTCGCTCTTTTTGGTTATACCTTTCAAATATAAACGGCTTAACAAAATTCTTATAATTGAAAAGGACTAACCAAAAAGAGCAAGTTTGTCCCTCTGGTATAGAGCCATTTGTCCCAACAAGAGTTCTTGGCTGAGTCAGGAGGACATATCGCCAATTTTATTTGGTCACGATACCTTATATTTTTAATCTAAAAACGATGATTGAATTGTTCTGGTGGCATCTCACTACGTGACGGACTTGCAACAATACTCGTAACAAGCGAGCTAATTGGCTGCCAATACACTCGAAAGTATTCAAAAAATATAAGGTATCGCGACCAAATGAAACGGGCTATAATATATACTACAGTATTAAGCTTTTTTTTTTTTTTTTTTTTTTGACAACAAGGACCCTCAGGACATACTACAGTATTAAGCTGGAGAGCTTTGTGTGCTCTTTGATATTAGGCATCATTATGGAGTAAACTTTAGGCATGAAGATTTGCCACCAAACATTAACTAAAATGAAGCCTTCTCTTTTTGTGAATTTTCTTTATCCTCCACGTTTGAATTTTTTTTTTCCCATCTGAAACATCGATGCTCCCCTGCGACTCGACTCCCGCAGGTTCGGATTCAGCCCTACGCGTTGCTCACTCATTAGCTCGTCACTCAGCTGTAACGCCCCATAATGCTAACACCATGCTGCAGGAAAAAAATGGACAGGAACAACAGCAACGGCAATGCCTCCAACAAAATCAACACTCTGATGATGGCAATGTGTCCATTTTGAAAGTGGTTCCTAAAACATCGACGCCAAGCGTTGTAGTTCCTTTGATGAATTCCAGAATTGCTGGATCAAGTCGTTCAGACTCTCTGTTTGACCATGCGCCGAACTTACTAGCACCACGTCTTCAGGACCACCTCCTACAGGCTGCTCATTTCGCAAAGGAGCTTAATGACAAGAATCATGGTCAGTCGAGTAAACATGTCTTCACCAGGATCAACCAGTATTCCATAAGAATAGCCCAATAGGGGTAAAGGGCTAATATAATCAATGACTATACGTCTTCCTATAGAGCTCGAAGAAGAGAACAAAAGGCTGCACGAACTTATTCGACAGCATCGTTCAAGTGCTTTGGAATGGTGTGCGGCAGCCAAGACCTATGAGCAGGATCGCAACTTTGTGACACTGCGCCTAGCAGAGTTAGAAATGCAGCTTGCGAAGAAGGCAGCATTTAAAGATACAAACTCGCACAAAAAAATTGATACCCTTCAAGCCCAGGAAGCAGCGTCAACAACAAATATAGCACAACCAGAGGCCGCATCTATCACCTCTGTGACAAACGATGAAAATGTGTCAATATTGAACAGCTTCGTCAGTCAGTCTATATCGCAGATTTTGGATTATATGTATGTGTTGACGTTTGAGTATGATGTAGTCGCATTTTCAAATCAATATAACATCTCACCATTCCCCCTCTCCATATTGATAAAAATGACCCAGGGCACCTTCCAAGAACTCACATGAGCCACGTCTACCTCCATTAAGCAAAGGCAATTACTCATTCAAAAGCACGGACCCTTCTAGTCGTGAAGGAGCCGGAGCAGGAGGATCTATGAAGTCTAGCAATCCTCTAAAATCCGCACTCAAGTCTTCAAACTCCTCCAAAAAGTCATATTGCGTATGTGGATGTCAGGAAGAGCTTAAGGCATGGAAGGCTCGCTGTGACTATGCTGAAAATCGAGTCACATTATTGGAGCTGCGTTGTGAGCGTTCAACTGTGATTCTTGAGGCCTATAAGGCTAAATGGACACAATGGAAAGAAAGGGTTTTATGGGAACAGTACCAGCGTAGGATGAAGGAGCATATGTCCCCACAGGCAATTCGATACATGACGCTTGATACCCCCAGACCTCCGAGCAGTAGACAGCAACAGCAACAGCAACAGCAACAGCAACAGCAACAGCAACAGCAACAGCAACAGCAACAGCAACAGCAGCAACATCGGCAAATATTATCAAGGCCGATGCCATCCCACCCTAAAACAAAGGATACTGAGCGAAGCGATTTTGTGACTGAAGGCAGCGATACCTCGCAACAAAGACAAGAAGTAACGCAAAGAAATACAATTTTCAACCAGTTCAACACAAGATATTCTGTAAGGCTCGAATCCTCAAGGGAATCTACGCATGCAAATCGTCCTGGCTCCATGGAGGAGCCTCATGTGATTTTTGATGATGAAGACACCTCGAGCACACATGAAAGTACTAGTCTTGGACAAAGAGGATCAAAGTCACCGTTGCATGCCACACATTCTGACGATAATGACACGTCGATTGCGTATAAAGAGCAACCCCTATCGCTGACTTTCCCCTCCGACCTTGCGCTTCGTCAACGTCAATGCCACTCCGACCTTGAGGATAGTGACGATAGTGAAGATTATAATCACGAAAACCATGTTGTTCGTGGGGAACAGAAAGAATACAACAGCGTCACACCAGCCGCTCGGGTATCACCGATAAGAGAGCAAGAAGCATCAGCTACGGCAATTGGGAATCACTCTTATGAAAGACGACGTGCCTCAACAGACAAAACAAGCATGTCGCTACCCAATATTGAATCCGATCGTTCATCGCCTCCAATGTTTGATACCGATTTTTTGAAAATATCTACTAGACCTACAGCAATTCCACAACAGAATGTTTCGATAAAGACTGAGCAGACGATTAAGGAACAGCCACCGCCTCAACTCTCCAAAAAGGGCCATAGAGTTGAAATCTCTGCGGATACTGAGGATGAAGTTTTAGCAAATACAAGGAGCCTTCGCATTCCGAAAGTGAAGAGCAGTGCTCGTGCAAAAACTCCTATGTCTCACCATCCACATAATAGCAGTTCAAGAGAGAAACGAACGGTTTTTGTTCCAGCAACGCCACTAGAACAGCATGGCATCACGCCAAAAAAGGATAAATCAGCTACACATCAGCTATCTTTAGCTGCAATGATAAGGGCTCAACGGACACCAGAGCAGTCCACTATGGACAAAGCGGCAGTAGAGACTATTGCCATTGACCTTGATGACGAGATGCATGGTGTGGCTTCCGAAAAGGCCAAGGCTGTGGGTGACGATGCGGATAAGGAAAATGAGCAGCCGCTGGACCTGCCACGGGAGGGGGAGCCAGAAGATGACGCTTCACACATAGACAGGGACGCGCATCACAAGCAAGCAGCTTCCAGCGGTAGTGGCAGCTCTGCACAAAGGATATATAACTACACTGAGCGGCGAAAAGATAAGAGGAAACAAATGCATGGACACGATTGCGCATGTTGTCGTCGATTTTACGAATTGACTGGGCCATTACCACTTCCGGATGGATACAATACATTTTTTACACCTGCACCTCGCCCTGGTGAGAAAGAGGTATGGGAGAAGACAGCAGAAGAGCGGCTGCAAGATCGGATCCAACAAATCTCAAGGCACCGTGTCCATCATGAATCACCCATGACTCCACCAGGCTTTTGGGATACAGATTTCCCGCTAACACCGGACCGTCTAGAGTGGGATCGAATTGCAGATGAGAGACGAGATCGGAAGAAGCAGAGGATGGGGCACCGGCAGTAAGCAAGATTTCTTCTTGTGAGTTTTAGCAATAACCGAGATTTATAGTTTATAGCCTATTAAAGCTTTGAAAGAAACAAGTTCGTCTTCTAAGAAGCGTGGTTTACTCCGTTTTTTGTGTAACTTTATGACCAATTCTCATTTGGGTTAAATTATCTACATGCTTAATGCTGGCTTGTACAAGTCTAAGATTTGAGGACATATATCATATCTGTATCTTTGAGTAGGATGCCAGGCAATGGATTTGTAAATATAAAAGGCAGCGCATTGTTAAGCTCACGGTCTGGTGCTCGATATAGACCCAATGATACAATGCCATATTGAAGGGCCAATGTCTGGAACAAAGCCAAGAAAGACTTGCCCTATGAGGCCGGAAGATAGATGGATGTGTAATTAGTGGTGGTTATGAAAACTTTTTCATTATTATTATTGTTGGTATTTAAAAAAAAAAAAAAAAAAAAAAAAAAAACCTACCACAAATTGTATGGGAGTCTCAATCAAGCAGATACTGGAGCAGTCAATACCCAAGATCTGGTCCAGCTCAATGGCCTGCTTGAGCCGGACACCACAACAGAGCTTCACGAGGTCCAGGATATGGGTCTTAGAATAGGCTTGAAACAGAACATTGTCGAGTAAACTACTCGCCAGTACATGACCACTAGCAAAGATGGGTGTCATCCAGAACCCGCTGGGTCCGCTACGTTGAGCTTTGGATATATGGTCCCGTGTCTGGTAAGATCGAACCAAAGCTAGATCGTGCATATTTAAGAATCGGATACTACTTCTTTCCACTACGTATACATGGGAAATATGAAGCGGGGAAGAAGGAAAAAAAAAAAAAAAAAAAAAAAAGAAATTAATTGATTACGAAAAGCTACAGCTGTAAACATAACAGTGAGCGACAGAGAGCCACTTACGGATATCAACAACAATGTGCTGCTTGCCTAAAAGATTGCGTTGCTGTAGTGTTTTATGGATCATATGGTGGGCCATAATTGCAGTGCTATCCACAAATTCGCCTCGATCAAGGCCGTGGGCAATATGTGACAAAACTACAATACTGGAAGCACCAAGGATACCTGCCCGGACCAAGTCGCGTTGATGCCGACAATTTCCCTAAAGTTCCGATATAATCAGCAATAGTGTTTTTCTTCACAAAAAAAAAAAAAAAAAAATGCACTATGCACTTACAATAACCCAAAAGACACGAGGAAAGGACAAAATGGCGTTCCAGGTTCCGCCTCCGCATTTTTCAGATTTCATTTGTTTCTTGGAGGGTCCCACTCCCACTTTTATCGAACTAGAAGGAAGATCACGCTCAGTGCCATCAGCAACAGCCAAGCCATCAATCAAGGCTGATATCGCGTTCTCATCGAGTTTTTCGTCCCCTCGCTCATCAGACGCTTCTCGCGCTAGGGGGACGTTATTGAAATGGGGCTTCTCTTGTGGATTGGTAGTCAAGACCACGATCGTCTTGAAATCCTGTTTGGGGATCTGAGCTAGTCGAAGCGTAGATATGAAGCGGTAGAGGTCCTCTCCCGCATTAGCGCAGACGACAATGTGATCCTTTAATGCGGAGAGATCTTCTCGGATAAGTGACCTGACAGACGCTGGAGGATCAAGCAACAGATGACAGAGCGGCAAGTCCTTTGTCTCTGATCTAGTCACAGATGTCTGGCCAATGTAGGTCGTGTCATCCAGAGGCTGGAATGAGCCTTTGATGGAGTAGTGTCCATTACGTGTTTCTGTTTGATGAGGGGGTTGCCTATCTTTGCCTGACATCCGTCGAGAGAGAGGCTTCTTCAGAGTTTGAGATAAACTATGGGGGTGTATCTCTGGTGCAGTGACAGTTATAGGCAAACCAAGTCCTTGCACTGTGTCATCAACTGTCGGCATGGATAAAATTTCTGCAGCGCTTGATGCTCTAGGACCCTTAATGGTAGTCGTGTTTCCTTCAGCATCCAAACCTCGAGCCATTATCGTCCTATCGGTGCCTTCGGCTGCAGCAGCGGCAGCATTGAGGTCGAAAATGGTCGAATAAAAATCGGCGCTATTAGATGTATTATTGTTGACAGTCGTGTTATTTAGGTTTTTTCGTAATCTGGCTTGATTTTCGAGATCCTTTACCGAGGACTTTCCTTCCGAAGAGAGCCGAGACAGGTCTCGTCGACTGCGAGTATCTACGGATTGATCTATATCACCAGAGCTATCCTCTGGGTCCCTTAATAGGCAATTATTTTCCTCGGTAGTCACAACGCCTCGATAATTCTGCATATTATGCCTGTTCTGACGTGCCTCATGAGCACGTATACCTTGATCAACGTGGGCGCTCTTTGATTTTTGCAGATTGCTACTGTCGCTCAGCACGCTACCATTGCCGCCATCATCGTCATCATCGTCGTCATCATCATCGTCATCATTGTCGTCATCATCATCGTCATCATCATCATACAAGGCTATGTTCCAGGCAGGACGCGCTAACTTGGTTTTTTTCATATTAAGCTGATCACTAGTAGGTGATTTAACGATCTTACGAGGTACAGGCTTCTCACTGATCATAGGTTGGTATATCGCGGGGGAGGCAGTGGTGTTGGAGCTATCACCCGACCTACCGGAAGTTGAAGTAAGACGCGTTCTTTGCTGCTGATGTTGAAGTTGCTGCTGTCGCGTGGACTCCTCAAGTCTAATCTTCTTGGTATTTCGATGCTCAGCTCTTTTCATAGCAGCTGCACGAGCATCCGATCTCGATAACTTCAGATCATGGTACATATTCATCGCTTTCGCGAAGTCCACTCGCGAATTTCCTAGGGGATCTTTCTCATCATTCAACATCTTCTCATACTGCTCTTTTGTAAAGCCATTGATGGCTTCCAATTCCTCAGGAGATTGAGCTATAAAAATGAGTTGATCAAATTTACCAAGTCTGTAACTGTTACCAGGGTTGAGACTCAAATGGTACTGCCCACTTGGACAGTCTCCAGTCAAGCCATTGTCTTGTGGGTGGCGCTGTCCTGTTAATCCCAGACTGATTCCGATATCATTCAAGCCAAACCCGCTGCCACCACTATTACGACGACTCGATCCTCTTGATCTAGCATTGGGCATGTTGTGCGCGCCATGAAAATGAGAGCCATCATAATCTCCTTCTATTGCTGTTTCCATAAAGATATCCACTCCAATAAGAATCGTTTGGAACTCTTGAAAAATAAACCATGAAGCCTGGGCAAATGTCCATCCGACAAAGACCTCGGGCACAGAACTCACATAGAGCTCATTACCGGTTCCATCGCCATATTGGGCCTGCCAACCTTCTGTATAACTATCGAGGGGCTCGGAAGGATGGAGTAAATTGAGGATCAAGGTGGCAGCACCTCGGTGTCGGCAATTATAGGCTAATAGGAGCTGTTTCACATCGTTAATACACATGGATTGCTCTACGATACCCCACTGGAAAGACTCAGTTTCCGGAAGAAGATTATATGTGAATACGCGAGTATCGGGTGCATAAAGATGAAGAGACCACGCAAGAAGTGTCGTCATTGTATCTTGCGACTCCATGTCTAAACTCATTCGATCTAAAATAAAAAAATTATTAGAGGTCCCGATTTAGGAAAAATTACGGCCTATTCCTTCGCCAAAAAAAAAAAAAAAAAAAAAAAAAAAAAAAAGACTGACCTGGAATGATAAATACGCCGCCAGCATCTCGAACTTGACATCTTTTAAGATCGTCCTCGTTTAAACCATTACCAACTAGCATCGTAGTCTTGTTCTTATACATTGGCATGCCCAGCAATGTCTTGACATCTCTCGGAGGCTTATTCCGAGACAAGAACACGACACGTACATCACTATCTGAGAACTCCTGCAGTATTTCCAAAAAAAAAAAAAAAAAAAAAAAAAAAGGGAAGTTATAGGCAGATCTTGCTAAAGCATTTTTTTATATTTTATATTATTTTACCTTATTAAAGAACCCGCTCAGCATGTCAGAGATACGTTTAACATCCTGGAAATTACCGATCATTACCAGGTATTGTTTAGCAACTCCGTCGATGCCTCGGCTCTGGATGTATGACCCTCCCCCAGCCCTTGAAGATTTGAGGGTATCGATCACCCCTGCAATTAGGCCTGGGACAATCGAGAGTGTGATGATGATGAAAAACATGACCACAACCTTGCTTTCAAACGATTTTGGAGTGATATCACCATACCCGACTGTCGATGCTGTGATAAGAATAAAATAAAACGCATCACCGATCGTATGTGGAGACTCGGTCTTGGGAGCAAACATCGTTTCCGTGTAGAGGAAGGCTGCCATTGCGTTGTACATAATAGCAATAAAATAAGCGACAAGCGCAATGAGCTTTGCTTTAACAGGATCGAATGGTTGATCTAATAAAAAGTAAATAAAATTTAAGTAGCATTTCAAAGAATAAAAAATTGAAGAAAAAAAACGAATACTTACCCGAGATACCGATATCAACACCAATGCTTAATGCCCGTTGTAGACGCGAAATAACACTCCAGCTCCGTAAGAAATACGGTACATATAACCACTGGCCCTTGGGTAAAAATGCCCCGGAGAGTAAGAAAGGGGTCGCGGTGACTACATCCAACAAGGTTTGTGATGAAAATATGAACCCACGCCTCGAGTAAGAAAAAAAAAAAAAAAAAAAAAAATTAGTCCATATTATATTAATATTGCAATCGTCTGGGTTTCCTGGAAAAACTGGAATCTGGAATGAATCTATGGCTTACTTGCTATCAGCAAAGATAAATCGGATCATGGCAGACATCACGTTCCAGCTACTCATGGCCACAGCCACGAGCCAGATAGCCTTAGGTCGAGGCACAAATAACCAACTCGGCTCTGTTGCATATTCAGTGTCGGATATATCCTTGTTGACAAGGTACTGCACTTCAACCAGATATAGTACACAGAACAGGACGTCAACTACCAGATCCATCATGATCTACACAAGCATATATATACTCGCATGCTTCATCAGACACATAATAAAATAAATTGCTCATAATCACATCAATCTTCCCCCCTTTTATGAGTTTTCAATTCGCCTCTTATGCTTACAAAGAAGATAGTTCGAGCCTTTGAGTTCAAAAGCGCCATCATCTTGGCTTTATATAGATCATAGTCTAAACCCAAACGAATGGAGCTGACAAGATTTCGAATGTCACTGTTCCTAAAGCATTTGTAGAAATGAGATTAGATTTTTTTTTTTCCTTTAAAATGAAAATGATACTAATATTACAGAGGCCATTTGACAGGTAATGACGCATATAAGCTGTAGATGGAGAAATATAGCGGGCCTTTGACTGTGTGGAAACGAAGAAAAGGAATAAGGACATAAGGGTAGGACAATTCATATCGGTTAATTTTCATTACCTCTTCTCAGCCTTCTGAAGCCGAATGGCTGACCGAAGGGCATTGTATGATGTGTCTTTTCGGTTTGTGAAATGCCGTAAGAGTCCATGCTTGCGCATCTGCCTTGCCTCCTGCACCCCTTCCATGCTATTTCAATACTCAGCAATCAAAATAGATTGATCAGTAAACATGTTTAAGGTGAAATTTAAACAGAAAAATGAACTGAATAAAGGTGTATAGCTTTACTTATTATCGAGAGAGTCCCAGATAAAACCCTGGGACTCGGCTGCCTTGTGTTGAGCCATCATATTGAGTCGCTGTGCCCAAGTCAAATTAGAATCATAGACTGAACCCTCAGCCGGGCTGTTATAGTCATGACTGTTACTTCTCGAACGGGCCTGAGGCAACCCCCCAAAACGAGACAATCGAGCAGACGATGGACGTGAAAAAAGCATCCTCGGGCGTACTGGCCTTAATGGGGTAGAATGTGTGGAGAACGAGCGTGATGATGGCTGAGCAAGATCCTGATATGACAGAGTGGAAAGCTGTGATTGTGGTTGTGGCTGTGTACGCTGTGCATTTGTCTGTACCTGAAATCGTGCTTGTGTTTCTTTTGTTTCAGAAGGAATTTCTGCGAGTTGCTGCTGAAGCGGTGGATATGACGTGTGTGGTATGGACGAAGAAGAACAAGAACCAGGAGAGGAGGAACCTGCATTGGGGGCAGCATGGATTGCAGAAGATGTGATGTTCCTGAGTGGAAGGGAATCCATTCGGATTAGTAGTTTGAATGTTTTGAATTAGGCTTAATGTATATGGGCCAATGAAGAATGCGAATGAAAATGTCTGCATGCATAAATTGCAAAAAAAAAAAAAAAAAAAAAAAAAAAGCGTCAGGTGTTGGTCTTGTGGAATTTTGGTAAATGTAAAAAAGCACTGGCATTATCTTTGACCTCCTGTACAATTGACCGTTGACCCTTTTCACCTCCGAGCTGCAGTAGTCGTTTTTGTAGCAACAAATAAGCGATATTGACCAATCCGCTTTTGGTCAATTGGCTTAAATTCATAGTCTAAATAAGCATGGAATAGTATCATACTACATACAGTACAAATATCGTCTTGTGTAGAATGAGATCCCATCGTACTCAGTGTCATGAATAATACATGAACTTAATAAATGCCGTTCTAGTGCTTATATCTTTTATTATATAATTTGTTTTACATTCTAGTCATATTATATTCATTTATCTTGGTATATTTCTTCTTAAGGCCTGTATTCAGGCAACTCTACTTTATGTTGTGGTTCAATCTCAGATAGGGGGTGGTCTTGATTAACATTATCATCAGGGCCTTTGAGCTGATTAGCATAGAGGTGGATAGCGTGTCCGAAAAACAACATGAGCATCATGTCGAGGACCAGAAAGAGGACTAGCATCGTCGTTACAGCTCCATAGCAATCTTCCGGCAAAGAAGTAGAATAAGTTATATCCCCTAATTCCTTTTGGCAAGCCAATTTGATATCTTCTTTATGTCGGGATACCAGAGAAAAGTCCACGATATTAAATGCTGTAATGACAGCAGTCGCTATCCACCAGAGTATTGAAAAAGCCTTGACTCGCTTGTAGGACTTGGAGAGAGCGCAATAACCACCACCCAGTCCAAGCAGCAAGAAGAGACCACCAGATATCAATGCAAGGACATTAGACGTGAGTGCTAAATATATATAGATATAAAAAAGGTTAGTTAGGAGCTATTGATCAGATAACAAGAACAAAAAAAAAATTTTTTTTTTCAAATATTTTACAAATGGGTTCTCCCTGTTGGGTGGTCACAAGGTTGAAAATGCCATGAACTAATGCAAGGAGGCAGATAATGATGACTCCAAAGCCTAGAGGAACGCAGCAGCAGCAATATTCTTTTGGACGAGACATGGTACACTGTATGATTTCTGATAGTCTAAATGAGTGACTGAGGGGGGTTTTTTTTTTTTTGGTTTCTGTTGAGGGAACAGTAACCCTTTTATAACATGTTCAAAGTAGAAATCTAAACATGAAGGATCTGCATAAGACGGCGTTTTTTTGCACCGGAAAAAGCTTCCGCGGAAGTTTAAGTGACATAAACTTTTACACTAAAGAGTGGGCTATATTCTCTCATCAAAGTGGGCTGTTGCAGCTTTGAGTTGCACTTTTATTGGCAGCTGCGGTACGGTCGCACCAATAAATGACGATCGAAGCCCACGAAAGAATGTGAAGAATTCCATATTTTAGTTCGTGTAACGACGATATTTGCAAAGTCGAAAAATAAGGACTTTCTTTCCCCTGTCCTTCTCTCTTCAACACTTTGATGATGCAGAAACCGAACAATTCACCTCCTCGTCTAATTTTGGAATACTTTTGGTCAGCAATGTTCAATAAAATCAATGGCACGAAAAGTTTGGTATCGCCAATTTTATTTGGTCACGATATAGCCCGTTTCATTTGGTCGCGATACCTTATATTTTTTGAATACTTTCGAGTGTATTGGCAGCCAATTAGCTCGCTTGTTACGAGTATTGTTGCAAGTCCGTCACGTAGTGAGATGCCACCAGAACAATTCAATCATCGTTTTTAGATTAAAAATATAAGGTATAGCCCGTTCCATTTGGTCGCGATCCCTTATATTTTTTGAATACTCTTAAATGTATTGGCAGCCAATTGACTCGCTTGTTATTGCAAGTGGTGTGACTGGTCAACTGGTCATTAAAATTAATTTCAGTTTATCTTGTATCCACTAATCTGTCGAACCAGCTTAAAGGAATCTTTGCGCAAAGCCTTTGTAGTCATAGGCGGGTCCGCCTCACCTAGAAACTACCGAGTATAAAAGCCAAAGAAACTTCCTTCTTAATAAAGTCTTCAGTTTTCCCCACATGTCTTATTCTTCATCCGCAGTTCATCTTGCCATTTATCTTTTTCCCCTTTTCACAACAAGCATTTGTCTTCCGGTAACTCAGTTTGTGAGCTCACCTATAAAGCTCCCATCTTTTCTTTTGACATTCTATGGCGCTGTTTGTAGTCAAGGTTATTTGACTCTATTTTCTCTTGTCAATCTTGTTGACACTCTTTGTCCTACCTTTTCCTGATTGTGTCTATCTTTCTGTCCCTTAAGCAAAGATATTTTTTACAACAATGCCACCAAGTCAATTTATTAGGATTAAGATATGTGGGGTCTATATGTTGTCTAAATAGTTCTCCCCATAAAAAAACACCATCTAGACCAAGCATAGAAATAAAGAGTTTAGTCAAGAAAGCACTGTCAAGCTAATACTTACAATTTTTTCAAGACGAAGGCCTTTTCCGACCTAGTCATGTTTGTAGTAGCTCATGAAAAATTTTAGACAGACAAATAGTAACCAGGGAGCAGAAGTGAGAATAGGATGTGGGTTCACACATCACATCCATGGGGCATTTATCCAAATTTGTATCAAAATAAAACTGCAAGTTTGTCTCGGGCACCACACCATGGGACATAGAACTGTTAGTATGTCTGTATTATAAATTTTCATGTAACACGTGTACTGTGAAATATGCAACTGGATCCAAACCCAGGCCTCGCAGCAACCAACCGCTGAAAGATTCCTTCATTACCATGATAGAATGAGGACTGCGATATCTGCTAGGTACCAGAATAAAAATAATCAACCTCAACCCAGGTAAGCTCCTTCAAATGAACATTTTCCAAAGCATATACAAAAAAAAAAAAAAAAAAAAAAAAAAGTCATCTAACACTTGACATTGTTGTTCCTAATTAGATTCTATATCCCTAAACGCGCAAAGCCGAATCGCAAACAACACGACCGTCCCGTCAGCTCCAGCCATCAAAGAAAGTCCCCCAAAAAAAAGGAAAAGGAAAAAAAAGAGGATGAGAAAGAAGAGGAGGTTAAGGAGGAAAAGAAGAAAAAAAAGAAGAACAAAGGGAAGGCCAAGTATATCAGAAAGACTGATAAGACCAGGAAAGTGAAGGAGGCTACTGCCGAGGACCGACGGTTGAAGAGGGTCCACCCCACTGTTGCATTAACGCTGGGCACGTTAAAGACATGTGTAGTTGCCAAGCTGGACTCTACTTCCGATCCCAATCTCAATCCCGAGCAACTTGCTGCAACAATTCAAGGGCTCATTCAATCATTTATTAAATGTTGAATGAGGCACGGATTCGAGCTTTCTGGGCCTGCGCCTTGTGGATCGATAACCTGCTTACCACTGGGCCATCCAATCCAGCTGATCTCCCACAACTCCTAGATGAAGTTCTTGATAGCAGGGAAGTGAAGAAAAAAGGCGAAGGGAACGTAGCCAAGCCGTCCCAGCTCAAAGCATACGAAAACTTCTATGCAAAGACAGGGCTTGGTCCTTTAAACCAGATCTATCCCGATTTGGTGATCGGCAAGTCGCCTCGGATGGTCATGGTCCCTGTTCAAGCAGCGCTAAGGTCTCACTATCGGAATGCGCAGGTAAATATAATATGTTTATAGAAATGTTCCTAATCATTTCTTCAATATAATGTCTAGTTTGACATAGATATTCCAGGCGATGGAAGAAGTTCCATCCAATTCTTTTTTGAGCAAAAAACTGCCAAAAAATATCTGGATTTCCCTACGTCTGCTTTCCCGCCTCAGTCTCTCTGCCTAACGGAAGCCTGCCTCCTGGATATATTATGGTCTAACCCAACAGTTCGAGAGGAAATAGTCCAATTGTTGGAACTAAACATGAGTACCAAGGGGGCTGCAGAGGACAAGATCCTTAACCACAAGGGGATATTGTTGCAGGAGCTGTTTTCCTTGAAAGGATACAAGGACGTTGGACTGCAATCTGATGATGGACCTAGAAGGAAACTACGGACATCGTTCTTTACAAACGGCCTTACCCTAACACTTCTTGCCTATGACACATCGAAGCAAAAAGAGGTAGAGGTTCGCAAGCTGCCCAACCTTCGGATACTCAAAGATCTCAAGCAGTCCAGGCTTCTTCAAGTGCTCAGCAGGGATCCTCGTCTTCAGGCCATGGTGCAGGTGATGGTGGTGATGATGGAGACGACGACGGAAATGAAGATGACGATATCTTGCTGGGTATCAGCGATATTGACTTGCTGGAAGTTGATGAACCATTCTTAGAAGGCGACGAGGGAGAAGAAGCAGCTGAAGAAGGTACATCGAGCACAAATCCACTGTCCCCGGTGAGTCCCAGTCCCCGGCGTGAGATCAACTGGAAGCAGAGATCCCGTCTCCTCGAGAATGTAGAAGTTAAATATGACACCCGGGCAGCATGCCCTCCCCCCGAAAGTACCATTATCATTGGGATCGATCCAGGCGAGAGGTACTCGATGACAATTGCAAAGTTGGATCCAAGGAAACCTAACGAACGTGAGATCCTCCGGATTTCTAGAGCGTACCTTTACAAACCATCCAAGAAGTTTCAGGGCGAGCTAGAGAGGCGAAAGCTTAGAAGAGGAATTACAGAGATTGAAAGCAATATTCCGACATTCTCAAGGCCTACTTTAACACAGTATTTCGCTTATATGAGCTTGCCGCTAAATCAAGCTCCATCAAGTACTGGAGGTAGTTTCTCTGGTAGTGGAGCAGGGACCGGTAGTAGCAGTGGAGTTGAGGCCAGTAGTAGCAGTGGATCTAGGACCAGTGACGACAATAGGGAGACTATATATAGGGCGCTTGTCGATTTCTATAATGACGGGTGGTTTGTTCGGAATAGCTGGGATAATAGAAAAGCACAGAACGGATGCGTTGATTATGTGATCAAGGCAATTCTGAAGCTTGCGGGCGGAAGCAATGGAAGAAGAAGAGATGCCAATACGAATGCGGTGATCTGTATTGGACTAGGATCATTCAAGACAAACCGAGGACAAGTATCGAAGCATGGGATATTGATGAAGAAGCTTGTTGAAAAGGTAAAAAAAAAATCCTTTGATCAATGACATTTAATTTTTGAGTCTTTTTTTTAACGAGTATTAAATCTGGCTCGAACAGGCAAAATCTCTAGACTACCCCATTGTAGGTTGTCATAAATACTACACATCTGCCAAGTGTCCACGGCCTCACTGTGACAGTATATTGGAGAATGTTCCTTTTCGATCCAAGTACTGTCGAAATTGTAAAGCATACTTTGATCGAGATGCTGTTGGTGCTGAGAACATCGCAAGGGTCTGTGAGTCGCAGATAAGAGAGCAAAAACGACCTGCAAAATATATGCCGCCGGACGGAGGAACTCAAGGCCAAGCTTCTAGCGGTAGTGGCGGCGGTGGAGGTAGTGGTGGCAGTGGTGGTGGTAGTAGCAGATCCACAAAAAGGAAATTTTCAGATGAAGGAGGAGGAGGAGTAGAGGGATCAAGACCACCGAAAGGACCTTTGCTGGGTCCAGGAGGAGGGGGAGAGACAAGCCGGCAACAACAGTAGGACACAATCTACTACAAACATGACTAGGTCCAGAAAGGCCTTCGTCTTAAAAAAATTGTAAGTATTGGCTTGATAATACTTTTTTTTCTTGGTTAATTTATTTATTTATTTATTTCTGTGTTCTAATACATTTCTTCTTTTTACAATAGATGGAATGTCTCGTTTTTTAATGGGACGGACTATATATGTGTGCATTGATAGTGAGCAACCAGGCATCGTGATCAAACTCTTTTTCTTCTGCTACTTCTTCAGATCTAAGCGAACACAACATTGTGTTTGTATGAAAAATAATTGTATAAAATGAATTGTATAAAATGGTATGGATGTTTGCGTGGCTGAGTAAAAAGATTGGAATAATAACAAGAACATATTAAGGTGTAAAGGCAATGAACAATAAAGGAATATAAAAGAAAGTTCGTTACAAGTGATACCTCTTCCAAGGGGACTTAGTCTGCTAAGTCTAGTCTGCCTTATATTCTTATGTACAAAAAAAAAGAAAGGAAGAAAGGAATAGAGACAGATAAAGAGCAATGTAGAAGGTCTTGTATTGATCAAAAAGTCCTCAAAATCACTTGTGATGGACGCGTTATTTTTATTCCAGCTTGATCAGTAAAGTCTAGAGTGTTTATCGAGACATGAGACTGTTGATGACAAATAGCCTATTGGCGTATCTTTCGGACGACGGGATAGTCCGGAGGAATTTTGAGCATGGGAAGAATACACATATTTTTTAAAGTGAGCTGTTTTCTTTGTGTCCTTTGCCACCATTTTTATAATATATCCTGTCTGCTTTCTTTTTTTTTTTTTTTTTTTTTTTTTTTTTTAAAAAAAAAGAAAAAAAAAAACCAGTATTGTGCATACAAAAAAGAATCCTTCAATAAAGACACCACTCCATGGGTCCGGATGTGAATGCCTTCAAGCTTTTTGAGCCGATTTACTTTCTTTTCTTTTGCAAGCCAATGGAATGATTGCACCGCCTTTTCGTACAATAGGTAGCGATTTGGTATGATGTGATGGTGATAAAATGCAAGGATCGTCTCATTTGTCCCCTACAGAGCAGTTGAATACTTGCGCTTGGAGAATTGCCTATTATTGTCTTCTTGTCAACACAGTACACCAGTAGAAAAGGTTACGGAGGCAAGTCTGTATCTTTTTGTTCTTTTAATAATCTATCTATTCTCCCTTACTTCCTTCTTCATATCGGCAATAGGACTAACTCCAGTGCCCTTTACTCCAATACCATTTACTCCATATACCCATGCGCACACACTCGCTGCTCATTGCGGGCACATTCAGGGACCAATTTCTCCTATATGAAGTGCTGGGAACTATTCTGGGTATCATTGTAGGGAATTAAAGGAACACAATCTCGGATTTTGTTTGGAAATAACTAACAAGACCGAGCACAAGAAAATGGTGGGGAAATTTCTTTTTTGTGCTCACATTCTGTTTACAATCCTCACAGACGCGAACAGAACAAGGACAAACAATGGCTTCTGGCTGTTGTAGCAGAATAAGGTAACTCTGTCCCGTCTAAAAAGCAAGAGGGCCGCTCGGCGTATATGTATACATACATATATTTTTTTCCTCCTTCTCTTTCTCTCTCCTCCTCTGCGCAATATCACTCCTTGTTTGTACCTTTTTTTCCCATTCTCACTCGATTCTCATTCTACCAGATTCTTGCTCATTCAACTCATTCCTTCCATTAATAAGAACGACTTTTTACTTTTCAGTGTCCCCTCATCCGATCTACTGATTGTTGCTTCATATCCCCTATTCACACTCAGTCGATATTTGTAACAATGTGCCACCGAGTGATTTGTCATGACTGTGGCAAGTATACCTGGGAAGGTAAGAAGCGCGCTTTTTTTTTTTTTTTTTTTTTTTTACAACAAGAGCAGCAACCACTGGTGTGGCGCCATGGCCATCAATCGACGTCGGAAGTATTTATGTTTTGACACCATGGATCTCACTCCTTTTTGCTTTTAGGATGTGGACTTCATATTGCTCAAGCACTTGCTGGTCTATCACTCGAACAGATCTGTTCCTGTGATGATGATCAGGACAGTGAGCATTCCTGGGCTACCATCACATCCCCAACTTCACCAAGACGAGCATTGAATGCCGCCCGGTATTCGACAACAACAGCAACAGCAATAGGAGACGTGTCCTCATTATCATCCAGCTGCGATGATCCAGATGTCCCACCTCCTTTACAATACAAACTATCCAAGATCTCGGCTACGTCTGCAGAAGAGGCTGCAGTCCGAAAGGCACAACAAGCTGCAGCATTAGAGGAGCTGAAACGGATCAAAGAACAAAAGGACAAAGAACTCAAAAACGCAAATGAAGATGCTCTTAAGAAATTACTCGAAGGATTATCACAGGAAGAGAAGACAGAATGAAGGAGTCAAGGCAGAAAAAAAAAAAAAAAAAAAAAAAAAAACGCAGGAGATTGTATATACAAGTAATCGAATTTTTTTTCTCTTTTTTCCTTCAAGAATAATCTTTAATTAAGGAATATGGACTATAACCGATAATAATAATTACAAAAAAAAAATATACTGTACATAATAAAAATGCGGCTCGCACATGAAAAAAGAGCGAAAATGCTCTCAACAATGATTTGATGTTCAATTACGGAGAAGACGGTTGACTGCACGTTTGAACTTGAAGATTCCACCTTTTTTCTTAGGCGAGACCTCTTCTTCACTTTCATCCTCATCCTCATCCTCATCGTCACTATACTCAGCAGGGGCTTCGTACTCATAACCATCATCTTCATCGTAATCGTCACTGTCATCATAATAAAAGCTCGAGTTTTGTTTTTCTTCGTCGTAATTTGGATTTCCTATCCATGGCGCCTGAGTTACCACCACCTCGGTCGGCTCTGGGGTATAGGGCTCATTATAGTAATCAGAGTCGTATTCCGGATCCGGGTGTGGCCCTGCCTTGGTTGATTTCTTCTTCTTGCGCAACTTGAGCTTCTCCTTTTTCTTCTTCCTCAATGCTGGATTCATTGGTGGAGGGACCTCTGCACGCTCTACAGTTACAATCGTGATCATATCCCCAAAGACGACCTTTCGCACAGACCCATCAGGATTCAGGGCTGCGGCTGCGGCTAGAACACCATCTTTGGACCGTGGACGACCGAAGGGTGATGGAGGTTTCTTGACCAGTGCTGACTTTGTGCCCGGAGGTAGAGCGGCAGCATACTTTGAGGCTGTTGACTTCGGAGTCAACAATGAACTCTGGCTGAGAGTTCGTGTGCGATCATCGAATCGGCGAAATAGCATTTCGGAAGGTGTCACTGGCGATGAAGCAGACGAAGAAGCCGATGGCACAGGGGATGAAGGTGAGAGACATGACTGACTCGATCTGAAGTAGGACTGCTCTCCCTGACCACGACCAAAATGCGGATCGCTCATGTAATACCGATCCCCTCTTGGATGCCCTGATATGAAACCTTTCTGAGTCTGATCCGAATTGCTTCGTCCACGCTGTGATGTTGGTGTCGACATTGCATTGTCCGCATATGGATTGACTGTCATTAGTCCTTCTGTCACCCCTGAAGATGACATGGAACTGGATACGGAAGTAGTTTTGTTTCGTCTCATAGTTTCTTCGACTACGGTCGAGAAATGGTTCAAAGGTTGCTGTTGGCTTTGCAGAGGTAACTGTGGGTTACTGCTGTTGGCGATATCATACTGGTTTGGTGCATTCAATAGAGCTCTGGAATTGTCTTTGGCAGGGGTCTCGGGTCTAGATTCGCGACCAACACCCTGAGACGAGGGATTTGAGGTTCCGGAAAGGCTGGGCGAAGAAGTGGGAAGGGTAGTGATACTCGTCCCTGGTGTAGGAATAGGTCTTTTTGAGCGCAAACTTGTCGTTGGCGATGATTGGTTGGATGACGAATACGCATTAATGTTCTGCAGGTTATGATTAAAACTATAGCTGAGAGGTAATGAGTCGTGGCTGTTCCTGTTTGAGGTTGATTGCAGATAAGCATTGAACCGTGCAGAGGCTGCGAGCATTGGGCTGTAGCTGGGTTTGTTGTAGTTCTGCGCGCCTGAAGTAGAATCAAGCACTGGGGCCGATGAGCTTCTGAGAGGAGTTCTCCTCGGAGGAGGAACAGGTACAGAGGTTTTCTGAGGTTGTTGCTGTTGATGTTGCTGATGTTTATTAGAGCTGACAGGAGGTGTTGGCGGTTGTGGTGAACGAATATCCGACCATCCATGGCCGGAGGAAAAAGGCGTGGTTGGTGAGGCAGTAGAGGGTGAGGTTGGATCCTCATCCGAGTGACAGTACTTGTCTAGGATATCGAAGTAGCCACCCTCTGAATCATCAGCGGGACCATTTCTAATCGTGTGCAATTTAGTGGGAGAGATGGTCTGCAGGTCAATACCCGAGTCGATTTTCTTTCTGTTGCTGTAGTGTTTAGCTTCCTCGATAGAGGATGCGGAGGAGGGTGGTGATGGGGTGGAGGTTGAATGTCTGGTGCTCTTGCTGTTATTTTTGCTCTCAGATGTTCGAGAGAAAGACGTCCGCAAAGAAGCTAGGGCTAATGCAGGACTAGGGACAGTACGCTTGCTCCATTGAGAAGAGCGTTGATTATGCTTCTGTTGAAGCGTTTGTGGGCCGTTGAAGGTATCTACTGAAGCAGCCATGTTTGCATATGTATTAGTTGAATTTGTTATTAAAGATGAGTGAGAATATGAATTATTTTAGTTTTATTGGGGGGGAAAGAAAGACAAATAGAGACAAGTGTGATGAGAATGAGTCAATAAGAATAAAAAGAAAGTTGGAGAGGAAGAGAACGAACAAAAGACAGAGTGAGGGGGAGAGAGAGAGAAAGAGAAAAGAAAATGAAATTGAGAAAGAGAAGAAAGAGAAGGTGAAAGAGAGAAAGAGAGAAAGTGAGAAAGTGAGGGCAGCAATGGGGTGTGCTTGGTGTTTCTTGAGGAGAGAGAGAGATGATGGATGTGAGGTCGGGTGGCTCTGAACTGTGGGGGGATGCAAGGGATGAATCAAGTGCCAAAATGCAGACTAAATAAATTTATAATGCAAATATACACATTTGTGTATTTTATGAATTTTATTTTATTTTACATGGATTCGTACCCTTCTGCAACACGACAAATCGTTCAGCTGCAACTCTAATTCATCAAGGTTTCCCTCCTTGCTTCTGACACACGCGCACTGCACACACCGTGATTTGCTCTCCTTGTTCCTCCTATTTTTTTTATTTTTTATTTTTTATTTTTTATTTTTTATTTTTTTATTTTTTGTTGACTTTATACTTTTTGAACACATTCATGCTTACAGACCTTATTTTGATCAGGCCATTCTCCCTTCTCTTGACCTTGACAAAACCAAACAGACAAAGTCATCCTGTCCACCATCTCCATCCAGTCCAAAAAAATCTCTAGCAAATGCGTTCTACATTTGTATATCCCATCTTCAACACCTGTCATGTCACTGTCATCCTAAACGTTTGCATCTACACATTTGAATAACTGCTCTTACATGAATATACATGTTAGACTTGTGAATATTTATTAATTATTATATTATATATATAATACATCTACACATACACGCATATTTATACATGTATAATACATACCAAAGGAATGAGTTCTATAAACAAAGAATTTCGGACATCGAAAAAAACAAAATTCATGTCCTCTTTCCTTCTCATGCTTCCTTTTCCTCCTCTGTCAACGCCAAAGGGAAGGTCAAGAAATCCCATGTCACATCTCTATGCTCCAGCCTTGTGTATCTTTTGTCTCCTCTTCTATGGTGTTGTTCAATCCAGGTCTGTGTCACCTTTTTGTCCACATGCTTCACTCTTCTTCATTACAGCAACGTCAATGATATCTGCACGCCCTCCACTTTAACGCCAAACCCTTTGTCATCAGAATTCCCCCTTTTGAAAAAAAAAATAAAAAATAAAATGCTCTCACTAAAATAAAATAAAGAGACTATGGTCGGCAATTTGTCCTATCGTACATGTGTACAAGTCTGATATGCTCTATTGTGTGAACAGTTTATACATGTGTATGTATTCAAAGATTGAATCGTGAAGATATCCCCGAACATAGCATAGAATCTGAAAATATTTGTTTCGGGTTGTTTTTTCATTTTTACATTTGCATTTGAATTTCCCTTTTTCTCCCTCTCCACATGTATTCACGCGTGATGGAATAACAGGTGCTTGTTGGAGTATGTCAACAATGTGTATACATGTATACATGTATATCTACACGTATATATAAATGTAACAAATACACCACTGTCATGTATATAAATTGCATTTCGCGGCAAAAAAGGAAAAAGACAGACATCTTTTTTTTTTTTTTTTTTTTTTTCCCGCCTATTGTTATTAATTTGCATCAATGAAACTTATTGGTCCAGGGTCCTGTTTCTTGTTTCTTTCCCACAACGTCTAGTTGCATCTCCAAGATGGCCAAAGCATTTTCACATCTAGATCAATAGGTTCACAACAATTAACGCTTCACTTTTCACTTTCGCACGCACAACTATGGCCTCTTTCCTTCAGCTTCAAATAGCCATCTCTTCATCTTGCAAGAAAGGGGTCCTTGAGATAAGTCACTTGTTCTGCTCACCCTGTATCATCTCGTCTCCAGCACGTCTTGATATCCATTGGGCCGAAAATACTTCTACCCCTTTCAAAATATCTTTTAGACCTTTGATCTGGAGGACCTCGTTTTTTTTTTTTTTTTTTTTTTTTTTTTTTTTTTTCCCTCCTGAATAAAAAAAATAAAAATTAAAGACGCGTCGTTTAATCTTTCTATTTCCGCACGCACTCCACTTTTTTTTTTTTTTTTTTTTTTTTTCCTCCTCATTTTCTAATCAGTAAAGCACATCATTCTCGCCATGACCCGCTCATTCAGCATTGTCGTTGCAGCTGATCTCGCTAACGGCATTGGACTTAAAGGAGTACTGCCCTGGCGTCTTCGTAAGGACATGGCCTTCTTTGCTAAAATCACCTCCAAGGTCACTGTTCACCAGCAACAGCAAAATCAGAATCAGAATCAAAATCAGAATCAGAATCAGAATCAAAATCAGAACCAGAATCAGAACCAGAATCAGAATCAGAATCAGAATCAAAATCAAGACGATGGCACCCTTACAGTAAATGCATGCATCATGGGCAGACGTACTTGGGAATCGATTCCAACAAAGTTTCGTCCACTCAGTTCACGCCTCAACATCATTGTCTCACGCAACCCTCATTATCTAGAGTAATTCTCATTTATTATTATTACTATTGTTATTATTGTTATTATTATTTTTTTTAAAAAAAAAAAAAAAAAAAAAAAAGGTACGATTAAATTAATTACCTCCTTCATGTCTATCCATTCATTAGTGACAAACCTGAAAAAGATAATCCACTCGTGGCGCTTGCCCCATCCCTTGAGGCTGCGTTAGATCTTGCAGCCTCATCCACCTTGACCTTAGCCTCAACTTCACCTCCAGCTCAAGCAAAAACATCTCGGTCAACTGCATTGACCGCCGCTGGTATCGCTGCTGGCTCCATTTTACCTGCTCCATTATCCATTGTTCCCCCAGTAGAACCTTCCTCGGCCGAGGCTGGCTCTACTGCTGCCACTACCATTACCACAACATCAAAGGTCAATGTGCATCGTATCTTCCTCATCGGTGGTGCTCAATTGTATGAAGAAGGACTCCGATCCATTGATTGTAGCCATATCTTCATGACCCGTATTCAATCCACAGTTGAATGTGATACTTTTTTGCCAGACATCAAAGAATCAGAGTACAAACTATTGCCAGGCCCTGAATCTCATACTTTTTTGGAAAAGTACCTCCAGGAGCCTGTTGAGGGTGGTATAATTGAAGAAGGTGCTTTCAAATATGAGTATACTGTCTATAATCGTGTCTGAAAATGTGACGATATATACATTACTAAACAAATAAAGTTCTTAATCTGCCTTTTTTTTTTTTTTTTTTTTTTTTTATTCTTTTCCAATTTTTTATTCTTCGAAAAAATGAGTGCAAATAGAAAAAGCTCTAGAAGGTTATGGGTTTAGTACTATAACATATATATTATCTGTCTTTTTTTCTTTCTTTCCTCGATTGTCAAGAAAAGATTATGATACAAGTTTGATGAAACAAAAGAATGAAAGATATGCGAATAATGTAGACGAGATGCTGAAAGGAAGAAATACGCACAAACATACAAATCCAATTATATGAATGCATGTAGATGTAGCTGGAAGGCCTCTTGAATGATGTTGTTGTTATCCTTGTAACTAGTCCTTCTTGGGAGGCCATTTCTTGTTTCTAATGCGCTCCAACTCCAGACCCAACAGAAAACCAAATCGCTCAAAGAAAGCCTCGGGTAACTGCCAGCTATCTTTATGGAGTGGCGGTCCATGACAGATCGCTCCATCAATCAACAGCTGGAATAATTCGTCTGGATCGTATCGATGCTGATGTACAATCATCTGTGCGCGCAGCTTGGCACAGGGGATAAAGTCAATGCGTGGATCGTGTGGTAATTCATAGATATGTGGATCAATATTCGGATTCTCCTGTGGTTTAGCCTGCGCGAGGATCCTAAACTCTTTTCGCAACCGATGCTCCCGTGCAACTTCCTTTTTGATTCCCAATGTTGAAGAAACCCAGTGGAAAAACTGTTCATCATCGCTGCCATCATCCAATTCCTTAACATTCACTAACGGGGACTCGCTACCGTCTTTATCGTGTCCAATAGATTGAGATGTAGAAGTCCCATCCCCCGTTTGCGTTGGATCTGCAAACAACGAATCATCACTGACGACCTCCTGTGGAGTTGCCATACTAATATGAAACGATTCCAATGTTCCAGGTGGAAAGAGCGATGACTGCAACTCATCAAAGACGGTTGGGTGCTTTGTGTAATCCGTATGCTTGGGTAAAGTCGTACCAGGTGGGCGATATGTGGGTCGTGGCACAGACAACGGGACATAGAGGGATGATGGTACGCCTGCTTTTCCATCACCTGAAATCTCTGAGATGAAGAGTGGCGGAGCTTTATATAAAATATCTCCGTCCAACGATAAGATACCTTCCTCAGCGGTGTGGATCTGCGATTGATTCTGTCCTGCTCCATGGTCTTCACTTGTATCCATATTGTCATTATTATTAACATCGCTGATGGATGTAATTGGGGCTGGAGCCGTGACAGCATATGAAGACGAGGATGAAGCATGGTGAGGCGAAGAAACAGCCGCAGCTGCAACGCCTGGGGACATAGTACCGGCAGGCGAGTGAGGCGTTGCTGGTGCAGTACTTTTCGGGATATCAGAAGAAGCAACCAAAGCTGCAGGGGGGGTTGTTGGTCCAGTCGCTGGTGTCACTGGTGTGGCTGGAGTAATGGGGGTACCCGGAGTAGCTGGAGTGACTGGAACTGGGGATGCGTTTAATGCGGATTTGGCAGCAGCGTTTGCGGCGCGATTTTCATAATGACGACGGAATAACTCCTGCTTAACATCTTTGAGGATGTCAAGATGATTACTTTTGCTTAATGCTGACTCGAAGGCAAAGACAACTTCGCGAAGGTAATAGTTTTCGCTCTGAAGCGACTCAATAGCAGCCTTGAGCTGACGTATCTCGCGCTGATAGGCGCTCGTAACAAGAAAGTGCTGGTTCTTAAGATCCTTGATCATGTTTTCAAGCTGATGCAAATGGCGCTCTTTCCTATCTCTGAAGGCCCGTTGAGCTGCTCTGTTTTGCTCCTTGCGTAAAGCAGGGCAAGTTGGCCCGGGCTTTCGGCCTGGTTTCTTACGGATCTTTTCTGGAGGATTTGTGTTATTGTTGGAGTACTCGTTGCTGTTACTATCAATGTTATTATTGCTGTCGTACTGATTTGTAATGGTGGTAGCATGATTGCCAATGGTGTTGTTATGGAGAACGCCATTGATAATATTATTACTATGATCGTTAATACTAACATTATTATTGAGATTAGTGCTATGATTGGCATAGGTGCTTTGTCCAGAACTATGGATGCTGTTACTGTTGTTGTTGTTAATGTGGTGTATATGATTGTTGCCATCAGCATAATTGTAAGGAGTCAGATAGTTTGCATTAGGGGAAGAGGTGCCAATGGTGTTATTGTAATGAAGGCCCATGCTATGATGATCCATTGACTGACTATAAGCCATATCCATGTCATCGTCACGGTCCTGGAAAACCAGGTCGTCGTCATCCTCCGAGTAGGAAAGATCCCGAGAAAAGTGAGCGTTGTTCATAACAGGAAGTAAGAGAGAGTTTTCGGTGGACAAGAAAAGGTATTTACTGCAGTATTGTTGTTGTAATATGAAATGCTACAAAAGGTTAGGCAAGTGAAGACCAATCCAAAAAGAGCTTAGAGGAATGAGAGTTGCTACATGCAATGTAGTGATTGAGATTTGATGGAGGGAGAATAAATGAATGGTCAAAGAAGAGGAACAGAAGGTGAGAGTATGAGAGAAGGAAAGTAATGACTGAGAATGAATGTGAAGTGCATGCTGAAGACTTGACTTTATTGAGAGGATAACAGACAAGCACCCTCGATTTGAACTTGGGCGTGACATAAACTTTCATTGAGTTCATGTACCAATTGCATATTGTATCTCTTGTTCTCTTTTATGTACTCTACACCACACATGTCCACCTTTTATGAGCCTACAGTAGCCCCAGTTATTCTGCATCCACTTGAAGAGCACATTCGAATAGGCTATAAAAATACAAAAGCTATCACAGCTCTGGGCTCTCGAGCTGTTTTGTCAACTACATGAACATAAATAACAAATACATTGTAATACTTCGGTTCAACGGACCCGCAATATACTCCAACGTTTTTATAAATGCGTAGTTGGCCAAACAAAAGCGTCTGAGACTCTCTCCAGCAAATGATCGGAAAATACGGAAAAATTCAAGTGTTCTTTCCACAGAAAAACATGATCATCAGGTAGCACAGTGTCAGTACATCTGAATGAAACGAACCAACCAAATTCATACGCATCAACTTAAAATGCATGCAGAGTATAAATATTTTTATACATCGCTATCCACTTTGTAAAATTAAATGGTTACTTGGGCGTTAGCACAGACTGGGGGGTAATCGAGAGCTTCTCCAGCTTTTTGAGTCCCAGCATGCGCTCTACGCCATGGTCCTGCTCCGTAAACCCCTATGCTCCTGTGAGAGTCCATATTCGCGGATCCATAACTGCTAACGAATAGACACATGGTAAACCACAACTCTGGATTTCTTTGCTGCTACCTGACGCTCTGCAATAATTGGGTGACATCTGAATCTTCTGTCTCTGTCTCTGCAGAATCGGATCGTCCAAAAGATGTCTTCTACGTTAACTACTCTTCTCAGCTGTATTTCCCAAGAGAATTGTATTTTAGCGACGGTGAAGAGATGATTATATTCTTAGTGACTGGGTGAAATTGTTGAATTGTATATCCACAAATGCCATCCGATTATTCATGGGCCTTAACCCGTATCAGTGGTTCGGTCAGTAGTCGTGAAAGGTTTCAAAAGAACAATAAAAAGGATACAGACCCAATGAAGTAAGCCCCAATTTCCCATATTCGTCATAGCCATCAGGAGGAGCACATGCAGACATGAGCGCACGGAGCTTTGGGTTGATGTTGGTAACCTAATCGAGACATAACGTTGCTCAATAATGGCAAACTCTTCCAAATGTAGGTTAGCTCTAGAGCAAACGACGGATGTTGGGGTCTATTATTTCGTGTACTCCAGAACAAGCTTACGGAGCAAACCGTGAACTTTGTTTAGGAAGGACAAAGCCGTAGTAGTCTACCAAGACTTTTTTGATTGCCAGCTGTCTCAATGTCTGAAACGTAGAGGTCCCCAGGATCTCGTGACGTCCTGGCGGTTTCTCAAACGGAGGAGCAGGCGTCGAAGTCTTGTGGTTGATAATAGGACCCAAAAGACATTATGTTTTAAATGACTGGATTTTTCAATAATTCTTGGCTGAGGGTAAATACCCTTATCACCATCGTTGAGCCCCTATTCATTTCGAAGGCGTTTGTTGAACAAATTCCTACAGCTCGTCTTTATATCTATCGATCGAATATTCGTTAGTTAGATTTGCTCTTAAAAACGCGCAGATCATTCAAAACTACGAACATTGAGTACTTACTCCGGTACTCGAGGACAGAGTAGGCTGCAGAGCCTGACACCAGAGAATCTAATAAATAGATATTTGCAGATATAAAACAGGGCATCAAACAATTGAGGCGCTGTCGATATGATCATGATAAAAGGGGAGTGGAAGCGATAGAAGAAGAAAATGATGAGAATATATTTAAGCTTTTGGGAATCAAAGGGAGGTTCTCCTAAAAGCCATAGAGCCGACGAGGTTTACTCAATTATTCCATTCATTTACCAAAGAGTTCCATATGCCGAATCGTTCTGAAGTTTTACTCCTTGTCTATGATCTAGCAGGCTTTACTTTCTAGTCTCTACATTTCTCCCCTCTGCATCATTGGCTCATTACTCGTTGCATTATTTAAAATGGGAACACTGCGTTTGCAAAATATGAGATTATTGGGGAAGATTCTATACGAAGCATTGAGTATAACTCGTCGTTCTTACTTTTGCGCATAAAATCTCTACGCTTTATTTTATTACAATTGCAAAATAACAATACATATTGGTGATAGCTTCTCAATCAGTCCACATAATCTTCCGCATGCCCCTGCTGCAGAAGGACATGGGAAGATGTTTAGGATTGCCTAGTGTATTGGTGTAGACATATCAAGGATCCTTGGAGGAAATAGCTATAGGAGAGATCGATAGTGCATTCGTCGTAACAGCAAGTAGTAGGTGTTATAGCAGTTGTAGCAGTCTTATGGTCCTTATAACCATTCCTTCAAGGTTGTTGGCCATGCATCTTCCTATTGTCGGTTGGTATGAAAGCCTCGTCGGACGAGGGATCGATGGGCGCGTATAGGTCATTACTCAATAGAGTCATGGATAATTTTCGAATGGACCAAAGTCCCGTTCCAGAAGAGGAGGATAATGACGATGATACTGTTGTCGGTGACCTAGCTCCTGTCCGTTTTGTTTCATTATTAAAACCTGGTAATGATGGAACATAGGATTTGATATATGAAAAAGCAGAGGTTGTAGGAGTCGATTTCGAGCCAAGATAAGCATTCGCATACGCGTTTGAGGTTGGCCCATTTCCAAGATCAGCATCTTCTTTAAGCATACGGCCATAGTGGCGATAACTGGAGAATTTAGGACATTCGTCGTCACCATTGCTCGTAACCCTGTCAATCTCGGCGTGGTAGATGCTGGCATCATCGTCATGGCGACACGCTTCTGAGACGGCTAGATGCTCGACATCCGAAAAAGTCGGTGACTGAAGTGAAGACGCAGATGCAGTTGAGGGAGAGGAAGGAGATGAAAGTTCGGGTTCAGGAATAGCCTTGTATGGCTGTGAAAAAATACTCCCTAGTGAAGGATCGAGCTTGGCCCAGTTCATCCGTGGCCCACGTACACGATTCTCCTTCAGTCCGTTTTTGCTTGTGATAGGTTCATCATAGTTGTTGCTAGAGCCACTGTCGCTGTCATCGTCTAGAAGGCCTGCGTAATAGATGGAGGACGACTTGCCTCGGCATGGTGATGATGAAGGATTGGATTTAGATGAGTGGGATGGTAAGGAGGCGTTCAGAGATGTGAATACCCCCCTTGAAGTGGCACTAGCAGAGATAGCAAAGCTCCTAAGAGACCCAAACCAACTCGGTACATCCGAAGATTGCATTGGCTTCTCGAGATCATTGATATTATTATTGTATCCACCGTATCTAATGTTATTCTTGGTGCAAAGCGAATCGGTACAGCAAAGCTCCTCATCCTGGTAAGGGTGATGGTCTCTATGGATATATGTGCTGTCTGACAATGAGATGTTGGACGACAATGAAGATGAGAAGGTAGTTCGAGAAGAGCGCGAATATGAACTGTTGCCTCGGGTATGGCGACGTTTAAGGTTATGGGAGTCCTTGGGACTGATCCAATGACTTTGACAGGTAATCGTAGGACGTGTAGACATTTTTTTTTCTGTAGATTAATGATAGCTTAGTAGCGAGGAGAAAATACTAGATAGCAATTTATTGGATGTGAATGACAATGATGTTGTGGGATAAAGTGCAGAATAGTAAGTTATGGCTGAAAATGGGTAAAGATAAGGTAGAGAGAGAAGAGAAAAAAGAGGAAACGAAGGAAGGGGAAGGTAAAAGGAGGAAATGCTGAGAGTCAAATGCAAAGGGGTTGACAGACGAGCTGTGTGCCGCATAGGGAGGCTAAAGAATGCACACGAACTGGGAAGTAAACGATTCAGCAGAATTAGGGTTGTCGGTGTTTCTTTGCGATCCCAAAGGAAAAGGGAAAATAAAATACATGTAGGTAAAGGACAATTATAGCCTGAATAGCCCCCTCTAACATCAAGAAGGTAACTCAGTACTGTAAAATAATATTTTCCCCGTCCAGTATAAATGGAACCGATTCCAAAGTGCATGGGGTATATAATGGAGACAGGGGCTCAAGAATACAGCAAAGGCTGAAAACATACAAAAAAAAACTCTACTTAATAAAAGTTGGACAAGGCAAGGATTCTGGAGACAAGGTTTTCTTTCCTCCATCATAATCCCAAATTGACAGGGGTCAATCTCTTGTCCGCTCATCATTCTAATGCTTTCCCGCCTCACTCTCTCCTGTTTTGCTGCTTCTGTTAGATTTATGAACCATCATTTCTGCGTTGTATTTTAGAAGGGATATGTTGTTGTATATTTCCTGAAGTTCAAGAGCACCCCATCCCACGCCTTAGTGCATCTGGGAGGTTTTTAAGCCTAGGGTTCTTTAATTTGTTATATTTATACAAATATAAATATTCTGAATGTTGTTTAAAAAAATTTATTTTTATAGGTTAAATTTCTCCTGCATCATGCCTCTTGGTCTTCTACATTATTCTCTGCCTCAGCCATAACTTCGTCGTCGTCTCTTGGCAGTGACTCCAAAATGATCCGAAGCATAGCTTCACAATCCTCCATCGTAAACCGTTCTTCGAATTCTTCAATGACCTATTTTCATTAAATACACAATAAAAAGAAATAAAAAGAGTGTCAGTTGAAGATCATGAAATAGAAGCAACCCCCTATATGCCTTATTGAAAAGCATATGGCCGGGCGAGGAGCCCCTCGCCTATTCTCTTTCCCAAACATGCCTCACTCTTGAGTTCTCACATGTTTTCTTCACAGTTTTTATAATATTATTACCAGCAACAACTCAACTGGGGATTTTGGTCGAAGATTAAGAATCTGTAACAGTTCAACCTTCATCAACTCGTATGCTGAAAGCGCTTTCTTTAGTGCTACGATCTGCTCTGGCGATTGTGTTGTGCACGGTGAAGCACTTAGATACTTTTGAACCTAATTGGGAAACAGCACGACCGATCTACTTGTTAATCCTCCATGACTTACGTTCTATTTGTTAGTGCTGCCCATTTATCCATTTCAGTTTAGTAAAAAAAAGACAAGGTAGCAAACAACTATCATTATTCTTAATATCTTGACTGAATACCTCGAACTCTACTGTTCGCAAGTTTTCTGCGACCTCACGTGTGCCTGCAACCTCATTTGCTTGACGTTGTGCCTTCTGGTCATTCAACAAAGTTAAGACCTCATAATTGCTGAGCATCGCTGAATCAGCATTGATGATCTCCATTTGATTTATTATCCTGAAGGTAAGATTACTCAAAAAAAAAAAAAAAAAAAAGTGCAATGATCCTTAGATGTTCCATCTTGCTTTGCCACCAAAGGTTTTTTTTGAATGTTTACGAATACACGTGATTATCAATATATAGGGCTACTCATGCTCATTATGGTGCGTATTTTATATGCCTGAAGAGGATCTTTTTTTTTTTTTTTTTAAAGATCTTTCCAAGCTGTGAGGAGAACATCGACCTGACTAGGCTCACGAACTGCAATACGCACAAACGTTGGACGTTCATATCCTGGCTTGCCACTACGGACAGGAACGCCGGCTTGTTTTGCCAAAGCTACGGCCTTCTCGGCCGTTTGAACATCCTTGAGATCAGCCCACACCCAGCTGAGGTAAGGCTTGCCAAAATATTCCCAAGAACGACCGTTAGCAAGCGACTTAAGACGCTCAATCAGCTGAGCACGGTAGATCGGTGTCACTCTCCATGTCTCTTCCAAATATTCAGTATCGCGGACAACCTCATCCAAAAACGCCAGTGCTGGACTGTTGACGCTCCAGGGAACCTGAATACGCTTCAGCTCGACACAATGAGCCACAGTAGGACACACAATAGAACCTAGGCGAAGACCAGTGCATGACCAAATCTTTGTCCAAGAGTGAATTACATAGATGGAGATGTTACGCTCCTTGAAAGTTTTTTCTAAGAACTCGGTCTGAGCTGTCATGGAATCTTCACGGAAGTTGGGTCCGACCCAAATTTGCATCGATTCATCTAAACACGATAAAATTTTTGATGAATAAATATGATGAGTCATGTGGGTTGAAGATGTTATTTCATCGCTCTGTGGTCAGCAATGCATCAAATGGGTATTTAGTCGACATATACCAATAACAACAACGCCATTGTCCTGAACATTGTTCAAGATCCATGACTTGAGCTCCTCAATCGATTTGTAGTCTCCAGTAGGATTGCAAGGGTTGACAATGCACACGACGTTAGCCTTGTCTTCGCCTTTAGGCGAGAGAATGTCACGGCCATTGGTCTCAGCAGATCGCTGGTATTCCTTGTACTATATTCATTATCAACATATTTTCTTTTTCTCTATTAGTATATGGACCCTTAAACATCGGGACTTTCACACTGACTTTGCCAGGCAAAAACGAAAAAAAAAAAAAAAAAAAAAAAAAGAAAGGAGTATGTGGGCTTCATCACTCAGATCAGATTGGCGGATTAAGACTATTCTTTGTGGAGTATAGACTGATCACGCGCAGAACACATGGAAAAATGTCTGTAATGGTCCCTTGGCGTATCATCTTCATCCCCAAAGCGCCTTATGCTCTTTACTGGTTGCCATTCCATACCTGAACATCCCATGGGCCAGCTTTCCATGATCCTTGGGGCGCTGAACGAATGACGAGGTCAATTAACTCAGAGGCACCATTACCGAGCAACAGACGCTCTCTGTTCGCCTCCCAGTGCTCAGGCCAGATCCATTCAGCTAGAGAGGACTTGGCGGGCTCTTGGTTAGCAGGAGGATAATGGTGACAAGTTGCGATCTGTGACAATAAGACGAGCAATCGTAGAAATCACTGTTATTTAAGCTTCCTTTGCAACAAGACAAGATCAACAAAATGATTATTGATAAAAGCTTCATACCGCATCACGAGCTGCTTGAAGAGCCTTGACAGGAGTGCCAAGGCAGTTGGTGGTAACAGAGAAGTCTTCAACAAAATTGCTGAGAAACTTCCAATCCTGTCCTCCATGAAATTGTTGGGTTTTTGTATCCCAAACGGTGTTAGGTGTATCGGCAGCAGAGGCAGTCATGATAGTTGATTGGTTAGGTTGGAGTTGCGTTAGAAATAAATAAGCAAGGAAAGAAAGGGGTGAGGACGATTAAAGAAAGGATGCTGATGATGAGTAAAGTGAAAAAGAGAACACAATGAAGACTGATGATGCAGCACCAATAAGCGTAAAGATGAAGGCAGATCTGTTGGTGAGAGCAACAGTGACTGGCCCCACTAATTCAATATGGATTCTCAATAGATTTCTAATAGCCTATCTAGCTCATCCTTTTTGCGTCTATCATGGGGCTCTCATTCTTTTCAGTCATAATGTTTATTGTATTTAAAGTAACTGTACACATTACACAAGGAGATTACTGTAACTTTGACCATAAAGCAGTTTTTGAGGTCGATAATGGCGACAGTACCTGACCAGACTGCCTGGAAAGCTTGCTAACTTCTGTAGTTCAGAGTAAGTTCTGAAGAATGTAGTAGTTTTTCCTATTGTCATTCTAAAACTGATAGCAAGACATTAATGGTGTTGTTGCTGCGTCCTTAGACCACGATATCCTCACGATAGAGCGGGCCATGCTGCGAGGATCGACATTCTCAGACGAAACAATATTGCGACCAGTAATCATTACACTATACTCATTAGATGGTAGGATTGGAGGTATTCGTTCCAGGATCTGGGCCTGATCTTGCATCCATCCCATAGCCATGCCTTAACTGATGGAGATGATAACGGCCGTCATCGGCTGCATAGTATCGATCGGCATAGTAGTTGTCGTGGCCAGAAGGGCGGCTTTGTTGTCCAGCAAAATATCCTTCGGGCATTGAATTTGTGTCTGTGTATTCTTGAAATTGCTGTGGGAACTGCTGCTGTTGTTTTTGGTGATGGCGTCGCATGTACGATGCCGTTGTCTCTTGCCGTACGGCGTAGTAAGGGTCGTGTCGATTGCCATACGGCTCTACATAACTTGATGTAGGATAATACGGTTGCTGCTGCCTCCATGAGTATTCATCTGATCCGTAGCCATGCATACCAGTATCTGTCCCAGTTGTTGCCGCTGCAGCGCTAGTCCCAAAATTTTCCAAAGGGTACATCCCGTTAGAAGATACATTGGAGACACCACTTTCTTCAAACGATGTCGCATTCATAGGGCCTTGTGATATCCCTGTGTCCATGTTCTCAGCGCCAAATCGACTTCCTTGAAAGTCAACGTCTGCTCCACTTGAAAGACGACCTCCATGCATAGCCATGTCATTGCTATTGCGCTTCGCGCTGCGGCGTTGACGATGCATTGCAAAGACTATGCACAGTACAAGGGCAATCAAGACAACTGCAGCAGCGAGGACTATTCCAACAATACCTCCGATTGGGAGTTTATTTGAGTGATCATCTTTGGGCGCTGGTGTTGGTACAATACTAGGATATACGCTTGTAACGACGTTCGTTCCGGAAAAAGGTGGTGTCAACTGCGTTTGCGTATAGCTTGTGACCGATGTAATGTCAGATACTGAGGTAGCTGTAGTGTTGATGATTGTTGTTATCGTTGGTTCAACGGTTGTGGTGGTCGTTGTTATCGTTGGCTCTACGGCTGTAGTAGTCGTTGTTATTGTTGGCTCTACGGTTGTAGTGGCCGTTATTGTCGTTAATTCTACGGTTGTGGTAGCTGTTGTTGGTTCAGGTGTAAATGTAATTGTTATAGTTGTTGTCCCCGAGGGTGTTGACGGCTCACTTGGAGTTATAGTTGGTGCCAGCGAGGAGGTTGTCTCAAAAGGCGATGTATTCGTGGTAATATACGACATTTGTAAGAGAGGAAAGAGATAGAAAAGTAGAAAATATTATCCATTGGAAGCTAGTCAGCTTTCGTTGGGAGTATAGGCAAGCTAGATGGATCTGGTGCCAGTCTGGCGGTTTGGAAGCTATTTTTTTTTTATTCTTTTTTTTTTTTTTTTTTTTTTTTTGCTGTCTCACTTAGAGAGTTTGTCTCGAAAGATTCCAAAAGGTACTTTAACCATAGCCGTAGTTATTAAGGGTGATTGAGGATTACTAAAACATGGCACAATTCAAATACACCTTCTTAGACTCGACCAGGACTCTTTTGTAATCTGCTGAGCGGAGCCAAACACTTTCTATCTACTCCTGATTATTAGCATTTCAAAGGCATTTAAATAGGCATTCTGCCTGTATAATGGTGTAAGAGCTATAATAGATATCACCACTAAATAACAATCGTAGGGTCCATGGTTCAGGCTTAGAAGTGCTAATCATCATCGCTGTCCTTCAAGAACTTTCTGTAACTCTCCCGTACGCATTCACCGCCTTTCTGTGGATCAAACATAAATCGGTAGAAACTTCCATCGGCGCAAATCACTAATCATCCGTTTCAAAATAGTTAATTACATATACTACGCTGGAACAGCTGCGGCAAGTGAAAAAAAAAAGACCTACCAATCACTGTGTTCTTCTCGCCGCCGAATGCACAAATGCAACGACAATCAGCAGCAACTTTGAATTGTGCAAAGGACCATGCTGATGAGAAGTATTTCGGCAACAAATCCTTCATAAACGCTAAGCTGTATATTTCAAAGACCGAGAGCAGAGATGCGTATCAACGAATCATCAGAAGCTAGTTCTATACCAAAATGCTTCGCCCAATGTTGTCAGTATGCCGCACTGAGGCTTTATTTAATTACCTTGATTGTCTATTCCCAGTCACCATGTGGGTTGTATGATGCGGTTGAATGACTTCGCCATAGTGAGGCCCAGCAGATGGTGATCCTACTCCTGATTGATAAACTCTGGATCCATTTACACCTTCAAGGTTGAAAATATGAACAGTGCCTTTGTCAGATCCTGCGCAGATCCTAGTGGAGTCGCTATTAAACGCAATGCTGTAAATCTCCGCTCTATCGACGCCTCGTCTGAACTCATGTAAAAGTTTGCTGGACCCAGTATCAAACACTCTAATTAGCGTCCCTTTGTCAGATGCTGAGGCGCACTTTGTTCCATCGGCATTCGTCACCAAGCAAAATAGTGGACTTGTGTGTGCAGGGATAATGGAAATGTTGGCTGAAGGTCGCGTGCTAGCCATTGGATATTTCGGTTGAGGGTTGGAAGAGAATGGGTTGGGTTGAGATGACGGTAGCGCCGCAGAAGCTGATACAGCTGTTGTAGGTACGATATTATTGAGATCCACGATCTGTATGTGTCCACTTTGCCGCCCCGGAAAAATTAAGATTGCGTGTTTCTCGGATGAGGATAATGCTACGAGACCTATTGAGAATAAAATTCTGATGATTAAAAGGGTTATACTTCAAGGAATTTTAGTTCTTTATTCTTTTTTAGTACTTACCTCTGTCATTATCGACAGTCTCAAAGACATGTAATTTGGTGGGATTTTGATCGAAGCTGTAGACAATGACCTTATTATTCAAAGCTACGACAAATCTAAAAGTAATAATTAAATGACAGAACGCTTGAAGTTTTATGAACATGAAATAAATGCCGGTTCAAGTTGAAGGAAAAAAAAAAAAAAAAAAAAAAAAACTGTCATAACATACTTTTCGCGCCGTAATTTCACTGCCTTAACTTCGCTCCTAAATTCTAATTCGATAACAGCCCTATTCTTCTGATCGTCCCAAATGATCACCTTGTTGGGTGGATACTTTGGGTTTTTGCCACCACCAACCAAAGCGAGAATATTGCAACGGAAAAGCATTTCAACAATGCAGATACCTCCATCCTCAAACTCTATAAAAAAAATAAATAAAAAAATAAAAAAATCAGACCATGTGAGCACAATATCGCTCACCTTTGCCCCTTTTTAGACAAACCTTTGCGCATTTTTTCCTTCAATGGGTCACAGTTATATATTCGGAACCCAGTGTCGAGCCCGCAGGAAAAGCATCCATAGTCTTAGGATGTAATATAGACAGTTGTGGACAAAAATGACAAGTTAATCATTCAGTATATATCTAGTCAAAAGAGACGTTACATTGCATCACATTGAGTTGCATTGCAATGCATTGTTAAGTAATGGGAGCAGAATGAAAGCTATGCTCACCCTGATTAAAGGACGCGTAGAGTAAACCTGGGACGTCTGCAGCAGAGTAAGGTGATGGTTTTGACAAGTTCATTCGGTCGTAGAATATTGATTTGTATAAAAAAAAAAGAATGCTGAGTGTTGAGAGATGTGAAGAAAAAAAAAAAAAAAAAAAAAAAAAAAAAGCACCATGGGAGTATTGCTTGAAAAAAGGACGTGACTGTTGTCATGTCTGTGTCTCTTTTTTCAAATGTTGCCACCATGTCATGCATGCCATCGTGGCACAAGGATATCGCGATCTTCCCAATTATTGACAAAGCTATCCACCCCACACAGTGGGACTATAATGGTATTTCATCTTTGGCCCCAGCAATGTTGCCTTTTAATCTTGACTAAGAACCTTATTCGCTAGTAACAGGAACTGCAATTTCATTCAAGACTTGTCATTGGTGTGGCGTGAATGCAATGATATATATATATTGAAATATTGATATTATGTTTTGTAGTATATGTGTAATAATCTATTGCTATTGTACAAGGATGCGATTTTACAAGAATGACGAACAAATAATAAAAATAACTATGAAGTATAAAGAAGATCTCGAAAGCGAACAGAACAGAAATGGACAAAAAACAATAAACAATGAGAAGAGTAATACAAAAAAAAGCAAATTGAAGTAGGGAATGAAAATTCCGACAGCGAGGTTTGTCTTAAGAATCTTGAAGTAGACTTGGGGTAAGTGAAATACGAATCGTGCTACTGCGACGCTTCTGGAGAAGTTCATCGAACTGACGCATCTTGTCTGTCATTTCAGTAGAGTGCTTCAAGTCGAGGCTGACAGAGCGACCGGTTCCATCGGCCATGGCTGCAATAGACTTGCGGCGTTGACGCATCATCTCAGTCTGTAAAGTATTCATAGATGAAGCCATCGAATGGCGGTAATGGACCGGCAATGTTGGTACTGGAGGGACCTCAGAGGCATTTACGGACTCAACACCCTCACTGGCCTTTGTCTTGCCATTAAAGAGACGGATGAAAGAGAGACGACGGTTCTTTCCGGTGTTATTGGAAGGGTTGGTCATGGTAGCAGTGGCAGAAGATGTGTGAGTCATAGCAAGAAATGGTTTATAGGTGGTAGTATATGAAGTTTTAAGGAGCTAAGGAGCCTGGTGGAAAAAATGAATAAAAGTTGCTGAGACTGTTGGATAAAGAAGTATTATTAGGGTATAGTAATCTCGAACGAAATGGAGTATCCGAAACTGAGACGAAGTCAAAGGTTGGTGTTAGAAGATAGATTAAAAAAATAAAAAGAAAAGAAAAAAAAAAGGGGATCCTCTCTTCTTATACGATTCTTTCTGAGCAGGAGAAAAAAAAAAAGGTTTAGCAAGACGCATGGTGCCATCATAATGTTTTCTTTGCATGTTTCTCTACTTCCATTCTAAACAAATGAGCCCCAAGGTTTCGCAGACTAATATATACATTATATTTTTATACCCATAATATAAAAAATATATATATATATAATATATATATATAAATATATATATTGAATACGTATTATTGTATACTACCGTACGAAATAGTGAGCCTCGCAGTTAGGTTCATGGCCAGGCAAAGAAAGGAAGAAGTATGAGAGAAAAGTCTGGAATCCATCAGTCCGTGACAAGATACAAAACCAAAAAGAATGTGAAGAAGTAGAACGAATTTAGATATTTAATTGAAGTCGTCTGTGTGATTTGTGAGGCTGAAGCCTTTTCTCCACGTTAAGAGCTTCGCAAGAGTATGATATGCATAGCATACATTTTGACCCTGTTGCTCAGCTTGTTTGATCGTTTTTGTCCTTTCCGCGGAGAAGGAGATGGAAAAATATGGCTCATCATTGAATAAAAGCATCACCATGCTCAGATGTGGTCGTGCACATGCAGGCTAGACATGAAATGACATTGGGATTAAAACCGCCGAAGAAAAAAAAAGGATGAACTTTGCTTGGAACAGGCATGTCCCGCCACATGTATACATATACCCATTCCTTGGTGTGATTCATACCAAAAGACGATGATTGAATTGTAATGGTGGCTAATTTTTACATTCCACTGCGATGAACTTGCCGATACACTTGAGGCATGTAAGTATAAATACATATAGATATATATATAATATATAAATATATATATAATAATATTTTTCAATAAATATACTGCCTACTCAAAAGTTGCTTTGCTAACCACTTTGTTTTGTATGCATAGAGTTTGGAGTGGAGCCGAGTAAAAAGGTTCTGAGTCTGGGCTGAGGTCTACTTCATGTCTTAGTGGTCATGAGAGCAATGCGGCCATATTGCCTTTAACCTTTTGTTGGGACTCCGTTTGTTTGCTTTGGCGCAACTTTTTTTCCTCCGCCAGCTGTGTTACATTTGTATAGCATTTCCACTAAACACTAAAAAACATAATTAGCCTGTTATAATCGGTTAAAAAGATGAGTTTGAACTTTTCAAAAAACGTGGCAGCGAAAGGGCAATGGATATTGTTTACAGAAATTCCAACGAGGCCGCCAATGTGCCTGCAGTCTCTAACGAGGAAGCTCAGTCATTCGATAATACAAGATGAACGAGCGTGGGGAATCAAAAGGTACAGTCCAAGCTGAGGGAAAACCAGCTTTTTTTATCATGATTGCAGACATGTCATCTGTTCACATTATACACGAATCTGCAAAGAACCTACAGCTCGACCAAAATGGGATTGTGAATTACTACGCTGTGAACTACTAAACTTATAGGTGAGTACAACGAAAGAAAAAAGATGTAAGCATTGACTGCTTTAGGATGACATATGAAGATCATCTGGCGTCTATATTACACTTTAGAGATGAAACCAGTAATATATTGTGGCATAATGCTTGCCTACGAGCATATATATACTATTTATCACATATACATTTCAGTGCGTTAAGGTGAATTGCTTTTCACAAAAGGCAATACTATGATTATTTAAGTATAAATGTTCGATGCATGTATAGACAATATAGACAATATACAAGCATATTGATACATCTGTTAACATGGGAATATGCTGGCAAGTGTCATCATGCAGCAACATAACAAAATCTAATGCAGAGCAATGGCATGTTGGAAAGAAGGAAGAAAAAAAAACCACGATGTAAAAATAGCATTCACATGGTATAAAACTCCGCTCGAGGTATCCATTTCATGAAACGTTCATGAGAGAATATTAAATATATATTAATAAAACATGGATCTGAAACGCATCCCAACAACTGGAATATCATAAATATGTGTGTCAATTTCGCAAAAATAGTAAAATATAATGATAGAGCTAGATAAAAGAACAAGTAGGACCTTGTGGTACGCTAAACATTCTCTTTTTTTTATAATACAACACCATTTGTCCACGTTCAAACGTATTGACCCTCACTTTCGCTCGCCTAAAAATAATTGCATTCATTTTTGATGAAGGGATGACATACGCAGAGACTGCCCGTCGATTTAGCTTCTCGTACACAACAGTAAAAAGTATCACTGAGACGTTTGAAAAGGAGGGGCGTGGTAATCACCGTTCAGCACTTCAGGACAAGCATATTGCATGGTTAAAAGGTCAGCTTGATGAAAACCCTGGCCTGACTGTTGCCAGTCTACACAGTCCCTCAATGAGACTTTTCGCTTCGATTCGCCTGTGTTCTTATCTGCCGTCAACAGAGCGGTTAGTAAACAAGTAGGCTACATGTTCAAGCTAATGCGCTGTGGACCTGAGGACCACAATGGCCCAGAGAGGATTGCTGGTCGTGTTCGATGAAGACAGGACCTGATCATAAATGGCACAAACCTGACAGACGCAGTGTTTGTTGACGAAGCCGGGTTTAACCTGTATCTTACGCGTAGATTGGTCGGGCACCACGAGGAAAAAAAGGTTTTAAGAATTCGTCCTACTCAGTAGGGACAAAACATTTCTGTCGTAGTCGCTATTGGTAAGTACGCTTGGGAACCTTCAACACTCAGACTTTCCAAGTCTTCCTGGTCGACAAGCTCATCCCCGCTCTCCCAATCCCAAGAGTCATCATGATGGATAGCGCGTCTTTTCACAGGTTGGCGATGTACAAAATGTCACCAGTGGTAAACACATTTACCTGCGGCTGCCTTCCTATACCCCTCAGCTAAATGCAGCCGAGTGGGTCTTTGGAAAGATCAAGATGCATGTACGACGCTAAGATCTTCATGGCCGGGAAACATTAACAGGCCACATCAATGACAGCATTCTAAGCACTGCATCCGAAATTTGTTGTGGGTAGATCCGCCAGGCCAACCGGGATTTTTCCCTGGAGTACAGAAGCGAACTCTTGGGTCGCTTCTACACCTGAGCATCTCAACAAATAAAAAACTCACGAATTTGACGCCACATATTTATGGAATTGATAGAGGCGCATTATGGAACGTAGTATCGGCTATCATTAAGCATGTATGATGGTCAGGTCGGCAATAAGCACCCGTAATGGAGCCTACACTTTTTCAGGCGCTGCAACTCTTGACCTAATGACTTTGCTCCTAGGGACAGGTTGGCCTATGGTCTACTAAAAAATTGCTAATCAGTGTCGCTATTGTAATCTAACAGTTCTGCTAAACACTAATTATTGTCATGGTGTAGGGAACTGCTCTTGTATCAAAAAGTAAGTGGATGAAGAAGTAGAAGAAGGCTGCCTTAGTTGCATGAACACAGATAATGAAAATAATTCGAGTGCTCGGAATAGCGACAGTGTGGTCGGCAAAATGATTGATAGTAAGTACTGCGTAGGTCCATTTTTATCACCAGGCGGCTAGATGATACAAGTTTAAGAAAGACGTGATATATTCAATTCTCGATAGAATGCTCGCCATGGAAGGTGACTTGCGTGAGCGAGAGAGAGCTGCTTTAAATGAAGTTGAGTAGCTCTTGGTATCTTCGTCCTTGAATAAGTATTATGACAATCTTCACAGTTAGAATTATAGAGTGATCTTCGGTTAGGGTTTTATAGTTAAAGCGCACGATATCAATCGTTAAGTCAAAAATCATATTAGTTCAAGCAATGACGCTTCTAATATTTGTAAAGTAACTATTTTCGAACTTTTGTACAAAACCATGAGTTTTATTGTTCTCTTGAGTGGCCTAGAGTTCTAATATTTTTTGCGTCACAGCAGGGCCCTGTTCTAGCAGCGTCATGGAAGCCAGGTCGTTATGTACCAGCTTGTCATATTCCTGGTTTGACCCCATCATATTGGCCCGACGTGGCTGCTGCTCACGTAGCTCTTGACTCATCAGCCTCATTTCTTGAGCAAAAAGACTATTGAAACGCCCCTTCTGGGATCGTTCTTTGTGAGGCCGTCTCGACCTCCTTTTCCTCACCAAGGGGACGACAGGGGGCACATTCTCTTTATCCACCAGATCATCTTCGACAAAATCCTCTTCGTTGAGGTCTACTCCCCGAACTCCTGCCTGCCCTCCTCCTTCCCCTCGCCGGCAGAGGGCGGTTGCTGAGTTTGTTCCTTTGAGGTACCCCAATAGTAGCACGCGACCCACCCTTCGATGTGTTGTTAATTAAACAGGGAGGAGTTGAAGGAGTAACAACTACTCTGGGAAGCCGCATGGTGAAAGCTGTAGCGGAAGGGCTGGACATAGTGTTGTAACTCGAAAAAATATTAAAAATTGGTTAATGAGTGAGGAATGAAGTAATAACTATGCCCATAAAAATGGCGCAATGGTTCAGGAACAGGAACCAGTGAGCTAATGGATTTCCTGGCGTCAAGATATTTTATTTTTACCCTCTGTAAAGATAAACTGATACCGTTTTAGTAGTATGTTTATGGAAATAACGATCCAACCCTTCATTGGAAGAAAATTCCTCAGGAAATAATACATTTTAGCCAATTTTGGGCGAGCTTTCTCCGCGACTACATGCTTGTAGATCCAATCTTGATAACAACTTGCGATGATTTTGGCCGAAGCATTACAAGGGTAGCATTTTATGCGAACGATAGGAGCTTCAGCTTGGCTCTAGCTCTTTCACGAGGAGCTGCTTTCTATCAGCGCAATAGCTGACTCAGGTCAATAGCATAAGATACCAGCTCTGCGATTTCGTCCTTCAGTAAAAGGTTTTTGTTGGCGAAGCTCTGATGACAGTCTAGGATATGCCACTGACACCATAAAGATAATATACCGTGCCGTCCAGGTCGAATGAGTAATTGTGGTCAGACTTGTCCCAAAAGAATTTTATTGATACTTACTACATCTTACTGTTGCAAGGCATGTCGCCGTTCATGCCAACGAGTATAAATACTCCTTGCGTAACGACATAAGACTTATAAAGCCGACCGGGAGTTGTGTCTATCTGGAGGCGAGTCGCCAAAGCTAAATACAGGCTGTGTTGATTTGCACTGTATACTGCGCTCTTTGACCAACGTTTAACAACGAAAAAGCTTTATGTTTTCTATTCTTGTTGACGGGGGAAGAGGAATTAAATCTTGGCTTTACTGACAAGATTGAGACAATCCATTGCGCTTCACGAGCGTAAAAGAATACCGTTAACCCATACTTGTAGTACTCAGGTACATATTTGGCGCAATTAATTTGATAATAAAGATGTTCATGATTGTCGAGTGAGCAAGTTCTTCCTGGAGACTGCTTTTTTTTTTTTTTTTTTTAGTTCATTGTCCCACAGCCGACTTATATAAACTCCATCTCTCTCATTGCTTTTCGCATTCATTGTTAAGGGACGACCTGAAGACGAAAGGATCACATCAGCTTATAGCATAAGAGAGACAAGAGCAGGTATTGGATTCAAAGATATTCTTCCACTTTTGAAAAACGGTGGTAATTATTGCGGCTATAGGATATATATTTTGACCGATGCCATGACGAGTCTGCCTTCGACCAGATCCACTTCACAGTCGTCAAGCAGACCAACTTCCGGAAATAAGAAGCATGTGAGCCAAAGGAATCGACTGGAGTCACCACCTCCTAGCGAATTACGTAAAAGAGGCCACGAAAGCCATGATACCTCGTCAAAAGACATCCATGTTCAATCAGTTCCCCAAAGGCTTTCTCCTTTGCGTTCGAGCAATCCCATGAAGCAAACAAAGGCTTCAAAGCTGTCAACAGATCGAAATATCTCGCAGCATCATTTACATCAGTATGGAATGATGGTGCATGATATAAAATCACCTGTCATCACATCGTCTTCTTTGCCACTAGCCAAACTGTCCCCGAGGTGTAAAAATTCAACAACAATGTCTCATCACAATAATCATGAAGCATCTCTCCCGTGCCATCTTGGCCAAACAATCTTCACTGCATCACAACCTGTTCAGGTCCCACACACTGTTCAGGACGAAAGCTTTAGTTCCAGCCAGAGCAGCACCGTATCGCATCGTAGCACAGCTTGCATAAGACAAAATGCAGATATAAGTATAGACACAGGCCCAACAGACTCAGAATCTCTTACTCTTCCAGATGGAATAAAATCGACAGTGTCGATTGGCAGTAACGACAATGGAAACTTGTTACACCATAAAAGGTAACGTTTCCCTCCGCAATGGCGCCAATCTGGCATGTTTGGAGAAGGTGCAAGGTGGGGAAACCGTGTGGGAAGGATCCAAGGGACTGCGTTTTGTGTGTATTCTGTTCCCCTTTCTTTGGGTCTTTACTTGTAGAAGCGTGACAAGAGGGAGCACAAGGACAAATCAAGTTTATCTCGCCTGATAGTGCTGGTGATGGCGGTTGTGGTGATATGAGATTTGATTGTTGTCTCCGTCAATATTCCTTCCTTCACTTTGTCTTCCATCCTATCCCAACTTTTTTCTTCGTCATTGCAAATTGAAATCGTACATTCACGCCACCAACTGGTAATTCTCCATTCATTCCAAGAAACGCTTTCTCTATCTCCCTCTCTCTCACTTTTTTTTTTTTTTTTTTTTTTTGACGATTCTTTTTTCCTTGCGAAAGCATTGAGTTTATTTTCTTGCCTGTGTCCGTCTGATTACTGCTCCTTTTCTAATCTATTTTCCTTGGTTTTTCAGTTCATGTTACCTGTCCCACATCGTTACTTCGTATAAAAGTCTATCCACTTCAAAGTCATATCATTCTTTACATTGAGCTGTACCGCAGCTATTCTTCCCTTTTTTTTCTTTTCTTGTCTTTTACTGGCTAACCCTCTCTCTGTTTCTTTATTGTTACTCTTTCCAACATTAACATTACGCTCGCGCCGCAACTTGTGCATTACAACTGCTCGTCGCTTCATTATTACGGCATTTCGGCCTAATATTGTGCCATTCAATTGCTGGGCCCACCATTCTTCATGCCTCCTCGATTGAATTCGCCTCGTACTCATAACACTAGGACAAGTCAGATCCCAGCATCACCGACATTCTCAACGTCTTCACCGTCGTTATCTTTATCGTCGGCATCTTCTTCCCTGCCCACAAAGGCAACAGTTTTGACTTCGCACGCCATCACTCGACATCAAGCTAGAGTCTCAAAGAAAGCACGACTTGACTTTATTACATTCTCGTCTGGCATCGACGGAACACTTCCCATTTCTTCTGTTAGTACTTCTTCTTCCTCCTCGCTTCCTGCTTCAAACCCCACTACTATTACTTCATCGTCCCAAAAACGCGCTAGTGAGGATACTGCGTCTGAATACCAGGGTAACAGTAACAATCAGAGATTAAACGACGACGAAGCTCAAAGCCCTAGTAGTCGCACTCGATCTAAGCAGCCTCGGATAACCGTAGTAAAGAAGTCTTCGTCATCCTCCACGATATCTTCATCATCTGCAGCTAGTCGATTTCAAACTAAAGCGTCTGGACCGCATCAAAAGCAAATCCAGGGCATCCCGTCCTTTATGCGACAGTCCAAAAACAGCACTTCCCAAAAGAGATCCTATTCAAACAATAGAAAACTTTCTTTAAAGTCCGCTCAAGACATGAGCTCCTCCAGCACTCAGGACTTGTGCACTGGCGGTAGTCAACCCGCAAATACGAATGATCAGGATGTAGCTGAGCCAGATGCACTAAATTGCCACATGGACAATGAAGTCGTCGCAGCTGAAAGGCAAGCAAATAGTGCAAGTAGTGTTGTGCCACCACAGGCCGATCGGCAGACAAATGAGGATATGGCGGAGCAAGAAGAAAATGATGGAGAAGAAGATGAAGACGAGGATGAAGATGAAGATGAGGAGGATGAGGACGACGAGGAAGGGCTCTTTTCTTCGGGCGGTAACATGAGCGGCATGGTCTCTGGAATATCATCACGACTGAAAGGCATATTGAGCAATCTTCGGGCTTATCAAGATCCTTCGCTTCAACTAATCGCCCTCCAAGATTTGGCTGTCCTTCTCTCTGTTTCCACAGAAGAGACACTACAAGGCTACTTCAGCACCGATTCGTTCGTCAAAGAACTGGTCCTGTTGATGCGGGGAAATGGCGATGGTGACGATAACCCTGAAATTATGCTCCTTGCATGCCGCTGTTTGTCAAACCTGATGGAAGCAATGCCAGGCTCTCTTGGAAACGTCGTTCATGGAGGAGCTGTGCCTGTTCTCTGTGCAAAACTCATTGAGATTCAATACATTGATGTCGCAGAGCAGTCTTTGACAGTAAGTAGTAATAGTTATATGCATCAACAATCACTGTGTGATGGTTAATACGCTTGCTAAATCCAGGCCAACGTCGATAACTTTTATAGACCCTTGAAAAGATTTCTTCAGAATACCCTCACACTGTCGTCAAAGAAGGGGGGCTAGCGGCTGTTTTAATGTTTCTTGACTTTTTTTCGACTAATGTGCAACGAACTGCAGTTAAAACAGCTGCCAATTGTTGCCGAGGAATCCAGCATGACAGCGTTTCCATGGTACAAGACATATTGCCGAACCTTGAGAGCATCCTGCAATACTCGGACCAAAAAATTGTTGAACAGGCGTGTCTTTGCTTTGTTCGACTTGCCGACAGCTACAAATCAAGTGCTGTACATCTACAGGTAATATCTATAATGCTCATTTTCCATTTAAGGCTATAAATCCATGAGCCTGCTTCTAGTCAATGACCATTGTTCAACTACTATCTGAAGAATTAATGTATCTGACATTGTTCCTTGTTTATTTTAGACTATCATCACTGAGAGTATCTTGAGAGCGGTATTATCCCTTTTATCGCCCAATGCAAATGTTGTTGTAGGGTAAGATTGTAGATGATATGAATGACCACTTAGAATGGCAATATCTGAGCCTTACAAAGTTATTCGAAATTAAACAAGTAACAGGTATTAATGACTTTCTTCAGACCTCACGTTTATACCCTACTCTTGCATTTTTTGAGCACCGTAGCCGAACACTCCCCAACGCTCGGTTTCGCATTGCTTGAAATGGATATCATCGACACATTATATCTTGTACTCACAGGAACTCATGCTCCGAATACTGATTCAGAGAACGAGGACCCACTGTTGGTACCGGACATCGGATCCCGATCTAAGGAGCAAGTCTCCGAGGTCATTGGTATTATTACAGAGCTACTTCCTTCTCTACCGAAAGGTAAAGTTCGACCAATGATAAAAAAAAAAAAAAAAGTAATATTTGAGCATATCACTAAGCACACTTACTGCTTGGTCACAAATATCTATAGACGATGCACTTTTTGATACAGAGTACCGATATCTTGCGCTGAAAAAAGATGAAAAAAACAAAGAGAATCAAGATGTGCAAGAGGATGACGTCGATATGGCAAATACTTCAGCCAGTATTGAGATCGATAAAAGGGAAGAGCTCTTAAAATCACATCCTGAGCGTATACGAAGGATGGGCAAGGTCATGATCCCAACTTTAATCGAGGTTTATTCGTCCACAGTTCACCTGAGAGTCCGACAGAGAGCCATTCATGCGCTTGTGAAGTTGATATACTATACACCCGATGATGTTCTGAAAGGAGTTCTTAAGGTAGGAAAAAAGTTACTCTTGTCGCCATCACATTTATTTGACCATAAGCCTTATATTCTTCAGTTTGGATGAAAAAGAAGGAAACTCAATTATATTGCCGTCCCTGTATTAGAATGTGGAACTTGCCAGCTTTTTAGCAATTGTACTTTCTCAACAAGAGCATCAGTCTTTGGTAGCTGCAACGCTCCAAATATCTACTCTCCTTATGATGAAGCTTCCATCGGTCTACCGATTTTTCTTTGAGCGGGAGGGCGTGACATTCGAGATTTCGAAGTTGGCATATCTAGGAGCAGAGTTAAGCCTAGCTAAGGAAGCTAAATGCACCAATACGATGGTAGAAGATAGTACAAAGATTACCAACAGCGATAATCAAGAAATAGTTAAGGCAACTACTACGGAGACAGACCAGAATATACTAGCCAAAGATAATATATTCAACGGTGCTTCGAATTCAGGAATAGACGAGAGATCGGATGCAAATTCGCATGAATCACACACGATAGCCTCGACCAATAATCAGCGATTGATAGATCTAATTACCGAACTGCGTGGCATGCGTACTCAACAGGATCAGAAGGGGACAATAGACGAGCAGTTAGATGCTATTGGAAGAGAACTTGAAGCAGCATGGGGCCAATATATGCTCTCGAGACCAAGTGATGGTGAAAATGGAGCGCAAGGACCTGATTCTCGATTGTCTGCTCTTGAGCATGTTCGTACTCTTCAACGCTTGATTACAGGTGGATCTCGCTCTGTGATAACAGCTCAGAAGGAGGAAAAGGGATTAGGGTCAGGCAAAGCGAAGGAATGGATCTTTGAACGGGCTAGAATTTTCATTGAATTGTTCCAAAGAACCGGCTCCTTACCAGATGATGGGATTTATAAGGGAACGTCTGTTTTAAGCGATCTCAAGCGGATGGCAACTGAACTTCGAGAATCGCGCGGTCTAGCTTCAAATACAATCAAGGAGCTTTCGAAGTACTTTGTTAGATTAGGCTCAACAGGCATATCATCATTTGAGTTTTTGAACAGTGGGTTGCCCCAGGCTCTTTTAAGCTACCTTGCTAACCCCAAGAGGGCAGGATTCTCTAGTCAGGATGAAAAGATGCGCAACTTTGTTGAACATTTCATGAATACTCCTTGCAAGGAAACAGGTACATCAGCTGCAACTTCACCCTTCATCCTACTTGTGAAAAAGATGCAGGAGGCATTGACTCGCATGGAGACGTTTGAGGTTGAGGTGGCGCAATCGTCATTAGGCGAGGTGAGAAATAATTCATCGTCCAGCCTTGCTACACAGGTTCGACTCAAACTATCTCCTGATGAGGGCACTGAGGTGCCGTCTGGTTATCAAAATTTGGTTGTATCGATCCACGCCATTGCTACATTCAGAACACTAGATGAATATCTTCGACCTCGCTTGAAACCAAGACTTTCTTCAACAGATACTAAATATAATGACGGTAGCAAAAATGGATCATCACAGAGTCGTGTTACGGGCATTAACCCAAAAGAGTCTACACCGAGGAGGAGCAGCCGGCTGCAAAAGCTTGCTAGCAAAGGCTCAGAGGAGAAAGTTACTGATAATACCGATGCTCAACCGTCACCTGTCAAGAGGCCGGTGGATGCTGGTGGAAGTAGTCCAGATGACTCTTATGAGGACAGCGAGGGCGATGTCGAAGAGATGGAATATGATCTTGAGCGCAGAGGCAGTGTTCAGAGCAGTAAAGGTGTTGAATCCTCCACCATCGACTTTGAGTCGGATGTCAAGATGGCAGACATGTCCAAAACTAACATATCCAGCGGAGCAAGCGAAACTGACAACTGTCTGCAAAAAACAGAGAATGCAAATTTGCCGAAAAAGGAAAAGAGCTCCCACAACTCATCCCAAGAATCGTCTTCGCCATGGTATATCCAATTTTCTCTTTACGGAAATCCAATTAACACAGATATGACAGTTTATGGAGCCATCCACGAATACGAGCGCAAGAATGGCCGGAATGCATCGCAGCGTAGCATGTGGTCCTCGATGTACCCTATCAAATACAGGCGCGTCGATTCTTCCCCTCCAGAGCAGCTCGCCTTGGCTGCAAACACTCAAAGTCCGGAAGACACCGATTTGACTTTTACTGCGCAGATGCCCAAAGAATTGCCACAGCAAGCAGAATATGGTCCTATCCTTGGACTCTTGCGCATTCTTCATGGGCTCAACAATGATTGGAGGCGGTTCTTTGGATCTGATGATCAGTTACCCATTACTCCTGTTCAAAGGCTACCAAACCGTGAATTCGTTAACAGCAAAATCACTGCCAAAGTGAATCGTCAGCTAGAAGAGCCATTGATTGTTGCTAGTTCATGTTTGCCTGATTGGACTGTTGGGCTCGTAAAAGGTTTCCCGTTCTTGTTCCCTTTTGAGACCCGATACACATATCTTCAGTCAACTGCATTTGGTTTCTCACGATCAATCATGCGTTGGCAGACGCAACAGCAGCGCAATGGGCATACAGATCATCGTGATGATTCTCAGACGTTCTTAGGTAGAATTCAACGACAAAAAGTCCGTATTTCCAGACAAAAGGCACTCGAATCAGCAGTTCGCGTCATGGATCTCTATGGAGCGAGTCAGGCCATGCTAGAAGTTGAGTTCTTTGATGAAGTTGGAACAGGATTAGGTCCTACGCTCGAGTTTTATTCGTTAGTTTCTAAGGAGTTCTGTAAAAAGTCACTGAAACTCTGGCGCGATGCGGATTCTGAATCTCTGACTGAGTATGTCTCGGCTCCACAAGGATTGTTCCCCAGACCGATGGCGTATCATAGGACCGATTCTGACGATGAAAAGTATGTAAGCAGTACGATGTATCATGACCTTGTAGAAGTAGACAGACACCTAAATCTTTTTTCTTTTTTTTTTATTTGTAGAAAAATTCTGAAGTTATTTAGATCTCTTGGCCAGTTCATTGCCAAGGCTATGCTGGATTCTCGAATTATCGACGTGCCGCTCTCACCATTGTTTGTCAACCAGCTACTTGGTCATAATCTAAAGACACACCTTCAGCTAGTTTCTCTCATTGACCCTGTCCTTGCACGATCGCTAGAGAGTCTTCATGCCTTTGTGACCGAAAAGAAGCGTATATACGGGATGAAGCTTCCTAGTAAAGAACGTGAAGTTGCCCTAAAAAATATCAAGCTGCATGGAACGAAATTGGAGGATATGAGTCTTGACTTTACACTTGCAGGTTATCCTCATATTGAACTCAAGGTTCGATCAAAGGCTTGGCAATTCATTCTATGAAAGGCACTATGCTCGCATGAACATCGTAATTGAACCATTCTTTTTTTTTTTTTATGCGTCGATGCTGTTTAGACTGGTGGAGCTAGCGTTCCAGTAACTATTTACAATGTCGAGGAATATATCAGGTTGACCGTAGATATGACTGTAGGTCGTGGTGTCGAGGCTCAATTATCCGCATTTCGTGCAGGATTCAACAGCGTCTTTTCCATTCAAGATTTGGCAGGGTTTACATCAGAAGAGTTGGTCAATTTGTTTGGCTTGGGTGAAGAAGACTGGTCGTACGAGAGTAAGTACTTTATTCGAAAATGCAGAAGAAATAGCTTTCGTTCAAGTGGCCTAAGGTTGTAAAGTGATGTTATTGTAGTGTGGTTGATGAATTTGTTGTTAAAATTATGGTATCTAGCGCTCGTGGATACAGTAAAGGCTGATCATGGCTTCCGAAGCGAAAGCCGTGCTTTCAAGAATCTGCTTACAATCATGAGCGAGTTCAATAATCAAGAGAGAAGGCAGTTCCTGCAATTTATTACCGGTAGTCCCAAACTGCCTATTGGAGGTATGGCTGACTGTATTTCAATTTCAACATTTATATGTTTTTTTTTTTTTTTTTTTTTTTAAAAAAAAAAAAAAAAAAAAAAAAAAAAAAAAAAACTCACTCCATTTGCTTCACAGGTTTCAAGAATCTCCATCCACCTTTCACAGTTGTTTGCAAGCCGTTCGAAGCGCCTCTGAAAGCAGATGACTATTTACCATCAGTGATGACGTGTGCGAACTATCTCAAGATGCCGGATTACTCATGCAAAGAGGTAACACTAGCCAAGTTCAAGATGGCTTATGAAGAAGGGCAAGGTAGCTTCCATTTATCTTAGCTCCGAGGAGGATTTCCGGGTTGCGGCCTGGGACCAAGCATTCACGAAGATGTACATTAGTTTATTTTTTTTACTACATGTACAGAACACCCGCTGGGACCTGTGTACTTTTACTCTTATTTCCGTTATTTGCAACCATTTTTTCTTTTTTTTTTTCTTCGAAGCTCATCACTTTTATGAATGAATCCTCAATATGAAATAAAGTGAGCATGACTCGTGAAATGATTGATACCAATTTGCTGTTGTGATCCACATCCATTTACCAATTTGGCTCATATTCTTGTCACTGTTGGTTATGCTATGCCAGGGGGTCTACTTAATTTTGTTTTGAGTGACGATATTAATCACTGATCGGCTGATAAACAGGTTTGATAACTGAGCTGATGCCAGCATTCCTAGTAGAACAAGTTTGTTATATTGATCGATTTTATTCAGATATAAAAGCTAATGAATTGGCTAAATGATATAATGTGTACAGGCACAACGCTTAGTCGAACTTGAAGAGCTTCTTAGTGCCATCGTCGAGTTCGCGGTACTTATCCGAGTTTCTCCAAGCAGCAAAATGAGGAGCGCTGTTTACAGTCTCATAAACCTTCCAGATGTTGGGGCTCTTTTCAGCCGAAAGAGGGACCTCATTTGCGCCCTTTGGCTTTAACAAGAACAAACGATCGACCAATAATGCTAACTTGAGATCTGCAAGAGTAGTGGTGTTGCCAACATAGTGTCCGTTCGATCCATTCTTTTTAAGATGTTCTTCATGAATGGCAATGAACTTGTCCAAGATGTTGCTATAGATCTTGTTAGCTTCCTCAACACGGTTCTCAGCAGAGTTGAGGACCTTGGTGCCAAAGGGGATCAAGACACCATCGATTGAGCTCAGGTACTGCTCCACCTTATGGTGTTCATATACGTTCTTGCCATAAAGGTTGAATTTTTGGGCAAGATAGCGCTCAATGGCTTGAGATTCTGCAAGTTCGATAACTGTGCCATCGGACGTAACTTCGTAGACAACGGGCAGGACCTTGAATGGCACGCTCTCCTTTTGGCTAGGCCAATCCTAATCATAATTGATGTAAATATGGTTAAAATCAAGACCTATTTAGAAACGAGATAAGGAAGCATTACTCTTTTACGAGACATACCACTGGGAGTTCTTCCCATTTGGCACCGGCGAAGGCAAGGATGCGGCGAGTCAATTCGCCTCGACCATGGAGGCCGAAATAGAGATACTTGAAGGTCGAGTCTCCAGACTGGGCAGCACGGCTGAGAGTCTCGCTGTCTGCCTGGGTTGGAGTAGGAAGAGAAGCGATGGTGGTAGAAGCTGTCATTGTGCGTGTTTTAATGAGATTAAGTTCTTTTTTATTATGGGCTTGTGGGATTGAACTAGCGATGATGAGAATGAAGATATTATAGACAGAGGGAAGAGTCTCCTTTTATACTTTTTTTTTTTTCATAGTCTGGCGTCGTCAGTTGGCGCGATGAACTCATACGCTTGCAGAGAAGGTATCTGCATGCGTGTAGGAGCGTACAATCAATTCCAAGTTAAAAACAAATGCGCCTTGCTGAATAATACAACTGCTCATTTGCTCGCATTTACAAGTCTGCGCATCTCCATCTTCGAGCATAAAGTTCACACATGGACAGACAGTGCCTGATTTGCCTGCCTTGGTTCAGCTGCTGATTACTATCGTGATTACAAAGTAGAATTCCCCTATGAGTGCTTCTTAAATGTAAGAATATGGTTCAGAAATATTGAAAAGCTGTTCACCTTACTTTCTTTCCTTTTTTTTTTTTTTTTTTTTTTTTTTTTTGAAATATAGTAGGCAGGACAATTGCGCCATTATTTTGTTACACCCTTTCTCCTTTGTACCATTTGTGATAATCCTAAATTGTCAAATTGTGTCCAATTAGTTCTTCTCAGGAACTCTGTATGCATCTTCTATGCCTCATTTCATGTCGATCGCGCAATCAAGAGGTAATAGTGGCTCATATGAAAGGCACGAAGTCGATTGTTTAAAAGCTAATGCGTCGATGACCGAAGCTCTTTTGATTCAATTGCTAATCAGATGCTAAGGTTGCGTCTTTTTGTTAGTTTATTTCATAAAATTCTACGCGAAATCTTTTTTTTTTTTTCTATTGATACGAGTCAGTCAGCGTATAGCATTTTTTTCTTTTTATTTGCGGTAAGCCTTCAACTCCTCATCATCCCAAGAATAGAATTGACCACTGAGTGAATGAGGAGCCTTGACAGCCAAGCTAGCAATAACATGACCAGGTTCATCAGGATGGAGTAAGGTCTTGGAAGTATGCAGTTCAACGAACCGCGCATGCTGCTCAGGAACCATAGTATCAGCACCTAATAATAGTAGATATGAGGAAGAACTTAGATTTTATGAAAAAAAATAAAAAATAAAAAATAAAAAAAAAGAGGGGGGCAATACCTTTAGTACGAATGGATGACTGCATCTCAGTGTCAACGACTCCTGGACGAATCGAGATGGAAGTAAGCTCCGGCTCCTCCTTAGCAAGTACTTCACCAAACATCTTGAGAGCAGCCTTAGATCTGGCAAGTGCAAATACAAGTTCAAATTCAAAAAGAAACGATTTATCAGTTCTATTCTTGAAACGGTGAAAGCGCGAATACATGCGTGAGAAAGCACAAATACGTACGTGCAATATGCTCCCCATCCATAGTATGGGCTAGCTGCAGCGCCAGAGCTCACGAAGATGACACGGCCCTTAGACTCGCGAAGGGCAGGGGCAGCATGCTGGACAAAAGTCATGATCGAGAAAAAGTTAATATCAAAGCATCTAACAAGGGGTATACATAAATGTTGGATTAACTCAGTAGGGCGTCATCTACTAATTCCTAAAAAAAATAAAAGGAGATCCATTTCACATACTGTTTCCATTCTTGCAAAGTCGTAGTGGCAATTGATCCCAGAGGATCAATAACACTATAGTTAGGAAGGGTAAAAAAAAAAGTTATTAATTGGTTAAGATCACAGTTAGTTAGAGCCTTGATGTTTTATACGGTTCTTACCCTGCGTTGAGAGCGACACCATCAAGACGACCACTCCATGAATTTTTAGCAAGCTCAACGGCTTCTTTAGATGTAGACTCTGCAGTGACATCTCCAACGACAAACTTGAAACGATTGTGGAGCTGAAGATCATTCTCAATGTGTTGCGATAGGGTTTGGAGCGCATCCTTCGAACGGGCAACGCCAATAACATTGGCATTGAAGTTTTGAAGGGCAGCTAATACAATACTACGGCCAATGCCACGAGAAGCGCCAGTGACAATGAGAGTTGGGTTGGACATGATGTGAATGGAATATTCAGGATGAGAACCAGCAATGATGTGAGAAGGCGAGAGCATATTGAGTTTCTATTCCATTTCCGATATTTGCACCATGTTTGTGTCACAGACATATCACGTCACATTGCACCTTTGCACATCATCTACACACATCGCATGCAAAGACATCAAAGGGTAACAGCACTGGGTCGAGTATTTTACTCATGTATGAAGTTTTGCAGTAAGCTAATAATGAAGGTGTAATAGGACTCTAGCCCCATTTTCTTTTTTCTGTCTATACTTAATATTTGCTTTTCAATATCCCTTTTCCCTTAAACTCAAACCGAATCGATGGCCCGTCTAATCTTTGTCTATTCGACATGGGGCTTAACATCCTCAGAATAGTTTACGCCAAACCACTTTCAATACTTCATTCCTCTACAAATAGCTTTTTTTTCTTTTTTTTTTCTATTACATGTGTATGATGTGTATGGATAATAAAATGAACTAAAGGAAAAATGGAGGCTTTAATGTCGATCCTGTGGGTTGCGACTCATTGGCGCTGGGATTGCAGTAAACAAGCTGTCGCTACCCTCAGATCCATTATGCACCTGAGGGTGTCTGCGATCAAATGTATTCAAACTCGACACGTTTCCTGTTGTTACGATTGAGCCAACCACATCAGCTTGGCTATCATCTTGGGGTGAACGTACGGTGGGACTTTGATGCGTTGGAATCGTTGCAACCCTCGGTGAAGCCGCTGGGAGAACCCTTGTAGATGTATGTTGCGATGAGATAGCGTCATGATAGCGAGCCTGATTCAATAACGCTTGCTTATTGACAGGTGAGTATCCATAATCTTGCTGTCCTATATGACTACTGTTATCACTCCAATCGGCTGAGACAGCCTGGTTCCTATAGCCGCCGGATCCATGTGATGATGTCGTGGAAGGGACGCGATCGATTGAAAGTGGCAACGGTGCAACCACGGATCCTCGTCCTGACAATGAACTTTCATCCGTGGATCCAAGATCTGCGCTAAAGTTTGTATTAGTGGGTGATGCTGGCAAAAGCATTGAGTATTGGGATGAGGACTCTGGTCGAATGATTGAACTAGTTTTGGGCCGGTTGACGAGAGGCGGGGGAATGGGTATACCCAAAGGAGGATTGAAGTTAGTTGGGGGCACACCTTGCACTACTGCAGGAGGAGGTGCGTGGCCTCCACCAACGGGCTGAACTGGTGTTTGATGCGGGAATCCGTGGCCAGTAGAGCCAGGTGCTTGGTTCGTGATACCTTGCCCAGGAGTTGAAGTATTCTGAGGAATTTGCTGGTAAGGCCCTTGTGTAGTAGAATCATAGAGTCCTTGACCTTGACTTCCCCCTCCCCCCTGGCTGGCGCCGCCCTGGTCAGTGATTCCTTGATGATCAGGCTGGAAATGATGTTGATGCGCGGGACCATGATCAGAAAAACCTTGATTCAGTCCTTGACCACCCTGACTACCTTGAGAGCCATGACCGTCGCCATGACCACTTTGATGGACTTGGCTTTGGTCACCAAAGCCTTGATGCTCCTGACCACTGTATTGCGCTTGTCCCTGATCGGAAAAGGTCTGATAGTCTGGCCCCCCCTGATATGCTTGGCCCTGATTTGGATCATGTTGGTAATCTGAATTGTGGTGACGTTGATAGTCATGGTGGCCATTTTCGCCACCTTGATAAGACATCTGTTGCATTTGATTGTATTCATCGCCATTGTAGTAATACATTGGCTCAAGCTCATGCTGTTGCGTTCCACCCTGGTCATGACTACCACCCTTATAGTGATGATGAGGATGGTGACCTGCTATGGTCATAAGTGGTGCAGGAGAATTGGGCTCTATAGGAAGATGGTCGAATAAATCATCTTGTCTTAGTGCCTTGTGACGGTTGAGTTTCTTTCCTCTGTTCTTCATGATCAGGACAGTGGATATGAAGCCAATGATGACAACGCCGGCAACTGAGATGCCAATGATTGCAACTTTTGGTAAACCCGGTCCAGAGTCCGTAAGAGACGTCGGACTAGGGCTTAAAGTGATTGAGGATGTAGTGTTGTATCCCGTAGTGTTTGTAAATGAAGGTGAGGGTGGGTAAGGTGACAGCGACAGTGTACGAGAAGGCGGTTGAGAAGTGCTAGGCCGTGAAGGGGTTGTTCGGATAGGAGGATCAGTTGTTCGGATAGGTGAGCGTGTAGTAGTAGTCGATGTTGTTGTAGTTGTCCATGTGGTTGTTGTAGTAGTAGTTGTAGTGGTAGTGGTAGTGGTCGGTGTCCAAGTTGTTGTATTGGTAATTGGCCATTCAGACATTGTAGTTGTAGTGGTTGTAGTAGTAGTTGTTGTAGAAGGAGGGTTGGTTGAAGTGGTGACAGGAGGAGGAATAACAACGGCCATCCAAGCTGTGTAAGAGATTGCAGGGTGTAATAAAAGTACAAAAAAAGCAAAAAGTGATATGAGTTAAATGAGGGACTAAAAGCAATTGTTCTCCATCAATAATGTAACACGAGAAAGTGGCAAGGATGGAGTGAATACTAGTTACAATAAAAGTTAAAGCCAAAAAAAAAAAAAAAAAAAAAAAAAAAAAAAGAGTGTATTCCTCTCTACAGAAGAAATTTCCTTTTATACAAGGATCAAGAAAACATGTTGATTCGTTACATAATGCCTCATCTTCTTGTTCGCAAGTCCCTTGCTGTTTGCTGTTGTCGTCCTTGTTATACTTATACACTAATCCAGTGGACGTCGACTCCTATAATGCTACATGCATGCTGATGGGATGAAGGAAAACTTAAAAGGTACATGCTCAATAACAAAGTCAAGAGCCCATCCACTTTTCTTTTCGCTTCTTGAATGCCGCTGCGGCAAATTGCTATGACAGATGCCCAGAATGATCTAGGCCGCGAAAAAGGATTAGCGAAAGCTTGGACCGCCTTTCCCTTTTACAAAAAAATGTTTTTTTCCCTCCGTCGTGGCAGTGCCATTAAAAACCAATTTTTTATTGCCGAGTTTATAAAGACGCATCATATCATCATAAATGTCATTTATAAATATTCATTCACTCCAAGTAGACTTCTCATCTCCAAAAAGAAAAAAGATCAAATCAAATGAGCCTTTCAATAATAGCTGATACCAGTTCTTCAATCAGTATATTTGATGACTTGGTGGCAATGTGCAGAAGACAAAACAGAAAGCACCGCCTCTTGTTTGGAAAAATCTGTTGACCAAAAAAAAAGAAAAGGATCTTTTGTACAACTTGTAAGGTATAACCTTTTTTGTTTTTATGAATAACTTGAACAATTGCTTCATACATGTACTCTATGTCGACTGTGCTGATGTTCATCGACTGTGATGACATGAAGGTTGCCCCCTTGTATTGGGAATAGGTATAAACTTGGCTCCGCCACAATTTAAGCTTGAATGGCTATGCTTTGAGTACCTCTCAGATGAATCCTCGCAGATTTCGACTCACAGGACACACCGTCCAGCGTGTATGATATGCATACATTTATTACATGTTCCACAGCCGAAATAGAATCAAGTACTTTAGCAACGATTATTTTGTTAAAGATACATGGATGTGCAACCGAAAGGTTCTTTTTATTCACATTGCTAGGGAGTCGAAGTATGACAGCAGAAATGAATTCGGTTCAACCCGAGGCGAAAGGTATAGAGAAAACCAAGGAAACTAGGTAGCATAGTCAAAGCAGTGAGGTAGTAATTATGAAATGTGAATGGGAACCTTTGTTTACTTCAAAGTTCATTAGATCAAGCTTCCCTTTTACTCTATTGGCTTTTTCCAAGTACGACCGTTTTAGATGCTGCTATTTTACAAGAACTCTTAGGATGCCAGAAAGTCAGTCCAGAGTTCAGGAATAATTGAGGCACCTGTCAGAAAAATATTAATTAGAATATATTAGATGACAACGCACTGCCCTCAAGGCTATCGACGAAGCACAGCGAGGGATTGCAATTGCTCGCAAGCCCAGAAGCTACCTCTATCACCTAAATTGATCACTAAAATCAATGATTGGGATCATTGTGAGGGTGTCACACCCAACATAAATAGAACATAGCCTTTGACGTAATGGATTATCCTATGGTAACATTACTTGTAGAAGGGCTTCTAAATTACATGAGCTCGCCACGATAAAAATATCAACCTCACGCCTCCTGACTACTGTGGAAAGTTGAGAATAATTATCTGATTTGTGCTTCATCAACTCAGATTTACAAAACTTACACTTCTTTTCTACTTTGTATAGGCGCTACGAATGCAAAATAAATAATATATATCGGAGTTCAACAGACAAGGCGTTTCTGGCAGGACAAGCAACGATGAGAGGTCTTTTATATTTTGTGATTTTAGCGTATTTCATCAATGTCAGAAAATAACGATATCACTGATGACTGAAATGATCAACGTATGACATTAAAACGATCTGCTTCCAAAGTCAATTTTCACCTTTATTCTGCAATACGTTTTTTCAACCCGGTTACACTGGTTCCTGCTGAAGCAGCTCCACTAAGATCAATCCTTACTGATAAAAGCAGTGGTAAATCCCATCTCCCTCTCTGCTAAGACAGAGGATAAGCTACCATTGACAGTATTTATGGATGTTTTCTTTACTAGCAAGGAGACATAGTTATTCCACGAGGATTGTTCACACAGCTTATCAAGAAATAAAAGGGCCTTACGGCTTCAAAGAGTAGGATAATTAAGAGTGGATGCGATATCTCTTCGATGGTCTCTGACTCGAAGAAATGAATCTCGGGACCAAGTGCCATACCGCCTGCGGCAATTACGCTTGAAACGATTCGTCAAAATTTTGATTGGTGTGTAAGATTGACGATCAAGTCGACATCCTTGTGGGCTTGATATAGCCTTTTATTGCACCCCGAAGAGCGAGTTTATTAACGAGAAGAACGATGAGTCATATCAAGGGTGCAAAGGCGAATCGCCTACTGCATCTGATGTAGGCAAAAGGTATCCATAAAGCACAGGCTGCATGGTGCCTTACTTCGTTAACATTCCTTTGAAACACAGCATTGCATAAACAGTGTTATAGATTCTAGGGTTGAGTTACTTCCACAGGCAATGGATGACGTGAGAACGCTGTCTATAGCTCCATCCGCCATTACCTTGGGCCCACAGGTGTGTTTGTTGCTCCTACTCTCAATAAACCAAAAGAAGGGAAAAGGAACTGTTCATTCTCAAGCTTTACAAGTGAATAACCAAGCGCGCTCAATGCCTCTTCTGTAGAGAGGACTAAGCCTCTCGACCGTGAGGAAGACCGATTCTTTTATTATTATTAACATTTGCATCAATGCACATTTACGAGAATAAATGACAACACAACAGAGGTGAATTGCGTTTGGTTTGGTTTGGAGTGACACACTTATTCACCACTAGTACCGCATTTGGTAGTAATTTGTGGAAGCGGAAGGCGCGCACTGTTTCGTTTCAAGAGTCCAATGCGTGTGATGAATGAGAGAAAAGGTCTGAGTCTATTTTTTGCCTCTTCTTTCGTTCTCTTTCTTTTTCTTTCTTTCCTTCCTTCATCTTTATGCAATACATCTATCCCTTCCTGAATTCATTTGATTCTTAACTCACATAGCCTAATAACGCTTCTTGCACTCACTCAAAAAAAGAATTATAACAATGACTCGTACCCGCACTGGTGAATACAAGGGTCCCGCTGCTGCCCAAAAAGATCGCCACCAGTCGAGGTAAAACACCTCATGTTTTCTTTGCCGGTTGTCTCTTCATCCTGTTGCATTCTAACCCCTTTTTTCATTCTTCTCCAATAATAGGAATGGCGCAGATCCCAGGGCTATTTCAAAGAAGTCGGGTGCTGGAAACGGCAACTGGGGCGTGCCAGGATGTGAACTGGATCGGCAGGAGCAAAATGCATTAGGGTATGTCGAATAAACAAAAAAAAAAAAAAAAAAAAAAGAAAAAAAAAATGTTTATTGCTTCATTGAGCTTGTACACCAACAGTGAGAGCTCCAATTTCCTCCACAAAGCAGTCCTCGATAGAAAACTATTCTAACACCGTCTTTACCATGTTTTATTCTTTTTTTTTTTTTTTTTTTTTTTTTTAAAAAAAAAATGCTCGCGATGACTACATCGTTATAATGGGCGCTTTGGGGATTGATTGTACAGAGCTACGGCCACTTCTCCTCCTGAGAACAAGATTATGGTAAGTTCAGAGTAAAGTGACGAAAGACTTTTGCATGGTCCACAATACGCATGAATAAAATATACTTTTCTCACGCGATCATGCATTTGAAATGTACGTATTAATGGAATCATTTTGTACCATATCACCCTTTCACGGCAGGTGATCGATGCTGAGACTTTCAGCCGTCTGCAAAACAACAATACAAACAACATCGACGCACAGCCAATGGCCAACGTCAACACTGATGCTGCATCCGCATAAAATAAGGTTCTCGATGAACCAGAAAAATAAAAAATAAAAAACTCTGGCAAATTCGATGGTTTTGTACGACTCAGGAATGGTAGTTTTCCACTTTTGCTTTATCTTTCGTATCACCGTCTAGGATGCGGAAACAATTTTATCTCTTATATCTTTAGTTCGTCTTATCAGATGATGACCATTGTCTTCATGCTTACTTGTGCACATGTTCCTCAAAAGAAAACCATTATCAATAAAGACTGAAGCTTTTCCTATAGCAACGTGTATATTTATTTTGTTGTATAAAAGGATATGAAATCTGACAGATTGGTGATAGAGGGATCATTATGTAGTTTTTGCTGAAAATAATAAGAGAAAAAATCTATCCAGGTCCGACCTTGGGGATATCGTAGTGCTCAGTCATCTCTTCTAGCTTTCGATTCAGCTCCTAGTTGATTGTTAAAAACAATGATTGACAAAAGCCATTAATCAAGTGATTAGCGCCTAAAAGCATGTTTAGTAGGTATTGTTTACTTACGGCGACCTTTTCCTTGTGCGACTTCATGGCAGACTTGAGAACCTTTTCCTCTTGCTTTAGCAAAAAAAAAAAAAAAAATTAATCTTCATACTTCAACACATTATCCGAATAGGTTTTAATAAAGAAAGTTAAAAAAAAAAAAAAAAAAAAAAAAAACATACGCGTTTCTTCTGGATTTCCTCAAACCTGAGCTCTGCAGCGGTTTTTTCGATTACTTTAATAGGCTTTGATGGCGGTGGCGTGGATTCTTTGGCTTCTAATGTTGCCTTTACTTTGGATGGATCCAATTTTTCTGATTTTTTCTTTTTTCTGTAAGTGCAGCCATTATAACATAAAACAATGATGATGGCAATATATGTCCACTGAGTCAGCAAGCAAGTTTTTTTTTTAATAGTAAATGAAACGATTAGGAGCAAATAAGCTATCATCTACATTACTTTTTGGTGATTCCTCCGCCACCTTTGAATCTGAGGGAACCCCCCGTTGTCTCGTAGTCGCCCATCCTTGTTTAAAATGGATGAATAAGGATTCAAGTCGTTGTAAAGAGACTGTCTTTGTGAGATTGTTGCGAGGTTAGTAAGCCACCGCTTCCATTTTTGGAGGAGGTAAACAACAACAACAAAAAAAAAAACCTCCTTTTCAAATATCGTTTCTAAAACCCACACGCACCACCATCATGTTTAAACGTGCTCATAAAGAATTAGCCAAAAACGCCATTTACACTGATGTTATGCCTACAGGCGATGATGATGACATGGCAGAAATAGAGGCTCTGGCACAGTTCAGTGACTCAGGGTCTGACTCTGACAGCTCTTCGTCCGACGATGATATCAGTAGCGAAGAGGATGCTAAGCTAGAAGATTATATTATGAAGTATGAGAGATCTCTGAAGGACGAGAAGACAAAGACGAAGGGAAAAGCAAGTGCCGGAAATGGATCAGGGAGTGATGAGAAAAGCGGATCATCAGACGACGACGACGAGGTAGATGGAGAGGGAGAAGTAGAAGAAGAAGAAGAAGAAGAAGAGCAGGACCAGGAGGAAGACACCCATTTTCGCTGCAAAGTTTGTCCTAAAAAGATCCTTAAGAACAAGACCATGGTAGAAGTACATCTCAAGGGACACGAACACAAAACCAACCTCCGATTGTACAAGAGAGCATTGAAGGAGGAGCGAACAAAGGAGGAGATCGAAAAGCTGAAAGCCAAGAATCAAAAGAAACGCGAAAAGTCGCTCAAAAAGAAGGAGGAGCGCAAGGCTGCTCAGAAACAGAAGCTCAAGGAGAAGAAGAAAAGACAATGGGAGAGGAAAATGGCCAGCATGGCCACTACTGGCAGTGCTATCTCTGGGTCACCTTCAATTAAGGAGAAGAAAGAGGAAAAATTGATTGAAAGATCTAATAGTAAGGCCAAGAACAACCCAGAGAGGCAGATCATCGGGCCGGAGGAGACTGTTGGCAACATCGTGAAGGCAGGGAAAATGGGGACCAAAGAAGTTACTAATGAGCTCAGAGGAAATGGACGATCGGATTCTTTTGGTAGTAGTAATACCAGCAGTAATGACAAGAGGAGAAAACCTCCAAACAAGAAACAAAAGACCAAGGCATAGAGCATAAAAATCAGTAGCTATGTTACGTGTGTATAATAAAATTTATTTTGGTACTTCAAATTCGCAAGAGAATAGCTCAATTAGTTGCGTTACATCTACTCTAATTCCACTTTCTGTTCTGCAGCAAGGCGCTTTCTCTCTCTCTTCTTGGCGGCAGCACGCTCAGCCATCTCCGAGACGCCTGATACTACTGAAATCATTCCCAATTGGTGTGCGACCGTCATCACGTTGGTATGACCACTAGTTTCACGGCTAGTTTCTATAGAAGCTCTTGGTAGGTGAGGATGCATTTGCAGCAAACCGATGTCACTCGTCTCGAATGGTCCACATCCGATCGGAGGACTCTGGGGGTTAAGTGCAAAAGGCGATTCTAAAACAAGCGATTGGCCCGTTCCACTATTGCCAATACCACTACCGTGAGCAAAGATGGCGGGCGAAGCTGTGCTCGAAGCCATACGCTTACTCAAATCATGATGCAAGTTCGTGAACATGGAGGGATGCGCCAACTGAGAGTAACGCTGAAGCATATCCAGCTCTTCACGCAATGTTTCATGACGGAAGGAGACACGGATATTGGGCACATTAGTCTTCTCCATGTCATTGCCTTGGACGCCCGGGAGATACCATTTCTTGCCAATCCAATGCTTCTTGATCTTGTTTTCGAATCCAGATTGGAGGACCGAATTGCGAGAGATTTCACACATGTCTGCTCCAGATAACTTCCAAATCTAGCAACATAGAAACATAGAGAAAAGTAAGTTCCCTAGTTTTAATCGTGATTGAAAAAAAAAAAAAAAAAAAAAAAAAATACCTGTGCAGCAACACTGTACTCCTCAATAAGAGGCTCCTTAGTGAAGTGAAATTGCAGTGGGTCATCAGTGCTCAGACTGACATTTAGTCCGCGATGGAAGAAGACCGGGAAGGGGTTGCGCTCATAATCCAAGAATAGAGCGTTATTAGATAGGGGCGACATCGCAATACCCATTTGAGTCAGGTAATACATGTATTGGAGAGCAGGAACTTTGCGAAGAAGGATTCCGTGAGAAATACCAAACGATGTCAGGAATGCAGAAGTAAGGTGGTCCGTATCGCCAGCCTCGCCACAGTGAGGTCTAAATACGAAAGTGCCTTTTAAAAAGTAAAAAAAAAAAAAAATGGGTTGTTGATCTCCACATGCAGGAGCTTAAAAAAAAAATAAAAATAAAAATAAATAAAAAAAAAAAAGATAACTTACTGAATCCTCGCTGTTGACGGAAGCGATTGAGGCTCGTCATGTTGGCAAACATGTAGTAGATATAATAGCTGTAAGGTGGGTTCATAGACGTATTCCAGACCCGCGGGTATGGGTACTTCTTATAAATGCGGCGCTCTGCCTTGGACTCATCATCCACAGAGTCGAATCCAATGACACGCTGGAGGAAGATGTGTAAGTTAGGATGGCTTGTAGGGTCGCGTGTTACCTCGAACAGAGGCTTGAAGATGTTTTGGATAACCTGCTCAAAGTTTTCGACAGAGTTCGTAGCTTTATAGACGTTGTAAAGACGAGGCACCTGGATCAACCATCTCACATTGGGCGAGAATAACTTGTTGTCAACCACCCAGTCTGCAAGTTTATCCCATTCGGTCTCACTGCGGCCATAGATTGAGATGCGATACTCCGCCATTTGATATTTACTCTGCTCTAGATCTGAGATGACTTCCCTAGTGATCTCCGCTAGGTAACGACCCTTGATCTTGTTGTCCGTCTTCATAAAGATCTCGCGCAAACGAGATTCGCCAATCGGATTGTATTTCAAGTTGAACTTGTCGAAGCGATGGAATGAATCCTTATGCGCCTATATTTACATGAGAGTAAGCAATCAATGCAGTATTAGAATGAAGTCAAATATATAATAGTTGGTAAGACATTCTTGAAAAGCACAGTAACTCACATGCATATCCATAGTGTCGATGCTCAGGTCATAGGCAGTGAGATTCAAGCTCTTAAACACTTCTTCCAAGGTTAGATCCTTGCCATCGCGAAAGATGACGACGTCATTAGGAGTTTTGCGCATCTTGGACTTGATGAAGCGAAGTAGGTGCTTTTGATTCATGCATGAGCTATGATGCACATGGGTGTCAACCTTACGAACGTTGTAGAAGTCACGATGGGGTACACGCTTGGCCTCCGCCAACTCTTCGTACTCGTTTAATAGGATATACATGTTCCACTTGCTTTCAAGGTACTTGAGCCGTCGGAAAGCAAAACTTTTAGTAGGACCGTCAGAGATGACAGAGAGGACAAAGTCGAGGTCAACAAAGTACTCTTTGGGAGTGGGGACTTGTACAATAGGCTGTTTTTTGACGAGAGCATCCTGGCTTGCATATACCTAAAGGTAAAGAATTAATTGTGACAGTAAGCAACACTCTAGTGATACTTACATAAAAACCAAATGTATACTGCTTGCTGCAAAAAAAAAAAAAAAAAAAAAAAAACCTCCTACATTACCTGATAGACGCCAGTATCATCCATTTCAAAGACATGGTCACAGGGACCAGGGATCTTTACATCTTCGCGGACGAAATCACTACCAACACTATTGGGGCCATCAGGAACCCGTGCCTTATATTCGGTAGTAGGCCAGGAAGGAGGTGGAGGTGGAGGGTAAATTTCCCAGCTATCTTTATCGCGTGGGTCGTCACCCACGCGCTGACATGAGACTTTCATGTACTTCTCGCGAAGATCAAGGCACTTCTGGAAATTAGTGTACAGAGACTGGAGTTCAAGCGTGATCTCATCATTAGGTGCAAAGTTGGGCTTGGTGTTTTCCTCAAACTTAGTCTCGTCCATTATGCCTGCGTCAGCATCAAGTTTGCGGAGATTCTCTGGTGTTTTGTCAAAAAGCATGACAGCATTCTTTTTAGGTAATGTGGCTAGTCCTGAAATGATAGACTTGGAAGGAGTGTGGGTTTCATGAGCGAGATATTTGTTATCTTCCTATAAATCAGTGATTGACAATCCAACCCATCCACAAAGACAAATTGTCGTATGACGTTAGTGAGAACGTGGAAATGGAAATAAAAAGAGAAACTGTAAATAATCGCTTTATAATGTTCAAACAAAATTAAATTATTCCAGGTCACAAAGTGGTGGTCCCTGCGAGCGGAAAAGGCAAAAGCATAACGCTTTCTCACGCTTTCAGACAGAAAGTCAAAGATACAGTAGTAAGCAGTAATCCATTGCATCTTACCAGCATCAAAGCCTTCTCATTATGATAAGAGTAAAAAGGTGTGTTCTCATGCTCATTCTCAAGGGCGTGGTCCTTTGCAAGGCCTTCGTCTGAGTTGTCTGGCACCTCGAAAGAGTCCTCCCTCATAGCATTGGGCTGGTCTTGTTCGACATTCGGTTTGTGGTGGTCATGGACATGTTCTCCATTGGAAGCATCAAAATGGTGGTTACACATTGCGCTTTTGGAATGAGTCAATGGTAGGTGTTGTGTTATGTGTAGCACAAAGATAAAAAAAGTCAAAGGTTCGCTTTATGTGTAGTCAATTGATAAAGTGTGAGTGGAGAGTGTGAGTGGAGAGTAGGGTTGGATGAGTTGAGGGTAAGACTAAGCCAGAAAACCAACAACCCAACCACCAGCAGAAAAAGAAAACCACCAAAAAGAAAAACGAAAAAAGAGAAGCAGGCAAAATAATCATATATTTATATTAATGAGGGAACAACGCGGGGCTTTAATAGCACGCAGCAAGCCACAACTGCACAGTGCATGTTCGAACTCATCCCGCTTGGTAAAAAGGAAGGTGGGACCATGGGATATGTTTTGCTTATTAGCCTGATGATTTGTTTCAAACACCCAGGACCCTGCCACCTCAGTGAGATAGTATTATGCTTATTCCTCAGACAAAACTTCAAGGCTAATGCCTCTTTTAAAAAAACGAAAACATCCACAGCGTTTGCAGTGGTAATGGAGGGTTACACAAGGCTTAAAGCATACATCGTCCGTAGGAAAACCTTATTTCACCCGCACTTGCAGCCCATCTTAACTATTTCAGCATAACAGGAAGAGGCAAGCATTGAAGTGCAATTTGCCTTATTCCATTGGCTCTTTTGAATCAGATGACGTTAACCAATAGTCGAAAGCGCGAGTTTTTTTTTCCTCAACGCCTCCTTACTTGAATTTCTTCTCGGCGTCTATGATATCTATATTAAGCTTTGGGCCCGTATATAATTCAAAGCGTGCTCATTTGTTTACGCTAGCTGCGTGTTTTTTGAAGGTACTACGAAGTACCAGCGATTGTGAACTTTGAGGTAGATAGGAGTGTTACGCTTAGTGTGTAAGTCATAAGTTGGATCCGAAATCTGGCTGTCTGGATGGAGCATTGTAATTCATATCATGTTTAAACCGATGGAATCGTTCCTTAGAGAGTTGATGCAATGCTCCGCTTTATTTGTGATAGTGAGTAGCAGCTTTGGATCCATTGCATCGACTGCTTATTGCTCCTTGCTCACCTTTACCAATCCCATGATCAACTGCGTTATCAATGTGCTTAGAGTCATAAGATGCAACAATCCACGCCTTGTAGGGTTGACTAACTATATCGTATATGGCCGATAAATTGTTTAAAGACGCGTTCTTTTTACGTTTACTACAGTTGGATGACTGCTTCGGGTCTATGTTAGTGGATAAAAAACAAAATTATTTTCTTGCATTTATGCATTCACAGCAACGCCACATCACCTTAATTCGATCCTTTCAAACTGGCATTCATTTCTTCCTGTACATTCCCAAGCGAAAAGAACATTTCTCCGCAGGAGCAACAGAAAGTAAACGCAGAGGGAAAAAGGAAAGTTTAAATGGATTCTTTCTCTGAGACAATCGCAGTGGGGTCCTCTCACTTGTTGGCATCACCTGTTGTTAAACTCCAGTACAACGGAGCAGTGCACGACAACTCGATTCGCATCCTGCCGCAAATCGATCAGATAGGGCTTTACAGCACCGCCAAGAACCTTGCCAACCTATCAGAGGATGCCATTGTTTCCTTGATTCGTCTTGACTTCAATGGCGAGCTTGTCACAGATCCACATACTCTCAACGATGGAGAGTTATTGGAGGTCTTGGAAGGATCACCTGAAGAACGTAGCGTTAAATAGTTGTTATACGTCTGCTTAGTGACAATTATTATTTATAGTGAATTAACCTTTTTCTTTCTTTTTTTTTTTTTTTTTAAAAAAAATAAACAAATAAAAAACTTGTCAAGCTAATGTTGTCGCCCGCATCACGGAACTCCAAAGTGCAGGAAAGACGCATGCTAGTTCAAATCGCGAGTACAAGGCTCACTCAGTCAGAGGGACACTCCAGTTCCTTCACACTGTTGAGAAACTAAAGGTGAATACAAAAGGGCTCAAAGGTATGCAACGCGTTTTGGCGGCCTATAATATCACTGACAAAGTTTTATATACCTCTAGCGCACAAAGAGAACAGGATGGATTAACCATGGTATCAAGCCAGCAGAATCGATTGCAGACCATATGTACAGGATGAGCATAATGGCGCTTTTGATCGATGAAAAGACTGCCGGGGTCAACAAAGATAGATGTATCAAAATGGCTCTCGTTCATGATCTTGCTGAGAGCTTAGTAGTATGTGCATCATGGGATCATAGGAGCAATCTCTGGATCCATCATTATCCATTGTATGATTAACTTCACACGCTTGAATGTTATTGAATGCATTGATAGGGCGACATCACACCATATGATGGCATTACAGTTGAGGATAAGCGTACGCGTGAAAGGGTATGCGCAACCGAGTTAGTTTACTTTGAGCAGATAAATTTGACCAACTTGAAGACTCCAAAACTGAGCCGACAAGTGATCAACTATCCTCGCACGTTTTGCCTTATGTAATAATAGAATGCCATGCATCATCTTTGCCATGACCTGCTTGGCTGGTCTATGCAAGCACAAGAAATCTCTGAACTATGGGAGGAGTATGAGGCTGCTAACACACCCGAAGCACATTTGGTCAAGGATTTTGACAAATTTGAGATGATCATGCAGGCTTTAGAATATGAAACTTGTAAGTTGGTTGATGATCTCAGAATCAGCAAAAATTAAGATCTTCTCTATAACATTTTTGTTTTTATTTTTTTGTTGATGCATGCAGCCGAGGCCACGGTACTGGAGGACTTCTTTGCTGGGACCCGTGGTAAATTCAAGCATCCCATGGTAACCGCCTGGGTTCATGAGCTAGATGCAGAAAGAGCCGAGTCGCGCGCAATCAAACCTTGAACCTGCTCCTAGAAAGCTTCTCGATGAACTTTAATAAATTCTGGCTAACTTTCACTATAAACAAGGGATATTTAGCGGTTGAATCGGAATACTTTATTGTACAAGCGGAGCAAACCACTTTTGCTCCGCGCACCCGCATATTGCAATCTACATGATATCAAGTAGCTGAGATTATCACAGCCCATCATCGCTATTTGACTCATCGCCACCATATGAAACTAAGGGCGTCTTGGCGACTGGTGCTGGCTTTATAACAATAGGAGCAGTAGTTGACGAGCCAGAGTTATGATTTCCAATAAGAAATGGGTCAACCTGAAGTAGCGTGTTAGTAGTCACTACAGAAGCGAGATCCCGTACGACTTTATCTGATGACTTTGATACGCCAGGTGATTTGACAAGACCCTTTGCTTTACTACCGCCTTTGCTCTTCGAAAACAATGCACCAGATTTAATCTCTTTCAACTTTCTTTCCAGCAGATCTTTTTGTCCCGAGGCAAACTCAGTCTTATTGGCTACATCGCGATCCTGTTGTGACTCGGGTAAAACTTTCAGTGTCAGGCCAACACGATCTGCTATGGCCTGACATTCCGCTTCGGCTTTGAGCCGCTGTTTCTTTTCTGTTCGAAATCCCTTACGAAGTCTTTGTGATTGGGTGTAAGGGTCGCTCCATTGCCGGTCATTGAGCTGCTGAAGCCTTGTCAATTGTGTTACACCTTGCTGAGCCTTAAGAACATCCTTTTGAGCGTGTTCTAGCTGTGCAAACTTGTCGTTAACTCGCCGTTCCAGCTCCTCGGGCGAATCGAGTTCTAGAGTCTCATTGTCGGAAGCGTTGAAATCTTCATCTTTTTTTCTTGCTCCGGCTGTAACTAAATACAAAGCATTCTAATATAATTGAATGTATAATAGTGATAATAATGATAACAATAATAGTAATAATAATAATAGTAGTAGTAGTAGTAGTAGTAGTAGTAGTAGTAACAAAAGGATACAACATATCAGATATGATGAACTTGATTCGATTTGATAAGATTGTCAAGCAAGAAGAACGAGGTTTTCACCTTCGGGTCTGTCTGAATTTCGAACCAGTTGCTGCAAAGATGACACCTCATCCGAAAACTGAGGATTGGCGTAGAGTAGTAGTTCCCAATTTTCTTCTTCTCGGCATTGAAACGGACACCTATAGCAAAAAAAAAAAAAAAAAAAAAAAAAAAGATGTTGGTTAAGATGTTTATTGATATCATAAGTAAAATCTGTTGAAAATGGAAAACTAAAGGGCGATAGGCCTACCTTTCGCTATTGAATTGTCACATTGGTTGCACCAAATCGTGTATGGCAGCTCAAAACGAACAACCAGAATCCCTTGGTCAAGCTTCCTGGCTCTGTCCCGTAATGGATGCTGACCAACATAGGTGTTTATTGAACCCTATTGATAGAAATGGTGATATTTATTACTTTGTTCTTTCGTTTATCGTTCTATTTCTTATTTTTATTTATGAGTTTTACCTTAGAGGGATCCCAGTCTGGCGGATAGTACTTGTTAGTCGCTTTACGCTCTGCCATGGAATGTACAAAGATGCAATGTGCAAGAATAATAGAAGGACTTAAAAAAAAACAGTTTTAGTGCTGGTTGGGTGGCACAGTTGTGATATTTTATTACAGTCACTTCATTTGAAGTTCATTTCCTTTACATCCTAATCAGCATGAACGAAGAATGGCAATTATTCCGAAACACTCTACGAGAGATTTACGTCCAACTTGGAAGCTTCTGTAACGTCACAATGCTCAATGAAAAGATGTATTCAGGATATCTTTACACTGTCGACCCAGAAACACGTACTGTACTTATTCTTCAACAACAGCGTTATCACCAGGAGCGTTCCCAAGAGCGGCAGCCCTCCATTCCTTCAAATGAGCGAAGCGTATTGGGTAGTGTTTGGACTATGGTGGCGGTACGAATGCATGCTATGAAGGACTTGGAATTTCAAGGTATTATATTTTATTACAGAATGAGACACAAAAAATGACCGATTTGACATGAACTAATAATATATTTCGGACTATGCATGATAGATAATAAAGGACTTGGTCGTCTAACTTTGGAAGAGATGGATTCCATTGCCCATATTTCACGCAAACTCTACGATCCTGCAGATATTCAGTCTCGCAAGAACAGACTGGTAGCCATGCTACGTACAGTATGAAAGAAGAACATGATTAAATGGTTGTAAATTCCTAAATAAACCGAGATATTTCAACTTATAACTCTTTTTTGAAAATGAATATGGTAGAAGTGCATTCCGGTCGAGAGCACAGCCGACGACAAGGTTATACATATTATGAATAGTGTCCATGTACACCCGCCATATGTGTCCGAGTCGATCGAGTGTGCGAATGATGTGATCCGTGAACGAGTCAAAGGCATGATACTGCGATTGCAAGAAACTTGAATACGCAAGCGTTACGATCAGACAATAGAACAACTTAATAAATGATGGAGCAAAATCGAACAGTTTTAAAAATAACCAAACATCTACCATGATGATGGACACTAAAGAACAACAGCCACGGGACAAGATAGGAAAAACTAAAGGGCAGGGCGTAAGGGAACAATGAATGACGGACGTTCCACTAAGCTGAGCCACTCCATTGTTGAAATCCAAAAGTTCATCTTTATTTTAAAAATAAGTTACGGCTCGTGTCTTCTTTTTTATTTTTCCTTCTCTACTTTCCTTCCTCATACCACATTCACTTCCATTTATACACACTCCCGCAAAGGGATAGCAATACTACACTATGGCTCAATATCCTCCTCCAAACGAACCTTTCCCACAACATCAGTATCCCCCTAGCCCACAGCAACCCTACCAGTATGGCGCACAACCTCAGCCTTACTATCCACCCCAACAGGGACAGCCACAATGGAATCTGCAGCCACCTCCACCACAAAATAACCAGCAATACTTTGCTCCTCAGGGCCAGCCCACACTTCCATCATATGATGGCTCCATAAATCCTGATACAGGCCTTCCTTCAAAATTCAATCCAAAACCTAAATATAACGACCTTTGGGCATTCGTTCTTTTCTTGGTTCAACTCGCTGGTTTTGTCGTCCTCTCTTACTTTGCAATCCGCAACGTCATTGACCATCGTAATAGCAATGGAGGCAGAGCTGGCGGTGGACCTCTGTTAGGCTTCTTTACGACAAGTGGCTTGATTACGTTGTTCATCTCGATTGCTGTTGGTGCCATCTTTAGTGTTGCTTACTACTTCTTAACCCAAGCCTTTCCTCGTCAGGTTATCAAGGTTCGTAGCCGGGAGTTGGCAAAAAAAAAAAAAAAAAAAAAAAGACAACTTGTATTAGATGCTGATGCTGATATCATCTTTTCTCAATGTAGGTCACATTTGCATTGAGTATCATCCTCTACCTTGCAGTTGCGCTCTACTACCTCTACCTCCGCATCTGGTTTGCTGGTATTATTGGACTGATTTTTGGAGTCCTCTATGCCACGATGTGGTTCTACTGGAAAAGCCGCATTCCTTTTGCAAGGTAATGAAATGATTACATAGTGGTATCATCAGGTCAACGGGTTAGACATTAGCATGAGCACATGTATTATTTCAGCAGAGAAAAGATTGGACACTTAATTCTATTTTGGATTTCAGGAGGAAAAAGGCGGAAGTATGAGTGAGAATAGTAAGACAAATCCCAATAACTGCAATTCAGGCACCAGACAAAGTTGAAAACCTTTTTTTTTTTTGAGAACGGGGGAGTTTAATGTTTGTGAACTACAGCAATCGATATGTACTTTTTACTACAGCACTAACGATACAGCTACCACTGTAACCAAGACTTTTCATCTCTTCAACGAATCCAATGGACTTGTTGTAATTCACGAATGAGCATTGATGTATGAACATCGAGTTATTTTTATTTTCACCATCTTCCTCATGCTACAAAACTTAGTTGATCAACAAATGAATACATAGTTATTCCATCATCTGTATACATCATTTGTGTACATCATTTGTTTGTTAAAAGAAAGATATTTGTCAACTTACCACAAGGCTAAGTTCCTCCCACCATATTTCTTGACCACACATCCTCCTCAAAGCTTAAGACTGAGTGGCTGTGGAAGACCAAGACAAAATTATGTTTCTGGATCCATGTATCTTAGCATTTGCGGATTGAATGATTGGATGAGCTCTGATGTTTTATATCCTTGCAGGATTCCGGAATAACTTTCGCCACTATCTTAAATTGACTACAACAAAAAATAGTGGCGATAGTGGAGTTCAAATATAGAGTTATTGGAACATACAGACTCTAATGAATTATACCGTTCGTATTATCCTCATAGTGTGATGCTCTCGACTGTTACCGCAATTTCCAAAGAATACCCCGCAACCTTTGCCCTTGCCTTCTTGGGTCTGTTTTTGCAAATTGCATATTCGATTTACTTCATGACAGTCATTGCAGGCACATACGATCTCTACTATGACCCTGTCACCCGCTCAGCTCCCGCTAAGCTCCAGGTCCTCATTGTCTTCTGCTTCTTCTCTTTTTACTGGACCTCACAAGTGCTTGCCAACATTGTCCACACGACTGTCTGTGGTGTTTATGCGACTTATTACTTTATGAAGGGATCTCCTCAAGGAATGACAAAGTCCCCTACAATTGAAAGTTTAAAACGATCCTGCACCACCTCGATCGGTAGTATCTGCTTCGGATCACTCATCATCGCCGTCATTCAGACCCTTCGTGCAATTGCCAACATGGCTCGCGGAGATAGCGACGGCATCATGGCGTTTATTGCTTGCTTGATCGACTGCATATTAGCCTGTATTCAGGGTATTGCAGAATTTATCAACAAATATGCGTTTGCTCAAGTTGCTATCTACGGAAAGCCATACATCCAGGCTGCCAAGGATACATGGACCATTTTACAGGACCGTGGTGTGGAGCAGATCATCAACGACAATCTCATTGGCAATGTTTGGAGCATGGCCGCCATCTTGGGTGGCGTTCTCTCAGGATTAGCAAGTTATTTGTACATGCGCATTGCAGAGCCTTCATTCAATAGTGGAGGTCAGTTTACGTATATAATTGTAATCATGGGGTTTGTGATGGGTCTCCAGATCGTCTTCACAGTTGGCACAGTTATCGACAGTGGTGTGGCTACCACCTTTGTTTGCCTGGCGGAGGACCCTGCTGCTTTGGCTAGGACTAAGCCCGAACTTTTCGAGCAGATCCGCCTCACTTGGCCTGAGGTTGTTCAGGTATGAATACAATTGGTTTTTTTTTTTTTTTTTTTTTTTTTTTCTTGCTTGCTTACTTGCTAATCCCTTACGTCTTCTTGCTATGATCCATCAATCTAGGGTGTCCGCTATTAAGTAATATGATCCATGATTGCCACACTATCTACCCATGCCATTTATCATAGTCAAACATGAAGAAAAAAAAAAATATAGCCTCATAGTCTAATATACATATACAATTTAAGACTGATATCAGTGTATAAATGATAATACAAGTGGTTTAGTGCTTCAACAATGGAATGGCTTATGGTACAGATATACGTGAGGCATATAGAAGTTATGCAGAGTTGTCTATTGGAATGAGGGAATAGATGTATGAACAGAGGGACGACCAACAATTGAAGTATCCATCTCCATTCTCATAGTCGTCATAGGCTGTTGTTGTTGCTGCTGCTGCTGGAGCGGCTGAAGTTGCTTTTGCCGAGCTTGCTGCTGTTGTTGCTGGAGCAGCTGTTGGTGTTGCTGTGTTTGTAAATGATGCAATGCCGCCAACTGCCCTTGCTGCGTTAAATTTGCTGTATTAGGCAAGAGTTGACTCAAATGAAAATAGTCATCATAGATGAGCGAGTTTTGCTGGTTCAGAACAGGATGAATATCCTGTTGCTGTAGCTGCATTTCTTGGCGCAGCTGCTCATGGTGAATGTTTAGATATCGAACCAGCGAATCCGGAGTTGACTGCATATCAGAGAACGCCTCGTCCGACATCATGAACGAATGAAGTCCTGGTGATATATTGTTTTGAGTAGAAGTCGGCGGGCTCTTAGAATCGGATGCAGCGCGACCCCTAACAGGCGAAAGATCCGTACTTGGCTCAGGACCTGGCATAAGCATGGATGCCGCTGAGGATGAGGTCGTTGAGCCTACAGGACTGGGTGCAGACGGTGAAGAGTTCGTATCTGCTGTCAGTGGTCCGTGTGCAGAGCGTAAAGGTATAGTCGATAATGACGTACTGACCCCTATAGCAGCACTACTGCTGACACTGCTGTTATTATTGATAGAGTTTTGGTGCATCATCATAGGAGTCATTTGGAATGAACTTGACAAAAAGTTCAAATCACCCAGAGGCATAGCAAAGTCAAAGATTGAATCTGCCATCTCTGCTTGCGCCCTTGAAGACTGGTTATGGCTGTAGCTGCTACCATACACCAATGGGGGGCCAAACCCTGACCCAGGGGCCATTCCTGGTTGTTGATGATGTTGATGTTGATGCCGTTGTTGATGCTGGTGTTGAGGTTGGTATTGGGCCATTTGCTGCTGTTGGACCGATGCCGATACTGAGGGAATGAGTGAGGTGTTTAAGCCTCCAGGCGGCCCAAATGCTAAAGACGATGATACTGGAGCCTGCTGCCGCTGTTGCTGGAGTCGCTGCTGTTGCTTTTGGATGTTGGCATTTTGTCTCATATCAATGGCTTGGGATAAAGCCTCTTGCTGTTGATGCTGTTGCGTATATACGTTCAACAAGTGTTGATTCATATCGGATTTAGCAGCCGAGGCTAAAGACGGTACGCTTGTCTGAACCAGCAATGGCTGCATGATGTAGCCTTCCCGTCCTTGAAACTGTTGAAGCTGATCTGGCCCCTGAAGCACGGTGTGTCGGTATGTCATGTTACTATTAGAGTTCGATTTTAGCGGAGTCATGGGTTGTGCTGGACTTTGCTCAAGCCCTGGAGACCATGTAGGATTAGCACTGCCGTCAAGGGATCCAACGGAAGATAAGTTTGAGAGAGGTGTTTGGTTTGGAGCATGTGATGGCTGCGGAGCTGTGGCTACGGTTGCGGTTGCGACTAGAGTCTTAGTAACTCTGGCCTGCTTAGAAGCTCGAAGATGTGAAGGCTCGTTGTCTTCAGCCTGCCGCTTCTCTACTAATTGAGACTCCGAGGTCTCACAATCCTTGTTACTAAGTACCTGCTGCTGTTGTTCCTCCAACATCTTTGCCTTTCGCTGTCGCTCGAATTCTTGATTAATCTCTTGTATCTCGAGCTGGTTCATGCGTTGAAGGCGCTCCTTTTGTTCTTTTTCCTCTTGATCTTTTGTATTGTCAATTTGCGAAGTACTAGACTGGTTTTTATTGGTATCCTCTGTGGCTAAGATTCGCCGCTTTTGTTGATTCGCTTCGTCAATAACCTGCATCTCAGTTGCGCGACGCCAGAGCGCAATCAATCCGGAATCACTTTTCAAGAAGGAGCTAATAGAGGCCAGCTTACTGTTGACCACCATGCGCGGCGCGGGTGAATCACCCTCTAACCCAGCACGACTAGACTCGTCATTTTTGCCATTTTTGCCACGGGTCCGAGAGGCTTCTTTGTTCTTCGTCGGATTAACTTCACTATCTGCTGCATAATTGCGGCTAGAGCTATACGGATTGTGAGACACGACTTGTGGTACAATTATGCCACCATTAGCAGATGAACTTATTTTGGATTGAATGGAGTATAGATCACGAATGATGTAGAAAAATTTGTCAGCCATGGCCCAATATGTCTTCATGGTCTGCAAAATCTTAACATGGATGCTAAGGTTACGTCGAGCTTTTGCTGCAATGGCAGGATCGGATGCAAAAGCATTCGTGATATGACTACAGAGCGTGTTCGGAATCAATACATTCAAAGCAAGTCAGATTACCAAAGAAAAAAGAATCAATGCCAATGATCAGTGATTATAAAAATATATAATATAAGGTATCCAGTAACTTACATTGTGGCAGTAGTGAAGACGGGATAGGCGAAAAACGACGAGATATAGATCCGTGGAGGATAATTCTGTGCAGTAACAAATTCAAGTACCTCTGATACTTTGGCCGCAGCTTCAGCGCAACGTTTAGTAGAGTTTTCGACAAATTCGGGGTCCATAGGAAAACTAGCTTTGTCAGCAGCAAGGATAGGTCGGTGAAGTAAAACTACAGAAGTATGGTACACGACATGCATAAAGATGATGATACACCCTTCGCCTCTATCCTTCAGCATCCTGGTGTTATCCGGTGAATAGCCAAATTGAGATGGAACTGACTGGAGCCATGCAGCCAGAGCAGCATCGATAATGGCGAATTCAGATCCTGGCTCGTTTGGTGGAATTGACTTTTTAGTTCGCGGGCGATTCACGTATTGTGAGACTTTACCGAGTATTGCAAGGATACGAATCAGATATGCAAACGAGCTCAGACTATGGCATTTTTGACTTGCTTCGTCTTCTTTTGATGGTTGGGCACTGCTAGAGCCATTCTTTTTAGTTGATGTCCCAGGCCAAGAATCTGGTGCATTATTTGAGCCTGTATCATCTGCATCTGTCTCATGTTTCACTGAGGAAAGTCCCTCGGAATCATTCTCCTCCTCCAACATCTCTGTAACGACAGGTCGAGCTTCATGCCAGGCATTGTCTTCACTTGGCAACAGTACCTCGCAATCCCGCTCATCGATCATCCTTGGTCGACCCGATGATGATGATGCAAGCACATCCATAATGAAGCAGGCCCAAAAGGTCCTCCTTCTTGTTTCGCGCAGTACCCAATCACCCTTGAGGTTAAACACCGGACTACTGTCCTCACGATTCAAGCCGAGTTCCTGCGCCATGCGGATAGCCATGCCACCAAACATCCATGCTCTCGGGCCTCTGGCAGCCCCATATTCAAACATGGATAAGAATAGCAGCGCTTGAACATTTGAGACTGTAGGTACATCCACAGAATCAATCAATGATGCTCTAACATTAGTGGCGAAAGGCTCGCCAGCCAGAAATGATGGGGTGGTAACAACATCGGGGTGATTCGAGAATCGAGCGACGCCCGCACAGAGCGCATTGAGTAGATTGGGTGAGACTTTGCCCTCGCGATATTGCTTCATGAATGATCCAGGGTGAATGACGGGGAATTGGTAGTAAACTGAATCGAAGAAGAGCTGAATAAGATGATCGAGGATGTCTTTACGTGGGACCTCATCCTTGATACCGTAGATAGGTCTCTTTGTCCTGGTCAGAGGGCTTTGATCTGGTCGTAGTTTGGTATGTTGGCTGTGAAGCATTGGGTGAGTGAGTGCCTTTTGATTATCATAATGTGATAGGGGTGAGGTATTGCCAAAATACCTTGGATCAGATAACTCTTGTCGACTACAGGATGTCTCAGTAGTCTCACTATCACCATCTGAGAGAGATCCTCGCCGGCGATTGGAGATATTTGAATCTATGAAATCTGTATCGATAACGGCAGGACCATGTTGTAACATCTTTTCCATCTTATCGAGTCTCTTCTCGAGCAATTCGATGTATCCTTGACGTGGACCGCGCTTTTTCATTGAGGGTAGATATGTGCAATGGATGTCGAGTTTCGCGCAGTTGGCACAACTAGGCTTGATACCATCTATTTATTCAAGATTAGAGCAAACAGATCACAAAAATGGGAAGAGAGTACACATACACATTAACGTAACTTTATTATTCCAGGTTTGGGATCACCAGCCCAGTAGAAACAAAAAATGAATATAGTTGGAGGAGCAAACCTTACCGCACTTGATCTTTTTCTTTCGACAAGGGTCGCATGCTTGAGTGAGCCTTTTACGTTTGATGGGAGTAGATCCACTACTGCTAGCGCCTCCAAGATATTGTTGAGAATCATCAATGTCATTGTCTTCATGGTCCATCTCGTGGTCATGGTCGTCTTCATGGTCAGATTCTGACATGTGCCGCGCAGGACGGGAATCTGGAGTAGCCATAACCGTAGAAGTATGTTTTGTCATAATGATGAGCGATATTGAGAAGGAATACAGGGTTGTCAAGGCTAGTCAGATGGTAATTAACAACGAGGATGACGGGAGAGGGAATTAGGTATTGAGAGTCTGTGTGCGTGTGTGTGCAAGTTGCGGGTCGGATGAAGTACAAGGGAATGAAACTGGAAAAAAAAAAGAAAAAAGAAAATAGCCTTCTTATTTGGGTGTTAAGTTTGAGAGGGGAGGAGCAAAGGTGAAAATGAAACAGAGAGAGAGGGAGAAAGTCTACTGAATGAACGAGCACAGGAGAGAAAGGAGGCTGTTGTTGTTGTTGTTGATGCCCCACGTTCCTTTTAGCTTTTCTAGTCGTTCAAGTGAACGCTCCACTAAACTTCTTCCTTTTAAAATGCTCTGGCAGCGATTCACCCTAAGAAGCATGGCTCTCCCAACACAAAGCAGTGACGACTTAGATAACAACTTTCTACCCTCACAGTACATGTATATCTCCTCCGCTCACTCCATCCCTCTCCTCGTATTGCTTTTCTTTCTTCAGACAGCACGAAGTGTAAACGATAAGTCAATAAACCGGTATACCAGCCATTTAAAAAATAGAACAATGAGGCACCATGTGTACTGCTCTCTTTCATATTTTCATAGATTGATGAGAACCAGTCAATTAATAGACATAAATATATAGAAAAGGTATTGACTGCGTATCTAGACGTACATTGGGCAAATGAATGCAAACTACGGGCGTGATAGGTATCATAAAAGTCAGACAGATATACAAATCGGAGCCCAGTCGGTTCTTTTGTCATCATTTCTTATAAATATACTTTTTATCTCGCAAGAATAAAAAAAAAGAAAGTTTTCTTTATTGACCTGAAGAAACAAAAAGTCGAGGACGCGTTGCATGTTTGTAGTAGGACAGCCTTTCTTTGCTATTGGACTAAGGGATCCAGATCTGACTGCGCTGCGCAAGATAGGACTAGTCAACACAAAAAACGGCGCCTTGAAGAATTATTCCAATGCACAGCCCGACACAATCTTTTTACCAAAGAAAGATCGAGCAGAAAATCAAGGATGTTTATTAAAATGCATCATGCTTCGTATTGCACCTGCAATAGATGATCAGTCTGTCATCATCCTTAACCTTCGACGATGGCGAACAGTCATCAGTTAAGGCCACAGAAAGACCTTTTTTGCTTTGTTCATACAAAAATCACACGAAGCACATCGAGAAATGTAAACAAAGCACCTGAAGAGATGCAAGCCTGTGAATGTTCCTTTCATAAAACCATTTGATACCTCATTCCCCTTGAAGTGATTAATCTCTCGCTTCCTTCTGCTCATTGGCAGAGGGGTGAAAGAATAGCCCCCATTAAGATACACCATTGGCCAGCGCTGAGACGAGGTTTATTCCAGTACACTATTGCGCTCATACAGATTCGCTATGGCAAAGTGGAAATTGGCAAGGGACTCAAAGGTAATTACAGGGGCGGCGCTACTAACTAATTTGCGAACTTGGATTAGTGCGTGTGCTGTAGTCTCCTTTGTGAGTTGAGTGGTAAATTAAAGATGCTTGCTTCCGTTGTCAACTTTACGGTCGCATGTCGACCGTCAAAAAGCCTGGATTCTTAGTTGGGCCCTGACCTCAACCAAAGGAGATGTTTACCTTAACACAATCGTAGCTCAAGAGATTGTCTGCATTGAAACAGAGGCAATTGGATCTATATTGTAAGTTATTCCGCTCATATCTACCATATATTCAAGTCCCACTCAGAAATGAATTCAGTTGATGTCTGTAATAGGGATTTGTATGGCTCTATAAGTAACACGTCTTCTTAAAGATATTCGTAGGCGATATGATGCCAAAATGAGGATGGATGAGAGCTGACATGCCTCCAAATAAACTAATCTAAGAGATTCTGCGGCGCTTCAAGTCGTCATGGCTAAAATCAAAGCGATTGCCCCATCAAACCTATTATTGTCTACATCTCAGAGCTACTTCTGACCACGCAGATAAAAGTGGTGGCGAATCAGGTCTTGTAGCTAAAAATGTCGCGTTTTTTAAGCCACTATCAGAGTAGCCATGCTTGATTAATCAAGTTCAGTCAAGTGCATATACTTTTCGTGTGTAAAAGGAAGCTTGATTCCTTCTCATCTCGCAGACATCATCTTTACAAGCAGTAGAACTTTACATTCCCGTATGCTTTTTTTTAAAAAAAATGAAAAGAAAAGAAAAAAGAAAAACCATAATATTGAATAATATAAATAAAAAGACTCCACGAAATTCCAACTAGAACTACTGAATACAACTTTTTTTCTTTATTTTAGACATGTCCCATATATCTAGTTCTCCAGCGCCGCGACCGCTACCACCTTTGTCTGCGCTTGATCCAGCGTCATTCTATACAATTGTGGTCTCTGGAGAAAGTTTTCGGGTTACTATGACCGCAATCCAATATGATACCCCTAATTTTTTTTCTGAAAGTAAGAACTCACAGTCTTCAAATGAAGCTGTAGATCTGTCCTTTGCTCTATATTAACATTTGTGCAACACGCCCTTTTTCTTTTTTCTTTTAATCTATGGATACGTTTCAGTCTTCAACAATCCAAGCCGCAATGAATATTTGACGCGGACACTACATGTTGATCGCAATCCAGATGTTTTCCGAGATATTGTCAAGCATATGCAAGGCTATTATGTTGCTGCCCGGGACGAAGTTCATCTAGAGAATCTAATAATGGATGCACACTTCTATAATCTGAGACGTCTAATCGAAAACCTGCGTCAGACGATGTAAGCACTCCTTTTCTTTTCCTTGCTTTCTTTTGTTTTCTTTTCTTTCACTTATTCACTTTGGCTCTTTTTTTTTTTTTTTTTTTTTTTTTGCAAAGGTTCATAAACGTGAGTGGGACAGTTTTCAAGATTGCACGGGAAACTATTTTAAACGACTCTCCCAACTTTTTTGCACTTCTTACACCTTACGCAGATCGAAACCTTACTCCAACCTTCTTCAGTCGATCACCAGAACTCTTCAGAGATATTCTTAGTCATCTACAAGGATATGACATTCTGGTTCGGGATAAAGTCCATCGGAGCAATCTTCTCAAAGAAGCTCGCTACTTCAAACTTAACAGTCTTATCCAGAAGCTTTCCTTGGGCACAGAATATGTTTACAGTGGATTCCCTACTCGATCTGAGGAGCGGATCAAGCCTGAGGTGACCATGCTTCTCAAAAACATCAAAGTTAAACATGTTTTGGTCAAGGGTTGGCGTGAGTTTGTCAAGGACCCTCATACTGGCCGACAGAATTCTACACCTTCAGCATTTGGTGATGAGCCCATTGTGGATAGTAGTAGTGGCAGTGGGATTGATAATAATAACAGCAACAACCAATTAAGGTCAAGTAACGGGGGTGGATCCAGTACAGACGTTAACCCATCTCAAAAAGAGGACATTACTATGACTGACAACAGCGGTAAAGAAAAAATTTTCGAGCAGAATCGTGCACTTGTTCAATCTCCAGAACTACAGGATTTACTCTATAAACCTACACCGGAGATTGAGCCGTTGGCAATCGTGGTTGAGTTCTCGAGTATCGAGCTTTTTGCTATTTGGCCAGGATCTGTCAACTCATCCATGTTGGGTGATCAACACATTTTTGTTTACCGAGATGAAGATCTCACAATTTTGAACAAGATTTGTAAACATTTGGGGCTACAAACCTTGACTATGGCTGCAAATATTGTTCAGCTTTCACCCAACCTTTTTTTCCACCTTGATGGACAGGCATACAAGGGCCAAGAGGAACTGGAGCCCATCATCCGCAGATTGGCGTTGTCGTCTGCAAAAGTGACCCCGCCTGGCAGAGCACTGCGATTATTTTTGGGCAGAGCATTAGTCCGAGTTGGTTGCAGATCAGAACAGTTGGTTATGACTATTGTGAAGGCGGAAGGTTGGAGTTCGGATAAGGAATACAATGCATGCAGGCAGTACTTAGACTCTACAACAGTCTAAATGATAAACAATACCTATTTATCAAAAAAAAAAAAAAAAAAAAAAAAGTCTGATAAGGTAAAGAAGTATCTCAAGCTTACAAAGAAGTGTCAACGAAAAGAGACAATTTTACTTCCATTCTTATATTTATTTATTTAATTATTTTTCTTTCTTTTTCTTTTCTCTTCTTTTCTTTCTTTTCTTTTTAAAGAAAAAAAAAAAAAAAAAAAAAAAAAAAAGAGTCGGAGCCAATCTTCTGTTGATGTTCTTTTTTAGACTGGTATATTCTCGACGAGTTCCTTGGCCTCACTCCATGATCCCAAGTTCTATTGCGAATTGAGCCATATGTTTTTAACTTTTAATACCATAATGATAAACAAAGACACACTTCCATCTTTTTTTTTAAAAAAAAAAAAAGAAAAGAAAAAAAAAAAAAAAAAAAAAGTTGTACCTTTTGGCACCACCTCTGATGTGCCTTAGCGTATTCAAGCAAGATATCTCGCAAGTCTTTAATTTTCTGACGCTGAAAGCGATCCAAATCCCCTTGTACTGCCCGTGAAATGTTGTCCAAATCTGCGTTTGTAGTCTCCAACTGTTCCTCCAGCTGAAATAATTATTTGTAGATGCAGAAATAACGATCAGAAATCGGCCAACAGTCTAGTCCCATAGGAGCATAAACAATCTTTTTTTTTTCCTTTTCTTTAAAAAAATACCTGCGCGATGGCATCTCGAGTTTTTCCAATGTTGTTACGCCTCGTTGCTTCTGGATCCACATCAATAATGCCATGGATGGTATGACTGAGAGCACTGAACACGTTAAGACGAGTGCTTCTACGCTTCACATTGGTAGAGTGCGGAGCATGAGTATGGGCGTATGGATTGGGTTGAGGTAGCTGAGCATAAGGGTTAGTTGTGTCCATGCTATTATTCGTTCGTGCATAAGGATTGTGTGGTTCCGAATTCTCTACAGACTGTTCACTTGCGGGAGTGATGGACTCGGGCTCGTTCGTAAATGTCCCTTCATCTGAGATCGAATGATTATCACCAATGGTCGAGGATTGACTATCTTGCTGATGTTGTTGCGGCTGTTGGTGGACTGAAGAATCGCTGCGAGCTGAATTTAAAGCGTTGTCTGAGGTGCCAGACCGTTCACGCTTCAATGCGTCCTCAATTCTCTTGGCCTCAATTTCCATTCTCTCGAGATTTTCCAGAGAGCTCCTCTTAGATTCCAGCAAATCAGCTGTGTTCTCGGACTGAATGTGTTTCTGGTGTCTGAATTTTAGTATACCCTTGATGATGTTAGCGTATTGTATATACTCTTGCAAAGGCTCATTTACATTGACCTCCAATGCTTGCATCTAAATGATGAATAGACAGGTCAAGTCGGATTATGTCTCTCGTAAAAGCACAATTACAATATTTCGCGATCAGAACTCTACATCCTTGGAAAAGATGTTCAAAGGACATACCAACTCAGTAGTAGCCATGAAACTAGAATCAACAGCTTGACCAAGTCGCTCAATAGCGTTTGACAAGGGCGGGTAGCTATTCTCGTTCAAGCTGAATCCGTTCAAAGTAGCCCCCAAGTCCGAGTTATCGCTAGCGATCTCTGAGATGACATGGTGGTCAAACAGTTTCAAGAATCAGCATCGGTATTTTGGCATCGAATATTTCCAAATTACATGGTAAGGCGTGAGCATAATAAATATGTACCTCCAAGTTTGCGGACGACCTTTTTTTGACTACGGTCCATGCTTCCTGACAGCTGGTTTGCAAACTTTTGGGTAAAGACTTCACTATCGATGAATCGAGGGTCCGGTTGCTTCAATGTCGAAGGCGCAACGGCTGCCTGCCCTGAATTGTTGGTCTCCGACGTTGGCGATGGTTGATGCGCCGAATTAGGTCGTGAGAGTGAAGATGAACTAGCTGTCAATGTTGCGTTTAAAGGATTCTTAGGTAATGTGGTGATGGGAGGACAGTGCATCAGCTCGGCCTAGCGCCAAAATAGAACGTGTGTTAGTTGGATAGAAAGAATCCTTAAGTTAATGCCATTTGAACAGGGACATATTAAATATCATTTTTAAAGATAGTATTTATAGAATAGACAAACAGATGCTTTACCCAAGCAACATCCGGTTCCAAAAAACGATGGAAGATGTGCTCATAAGACAAAATCTCATGCTTTGCCAATCTGTTCAGGAACTTCTGAAGCATACGCTTGCGCTTCTCCACGATAACCGCGTCCTCTTTGCTCTTGTTCTGAATGTTTGCATAGTTGGCTAAATAGAAATAATAGTTGAGGGATAAAGTAGTAATGGAAGAGGGGAAAAGGAGGATTGTTAAAGCACCTGTTATCCTGCGAGTAACGATACTAATCCAGCGTGAGATTTGTGATACGAGCGAAAAGGAAAAGTCTCCCTCTCCCTGCTCTTTTCCAACCGTTTGTCGTAAAATTCTTTTGCTTCTTGTGTCGCTAAAAAAGTATGTAGCTGTGAGTGTTAGGGCACTTACAAATAGTATGCTTCTCTGGAATGGGCGGCACAATTAACGTTGGATAAATCCTACAGAGCACCTTCCTCAGTGATTCAAATTCTGAGTAGCGTCTCCTGACCTCATTGTCCTAAAGACACAATTCCGTTTTACGTCAGTTTTTTTTTTTTTTTTTTAAAGAAAATTGCATTGCTTGCCTGCACATCGACACGACGACGTGGTCCTTCAATGGGTACATAATGTCCTTACTCCGAGCTTGATAGTGTAAGCAACATAAGAACTAGCGGTGAGTCCGTCTGCAACTTTGGTGGCTGAAGTGACAAAGAGTGAAGTATGAGGCTGGTGCAAAAGTGTGCTCACACTGCAGCAAGGGGTTCCCGGTGCTGCACGAGGAATGGTGGTAAAAGCTGTGTATGGCTCAACTGCATGTGAGCTGTGGGCCTGCAGATTGTCCTGAGAGTGTGAATCCTCGCTGTGGTCAGAGAAGGACATGGCTAAAGTATGTTTTGCAAAATGGAGCGTGTGTGGATAAAGAAGCAATAAAGAAATGCGGGATTGGACATTTAACTCAGACGCCAAGCAGTCTCGCGAGGTCAGTTGAGCAATTGACCTTTTGTAAAATTTGTTATAAAAACAACTAAAATAAGGACCTGCTTCCTCATGGACGACATCACTGACCAAGAGATTGCCATCAATCTCAGGAAACGAGCATTGCTGTTCTGGTTGGCTGCTGCAAAAGGAGCATCCCCCTGCACTGTGATAATCCCAGACAGGTAATGGTCGTGAAATCAAACGACATATGCAGTGAAGACACAGTACGTCATTGATCTAACCATCCTAATCTTTTCTATCCGAATAAACATAGCAAGCCTGTGTGTGGAACATTTGTTGCCATGGATTCACACGAACAGCGTGTGCGTATCAACGCATTGCAAACACCAATCGGGACTTACGACCGAGTTGTCCTTCGTGGTAGCGATGTAGATGCACTCGAATTATCAATGTGAAATATGTGTAAAACAACCAAACCATAGGAAAATGTGAAATTAAAGTGAAGTTTATCTTGCAATTGAAGATCGCGTGGTTTTTTTTGTAAATATAATGGACAGTGGCTCTGTCATGAGGACGATTCCTTGTCTCTCATCCTTACAGCAACAACACTGAACTCTTATGCGTTGATGCTTCATATTTTACTCATCCATTAGGGCTTCCCATGAAATCATTATCAGCTTCAGGATCCTAAAACCTCATGGCTTTGCGTCAAAAACGAAAAGAAACCCATCAAAACACGTGTCACTCAGCGCTCGCAAGCTGTTGTTATCCCAATGCTGAGAGTATCTGCGAAAAGGTTGAACTGCATTGTGTACAGTACATCAGGTCCTTTTTATCCATAAGATTGACGCGCTTTTCTGATAAACATCCAAAAAAATTTAATTACTAACTCTGAGCATCCAGTGATAAACCTTCCTTGCCTTTAAAGTATACTGTTTTCGATACCTGTACTTTCTTCCGGACGAAGAGGACGAAGTCATTGAACATGAGCGCGATCGATAGTACGGAAGACGTTGAATGTATCTGAGCTCTTGTTCATCTGGGACACACTTTAGTAGAGTCAATGTCCATGTGAAGGCTGGTGAAATGAGTCTGAGGTGCAGATTCCTTCTTTCTTTCATCTCCTTGTGTCTCAAGTGATCTCGGATATGACAATGAAAAAAAAAAGGCTCCAGTCCTTTTGACAGCTGTATGTCCAGAGCAATGTGATCTCTTGATAGGATGCCATACCGTTATGACGTCCTTATATGCGAACACACGCACACCTTTCATACATGCGTCCAACATGTATATCTATATCCTTATCCATGCTGTTATAGCCAGACATGTAAGCATGCTTTGGTCTGTAGATCCACGTCTTTTCTCATTTACCTCCCTGTCTAAGTCTCGCAGTCTTCATGGATCTATTGGAGATAATGCATTTTGCCATGCTTGCCAGACTTTGATCTACATGAACTAATAAACCCCTATCCTACCCTTGAGGAGGCGCTCGGCCCCTTTACTACAAGTTTCACATTCAATGCGTCATGAAAAGCATTGGTGTCAAGAAAAGATTGTACTCCAATCATTCTTAACCACAACAGAGATCTGGATATACCATGCACAGCAAGATTAGCCATTTTAGTTAGGATATAACTATTTCAGTCAAATGTTGATGTAATTTTGGTAGGTTATAAGTTGGTTGACCTCTATCACCTTTTTCACGAAGACCATTCTTTCTTGAATCTTGTATTAAGCCCATTTTATTCTAATTGATTCAGCCCCCATGAACCCCGAATAGTATGTCAGGCTTTTGCCGCATGTTGATTATTGACAATAACTTTCCCTGTGCTATTGTCAGAAGCTTTTTTTTTTTTTTTTAATTCATTTATTTTAAAAAAAACGTCAAAATTAACCATAACTATATAACTCCTTCTTACTGCAATCAGCGATTACCTCTTTAAACTGCTTTTGATTGGCGATAGTGGTGTTGGAAAGAGTTGTCTCCTCTTGCGTTTTGCCGATGATACTTATACTGAGAGTTACATCTCCACCATCGGCGTTGACTTTGTAAGGCTGCAAAAAGAGAAAATAAATATCTTTTGCCGATAAATTGATACTCTTGGATGGGCATTAGTTAATCCCTAGGAAACGCTCAATAAGAGGCTCTGCGGCGAACAGCTTTGAATGTTCAATGAGGCTCCCAACAGCTTTTTTCTACGAGCATTACCACGAGGTTTAAGAAAAAAAAAACTATAAGATTCTTTCAATGCTCATACTTGCTCTTTTCTATGTAATAGAAAATCCGCACAATAGAAATCGAAGGCAAGACTGTGAAGTTGCAAATTGTATGTCTTTTTATCATTCTCCACGAAGCCATCTATTGCACCTGTACATCTGCTGTCAAATGATCATTTTGCATTTCACTGACTCGCATATGCTTTTTTTTTTTAAAAAAAAAAAAATGTAGTGGGACACGTAAGAAATATCTTTTTTTAAACTTCGATCACGTTCATCAGGTCTTTTACTTTGTACGAACTAATTTTTCGTTGGCATCTTCGTATTTGGATGAATGTAACAACAAAGTGCTGGCCAGGAGCGTTTCCGCACAATCACTTCGTCTTATTACCGTGGAGCACATGGCATTATTGTCGTCTATGATGTCACAGATCAGGACACGTTTGCAAACGTGAAGCAATGGCTCGCCGAAATCGACCGGTATGCCTCTGAAGGCGTTAATAAACTGCTGGTCGGTAACAAGAGTGATCTGACTGATAAGAAGGCAGTAGAGTACACTACGGCCAAGGTAATCCTATCATGGAAAATGTGACCTTTCTGACCAAACTGCACAAGCTGTGGCTGATGTTATCGTCAAGATAGAAAAAAAAAAGAAAAATACACACTGCAACCTTTTTCCGTTTGTAATGTTTTTTTATTTTTTTTATTTTTTTTTTATTCTCTTTCCTTTTTGAATGTGTAGGAATTTGCGGATCAGCTCTCAATCTCATTCCTTGAAACATCCGCCAAGAGCGCCACTAATGTTGAACAAGCTTTCATGACGATGGCTAAGCAAATCAAGGATCGCATGGGTACTACCACTGTTGCGCCTGCAACCAACAAGAACATCAAAGTTGGGTCAGGACAACAGTTGCCAGCACAATCTGGTGGAGGATGCTGTTAAAAAGCTTTAAAAAAAAAAAAAAGCATGTGCCTCTTTGGTTTTTGCTATCCAATTATTTTTTACTTGCCGTCCTATGCCCTTCAAGCTCTTTAAAGTTGACTTTCACCAGGTGAAAAGTCATAATGAAAGGAAGAGTTTTTTTTTGAACAACACATTCACCTTGTAGCTCTTAGCCATAAAGCCATGATTTTATTACTTACAAGGGACTCTGATATTATAAGAGTATTAGTTTCGCATGATCTGGTCGCTTTTACGTCCCTTATTTAATATTTGTAGAAAATGACAAATTCACTGACAAGTAAAATTCTGCTAATGACTTCGTTCCTTACGAACCATTTATATAGATATTGTTCATGCTTGATGCCAATAAAACCTCTGATCTTTTCTGCATCATTATCATAAATGATACTTTTTCCTTTAACAGGTCATTTGCATGATTTTGTCATTCCAGCATCAAGCTTTTCCTGGGGCCTTCTATGCATGCTCGTGATGAGGTTGTGGTAGTCATTCACTGGGGTCTTATACTACCCAATCGAGAAGTTATTGGCGTAATTTTGCTAGTATAAATTTGGTAAGACATACTGATAATTGGCGAGTCTAACCGAAAAAGGATCTGGAGATCTTTCTCCGCTCAAGAACTTTTGCCACTTGGACTTTTTCATTTTGTTTCAAAGCAAATATTTTTATTAAAGTATCTTATACAGCCATAGCTGTGATTGCGGGGAGCGTTGCAATGGTCTTAATCATTCCTGCACACAAGATACCACAGCCACCAATTTCGGCTCCGATCAGAGACCACATAAAGAGCTTGATCAAAAAAGGGGGTAAGATGACACCCTTATTACCCAATTTGTGAGGCACCTTGAGCTGGTTAGTCGTGTCCTTGAGGAAGCCATGGATGGCATACGCGATAACAGGTAAGACAAAAAAAATCTGTGTTACAGCAGTAGCCAGAACATTGGTCTTTTCAGACCAGGCAGAAAGTAAAGCTATTCCTGCAAGCTGAAACGAGGCAAACCCGTACATCAGAGAAGCACGATGAGCAGTAGAGACGTAAGGGTGGGCAGTAAACGTCTCTGAGGTATGAATTTGATGATATTTGACTGTCCCAAGCAATAAACCGATCATGAGGTGATAAGCCGAGAGAACTAGGTTAATGACCACAGAAGGTCGGAGGAGTATAGGAGCCAGATGATGCCACATATACTCAGAGTGTAAAAAATGGTCAGACATTTGTGTTCCTGTATTTCTATATTAGAGGAGATAGAGAGCGGATAAAAAAAAGTGTTTAAAAGAGGCGGTAGTGCAAAGATGCAGATGAAAGAGTACAAGAAGAACGAAAGTAAGGACACTGGTTCTTGTCACCATTTTAAAGAAGTGAGGATTTCCGAGCTCATATTCATCAGCTCAGCCGATCCGTGCAGTGTGACCGTGGTTTTTCTCTTTTTGTTTGTTTCCAAATAGATCAAGCCCATCCTCACACAATCATCCCTTTGTGCATTCTGCATTACAAACACGCACATTTATTCATAATGTTTACGGCTTTCTCATCGCTTCGTACAAAGCTGGCACCAGTCGCCAGGTAAAGCCAGGCTAACATCCTCTAGAAAGAAACTGACCAACCAAATGGGATCATCAAGTCCCGATTTTTTAATTCAGGCTGCATATTGGAGTATCAACAACGTTGGTTGAATAAACAAAATTTACATGCTTAGATATTTTTGAGCATACTAAGGACTGTAAAGCAAGAACGAAGGGAAGGACAAAAGAAAGAATGAAAGAGAGTAAGAACTAACGGAGACTCTTTTTTAATAGGACACACTTTACAATCTTCAGTTCAGCACCCTCATCAGCAACGAATCTTTCTACCATTACTCCCAGCTCTACCACTAACTCCATTTATTCTTTATTGAGCGGATTCCGTCTTCCTTCAGTTTTTGGGTAAGCGTCTTTATCTATTTATTTATTTGTATTCTGATACTTTATGTAAAGGAAGAAAGATGTAGGGAAAAACAATACGGACTTTTCGAGACAAAGGATGGGATCCTACTAGAATATCGAAGGAGATGGACTTAAAATGCGCGGATGTTTAATGCTCCTCGGGATTCAGGAACATACGGAATGATTTGAGCAACCTAAGATCTTTGTTCTTCAGGTTTCGAAGAAGATAAGAGGGAACCACCATTTAGAAATTTCTCACCGTCATTGGTTTCTGGTATGGTGTACCAAGGGCGCACCAGGACAATTTTGTATCAGGGTACATCATGCCGCTACTTGAAATCAACAGTGCATCGCACCAGTCAAGTCCACTGGTGTAAAAAGAAGAAATGAAAAAAAAAAAAAAAAAAAAAAAAAAAAAAAATGCATCAGCGAAAATCACTGGACTTATGAGTAATGAATGGAAAGAGCTACATACTGTTACTCGGTGCTCTTTCGGTTTTAATTTTTGAGGTGCATTACTAATTCAACTGCTTTGGGTGTATGGGACTCTTTTTATATATATATATATTCGGCTGGATATAGCTCAAGCCAAATTCGGTTTGTAACCTACGGTCGTGAATACCAGCCCTCACAACGCGTTCGCAAGCGTCGCCATGGTTTTTTAGCTAGAATGAAGTCAAGAGGAGGTCGTAAGATCATTTTGAACAGACTCCAGAAAGGTCGCAAGTACCTCAGCCATTGAGAAGATATTGGAAAAAGCTCATTCTTTGGATCCATTCCAAATAAAACAACATTCCAAATTTTATTCAATGTAATAAAAAAGTGAGAAAAAGAAAGGAAATGAAAAACAATCAGGAACAATACATGTACATGACACAGCAAAAACATGACAAACATTGGATGAGAATAGAGAACAAAAAGACAGATGGTATTTTATGTCACAAATTGAATAAAAATGAATAATGAAGGAAAATAACATGTGCAAGGTATAGGTAAAAGAAAATAAGAGTAGCAATTACAATGAATTTCAGAAGTGCAAAGAAACCAGGAAGGAACAACCGGAAAAAAAAAAAAAAAAAAAAATATCGGGAGTTTTTTTTTTTTTTGTAAGCTTGTACACCGTTTAGAACGGAAATCAAACGACAGCAACAGCATTTTTGCTATCTTCCTCCATTGGACCAGCCGAGTTACGAGCACAAATATCAGCTGGGCCGGCAAGACCATTCGCCATTGATTCCTCCTGCACGTTCGATTGTGGTGTTCTTGGTGTAGGGCTTGAGATGGGTGAGTCTGTCTGCTCCTGCGGTGCAGTCTCCCCACCTATCTCGTTGGGCTGTTGAGGCTGTGAAGGCTGTGGAGGCTGTTGAGCTTGCTGCTTTGATGTCTGTGGTTGCTGCTGGCTATGTTGGTCATGGTAAGCTCGTTCTTGGTCCTGTGGGTGCCGTTGATGGACAAGATGTGAAAAAGCGCCCTTTTGTGGCTGTGAACCATGGAATTGCGATGTTGGCGTACTATGCTGGTGCTGCTGGTGTTGTTGTTGTTTCTGCAACTGGTGCTGATGACGCAACTGCTGTTCCTCTGGAGGCACATATCCATGAGGTGTATGAATTGATCGTCGTTCATCCAAACGATGCATTGGCTGGCCAGGGATCAGAGGCATTTCCAGAGAAGGAGTATGGGAGTGTCCGCGGTCCTTGCGTTGATAGGCGCCCATATCCAACTTGGAGTAATCTGATGAGGACATCTGAGAATGCGCATGCTCATTAGTATGAAAGGGTTGTCTCGAGTCTAGTCTTCCATAATCCATGGATCGCGAATGAGAATGACCGAACTCTCTTGGCCGTGCCAAGTCTTGGATATCCATTCTCGACAGACCCAACGACGATGTATGTGCATGTCCTCGCCCCCTGTTCAATGGTCTCATCTCTGACTGGTCACGAAGTAAGCTTTGGGAATACTGTGAGTGAGAAGACAATTGGCGATGCTGAGTCTGGTGCTGAGACTGGTTGGTATGGTAAGATCCATGCTGCGAAGACATTCCAGATCCATATGGCATGCCTTCGCGTGAAGCACGATCGTTCACTTCTCTACTGGAGCGCTCCTCTGCAGTTTCCATTTCGACTGCTTCTGACTGGAGTCCGGATGAGCTAGGATGTTGTTGTTTTTGTTGCTGTTGCTGGTGCAACTGCTCCGTTTGTCTTTGATCATGTGTCGGGGTTGTCGAACGGCTATTAGTGCTAGGTCCACCAGGCATTTGATTTGCACCCATTCCGGCTTCAGCTGCGTCTGGAACTGAATTCCCTTCAGGACCATAGCCGGGACGTGATGGGTGCTCCTGGATCGTATCCATCTGCAAGATGAGCCCATTGAGGTGCTGTTTGGCGTCCTGTTCACGTTGAGAGCTTATCTCCATCATACGGTAGTAATCCGCAGGTGTACCATTGTGCTTACGAGAATGCTCCAAAAGCGAGTCCGATCGTGCAAACTTCTTTCCACAGCCATCAACATTGCACACGAAAGGCTTTTCACCAGTATGGGTGCGCATATGGCGAATGACTTGATGATGCTTGTGAAAGGGCTTTTGCTTCACGACGCAATTTTCCCACTCGCAAGTATATTGGGACTATTAAAAAAGAAATTTCGACGTCATTAATACATTGATTCGAGCTGTAAACCATCAAACAAACAATAAAAAAAAAATTGTTCAATTACCTTGCCCAAGCCAATATGGTGCTCTTCCACGTGGCTTACAAGCCAGTCAAGTGCATTGAATACTTGGTTACAATTCTTCCACAGACAGGTCCATGTGCTTTGCGTGGTTCCATTAGATGGTGGTGATGGTTGCCGAGGAATTGCTATTGGGACAATGGAACGAATACTAGGTGCAACCAATGCACTAGGAGCTGCCTCTGCTTCTTCATAAGGTGAGAATCCTGTATCGGAATCACCTTCTGTTAAATCCACAGAGAGTCTACGCTTCTTACGGTCGGCAGAGGCTAGATCCATGCGAGACATGATGGAATCTTCGGGGTTGGTGCCATTTTTCTTGGTGAGCTGAGCATCGAGCTGATAACAGACATCCTTGAGATCCTTATAGTTTGCACTACGGAGCTCATACTTGGCCTGCAAGTCAGAGTATTCCCTACGTGCCCTTTCCAATTCTGAAGCAGTAATCGAAAATTTGTATTCGAGATCTGTATTGATACGCTGTAGGTTCTCAATTTTTTGGCAAAGGAACCCATTCTTTTGAATGAGGGTAGAAAGTTGTCCGGTTAACGAGCTCTCGATTTCTGATTTGTAAGGATGAAGAAGAAAATAGAGCGCACAAGCTTGATGAGATATTTATGGTTTTTTTTTTAAAAAAAAAAAAAAAAAAAAAAAAAAAAAAAAGCTATAAACATCATTAATCCCTTATTGTTGAAAACTCACCTCTGAATTGGCGAGAATGTGCGTCCCAAAACCGAGCGAGCATTGTCTGCAGCTCTGAAACGGAGCTGATCTCTTGTGCTGTATTGTTGTTAATATCGCGGACTTCGCGGATCTCACCGCGTATCTCGCCACGTGGTTCTCCGCGCATTTCGCTGCGCATCTCTTTCATGGTCTAACTGTGTGTGAGAGTAAATGAAACTGGAAACAGATAAGATAAATAATTAATCGGCTGTGCTTCGGGAAGGTGGGGTGCAGTGAGCACCTCTTTTTCTTAAAAAAAAAAAATCTGGAATTGGGAGACCGGAAATCCGAATAAGTAAATGTCTTCAAACCCAGCTGGGTATATGAGATGATGTGCCAATATGAGCTACACAAAGGTATAAAAAAAATATTTGATCATAGATGTGGTTGTTGTGGTGTCACCAAACAAGGAAAGCCATCAGAAATAGCCAGACTGGTTCTAGTGATTGAATGACTGTGCTGAAAAAAAAAAAAAAAAAAAAAAAAAAAAAGATCGATGGCGCCGAGGGGTTAGGTGGACCAACTCCCGCTCTGTCTCCAGAAGTACCATAACCAACAGAGCACACACGCGCACAGAAATGACATTGGCCAAATGCTTGCTCCCAGGTTGTGTAATAGGGGAGCCCAGACCCGACTCGCACCCCATAGAAAAATAAAAGTAAAAAAAAAAAAAAATTTGTGTACGTGTGTCAGGCAGACTTGATGCCCAAGAGGATTGAAGGGGAGCTGTGGTCTAGAAGGCATATTTTGGGTTGTAGAGTAGAGTATAAAAGAAGACAAACAATATGTATAAAAAGGTGTGTGTGGCGAGGTGCATGGACAGAGGATGGGGAGGATAAACTAAGCCAACATAAAAAACAAATACCCAAAAGCCCCGATATGAGGAAAGACGGTGCCCAATGGCCAGGCAAAATGTGGCAGTGACTAGTCGCCATCCAAGCGAATGCGCCATATATTCAGCCAAGATAATTCACATACACAAGTGAATGGATTGATAATCATTGAACCCTGAAGAGAATGAATGTTTAGAACGCTTGATTGACTGTAGTCAAAATGCAAGAGGCTCGAGGTTCTACTCGCCGCTTTTTTTAAAAATAAGGGGGGAAGAACATATGGCAATAAAAAAATAATAATAATAGCAAGAAAAGAAAAGGCTGCAAATTATGCAGAGAGTTTGATGGATACCTGAATGACACTTGTTATTGGGGCTTGCTTATTTAAAGATGATAACGACAGCGCTGATAATCAAGAAGATACGGAAGAGAATAGGGGAACTGCTATTGTTGAGGATGTGTGCAGTTATAGGAGAAGCAAAGGTGGTCCGTGGCAAAACAAGATATGAGAGCGATATGGTTTAGACGACAAGTTTTTGTGTGAGAGACTGAAGGTGAAGTGGATGAGTAGTAAAAAAGGAAGTAAAAAGGGAAAGAATGAATGGAGAATGGAGAAGTGATGGTGAGGTGAAGCAAAGGGAAAATAAAATAAAATAACAAAATGAAAGAAGGAAGGAAGGGGGGAAAAAAAAAAAAGAAAGAAGGAAAAAAAGAAAAAATTAGACTGGATGGAGCGGTGTGATGTGATGTGATGTGGGTGGCCAGCTCCCAATGGTACTCCACCTTCTCTCCTTCTTCTTTCTTCTCCTCTTTGCTCTTCTGGCGACCTTGTTGCACTTGCTCAGATATTATAAAAAGAAAATTGTTTGTACGATATTGGCGTACAACAACGTATTTTGCCATTGAGTTTTCAATGTTTTGCTTGGTCATAAGCCCTTTTTGTTCTGTTCTCTGTTCCTTCTAAAAAAAAATGAACAGACAGAATAGGGGGGGTACCACTCCAGATGGCAAGACAGCAAAGGCAACAACGTTACGTCTATAGCTGGACTGAAATGTGATCAATACATGAACGAATGTAGTCGCTCCAAGTTTTTTTTTTTTTTGCGTTGATGTAAATCATATTCAACATCCAGCATGCGCCATCACGCCGTGGATGTTTTCTTCCCACTCTGGAGGCCCATTGGGCCAGCTGAGCTTGTTTTTGTTTGTTTTGTTTTTTGATGGATTAGACTAGTTAGGGTAGAAGTGACTAAGAGGTTTTTTTTATACCGGATAATAAATAAAAATTAGTTATTGAATAAGCATCTAAAAGAAGGGCTCCACATTTATCCACATAATTTTATGTTTATTCCTCTACGAATCTGCAACCCTGAAGCATCAGGATGGAGATGTTCTTCAACGACACAAAAGGTAGGAGCTCAAGAATTTTTTTTTTTTTTTTTTTTTTTTTTTTTTGGAATACCATTCAAAGCCCCAAGTAAACCATACTGTAATGTGTATGTAGGATTTGAAGGATATACTTTGCTTTTCGTTGTTTGGATTGAGAGCGGGGTCTCGACACAACTCAATATAACAAGCCCTTTTTTTTTTTTTTTTCTGTTCGACCCATCCGCGCGTAATAGACCACAGTACAAGTTGAGTGGGTCAAAAAGAAAGGCAGGGGTTACCTTTCAGCTTGGACAGTTTGTATCACATCTCCCTTTGTAGGATTTATCCATTGCATTCATTTCATTAGTAACCTTGTCATCATCAATATTATCACCATCTTGATCATCACCTTCACCCTATTCTGCCCCAGATGCCGCTGTCTTCAATAAACTACATATTCAGCTTCATAATTCATTTCTTTTATTACCCGATACCCCGCCTCTCTTTTCAAATATTATTTGTAGACCACCTCCGAGCCTCTTACTAACAAGCATAGCGAATCATCTTCTGTTTGAACTGCTTACTATAGCTCGCTATCCATGTCTCCAAACAGATGCATCATTAAATTACACCGCGGACTTTTTTTTTTTTTTTTTTTTACAGCTCGCACAAGCGCGCCACAATGGGTGAAGGATGACTGTGGTGATTACAAAACTTTACATTGCATCCAGAGGCTGGATGTCGATCGGTTTTATTTCATTATATTCATTATATTTGCAACAGTGCTAACAGTGTGAGAGATGGTGAGATGGAGTTGTAAGGCTCAAAATAAACAAAAAAAAAAAAAAAAAAAAAAAAGATTTGGGGACCCGGACGGCCCCACCTCACAGCAACCCATTAAATCCGGTCGCTCTCGACTGTAAGGAGTATCTGAAATTTATTTTTTTATTTTTTTTACTTACTTTTAAGGAAACTAAAGAATAGGCCGAGATTATTGTGAAAAGCTCGCTCACTTGGATTCTATTAATGCTATTGATTTGAGTCCCGACACTGACATCTTGCCCTTTGAAATGAATATGTATGTCGCGCCGTGTTTAATTTTGAATGCTGAAAGAATACTCCACATAAACGCAGTATTAACAGAGATCTTGGGGCCATAGAAGGGCACAATCAATGATGGTTCCAATAGTGCGAGCCCAAATGAGCATATGTACTACTATCAATGTGTAGAAGGTGCCACTTGATGACTAAACTGAAAATCATCCTCCGCGGGAAGAAAGTAAAGGAGATCCTAGGAGACCACACAGGACAAGCCAAAAAAAGAATGCTGACAGAGTATTCGTAAGGTATAATTGGTTCCTTATTGATAACTCTCGGTGCTTTACTAAGTTTACTAAGAGATAGAAAGGTAGAATTTAATACAATTATGTAACACTAATCCCATTAAGATGGGTATGCCCCACTTCGAGCTGATGATCGATATTATTTCTAGCATGCATTTCTACACGTTTTGGCGGTGATTTTTTTTTTAAGCGCCGAAATTTTTTAAATGTGTACGAATCAGAAGTGAAATTGCAATATTTTTGATCTGGTGCATTCAATCTGAATAAGCTGGCGATCACTTCAAAAATGTACCTGATGTCCATCACCTAGTTGATGCTGAAGAGAATAACTTTTTCTTTAGTACAGCAGCTGTGTTCTTGGAAGGACGGCATGCAGCCAATTAGCAAAAGTGGTTATCTCACGACCATCTTTACCACAACAGAGTTGATGTCTCTGGCTTGCGAGAACCTGAAAGCTTTGCTTTGAATATCGAGCTCTTATTGGACGAGCAAGGAAAAGAAAGTAAATAGAGTAGAAGCGGGATCCTTTTAAATATCCTGTTTTGGCTAATTCGGTAATTTGGATATGGCTAACATTGTTTACAAAGAACAGTAATTATTCTTTGTGGCAAAGTAAGGTTTCTGCCATTTTACAATAGAAGAACATTAATAAAGTCAGATTAAGCGCATGCTTAGTACTTATCCTTCATGCTCATTTCAAGAATGTTGATATGACCTTAAACACATTAAATGGTAAAGAATATAAACACATTTTCCTAGCTTATCTCATCAGCTGTCAATTTGCTTGATAAGGAATGGCATGCCATACGCCCGGATTTGGCGTTCAAGGACACCACGCGCAACATCTAATAATAATATCGAATACCTAAACCATTGTGAGCAGAGAGTTGTCTCATAGTACGAACAGTATTTTTTCAATATGAGATGTATTGTTTAAAAGCGAGTGAACAATGGTCATACACAACAGCACGCGCTGTGATGAGAACATTCTCTAACTAGGAGTTAGAGAATGAGGCCCCAGGACTACAGAGAAGCAACGCTTTTATGAAAGAGTAACGCATGATACAATGGGACTTATTTATATTGTCATTATTACTTTGCCTGTTTAGGACATACAACTGCTTTCTGTAAGCATTGCGTGGATAGAGATAGATGAAATCGTTGTGACGGAACCTTGCGATTTCATCCATAAAGGACAATAGGGAAGAGTAGATGTCATGTACTTAGAAATGAATCCGCAAGATATCACTTTATAAGCTATTTTACATTTCGTTATGACAGCCAGCGCATGGAGACAATACCAATAACCTGAAACAAAACATTAAAGAGCAGTGGAAACGGACCGACTATCATGCCCTGACTGCTCACGAATTTTTATGCGCGAAAGCCCCAATTACAAATATTTAATGTACGCGACTTGAATCAAGTTGATATTCTACACATGTGATCTTGAAACGCTGAACTCCCATTCACAATGCCACCCAAGAAAACAGCATCAACGGCGGCGGGATCCAAGCCCAACAAAAAGCAGAAACTCAATGACTCGCCCTCAACTGATTCTAGTGGTGGTGACAGAATCTTGAGCAAGGAAGAAGAAGAGGAAATGAGCTCTGCTCTGATTGCTCAGCTGTTGGCACAAGAGGGTAGTGGTGATCATGGATACTATGCAGAATACAATAACGACACCAACTATGGCTTTTTTGAGGATGGGGACTATTCTGATGACGATGATGATTATCGAAACGACTACAACTACAGGCCAAAGTCCAAGAGCAAACGCAGTATGTCTCAAAGTCCTCGCGCTCGCCATACACGCGTCGAATACTTCAGGTGAAATAAGAGTTAACTTTTTTATTTTTATTTTTAATGATAACAATAGCAAAAAAAAAGGCCAAACAGCCGCCTCCACCGCCACCTCCAAAGCCAGTGCTTAAAATAAACGCCTCTAAAGTAGCAGAGACAACCATCAGTACAGTTACCCCTGAGACAGCAACGATTGCTATCACTACAGCGGTGGAGTCTTCTAAAATTAATAGTGTAGCTAGTGACCGAGTCACGGAATCATCACCAACCAAAGATGAGTCCACCGCCACACCAGTAGCCCCTGCCTCATCTCCATCCCCAATAATGTCCAAAGTTGTGAAAAAGACTAAAGAGGCAGCTCCAGGATTGAACACCGGAATGTACACAGAAAAAGAAGAAAGGGCATTCGTGGAAGCTCTCGAGATCTTTGGACGTAATTGGCGCGCTGTAAGTCCATAGAACGCCGTTCTCACCTTGGTTATATCAAAAATTCAGTTCCCAGGAGCTTCACCAAAGAATATAAAACCTGACAGTTCTCTCCGCTTTTTTTATTATTATTAACATTATCACAAAATATAGGTAGAGGAGCATGTAGCAACACGCGATGCCAATTCTATCAGAAGTCATGCTCAGAAGCACTTTATCAAGTTATTCAGGGACAACATACCCCTGCCAGCCAAGGTGCTGGAGTCAGGACCTGGATATACTCTTTCTGGAAATGACCTTGATCCATATTCATCAGCTGCTCGTCCTTACTTGTCTCAACGGCTACTCGATGATCCTTCTCTGCTTCCTGCACAAGGTGGTACTATTTTCACTCCGCAATCGGGGGCTACTGCGAAAGCGGAAAAAGCCATAGCCAAGGAAAAAAAAGCGGCCGAAATAGCTCAAGAGAGGCAGAAGGAGAAGGAAAGAAAGGAGAAGGAGAAGGGAAAGGAGAAGGAGAAGGAGAAGGAGAAGGAAAAAGAGAAGGACAAAGATAGCATGAAGGAAGCTGTAAAAGAACTTAAAGAATTGAAAATGTAAGTATTATCATGGATTCCTCTTTTTTTTATTTTATTTTTTTTTAGTTTTTAATACGCGCAGTGGACTGATAATACGGAACTTGCTTCTTTGGCGTACCAGTCGAAAGCATACAAAGCCTATCAAGGAACGGGCTGATAGCCCTCCAACCGAGCCGGTCTACACAGGGCGCACAGATTACTCGAAGGCCAGACTCCGCAGTACGAAGGAGCGTCCCTCTATCAACTTTCGTCAAATGGCTAGCGATCTTGATCCTCTCACCATGGTCAAGTGTGAGCCCTTTTGTGGGCAGCCCAACTCTGGCGTGCAAGGGTGCCAACCATTTGCTATTAAGGTCCAGTCCAATGTCCTTTTGGGCATGGATTTCCATGCCCACCTCATGACCACTGAGATCATTGGGTTCCTTGCAGGTGACTGGGATCGAGAGACTAGAACTATCCACATCAAAGCCATCTTCCCCTGCCGATCCCTCCAAACAGGACAAAACCATGTCAACGTGGAGATGGACCCTACTTCTGAGTTTGAGGTTCGTCAAGAGATCGAAAAACGAAATATGAGGATTGTTGGTTGGTACCACTCGCATCCAACATTCACCCCAGATCCATCCTTGGTCGATATTGAGAACCAGACGAGTTATCAAAGCCTGTTTAAAGATGAATCAATGAACGAGGAACCATTTGTAGGAGCTATTGTTGGTAAGTTAAGGGGGAAAAATCGAGACATCAATCCCTTAATCAACTGATGCTCTGACGCTATACTCCTTTGCCATGTAGGCCCGTATGATGAACGACTGCCTGGGTTATCTTCGGTCATCAATTGGTTCTACATCAGTCAGTCTGCTCAAGAACGTGGCCATCCAAAGCGGCTGCTTTATGATCTAATTGAGGACACAGAGTTACCTGCGGAAGAAGCAGATCTATGGGTATGCAGTTGGTGTCTACAACTAGTGTTCTCTATTACCCTGGTTAATAACTCACAGTAAATGCATAAACTCCTTAGATAAAACTTTTTGATGAATACAGAGACTCACCTGAGCGAACAAACTTCAAAGAACAGTGGCGCCAAGACGAATCGGAGACCAAACTTCAGAAGATGCTTGTCTCGCTTGGAAGGCGGATGCCTTGGTTGAGAAACAACCTCCTGAAGGGCAAAGAAAGCTTAGATGGCTCGGAGAGTAGAGATGCTGTGGATATTGTGGATAACATCGAAGGCATTGAGGGAGACAAGTTCAAAGATGAAGTGGCTAATGAGACGAGCGAAAACAGCGCGGAAAGCAAGAAGGATACTTCTGAGGCGGCAGCTGGGGAGCAAGCTACCATTATTCCTGAGCCTAATACCTCCGTAGAAATGGCCTCGACAACCCAGCCGGTAGAGCAGATTGCCACGGTTTCTACCATTTCAGACGTGATTGAGGAAGGATTGGGAAGAAAAGGAGGGGAAATAAAGGATGAATCTGAGAAAGACCCCTCCATGGAGGGAATTGAACCGTCAGGACAAGACTCACTTGATGCAACCATGTGCAGTGACGTCAGTCAAGAACATGGTCATGTTCTGGAGAGGAGTCTGAGTAATACTAGTAGTGCGTCCAGTAACAGTCGGCTATTTATTGGTTTGGGCGCTCTAATCAACGATCCCTTTTTGATTCGCGTGGAGCAAGAGCTGGCAGCATGGGAGCCTGTGGCAAGCTAAGTTCTCTTTTTCTTCCCCCTATTTTGGACACAGATATCTTACTCATTTTCGTACTGCTTTTAAATATTTTTTCCCCTCCCATTAAACCGCCCATATACTCCATGTAATACTGCGAACCTATTTTGAGAAGGAATGTATAAAACTATGCCACCATGTCATGAACATTGTAATGCTTTTAAGGTCAAAGGTCCATGTAGATAAGATCATATTAGGGTCTGTCCTGACTACTAGTTGATAAATGTTAGCTTACGTCTATGGACGGCAGGCATGTCAGAGAAGTGCAAGGTAAGGGACCTGTCTGGGCAGCAACTAAGGCGTCGTAAGGTGGGGTTCAGGGCGTTATGACTGAAGATGTGATCGCGGACATTCATGAATAAGGTCGACAAAACATCATACCATGTATATTGTCATTGATGGAACAACAAAGAAGCACATCAATTGTTTGAACAGTGTCCTCTTGTTCGTTCACATACATTTTTTCATTGTTGGGGCGCTTGTACGTCTATTAAGCTTTCTGTCTGGCCGTTCAACACGAATAGCCCCATGCCAGGAAAAAAATATCCCGCGTGCTTGGTGCCAAGTCTGAAACAGCAATGATGCACAACCTACGCATGAAAGATAGGATCTTGGTACTATGGTTATCGTTATGTTCAGCTCATGCGAGCTCTCCGAAACCAAGTTGTGATCACGACTGTTACCAAGACGCGCGGATTGTATTGATGTGTTGATATTACACATTGATATTGTAAACTGATACATACACCATATTTAAATCTTTTTCTCTCATACTGAGTTCTTATCACTCACTCACATTCTCTCTCACCGTCTACATCATCCACAGCACCTGCATCATGCACATAGCCTTTTCGTCGCCTGCTCCAACATACGTATCACCATGAGTGTGCCATTATTTCAAACTGATGCCTAATGGCTCCAACAGGCCATACAAGTCCGAGATCAGGCCCAACAGTCCCAAAGTCAGCAAAGCCAGCTAATATTAGAACCAGCACTTTTAATAGCGCCCTTCACGTGGGAAAGCAAGGCAGTGTAAAGTGTAGCGTCCTACCCAAGCAATCACTTTCTTCCATTATATTGAATCATATTTTCAAACGTACCGATATCTGGTCCTCATCCCGCGAACCTAACGCACCCTGTGTTACTGTTCAGCCCCCACCGGCGCCTCAGCATCCTAGTGGTGACCATCCTAAGGCAGCGGAGTTCCACATTGGTAAAAGAGTAGCGGCTCAACAAAAAAGGTCAAAACAAAGGTGTGACGAGGATGATGAGGAGGAAAAAAAGACATGTGAATAGTCTGTTAAACGTCTAATGAGTACATTATGAGGTACAGATTACAAGTAACCATTTGGAAAACCAAGTCGTGCATTAATCCATCAGTATATGTATTATTTACTGGCTGAATACTCATTAGCTTCGAGACAATGATAGATGCTTTTATTGGCGACCGTAAAGGGCCATAATTTCCAACATGAGAAAACCAAAGATGCTTTCGTTAAGCAACAGTTCGAAAAGGCCAAGAATGAGCTTCACCACCACAGAGCTGTCGTCACTTCAGACACAAGTGCAGCAGATACCTGTGCTAATTCCACCGATTGAGGAGCAAAACCAGGTCGTCATTTAAGGGCTTCCGAAGAATTTGCTGAAGGAGATCAGCAGGCCCCTCTCGAAGGACTGGCCTCTGAACTGAGAGTTGAGGATGGTGTAGGAGCTGAAATTGATATTTACGACATTGGTGCCATTGAGGATGAATATTATAAAGGAGGGGATGGGAAAGAAGGGCAAGGAGGGGCCAGCCAGGGAAACAATGTCCAGAAAGGGCATCCCAGGCTCGCTTGCGCTCGTTACAAGCAGTGCTGAAGGTCCTGCTCGAGTCTCCAAGCACCCAAGGCCGTGTGCACGAAAACGATGTTCGCGCAGTCGTGTTCAGAGACAGTGGGAAAGTAATCCCCTATGGCGTCACCCGGAGAGGCCTCCCTGTTAGGAGCAGATATGAAGAGCGGAAACAAAACAGGGAAACAGACTCGATGCGGCAAGGTGGCTAGTAGAGTTCCAGATGTGTGGTAAAACAACGGCCGAGGCGTAGCAGCTCGCTACTGATCATAGCAGCACTCTCAAGGCCTTGGAGCCCGAAATCAAATCCTTACGAAGAGTTGTTCGAGATATACAGCGGAAGAGAGCACAGGCCAGGGTCAAGCTCAAGAAGAATGAAGCTGGTACACTTCAAGGATTTCGAACGGCCGTACAGGACCTTCAAGCCAGGCGCAGGTTACTCATCCCGCAAGAGAAGAGACTATAGGAACAGTGAAGGTTGTCCTACTGTTAGAACAAGGTTGAGCGTGCTGTTACTGCTTCGGTCCAGGCGCCAAGTACAAGACGACACAGCGTTACTACCCGGCCTGAGCATACATTCCAACCTGGGATCGGCCTTGCGCAGAAGATAAGGCCCTCCAACTCGATGTCCCCAACCTCCTTCCAGGCGCCGGTGAGCAAGGAAATGTGGTTGCATTTTCCAGCACGGATTACGGTATTCGGACAATGAGTGAAGCTGTGCCACAGGCGCTTGACGAGATTAGAACTCAGATTAATCGGCACCATGTACCCTCTGGTAGTTACCTTTGTGCTAATGCTTCCATTGAATGCTTTGAGGATGGACTTGTATCATGGGATACTAAACTGGATATAATTGCTTCAATGTAGGTCTATCTACAGGTCTAGGCCAGCCAACGGCTTTGCTACTCTCTCGTTCTCAAAAAGTCAAAGAGATGCAATGACAGCAACCCAGGTGAGCAATGCCTCTCACACACGGAAGCTTTCAATACAATGAGAGAGAAGAATAAGAGCGGACCTCCAAGTCTGGAACGCCATGCAGGTGATTCTCAGTAGGGATATCTCGCTAACAACAGCACAAATGATCAATGACATTGGCAGGGCCCGCGCTGCGCGCAATAGTGCTCGAGAGGCATTACAGTCGTTTGAGATGTCCGTCTCCATGCTTAAGCAAAGTCGTAACCAATAACTCCGAATAGAGCGAGCATGGTCAAAACTGTGTACGACCGAATGACTATACATCCAGGGACATGCTCTCAAGGCCCATCAGACGCAGGTGTTGACTGGGGCACTTGCCATCCGCAAGTGCTGCACAAGCGGGTACATCTGCGCCACCTAGTAGCGCCATGCTAGCGACAGTCACGACGGCCGCAGCGCCCGTAGCACAGCCAATGGTATCACTTGTCGCTGGTGCACTCGGTGCAACCGCCATCATTTTGCAAACGGACCTGAGGCAGCAAGGTTCATGCACGTGAGCCAGTGTCCAAAGTCTCGACCAAGAGTTCAGTCCGTGCTTCTGATCGGGAAGCCGATACAAGTGTCGGGAGCTGTATAGGGGACATTAACAAAGGAGAGGGTAAAAGAGAGAGGAGAGCATATGCGATACTGTGCAATTGGAATGATGGATGAGTATCGATCATCGAAGACCTGTGTCTTCTGCTTTTGCCAGTAGCGACAAGCCAGGGCTCGACGAACCATATAAGGAAAGATCAAGACAGTCAATCTCCATGGTGCGGCTGAATGTAACAACTCAGATTGTCCATCTTCCCAGTACGGGTATACTGTTAAGCCTCGAGACACTCATACGGCCGCTGCAATAGCAGTAGCAGGTGTATCGGCATTACTCAACAATCAAAGATAGACACTCCCTGCTTTCACTCGTCAAGTGAATCCATCTCAAGTCGATACCACAGCGATAGTTTTGCTAACCTATTTTAATAGATAGGATAAAGCAATGTGCCTTTAGACCAATGCTTTAGCATTAACTTCATCATCTACACTGTATTCAATATATCCAATTATTCCGAATAATGTGTAATCTGCCTATATAAATCTCACCCATCATTCAATACCTAGTGCGCTTGTAAAAGAATATGACTTTCCCAAATAAACTTAAAAACAGCGAGCCATTGTCTCTTAATGTGGAGAGTTGGGACACTTACTAACGAAAAGGTAAAAAATACCAAGTAAACCTAGATAGCTAGGGCTGTTGGCTTGTAGCTAAAAACGCCATGATGGAATGAAGCGCGTAAATATCTTTCTCTTTTGCTTTTAAAGGTATGCCCTTATTGGACAGTATGAGCATTTCCTCCATTCCTTTGAAAGCCTCCCGCGCCTCCCAAATGCGCTGGTATTTTTGAAAGAGTAGAGTAGAGCAGATGGATCGCACAAATATTAGAGAGATAACCATCAAAATCTTGATCGCCAAGTTGGGCGCCATGGTTCTGACATTATCACATTTGTGAATTAAAGCGTAATACATCAGGTGGAGACTACCATCCCTTGTGTAAGAGACGTATACCACTTTTTGACCATAGATGCTCGCCTTTGAAGAATAATTCTCTGTCAAAGAGGGTATTGTGATCTTTACAAGGTGTAAAGATATTATCAGCTTCCCTGCAAATAGTGCCTGATCGATGACTGAACATTGAAGCTTGGAAAAAGAAACCATCGAGAGGAAGGTTGGTGCGCACCAAAGAAGAGGTCCCTTCGTGAGAAGACCTGTTGGAATTTTTGGTTCACCCGTTAAAGTAGACAATAAGAACATATCCAGAGTCCGATTTAAACCTATGATCACAACCATCGTAAGGCCCGCCTTCCATAATTCTCTATTCATCATATTGGCAAACCTGTTTAAATCCTCCTTAGCACTGTTCATGGTTATCCCCATAAGCACATGTGAAAGTGTCAATGTCTGGCCTAGAGTAAAGCCATACGTTTATAATGTACTATGCCCCATCACTCATTGTCAGCACAACTGGCGAGGCAGGTCATGTGGTTGGTCCATCCTCCTTCTACAATGACATTCTTAGACACAATATTCGATGTAGAATAGTAAATCCTCGGAAACAGAAAGTAGCGTTACAATATTTTTCAGGTTTGTTGTTCATTAAAATTTATTGACCGTTTTAGTGAGAGCAGCCTCATTTGCTTGGGCTTGGGCTGAAAAAACCTTATTTAACTTTTTGGTTCAACGACATCCTCATCAACGCTTTTTTTAACATTGAATCTTCATTCTCCTCTTCTCCTGTTCCTACTCTTTAATAGTTTTCTCCTTTGTCTTTGCCCTCTTCTTGCTTTTTATTTATGCTCTCCTATCTCCTCCCATACACACTCTTTTTGCCAGTTTTTGTTATCTTCGTCACCAAATTTAAAACCACTGAAACCTCGATTTCAAAGATCCTGTTATCCATATGACTCTATCTACAAAAGCGCAGGTTATCGAGCGCGATTTTCAGAATGCCAGGGCCAAAGCAAACTATGCTGCTTATCCGGAATTTGCACGTCGTTATGTCAAGCACAACAAAGACGGCGCTGGTAAATGAATCAACAGGAATGCAATGAACGCATGAAACAATTGACTTGCTCCATGCATTTTACCATTCTTGATCATATACTGGATATATTGGATATTACTGAACATTCAACACTATCCCATCCCCCTGGGCAATTAAACTATGTCTTCAACAGCGGATAAGAAAGGCAGGGGAATATCTGCAGCAAACCCATGACACCACACTGAACCATCAAGTGGATCATTATAGTGCTCAGGATCAGCCATGTGGCATAACCCCTATGCAAGTTGTTTTTGTTCAATGTGACAATCAAGTGCAATATTATCCGACTTGAAAATAGCAGGAGCCTAAGAGCAGTGTTTCATAATCTAATGTAAACTTGGCAATTGTATTTTTATAACCCATCAAAAATAGTACTGGCAAATTCGGCCTTGCTAGAGATGGCAGTTGGCGAAGCCTTAATTACGGCTCGAACGGCTCGGCACTGGACATATGCAGCTTCACTGGATGATACCCCAGAGAGGATTGCTGTGAGCCCACGTATTAAATCTGATACGATCCGGGAAGCTGTAGAGAAACTTAAGCGGGCTTTGATAAAAGGTCCTGAAGAGCAGCTGGAGGTAATATCTGGTGCTTGCTTCCGTTGCTAAATAAGCATTCGATCAAGTCAGACGTCACTGCGAAACATGGTTTTTAGATGAGTCATACCCGGACTTGCAAGCTAAACTTCCGTATTTATACTAATCATAGTATGCGGCCATCGTCCTTGCAAGAGCGGCTATGGCTACCGATGCCCCTGATCGTACTCAAAAAGCCTCCCATTACCTTCAGAACATTCAATTACCCCCAGCTAATATACCAACCGGATACAACTTTGTATTAATACTGTGTGGATTGGCTATTAAAGGCATGGTATTGGAAGAGGAGGGGAAGATTGCTGAGGCGATTTTTTCATATGACCACGTCTCTGGACTTGTCCAATCCTATCCCAATGAAAAAAGTGAAGAGTTGAATTCTTGGACAGAGCATGCGCTTTACAGGGCCAGCTTGCTTAAATTGCGCCAAGGGTAATTCGATGAAAAATGGCTGGACTGGGCTAGACTGAATTGGATTAATATGCTTGCATTGCCTATGGGGAGGATTTATTTGATCATTTTAATGCTTATATTAAGAGTGTACAGATTTTAGTATTTCAGGACTAGTATGACATACTAGTACTAGTACTAGAGTTGAGTACTAAAGTTGGAAAAATTTATTGATTTTAGTACTCCTGCGTTAGAATTAAGGAAAAATGCACCCCCCCGTCAGAATAAAATTTTGACCCCCGGTTGAGAATTCCCTTGACCCCCTCAACATTTCTCTTTCCGGAATTCTCATCCCCCCGTCAACCGCGCAATTCTTACCCCCCCCGTCAACATTCTGGAGCTGATTTTCAAAAAAAAAAAAAAAAAAAAAAAAGAGTATTACATCCTATGATTTCCACACAACTAGTACAGTATTTTAATCTTAACCTCTATTAATTGTAAAGATGGTTTAGGATCGCCAAGCGTTGACGCTGAATAATAATGCAATGTTTTTTTGTCTTTTTCTTTTAAGACTATGTTGGACGCATGTGGTGTATGTTAAGTTGCCGAGGGTTCTGAACCTGATGAATACGAATCTAGGAAGAGATCATTCATCAAGGAACTGATCCACTGATCTACTGTCATGCTTTGATGGCAAGATACAAAGTAAGAGAGGATCAATGGTGTCGAACTAAATAGCTAGTTAGATCTAGGTATAACCAAGAACAGAAAATCTTCTCTTAAAAACAGCTTCAAAATGTTGACGGGGGGGTAAGGATTCCCACAATTAAGATGGTTGACGGGGGGGTAAAGATTTACATTTTGAAAATCTTTACGGGGGGTGTACCGGAATTCTGACGGGGGGGTGCATTTTTCCTTAGTCCCCTGCGTTAGGCTCGTACCCATCCCTCTTCACTTTATAAAGGTGACAGGAAATTCCATTTCCTTTTTGAGTCACCTAAAGTGAAGGGGCTGGGAACGAGCCTACTCCTGCGTACTAATGTTGGAGAATTTAGTACTTCAGTGCATGGCTGATTTTTTTGTCACTCTTTAGATGCATGCCACGGGAAAGATGTCTAGCAAACATACAAATCCCTTTCCACAATTGCAAAGTGTTCACAAAACCTACCTGTTGTCGAATTCTTCACACATAAACAAATTGTACAAACTAACTGAGGACGGTATTAACCGAACTATTTATACTTGCTATAATGATCAGAACCAAGTAAACGTCCGAACAGACCTATCCAAAAACGAGGGAGCTTGTCGCTCTCCTTCAAATATAAATGGTTTACTTAACAAAAATCTTATAATTGAGAAGGACCAACAAAAAAGAGCAACAAGCTGCAAATAATACAAAAAACCACTTTTCTCTCCTGGTTTAAAATTAGAAATTAAGTTTGCCGCACAAAACTAATGTAAAAAAATGGACTTACAAGACTTCGACAGCTAGATTATCGCAAATAGTAAAATAGGCTATTGCTGGATGTATATCGATTATAGAAAAAATGGATGAGGTATCGGGACTAGCAGAAATCAGCCGCCTATTACATACAAAGGAAGGAAAAAATCTGTAGAAAATAATCAGTAGAAAAAAATCAGCAGAGACCATATATCAAACTATACCATCACGATGCACTATGTTCACCGTTTACTTGCCTCCACTCTTTTAGCGCATCTAGCCCCATTTACCATTTTCATTTTTTACTCCCTGCCTACAAAAATGCAAAACACCTTTCCGTCCCCTTTTTTGCTAGAGGTATGTTATCGAATCCATACAGATAAAAAGATCGTATTGACTTTAGTATCAAGTGTCCAGTATGGTATACTCGTACTGCGTACCAAATTAACGAAAGTTTAGTATAACATACTCATACTGCGTCTAGTATCACTTCATCAGAAAAAAGAGCGCTCGGGACGAGGGTGAAATTGATATTAATATGCATTCATGGGATCCATCCCTGCAATGCTCCCAGAGTGCCTGAGTACTCTATATACGTACATCCGCGTTCTCAGGAATCATAGAGACCAGATGGTCTATACGACAGGTTTTGTGAAGAGGGATGGTGAGTTTGGATACTTTGCAGCTGTGGAAGCGGGATTGTTTTTGTTATTTTGGTACGCAGTACGAGTATGTCATACTAAATTTTCGTTATTTTGGTACGCAGTACTAGTATGCCATACTAGACACCTGATACTAAAATCAATACGATCTTATATTAATCCTTTTCGACCAAAAATTAGGGATCAAATCGCAGCGATTCGAGCTTTCAGAGCATACCACAATCAGGCGCTATCATGGCCAACTAACTTTCGCTTAGGTAGACGAGCGAATTTGTACCGCTATTTTTCACAAACCCTCTCCTCTTGCTACAAGAGTCTTGAATATCAAAATGGTGCTGGTGGAGCGCCTCGAGCTATTGGGTACGGCAAATATACCTGAGCCTTTTTTTTTAAAAAAAAAAAAAAAAAAAAAAAATACAGGCTCTAAAACACTTGTGTTTTTATTTCTTTTTTTCAATGGGTTGAAGTGAGCATCTGCAGTTGCATCCCACCGCATTATGTTTAGAGGTGGCGCAAATCCATGCCAGCTGGGAGGACTCTCTATACGCGATAACAGCCTTCCCAAGAGCTGATCAAAAGAATTGGCGAGTACTGGTTATGATTGAACAGATTATGGAGGATCACAAAGTTTTGGGATCCAGCAGTGAGGCTGACAAACGGGCTTTAGTCGAGGTAACGCGGAGCAAACCGAATGCAATTAAGCGCTCTTTGTCTTTTTGGTAGCAGAGATTTATATGTAATCACTTTCCTACTTTATTTGAAGTAGACGATTTACCGCGCCTCGCAAAAGACTTTCCAGTCTCCTCGGATCTTACGCTTATTGTTCTTTGCCCTGATTGAGATGGGGCAATATGATGAAGCCGAGCTTGCGCTCAAGTCATATATGGAGATGGCAGAGCTCAATCTCAAAGTCAAAAACGCAGCTGCTAACGAGACCCTATCCTACGAGCAGCGCGTCCGGCTGGATGTTGAATCACAGTATGAAATCACTACTGTCATGATCGCTGGCTCTGTCCTCTATGGGAAAGAGCTTAATAAGCCAACAGAAGCCCTTACTTGTGCTAGTAATGCTCTAGACAATGTTCATAAATATTTGCAAAGCCACGAGTCCACTTCAGAGCTTCTCAACAGTGCGTACAAATATCAAGGGATTGCTTACGGCCTCTTAGCCTCAAGCGGTAAATATTTTCCGTCTTGACCCCTACCAAATTTCAGAAAACCATTTTCCTTAATATCACTCACCGTTATCAACCTCGGTCTCGTTATTATAATATAGAACATGAACCCGAAAAGCGTTCCGATTTTTACGCCAAGGCTATAGAGTCGCTGGCGAAATCAATCCAAATTTTGCCTGCAGCATTTGATGGTCATTACTTGCTTGCGCTTCAGTTGGCAGAGATGCGTGACATTCCCAAGGCAACTATGACTGCAAAGCAGAGTCTGAGTATCAATCCTTCATATATCCCTTCTTGGCATCTTCTTGCACTACTTCTCTCTTCGCAGAAGGATTATGAACGCGCCTTGAATATCTGTGCGGTTGGGTTGAAGGAATCCGAATGGGATATCACACAGGCAGATGGATATTCAGCATCTGGACTGGATGGTGAGGAGTACCTATCCTTTTGCATCACTCAGGCACTCCTTCATGACAAGGTGCATGGCCCTGAGGCTGCTCTAGAGCCACATGAAGCCTTGTTTGTCTTGTACAGCAAGGTATTTGCTATTGAACCCGAACCTACTGCAGAGAGTCTTTACGGTGTTAACAGCATTCAACGTCGCGATCAGAGCGAACTTGATGTATCTACAGGATCAACAATAGTGGGACGTCTTCATGCAGGCAGTATCTTAAGCATCAGAGGCAAGAACGGCGAATCTGACATTGCAATGACTTCAAATGGCAGTGCCAAAGTCAGCACTCTCGGCTACATTTCATCTTTATAAGATACAGAACTCAATACCTGGTAATGCTTATTGAACATAATGCCTCGTCTTTATAATTGCTTAGATGTTCCTAAGCCGAGCTATACCCCGTCGATCGCATCTATCGGCTCAACCACCTCAAAAGATCGTCGTATCCCACCGTCAGCTACATCGGCTCAGAGCACTCTCATTAAATCTGCATTAAGCCTTCCTTCAGTCGCTCAACGCCCTACAACAAAGTCAATCATGCGGATAGCGAGAGCTAACACGGTACTGGTCACCCTCTGGCTCTTGTCTGCTTCGATTTTTAGACGGCTTGGAAGGATGGAGGACGCGCTGAAAGCCATTGAAGAAGCGGAGCGTGTCGATAGCTCTAATCCTGACGTCTGGTATCAAGTAAGAGCCCTTTTTATTTCTATCTTTAATCCACCAAGCATAACGCAAATATTTTTAAACTAATTAGCGTAACCCCATATCTTAGCTAGGTCTTTTATATGCCGCTCAAGGTGATCCGGAAACGGCATCCGTTTCATTCTCGAAGGCATTAGCCATATCGCCATACCATTCAGCTTGTTTGGCTCGCGTGGGACGTTCATATCTAGATGCAGGCTCGCTGGATATGGCTGAATATGTTCTAGAAACTACCACTAAGAGCCATGGATGGGACTGTGCAGAGGCCTGGCTCTACCTTGGAAGAGTGATGGAGGCATCTGACCGTCTGACGCGTGCCAAGGAATGTCTCTGGTACGCGTTAGACTTGGAGAACTCATGACCTATCCGGCCGTTTAAAGACTCTGTACCACGGTATCTTGCATGATGGGTCACAGGGTCGTTACAGGATGCATAATTTTATAATTTAATGAGAAATTTATTGGCTCTTCCAAATGTTAAAATAAATAAATATAAAATATATAAAAAAGCCAGATATATTTTCTACTTTCCATAAAAATTTGATTTAATATTAATACTACTCAATAATTCCGAGGCTTTCAAGCCCGCCCTCCTTGTCTTCATCGTCACTAGAGTCGGGAATAAAATCATTATTGGTACCAAAGCTATTTTCAACAGAGTTCAATGCATCGAGCACTCGCCGTGTAGCCTGTTTTTGCTTCAAGGCCATGTCTATCAAAAACATATCTGCAGAAGAAGGCGAGCTGGCTGCAATGGATGATGAGAGCGCTCCAATAGAATCGAACATATTACTCATGTCTGAAGCTGAAAACGCTAAGTGCAACATCTGTTCAGCTAGATCTCGGTTGTGCTGTTGTTGCTCAAGCTCCTGTTGGTGTTGTGCCTGTTGTTCGACGGAGAGCTCGTGTAGCGACTGTGTGTGCAAAGCCATGCTATGTTGGCCAGAAGATAAAGATAACTCTGTTGAAGATAGATCAAGTGTTGGTGTGTGATTCTGGCCCTCTCTTGCTAAATGACCTGCTTCCTGGGATGCGTGGGGATTCAAAGTGTGTTGGGTGGTGGCAGAGTTTGATAGCGCCTGCGCTAAAGTTGACTGCTGCTGATGTTGCTGCTGCTGGTGCTGCTGGTGCTGTTGTTGCTGGTGCTGTTGCTGTTGGTGCTGATGTTGCTGATGATGTTGGAGGTATGGGAACTGAGCCGAGAGAGCAGCAATAGCTGCCTGTTGTGCGGCATCGTTGATTTCTTGCTGCTGAATGGAAGCGCTAGATCGAACGCTCGAGCGAGATGGTTTTGAGATTAAACCATTCGATGTTTCATTAGGAGTTCCAACAGTCGATTGAGTATTAGTGGAGCCACCTCGTCTTTGCTGTATTCTGCGCTCAACATCCTTCATCATGTGCACAATCACTTGCTGTAGTGTCATCTCCTTGTATCCTTCAATTTTACAACGCGAGGACATAAACGTGCGCGCAATTTGGTTCGCTGCTGGTACACGCTGCAGACTTGCTACAGCTTCTGCTTGAGCAGCAGAAACGGCTGCCGCCATGGCCGCTGAGGCAGCTGCAGCTGCAGCTGCAGCAGAAACATTATTGTCCTGGAGATGCTGTTGCTTCTTGGAATCAAGTCGGTCATGGGATTGGATGATTTTGGCAAGCTGAATTGCATTCGCTTCTTCAACTCTATCACGCAGTCTTTGAGCAATATCCGCCCATTTTATATCCGTGTGGTCTGTATAACCATCTTCTTGAATCATTTTGAGCGAGTCTAGCTGCTGTTGCAGTCCACTGCGGCGTCGAATCGGTCCCTTGGGTGCCTTGGGTACGAACGATGGAAGAGGAAGAGACGGATTGAATGCTGCAGATCCAAACGGGTCGTGCTCAGCACTATGTACATCGGTGGACAAATGGTCCTCCCCAGCCCCATGATGATTCGTTTGATCTGTGGTTGGCATGGTTGTTGTAGACATGGGTTGTGTCCAGAGCATATTGCTGTTACTTTCTGCTGGGAGCACGCTCTGTAGCGCTGCAGCCAACCTAAGGACATCTTGTGCAGCTGCCGTCTTACCATGGTTACTACTAGAGCTTAGGCTGAGTTCCAAATTGTCATCTACATGGACTGTTTGTTCTTGTTGCTGCTGTTGCTGCTGTTGCTGCTGTTTATGCTTCTTTGATGATGTCTGTTTCGCTGTACCCGTGGTTGATGCTGCAGTGGCCGCCACAGCCGCATTAGCTGCTACAGCTGCATTCGCTGCTACAGCTGCTGCAGCTGCTGCAGCAACGGAACTAGGTGCCGTCCATTCACCCCGTTCTAATCGAGGCTGTAAAGTCTGAGAATATCGGTGGCGACATTGATGTCGAGTCCTTGTACCTTGCATCCGCTCCGAGATCAAAGTCCACATCGGACTCGAATCCAAAATATTTGCTTTCCCTTGCTCCAGAGCCAGCTCTTGCATGATCGATAATAGCTTTTCATCCTCATGAGGCTGCCATGCTCCTGTTACCATTGTGCTCTGGTCCTTAAGATGGTTACGATAACGATCACGGCAGCTGTCGGCCATTCGCCCAAGCTCTGTACCGATAGTTGTCCATTGTCCTTTGTGCTTTGCATACAACATAATAAGTTTCTGATCGTCCTCTTTGCTCCAAGCGCCAACATTATTTTGAGGGTGGAACATGCGTCGCACATGAAGATAAATGTTTAGAAGTGGTCGGTTCTGCAGTCGAACGGCTATTTTGCCCGAAAAGGGCATGCAAAAAAAAAAAAAAAAAAAAAAAAAAAAGGCTTTTAAGACGAGTAATACCAAACCACATTTTGAAGAGAAAATTATATTATAGTCAATGAAGTATTCAATTCAATATTCTTACCGATTTCAACCCACAAGGCTTTGAGATCATTCTTCTCAAATCGCCCACGACCGTTCCCATTTTGGAACCAACGCTGGATGGCATCTTCAGGCATGTTGTTGCGAGCCACATAATCCTTAATGGTCTGTCGAATCAGCTCATCCTCATGAGAACTAAAAGTCCCTGTTTTGTATGCAATACCTATCATGAATCCGATAAGGTAGAAAACAAAGTCGGTAAAAATCCCTCCTCGTGAAAGCTCATAAAACTAAACAATTGCATATATACCTTCAATGACAATCCCTACCTTTCTCTTTCAGGGCGGTAGCCATAAGCCATTTAGTATGTAATGGATTTGTGCTTGTAACAGCGCCTGGATCTATATGTGTGTGGCTATTCGCGTTATCGGATGGAGCGCCGTTTACTGGTTTAGCTCTGATATCTTGGTCAGCCGTAGTGTCGTTATTTTTTGTAGAATGACCTGCGATCGATCCTTCACTGGTTGAGCTAGGATGTGGAGAGTTCACATTATTAAGTGAAGGTCTCAGTGTTGCTAAAATTGAGGGGTCGTTCAAATGAATGAGCACATTTGTTGCATCTACAGCCATATCAGAATGAGTATTACTCTGGTTATGATGCTGCTGGTGTTGGTGATGGTGATGTTGTTGGTCCTGTTGCTGTTGAAGATTTCCATTAAGATCCTCTTCGATCATCATATGCATATTTGGAGCATTAGTTATAGACTCGATAACTTGCTCTTTCGACAATCGAGAGCCAGTAGATGGGCTTGATGGGATTTGTTGCCGAAGATCCTGTTGCATTTTGAAAACCTCATCATTGACTCGCTTGATATCGTCCTGCTGTTCTGAATTATGATTCGGTTTTTGGCCATGCAAGTGTTGATTTGCCTGACTCGTGTGTGTCAGCAAACTGGAGCTATCTCCAGCATTGGCCAATAAATTGGCCATGGTCGTCATAACGACTGCTCTTGCAGCGTCAACCTCTGCACTACAAGAAGATGAAACATTGTTCAATGAGAGATTCGAAATAGTGCCCTGACCAATTGAAGGTATACTACTGTCTTGGCTAGCATGAGTTAGCTCACTATCAGCTGTACTACTTCCATGTGGCGACGGTACATAGGATTCAACGTTATTGATGTTGTTTAACTGATTGCTTGTGTGCGCTACAGATGTCTTTTTGTAGCTAGTATGGGATGCCTCGTCGTTATTCTTTCTCTTCCTTGACTCTTCCATATCTAGCCACGAGATGAACAGTAAGCTTTTATTCCAAAATGCTGTAATAATATGTAGAGGTGTTAAGTTGTGAGATTGACGTCAAAGAGATATCCTTGTGGCTATCAGGTTTATGAGAAAACAACCATGATACATCATCAGTAACACTTGGAAGCAATTTGTCATTCCCCATATAGTTCCTCGGTAGTGATGGCTACTGTCAGCAACTCTTGCTCTAACGCAATTACAAAATCATCTGTGGTGCCACTTAATCCAAAGTGGATGCCGGATCTTTTTTCCTTTCCATGTTTGTGAGACACCCTTTGCTCTCTGCACAGTCGTTCATTCCAAGCAAGTGGTACGCATGACTACTTACACGTTAAGGCTTAAGGGTAAAAGAGTTACAGAGAAAGGTTCGCTGTCAGGGTGCAACATAAGAATCAAAAATACTCTCGTTGTCTCGAAGTGGTGGCTTTTTTTGTCTGGCTAAATCTTCACTCCAGAAAATGGATTCGAAATAATCATAGACATATCGCTTACTCTTATTGCTATGAGGTGATAAAAATGTTTATGGAGCTCACACATTATTATAAAGAATGCATAAAACTGATGGAGATCTATACTATGAAGGAAGCAAGAGTCTGATAGCATTCTTAAAGGTGCTGTGGTGCTGCTGTACATGTATGAGTAAGGAGTGAAAAAGGGCAAGAAAAATGGTCAGCGTTGGTTCCTAGGCTGTTGGATAAAAGCTGTCTGAAAATGCCAACTTTCACGCCTTAAGGGCCTTATCAAATTTTTGTATTTCATTAGTTTGCAGCCAAGATCTTTCAAATTCCTCCTCTTACTTTTATTTTCGGTAATTGAACCACCCTGCACGGACTGCAATCCATTCATACAGGGCAGAAGGAATTCAACCATCCAACTTCACCCTCTATCCATCCATCAGTTTATGAATGTGTATCCATTCGTGGTTCACTTAGACAGGAAGAAATCATTATTTCAAATTTTTCTACTACAACAATTGGTCATATTGAGCTTGAGATTCAGATTTATTAATCACATTGATTTACTGAATATTTTAACTGAGAATCTATCAATTGGACGCGAGCAAAGCTGCTCATCGCTCAATCTATTGAGAACCTTTCATTAAATATTGATATTGAGAACTCAGGAAGAACAGGACATCAGGACAAAAGAATTGCAAGGATCTTTGGCGATCACTTCCAGATTCCATCAATCTAATTGTGTTTATTTCCCTGTAACAGAAATGGCTACCCTTGCTCTTCCTGCCGGTATTGAGACCGATGGCGCCGTCCGCCTCTTCAATAAGTGGTCCTATGATGATGTTGAGGTTAAGGATATCTCCTTGATCGATTACATCCAAGTCAAGGCTCCAGTCTACTTGCCTCACACTGCTGGTCGCTTTGCCACTAAGCGTTTCCGTAAGGCTCAGTGCCCTATTGTTGAGCGCCTCACCAACTCCTTGATGATGCACGGCCGCAACAACGGAAAGAAGCTCATGGCTGTCCGCATCGTCAAGCACGCCTTCGAGATCATCCACTTGCTCTCTGATCAGAACCCTATTCAGGTTCTTGTTGATGCCATCATTAACACCGGTCCTCGTGAAGACTCCACCCGTATCGGCTCTGCCGGTACCGTTCGTCGCCAGGCTGTCGATGTCTCTCCTCTCCGCCGTGTCAACCAGGCTATCTCCCTCTTGACCATTGGAGTAAGTTTTTTTTGTTGCCATTTTTTCTTGAATCTGTCTTTTGAGTGAATCCCATTGAAGTGACAACTTTCGACAAGTGTAGTGTATTGGTGTTTGAACACTTGTGCTATGAACCTAAAATCATATAGTGAGTTGGTTGGGTTTACTGCATGATGTGTACCCTTTGAATACCTATCACGTTATTATTGTCGCATTGTTGCGTGCTAAATGGGCACTTTTCTCTCGACGACAGCCCAAGCATCTCTGTATATAACGCGCTTTATCTAGATCCAGAGTAAGAGGTTTCGCCCCTTACGGTTACTAACGCCCATCTCTATTGCTACCTACTATAGACTCGCGAGTCTGCTTTCCGCAACGTCAAGTCAATTGCTGAGTGCCTCGCTGACGAGCTCATTAATGCTGCTAAGGGCTCCTCCAATTCCTACGCCATCAAAAAGAAGGATGAGTTGGAGCGTGTTGCCAAGTCCAACCGTTAAAATGTTTTTACGGGTGGTTGCAACTACCTTTTCATGTTTTATTTTGTCATAGCCTTTAAATAAAGCAAGGAAATAAAAAATTAAAAAATTAGAAAAAGCCAATATGCTGATTTAAGTTGATTTGCAATTCCGAGCCGCGTGGTGTATCAGCTGCCTTGTTTCATGCTCATTTGCAGATTCGATGGCCAAAGCGAGCCTGGTAAAAGTTCATGAAAGAAGTTGCTACTGATTGTCACTTTGGACATATAGCGTTTGTAACATAGAAATATAAACTGGTTTTCCAAGGTAGATATATATTTAAATATATATATACATTGTACATACATGCGTGCGTAATGTACGACATGGCGTACCTTTTCCCTTCTGTTTGGACAAAGTTTTCAAACATACTTTATGATGGGCAAGAGGGTAAGGATACAGGTTGTCCAATGAGATTTGAGTCCATAGATGCCAATTATGAAAAATCATCGGATGGAGTGCTCCTGGCTGGTTCCAGTAGCTATCGCGGTTGGCTAAAAGAGGGTCGTTGTTTAAAATATCGGGAGCACACAGAGCACGTCAAGTAGGATGGAACAATGCTATAAATCGGAGCGAGCCGAACGATCCACTCTCCCCTAAGATTCGCGTTTCGACATAACCATTCCCAACATACTGTACGCATGCCTCCTATCATCAGCTCTCAATGACAGTGATAGAATCTAGCGGCAATAGACGCCGATGTCATATACCAGTGAACGACATGAATTCATAACCAAATGAATCACACCAAATCTTCGGTCGGCAACCCTTTATTCTTTGACAAGCATTAAAACAATTAACAATAAGGGGGCCAATTCTTTTAACCTAAACCTAAAAGGTGTATAAATAGAGCAGGCAGTTCCATTTTTTTTTCAATCTCAAGCTCCTTCTGGTGCGCATTCTTTCATTCATTTCCATTCCCACTCTCTCATTTTTCTCTCCTTTAGTTCTCTCCCTAATATTTTCTCTTTACTGTATTAACAACCTCTAAGCTATGGGTCTCACAAAGACATACAAGGACGGAACCAAGCCCACCGTCGCTATCATTGGTGCTGGGTATGCTTCGTGTTAAACTACATTAAATATATGTCAAGATCGCTCTTGTATATTCGGGCAAATTTGTTAAACCTTTATATCCATAACAGGTTTTCAGGAATGTGTGCTGCTATCCGTCTTCAAACGCAATTAAACTTGGAGACATACCAGGTTTTTGAGCTTGAACCTGATCTAGGAGGCACCTGGTGGTCCAACACGTATCCTGGAGCTGCCTGTGATGTTGCTTCCATTAACTGTACGTCATATATGCCTTGATTACCGGCTCCTTTACTTTTTGTGGACGACTATCCACAAGTCATGCTAATGCTTTGCTATATTTCAACTTCCTTCATAACAGATCAATTCTCATTCGAGCCCAACTACGAGTGGTCGCAAAGATATGCGAATCAGGCAGAGATTTGGGCTTATATGAGACGAGTTGCAAAGAAATATAACCTGTACGAGAAGATTCGTTTCAGAACCGAAGTCACCCGCATTGAATGGAACAATAGCCGCCAAAAGTGGATTGTGGATTATATGGATTTATCGACAGGCGAACGCAGTGTGATGGAGGCTGACATTGTATTTTCGGGAGCAGGACCACTGCGCATTCCTTTCATCCCAAAGCAATTTGATGACTTTGAAGGGCCTAAGTGGCACACTGCTCAATGGAACCATTCAATCGATCTGACTAACAAGCGTGTCGCTATAGTTGGAAGTGGAGCAAGGTATACATATGATACTAAGTCTCATAAAATAGGACTATTATTGCTGCAATACTCCAATTGATATGCTATAACTAAAATGGGCTTCTGTTCTTGCAAAATTTAGTGCCATCCAGGTGGTCCCATCCATTGTAGATAAGGTCAAGACATTGGAGTACTATCAGCGAACACCATCATATATCATACCACGCAGAAACGGCCCATATAGTAGTCTGTGGAAATTCCTATTCCGTTATATTCCATTTTTTCACTTTATCTACTTCAAACTCAACTACTACGGTTCCGAATTAACAATCAACATATTCAGCAACAAGCTCATCCACAGGCTCCCTCGTTTGTTCACGACATTCCTTTCCTGGGGATTCCGCATGTGGCAGGTCCGTGACAAAAATCTGCGTGAAAAGCTCACACCTAAATATGAGATGGGTTGTCGTCGCATTGTTGTAGCATCCAATTACTTCCCTGCTGTGTGCAAGAAGAATGTCAACGTGCATACTGAGGCTATCCAAACTGTCAAGGGTAATACTTTGACATTAAAGGACGGTTCAGTACAGGAAGTTGATGCTTTAGTCCTAGCTACGGGTTTCAAAGCTCAGGAGATGATCCCGCCAAAGTACCTGTTCGGCAAGAATGGAGTTGATCTGGAGAAGAGATGGGGCAAGAACCCTTCAACGTACTATGGCATAACCTCTCCAGAGACTCCTAACATGTTCTTTTTGCTTGGCCCCAACACTGGTCTTGGTATGATGAGCAGAATTTTTGTTCCGTTTCTTTTAAATTAAGAAAAGTTTGAATTTCTATTAACTTTCTTTTTAAAAAAAAAAAAAAAAAAAAAAAAAAAAAAAAAATAGGACACAACTCCGTTCTTTTTATGATCGAGACACAGGTTGATTATGCCATCAAGGCCATGTCCTACATGATGGCAAACAACCTTTCCGCTATCGAAGTTACTCCTAAAGCATGCCAAGAATTCATGACAGAGCTTGACAAAAGGATGCAGGCAAAGGTCTGGTCTTCCACCTGTCAGAGTTGGTATCAAAACTCGGAAGGACGTGTAACAGCATTGTGGTGGGGATCGTGCGGACAGTACTGGTGGAGACTGCGAAAATTTCATCCTCACAACTTTGTTGCTTCCAAGAGAATTTAATATAATAAAATGCATAACGGTACAAAATATATCCATAATGATTAGCCGCAAATACCTTGTAACTCGTTCATCGGCTTCTTCAATAATAGGTACCGCACAATGGCGATCCAGATTACGCAATCGCAATCACGCTCCCAGCCATCGTGTTCCCAGACCTTTTCAATGTTGACATAGGTGAGAGCATCACTGTCGGTAGTGAGGGCTACGTCATCAGGACTGCAGTCGCCTTCAATCTGAACGTCCACTTCTACTTTAAGCACTACAGTCATTGTACTCTTATTGCCATAGATATCCTACTAGCGAGGTGTGTGCTTGAAGAGGAAACCGGGGCGCCTTTTCTACGTTTTCCCTCGCTGTAACATGCTGCTCTTTTGTTGCCGTTCGCTGCAACACGGCCCTTAAAGATATCTAGAGTCACTGCCGCAGCAGCCTCGGCTTGCTCTGTCTTGACGCTTCACGCCGCACGAGCTGCGTGTTTCTCAAACACATCGGTACCATCAAGGCAGATTACTGAGCAGTCCTTCGAGGCGGCTGAGGAAAGTCTCTTTCCAACAACCCCGTTGTCGATGTCGATTGGTATCGTGTTTGTTCATCGGAGTAAAGGGTAAATGCCTGCTTGCAGGCCAGCCTGAATTTCGCCAGAGTAACATCGGTAAGTATATTTCCGAAGGATTGTACCCTTTCTTCCACATCATCGGCCAGAGCTCCTTTCTTGCCATGGACGTCGAATATGCTGCCTGTTATGGTGCAAGACGGAGTCAAATGCAGAAGGACTGTAATAAGAAGAGAGAAAAAAGAATTTTATTAAATTATAAGGTGTGTTGTATTTATAGTCTGGCAATTATGTGTGTAATAGTCAGGCATTTCTTTTTATACTAGTAGTCGGTCTACTGTGACAATGTACGCTTCGAGCACAGTACGTATCTCTCAAGAGTGAAAGAAAGATGTGTCTCTTGTGATCCTTAGTAAAAACTTTAACAGATCAAATTATTCTAGCCTGCTTGATGTGATTCAGGGCTTTGGAGAAGCTTGTTCTGGGAAACAAAAAGGTCGTGACAACCGGTTATGTATTTGGTTTTCTAAAAGGTACCTTTGAGAGTGCAGCCCCTTCATGCCAAAGAAGGCGTACGATCTATAGCTCTCTCACAATACGGAAATGGATAGAAAGGCCAAGGCTTTGGCACCTAATTTAGATGCTGCAAAGCCTGCGTTTGAGAGAACCCGGCTGAGAGAAAGACATGTATAATATAAACTGGACTAGACTTTACAAGCGATATTCTAACGATTGCTATTCCTTCAGTTGGTAACCAAATCGTTTTCTACACTAAAAAGAGAGTTACTTTATTGCTATGGACATAAGCAGCACCACCCTTTTGTCTTGTTCACGTCCTAACCATGGCAGGCATAGAATGCCTTGTAAACACATGTACATATTTGGTGTCATGGGTCTACGACGACTTTTTTTGATAGACTTTTAAGCTTAATATGGTGCCAGCAGTGATTTTAATTAGTAAATGACCATGATTAAAAAAAAATAGTTTTGGTGCACTGCCCAAAAATTGATTAAAACCGGCGATAACTGGCCAACCGGTGGCGATGCGGTTAATTTTACATTTTGGTGCCACTAAGCGAAAAAAAAAAAAAAAAAAAAAAAAAAAATCACTGGTTAAAAATGCTGGATACGTAGCTGCCTGGTGCATGCTCCTTGCACCAGAAAATGAATAAATGCCCTATGGGCGTGGTGTGTGGACCCACATCTGATCCTCACTTACTTTCCTACTGCTCATTATCTATCTATCAAAAGCTTTTCACCACCTGCTATCGGTAGCTAGCCGTCATCTGCTGATCTGCATCAGTCCTGATCGCCTTCGCGTCTGCTGTTCGTCGTTGTCCCTGGTGAGAGCCAAAGAATTCACTTCTGCTACGTGTGTGCCTTCCAACACAGTTGCGTCCCCTGGCACATTTGCTTACAAAGGCGATACCATTGCCTCTTTCCCAGTTGACGGTGACTTTGCAGCGTCTGTTCCACATTTCAGTCCCGTCCTTTGATTGTCTACATTTCGCCAAAATAGGCATCCTTGACGGCTTGGTCTGCCCTTATATTACTTCTATTTCCAGCATGGTCCTTGACCCATTTCACAGTTACCTTCCCGCCCTGCTTAAAGAACGCTCTCGAGATTGCCGCCCATCACACTGCGTACTTGGATCGCAATCGCTGCCGTTCAGTGCTTGTTTCTCGCTTTTGAGCAAGGTCCTTGAACTGAAGCATTACCACCATGTTCTCTATGTAGACAGTCGTTGGAACGTTACGAGGTCTGACTAGGATGGCTGCGTACAGTCCTACTAGCTCTGCCTTAGTGGATGAAGCGCGCCCATCGACTCTACCTGAAACTACATTTGTGAAGCTTTCTGGGCCTGTCTGAGCCACCACTCCATAAGCCATCCGCGCTGCCCTTCTTCCTGCCTCTTCAAGGGACCCATCTGAGTAAAGTGTCAGCTGCCTCATCGTTGATGGTTTCCTCTTTGACGCAGTATATTGTCCATGCCAACCCGTGAGATCTCTACACCTAGGCACTTAGAGAAGCCATACCAACGATGGTGATCCTCTGGGATCTTATTATTCCTTGTTCTTGAGGAGTCCATCTGTTTTTGCGCTTTCGTCCTGAGCCTCCTATCGAGGGCTTGTTCATTGAGCTCGGGGTGTCCACGTATCTTATTTCGCTCTTGTACTCTACATCTTGCTCGGTTGAAAGCCGCTCGTCGTAACTGTTCTCTTCTTCCTTGTTTGTCGAGCCTTTGAAACCTAACCTGTAACCGTAGGCGCCCTTGTCGGCGAGCTCTTTCGATAACCTTCGAGTGTGCGGCTTCTTGCTTGACTTGCACCCACTGTTCACGTCGCTACACTCTCCTTCTCTCCGCTTCTTTTTTCCTCTCTTGTCCATTTCTCTTAGCAACCATTGCTCCCTCTTTCCTCTTTCTAAACGGCCACGAAGTTGTAACATTTTCCTATCTTGTGGATCTTTCCACAACTTTGCCCAACGGGCAGATTTCTTCTGCCCGTGTACCAAAATGAAGATTATTGTTGTCGTTGAGCTTGCTGTTTAATGCTAGCACCTGCGTCTTTTTTGCATTCATTTCGACCCCACTAAGAACAAGAAAGGCCATAGTACAGCATCCTGTTCATAAACCACGTCAGTATTGAGTAAAATCTGGGCTTTTTTTTTTTTCTTTTTTTTTGATAACAAGGACCCTCAGGGTCATGGGATTTATTTTCTACACTCTATGAACAAAATGCTCCAGAAACTATAGTCAATAAACAGCTATTACTGCACAAACGGCAAGAGCCGCTATATCCATGATTTCATAAACCCTGACCGCCATGGTTGGTACTCAAAGTCCACCTTCCCGACGTGGCCTGTTGCGCAACACGACAAATTATCCGCTATCCATAGTCATCAAAAACTTCATTCCACCTAATCTCTCTAGGCGTCAGCGCGTAAACCAGTGCTCCTGAAATTTTGTCAATTATGATGTTTCAGATTAAAAAAATAAATATCAATTGACAAAATTTCAGTTCGAATAGAGGGATTCGGGTGGCTGGGGCGTCTAATAGGGCACGTGCAGGTCCTTGAGTTTTGCTTTTATCACTTGCTGAGATGGTTAGCGAGTGACGTGGAAAGATCTGTCAATGATCCCAAATTTTTTTTTTTTTCCTGTTAACAAGAACCCACAGAGGTGAGGAATTTTATTTCATAATCTCGCTCTAAAGTAATGATATCGCCCTCAACTATGAAACAAGCGAAACTCTCAAAGTTCGCACGGGATGGCTGTGAAGAGCCAATTCGTATCCATGTTTTTCTCTACCAATGTACACCGTGATCGGTACTCGAAGTCCATCCTTCCGATGTGGCCTGTTGCGCCCGTGAAAAGCCGCGGAGGCTGGCGTGCCGACTCTAGCTAAGGACGACTTTTAATTTTTTTCTATTCGATCAAATCCACTGGCATGTGGACCCAAATCTTGCGGGATTGGTCTGAAATTTCTACTTTGGACTCCGTCAAACTTTGTGATCATCGCTGTCCTAGTCAAGTGGGTGGATGGGGGGGATGTGCTGCCAGATGTACCGCTGGTTCGGCTGGGGGGTGGAATATAAACCTAAGACATGTGGCCAGCCAGGCGACTTAGGGTAGTGCACCCACGATCTTAGCCTTAGCGGAGAACACTAGGCTGTCTCGGAGAGAAAGTATAAAAACTCAAGCAAATCCCTGACCTGGCACATGTTTGCTTCACTTTATGTGCCTTAACCAGGACTCGAACCCGGCCCCTGGGCTAGACAGGGGGGTGCCCTGACGAGTATACTACTCAGCCATTGGGCTTATCTGTCAATGATCCCAAAGATTGACAGAAAATGAACAAAATTTTTTTTTTTTTTTTTTTTTTTGATAACAAGGACCCACGAGGTCATGTAGGATTTATTTAGATGTTAGCTCTATAAATGGGTTGCCCCATTACTGGGGTCGCAAATAAAGCGGTATCCAATAATCGACCGAAGCCGCATCGTCATACTGCCACAGTACTACATCCTGTTCATAAACCACGTCAGCATTGAGTAGACTTCCTTGGTCCCAGAGGACCTGTGGCACGGCTCTACTCCCTACTTGGCCTGTTGGACAGAAAATGAACAAAATGATAATAAAAAGTTGGACGAAATGCCAAAAGATAAATTCATAAATGGACAAAGTGCCAAAGGAGGATAATCTGACAAATAGATCACTAAAGGATCATAAATCAACAATGATAGTCCTGGAGAATGCTGCAAAATAGCATCAAAAGTGAAAAGAGGGATTGATAAAGGAAATAATGATTAAGGTACTGTACTGAATGATGATGGAAATAATGAAGAAGAGGATACGTAAATAGCAGATTTACGACACGAGCCGGTTGCACGGTCTACTGGCCCAATGGAAAGGCGTCTGACTACGAATCAGGAGATTGCAGGTTCGACCCCTGCGTAGATCATACTTTTGCCACTAATTTTTATTCTGATAAATGTCAATGACACGTGCTGGCGGGTGATTCGCCCTTTTAATAAATTTTTAATTGGATGAAGTTATTTGTACGGGCCCGTGCAAATATCTTTTTTCTAATTTTTTCTTCTTCATCGCTCTCATTCCATCGTCGACAGTGGACGGAACTAAACAGTAATAGCAGCAACAGTGCAACAGTGGCAGTAGCAATAGCTTGTAGTGACATCAGGACATCAAAGTAGAACTCATCGTCCGCTAATCGTCCACTGGCTTGCTCATTCACGTCTGACCTTTCATTCTAAAAAACCAGCAATATGGGCCAAATTTCTGCAGTGACCGCATGGCTTATTCTAACCTCTGCAGCTGGGGCAGCCTTTCTTATTATTACGACCGCTGACGATCCTGTCATTGTCAATATCTGTTTTTCGGTCCTTGCTGGAATTATAACATGGTATGCCATTCCGGCATTATCCGAAATTTTTATCAAGGCTGGATTGAAGGGCATGGATCTGAGCAAGAAGAGCAAGAATATTCTGTAAGTGGTTTTAAGAAGGAAAGTGTATTATTTTATAATAAAATGACTTTATTATTTGCATTCATCATAATCCTCCTGTAAAATTGCATAGACCCGAGAGTATGGGCATGGTTGCAGGCTTGATCTACTTGGTTACTATGTTTGTATTTATCCCATTCCCATTTATGAGATGGTTTACGGCTACGCGCGATGGGGATTCGCAAGAACTTAATACGCTACTGACCTTCCCTAATTTGAAGGTGGCGTATGATTTGCTTTTTAAATTTCAAAATGTCATGATGAGAAATCCATTGTTAGCTAACTTGCATTGCATACTTTTCTTTTCGGGTAAATTTAGCTGGCAGAGCTACTATCTGCACTTCTCTCAATTCAATCCATGGTATTCTTAGGCTTTGCAGATGATGTATTGGACATCCGTTGGCGATTCAAAATGCCTTTGCCAGCCATTGCGTCCATTCCATTGCTTATGGTCTACTGGGTGAACATGGGTGTTACTCATATTGTCGTACCAATTCCTTTGCGCTTCATCTTTGGTCAATTGATTGATCTTGGTAAATACTTCATCTACTTTACAATCAATTTATGAATCAAAGGCGTAGATCAGTCTCATGGATCAATTTTATGGAATATTCTTTACAGAAGTATACTCATCCTGTAGGATATACACCATTTTACTTCCTATAGGTGCATTATATTACGTATACATGGCTATGGTGGCTATATTTTGCACCCATTCTATCAATATTATGGCAGGCATCAATGGCGTCGAAGTTGTTCAATCGCTTGTGATTGCCTGCTCCATTGCCGTCAACGATTCGCTCTTCCTCAACGCCAATACCAGCGGAGCCCCTGCAATTGAGACTCATCGCTTCTCACTCTATTTTATCTTGCCTTTTATTGGCGTCAGCATCGGTTTACTTACTCACAACTGGTACCCTTCCAGCGTCTTTATCGGGGACACATATTGTTACTTTGCAGGAATGACCTTCGCAGTCGTAGGGATTCTTGCGCACTATAGCAAAACACTTCTTTTGTTCTTTATTCCCCAAATATTCAACTTTATCTTATCGGCACCGCAATTGTTCCGACTGGTGCCCTGCCCTCGGCACCGCGTTCCTCGTTACAATAGAGGAACTAATCTTATGGAGCCTAGTCGTGTGGTCCTGGATCAGGAAAATCTTGATGCGGACGTAACATGGCGCATTCAACATCAATATCAGCATCGATCGCTTATCAAATCACCATCATTTTCTCTATCTTCCTCACCAGCAAACCTGGATAATAGGGATTCAACCACCATCACCACAACGGAGCCTCCTTCTCCCTCACTGTCATTTGCAACTAAATCATTTTTGATCCGTCCCTCAAATTGTAAATTGAGTTTGCCAGGATGGTACAGTATCAAAATCCTCGAGATCCTTGGCTTGACTCAAGTAGAGTACGATGCCAGGACAGGACAGCTACCCCTCGAGATGACCAACTTGACCATTTTAAACCTAATACTACTTAAGACAGGACCAATGTCGGAAAGAAACCTAACCATCTCTGTTATGATTGTCCAAACGATATGCAGTCTTGTCGCATTCTTCATCCGGTATCGACTGGTAGCGTTTGTTTATGATGTCGTATCATAGGTGTACCATAATAAAATTTATAGAATATTTGTAATACCTCCCGAGTGTTTATTGTAATGCGAAAATGATGTGAACGATAACCATAAAAATAAAATAAAAATAGTAAAACATAATATATTGTTAATGATAAAATATGCTTAATCAGAATCAGAATCCTCCTTCTTACTCTTCTTTTCCTTCTTCTCCTTCTTTTCCTTCTTGTCTTTCTTGTCTTTCTTCTCCTTCTTCTCCTTCTTTTCCTCAGTCTTGGCTTTCTTCTTCTCCTTCTTCTTCTCGGATTCAGAGTCACTGGAAGAAGCCTTGCGCTTCTTTTCCTCGTCATCTTCTGCTTTGGCAGAAGCAGTAATATTAGAGACAGCGGAAGCAATTGCAGCGGCATTGGGAGCAGCAGCGTCCTCACGGTTGAAGTCAACATACCCCTTCTTCCAGTTCTCTGGTGTAGCATCGGTCGTGCGTCCGTACTTGTCCAGCTTGCCATCCTTAATCAGCTTCTTCTTTTCCTGAGCCTTGGGCCCCAATCCCCAGCGACGAGGATAGGTATCACGCTCCATGATCACACGCTTGATCTTGGCCACCACTCCATGGTCGCAAGTCGCCATGACTGCCGTAGTCATCTGAGCAATACCCAATGCAATGGCCTCGCCCTTAGTAGTCATCAGCACCACCTCCTCGTTAACCTCAATACCGGACTCGTAACGAAGCAAGCCAGGAATCATCAGCTTGGCTCCATAGCAAATGGCATTGACTGCGCTGTCCTTAACCACCACACGCTTATATGTTGTCAGCAGTGTCTCCAAAGGACGAACCACCCTACGAAGGTACGATTCATCCTTGGTGTTATCATACATCCACTGAGCATCCAAAACATCATGCATCGTCACAATGTCGTCTTCCTCTCCCATATGTCCTGAACGAACACGGCGAAGTTCCTGCATATGTCCTCCCACGCCCAACAATAAGCCCATGTGCACACACATCGTACGCATATATGTTCCAGCCTCACAAGCAACCCAGAAAACAGCCAGATGACGATCGTTATCAAATTCGATGAGCTTGGATTGGTGAATCGTACGGATACGAAGTTGTCGCTTGACAGCTGAGATAAGAGGAGGACGCTGAAACAAAGCACCCGTCAGCGTCTCGAGGGTCTAAGGGCCCAAAAATGAATAAATCAAGAAGAAGGAAAAAAAAAAAAAAAAAGTTAGAGAGCAATCTTAGGAGAAAACCGAAAACAACTAATAGAATAACAATGTATTTTTCACGCCTATTTCGTTTCTTTACCTGAGCAAGCTTCTTCTCGGACTCGATAGCATCGTGAAGACGAAGAACACAGACGTACTCCTTACCAGCACCTTGCTGAGACTTGACCAGACGAGTTGCACGATCAATGCAAACAATCAAGCATCCAGTGACCTTGGGATCAAGTGTGCCACTGTGGCCAGTTTTTTCAACACGAAGAATACGACGGACCCAAGCGACAACTTCGTGCGAGGAAGGGTTGGCAGGCTTATCCAAGTTAATGACACCATACCTTTTTTTTTAGTTAGAAGCAAAAAAAATAAATGTCAATTAAAAGTCTTCTTTTCCCTAGAGACCAATGCCTTTTAGCTTCTGACCTAGCCCAAAAGATAGTTTTTTTTTTTTTTTTTTTTTTTTTTTTTTTTCCCTTCAGTAGATCGATTGTTACCTGATGTACTCAGTAAGCTCTCGTCTCAAGGGGGAGCATCCGCTAGGGATAGGAGTGTAATGACCAGTGCGGACATTGAGTTTATCGTAGTTCTAAATAAGAAAAAAGCCAAAGACAAGCAAGTAATAGAAAACCATTTGTCAGAAAGAAACCTTCAAACAGCGAAATATTGACTTGCAGTATTGGAAAAAAGAGAACTGGTTTTCATTGAGATAAACACTAACCTTCAACAACAATGGCCAGTCAGCTGTGTTGAGTGAAGGAGTGGCAGACTCTGGCTTGATGGTAAAGTCGCCCTTGCGCTGAGCCTCTTCAACGTTATTCTTCGATGCAGCGGACATGTTTCCTTGTACTTGGGGTTGGTGCTATTAGTTTATGTGGTAAAAAGATAGAGCCGATTTTTTTTATTTTTTTTTTATTTTTTTTTTTTCGAATGTAATTTGTGTAGTTTTCGTTCTTTCCTGTAAATCCTCTGCCCTTAGCTGACTGCGCCAAAACTTTTTATTGTCAAAAAGCTGAATACAGTTTCTCAGGGATAAACGATGGTTGGATGAGTGGAGTGAAGAAAAGTAGCTTATTTGCTTTTTTTTTTTTTTTTTTTTTTTTTCAAGCCATTGCCTCGAAAAGTAAACAAGACATGCAAGAATAAAGGGACCCTTAACAAATCACGTGACTATAAGCGCCACCATTTTGCCGATGGACGCGATTTAAGTTTAAGGCTTTTACTTGACAATTAATCAAAGCTTAACCAAAAAGAAATCAGTTCGTTCCAAATCTGGTTTAACTTCCAGCTTCTGTGCGCTTGTCAATAAGTGAGTTGATTATGATTCATAGTATCAGAGGCTAGGGCGAAGGTAAAGGCGGAAGGGCAGAAGGACTTCTTTTGATATTTGTGATATTTTTAACTATGGCTATTCATAGCTTGTACCAGTGGGCTTTTCCAATATGGATATATTTGTACATGCACATTTGACGCGTTATACAGGCCTGTGGACGCGGGTGTATTACGTTACCATATTTATGTTCAGGAAAATATATATCCATTCGTTGGCCTGGACCGTTCATTCTGTATTCTTAGAAAGCAAAGCCAAAAGGAAACGATCCGACAGGAGAGGGAAGGACGCGTTTGCCCACCCTTTACACACGTGTGCACACTCTTGTACACACAAACTAACATTCTGTGCCATTTTAAAGCCTGATAATGTTTGATTAGCAAGTTTGTCCTGGCCAACCCAGCCTTTTTTTTCTTTTCAATAAGGAATGTTTGACCAACTATCCAAGTACCAATATCGCCATATTCCTTTTTAAATCCCCCTCGCCCTCATAAACGAAGAATGTTGAAGAAAGTTTCAGATGGAAACGAAAATTTCATTATGCACCACAGCCTCTTCTACATTTGGGTCATTCCACAACGTTAAAGGAAGACAGAGTAAAGGCCGTGCAGCCCTACAGCCCACTTTCCAGCATCTCCGGCAATTAACCTTGTACCCTGGAACTATGGCAACATGAACATAAATAGCATATAGCACATAGCATACAACAACAATGGGGGTTTTTTTAGAGAGAAACTTCGCCTTGTACAACCAAAATCAAGATAGACGAGGTTATGCCTTTATTATCTCTTGTTGTTATTTATTATTATATATTATCGTTTTTGAAGTAATGACTCTTCTTTTTAATCTGCTATTCAATCTTGGAGATAGAGAATCATTGAACTTTGGATTCAGAGAATAATAGTTTAATTCAATCCAAACCAAAGTGATATGGACATTTGGACTATGGCCACAATCTTCTTCTCTCTCTCTCCTCCCCCCCCCTTTTTTTTTTTTTTTTTTTTTTTTAATGCATCTGGAGTCCGTTCACTTTTTTAAAAAAAGCTCCGAAAAAAAAAATAGACAAGCTCCTTACGGGTCCGAAATGATGGAAAAGAAATTGATTCAAAAGATCAACGTTTGTATTTCTTACCAGGCATAAAAATGGCAAGAGCAACTGCACGTTTGTATATATATCATGAGAGGAGGAGGAGGGATGTGGCCACTGTCCTTGTGCATAAACAAAAATTCTTTCCCGCTTTCCCCTTTCCATCAAAATAAACAAAAACAAAAAAGAAAAGCAACAACAATGCCAATAAAAATAAACAGCGTGTAAGAGCGTCCATGCTTGCAGACAAACAAGTGGGCTCTCACTACAGCCCAACTTTCATTTTTCAACATACCATGACGATTGTAGATCGCGCGATCCACTAATGCTTTTCTGTTGTACACTCCAATTTATGTTTTTATTTGTCCTACTTGATTTTCATTCTTTGGTCTTGGCTTTTTGTTTTTTTATTGTTATTGTATATATTATTATATACTGTACATTATTTTTATAACTTCCAGACGCATTGTCGGACAGAGGGTTGGTGGCTTTGTTATACATCCATTTAACAAAGCCCATGCATAACACACGTGGCGATTTAGAAGTTAAAGTTTGAACAAACAGATTGTAACCAGGAAGAGAGTGGGATGGTGACGTGAGGGCGAATTTTTTCCCTCCTTACCCCTCGCCCTCTTAGTCTAGTCTCAGTTTTTTTTTAGTGTAAACAATTTTGCCACCAATCTGTCCGCGGGGATTCTGTGGAGGAATGACAGAGCTATTCAGATGTATTTTATTTTATTATATTTTAATATTTTAATATTTCTTATTGTCTCCCTGTCTTTTGTTTTATTCGGTTATGCACCATGACGGCCACCACCGGATGAGGAATGCCAAGACTTTTCTTTTCTTTTTTTTTTTTTTTTTTGTATCTTTAGCAGAGCATCGGCGCTGAGCTGTGAACGTACTACAATATTCGGTGATCTGACATCGTTGAAAAAAAAAAAAATCCCATTACGTTTATATTGCAATGTACCTGTAGATTATATTTATTGCTTACTTATTTCTTTTCCTCTTTTATGTGTCAGCATCCTTTGTTTGGCCCCATGGTTTGTCTATTCTTACTGTCGTGCCTTATGTGGATACGTGTTTGTTTTTGCTACTAGTTGCGAACAACCAATCTCTTTTTCCTGGATCTCTTCACCTTGAACCTTCCTACTTCCTTTATACCCAAGTTAGTGTTTATCTGCCTTACACTTTGGTAAAGAAAAAAAAAAAAAAAAAAAAAAAAAAGGACTAATCTATCTTTTTCAAGGTATCCTCTCCCATCATTACCTCTCTTCGTAGATATATTAATGAACGCGTAGCTCTCTTTTTTTTTATTTTTTTTTTTTTTTTTTTTTCCCTAATGTGGAATGTTGAAAACATTAAAAGAGAATAGAATATTTTAAAAAAAAAAAATCTGCGAAATGATGCACTGTACTGACCAATCCAAATAAAATAGATTTATCTTAAGAAACCAACATCACGGCACTGCTAAAACTATGTTTCCCAGCTCGCTGGTTACAATATGGAAAAGCAGAAAGCTGGGTATCCTGTGACCTGTGTGTAACAACAAAAAGGTTGTGCATGTATATATCCATGTACCTAAGCTTCAAAGGGTGGGAGAAATGAATAGATGAAGTATATAAAGTAAAGGAGAGAGTAAAAAAGAAAAAAGGAGCAATGCTACAGCCCAGGTTACACAACTTTAATATTTATAAATACTAATCAATGACCTGTCTCTTTTTTTTCCTTTTTCTTCTTTTACATGTACATATACATGTATATAAAATACCACTTTGCATATTGAGATGAAGTAAAAAGAAGAGTCAAAAAGGAATGGATAGACGAGGGATACCCAAATAGAGTCTAATCAATCCTATTTGTCGAAATAACGGCATAGATCTTAGCAAAAAGAAACAAAGGAGAGAAAGCGTATGCATGATCATCAATTGCACACAAATATATTAAATTGAACCATTACATTATACACACTAAGCGTTGATATAACATTTGGCCGACAGGCACAGCAAAAAATACCTTATACAATACGAGAAAAAAAATAAAAAAAAAAAAAAAAAAAGTCTGTTTGTTCGGAAAATGGTGACAAACAAAGGTGCAGAAGATGAAAATAGTAAGCATTGCCACATATCGCATAGTAAAGAAAGATCAAGGCGTTGCTGCATATGAGATCGACATCAGGGAGAATGAGGGGCGTAGACTTTTAGCATGAACTATGTATCTCTTTATTCTATTCAGTACATTAAAATGAGGCAAGGAAAATGATATTTTGAGACACTAAATCAACATGGTTGCATTTTGTGTATCAAAACGGCAAATGACAATCATTTCACATTGCACAGAAAGAAAATAAGTAAAAAAAAAAAAAAAAAAAAAAAATACAATACTGTTACTATTATTATTATACTTCATACCAGTCAGTGCGTTAGGAGTTGAGCATGGGACTATAGGATCCATGAGGCCCTTGAGACCAAGGTTGAATTAAGCCAATATACCTATGCTTTCCATTGGTAAAAAAAAAAAAAAAAAAAAAAAGATGTGTTTGAGTACGTGCGAGGGCTCCTCTTTGTTTTTTACTTTGCATGATCGCATGGATGCTCTCGACCTCATAAAAAACACAGCCTTCAATTTTTTATTTAGGAAAAGGAGCGGATGAGAAACCTTGAATGCCATATCTGAAGGAAATACATCAAAGATGGAAAAAAAAAAAAAAAAAAAAAAAAAAAAGAAATACCCCTCTGTTTGTGTTTGTTCTGATACTCTAATAGCAGCAATGCTCATGATTTTTTTTTTTTTTTTTTTTTTTGCTCGATTAAGCAAAAAACCGGTAACTAGTCAGAGAAAGTGAGTGTAAGGAAGGTAATGTATATGCTACCAAATTGTCTTCCTTGAGACCTTGAACGCACACATGCAATCCCTTTTGGTTCAAGAACTATTAAGGCCATTATAAATTCTAATTAATGGTATATATATAAACATATATTTATTGTTATTATTATTTAAGCTGTTTCTTCTGCGTGCCTAATTCTATTGTTTTTGAACTGTTTGCACCGTAGAATGACGAATAGTTGGTATCTTTGTTCATGGGTATCTCATGATAATTGCTTCGGATCTTTGATACTATTCGTCCAACTTATTTTTATGAGAGAGTTAATATGTGCGGATAGGAAAAGAGAGTGTAAGACAGGGCGAGATAAAAGTCGTGCGCTAATGTATGAAAATTGATAGGGCTAATGATTCCTATTGCCATTACTAATTCATTATTAGGATGACTATTATTATAGCTCTTTACATTTTTCACATCAACCGTGGCGAATAAAAAAATGTAAGTGATAATGGCGGTAAAATGGGCGGTTGAAAACAACAATGACCACAACAGCAAGGCAAATGGAGACCAAAATAGCACAAGTAAAGCGTGCAGCAACTGTGTGTGTATGTGTTTTTTTTTTTTTTTTTTTTTTTTTTTTTTTTTCCCTTGCATTTGACACTATTTTATTAGTTCCGAGTGCTATTGAGTACGAAGGTTTAGTTATTGTATAGTATAGTAGTTAAGGAAGAGCAATAAAGTGGATTATCAATGACCTTCAAGCCTTTATGACTTTCACATAATCCCTTCAGGGCTTTAACCTATCCTGCGTTTTGTAGATTATGAAAAAAGAAAAAAAAAAAAAAAAAAAAAAAAAACAGCCGATACATCTGGATAAGAAATGATGGCAGACATACCAACATTTCTGTTTACGGTGCAATGTCAATTATACACAGTTACATGTATACAATAGGATGGTGTATATTTATATATTATATATAGTGTATATGAATGTATACACTTGTGTAAAGTAGTGTCTATTCAAACATGCGGTTATTTGTAACAATGCACGTTCCTTCATTGTCTGCATAAACAAAAAAATAAAACATTCAATTGTCTGCCCTTTTTTTCCTACTCAGTTTTTATGCACCTCATAAATCCTTATCCGGATGCCCCAGGTGTGATTTATCATTTACAACCCTATTTCATCTTCAGAAAGAAAAAATACGCAGTTGCTCTTATTTTAATGTTTATTTATTGTTTTATTTTATACTTTATTTTATTTTGATTTATTCTGATTTATTTTACTCTTTTATTTTACGTTGCATTTTATTCAACTCTTCATCAATTAGATTTTTTTACTTTATTCTATTTTCGATGCAGATCATTGGTCAATGAGTTTATTTAGACATGAATCCATGTGTTCTATCCTCAAAAGAAACAAAGTTACAAATGACAGAAGGAAAAAAAAAAAAAGAGGCAGAAAAGAAAGGCAGACAATCAAAACTGAATGAAAACACAAAAATGAGCGCCTATTCAAATGTCAAAATCTATGCATCTTCCTCGGAGGCATCCATTGTAGCGTGTGCCATTGAATCTTCCTCCCATCTCTTTTCTCTCTTTACCTGCTTTCTTTTCTTATCCTTGACATCGCTAACGATTTCACATAAATGGTCCCCATGTCCCACTTTTTTTTTTTTTTTTTTTTTTTTTTTTTCTTTCCATGTCTTCTTTTCTTTACTTGTCAACCTTCCTCTCTAGCCTTCTGTACTCTATCGTTTTCTGATATTCTTTGTTCTGTTTTTGATCTCTTTCTGTCACTATCGCTCTTACTCCTTCTACGCATCAGGCACACACATTTCCATTTTTTTTCCCTCACTTGCACTCACCAACAACAACAACAGCAACAAGAAGCTACCAGTTTGAACAACAAGGACAAACATAAAACAATATAAATATTTTTAAAATGCATCCTACTTCTATTCCTTTCTCACAGCATCAACTGGGAGAACAATCTCAATCACACCAGACCCAGAATCAGGACCTTGTTCAGAATCAGCAGCACCAATACCATCAACAGCAACATCAACACCACCCTGGCCAACAACCATTCTCTCCAATGCCATGGTATCCTCAGCAAATTCCTGGCAACGTGAGCCCGACTGCAAACAGCGCCGTTCCCTTCCAGCCCCCTGCTGTTCCCTCTCAACAGTCTCAACAGCCAATGGACTACCTCTTGCAACAGGAACTAAACCAGCCGCAGCAGTACAGCGGTCAACATTTGCATCCGCAGCAGCATCAACACCTGCCAGTCTCTTATGCCCATCAACAGCAGCGTACTCAACACCAAAGTCAACAGGCTACTCATGGCACTTACACCCACCCTCATAGCGAGCCCCTACAGCACCCGGCGCAGTACTGGCAGCAGCAGCAACAGCAGCAGCAACAGCAACAGCAACATCAGTACCAGCCGCTGCACCAACATCAACATCAACATCAACATCAGTTCCAGCACGGACAGAATTACGCCAGCCACAATAATCCTTACTCTGCTTCTCCGGAAGCTGCCGCCGCCGCCGCCATTGTTGTAAGCCTTGACTGGAGCAGCCCTGTTGAATACAGTACCAAGGACCTACTCGCCGTTACAACAGCTGCGCCCAAAGGCTTGGACATGCTTCCGATCGTGGTGAATCCTGCTCAACTGCACGCTCACTCTCATGCACCAACCTCCCACCCATTCACTATCGCCTCAACTATGCACGATATTGTCAGTCACGGTAGCCGAGCCTATCACAGAAGTGTTGGGGATGATAATGATAGTATCGCAGGAACAGAGGAAGACGACCAGGAAGCTCGGATCCAGTTATTGGACGAATCATACCTGTCCTCGTCCACACCACCTCTCAGCCCCCACATGGCAGAGCACTACAATCAGAGCAGCCAAGGCAGTGGAATACCATCTCGGGGGCTTATACAATCATTGGCATGTCTGACCACAGCCAGCCCTGCAAGCCCAACCTACACACCCTCTTCCGCAACTAGTCTTAGTCCGAGCGTCTTTTATGCCACCGGTACTCCCGGTACTCCCGGCAACTTGAGCAACAATGCAGGCTATTTCGGCATCGGAAGTCAGAGTCCCGCCAGTCAGTACGCGGAAGGCGAGGGAGATGCTCAAGGGGGCGCAGGTTCCCCAGCTACAGCGACCTCAGAAGGAGATGATGAAGAAGAACGTCAGTTCATCTGTCCCCACTGTCAGAAACGATTCTTACGCCAATACAACCTCAATGCCCATTACAAGACTCACTCAACTGAGCGCCTTCATGCTTGCAACGAATGTGACAAATCCTTTTTGCGACCCTATGACCTATCCCGACATCAACGGATCCATTCCAAGGATAAGCCATATGCCTGTAAAATCTGCAGCATGATCTTTATCAGGAACGACGCCATTTGGAGACATTACCGCAAAGTACATCAAGGTCACCCTGATGTGCCCACTTCTCGAAGAGACAAAAAGAAGAACAAAGTTGCAGGAGGCATGGTTGGAGCTCTTGTTACGCCACGCGTGGTCTATGCCCCCAATAGCAATAACGCTTGTGGATCTACAAATTTGTCTAGATCAAAATCAAAGACAAAGGCCACTATTCCACGCAGATCAAAGAGCAAGTCTACAAAGACGACTGATAATACCTCTGTTCCTGGCCTCGTAGTCCAGGCCAGCCATGAGCCAGACGTTGATGCTATTGGCGAGCTTGGTAACTTTTAAAAAAAAAAAAAAAAAAAAAAAAAAAAAAAGAAAGCTTGCATTTCTTCCTTTACGTCTCCGTGTACATATCAATACCCATCGGATCACTTTTTCTTTTTTTTTTTTTTTTTCTTGCATGTTTGTTATTGTTGCATTTATGACTTTGGTTCAAAATTGAGCACAACAATCTTAGAGTACATTCGACATTTGTATATTTGTATAAATTCACTTAGGAGAGTCTTTTTTTTTTTTTTTTTTTTTTTTTTCTTTTTTTTCTTTTTCTTTTTTTTTTTGCGACACCATTTTTTTTATCTTAGAAAAAAAAAAAAAAAAAAAAAAAAAAAAAAAAAACGAATAAATAAGTTTTTTTTTAAAAAAATAAAAACTGAAAAACAAAACTTAGAGATGATTGTTGCAATAAATACAAAGTTAACTAACAACTGGTATGGTCAAAATAAAAAAAAAGTAAAAAAAGAGTGTATGAAATAGAAAGCATAGCGAACGTAGAAGCAGCGTTAGAGTAAAACAAATAATTAGATAGTAATAAAATAAAAGGGAAAGGGAAAAGGGCGCATGACATGGTAGTATATAGAAAACTAAAAAAATAGCAAAAAAGGACATGAAGTAATATGTAAAAAAAAAAAAACTTTTTTGGGAGAATTAGTTGGATAAAAAAAAAAGACATGCAAAGATAGGTCAGTGTTGGTGGCGTTTAAGCATAGATTGCACCAGAGCCTCGCCACGTAGCGCCATCGTCTATGCGGTCCATGATGCTCTCCTTTCTATCACCAAAGCCACGATTCTGGTGCTCAGATGGAGCATGCTCCATAAGGTCACGTGGTGGTGGCGTCTGCATCATGCCAAGCATGGGTGGTGTACTAGCCATCATACCAGGAAACGTGCCATAGGGGGCAGACGCGCGGTTGTTCAACGGCATTCCTGAAAACTGGTTATGGATGGGCGATCTGCTCAATCGACCCAAGTACAGTAAAAGATATATCATTATCAGTATTGGCATTAGCACCAGCATCAGTATCAATTATTTATTTATTTATTTTTTTTTTTTAATAAAAAAAAACTACTGACTTACCGATACCCTGGGCTGCCAATCATTGGCGGCCCATGAGGCGACATTGGCTGCTTGTTCTCGCTTTGGGCACGTCCCCAGGACAGGCGGACGCGTGAATTACCTAAAACCCAATTACACCAGTGTGAATGGAGGATATATCTCACAAATATGAAAAAAGTACTAAGGATAGATGAGCCTTACCAATCTGATAGCCATTCATCTGACTAATAGCCATTTCTGCACTCTGTCTATGAACGAACTGAACAAACCCACATCCCTTGCCTGGAGGGATTTTGACATAGGTAATCTCCCCAAACATAGCGAAGCAACTTCTGAGCTCATCCTCATGGCTAACACCTGAAAGACCCCCAACAAAAACTGTGGTGTTGTTGGGGTCATTAAATTGATTAGCAGGGTGCTGAGGGCTGTTTGGCTGTAGAGGTGAGTTGAAGCCATAGTTTGCAGGCGACATAGCCATATTGGGATTCATACCACCCATACCGGCTATGCCGGCCATACCGCCAACAGGGCCCATGTTTCCTGCCCCCATGCCCCCCACACCACCTGATGGTATTTTGTTCTTGGGTGTCGCAGTGGAAATCCTGATCGGGCGACTTCCGCAGTACACTCCCTGCATCTCATGCAATGCACGGAGTTGCTCACTTTCATCTCCAAACCTGACAAACCCATAGCCTATAGAAAGAATGCAAAAGCACCAAACCGTCAGTCAACTTTTTTTTTTTTTTTTTTTTTTTTTTTTTTCTTTTGCAGTTAGAAAAACACATACCTCTTGAGATTCCTGTTGTGGCATCCGTCATGATCTTGGCTGATCTACAAGACACATAGCGTTCCTGGAACTTTGACTTTGAAGTTTCGAGGATTAGGTGTTGCATAAAGACGATACGGTCAGATGGTTAGACACATGTAAGAGTTGAGTTGGTCATATGGAAATTCAATGCGTGATCCCAATCCTTGAAGTCTACAAGTACATACCGCCAGCATAAACTCTGTGACCTCAGGAGACAGGTCACCCACAAATACAGAAAACTCCTGCCCTGCACCGGGACCACTAAAAGATAACAAAAAGTGAATGAGTGAGATAGGTGCTTTTTTTTTTTTTTTTTTTTTTTTTTTTTTTTCCCCTGAATACAAGACATCTGTGGTTTGATCATAAAATATTGCGTTGATAAGCGTCGACTTACTTGGACGCGACGCCACCGCCAGTTGCCCAGTTTAACTTGAAGGGCTTGTTGGTCCCGGGGATCAGCACCCCGTTCAGATTGCTGATAGCCTTGGCTGCCGCAGCAGGGCTAGACAGCTCAACGAAGCAGTAACCGGCACTAGCACTAGTACCAATACGAAGAAGCAAATCAGCGAATAGCGAGTTGGTCATTCGTCAGTCTCATGTTCTTGAGCAAAATATCCATTATTAATAGTAATTATTCTTGAAGAGGCTGCAGAGGCAATAACATATCCATGAAACGCAAATCAGCAATCGTATGCAGGCATAAAACTGTCACCTACCCTGTGTACTTGTCCCGAATCATCTTAACCGAGACCTGCTCTCCAGCACTGTACCATGCGCCACGGATCCAGTTCTCGTCCATCCAAGGCTCTAGTTCACCCATCCTAAATTATTCAATATTATATATTTGGATAAGAGACAGTTTTTGTTGAGTTATTCTAAATTCTCTGCTTTTGTTCTATTCCTTCCCAAAGGAGCTGGTTTCTGCGGACATGTTTTTTTTTGTGTGCATCTCTATTGCAACCTTGTCATTGCTGCTTACCAAAGAGAGGTACGCATATCATTGCTATTGTACGCGGTCTGGAGAAGTTGCTGTTGCTGCTGTTGAAATGATGGGTGTTGTGGAAGTGGTGGAAGTTGCTGATGCTGTTGCTGCTGAAGAGCAAGTTGGTCGTAGAAGGCCATGCTGATGTATGGTATCGGGTTGCGAGGTTGCTTCAAAAAGAGAACAGTTGTAGGTAATGAAAGACCAAGATTGCAAATTAGGTATTAAGATGATGCAACGAGGAGGATGCCAATAAATAACTAAAAGGTATATTAGTAGAAGACAAGATGAGATGGGGAAAGGGGGAGGGGACTAAGAAACGTGCTCCCGTGTCCAACGCGAACACAAGAAGGAAGAAGAAGTGGTAAAGCGATGCAATGGAGAGAGAATTAGAGTATAAAGAATAGGGTGAGATGATGGAAATCAAAAGAGCACGTTTATGTGCAGTATTAAGTGAGATGGTGAGGAAGTGAGGAGCAAAGGGATAAAGAGAGGAGGAAAAGAGGAAGATGATGATGAGGATGATGAGGATGATGAGGATGAAATGGGGGATGATGAGAGAAGACCAATGGCGGGAGAACCAAAAAAGAGAGAGCAAGAGTGAGAGCAAAGCCAGATGATTCGCAAACAATCCAATCAATTGAGTTCACTTTGGAAAAATACCATATCCATGCAAATGGCGCAGGCTGAAAGGATGCAGGCACATTGCAGGAAAATAAAACGATGCTTTTGGATGGATGAATAACTGCAAGGCCCAGGAACCAGCAGAGAGAGAACAAGCACTCCACCGCCACATCATCCCTCTGGTGAGCGCAATGCAACGCGGTAAGTCACTCTATGGTGAGTTGATAGAAAAGTTTTGCTTCTCCAAATCGAAATAAACCTTTAAGCTTGTTCCACGCGACATTATCTGGCATTGAACTCTTTCGTTCCAACAAAAATGAGGATGTGCTTTGCTCTGTATCTGTTGTACCTGCCTGTTCACATGGAAGGCGGCGGTCTATGCGTATTGAAAGTCATAGCGAATGCATGTGTCCAGTCGTGTCGTATATATTTTGCATATTCAATGTGTGTGAGCATGAATGTGCTGTGCACTGCCCTCGCTTCCATTCTTCTGCTACGGTCGAGTCGTTAGGCGCTGCGCCACGCCAACGGAATTTTGGTCTAAGCCTCAAACTACCCTTCACACTGACCACTTGTTACTGGAAATGAGTTATCCAATAAAAATGTACCGTCTGCCATAGTTAACGAATCATGGCTCCAATTAACTAACTAGCATCTTGTCTATAGCTCGTTTGCAAGGTAATTATGGTTCTTGAAACATTTTAAATATTAGTATATATATATATATCTTACTAGCGCACTGGAAAGAGATGACCACTATAAAACATGCTCCAAGGTCCCCGAGTGCTTCTTAAGCGTTTGAGCTTAAATAGCTATCTATACAACGTTAATTCAAACTGTGGAGAAAGATGAGATTAAACGAATCCCTATCGATGTTGAACATCAGGTAGTGTATATGTATGCAGCAGTCACCTCAAGACTTGAGCGACGTCGAGTGATATATTGATATTGTGAGGGTAAATGATTAAACAGTAATTGTAATCAACATGTCTTGTTGAGACCTGAACGCACCGACCACGACAGATATTGCATTAGCGACCATGTGGTGCTGTTCCTGCACGCGAAAATGAGAAGGGTTGAATTCGCTTGCAACTCTGTGCCAGAAAAAAAATCATCCCACTTTTTAGTAGCCAATCATACTTCAATGATGGAGTGCAAAAAAAAGAGATAATGCGTTCGTGTGTAACCTACACCTGGAAAAGGAATGCGTTTTGCCGTTGAGTTAGATCAGCAAATAAAAAGATTCCCTTGAAGACAGCTTAGAGGACTTTGCTTTCGGACTTGTATCCAGTGAGGATACACTTGATTGTTTTAAAGGAGCGTCGCCTCACTCTCATCCTCCTGTTTTCTCTGGTGATAGATATTGCATTTATTTCCAATATTTATTGAAGCTCAAGCAGAAACTGTTTTAGAAGCATGAAATAAGCATGCGTCTTTTTCTCTTAAAAAAGGGTGACATGAGATTTCAGCCCATGCCATCGACATGTGCTGACTTTGAACTGACACTTAGATGCACACCATTATTTCGACGAGGAAGAGCCCTCCTTTTTATTTCTGCTTACGAGTCCCTACGAAGGTTACCTCAGTTGTCTCTGTTACCAATTAACCTAAGCATATTGCCATAGTCTAGTCCGAGAAAGAGGAGCAAGGATGATCTGGAATGAACAGTAACTAGGCAGCACATGTTCCTCTTTTTTTTATTTTTTATTTTTTTATTTTTTTTATGCTTCCACTTAGACCGAGACTGATCACGACTCCGCATCCATGGTTCCCACATCTTTATCTGTCTGTAGCCCGACTGGCACAGCGCACATACGGATATTGTAATATAATATGCAGCATGTGGCCACGAATATCGTTTTGCCCGCCAGCACTATGTGTTTGCTTTAGAAAGTGGCTCACAATCACAGAAGATCATTCCTATTGAGCTATTGAACACTAAAAAAAGAGCACAGGTTTACATGTGGGTAAAAGATGAAAAATATCAATCACAAAGGACGATCTCCTTCTCTGTTACCCTTTTCTTTTCTTTTCTTTTTCTTCCCTCTCTTGCTCAGGTTCATCTCCTTGCATCTTCCCTAAAAGACATCATTGACATTCATTGTCTGTCCATTTCAGTCTCCATTTCTACTTCGCCACTTTCTCTTTTCCCTTTCTCTGTCTGTCCTTAAATCTTTCCATTTTTGTAATCCTTCAGGGCTGGCTTCATTCTTTTTTTACAATATTTGAGTGAAAGGCGCGTGACTTTTATTCGTTTTCTTCCCCTCCTTCCTTCGTCGACTTGGGGATGAAGCTTTCTTTAACTCGACAGCTGTCCTCGTTGGCGGTTGTGATGACCATGACTGGGCTGATCTCGGCCCAGTCTAAAGGTACAACTACAACCGCAGCAGTTGTCACCACCACTGTCACCTCTGTCGTCACATCCACTCCAACTTCGCCACCTCAAACTTGTCAACCCCAATTTGACTGCTCCTCTTCACCCAAGGTAAATCCTTTGTTGAGAATTTGTATCATATCTAATTCTGCCTCGAGATAAACACCCAACTTATAGTCCATTTGATATCACAATACATCAGGGATGCATGAATAGCGGTGTCTGTGAGAACAAGACTTGTAAATGTATGCCTGGGTTTGGCGGTGTTGATTGCAGCCTCCTATCATGCGGCTCACCTTTGATAGACCCTTCACAACGACCCACAGTTGCTTCAAATACCAGCTGTAGCTCGTGTGACGATGGTTTTGGAGGATTCAATTGCAATGGTACGAATATCAACAACTTTTTTTTTTTTTTTTTTTTTGTATTTTTATTTGTTGTTCTGTGTGTGATTACGTGAATGGACGTGATGGATTTGATAATCCGCTACACAGGAGGTTGATCACGTATATTCTTATTAATTTATTTAATATATAGTTTGTCAGACAGATGCAGGATGCCGATCGAAACCACCATCGCGTACATCCTTCTTGGGCAACGAGGAGATGGTCTGCAACAAAAAATCCGAGGTTTACCATAATGCATACATGACCTGTGCAGTCCGTGCTCCTGAACTTACAGGTTTCTTCCCTGGAGAGTACAGTCTGACAATGAGCTTGGACCCAGTCAACAAGACAGTGAATGCTCAGTTATGGTTGGGTTATACTGAACAGTTCTACTGCGATATCCCCAACTGTACACTTGCCACAACAGAAGAGAACGGTGTTGTCCAGACAAAATGGGATTGCCCAACACTGAACTGCAAGTGTATCAAGCCAACACTCATGTGCGGAGGTGTTCCAGGACCTGTTGTAACACTCGGAGATGTTGTCGATGGCTTAAAAGGCCCTTTCTCATTGACTTGCCCACAGAACAGTAATGAGTGTGATTTTTATATTAAAGACCTGAGTGGGTTGTTCCCAACAGGTCTCAAGATGACGGACTGTGATCTGGGCGAATGTGTATTCCCATCAGAGATGCAATCCACTGTCACCACAATCAAAAGCACTATGTCCCCAGGTGTGATCGCCTGTTTGGCAATTCTAGGCGTATTGGTTTTGTTCTTGATTGTTGTTTGTTCGATTGCCCGTCGGAATCAACTTATCCTCAGACGTACACCTTACACTCTCAATGCCGAAGCAGCATCACTTGAGTTCCGCAATGTGGGCTATACTCTTAATAAGGACGGACTGGAGATTCTGAAGGGTATCTCAGGAGCAGCACCTGCTGGTGTGGTCCTAGCGGTGATGGGGCCATCTGGTGCTGGTAAATCGACACTGGTTGACATCTTGGCAGGTAAACGCAAGGATGGCAAGGTCACGGGTCAGATCCTGTTGAATGGCAAGCAAGTTCATGAAAGTGATATTCGCAGAGCAGTCGGATTTGTGGATCAGGAGGATACGTTGCCGCCTACTCAGACTGTGTACGAAGCAGTGCTGTACTCTGCCATGCTACGCCTTCCTGAGGCAATGCCTATTCACCGGGTCCACGAGCGCGTTTCGGAGGTGATTGAGATGTTGGGATTGACTCACTGCGCAGATCGTAGGATTGGCAATGTTACAGCGCGTGGTATCTCTGGAGGAGAGAAACGCCGTGTCTCGATCGCATTGGAACTGATTACACGTCCCCCGATTTTGATTCTGGACGAACCCACCTCTGGATTGGACTCTTACAGTGCACATATGGTGGTAGAGCAACTCTGCAAACTAGCAGCCAGCAAGACAACGACTGTGATCCTGACAATCCACCAACCTCGCTCCGACATCTTCTTCATGTTTGATCAGACACTGGTTGTAAGCAAGGGATCTGCCCTGTACTTTGGACCTACGGCCACTGCTGCAGACTACTTTATTCAGCGAGGCTTGGTTTGTCCGCCAAACTACAACATTGCTGATTATTTGCTCGATATTGCGATGGACCAGGAATTAGTGGCAAAGGCCAAGAGCTTCAACGATGGATCCGAAAATGAAAAGGCGGGTCTTAGTACGGGTCATCAAACACACATATCTGGAAACGCCGTGTCCCGCCGTGCAGTGAGCAATGGCAATAGCAACAACAATAGCCGCAATGCCCTTCAACACAATAATGCTAGTGACATTACTCGCAACTCGTATGAGACATCCGTGCCAATAGAGGAAGAGGGCTCCGCTAGGTCCTCAACGGCCTCATTCTCTGAGGAAGGAGCCCGAAAGAAGCAAAATACGGTGTACCCGGTTAGTTTCTTAGCCCAGCTGCAGGTGATCATGAAGCGCAATTTTCAAACTTTGATCCGCGACAAGTCTTTGTTGGTTCTTCATCTGGCTGTCGCGATTGTTCTTGGTGTCTTTATTGGAGGATTGTATTATCAAGTGCCCATGAACCTAGCAGGTTTCCAAAACCGCGCTGGATCTTTGTTCTTTATGCTCGCACTTTTGGGTTTCAGTAGTATCTCTGCTCTGGGTGCCTTCACAGATACGCGCACATTGTTTATCAAGGAACGTTCCAATGGTTATTACCCACCATTGCCCTTTGTTATTTCGACACTGCTATTTGATTTGATTCCTCTTCGTATTGTTCCCTCGATCTTTATGGGCTGCATCTCATATTTCATGATCGGTCTCTCACCTGTGGTCGAAACATTTTTCAAGTTCCTGCTGATCATCGTTCTATTCAACGTTGCTACTGCCATGTTCTGTCTTGTCATTGCTGCGGCAGTTCGCACGACTGGAGTCGCATCCCTGGCGTCGTCAATCGTGATGCTCTTTATGATGTTGTTTGGAGGCTTTATGATCAACTCTGGCAATATCCCTGCAGCCTTGACATGGATTCAATACTTTTCCATGTTCAAGTATGGATTTGAAGCTCTGGCAGTCAACGAAGTCGCGACATCCAAACTGATTGATAATATCCAGGGTGTTGCGTTCAATGTCCCTGGCTCGCTAATTTTGCAGAAGCTGTTTGGATTTGATCTGGGTGGTTATTGGAGGAATATGATCATCTTGATCGGATTTAATGTTTTGTTCATTGTACTCTTCTGGGGTATTGTCACATTCCGTCTTAAAGAGCGAAAGTAGAAATTTTTTTATGGCCTATTTTATTTATTTATTTATTTATCTTTATCCTTTACCATAATGCGATGCGTATTGTATGATAGCTAAAATGCAATTGAGCTTTGATTGAACTTTTTTATTATTATTTTATTCTAAATTTCTAAAATGTGACATTGATGTTTGGCACAGAGCTCCGCCGTCTGGTTGGCAACAACCATGCAAAGCGTTCAGAAGGACGGCCCCAAGACCGAATCAAATGATTCTCGTATCCATTGGGCGTGTACGTAGGCCGTCTCTGGAAGATCTTCAAAAATGGCATTGCATGTTGAACCCTCCGCCATGCAGAGTTCTGAGCTTGAAAATCATGTAATCTTGAGGGTGAACTTGGCTGTCCCAACAGGTCTGAGAAATGGGTTGGAATCCGTGCAGGCCGTGGTGATTGATGGATCCGACGTAGGGTCTCTGCAGAGGAAGCTAACACAAAACTATGCTCGTGTTGTCTCTCTTGAATCTGCAACTCGATCAATGGGAACCGTTTCTTAAATTCGAGAACAGACTCTCTGGGTAACGAAGAAGATTGTGGAAGTGATGGTAATGAAATGTGAGCTGTCGAGAGGTTCCCGCTATTGATGATGCTTTTGTTGTTATTACTGTCATGAAAAGCGTCAAGGGAAGTCGATGAGGTGGCGGGGACTTTGCTGGGCAGGATGGATGATGAATAGTCAGCAGAGTCACGACGTGGCTTTCCTTCAAGCCCACGACGATGGACTCTCAAGATACGAAGCGTCCCCTGCATACGCTCTACAAGACGCACAACTGGAGAAGCCTGCTCCTGATCACTGTCAATGTCATGACTGCTCTTGCCAACCTCCGGATCACCACAGCGTTCCAAATCTTCTTCCACCCTGTCTTCCTCGTTCACCATCCGACGTCGCTGGTTGGGATAAAATCGGCATTCAACCAGATTCAAAACCACCAAGCCATAAATCTGCTCGCCTAATTGGGTCATATCTTTATCTGTCAGGATCCATGGGCCCTCTAAGTGCAGTTCTCGTAAGCAAAACTTTCGAGCTTCTTTCGAGACTGAGCCATGACTTTGTGGATCAGAGTTCGCCATCTCTTTTTCTTTCTTTTCCCATGGTACCATAAATCGCGGCAGAACACGTGCAGCCTCTGAACGGATAAAGCTTGTACTAGTGTACGACCTGATTGTCAATCCAAGCTTCCTCAAGGTTGGACAGAGCTCTAACAATAAAGGGACCTCAAACGTCATAGCGAGATGGCCATGGAGCTGCAAGGTGGTTAGATGCGGAAGAGCCATGTCTGAAAGTGAAACGCTCCAGTCCATTAGACGGTGTGTTTGCTGAGCTGACAGAAAGCCATCGAGATGCCCAGTGAGCTCGAGTGTTGTCAGAGACTTTCCCATAATCCGAATGGCATCGCTGGCAGCTGGCAGCACATTTTGGACACTCCCTGTTAGCGACAATGATTGAAGTGATGTTGTCACTGAGGAAGAAGATCCAGTTATTGATGTAGAGGTAAGGTCAGGGGTTGAGATTGACATTGAGGGGGACATGAGCTGATGCTCCTGTTGCTGTTGGTGCTGATGAATAGAACTTAGAGTAGTTGTATTCACGCCTACATTGGCGTCATTACCACCTTCACTACTACTACCATTGGTGTTCATGAAAGCGCTGTAATAGCTGTTATTATCCAGATCGAGTAGTCCTGCATCGAAAGCATGGATCTCTAGGTCTTTCAGCATAGGGCATCGTGACAAGAACAGAGACCCATGAGGAGATTGAATCCTGGTCCGGGGATGGAATCGAAGAGTCGTCAGATGGCTAGTCGGGATCAGATCTAATGCTTGATGTGTAATCACGCTCCAAGACCACTGGGACAGATCCAAGACTTTTAACTGCCCTTGTAGCTCCTGAAAGACGCACAGGAAATCTATCTCGCATGATTGATCCGGGTTTCGGTTTAGTAAATAATACTGCGAATGAAAGACTCCGGGGAATGCCACAGCTGCTTGTGCGGCAGCAGCAGCAGCAGCAGCAGCGTTATTGCCTCCGTTAAGGATGTTATTGATCTGGCCAGCGGCATCGACAAATAACACGCCGTTAGGCCCCCCATTCAAGGGCAGATTATGGTAGTGTAAAGGATGGTGGTGGGGATATTGATGATGGTTTGTGGTTTGTGGTTGCTGATGCTGGTATAGGTGATGGTGGTGGTTATGGTGCCCATGTCCTGGCTGCTCCTCCTCTTCCAGCTCATCTATCACTTCGTTCTCATCATAATAATCTGCATCTTGGTGGTTAAAATGAACAACTCCTGGCTGTACAGGTTCTGCAGCGACCACATTTCGATTCCGTTGACGTCTTCGGTTCACGATCGAATCACCAGCACCCTCCAAAGAAATAGCTGTTAGAGTTCCAGGGTATACAGCCACGTGCCGGCGCAAAAACCAGCGAATGGCTCTTAAGACTCTTGGCTTGAGCTCCGCATGCAGTCCAGATATGTTCAAGCGGGAGAGCTGAGAGAGCGGTGCACCTTCCCAAACGCCCGCACCGTTCTTGGTCTTTGGCGTTCGCTCCCTTTGTGCTGCTGCTGCTGCTGCTGTTGCCATGGATGAAGAAGGAGTGACAATATACTCCATCAAATCCCGTTGTAAACGTGCAAAGGTTGTCACTGAGAGCGATAGTGTTGTGATATGTTGGGCAGTGGATCGGAAAAGGACTTGTTCAATAAATACCCTTTCGGACAGATAAGACTTCGATCTTGAGGATCCATGATGTTGACTAGGAAGAAAGCCAGTTGATAGACGTCGCTTTCCTTTTGATGATGAGCACGAGGACAGCGAGGATAGAGAGAAGAGATTTTGGATAGCTGTTGTGAGAAAGATGTCGAGGTCCAAGTGTTCCACGTAGTCTAGATAATTGACTGTCCGTTGTCGTTGTCCTGTCCATTTATTGGAGGTACCTCTCTGCTTGCCCTTGCGTATGCCGATACTACCACAACTGTTGCCAGGCTTTCGTTTCATGGAAGCTGATATAGAAGAGCCCATTGTTGCGTTAGTTGTGTCACTATGTGACTCGAGGCAATCAATATAGGTTTTAAGAAGTGTTTCTAACGATGCAGGAATGCGGCTGACAGCAGAACCAGTGAACAAGGAGGACATTGGAAGAGAATGACTCCTACTATCGTCGTTATTGACGCTGTCATTATCCTGTGGCTCAACATACTCATGTTGTCGTTGACCTTGACCCTGTAACATACTCAATCTCCTCAAGTATTTATTTCGTTGAATCGTAGGACATGCCCCAGCTGTTGCTTTAGTTGACACAGCACCAGACTTTGGTCCAGGTGGCTCTTGTTTTGCCCCTACTGTTTGCCCTGATGCTGCTGATAAAGTAGCAGTGCTGTTGAGTAGATCGGTATGTGGTGACAAGAAAGCTGAAGATAATGCTGATGAAGATAGTGACGATGATAATGAGGACGGTGTTGATGATGATGATGATGATGATGATAATGATAATGATGGCGACAAGGCAGATTGAACGGGTTCTGTACAAGATAAGTAGAGGAGCAGCAGTTTTGTATGTCGAACCTCTCTCAGATGTCGAGTCCACGCCTCAGTGTTCCAGTCAAGGATAAACTCATCTCCGAACTGAAAGTGGAATGCCTCTCGATAAAGATAAGGAGTGGCCATTTGAAAGAGTGTAGAGTTGACCTGCATTAGTGTACAGAGGACACGATGGTCCTGAGAAGCATGGAAGACGATACGTTCTAGACATTCCGGAGGCATAGATCGGGTGGAGGGTAAAGACGAGGGCATGAGTTTGGATGTGGACGATGCAATTGATGGAGAAGAAGAAGAGAAGGAGTAGGAGGATGGGCGTTGTGATGATGATGATAATGGCGACATTGATAAATTGTGCGTGATTTAATTAAATATGAACAAGAGAGAGAGAAGGCATTAAGAGAGCATAGATCGTGGGGACGGGAATGGTTAAGAAGTGAAAGAAAGAGAAGTGAGCACACACAAACAATTGTCGGGGAAGGCTATTTGACACAGGAATAGAAGGGAAGCAAGCAGGTGAAAGATAAAGAAAGGAGGAAGAGAAAAGGGAAGGAAAGGAAAAGAAGAAACAAAGAAAGAGCAAGGGAGTTACAGATGAAATGAACTAATTGGACGGAATAAAGGATGGTGCACACTTTTTGTCACAAAAAACTTTTTTTTTTTTCACCCTGACTTGTCGTTGTTATCCGTCATTGACTGAGGGCACACACAGCCTCTTTAAACAATTGGGAACAGAAGATTGAGAGGTGGCAATTGTAGCGTTGCACTTGAACACAAAATACGCATTCAAATCGCGAGATAAACATCGGTACACATGATGGAAAAAAATGAACGAACCAACGAAACGGACTATGACCAAAATAAAATAAACAAAAATAATAAAGATGAGGAGATGAAGATAAAAGTATTTCTGTACATCCTCTATACATTTCTTATTTAGTGGTTTGAGCCCTGATTCTGCATTGTGCACGATAAAAAAAAAAGTGTACATGAGTGGGTCAAGACATGTCTGTATATTTATAATAAATAGCTACATGTAGTTTGGCTGACGGGATGGATTAGCATGGGGCACGGGACATGGGAGGGCCTGAAAGCTCAGGAAAAGAAATGATCTGGACTTTTATCGTCAATCCAAACAAGGGAAATCGGTATGCTGACATGTTGATCGGCCTCCACAAGTCTTTATCAACTGTGCTCCCTCATGATGTGGTACAGACCACGCCATACCCAAAGTTGTTTTTGAATAATCAAAGGCAAAGAGACCCAAGCTTGATTTTTTTTTTTTTTTTTTTTTTTTTTTCGCTCCCAGGCTCACAACGATCCATTCCAAATTCACAGAGATGTGGACTAAAATATAAAAATATTATGGGTATAAAACAGAGCAGGCTGATATATAATATAATCATAATTATAAATGATCACTAGTGTCAATGATGGTCTTTTCTCTCCCAAACACATAGACACATAGTCTCTGATCTTGACTTTTTTCGTAATTCAAAGTATTAGTGTGATAATTATTAGACTTTTAATCATTTCAGATGGATGCGGGAAAATACGAATGCTTGCGACGATACTGTAGTGAAGAGATGATGGCCAGATGAATGGATAAATAGGTGCAAGAGGGAAAGTACGGGGCTGGTGCATGACAAAATAAAGAATGGCTGAAAAGAGGAGACGTATCCTCCCCCTGCCGAAGCTCTGTGTTGGTTATACGCAGCTTTCTCTCCACAGTGTGTAAATGTGTGTGTTTTTTGTCATTTTTTGAGCAGGCATGCATTGCATGCAGCTTACTTTTTATGTCCTTATCCCCTTTCCGTCCTAATCACCCTATCCTTCCTGTTCATTTCTTGGACTTTTAAATCAAACATTCCTTTTTGTTTTTGTTTTGTTTTTGTTGTTGTTTTCAGGCCCTCGGCAAAAATCCTTTGACCGCGGGAAGAAAATAACAAGACGAAGCAACCACACTCCTTCCATTGTGTGGTTGCACCATTATGGCCCGAAAACCGGATTGATAAAATCACATTAAAGCTCTTTATTACTTGATGGGCAGTATGGCAACAACGATACCAATAAAGTCAAAGACAAAGACAAGGATGGGTATATGTAAATAAAAAAAAACAAGTCGACAGATGGACACATCATGAATCAGGTTAATTGACATAAATGACCAAAATGCAGGGGGCGAAAGCCTTCCTTTATTACCTTCATTTTTTGGGTGCGGATGCCCACGCGTTTTTAGACGTAGGACTGTATAATTGTGCCTGTATTTATTGGCTATGGATGTAGAACATTTTGAGACCAGACTATCCATACTATTTTTCTTAATGTGAGGTACCAGCATCAAATTCGACAGTCGTTGTACTCACGCGCCGACTACCGTCTGCATGAGTGTTACCCACACCAACAGGTCCCTCAGCACCCATTAATGCTTCCTCTTGAAGTCGAAGCTCTTCCGTCTTCCATTGGATCTCCACCCCAACTTCGCCTACGTCTTCCCATCGCTTCTCCAAGACATACTCACCACCTTCATTTTCGACAACAGGGTTACCGCCTAGCAGGACTTTGACTTGTGCACCAGTACGTCCTAATTTCCCTTCGTGCCAGAACACAAAGCCTGCAACCACGTCTTCCCACTTGGCAATCATGTTGTTCTCTAACAACAAAAACTCTAGACTAGGAGCATGTTGTAAACCTTCAAGCTGTTCAATCAAGTTATTGGATAAATTCAAATGGCGGACATTGAGCAGGTTACGAAGGAAACGAGTCGAGGTGATGGCATTGGAATCCAAATTGAGGGTGTGGAGGTGCATCAGGTATGACGAGATCGGGATGTGTGTCAATCCTCGCATAGACAGGTCCAGATCCTTCGGCTGCTCGTCTGCAAATTCAATTTCCGGAAAACGCTTAGAGTCCTTGATTAAATGCAGTGTTTCACGATCGAATACAAGCTGTGTTCCTTTAGAGAACGACATGAAAACAGGTTTTTTTTTTTTTTTTTTTTTTTTTTTTGTTTGTTTGTTTCGTTAGATAACCGACTACTCGCCAAGTCGTCCAGATTCCCACAGAATAGAAACTATAAATAACAATAAATGTACTTACGACGGTCCTCATATCGCTCTTGGCGTAGGGGATCGATTGAAATGAGTTTTTCCTGAAGCTCTATGCACTCATCATCAATGGTCTTGGCTTGTGCAGAGTGAATACTAACTGTCTCACGAAGCTCCGACAACAATGTTGAAAGGATTTGGATTGGCCCTACCAAACAAATAGTACAAAATAATACAAAAAAAAAAAAAACAATATGTATGGGAACTATGGGCTGGCCTCAATCGGCGTGGATCCTCTTCGAGACAAAGAAAAGTGGTTTTGCTTCTTACATTTACTATCTGGCTCTAGCTCCATCAACTCACGAACAACAGCAATTTCGCGGTCCAGCAATGTAACTCTATCCTTAAGCGAGTTAGATGTTGTCAAAGACGTGACAAGGAACTTTGACTTCGTTCTTTGTGTCTCCATGGTGCCATCAGGCTCTGGAACTGGTCCAATACGCTTGCTAACATCACACATCAAGTTCTGTCCAATGGCCAGCCGATTAAGTCGACCTGAAATGTTGCTAAAGTCCTGTTCCAACGTCTCAGCTTCAAAGCAAACCGCCGAGGTGAGTCGCGACCCTGACCTAACACCACAGACATCGTCTGGAAAGATTACAATCTCGACAGTAGGCCCGTACTCTGCGCCTGGCGCTTGCTGAAAGATCCAGATACTACCCATGGATGAGTCTGACCCTGTAGCCTTCCATTCTCCCTGTAATGGCACAGCGACATGATCCAGCATGGTTGACACTGTGAAAGGGTTGCAAAGCTTAACTGTTTCATCAAACGCAACAACCACCTCCAATGGGTGAAATGAGATCACAGTCGCACCAAGGACCGAGATACTTCTCTCCTCTATTTTCAAGTAGTTAATCGATCGAGGGATGATCCATGCCAATTTGCATCAGCACAGCGTCAGATAAACTCTTTTTTTTTTTTTTTTTTTTTTTTTTCTTTCAGTAAAACACGGTCCATGATTACCTTTTCCAATGAGCCACAGGTCATATAACCACGCACTCTGGTCCTCTGGATCGGTGTAAATCGCATTCTTGATGAGATCAAATTCATTGTCCGCTGCTGCTTGCCTTTCTTCCTCTGTCATATCCTGAGACAACTTAATCAGCAATGTACTTCTGTTATGCCATGCCGAATAGTTTGAAAAGTTTTGACTGATCTTTTTCGCTGTAAAGTCAAATTCTGATTGAGCGCGTTCTAGAACTCTTTCCGTAGCGTTACGGTCCTTGAGATCCAACTGCCGAATAATGTATCTTCTGTAATCCCAACCATGGACTGTTATTACATACACACCACAAAAAGTGCATGGGCAAACAATGTCAATATCAGTAATATCAGCATCATGTTGAAAAATCAAAATTGATGGTCTGGTATCAGACACGAACACTCTTTAAAAAAATCGAAGATTATTATCAGAATGACATCATTCTCAGGTCCCTTCTCACTCCATTTTATCCTGGAATTACACTTACAGTTGCGAGCGTCTAGCTCGAGAAACTTGCTCACCATAGCAAGCTCCCTGTCCCAATGAGGTTGCTTCATGTGCTCTAGGCACCATCGGCGGTGGTTCCACATCCAGTAAGATTTTGGATTCAATTTCAGATTCTCTTGCACAAATTCAAGTTCGCCATTGTAAATCTTGTCGACGGCTTCATCATCTCTATGTATCAAAAAAATCGACAAAACATGTCAATCCTATACTTTCTTTTTTTTTTTTTTGTCGAATGGTTACTTTCTTACAGTCCAACCTAAAGGCTATTTACGCTTTATCAAGGAACCCTTCCTGGAGAATAATTCGACGCACATTCCAAATGGTATAGTAGTCAGGACTTTTGCGAAGCAGTAGAGTAGTAACTCTAAGAGCATCATTATCTCTCTTCTTGGAATTCATCTATTGGTCCATTAGAGGAAGAAGGAAGAAGGAAGAACAAAAAATTATTATTTTGAGAACCATGTCCAACCCAACGAGCAACTATCAAATAAACCCCAACCACGGTTAGAAAAGATGATAGAGTTGCTTGTTAACATACGATATTTTTGAGTGAGTCCTTGAGGCTACAGTACTCGCGTACGAGGACAGCCTCACGGTCCTGTCTAGCCTTGAGTAACTCAGGTGACTCCACCTTCTCTTTCTTTTGTCCGTGGCGACCTTCCTAAACAAGCGTGGAAGTTCCAAAGTAGAAGTCAGCCATTGCTCCTTGCTGGTACTTTTTGTTCAAGCCGAATGCTGTTGTGCACGACGTAGATACCATATTCGTATGTTCGTGTTACGCGTGTATAATGCTTCAAAAAAAAAGAGGGAAATGAAATGAAATGCGAAAAGGTTATAAGCCCAATGTCGTAAGATTGTGTTCTAATACTTTGAGAACTTTCCCAGGGATGAATTCGTCAATTGCAACTTTGCTCTCACGTGCAAATCGGCGTGTGTAAAGGGAGGACAGAAGCAAAAAACCGAACGTTTTTTCCAGCCGACAAGCCGAACAAATAGCCTATTCTACCATTCATTTCAAATCTCTTCTCTCCACACTTTTTTCTTTCTTTATACCTTCTACCCACGTCTTCTTCCTAAAAAAGGATCGTCTTCCTTCTTTGTCTAAATGCTATCTGCAGTTCAGGGCTTTGTTAGTAGACACCGGCGTGGTCTGGCTGTTACGGCTGGTGTCACAGGTGGAATCTACCTGATGGGCAAGTACGCCAAAACCAAGCTCATCGAGTTTCAGGAGAAGTCTGCATCGGAAAGGACAGCCAAAGAAAAGTATACCGCCCAAGCTCTCATGAACTATGCATAGCTATACCATCCTTCATTGTCATTTCTACTTACGATTTCTATCTTATTTTATTTTTTCACTTCTGACCGACTAAAAAAAGTATGAAACGTCGGTTCGAGCAAAACCAACAAGACTGTGTCTTCACAGTGCTTTCACTCCTACCGACGCTGGGTGATCAGCTTCTGCATGAGCTCAATGTAGAACTGATCACCACCAAGCTGCAGCAGTCTAGATCTCAGCGATCAACACCCATGCCTACTCCTGACAGCTCTATGATCTTGCCACCAAAACCTTTAGATGATACCGAAGCATCGACAGCTGCTGCAGTAGTAACGTCATCAGAAGATAATGGAGCCAACGGAGTGAATCAGCAGCAACAGCCAATAGATCAAACTGAAGAAACGAGCAAAGATGACCAGGTATTAGCAGCGGAAAAGACTGCGACACAAGAGCTAGAAGTGAATAGTAAGATCAATGGTCGCTTTGAAAAGCACGAGGCTGATGCCAACGCAGAGAATGGTCATATCGTAGCACTGCCTGACAAAGAAGTAGAGGTAGATAAAGAGATTGCCCAGGAAGAATCTGTCGCTAATGGATCTACGTCTGAAGAAAAGGCCCAGGAGGCAAAAGAGACGGAGCAAGAGAAAGAGAAAGAGCAGGAGCGGAGGCAAGAACAAGAGAAAGAGCAAGACTCTACGGAACGCAACGTTTCAGAGGAATCCACCGCACGGCTTCAAGCTACTGCCATTGATGAGACCGCAGCTTTGATCGACCGCCGTGTGAAACTTGAATTATGGACTGAACTCAAGATCATGAGCTTTACGCGCACGATTACAGCACTTTACTCTCTTACACTCCTGACACTACTCACACAAATTCAACTCAATCTTTTGGGGCGTTTCACATACGTTTCCTCGGTCGTTGCCCTTTCCAATACCACAGATGCATCCTACCGCGTAGAATCCCCAGCGCCCAAGGGATCATTGACATCAGTCAATGGACTCTTGGATTTTCAAACCGAGAAGAAATATCTGACTTTCAGCTACTGGCTTCTACATGAAGGTTGGCGTCGATGGAGTGAGAAGGTTCGTGAAGTAGTTGATGATATCGTTGGAAGGTAAGTTTTTTTTTATATTAGTGTATGCCACTATTTGAGCGTAAGATGTTCGTTATCAACGGCTTTTAACAAGTTCTGAAATATACTCACGTGGGTTTAAAAAAAAAAAAAAAAAAAAAAAAAAAAGTATCTCATTGAAGAGAACTTTTACTGCCAAGGAATTTTCTGAGCTGCTTGCAGAGATTCGATCCCGGCTTGAATATGCTGAGGTAGATGGCAAGCGTATCCCAATCAAGTAAGTTTACATCTGGCTAAATGAGTAATGAGCAAAGCAAAGTGCATATGGATGATATAGGATATTATATATTGTAGTCTCTTTACTGATACACAATATCAAACTCTTTTATATATACTTTTGAATACTTCATTGCTTCCTAAAAGTATGCGTGAATATATGCTTCCGGACGATGTTGCAGAAGAGTACGAAGTACTGAGGGCAGGAGGCGTGGATGAAGCTGATCTGACGGTAGATCCAATGCTCCGCAATTTGCTGGATGAGACACGGGATTTCATTGATAGCAACGATTTTGCAACGGTCTTGAGCTCGACTTTAGCAACGACCTTTGCGCGCTTTAACCTTGCATTCCAGCCAACATTCAATCCATTCCTCCTGACCCCACCCAGAAACCCGGGCTCTGGCATTGAAGAAATTGAGAATGAGGATGATATGGACCGAGCCGTACCACTGGCTTCATTGTTACCATTGGTGACAAGACAGGTGCATTTGATTATCAATGGGGTTCCGAACGAATATGTTGAGAGTCTAGCCTTGGTCAAGGATCTGCAAGCGTTTTCAGCAATCGTATATTCGTCGTTTAGTGAGCAACTCATGAACCATTGAAATATATCAAATAGAGATGATAATAAAATAAGATTTTTTTTTTTTTTTTTAAAAAAAAGTACATCGTTGGACAATGTTAGTCCCAATATTGCGCCATTCATAAACAAAATCATGGATTCATCTCTGACTCTCTCAACCCTTGTAAGATTTCATGTATTCATAAGTTGGATTGAATATCTTTTCTTTCTTTCTTTCTTTCTTTTTTTCTTTTTTACTTGCCCTACTTCTTATATTAACCAGCAATTACAGGATAAGCTCCATCATGACCACTCACCAGCAGACAAAGCCCGAAGAAGCGACGTTCGAAGAGATTCAGGATCTTATCCATCAGAAGGACAGAATTGTAATGGCGATTATTCATATACTACCTTTCTCATATTCTTCAGCATCCTTCTTTCCTCCATTTTTTATATATTTCCGTAATATTTAATATCCTTTATTTCATTTTATTTATTTATTTATTTAAATAAGGTACCGCTGATCGATGTCCGTGACCCTAACGAGACCGATCTTGGTGTGATCCCTACAGCGCATTCGATTCCACTCTCGAAACTCCATGATGCCTTGACTACATTATCAGAGCAAGAATTCGAACAGCAATATGGTATGATAACGCACCTTTCTGTCACAATTAGCATTGATAAAGGAAATGACAATACTGCGCAAAATTAATTAAAGGACAAATATGCAAAAAAAAAAAAAAAAGATTAAAATAAGTATTCCTTCCTCCTTTTGATTACCAATAATCATTAACTAGGGTTTAAACGGTTTGGGAAGGATGACGAAGTCATTTTCTATTGCAGATCAGGTCGACGCTCAAGGCTTGCGTTTGGACAGGCACAGGAGTTGGGCTACAGTCATGTCCGACACTATCCAGGATCATGGAATGAATGGTCCGTCAGATTTCAATCCACAGCTTAAAAAGGAAAAAAAGAAAAAAGGCTATTTGACATCCAGAGACATTGGTGAAGAAACAACTTTTCTTTTTTTATTTTTATTTTTATTTTTATTTTTGTTTTTGTTTTAAAAATTATAACAATTAAAAAGGCTTTTTTATCTCTTTAATAAAAATGATGTACAAGCTCATAAATTACGAGAATTGGGTATAGCATAAGGAGAGATAAATGAAAAGATGATACGAGTTTATAGCTATTTTGTTCCGCTAAAAAAGCAATTTCACTTCTTGAAAAAGCTTCCCCATCGTGACTTCTTGACAGGAGCTAGCGGCATCTCTGTCTTGGCTCGGATCAGAGTTGTGGGAGGAGGAGGGGTATTAGAGTTAGTAACAGTAGGGAATGCTGAAGTATCAGATGGCTTGAGGGTTGTGCTTCTTGTCATAGTCGGTGGGGTTGGTGGACCAACATCAACGACTGCTCCTACTGCAGACTTCAAGCCAGCAGAGCTGGTGATATTGCTATTCTTGTTGTGATTTACATCCAAAGAAGATGTAGAGCTCAGTTTAGAATGAGAACCCCCCTCGACCTTGGCTCCTGCGCTGGATTCCGAGGGATGAGCATTTGTTATAGGAATACCACCACCCACTCCACCTCCACCAATTGCGGAACGAATCCCTCCAGGATTTTTCACCTTGGACTTGAGATGCATTGCTTCCGGAAATTCCTTATAGAATGCCTTATCATCTACTGGGCGCATTATATCCAAAACAACAATTGAGACCAACATCAAGAATGTCCTGAATTCTGCTGGGAATGTATCTGGGTTATATAGCTCAAAATCTCCTCGTTTCTGCACTGGGCCTGAGTTTAATCGGTATTCAGAAACCAATTGGAGGTACCGAGTCGGATCAAATGGAGATGGCGTACCAATGGTGCTGGCAATATGTGGAATGCCTGCAGACTCCATTCCCATGCCATGGAACATGGTCTGGGTATGTTTAGGCTGCGGCGGCTTCCATTTGGATTCGCCCCCACACATTTGTGAGCAGGTGATCCTGTACTGATCTTTTTGCTTCCTGTACTCAACCACAAAGTCATCCTCCTTCCATCGAAAAACGAACCTTGCAAGAGGTTCATTCGATTCGCCGCCAGCTTTCTTCTTGTTACTCTCCATCACCAACTTAATCTGTCGTTTAGTTGCCATCTCTGTGGCGGTCAGCGTGCCCCAAGTAGAAGTGCGTCCTGCCATGGTCCAGATAGGCTGGTTGTTTATCAAAGATCTCAACGAATCCTGCTCCTGTCCAATGTGTCGACCGGGATGGCAGTACAGTAACGCGCCATACTTGTTGAAAATATTGGTTTTACGAGGATCACTCTTGTCGTGTATCAGTTGATAGAGATCAAAATGTACCGCTGGATTAAGATACGGCCGTGTAATACCATATGGATCACCGTAAATGGTGCCTGTACGTGGGTCCGTATCGTAAAAGGGTAAATCACCAAAATCAAAGTCGGCTGGGAGAGCATCGTAGCCCAAATGACTAAAGTCCTGAACCTCACTCACTTCATCATATCCAGGAATAGATGGGCTAGGCATAGGTGGAGCAACAGATGAGGATGTGCCCGAAATTGCAAACGAGTGTTGAAAAGTAGCTGGGCCAGTCAATGCACGGTTTAGGATAGGCTTTGAGCTTGAACCGGATCCAGAATTAATGACAGCGTGGTTGCTGCTGCCGCTGCTGCTGCTACTAGCACCGTTCGGGTACGAGCATTGAGCTGACGTTGAGAAGATACGAGGGTGCGACGAACTTGGTCCAGAGCCAGAACCAGAGCCAGCCATGGATATGGAAGCTGAACGGAAAGATTTCCTCTTCTGGAATGCTTCTGTGCTTGGCAAGTCTGTTATGGCTTTAGAAGCTGAGGAGGAAGAGTGTTGTTCCGCAGCGCTGCCTGCCTTGATCTTGAAATACTCAACTCCTTCCTCGACTGAGGACAATGAGGTGAGCGAGGATGAGTTGGATGATCTTGTAGTAGAATGGGCATAGAGGTTAGATCTAGTTGGAGAGCTAGCTGCTGTCGATTCTGTAGCTGCATTAGGCCGTACATGTGCAGATGCTATAGCGCCAATGTGAGCCGGATGTTGGCCAGTAAACGAATTAGTGCTGGGTTGTACTAAGTCTTGGTCGCAGTAGATATCAGTATTGCTATTGCCGTTATTTAGGGCAATACTCTTGCTTTTGTCATCAAATACATCCATTGGGGCTTTCCCTTTCCCTTTCCCTTTCCCATTCCCTTTATCAGCTCCCACTGTATCTATTTGTTGTGCATCATGTTTATCTTGTTGTTCCTGATGGATAGAAGACGAGAAAAGAAGAGCTGAATGTGGTGAATGTGGTTCTTGAGAATTTAGATGGACGCCGTTTTGTTGTTGTTGATACACTTCATTGCTTGTATTGTTGTTCATGGGAAGAAATACGTCTGATGACTGGGTGGCACAAGCGTAAACGTGATTCTGATTGGCTTGCGATCCTGTACAAAACAACGCTCTGTCCCTGTCTATAACATCGATAGTAGAGAGGCTGTTGTTGTCCACCTCGTTGTCGTCATTTGCCTTTGCTTTACCCTTGCCCTTGTCTTTGTTGCTGTCTGCCAAGGCTGATACAGGGAGCGAGAGTGTTGATGATGAAGGAGACGACGACACTGACGGTGAGCTGGAGCAAGGAGAGGCGGTTGGATGGCTCAAAGTGGCATTATCCATCCCGGACACTCCAGGAGGACTTGTTGATATGGGTACAAGACTAATCGGCTTTTGAAGAGGATAGACGTTGTCGCCGTTTGTGATAGTAGAACCAGGATTGGCCAATATGGCCAGCGAGTTAGTGGCCGAGGGGGGCGATAGTTCAACCGAGATTCTCGAGGGCATTAATTCTCTGTCTGCTGTATTATTTGTGTAGAGTGTCAGAATGTGGATTTAAGTGGTGATATGCTGTTGTGTGATGGATATGGAAGCTTTTTTTTTTTTTTTTTTTTTTTGTAGTGTTGAAAATTAAATAAGAACAGTAAATTGTCTGTCAGATGTGAAGCATGAAAGAGACAGAAAGAAGAAAGGAGGTGACCGAGTACGCAGAGGGCAAAGAAAAGACCTGATATTTTGGGAAAAAGGCGAATGGGCCAAACAACCAAAAGATTGAACATGAACATGCGTGGCCAAACATATTAATAAAAATATAAAAAAAAAAAAAAGAAAATAAAAATACCTTAAAAAGAAAATACCGAACAATTGAAAACCAAAATAATAGGAATGAGTAACAAGATGGAATTGAATGATGAACAAAGAAGAATGTGAATGAGGTGAATAAGAAATATATATAAATAATAGAGATGAATATGAAAATGAAAGTGAGGATATTCAACAATGCTCTTTTTTTTCTGCTATTAATCAGCGAAGCACAAATGGTGAAATTAAAGAAGAGAAGAGCAAAGGAAGGACAAATAAATACACAAATGCAAATGGAGGGAAAGAAACAAAGGGTGTCTCGCTATTCCTTCCTTTTTGTTCTGATTGCGGAAGATGCAAAGGATCATAAGCTAAAACATTTACAAAGAACATGCACATTATACTTAATTATATTTATACAATTACATCCATTTTTACCGAGGAAGAGTCTACGCATGCATGTGCACATGCACAATTTCCTCTCTAATCAAGCATACAACTGCCCGGGAGAAAGGAATAACGAGGAAAGTCAACCGATCTTTTTTTTTATTTTTGTTCTGCTGTGAAGTGAACTCCCACGGTTTGTGATTAATGATCGTCGTCATCATCAATGCAATACTTCCCACATCTGTCACACGGGTACACAGCGTTGTGCAAAGTCATCAAAAACATGACAGGGATGGATAGATTTCTACATGAAAAAGTCGACCCAAGAGCACTGAGCGCTTACTTGATACATGGATCCCACAGACACAAGAATGCTTTGTATTCTTACGTTCATCTTTCTTTTTTTTTTTTTTTTTCTTTTTTTTTTTTTTTTGGTTAAAGAGTTGGTGGTGATGATGATGGCTGTTCACTTTTTGCGGTCCTGTGCCTCTTGTCCAATAAATTCTCTCTGCGCAACTCTCGATTCGGCTTTGGACGACGCTCGATGAACTTTTGAATAAAATCGAAAGACTGTCTTCGACTCTTCCCCACACAGACATGTATGCATTTATGCTTGCTTTTTTTTTTTTTTAATCTTGGGCTGTAGTGATATTGATCATTATCGTCTCACCGATAACATCATATCTTTCCACAAATGACTTAAAGTTTTGTACTTACAAGTCCTACCTGCCTGTGCATCATCTTTGCGCTTAGTCCGCTCTTTTTTTTTTTTTTTTTGAAGACAAAACAACATTGAACATTGTTTCGTGCATCACTGCTTCAAGAATGACTAAAAAAGAGAGGCGCCTATTTTATTATGATAAACTCGGCGTTTTGGGATTTGTAGCATAGCGACTAAGACAAAAATGAAAAAGAGGTTGTCTGCAGCCTAGAAAAAGCAGTTTGACATAACAGAGAAGTAAGACGCGTTTGTCAACCTGTTTTTTTTCAATTACTCCAACTCGAAAAGAAATTTCTCCATCGAGCCCTTACTCAATTTGTACTTTGCTTTCATTTTTCCCTTGGATTTCTGCAGCCCTCTTGTCATCGTGTTTCTATCACAAAACAAAGTTGGACAAGCATGTGTCTGCTGATCTCTCTTCGGATCATCTTCCGAAGACATTCATCAAGAGTGGAAAAGGGGGAGAGAAGGGGCAAGTTGATGAGAAGTTTGTCCCAAAGATTGGACGGGCACCCATCTCCCTATCCACAGCCATCAGTGGCCACAAATCCTTAGAGCCTACGTAATGCTGCCAGTCCAAAAGGCTGCCTTAGTTAAGAACTTTAAAGAGTTATTAATCTCTCTCATACTATCCACTCTTCTAAACGAACTAACGTGCGCAGTGATCTCATTGAGCCTATTAGGAAGCATTTCCGTTACTCTACTTTGTCCTTCAGGATGCGGCCGCGGCAAAAAAAAAAAAAAAAAAAAAAACTCATTTTTAGGGCATACTCCACATGTTGCCTCTACTTTTAATCCATTGGGCTCTGATTTCGACGCGACAGATCGTGCTAAAGGGGTTTAGAGAATAGCATGTATGTATGTATATAAATGTATATGAAGTATATGTACCGAAAGTATTGTGGAGAAGCATGAACTTACTCCTTACCTTTATTTTATGCCCAATAGGATTTGAATGAATACTGCTATTATTTCACAGGGCAGCCATGGAAAGCCATTTGTATATATATATATATCGTCTTTTTTTTCTGTGGAGATCGAAATATCATCCATCTTCACTCAACCGCAACCCCGGTTTAATTTAAAAAACAAGGGTTTAAAAAAATGAGCAGCACGGGCCAAGGGTTTCTTTGGCTACTCTGACAATAGTTCCACGGATACATACAGAGTTGACTAATGAACTTTGGGTAAATGCCTTCAACGCGAGCATGAGGTACAACATAGATATGTCAATCCATATATCAATTGGCTTTCATCATGCATCGTGGGTAAAAAGCACTATCCATGAAATAAAACTCTACATTAACACTGGTATTCATAAGTGTGCCCTCGTTTATTGTTATTGTTTTGCTGGACACTACCTAAGATACAGGTAAACACGGTCTCCGCAGATCCAAACCTGGACACAGCTCGCAAGAAAGCGGTGCGGGCAGAATAGAAAGTTGAAAGGAAGTTGCAGGTATGAAGTAGATGAAAGCTGAAGTTTATTAAAAAAAAAAAAAAAAAAAAAAAAAACAGGTCCTACACAAAGGAGAACATTCAAATCCTGTCCGTGGTCTATAATTTATAAACTGACGCTCTGTTGATACCACAAACTGAAGTGTCTCTGAAACTATAAGGCTCCCATCATTGGGAAAACGCGTCATTTCTCTCTCGTCTTTGTGGGAAACCAATCTTCACAAATTTATGTTTATGTGCATTAAGAGATAGGAATGTTTTCTACTTTTTGGTTTGTTTTGATTTACTTGGACCTTTCTCGAAGAACTAGTCTTAACTCAAAGTAAACCTTTTTTTCTGTACAACTCTCCTCTTCTATTCACACACTGCTCTTCAATGTATTCGTTCATATATATATATGTATATTTAGCCACTCTTGGAGTTGTCATCATTGGATTGTAGTGATTGTAGTTACTGAGAAAAAGGTAAAAGACAATTTGGTCACACTCTGTGGCTCTAGAGAATCTCCTAAGGCCTGATCACGTCTATATTCAAGTGAAGAAAGGAATGCTTTAGCATTTAGTAGCATCCCACCGTGATTCCCGTACCGTAGGTGAGACCTAGTTCATCTTTTTTATTTCATGCATGCTGAACTGCCAACTGAGACACAGCAGTGCCTTTTAAAGCAATGATGCGGCGTCGTTAAAGGAAGATCTTGTAACCTTTAATTATTATTTCATTTATTGGTTCCAATTAAATTTCCTAGGCTAGCGCCTTTCCCATCCGGTCCTTCGCCCCAAAACTCAAGAGAAGGATAAAAAACGCATGATGTTTGTCCAGAGGCCCATGGCACAATGGCATGCATGGTTTACTTCCAGAAAGAGCAGATGGAGAAAAAAAAAAAAAAAAAAAAAAAAAAAAAAGCGAGAGTGCCCCAGCGAACCGAGGCGTGTTTTGTATCCAATTTTTTTTTTTTTTGTGCCTTTGGCTCGTTTTAAGAGCATGCACACACCACATCTGACTGAAGAGCAAATTGTTCGTAAACACATGTCCAAGCTGGTTATTACACATTATTGTTATGGTTTTGTTTTCCTCGCTTTGTCAATCAGCCGCATGGTACTACTTTCACAGGCTTGGGCGTGTTCCAAGATTCCTTGATCCAATGGTTCAAAGTGTACGAAAATGCAGACACATGTAAACCAAGGCAGATAGACTTGTGTTCATTCTCTGTCTAGAGAGTTTATCCTTTCTAAGGAAAAGAAAGACAACAACAATTATTCATTATCATAATTATAGCGACAGGTGCAGACACTTTTTTTTTTTTTTATTTTTTATTTTATTTTATACATCGATAATTTTTCAGAGGATACAATCTTTAACAACAAAGGTTTTCCTCGAACAGACCGTTTTTTTTTTAAAGCATATCCCATGGTCACGGCCATGATCATGCGAAGACTGCGGTTGTCAATGCAAATTGATGAAAAATACCCATCAACTGCGCTTTCTATGAGGAGTGCATCATTAATCAAATAAGCAATGTTGCTCTGGAACATGCGAGTGTCGTCTCATGTCCTTTGTACATGAAAGTGGACAAAAAAAGAGAGAGCCCAGTACTCTCACGCTACAGACAGACAGACATGTTTACTTTATTTTTTTATATTTATACTATAAAGACGTCTTACCATTTGTTTGTTTTATAATGCTTTGTATGAATATAATTTGGCAAAGCTCAAGCGTAAAAAAAGAAAAAAATAAAGAAAAAAGGCTCACAATGGCCAATCCGCAAACCCAACGATTCAATTTCATCTCTCCCACAATTAACTGGTTTATGAGCTACTTACAATCCACATCTCCAACAGCACAGAGGAAAAACAGCGTTAGGAAAGTGTATAAATGTGCGTGTGTATTCATTACGTATAATATATACACTATATCGCTCACGATGCATATATATATTATATTGAATTGCCTGTCGTTCCTTTTAAAAACAATACCAAAGGAGGAAAAGACCACATTGCACTTACAGAAGGAAAAGAAATAACCATTGCGTTTAAAGGGCATTTGGCCATAATAATCGAAGGTGCAACGCGATCCTATTCTTTAAATTAGAAATTCAATCAAACTTTGTCCCCTACCAATAAGATCATCCCACTGAACACAAAAAGTGTCAAGATAACTTTTCAACTAGATTCATGCAATGGATTGATAACAGAAAGTGAAAGAAAAATAAATAAATAAATAAATAAAAAAAAGGACACGCGTCTCTTATTGTCGTTTTTATTTGTGGGGAAAAAAGAAACCGATGGATAGCTGTGGATTATAAGGATGATGGATAATGGAAATGAGATGATGCATCCTTTTGGCCCTTTTTTTGTTGTTGTTGTCAATATTTAGTTACTGCATCACAACATGCCCTTCGTTGCTGCCTGCAAGTATGGAGTAGCAAAGATACGCATCATGAGTTTTTTTTTTTTACGCGCGCTTGTGTTGTGCACGGTGTAATACTTGATTAGTGTGAAATAAACATTCAATTGAGATTTTAGAGAATGGAGGAGTCTTTGTGCCTCCGTTGCACGTTGTTACTCCTTTCACTTTGTCCCACATTGGGTACAATCAATAAAACAAACATCTTCTCTCTGTCCAAAAGAAAGAAAAAAAGAAAAGAAAAAAGTTGTTGCAGTTGTGAAGCCCGATACAATCTGTTTGTGCTGTTATTGCAAATGATGGGAGAGGTGAAGAGTGAGTGGATAGTAATTATTAAGGTGATGAATGTAAAAAAACAGATTGTTTGGCACCAGATTTCATTTTCAAAATAAATAAATCAGTCTCCTCAGTTGAATCTCAGTTGGGTCCTGATGTCCTGATGTCATGTCTTCTGCTTCTGTGTTCTTCTTTTCTTACTCTTCTCTCACTCTTTCTTTCTTTCTTTTTTTTTTGAGTTTGATTCAATCTTAGATCATTCCTTCACTCTTCATTCTTATTCTCATTCATTTCTTTCGCTCATCGCTTCTTCTTTTTTAATCTCATTTCACATTCTCTTTAGTCATCAACTTTCCCTTTTTCACTTTTGTCGACACTCGTTCCTCTCTTTCTCTCTCCTCTCTCTCATTGGTACCATATCCATATCCAACTCTGTATCCATATCTCCATATTCAAATATCTCTTTCTTCCTTGTCTCTCACATCCGTATATAACGTCTCTTTACTGATGCCTCCGGATAGCACACCGCTCTCCTCTCACTCACATTTACATTCTCGCTCTTGCTCTCGCTCCTCTACTCTTCTTACCTCCTTTCACCCCTCTTATATTCTTCCATCTTCATCATTGCTCTTTTCACAGCCTTCAACGCTTCCTCTGCGGCGGAGGAGGCGGCTGCAGCTGCAGCGATCACCCCATCGTTCACATCGTCATTTTTTTTCAACTCTATCAACTTTATCACTATCACTTTTATTCTTCTTGTCTCCCACTATTGTGCATCCTATAGACGCAGTGTCATGTTTATATCCCAACGACAGTACCACTGTGCAGCCTGGCACAACAGTCCCGATTGCATGGCAGGTCTCTGCCGACGATGTCCAGCTGTATGACACACTTTCTGCAGAGTTACTCTGCAGGGATTACATTGGACCCAATGGGGGTAAATGGCGATCTATCGCTACCTTATTCACTGGCCGTGGTCTCAATCCTCCCGCAGACCAGTTCAGTTTCCGGTTCCCTGACTGTGGACCATATGCGACCGTGGGATCAATCCAATTTATAGGCCACATGTCTAAGGCAGGCCTACAGGTCATACAGGAGGATTCGTGCAATTTTGAGATCCAGTCTGCCCTATTGCCATACGCTGCACCTCTACCCAAATCGCCTCCCGATGCAGAACCCACAACCACCACATCTACCCCAACTTTGTCTACTGAAACAGAGACCCCCCTTCCTTCTTCCCCCTCAAGTTCATCCGTCCCATATCCTATCCGTGCCCCCAGGATGCCGCCGTCCCAGACCCAGACTCAGACTCAACCAGCTCCCAGCCCTTCTTCTACTCAAGGCTTCAGCCCTGCTCCACTCATAGGCATTGGCAAGCCAGCAACCACCACGACACCAGATAGCATAAGCCTCGATCCCTTCATTATCTTTCCCACAACTCCATCAACAATCTTTAAACCCTCGCCATTTAATCCTATCACCGTCCAGCCAACGACTACATCAGAACAAGGTTATAGAACTATTGACACTCAAACCCGAAATCCCATCACCAGTGCTACTGGTGATCCAACAGTCACAAGCGACACTTCAACTCCAAAACTGACTCCTGATCCCGGAGCAGGTGATGAAAATAATGGTGGAGACGTCATGGAAGGAGGGGAAGGAGGAAAAGGGAGTGTTGGAGGAGGAAATGGAGGCGAAGCTGGCACAGGTACATCGAATATGCCAGAAAGACCCAATAGCGACTCTGGAAGAGATAGATCAAACATGGCAATAATTGGGGCTGCGCTAGGAGGCGTTGGTGCAATCGCTTGTATTGCTATTGTAGTGGCCTCTTTGGTGATCATTCGCCGAAGAAAGAGATCAGCGGCAGGCCGAAAATCTATGGAGCAGTGGATGGAGTCGGGCTCTGGTGGTGCCATAAATGCGGGCGGGGCTGGCGGGGCTATGATCGAAACCAAACAGCGGAAGAAGTTTAGATTTACGCCGCGTCCTAAAGACGGTTATTTTTATAAGATGGAGGACCAGGATGACAATGATAGCGATGTGCATTCTTACATGGAGAGGCCAAATGGCACGGCTGCTGCTTTAAATAGCGCAGGCGCAACAGCGGCAGCAGTGTCAGTATTGACTAAAGATAGAGCTCGCCAAAGCATGACTCAACTGGACAGCTCTCAGCCAACCCTTGCCTTACCGCCTCATGCCATTGTCAACTCAATCACACCTCTCTTTATGCGAGAGGCTACACCATCGTCCTTTGGAGAATCTTCCTCGCGGACATATTCTGTGTCTTCAAGCTATTCAAGTGTTGAAAATTCATCCACGATCCGGAAGTATTGGGAGGCGTCCATAGCTGCACGTGCAGAGCATACAGCTCATTCGGTTCACCACAATACTTCCTCACGATCACGGGAAGCTGTAGAAGGGAACTATGATGAAGGATCAATATTCGGTGATGGCAACAGTATCAACAGCAGCGGTCAAGATTCCGAATCTAGAATGGCGGATATTTTGACGTTGAGATCAGTAGGAAGTGGAAGCGGCAGTTTCGCAGAGACGACAGGCACAGCAACTTCGTCACGATATCGATACAGGAATCGAAGGAATACACTTCATTCTTTGGGGGCAGCATCGTCGTTCTGGCAACAGAGCAGTCCAGCTACAACACTTTCTAGCATCCCAGATAGTCTTATGATCACCGAGGAGGAATTCCTAGAGCGATTGCACTTGCATCAAATGCAAATGCAGATGCAAGAGCAAGGATATTATGACCATCACTATCATCAAGAGTATTCCGGTCGATACTCTTCACGAATGACAATCAGCCGCTCCAACTCTATTCCGTCGTTGACATCCAGTAACGATCCATTCAAAACTTTTGATTCAAATGAGGTTCTACCAGATGTGGATCCATTCTCGGATAACCGTGCTGACTCGCGTGCCTCTATGAGAGCAGATATGCACTGATAGAACCGCTCTTTTTTATTTTATTTTACTTTATTTTTTGTAAACAGTTGCATCTTTTTTTTTTTTTTTTTTTTTTTTTTTTTTCTCTGCTATTATTATAATTTTTTCTTGTTCGTTATGCTCTTTTTCATTTACAAGCTCTATTTTTTTTTTTTTTTTTTTTTTTTTTTTTTCATTGTTACGACTATTATTATTAGTGTTATTATTATTCTCCTTGTCCACTCTTCGCACTACATATACCAACACGTATTACTCCTTTACATATTCATACTATTTCGTTTCTTGCTCCTGTCAATGAATTCGTATTTTGATTAAAATAAAACGAAAAGACGATCCTCTCTTCTTTCTTGCTGATGATGAACTTCATCACAGCAAAAAAAAAAAAAAAAAAAAAAAGATGTATCTAAATTTTTATACATGATGGCTGTTTGAATATATAATTTACAAGATTTGGTTTTTGCTCCAAAATATAATAAAGTTGTATCTGCCATCTGATATCTCAAAACTGGCACAAAGGACAAAACACGCTGAAGACATATACTGCGGTGTTTCTTAAGAGCCAGACAGAGCCTTACATTCTTCATCTTTTTTTTTTTATTTTTTTATTTTTTTATTTTTTTTTTAGCTTTGTCTAATTAGAAAACAGCCGCGATAGTAGTTGTGATTACAGCACATCCGCTCGAGATTAAGACGACGACGGTAATGGACAGTATTGCAGCTAGGTTATGCGAATCAATCGCATTGATCTTAATACATCCTCTCTCGAAAATTGACGATTATGATGGCTCAGTTACTTCAGATCTCCCAACCCAGGTACCCCGCACATCACATCGTGACAGTACAATCAGAGAAGAAAGCTCTTACCAATATTCTGTATCAACTTTTCGTATCCTTCCAGATACTTGAGCTCAGCAAGTTGCTTTCTCGATCAAAATTACCATTATTAAGGATCTTTGGTAATAAAAGTCTTAGTAAGGCTTGCTCCCAAAGGGCACTTTGATCTGATACAGTTTGTCCCACATTAGATCTCCTTGATTTGTTTACGCGTATAGTTATTGATATTTCTCCATCATTGTTTTTCACCAAATGGCAGGGCAACAAGGGTTGTTTGTTGCCTCAAAGGAATAAAGAAGCCCATGCCTTCGACATGCATTAAGCGATTCATCCTATACGAGAGTCTCTATACTTTAGGTACTTTAGGTATAAGCTGCTTATACTTATTCCAAAGCTATCTAAGGTTGAAGTTAGCAAATTGTTTTAAATGTCCCTCCTTGCCCATTTACTTACGTCGCTCCAAGTACTGCGGCAGTCTCGGCGCGTTAGTGCCAGAAAAACGAGTTTTTTCAGCCTTTATGCTGTCCTAGAAGCTAGCTCACCACTGAGTGTTCGGCTCGATGTTACCTTCAACAGTAGAGACGAATCCTCTAAAAGGGGCGTATTTGATCGCTTTTTAACTTTGGTGGCGCCATTGACCAATCAAAAGAGCCGATGGTGACTATTCCCTCACGGCTCAGGACATGCAAGGCGAAGCGATCAGGGTTTTTCATGGGCTATTTTGGAATTTTTCAGCTTGGGACCTGTCGTTGGAGTTGACTTTAAGCTGGAGTATAACCTATTGTAGGCCCAAACAGAGCATTCTCTTATCACGCTGTCGTGCAACTACAGACATAGACAATGGTCTCGGAATAAGTGTAAAAAACGCGTCTCATAAATCGTTAGTGAATCTTTCTGCTCAGCCACTCTACATTTTATTATTTGGATAATCCAATATGACTTTCACAACTTTCATTATAACTATTATAATTTATTATAATTACTATTATATTGTCATATTGTCACAGGAAGAAGGATTCAGATAACCCAAGCAACTAGTTTCTCAGAATTAACTGCTACCTCCAGAAGATATTAAAAGCACAGTATAAAAAAAAAAAAAGAAAGAAAAGAAACGAAAAGAAAAAGGAACGTACACGAGGAGCATCGGAGGCGCAAGAGTGCTCCAACAGGAAGGTACTTTTGACTGACAAAAGCAGTATAAAGAAAAAGCATGGAATCGAATTACATCCGATTCACTGCCTTGTCAGGCGCAAAGTCAGAATCAGCTCTCTGCTATTTGCTCGAGATTGATGAAGCAAAGATCTTGCTTGATTGTGGATGGAACGATGCATTCAACGTGGAGGATCTCAGGCAACTTAGGAGGTACAAGCAGAAAACAAATGAATTGATAAAAAAAAAAAAAAAAAATAGCATTATGCTTGCAATACTATGCTGAAAAGTCTCCTAACAGAATATACCATTTTGTCTATTCATTTTTCCACGTTCTTCAATGCATCATGGACTCACATGGCACAAACCAACGATGATGCCAATAATAAATTATAATAATAACAATAAATACTAAGGATCGCAAAGGATGTCGACGCTTGTTTACTCTCACATTCAACACTTCATCATTTGGGCGCGTTGGCCTATGCGAGGTCCTATTTGGGCTTACGGGCGCAGACTTATGCAACCTTCCCAGTGATGGATATGGGTCGCCTGTCACTCTACGACATATGGCAATCAAAACGAGCAACTGAGGATTTCAGAACGTTTAATCTGGAAGATATTGATCAAGCCTTTGAGGCTATTACCTGCCTTAGATACCAGCAACCAACCGATCTAGGAGGTAAATGTAAAGGTATCACGATCACAGCATCATCTGCAGGACATACAGTTGGGGGAACCATCTGGAAGATCTCGAAAGATACAGAATCAATCCTGTATGCTGTTGATTATAACCATCGCAAAGACAAGTAAGTTCAAATCATCCTTTCTTTCTTTTTCTTTTTTTTTTTTTCTTCTGACGATGCGTTATGGGCATAATTAAATAACTTCTTCCTTTATTTTTTTTTTTATTTTTTTTTTATTTTTTTTGTCGTTGTTGTTGTTGTTGTTGTTTTAAAGACATTTGGATGCAACAGTTCTGTTGCAGCCGGATGGAAATGCTCCTCAGGAATTCTTAAGACCATCCTTGATGATCACGGATGCTTACAACTCGGAACAGCTCCTGCAGCCTTCTCGCCCTTCTAGGGACCGAGCTCTTTTAGGTAAACATGTGTTCTCATTATTTCCTTCTTTCTTTTTCTATTTTTTTTTTTTTTTTTTTTTTTTTTTTAATTATTTAATTATAAAGAGAGGTTTTTTATATATACTAACAATGACAATAATAATATAATAGAGTCAACGGTAGCAACAATCAACAATGGCGGATCTGTCCTGCTTCCGACCGATTCTTCAACACGAGTTTTAGAATTGGCCTACATGTTAGATTCTTACTGGATGGCAAATCGAATCCGACACCCTCTAATCCTTCTCACAAACTTTTCATATCGAACTGCTCATTTTGCGACCTCAATGATGGAATGGATGGGAGATACAGTCCGCTCTCAATTAACAGATACACGTGAGAACCCTTTTCAATTCAAGTACTTGCGACTCTGTCAACGACTTTCGGATTTAGATAAATATACTGGGCCCAAAGTCATTTTGGCGTCAAATCTGTCAATGGAAACTGGGTTTTCTCGGGAGGTGTTCTTAAAAATGGATAAATGGTCAGAGAATCCCAAGAATACATTGATCCTGACAGAGAGAGCTCTTCCAGGAGAATTGGCTAGATACCTTTACGATGAGTGGAAACAAGGTGTGGGCGAGCTAGAGAATAAAGAGGTTGGAAGTGAAGTTCAATTGGATAGTGTTCTCCGATTACAAGTGGACCGCAAGGTACCGCTGGAAGGCCAGGAGCTGGCAGATTTCTTAGCAGCACAGGAGGCTCGACAGGAACGAGAGCGCGCAGATGCAGCATTGCTAGAACGGAGTCGGCGAACATTACTAGAAGAAGAGAACGATAGCGATGATGATGAAGGGTCTATGGATGGAGATAACAGCATGATGATTGAAACAGATACGTTGTTGTCCAAGACAGGAAGCCATGATGTGTATATGAAGGATGCAACCAAGTCTGGTGGATTCTTCAAGCAAACTCAGAGTTATCGTATGTTTCCGTATGTGGAGCGAAGGAAGAAGATTGATGATTATGGAGAAAGCATTGTGGCCGAACATTTTTTAAGTGCTTCGTCTAGTGCACTTCTCTCACTTTCGGCATCGGACGGCCGCGGGGATGTGGATGCTAATGGTGATACTCACATGGGGGCAGATGACGGGACTAATGTTGATGAAGATGGCAATGTGTTAGGAGAGGAAAGAGAAGGAGAAAACATTGGAGCAGATGGAAAGGACAAATATATCGACTCTGACATGGTCCATCCAGAAGATACTGTGCCTTCAAAATACGAAACCTCAGAGGAAGATATCATTGTCAAGTGCAAAGTGCGGTATGTAGATATAGAAGGCCGTGCAGATGAAAGCGCTATGAAGACTATCTTGCAAGCCATTGCACCAAGAAAGCTGGTAAGATATATATTTTTTTTTTAAAAAAAAAAAAAAAAAAAAAAAAAAAGCTCGAGATCTGTAAGCAATTAAGCTCATCTCCATCAGGCTACTAACACCTTCATGCTTTTCTGTAGATCCTAATCCATGGAACGGAATTAAAGACAGAATCCTTGTGTAAAACCTATCTTGAGCTGTCGGATATGACACGCGAAATCTATACACCTTCGATTGGTGAGGTCCTCAATGTCTCTGAAGTGACCAACATGTACAAAATCAACTTGACAGATGCACTTTTGAGTTCTTTATCATTCTCGACTCTAGGCGAGTATGATCTGGCCTATCTTGTGGGCCAAGTTCAGATCCCACCAGGATCAAACGCTCCAGTGCTAGGTATGCCTATGACGATAGTAGATATGGATAAGGCCTCAGCGGCCAAGAAACTTATCACTGCTGAAACTACTGGAGAAATTTCGGACCAACAGCTGCAACAACAACATGCGCTTCAACTTCAGATTCAACAACAGCGCTTGGAATTACTGGCACGAGAGCATAAACCAGTCTTGGTGGGCGATGTCAAGTTGACAGAGTTCAAGAACAGAGTGCTGAAGCAAGCGGGTATCGAAGCAGAGTTCATGGGTGATGGAGTGTTGGTCTGCAATGGGGTCGTGGCCCTCCGCAAATCAGACACAACCGGTCAGATATTATTGGAGGGTTCTCCTATGAGTCAAGATTATTATCAAGTCCGGGAATTGCTCTACAAACAGTTTGCTATCCTGTAAAATAATTAGCAAGATGAAACGAATAAAGTACAACATTGTAAAAAGAGAAAATGAAACAAGTAAAATAAAGAAATAAATATATCTATAAAATAAAATAATAAAAAAATAAAAAACTTTTATCAAGCTCAAAGCCATCATAGAGAACGTTGAATACAAAAATCATCAAAACTTAGATCCAGATAATTGTCAAATTTTAATAAAAATGACCAAAGAAGCGAACGTTGTCGGATCATGCGGGTATAGGGCTATTAAAGTAGACATATTACATGACGAAAAAGCAAAAAAAAAAAAAAAAAAAAAAAAATCGAGAAGGGGACCTGAAAGCTTTGCAATTTAAATAAGGCTTCCAGAAGGAAAGCTCCTTCGTGTAACTGTATCTACATCGAATTCAAGAACTGTGTTCTCCAAACCTATATGAAGATCCGAGATAGGACGTAGGGCATAGGATGAGTGATGAGTAGTCGAAGATATGTTAATAAAAATCTATCAGATTCCATCCAAGCCTGACAGAATGGAATGTAAGATTGAAACAAGTACATACCAACAAAACAGACTTTGCTGTCGGGGCTTAATGCAATGCCCGAGATGTGTTCGTCATTAGTCGGCGGCGCAACACGAACAATCTGCCTCTCATTAAAGGTCCTCGCATCAACCAAGTTGATGTAGGATACATGCTCACTATATAGAAGCAGATCAATCGACCCGGATGACGAGAACTTGACACATCGCGTAGCGCCTTTTGATTGTGGTTGCTAAAAAGTGGAACAAATGAAAAGTCAAACCACATGAATACGGCTCATTTCTTCTTAATGAAAACCAACAATATGGGTAAGGTAATACCTGCTTTGATCCAAGTTTACAAAGCTTCTCGCTATGGCGAATATCCCAGACACTGACATATCCATCTTGATTTGCTACTGCAAACTTTTCTGAAGATTGATTCCAGGCACATGAAAAACTTGCCTCCGTTGTTGCTATTTCGATTATTATTATTAATTTTTTTTTTTTTTTTTTTTTTTTTTTTTTTTTTTTTCAATAAATAAGTATCTGGATAGAATTGGATGAAACGCACGATATCATAATTAAATTCCAGTTGTACCTGTGTAAGTGCCAATTTTTTGATAGCCCGCTGCTGAGATGTCATATAAAAAAACTTGATTCGAGTCGCCGACTGCTACCATCTTACGTCCATCGGGGCTCACAGACGCTAAAAATGACGCAGTGAACAAACGTTAAAAAAGCTATACCACTGCTCCAGTTCAACTCAATCTAATCTACTAAACTTGCGCGTGTTTTTTTTTTTTAAAAAAAAAAAAAAAAAAAAAAAAAGATAAAGCAGATGCTACATACCATAGTTGACAGCCGTTGGCAATTGGATGCTGGTCAGACGTTGTAGTCCTGGCAAGGAATATACTTTAATGGTTTCATCATTGTTACTAATTAGCAGACGTGTCCCTCCTAGATGCTCCGAGATACAAAGCGCATTGTTGATCGACCCGCCGACATTTGTATGCGCAAACCTGGTGGTAGCAATTGTAAGTAGGATCTATTAGATAAATACTACAGACGCTGTATAGGAAGTAGCAAATATTTATCCCCGGTTCAGCCCTTGCAAATTATGCTGTATTCTATTCTGTGCGGTTTTTTACCAGTTGCTGTTCATCTGTCTGACCATCAATTGGTTGCGCTGTCCACCAGCAGCAAGGTATCCGCATCTATTTGGAGGGCGAAAAGAAAGTAAGGTTTATTAAGGCAGTCCAAAGGATCCTTGTGAAATTCAAAAAAATTTGTTGGCCCCTCCTCCTATTCACTCTTTTCAAAAGATAAAAATAATAAGTAGAAGAAAAAAAGAAAGAAAGAAAGAAAAAGATGCTTACGCAGCTGTCAAAGACGTAGGTTGGAATGGAAGATCCTTCATCAGGTGCGTAGTAATCTTTGTTCGAGTATTATAGCTGTTTACTGCATTTTGATTAACATAAATGAACTCTTCGCTGGTCTTGGGACAAGTGATCAGATCTCGCAGTTGCCAGTGCTGGATCGTTGAGCGCTGGTTGTGGACTCTGGGTCTAGGTTTGAGGAACTCGCAGTTGTCGCGAATGATTTGCGCCTGTGGGGTGTATGAGGTATTCATCGCTGTAAAAGAGAAAAGTAAGGTAAAAATGGCTCGATACGGTTCAATGAGCGAGAAACAACAATTATTCAGTGTAAAGGACAACTTGTGGAAACAAGAGAATTGCATGCGTTGTTTTTGCGATTTGTTTTGTGTGGTGCTTTTGTATCGTAGTCGAATGGAATAAAGCAAAGGTGAAGACAACAGGAAGAGCAAACGAAAGAAATGGGGACAGAAATGAATGGCACAAGAAGGAATAAAATAAAGAATAAAGTAAAAATCAAAGGAAGGGTGATGAGGTAGGGAGGCTGATTTCATTCATTCAAGGAAAGAAAAGAAAAGACAATGAGGATGAAACAAAAGAAATAGTAATCACCCAAGAAGACTACTGCACAAAGAGGATCACCAAATACATTTATTGACTATGGACGCTAGAAAAAAAAACTTCAGCATTCCCATCAAAGGCAAGGTGCTCCCCTGACTGAAAGGAAGAGATATCATCATGAGCATGAGGGAGAAGAAAGGGGGAGAAGATGGATTGTGCATAAATTATTGTTGATCTGCCAGCCCAGTAAATGATAAGGGCCTGGACAGGGATGTTCTTTTGCATGTGCATGGTTATATGCTAATCCCGTGTAACCATTTTTTACAAAAGAGCATTCTACCTGAGATCAATAAAGCAACTTGTGGGTTGGCTCCCTTTAGTAGTCTTCTTTTAGTAAAAACACTTTTTTCTTTTTCTTCTCTTTCTGGAACTCATCGTTCAGTCTCTCCATCCCTTTCACTCGCCCTAAAACCTCCTATTTCAAGTCTGAAAACCTCAGTCAGGAAAGTTTACCACGGACACATTTGCAACACACAGGACAAACAAAACTGAGCAACAAACAAACAAACATCCCCACATTTCACGTCTCCATTCTCAGCCGCGGCTCATCACCCGTCATCGGACATGGCCATCGCTAGCGAAGGGTATTGTTTCATGGCTATTTTTATTGAGCTTAAATGGACGACGGTGCAAGATGAAGTACAACTACGACCTGGATCAACTCATCGTCAAACTTTGTTGTAAGAAAATAGAATTAGAGAGAACAAGACTTTCTTGGATGAGGAAGTCGCAGAGTTAAGTGGCCTCACCGCCAGTCTCGACAAGACCAACACTGTATCAACTAAGATGGTAATGCAGCTTCTTCTGAGATATAAAACACTTGATGGGAGAGTTCAGTCAATGGACCTACTTGATGGCTGACATTTTACATGTTTGGGCTTTTGCATGTAGGTCGACATTCTGAACTCATTTGATACCCGGCTTGCGAGCTTGGAGACATCAGTGATGCCCATCCATAAGTCAACACAATCCCTCACACGCCTTGCTGGAAGTACGCAATTGTATATAGATACCAGATGGGATATGAGCTAAAAAAAAAAAAAAAAAAAAAGTGTTGCTACGATTAAAGAGTACTGAGTACTAATACACTTATGACCCATTGGAAATAGACATGAACCAGACGGTTGCAGCTCTGGAGGCTATCTTGTCATACTTTGATCTGGCTGCACAAGAAGAGGCTATAGTTGCAAGACCATTAGCAGAGCGGGATCTGCAATCCTACTTGCAGTCTATTGCGCGGATACGCGAGTATCTCCGGGCCATGAGTTCAATAAAACTCAAGGCAGGCGAGCGAGTTGTCCAACAGCTGGTAGGCAATACAAAAACCATTTCTACAAAAGATTCCTCTCCTTCCTTCTCTTTTTTCTCTCCCTATCTTCGGTCCAATGGTCCAAAAACTTGATTTTATTGCTTCTACACTAACACAATACAAAATACATAGAAACGAAGCTTGAAGCTCGCAGCAGGACAATTGGACGACCTATTCAAGAGGCTTTTAACCCAGAATAGTCAACCACTGGATCTCAAGACTGTTACCTCTACAGATCGCAAAGATATCCCAGCACTTCCATCAGGAGTCATACAGACGCTTGTCACCGTGGCAAAAAGTCTGGCAGATATTGATCTAGATCCGCATGCTACACCCACAGGGTATTTGAAGTCGTACTGTGAAATCCGTGCCAATTGCATGATTAAGTCTTTGGCGCCCCTGTATCAGTCTTCCATGGTGGAATTGAAGGGCATCTATGACAAAGGATCAAGTCCATTCATCCCCTATACGTCATCCTTACTCAAACTTTGCAGGGTATAAATGGATTTCTCGTTGAGTCTTTTAATTAAGTTAGGCTGTCAATGTCTTTCATATTCCTTTAAACTAAGCTCTTACCGTTCAAATGTTTTTTTCAATATAGAATGAAGCCGATTTGGCCGACACTCTTCTAGACCCCAAGCTTCTCAGTCTTGCATTCATGGGATCAATTATGCCTCCAATCGAGCAATGGGTTGAGGCGGGTCGGACGATCACACGCAGAGTGAGGAAGACGTATACATCTGAAGTCGGAGTTCTCTTTGATATCATTGAGTCTCTAGAAGGCAACATGAATACATTCGAAAGTGTCTTTGGGGTAAGGAGTTTTGGTTTTTTTTTTTTTTTTAGCATTTGTCCCATTTGAGCAAGGATTTGAGCCCTAATGAATATTCCCACCCTTCATTCTACTTTGAGGGTAGTTGGCGAGAAGGCAAAAGGAAAACGACGCTGCAGAGCTCCTTAAGACATTCAAAGCAGCTGCAATGAGGACATTTATTGATTTCCTTGCTGATGTCCGAGTAAGTATTGTTGTTGAAAAAACGGTTGAATTATACTGTAACGGTTGAATTATACTGTAACGGCTCTAACCCTTACTTTCCCCTCTTTCATATACACTAAAGAGCCAAAACAACTCCAAATATCAAGCCATGCCGCTGGACGGAACAGTTCATCAATTGACTTCGGATGTATGTAGCGATCATTATGAATTCTTTTTAGGATGATAGACATGTCAAGATGATTGATTCTATTTTTATATTTTAACATGGACTGTCCATGCAATATCGACAATAGACCCTTAACTATATGAAGCGTCTGATGAACTATCAATCCATGGTTGAGTCAATCCTTAATCTTATCGGAGATGGCAACTGGAATAATTCTGATGCCGGTGCTCCTCAAAATCGTCGACCCCATGCTGCTGGGCGCTCAGGACGAAGCGCCGTTTTGCAACATTATTTCGGTGAGACTCATCCTATTTCTGTCCTTATTTCTATCCTTATCACTGTTTGATCTCTGTTGGACTATAATTGATAGTTGTTTGCTTACTTTCTTTTTTTTTTTTTTTTTTTTAAAAAAAAAAAAAAAATAGCGGATGTGTTGGAAGCACTAGTTCAAAATATTGATGCCAAGTCTAAATTTTACAAGAAGAGTCAGTCATTGACTCAGCTGTTTTTGCTGAATAATTATTTTTATATTTCCAAATCGGTGCGTACGACGCCTGGAATGCTCGATGTTATCAATGGTACAGGACCCGAGGTCGCCAATACACCAGCCAATAACCTGACTTCAGCTATCTATGAACGGCCATTGAAACAGAACGTGGATCTCTACCAAGACAATTGGAAGCAGTGTGTGGAGCATCTTATGGACGTGACATATGTCCAGGATGGCGGTGTTCAACAAGTGCTGAACTCGAACCAGCGTCAAATGGTCAAAGATAAATTCAAAAACTTTAATCATGACTTTGATGAGTTGTGGAAGACACAAAAGCAATACTCGATCCCGGATGTAGATCTGAGAGCTATGGTCCTTAAAGACGTGCACCAAGTTTTGATTCCAATGTATGACAAGTTTCTGACGAAATATGCGTCTTCAGGCGGTGGAGGAGGGGCTGCAACTATGGAGTTTACAAAGAACCTGCAAAAATATATTCGATATGATGTATCCATGGTGAAGGATATGGTTAGTCAATTTTTTACAAATACGTAGAGGCTGCCTTCGTGTACTTCTTGCTATTTGAAATCTAGAAATAATAATAACTTTTCAAACATCTTTAATGACATAAACTGCTCTCTCTCTCTGGTCATTATTTTCCTGTCTTTTTTTTTTTTTTTTTTTTTTTGATAACTGGAATCCACGAAACCAAGCAACGCTTATTAAGATGTTAGCTCTATAAATGGGTTGCCTCATAACTGGGGCCGCAGATTGGGACCCGTACCAGATTGTATTAAGGATTTTTTTATTTTTTAATTTATTTGTTTTTTGATAACGAGGTTAGCTCTTTAAATGGGTTGCCCCATTACTGGGTCGCAAATAAAGCGGTATCCAATAATCGACCGAAGCCGCATCGTCATACTGCCACAGTACTACATCCTGTTCATAAACCACGTCAGCATTGAGTAGACTTCCTTGGTCCCAGAGGACCTGTGGCACGGCTCTACGTGACGAGCCCTGCTCCCTAATTGGCCCGTTGTGCGCGAAAGTCATCTTCGCCTCGGTCTCGCACATTGGCGACCTAAATTTGCGATTATATCACGTGATGCTCCAAATATCACTACGCTTTGAAAATAGATATAAAATATTTCTAACTGGGAAGAAGATCGCGTAAAGGTCTACTGGCCCAATGGAAAGGCGTCTGACTACGAATCAGGAGATTGCAGGTTCGACCCCTGCGTAGATCAATTTTGCATCAAATTAATGTTTTTGCCAAGCCCTCTTTACTTCAAGGATGAAGTTATTTGTATGGCCTCCGTGGAAATAACAATTTGCACTATTCCGTACTCACCTTATTTACACGGGGGTCTTTTTTTTATTTGTACGAGATCTTAATTTCAGTCTTAAATACCATTACCAGGTAGCCTTCTACGACACAAGCCCAGATCCAGAGCCGATACCCAAGCATCAAACACTGACCAGAATATTTATCTTTTAATGATTATACGTGGCTCAGAGTAGATGTTGATATTCTTTATGCGACTCTGGAACTAAATAAAGAACTACAATGATTTATCTAAAGTTGAAATATACTATGCCGCTCTACTTTGCACTTTTGTTGGCCGTGTTGTTATAGATTGTGGATGGTTTCCCGATGCTTTCTTTCATTTAGCCCATGCATCCATCTTTAGTATTTCTGTACGCTATTAAGCACACAACGATGAGTTCAGTAATTAGGAACCTCTAATATGTAAGCATAAATACTCTTTTCTGTTACGTTGATAAAGATCCTTATTTTTGTCTCATTACATTCCAAGTTAGTTATCAAGCCGCAATGTTTATCCCATAGATTACATGATTCTAGTTTTCTATTTCGGCTCTCGCGCGCAGAGAAATAAGCGAGGGTGAGTCTAAGGTTGAGCGAGTCTGGAATTGCTACTGCCACGATGGCGCTGGCTATTTATACTAGTTGGCAACGCCCTGGGGTATGTAGCGCCGTCGGAGCCATGCCACATAGATCATATGATGATCATGCGCAATTTGCTGCGTTCCCCTGCGGAGCAACGCGATCGCAACCAGATCATGTGGTTGCACATTTTATTGCGTTCGAGAAAAAGCACATGGTATGTAATATATACATGTATATAAATATTTATATATCTTATACAAATGGGTTGTTCAGAGTGTCGAGTGTTACCGGTCGTTAGTACTTCTCGAACTCCCCAAACTAAGCCTGGAGCGGGCATACACAGCTAGAGGATGAGGAAAACGATGAGGAAGATGGGGTGGACGAGCAAAGACAAAAAACATATTTAAAGATATGTATCAAGCAGAGCTATTTGCAAACAAACACATACTGACACTAACACAAAACTGGTCCACACAAATCCAATGTAAAATAATATTGAATATGCTATTGCGGGTCTAAGATCAATATGACTGTAAAGCTCTTTTTTCATGCATATAGATGCCTCGCTTCTTTTCACTTCTGCCTTCAATGGTTTGCTCTTCTTTGGATGAAGAAGCCCACTTCTACCGCTAAATATCTTATTGCAGGCTGTTGAATATTCAACCTACATCACCCTTCCCGCCAGTAAAAAAAAAAAAAAAAAAAAAAAAAACTAGTAGAGTGGCAATAATATATTCGACGTTAATTGCATGGGATTTGTGTGAGTGGTAGCATAGTAAACAATCACTAATAAACACTGTTTGTCTGAAATATTGATAGATGCTTGTCCTTGATTATTGTGAGTGCAGTCGTCCTCTTCAAATAAAAATTGGAACTGCTGGTTATTATCATTCTAAATTAGCTATACCCGAGGAAGGACGTAAATCTTTGAATCACTAAAATGTATAGTCTACCAAGCTTAATTAGCCCTTGCTGCCATTCCAAATATTCATGTACAATATGACATTTGATAAAAAATTTTACTAAATGAGCTTTTTGGGACCACCCTTGCTAAACTTTAACTGGCTAACGAATGTGGGTTAATTATGTGGTAGCATATAAACATATAGTCAATAACGAATACATATTCGGCATTTTGCTTTTTCGCGCCTTCTAGAGAGTTTATTTAAAAAATAAAAATAAAAAGAAAGAAAGAAAGAAAGCGGCGTAGCGGGAATTGAAAATGGATAATCTGCGCACCCGTGATATCCTCCGTCAATTTTCATATGTTTACAAGGTGGAGAAAGAGAAAACTCTCACGGGTGGGAAGAGCATTTTTAACACTCCATCCTCAAAGATCTGCAAGATCATATAAACAACAACCTGCCTGTCCACAAACAAGAGCACGAGCCACATTGCTCTCCCTGTATGGTGTACAACAAAGAGAGAGGAAAACAATGAGCAGTGTGATGTGGCTAAAGTAAATGGACGAGATTCAGAGCACGAGCTCGCATACTCCCGTTTTTCGCCAGCATCAAGCCCGAGTACCTTTTTTTTTCTTAGTAATGAGGTTCATCAGGCACTGCCAGTAAAGCTTATTACTTGGTTCTCTTCTTCTCTTCCCTCTATTCATCCCTAACAAGGAATAGAATGGATTGTCGTGGGAACTTGTACTGTGGCAGTTTTTGTCCGAATAGACTTTTCTTCCCCCTTATTTTCCTTTTCAGAACGCTAAAGAAATACGACATGTCATTCCCTCAATACGGTTGTATGCTTTTTAATGGTCGACATATAAACGTTTCAAACTATTCACTAATCTTTATATATTTTATATTGTATTACATGAAAATAAAAAAAAAAATAAAAAAAAAAAGGCGCAGAGGTATTCTGGCGATTGTCATATGTTATTTTCTATCGCACTCTGGAAAAACGGCAACCTGCCGAAGTACAGTTTCAACGATAGTCTATCTCATCTCTTGTTAGGAGCGAAGAAAGAGAATAGAAGAAGAAATAAAGATGATCTCCTTTGTCAATAAGAGTAAACAGGCTCGAGAGCAATGCAGCTCATGCTCTAGTTGCTTGTGGACAGATTTTATTATTAGTCTTGAAGACAGAGTATTATTTCCTCATTACCATATGAAATATGACAGATGATATCAAAGACACGTATATTTTTTTACTTTTTTATTTTGTTGCCTATATTTTATTGGTCGCTCTTGAGCGTACAGCAAGCAAGGTACTTAGTACACCGCGCTTTTGAAATCCAATCACTACTCGTCTCTTTCGCGAACATAAAAAATAATAATAATAACGAATATAAAAATGGCCATTTTTGACTCTCTTCTTTTTTCTTTCCTCTTCTCTTTCTCCTCGGTCTCCTCGACCATCGCTCTATGCTCCACTGTCCTTGTTCTGATTATTCTTTTTCTGTCTATCTCTCCCTTTTCATTTCACGATTAGACTGTAAACGACATGAAGCCGTCTAAACCAACCAGAGCTTCATAGCTCGCAGCCAGGCTACCACACCCAAATAGCCATACTCGAACAGCCGTACTCAAACAGCCGTACTCAAACAGCTGCACTCAGATGGCCACACTCAAACAGCCGCACTCAAATGGCCACACTCAAACGAACAGCCGTATCCAAACAGTCGTGCTCAAACGGTCACGCACAAGCGGCCAGTCTACCGTAGTCGAACGCCCAGACCTTCTCTACGGCTAAATAGCCAGCCCACCCCTCCTTGGGGATGATATTCAAGGCTTCTCGAACAACTCCAGATCATAACGGCCCAGGGCACTGGTACTGAAAGCTCGACGCCACCAGCTAAAGAACGAAACCAAAGGAAGGCCGAGCAATCAATCAAGGCAAAACAAACGCTTCCAAAAAAAAAAAAAAAAAAAAAAAAAAAAAGCTCCAACGATTAAAAAAATTCCAATGATTAAAAAAAAAAAAAAGAAAAAATCAACGATTTGAAAAAAAAAAAAAAAAAAAAAATAACTAAGATGAAAAATAACCTCCAATGATAAAAAAAACAACAACTAAAAAAAAAAAATGCAACAAAACCGAAGATAAAAAACAAACCAAAGAAAAAAAGAAAAAATCTGATTAAAAAAAAACTCTTACTAACACAAAGCATTCTTTAATTTAGCAACAACGCATATGCAAGGTAGGTCCGAACGGGTATCTGTCTGAGCTGGCTCTTGAATGAGCCATGCGATGGTGGAGCTCCTTCGGCTGGGTGGGGATGAGTAAATGGGTTTATGTGTGCGCGGGTGTTTGCAAGGCCATGGGACCTGACCTAAAGGAGTACGATATACCAGATCACCTCCACGTGGTGTGCTCCGGACAACATCTTAGGAGAGTATTTTGGATGATAATAAAGAAAAAAATACCTCTCAAGATGGCTAAGAGTCTGGTCTCTTGTAATTCGGAATGTAACAAGGTAGGCTAGGTAGCCAGGTAGCAAGCAACTATTTAGTAATAAAAAAAAAGAAACTACACTTTAATTCAGATGGATATGAATGACTGGCAAAAAAGAGTAAAAAAAAAGAGGCTCGAGTGCCCAATTATTTCCCTCTGTTGCCACCAAAAAGCAAACCCTGTGTCACTAATAACACATTGATCACATCTTCCCTTCTCCTTTCAATGCCACCTGTAAATGTAAAGACAGGAACACTTATGCCAATCATCGCGGCTCGTCATCACCTGTGCCTCTGACCAGCATTATTATAATGTCACCGCTGTCTTTTTAGTGCAAACTCCGTCAAATACTCTTTTGTTAAAAGTGTCTTCCTCCATGGCACCACGCGAGCCAGTATCTCAAACCACTGCATCAGCGCTAAAAACAATCTGACCAAAGGGAAGCCCTCACCACCGCTGAGAATCATAGTCCTTGGCTTGTAAGGTAAACTTTAAACGGGCAACTAATTTAATGGAAAGCGACGCTGAGATGCCTCTTTGGGTCCTCGTACTTACTAGGTCTAGGCTAAGTATAGCGATCGCGAGCAATTTAGGCTGGGCATACGTTGATCACATTTGCTAGATCTAAAAAGAGAAAGGTGCCACCCACCTTCAGCAGCACTTGCTTTTTTAATGTCTCTAATCCCCTTCATCAGGCGTTATGGGATATTGACGCTGCCATGGTGCGCCACGCTTGATACGAGATATAAAGGCACGTGAAAACTACATCGGCCCCCACCACTCTTCTCCTTTCCTTCTTTCCTCCGTTGCTGTGGCAATGTACGTTAGCATCTGAGACGAACTACATGTGGCCAATGTCTAGCTAACTTATGAAATGTGCAGAGCATTTTGATATCTGCTTCTCTCTTTGTTTTTATCACCACGAATAAAACATTTAAGGATGGATAGAGCAGTCATTGCATGACGCACTACGAGATGGAGACATGTTCTCTTCCCGATCAAAACAGAGTAACGTAAATATGCTTGAAGACGAACAGGGGTCACTCATAAGTTGTAAAGAAATGATCAGTCCACACAGGTTTATTGCCAAAAGAGAATACCAGGTTATATATCCATAGTGGTAAGGATAAGATGAATAAGAGGTTAAGTATTTTATGTATATGGCGACTTCTTTGTGGTTTTATGAGCGCGAGTTGCCCGTTTGGCGGAATAAGAGATCAAGGACCCGATAAGAATTCTTGGAATCTAGGCGTTGGATTATATGTGTCTGTATTCTTTAAATATGGTTCCCGCTTCCTCATTGCCAGAGGCAATTCTATCTGCCTTTCATATGGATTCCTCGCCTACACCATATTATTTTCCCCGTCCCAGTGTGGACATTGTGGGAGAAAATGACGCGATCTTGTGGTAGGCATTTTAACTGTAAATTTAGGGTTCACTTTGTTGATCGCTGTTATTGTGTAAATATGAAGTTAAACAGATGAAGCAACCTAATATGAAAGGGTGAAGCAAACTTGTGTAGTTATTTGTCATTCCTTATTATCACTTATTCCCATTGTGCCCGAATAGTCTCTGGCATCAAATGATGGCGAGTAACACGTTGCGTAAGTGCTCTTAGATGGATATGTTTATGCTGTCAGCCTTCTCCTAACTTTTTTTTTACCTTTTGCCTTCTAGCCTCTTTTGTCTTCATTGCACAAACGAAAGCATGTGAAAAGGACTACAATATTATTGGTTGTCGATAAACAAAGTGGGATTTAATAAAATTAGAGTGAAAAGACGCCATTCCGTGATGGGATGTGCTCAGACTCTTTTATGTGTTAGCCCATCTCTCTGGTAATGCGGCGCAAAATAGAGTTTAAGGTGTTAAAGCATGCATGTACAGCACATGGTTTCAATAAAATATATTACGACTCAGTCTTCTTTAAGTCGCGCGATGAATGAACGAACAAAAAAAGAAAAGAAAAGAAAAACGTAGAAGCCCAATTTCGCATCTTGGAGAATTTATCACAGTATTGGGTTTCCTTATTCTTTTGCTTTTTACTTAATATTTGTACAAGTGTCACTTATTTTCGTGTTAGAACACATATTATTCCAATGTAAAGGAGGGAGCACAGGAGCAAAAAAAGCATTTTGACGTGAGCTTTTTTTTTTTTTTTCCTGATAGATAGCGGGCATAATAAAGAAGAAAAAGGAGAGAAGGTGGAAGTGCATTTAATGACAGAGTTGACGCCATTTTACTTGCATTTGGTAAAATAAGAACCACTAATGTCAGATCTCGCCATAGGCTAAAAGCTATATAAAAAAAAAGGAGCACCTTTGCTTTTTTTTTTTTTTTTTTTTACCCCGAAGAGTGAGATAAAGAGGAGACAGCAGGTTTGTTGCCTTTGTTCATGTTTGCTTTTTTGCTTTTCTTGGGAAAAAAATTGGCAATTAACGTCGCTCATTGGATACAGAGCTCCGAATATACAAACAAACACATGTATACTACGTCTAATTAAATAGACAAACAAGCATACAAATAATCGAGACGTTCAAGATGCATAACATGTGTACAATAGATATGCAAGTATAATAATAAAGGAAAGTCTTTTGTTCGAGTCTCGAAGCACAAATAAACAAACAAGCAAACAAAAGAGAAGGGAAACGTCTCGGATCTTGACTGAAGCAGCATAAATCCGTATATATAATATAATGGATTTGATGTGTTGAGCGGTTTGTTAATCATTGTGTGCACTGTGTGCATGTATACATGCGTGGCAATGGTTTACTGCCGAAATGAAATAGATTTTTATAAGCTCTGCAAAATGTGCAAATATTCTCACCATTGGAAGCTGTTGGCTCGGAGTTTTTGTATTACATATTGCTTATTGTTACTCCACCCAAAGCCAGTATGTCAGTATGTCATTTACATTTTGATAGATCTAAATTTTTGTCTTTATTCTATTGAGCAGGATGAAAAGGGAAAGTGACTAATACAACACTTTCGTTAAAGGTTGAAGCCAAGGCCAAGTATTACAGCTATTTTCAGTCAGCAAGGGTTATTGGGCCGTGTAATGACCTAGCATAGTCCATGCAGACACAGAAGTACAAACAAGATGCACACGCTGGGCGTAATTCCCCCACCCGTCATCACCAGAATGTCTATGTTGTTTTGGTGTTGTGCTGTTTCTATTTTTTTTTTTTTCTTTTTTTTCTTTTTTTGCCGAGGGTTGGTCACGAAGGTAGGATAACAAGAGTAGCAGCAGCATTATCAATAGCAATGAAGAGTTTTAGAGCCTGCATTAGAAACCAATTCTTCTCTCGTCCTGAATTGAGCTGTTCATTCAAAGTCAGCTAAATCCAAATCCAGTAAATGACTGCATATTGGCAGATTCGCCTTTGCGACCAATTCATTCATCATTTTTCAGTTGGGCTACATAGTTCTAGCGCTCAACCTTCGGGGGAATGGGTGCTTACCTTGAATCTGCTATAAAACACGGCTATCCCCCCCCTTCCTCTCCTTGCTTTGTGCAGCTTGCCGCCACTCAAATAGCATTAAAAATACTCGCAAAACTTTCTCTTTCACTTCTCGCGCTCTCTTTCTCACCCCTTCGGACGACTTCGACAAAGGGTTGGGCGTTCCTATTCTCCCTTAACTGTTGCATGGCCGCTCTCTTTACTTTCCTCTTGCTCCCACTCTCTCCTCTATCTTTAATTCTTTGCTGACCCTGGAAGCTACACCATATCTTATATAATATCCACTGATCATGTCATCAGAAAAGGGCTCTTTCGCTCCATTACACGACGAGAAGCCTCCCGTTGCCGAGGATCCTGTTGCCCCCATCCCCCATTTCCCTTCTGAGAATAAGGGTGATATCAAGGATGAACTAAACGCCATCGAGACTGATGCCGGTTCCTTGGAGGAGGAGAAGCTCGAGGAATCGCTTCGCCTTGTACCCAAGGTCGTTCGGGAGCTGGTCTCGATGGAAGATGATCCAACCCTTCCAACTGTTACCTTTCGGTAAAAGCGCCACACGAAAACATTGAAAACGTAATGAAATGAATCAAAGCACTTACGAAGCATTATGCATTCTGACACTTCATCTCAATTATTTTCTCTTTTCATTTTTCCTCCTCAGTTACTTTGTTCTAAGCACATTCTTTGTCTCGCTTGGAGCTGTAATCAGTCAGATTGCATGGTTCAGAACCACATCTGCCTCTTACTCTATGTTCTTTGTGCAAATCGTGTCCTACTGGTTGGGTAACCTAATGGCCCGTGTCTTGCCTTCTTGGGACGTAAACCTTGGTTTTATCAAGTTCAACCTTAATCCTGGTCCCTTCTCTATCAAGGAACACGTCCTGATCACTTTGGCGTAAGTTGAAAGAAAAAATTATAGGGATGCTGAGGTTGAAAAGACAGATCAATCAATAAATCTTGATTGATTGATTGATTGATTTTTTTTTTTTTTTTTTTTTTTGTATAACTTATAGTGCGAGTGCTGGCGCTACTTCTAACTTGGGAGAGATCATTGTGTCCGTCAAGGACATCTTTTATAAAGAGCAGATGCACCCCCTTGCCGCCATCTGTCTCATGTGGGTGCGTGTTAGCCTATCTTTTTACTCTTTCATATCCTGTGAAACATCTAAAAAAAAGCCTCTCATCTCATTGTTACTGCGTTTCCATATCATGTCATGTATTCTGAATTTGAGAATAGGCTACCATGTGGACAGGTTATTCGTTCGCTGCCATTGGGCGTAACTTCTTACTTTATGATCCAGACCTGATCTGGCCTTCTGCACTGATGCAGACAGCTCTTTATCGCACTCTCCGTTCCGAAGGTCATTCACTGGAGTATTCCAAGAAGCAAATCCGTGTTTTCTGGTTGGTCCTTATCGGTGTCTTCTTTTGGTCATTCTTGCCCGAATATGTTTTCCCATTCACCTCATCATTGGCGGTCCTTTGCTGGTTCGCTCCTCACAATGACACTATCAAATTTATCGGTAGTGGGTTTGGCGGTATGGGTTTCCTGAACTTCACACTTAATTGGTCGAATATTACTTCCACGATCATGGTCTCCCCTTGGTGGACTCAAGTAATCAGTTTTGTTGCCTTCGTCACTTCCGTCTGGGTTTTGATTCCTATTGTCCATTTCACTGGTGTCTGGAATGGTAATAGGTTCCCTCTTATGTCCAATCGTCTTTTCACATCCAACGGTACTTCCTATCCTTTCACTAAGTTAACTGACAGTGAGGGCAAGTTTGATGAGGTAGCATTCAATGAATTGGGTAACGTCTACATGTCGACCTATAATCTTTGGGGCATCTTCTTTGGTTATGCTACATTCCTCTCAGCGTTCGTGCAGATCTTCTTGTTTGGCCGCAAGAAAATTTGGGCTACAGTTCAACATTTGCGTCAGAGAAGATCGCATGGGTTCAAGGACCGTCTCAACGTTTTGATGTCTGCCTATGATGAGGTCCCTCTGTGGTGGTACATCCTATTGTTTACCTGCTGCTTCACTACAATGCTAGTCTTGATTTTCACTCAGGACTTGTACTTGCCTTGGTGGACCTACGTTATCGGTGTCATCCTTGGTGCCATGACAGTTGTGCCCATGGGCTTCATCTACGCTGTTAGTGCTTACCAAGTCAGCACTGGTACTTGGAACGAATTAATGTAAGTGAAAATATAGTAATGATCACATGGCTTTGACAAAAAAAAAAAAAAGGCTCTAATAACTGGCTTTTTAAATCTTAGTTACGGATACATGGCGCCTGGAACTCATCCGGTTGGTTCACTCGTATATCGTGTGGTTGCTGGCCAGTGCTGGTATCGTGCTCAAAGTATCTTACTGGATCAAAAGATTGGTCATTATATGAAGGTCAGTCCCAAAGCTACTTTCTTGTCTCAGCTTTGGGGCAACCTGCTTGGAGTACCCATTAATTATGCTGTCATCCGCTGGGTCATTGACACCAAGCGCTCATACCTCGATGGTACTGAGAAGGATCCTCTAGGTCAATGGTCCGGCCAAGCTCCTCAGAGCTACTTGAACCAAGGTATCCAATACGGCCTCGTAGGTCCTACTCGTCTGTTTCGGGATGAGATCTATGGTCCTCTTCGCTGGGGATTCTTACTAGGCATAGCAGCGCCTGTGCTGATGTATTTATTACACAAGAAATTCCCTCGCGCCAAGTTCCATCTCTGGCATAGTACCATCTTCTTTTCATGCATGGAGAACTTTTATGGATACATCTCAACAGGGCCTCTGTCATCCTTCATTGGAGGGTTCTTTTGCATGTACTACTTCTTCCGCTACAAGCACGCGACATGGGTTAAGTACAATTACCTAGTAGGAGCAGCTGCCGACACAGGTCTGTCGTTGACAATCTTGGCCATCTTTATCTGCTTCGGAAGCGCAAAGATTATCAAGATGCCTTATTGGTGGGGCAACGACTCTGATTCCGTCGAGAAGTGTTATGGATCGGGCAATTAAAAAAAAAAAGAGAGGAAAATAGAAAATAGAGTTGAATATCCTACATTCATTAATCCATTCATCACCTTTTCATCCTATCCATCCACAAATTTAATATGTACATAGTCAGATGTAGTCCTCAAATACCTTAATTTTGCGACGCGTCAAAGAAACAAATTAAACTTTTGACAGTCACAAATCCGCAATTCAGCGTCCCACTCGGACAACCTTTTATTTACATATTAAAATGCAAAACACAAGAAAGAAAGAGAAGAGCATGTAGTTTATGGGCAAACGGAGTTTTTTTTTCTTAAAAATTTGCTCTAGTCCGAGTCTGAATCTTCCTTTTTACTCTTCTTTTCCTTCTTCTCCTTCTTCTCCTTCTTCTCCTTCTTCTCCTTCTTGTCTTTCTTCTCCTTCTTCTCCTTCTTTTCCTCAGTCTTGGCTTTCTTCTTCTCCTTCTTCTTCTCGGATTCAGAATCACTGGAAGAAGCCTTGCGCTTCTTTTCCTCGTCATCTTCTGCTTTGGCAGAAGCGGTAATATTAGAGACAGCGGAAGCAATTGCAGCGGCATTGGGAGCAGCAGCGTCCTCACGGTTGAAGTCAACATACCCCTTCTTCCAGTTCTCTGGTGTAGCATCGGTCGTGCGTCCGTACTTGTCCAGCTTGCCATCCTTAATCAGCTTCTTCTTTTCCTGAGCCTTGGGCCCCAATCCCCAGCGACGAGGATAGGTATCACGCTCCATGATCACACGCTTGATCTTGGCCACCACTCCATGGTCGCAAGTCGCCATGACTGCCGTAGTCATCTGAGCAATACCCAATGCAATGGCCTCGCCCTTAGTAGTCATCAGCACCACCTCCTCGTTAACCTCAATACCGGACTCGTAACGAAGCAAGCCAGGAATCATCAGCTTGGCTCCATAGCAAATAGCATTGACTGCGCTGTCCTTAACCACCACACGCTTATATGTTGTCAGCAGTGTCTCCAAAGGACGAACCATCCTACGAAGGTACGATTCATCCTTGGTGTTATCATACATCCACTGAGCATCCAAAACATCATGCATCGTCACAATGTCGTCTTCCTCTCCCATATGTCCTGAACGAACACGGCGAAGTTCCTGCATATGTCCTCCCACGCCCAACAATAAGCCCATGTGCACACACATCGTACGCATATATGTTCCAGCCTCACAAGCAACCCAGAAAACAGCCAGATGACGATCGTTATCAAATTCGATGAGCTTGGATTGGTGAATCGTACGGATACGAAGTTGTCGCTTGACAGCTGAGATAAGAGGAGGACGCTGAAACAAAGCACCCGTCAGCGTCTCGAGGGTCTAAGGGCCCAAAAATGAATAAATCAAGAAGAAGGAAAAAAAAAAAAAAAAGTTAGAGAGCAATCTTAGGAGAAAACCGAAAACAACTAATAGAATAACAATGTATTTTTCACGCCTATTTCGTTTCTTTACCTGAGCAAGCTTCTTCTCGGACTCGATAGCATCGTGAAGACGAAGAACACAGACGTACTCCTTACCAGCACCTTGCTGAGACTTGACCAGACGAGTTGCACGATCAATGCAAACAATCAAGCATCCAGTGACCTTGGGATCAAGTGTGCCACTGTGGCCAGTTTTTTCAACACGAAGAATACGACGGACCCAAGCGACAACTTCGTGCGAGGAAGGGTTGGCAGGCTTATCCAAGTTAATGACACCATACCTTTTTTTTTAGTTAGAAGCAAAAAAAATAAATGTCAATTAAAAGTCTTCTTTTCCCTAGAGACCAATGCCTTTTAGCTTCTGACCTAGCCCAAAAGATAGTTTTTTTTTTTTTTTTTTTTTTTTTTTTTTTCCCTTCAGTAGATCGATTGTTACCTGATGTACTCAGTAAGCTCTCGTCTCAAGGGGGAGCATCCGCTAGGGATAGGAGTGTAATGACCAGTGCGGACATTGAGTTTATCGTAGTTCTAAATAAGAAAAACCAAAGACAAGCAAGTAATAGAAAACCATTTGTCAGAAAGAAACCTTCAAACAGCGAAATATTGACTTGCAGTATTGGAAAAAAGAGAACTGGTTTTCATTGAGATAAACACTAACCTTCAACAACAATGGCCAGTCAGCTGTGTTGAGTGAAGGAGTGGCAGACTCTGGCTTGATGGCAAAGTCGCCCTTGCGCTGAGCCTCTTCAACGTTGTTCTTCGATGCAGCGGACATTTAAAGGGTTACTGGCGTTGTTGTTGAAATGTGTCGAAGAGGAAGAGCAAAGCATTACATGCAACACCACTCGCTTCATTTATGCTCACAACCTTCCTTTTCAGTTTTTTTATTGTATTTGTTTAGGATGCTAAGCCGCACAAGCGGTCCCCGATCTATCACGTGTTGACTTCGCGAAAGGATTTTTTATTCAACAGATATAGACAGAAAGTGTAGTTGATTACAAGAAGAAAAATGACAAAGTTATGCTGTGGTATACGGGACATGATCAAAAAAACAAAAAATAAAAAATAAAAAAAAGAAAAGAAGAGTAAACATATGAAAAAGCATGACAAAGGCTTTGCATACAGACAAAAAAAAGGGAGAATGTGATAGATGCAAAAAGAAAGACAAACATAACGTGCAACCGGAACGGATTAGTTGATAGGGCATAATTATACAAGAGAGGGCAGTAGTAGAATTAGGCGTGATTCACAGAGCAAAAAAGTAGGAGCAGGATTAGAAAAAAGAAATACGAAAAAAGATACAAAAGAACAAGGAAGTGTCAAGACTTTTGGAGAATATGATGAAGTAACAAAAAAGAAGAAAAGAACGAAGACATGAAGCGAGGAGCAAGAATTAGACCTGGAAATAAAACATGAAAAATGCAAAGGACGTGTTTGTGTGTATATGTGATGTATGATGACAATAAAAAAACTCACTGCTCATGTGATGGACCGTTTTGCGCTGCTCTGGGAATCGGAGGACTATATCCGTTTGTTAGATCTTCCATCTGAAGAACTAGGCGTAAATCGCTCCAGATCCTCTCCAGCTAGCGCCTTCATCCATACGAGTCATCAGAGCATCCTTTCTCTCCATGAATATGCGATTTTGGTGCTCGACTGGAATTCTCTCCATGGGATCCCGCGAAGACTGTGTCTGCATCAGACCAGGTAACATTGAGCTCTGTACAAATCCCGGGAATGTGCCAAAAGATGGAGTAGCTCTGTTGTGTCCATAGCCGTATTGGTTATGCATAGGAGGGCTAACACAGGTAACAATTGTAAGCATAAGTTCAGCCGTCATTATACGGAAAACATAGCAAGTGAAGAGTATGAGTGTTGATTTATAGTACAGTTCCTTACCGGAAGCTGGATGCCACTGGAGGTCCATGTGGCGACATCGGTTTTGGCTCATTCTGAGCACGTCCCCATGACAAACGAACGCGCGAACTACCGATTTGGTAACCATTTAGCTGGTTAATGGCCATCTCCGCACTTTGTCTATGCACGAATTGAACGAATCCACATCCTTTGCCTGGTGGGATCTTAACATAAGTAATATCACCATATGCTGCAAAGATATTCCTGAGCTCGTCCTCATGAGTTATTCCAGAGAGTCCTCCAACGAAGACCGTAGTATTATTGGGGTCTGTATATTGATTGAGGGTATGGGTGTGCTGAGGACTAGTGGGTTGAAGAGGCATATAACCGTGGGTGTGCGCATACCCTATTGGTGCCATACCCATACTTCCGTTCATGTTACTAGCACTCATATTGAGTACAGGAGCTTTATTCTTTGGGGTCGCAACCGATACTCTGATAGGCCGGCTACCGCAGTAGACGCCTTGCATCTCGTGAAGTGCACGCTGCTGCTCGGCTTCGTCACCAAATCGGATAAAACCATAACCTAATCGGAAATGAAAGAGTTGTTCAAGCAAGTGTTATTACTTTCAGTTCTATCTAGTTTACTTTTTACATAAAAATATGAGGTCAATTTACCCCTGGAGGCACCCGTTGCAGGATCGGTCATGATTTTGGCTGATCTACAAGTCATGTATCGCTCCTGGAATGTAGCCTGCAAAAAGTGTTCAGAGAAGGTGAAAAGTATAATTCAATACATGTGCATCAAGCAATCCTTTTTTTCCTGAACCGAACTCCGCAGCATCTCTGTGTCTCAGTCTATTATATATAGGTCCTTCTAGAACAGGAGGGAGATTAAGAAACAATAGTGCACATACCATGAGGATATACTCAGTCACCTCAGGTGATAGATCTCCAACAAATAGAGAATACTCTTGATTGGCACCTACACCTGAACCTCTGGAGAAGACGAAAAAGAATGAGTTAATGTGATCTGATCAGTCCCTATGAATATGCAATCCGGGGAGAGGAATGGATAGGAGCTGAATATGCCACACAAGCAGCAAATATACACAATTGGCATAGTAACAAATATATATACATGTACTTACACAGCTGAGGTCATATTTCCTCCCGTGGCCCAATTCAACTTGAAAGTCTTGTTGGTACCAGGAATTAAAACCCCATTCAGGTTTGCAATAGCCTTAGCAGCCGCTGCTGGGCTAGATAGCTCAACAAAGCAATATCCAGCGCCAGCTCTAGCAGCATGAATAGTAGCAAGAGGAAGGAGAGGAAGAGATGCATCAGTCCATCATATTCTTTGTCATCTTGCATAGAGCAGGAACAGCTTTTTTTTTTTTTTTTTTTTTTTTTCGAGATCGTTTATTACCCTGTATATTTGTCGCGAATCATTTTCACCGCAACCTGTTCACCAGCACTGTACCATGCTCCTCGGATCCAATTCTCATCCATCCATGGCTCTAGCTCACCCATCCTACAAAAAAAAAAAAAAAAAAAAAAAAAAGAGACAAAGGTACAGCAGTTGTCAGCAGTTGACATCGTTGTTATTTTTTGCTGTTCCCGCCATTACAGAAGTAATCAGGGGTTACTATGCTAAAATGCTCACCAAAGGGAAGACGAGTTATTGAAGCCAGGTGACTGTTGGAGCTGGAGTTGTTGATAAGCAAGAGGATCGTAGTAGGCCATTTATGCTGTTGTTGGAGTGAATAAGAAAATATTATGCTGAGAAGGCGAGAGAGTGGGGAATGGAATGATGAAAAGTGAACAAAATGAGCAAATACAAAAAAAAAAGAAATATATGTCTATGTATCAATATATGTGAATGATATAAAAATATATATAGAGATGAAGATAAAAGCAAAAGGCGTGTGAGAAAAAAAAAAAAAACACACGCGGGTAGATGGAAAGGAATAATAACAATGGAAATGTGTGGTGTGAAGGAGGAGAGGAAGAAGGATGAATGAGAGGAGATATTTTTTGTTCAGGAGAACATTGAGCAAATTGCCCATGGCTTGGCTTCTCACTACAATCATTTTTTACATGATAAAAAATATCCGCGTGGAACATGGGTCACTTGAATTTGGAGGCAAATCGTCATGGCATGCTCACGTCCGTGTTGTTTATTTGTACGAACGCATTACATGACCCGCGTGATCACACCCTCACAGACCCAGACAAAAATGCGCGGCAAAAAAAAAAAAAAAAAAAAAAAAGTTTTTTTTATTTTATTTTTAATTTTGTCATGACTGGCTGTATCGCACAGTCGGGTTTGATGCTCCACCGTCCTGTATCCTTTCCAACTCTATGAAACAAAAGATTGTTAAGTTTATCAAATTAGCTCATTTGCGACAAAAAAAAAAAAAAAAAAAGGCGTAAGCGTAACCAAATAAACATACCAGCTTGTACACCAATTGATGTTGCAAAATCTATCCTTGCCTTCTTCAACTTGGGCATTTGATGCTCCAAATCTAGCCTGTGTGCATCATTCAGACTAATGTGTATTGTATCGTACTGTTGTCTCTGTGCATCCGAACGTCCTATTGACAGCAGGTCTAGCATTTGATGGCTGAAATCTATATAACAGGCAAATGATACACATGTTTATACACAAAAATATTCCTTTATATACATTCATATTTATGGTTATTATTCATAAGCAAATAAAAACGCTCCATATTACCATCGACATCTATTGATCGTGTTCTGAACGCCTTCATCCATGGTACTCCTTGGACAAGATCTGGGAATGATTCCCCAATCAGTTTTGCTGCTAGATATATAGACCCTGCTGCTATCGTATGAGGAGGGTATTCCAGGCAAACACCAACCTTATAGCTGTTCTCCCAGGATAGCAATGGGATCGAGCAAGGGTGTATTAGATGAGTAAATCCTTGTTATTTTTGGTGGCTGTGGCGCTGTCCTTATTTCCTGTATTCTCCTTTCTTACCTATTCCGAGCAATATCCCAAGCCTTTCGAGCTAAATTCTGGGAGCCTAGTTTTTAGAAGCATTGAAAGACATTAGCTTCCTCTAATATCATGCATCCTGATAGAATATGTACTTAAGGTATTGAATTATGGTGCTTCGCAGCTTACTTACCCCCCATAATTTTGACAAACTTGATCACGTATTTATATGGATGGACAATACGGAAATCAAAGCAGATAGATTCTAAAACCATTTTTTCATACGAAAGAACCCGCTTTCGTTGCTCTTCGCCTTCCTACAACCAGACCAATTAAAAATAAAGATAAAATAAAAAAAAGAGGCAGGTATATAAGCTAAGCGTAAATTTATAAAAGTCTAAAAAAGAATGGCTTTCGTTCTATTGAAGCTATGTCCGACTTCTAACTTACCCTACTCTCAGGGTCCCAGTCCGTTGCGTCCGAGTGCCTATAAATAAATGTTGCCACCATGATATCCTTGAGCTTCTTGATAGTGTCTTCAACTTTGGATGACACAAATAGACACGCCATCACAACCTAAGCATTCGATATGCATGGAGTGTCAATAATGGTTCTAAACACAATTATTTATTTTGCCTAGATGTCATACTTGACTACATTACCTCATTTCCTGTATCTGGGACAGAGTTGAACATAAAGAAGCGATGTAAAAGTAACTGTGCCGTGCTGATTGTACGTTGCGGACTTAAAATAAAAGAAGTCAGACTTCAACTTTTCTTTTCTATTGATTTCCCCATTACTTTGAACCAGCGATCTTCCTTACAATCCAATTTTCTTGCCAATAGCTGCAATGACTTCACACGCTTCTCTTCTCATATCTGCCTGCCGGTGTAAACTGATTCCAGGATTTCGTGCATAGTAAATAGTGTCTTGATCTTTTTTACTATAATATGTTCGTGAGACGCGGTTGATAGAATTAAGGATGGGCGCTGGTTGTAATGTCAATAGTTGAGGTTCTGAGAGTTGAGATGCTTGTGGCCGTACGGATTCTGATGTAGTTGCTCCGGGAGCCAGTGCAGCCAGTTGACCCTGTGTTGATACTGCTGTGTGGGATACTGACGCCTGTGCTTCTGCTTGTGTAAGATGTCCTTGTGTCTGTACTGGTGCTTGTGTCAATGGCTGTTGTTGCTGTTGTTGTGTGAGTGTCTGACCATGAGAAGGTCTCAAGGAAGGTGTACCCGGACTAGTAGATGTCGGTCGACTAGGTGAGTACATTGGTTATATTTCCAGCCCTGTAGTTTTCTCGTGTGAATGTGGTCGAGCAACCAGAGTACAAATAATGGTGAAAAACGTCTTGCCAATAATGAAACAGAATGAGATCTCTTCAGAAAAAAAAAAGAAAAAAAGTGGCTTGTGGAAACCAGACTTTGTGGCCCCTGCTCATGTTTTGCCGCTTTTTACTTGTTTCCTCGAGACTCAATGACGAATGCATCGCGACAGAAGAGCTACCGGCACCATCGAGGATCTGCACACCGTAAAATCGACTCTGAACACTCGCCCAAGAGACAACCGGGCCTCAGACAGCAAGCAAGAGAGGCAAGTGGTTGTTCTCAGCTCTTAGCTGCTGACATAGCAGCATTGAGGGAGGATTTGAGCCGAATACAGGGACACGTTAAAGAGCTGGGGACAGACAAGTCCAAGGATACAGAAGACATTCATGAATTATCAAAGGCAGGTCTGCAGCGTTCATTGGCTTTAATGGACTAAAAACCCGGCATAAAAAGAAGCTAAATCTCCTGCCCGATCCCTGTCAACTTAGGTTGCTTTAACAAAAATTGCTTCAGCATGCTATACATTATCAGCTGAGTCAATACAGGATGTTGACTTGATGTCGAAAGTCGTATTTTCTTTATTCAGTCGGGATCTTATTAAGGTTAGAAGCACTAATGTTCAGTTTCAAAAGTCTCAAAAGGAGCTTTTTTTTTAATATGCCCGCTTTTTTGTTGTTTTTCTTTGAAGGTTCCCGTATCTAGTAGCCCACAGCAGGACACCATAGAATTATTATGTCAGTTCTTCATATCCGCATACAAATACGAACAATCAAAAGAAAATGTGGATGCAGATAGCAACTTGAGTGGTACTGGCACGATTACCTCCCCTTCGCCTGTAGACGACCCTGACCGCGTTAAGGTGGATATTCTTCGTGCATTAAGCGCAGTATTATTCGAAAATGGGTTCCGCCTAAAGAATGTAAAGTATTATGCAGCAACGCAACATTAAATCGTTCCTTGTTGATTTTGATACTGCCATTTATTTTTCGTCTAACAACCTATTTTTTGAAATGATCACAGTCTCTTGAGGATCTATTGGAAATCATTGTGGCAGTCGGCAAGGACACAAGGCGACAGGAACAATCAGAATTGCGCCGGATGGCACTGAATTGCATGGCAAATCTTGTCTGCAAAACTGGTCATCTCCTCTCAACCTATCATGAACAGATGTATGAATTGCTTTTAGCCAACCTTACCATCACGTCCCAATTCGATCCTAGCTCAGCTTCGGGGGTCTCTAGCACATCGCGCCGTAGAGACCGCGGATCGGATCGAAAGGTATGAGTAGCTTTCAATTTAAGATGTGGCGTATTACAAAGTCTAGTAATACTAGGACTTATTTATTTTTTCAACGTGGTCGCCGCCAGCTTATTAGCTCCGCACTCCGAGCACTGCATTTTTTATTGCAGGAGGACAAACGCATGTCCACACGATCCTTAGCACCATTCATAAATATTGTCTGCCGATTCATGTTTTATACTTCTGAAAACCTGACAATGCAGTCAACTTCCGTGTCGTCATCCACCAGCGTATTCAACGCCGGGGTCATCCAGCGCTCCGTATATTCCTCCCCATCAACAAACATGGTATCCTTGGTGAAATCAGCAGGAGTTGGGTCCTCCAATATCTCACCATCGCAACAACACTCACTGGATATTTCAGAGCCATCATCGTTCATATCTTATCGTAACATGCAGTCCTCTGATTCGGAATACTCTGATTCAGAATTAGGAGCTCATCTCTCACATCGGAGGCAACACGATGGGAAAGTGAGGCTGAACGCATTACTCTGCTTACAAGCTCTGGCAAGAGGTGCTCCCAAGCAGCTACAGCCACACTGGCCCAAATTCTTAACGAGCTCGAACGCAGCACCAATGATGGCAGGCACACATAAAGCACCTTCGCTCATTGGATTAATTTCGACTGACCCAATCTTTAATGTACGCTCTGCGGCTTGTGCTGTCCTTGGTAGCATTCTCGAGAATTCAAAGCAGTATCTAGCTATGGCTGAGGAAGAAAGAAACACGGCAGGCCTGTCTGGCTTGGCCATTAGGAACCAGACGGGTTTATTGGCGCTATCGGAAAGAATAGGCATTATGGTTCGAGAGCTACATATCGGTATCGCTACGGCTATGAATGCGTTAGACAAACTCGTCGTTGAACATGGGGTTATAATTCCGATGATTAAATGCTGTTCATCAATCGTGGCCAACTGCTCGTATGAGAAAATGAGGCCAGGGCTTGCACTCTTAGTATGGCGTTCTATTGAGAGATTCATGGACTCAAATGGTGCATACGATACCCTTTAGAATTATGCTTTTTATAGTGTTGTAAGGTTATGAATCACATTCCTAATATCTTTTCTCTTGTTCATTCTCATTCTCTATTGAAAAGAATCAACATTGCAGACTGCGACGCTTTCTTTCCTCTCGGCTCTGTTGAGCAATTCGTCTGCAACAGTAGACACACGGCAGCATATTCTGTCATTCTCAACAGCATCACTCAATGCCAGTGCCAATATCAATGTTATTCCGGAGCTACTCTCAAAACTTTTATGCTTGGTTGAGAGTCCGAGGACATGTGTGGCGGTTTGCCTGGAAGCCTGGGGTGTCCTACGAGTCATCGCTCAATATTACTTTGACCTGCTCAAGCCTGCATGGCCACGACTCGATGCCGCTTTGGAGCATAGTGGCGGGGGAGGGATTGAAGGAGGAAATGAACAGCAGCTACAGCTGTCAGAAGACATCCGTGTCCGTTCCGCAGGACTTTTTTTCCTGGAGGAATATACCAAATCTGGAGCGTCTGCATCAGATCCACTGGTAACCTGAAACACTTTTGTAGTAGGCTTTATATAAGGGCTTGAGTGTTTGAATATTGCTAATACCCTAGTTTATCATCTTTGCTCCATGTAGGCATCAGAGTGGTGGAAGGATGTCATGGAGAGGCATGTCCTCAAAGCATTTGCGGAAGATAATCCATCTATTAAGGCGTTGGGATGTGATTGCATCTCTCACCTCCCCTCGGATATATTTGATGACCTGCCTGTAAAGCTTATCAATGATCATTGCCACTCACATTTATTACCACTTAAACCACTTTTATTGACTTGAGGACCCCATTTATTAACATTCCTTCCTTTTGGCCTGTTATTGTTTTGTAGGGCCGACTTCAGATGTTAATCATGTCGCTTGTACTGGGTACAGCCCTCGATGAGCATCCTACAGCCCGAGCTGCTGCATGTCGTGCTATTGGGGTATTTATCCTTTTCCTATCGCTTCATGGGGATACGGGCAACATGATAGACATGGCGAGCACTGTCCTGGGCTTGTGTCAAGACCCCAACTTGAATGTTCGAGTCCGAGCCAGCTGGGCTGTTGGCAATTTGAGTGATTCGTTAGTTCTACTCAAAAACAAGGGAGCAGAATATGATCACATCTTAGAAGAAGTCTTGACGTTGCCTCTGTGGACACGAATCATCAAGACTGCATTGCTGATCTGTCAAGACCATGAAAAGATCAAATCAAATGGTATTCGGGCCATCGGAGGCCTTCTTCGTGTCACCTTCGAAGGTATTCTAGAGCGGGAAAGACATAGCTTGGTTAAAGATGCCATATATACCTTAATCAGACACATGGAACAAGGGTCTCTTAAGGTATAGTTTTTCTCTTTCTTCCTTCCTCCTTTCCCCTAAAGGTTTTTTGATGTCCGATTCATTCATAGGATTTTAATGTCTCTATAACCCATCATAAAATGAAATATCAGGGTCGCTGGAATGCATGTTACGCTATGCAAAACGTATTGCTTAATCCAGACTTTCCGATCGGATCTACTGCGGGCACTAGCTATGCTCTGGACTCGCCTATGGTTTCGTGGACAAAGGACATCTACCACGCACTTTTACAGGCTATTCAACAAAGCAAAAACTTTAAGGTCCGAATTAATGCTTGTGCGGCGCTTGCGGTGCCAAAAACGAGAGCCAAATATGGTGATCAAGCCATGCTTCGGCACATGGTTCAGGTACTCATGTGCGCAGTCCAAAGCCTAGATGAGAAACAAGAGGATCAAGAATTTGGCGAATTCCAGTATCGAGATCTACTAGAAAATAAGCTGTTAAGATGTTTAGATCATCTACTACAGCTAACTGGGGGTGTAGCAAGTTTGGATCTGGAGCTAGATCCAACTTTACGCCAGAGAATAGTTGCCAGCCGCCTACCACCACCATCATCTGAGCCTGCGATCGAGTCGGTGTCACAGGAGTCGGCTATCTCATAGTAAATTTTATCTCTGACCCATGCAGATTAAAAAGATACGCGTCTATGTCCTTGCCGTATTGTTCATTACACGAGGCCGGGCAATTAATCTGCGGCTTTTATTGCGGTACACGATTCCAAACAGCCAACAGTAAACAAAAGCAACAAAACATCATCTCACTTCTTACAGAGCCAATGGGAACCTAGGAGAAATACGTGCGCAGAGAGGTTAGAATGGGCTTGATCTTGAACCTTGCGGCTTTAGAGCTTACCGCGCAGACACCTTTGATTAGATGATCAAAGGTCAAGAGGATGGTAATTTAGAGAAAGATATACCCATCTACGCTAATAGCATAGCTCTCTCGACATATTATATCCTTTGTCCTGACTCTATCGGCTTATTAAGGACTTCAGTTGTAAGAAATAAAGGAATTGAACAATGAATTAAGCCTATCCTTTTTTGTTCAATGCCTTCGCAGTAACGTCTTCTGATTTGGACAACAGCCACCAACTCATTTACAAGACAGCCACAAAAAAAGAACTGCGCGATGATGGGGTGGGCACATCAAGAAACGTATGAAAGAGGATGAGAAACAGAAGAGTTGCTTTCAGCCGCTTTCCATGGCTGTCTTGGGATGGAGTAGGCTGATTCTCAGCAGAGAAAGAGGCAATATTCATCTTTTTGATCCAGCTGCCTAGTATATACATGTAGTCAACAGAATACCGGTTAAGGCCAATCTTCATGCAGTGAGCATTGGTTTATGAGTGCAATAAGTAAAGGGCAAAAAAAGAATGGAGTAAAATGATTAATGCCCAGAACCTGCCCTTGGATTCATCACCTGGTTTTGCCTGCAGCAATTGGCTTTCCTCGAGATGCATAATAGCCCCATCTCTCCTTTTTTTTTAAAAAAAAGATCGGAGGTCGTTGTTTAACGGGACGGGTGTGCATGCATATCTTGGACCCTATAGCTTTTTTTTTTACTGTCTCTTGTCCCTTTAACTAATATCACTCCTTCTTCCCTTTCCCTCACCTCCTTTCCAAAAGACCTGCCTTTTCATGGTCAATTGTCATTGTAATTGCCATGTCTTCATTCGCTAAATTTGCATGCTCGCATTCTTCTTTGACCTGACCTCTGCAACAGCCATACGCGTATTTTTTATTTTAATTTTAACTTTAAATCCTGTCGTACACAACGCACTTTTCAATTTTTGTAGGCCACCAGAATAATAAATAACAACAATACTGCAATGCATCTCAATAGTTTCCTCATATTCATGACCTTGGCAGGTCATATTTGTGCTCAGAGCGCCACGAGCACTGTTGTCACCACTGCTATCTCTACGGCCATACCACCATCACAAACATGTGAAGCACAATACGATTGCTCAGCCTCACCCAAAGTAAGTCAAGTTTGCATTTGCAGATGTAGACTCCTATTGCTTTTCATCCTTATTCAACATTCTTCATTTACAAATGGGTTTGTTTTTAGGGCTGCCTAAATAACGGTGTTTGTGAGAACAAGGCTTGCAAATGTATGTCTGGGTTCGGTGGTATTGACTGCAGTCTCCTAGCATGCGGCTCGCCTTTGATAGACCCCGCACAACGACCCACAGTTGCTTCAAATACCAGCTGTAGCTCGTGTGACGATGGTTTTGGAGGATTCAATTGCAATGGTACTAAAATCAGCAACTTTTTTTTTTTTTTTTTTTTTTTTTACTTGTTGTGCTGTGTGTGTATTTGATGATGGTTACAGGGTTTGGCACATGAGGTTGATTTACTTATTCATTTATTTGTATACAGTTTGCCAGACAGATGCAGGCTGTCGATCGAAACCACCGTCGCGAACATCCTTCTTGAGCAATGAGGAGATGGTCTGCAACAAAAAATCCGAGGTTTACCATAATGCATACATGACTTGTGCAGTCCGTGCCCCTGAACTGACAGGCTTCTTCCCTGGAGAGTACAGTCTGACAATGAGCTTGGACCCAGTCAACAAGACAGTGAATGCTCAACTGTGGTTGGATCATACTGAACAGTTCTTCTGCAGTGCTCCTAACTGCACACTTGCCACAATAGAAGAGAAAGGTGCTATTCAAACAAGATGGGATTGCCCAATACTGAATTGTAAGTGTATCAAACCAACGCTCATTTGCGGAGGTGTCCCAGGACCTGTTGTAACACTCGGAAATGTCGTCGATGGTTTGAAAGGCCCCTTCTCATTGAGCTGTCCACAGAACAGTAATGAGTGCGATTTTTATATTAAAGACCTCAGTGGATTGTTTCCGACGGGTCTCAAAGTGACGGACTGCGACCTGGGTGAATGTGTGTTCCCATCAGAGATGCAATCCACTGTCACCACAATCAAAAGCACTATGTCCCCAGGTGTGATCGCCTGTTTGGCCATTCTGGGCGCATTGGTTTTGTTCTTGATTGTTGTTTGTTCGATTGCCCGTCGGAATCAACTTATCCTCAGACGTACACCTTACACTCTCAATGCCGAAGCAGCATCACTTGAGTTCCGCAATGTGGGCTATACTCTTAATAAGGACGGACTGGAGATTCTGAAGGGTATCTCAGGAGCAGCACCTGCTGGCGTGGTCCTAGCGGTGATGGGGCCATCTGGTGCTGGTAAATCGACACTGGTTGACATCTTGGCAGGTAAACGCAAGGATGGCAAGGTCACGGGTCAGATCCTGTTGAATGGCAAGCAAGTTCATGAAAGTGATATTCGCAGAGCAGTCGGATTTGTGGATCAGGAGGATACGTTGCCGCCTACTCAGACTGTGTACGAAGCAGTGCTGTACTCTGCCATGCTACGCCTTCCTGAGGCAATGCCTATTCACCGGGTCCACGAGCGCGTTTCGGAGGTGATTGAGATGTTGGGATTGACTCACTGCGCAGATCGTAGGATCGGCAATGTTACAGCGCGTGGTATCTCTGGAGGAGAGAAACGCCGTGTCTCGATCGCATTGGAACTGATTACACGTCCCCCGATTTTGATTCTGGACGAGCCCACCTCTGGACTGGACTCTTACAGTGCACGCATGGTGGTCGAGCAACTCTGCAAACTAGCAGCCAACAAGACAACGACTGTGATCCTGACAATCCACCAACCTCGCTCCGATATTTTCTTCATGTTTGATCAGACATTGGTCATCAGTAAAGGAGAGACCCTTTATTTTGGACCTACGGACACAGTAGCGGAGCATTTCCGGCAACGCAATTTAGTCTGTCCTCCAAACTACAACATTGCAGATTACCTATTGGATATTGCCATGGATGATGCGTTATTGAGCAAAGCCATTGATAAAAACAATAACGAAAAAGCTGGAGCATCAACTGGACGTGAAATACACGTTTCTGCAGGAAATGCTGTCTCACGACACGCTGTTGTCAATGGTCATTCAGAGAGCCATGCAGAAGCTATACTAACAGTTACAGGCAGAGCAAGCAACAACCCATCACCATCATCATCTCATCAAACTACTGTTCAAATAGAAAAACCAGAGTCCTTCTCCGAACATCATGCATCAGCAGCAGCTTCTGTCAACGAAAAGAGACAAAGAAATGTGTATCCCACTAGCTTCTTGACACAATTACAAGTCATCATGAAGCGTGATTTTCAGAATCTGATCCGTGATCGATCTTTGCTAGTTCTCCATTTGGGAGTATCGATTGTTCTTGGTCTTTTTATTGGTGGCCTCTATTTCCAAGTACCCATGAGTCTGGCTGGGTTTCAGAACCGCGCTGGGTCCCTGTTCTTTATGCTTGCTCTTTTGGGGTTTAGTAGCATATCTGCTCTGGGGGCCTTCACAGAGACTCGTATACTGTTCATCAAGGAACGATCCAATGGTTATTATCCACCTCTGCCGTTCATCATTTCAACCTTGCTATTTGATCTAGTTCCACTCAGGATTGTCCCATCGCTCTTTATGGGCAGTATCTCTTATTTTATGATCGGTCTGACTGCAGACGTGGCGACTTTCTTCAAGTTTCTGTTGATCCTTGTTCTATTCAACGTGGCGACTGCTATGTTCTGCCTGGTTATTGCAGCAGGAGTTCGGACCACAGGTGCGGCATCGCTAGCATCGTCGATTGTAATACTATTCATGATGTTGTTTGGAGGATTCATGATCAACTCTGGGAAGATCCCAGCAGCCCTAACCTGGATTCAGTATCTATCCATGTTTAAGTTCGGATTCGAAGCCTTGGCAGTAAATGAGGTGGCAACCACAAAGCTGGTTGATAATATCCAGGGGGTCGCGTTCAATGTGCCTGGATCATTGATCCTGCAAAAGCTATTTGGATTTGATCTTGGAGGCTATTGGAGAAATATGATCATCCTGATTGGATTCATCATCCTGTTCATCGCCATCTTCTGGATGCTAGTGACATTAAAGCTCAAAGAACGGAAATAAAAATGATGATACCTTCAAGTAGTATAGTAAAATCACAATGCTTTTATTCTTTTCTTTCTTTCGCTGACAAGTTGGAAAAGCAACAAGAAGAGGAGAAAGAGAGAGAGAAGGAGGATAGGGTAAAGGCGGATGAGATGCAAGTTTTATTTTTTTTATTTTTTTTATTTTATTTTTTATTTTTTCCCTCTAAGCCTTGGTAGCCTTGACAGCCTTGTTGACAATCTCGCGACGCTATTATTAGTATTTTATTACAATAATATATAATGAATTAGTATTACTGCAAGACTCCTTTATGATTTCATATAATAAAAGCATAGTCAAAACTTACAAGCTTCTTGTATTTCTGGAGTTTGAAGCGGTCAAAGTCAGTGTTGGAAGCGCGCTTGGAACGAGAGGCGATCTTCTTAGCCCAAGAGGTCTTGGCCCAGTTACCAGCGAGATCCTGCTTCTGAATGGCAGCCTTGAGAACAGCCTGACCAGCGTTGCGAGGAACCTTGATGACCAAGGGAGTCAAGGTTAAGCGACGGAAGGCATGGGCACTGCGGGGAATACCAGTGGTGGGGCCTTCAATTAGAGCCTAACGATATTAATGGAGACAAACACAGGAAATTAAGGTAAGTATGTTGATCGTAATAAAAGCTATTCCGCTTGCGCCTTTTTTCTCTTTATAATTAATTTGTCCCGTCATTTGGAAGATATATGATACTCCAAAAAGACTTTAAAGTCATGCAGAACATGAAAAAAGGCCCGAGTCCCTGGTTCATACTTGATTCCAGCTTGCTATTTTTCCTGTTTATTCATCTGTTCATCGCAATCAGTTTCTGGCCGGTCTGTATACAGTTCTGGATTTGTAAAACTAGAGGTGTTTCATCCAGACGCCGAATCCTTTCATACTATGCTCATCCAACTTGTCAATCCATCCATCGATCCATCCATGCAGCCATGCAGCCATTCCTGATTAGACTCGTGTACACATAGACTTTTTGCTTCGTTATTTTCAGTTTCGTTTTTTCAGATATGTTGCCCTAGAATTGTCTACAAGCTTTTTTTTTTTTTCTTCCCCGAGCCTATTGTTGATAGAGTCGCTCCTGCGTTGACCAACGGCAAGATGTCTTCTTTTGCTTATTGATTTCCTTGCCTTCCTTGAAATGAATGATAAAATGATATTCCTGATCCGTGGATAATTTCAAATTAAGAAACACATACGCGGTTGTGGTCAATGATATCGACAATAACTGCGAGCTTGCCGGCATCAGGACCATAGTTGATCATGACAACACGGCCAACCTCAACGACACGCTGGAAAGTAGGAGTGCGCTATAGTATCGTTTTTTTTTTTTTTTTTTTTTTTTTTTTTTTTCGAAATAAGACAATAGTTGCATTTTTCGTTAGTCCTATTAGTTGATTGTGGAGTTATGAGCTGGAAAAAAAAAAAAAAAAAAAAAAAAAAAAAAAAAACTGAAGGTGAGATCTTTTTTTTCCAAGCTTTCCGTTTTTTTTTTTTCTTCCTCTGTCGGTTATTAGCTGCTGTTTCTTGCTGACAACTTCTCTTTCTTTCTGTTCTTCAGTTTTGTAGTGCCAGAAAACAATAATAAATTAAACGCATTTTTTTTTTTTCTCCCGTTGTAACTGCTGGATTGCATAGCTTAGTTTAATTATATGCGATCTGTAGCACTCCATGATTTTGCATTCAACGTCGAAAATCCATTTGCATCCCATCTCGCGCCTTTTTTTTTTTTTTTTTTTTTTTTTTTTTCCTGATTAACTGAAAGATATAGGCTTAGTAGAGTGTTTCCAAAGGATGCCTAGGATGTTCCTGATAGCTTTTTTTTTTTTTATTTCCCTAATCGATGGATATATCCTTTTGTTTTCTCAACTTGGATTTTTTTTTTTATTTTTTTTTTTTTTTTACTTGATCTCACTATTTGCCCATATTTCTTAAAAGATCGAAATGACCCCTTAAATAAATACCATTGTTAAAAATTGGATTTTTGAGCAAAGAGGAGGAATTCAATCCCTACTGCACTTGTGGCCAAACTAATATGCGGGGGCTGAGCGATTGACAAGGCACAATAAATTTAAAGTGGCTTAGACATTCCCTTTTGAATCATAAAAGGGTGGCAAATGCGGCCTCCTTTCCTCTCTTTTTCTTTATTACTTATTATGACTAGAATAATGAAGGGATCACTAAGATTTGGTATACAAAAACCAAGCGTCTTTTTTTTTTTTTTTTTTTTTTATTTTTTTTTATTTTTTTGGTTTGATTTGCTTTGTTTTTAGCTTCGGTTGTGTTTGCTCTTATGGTTTTGCCTGTGCTTTTGGTGATGGCGAGCCTTCTTGCCCTTGTGGGAGGCCTTATGGCGTCCATGCTGAGGACGCTTCTTGGTATGAAGGCCAAAGGCCGCCAAAAGCTCATCCAAATCACGCTTCTCGTGCTGGTGGCATGATGCAACCTCGTGCTGCTGCTGTTGCTGCTGTTTTTGAACATGAGAATGGTGTTTCTTACGGTGAAGGCTAACGGCCTTCAAGTCACGCCGGTGGTGTTGGTTGCAATTGCTAGGCTTGCTCTTCTGGTGTTGCTGCTGATGGTGATGTTGCTGCTGATGGTGATGTTGCTGCTGATGGTGATGTTGCAACGGTTGTTTTTGGCGGTGGAGCTCCAAAATATCCGCCTGGACGTTGATAATAGGAGCATCAGCAGTGGCCTTTACATCACGACGCTGCAAATGCTTGTGCTCATGGCTCTCTTGGGATTTGTGATGGTGATGAGGATGGTCAGTCTTATGGTTGTGGTGATGAGGATGATCAGCCTTGTGATTATGAAGGTGACGAGGTGCCAGTTTGAAGTTTGTTTGTTGCCGCTGATGGGGATCAGCAATTGCCATAGTACCAACAAGGACCGAGGCCAAGAAGACAGAAAGGATGAAACGCATGATTAAAGTAGCAGTCTAAATGCAGGGTAAAATGGTGAAACGTACACGTTTTTTTTTTTTTTTTCTTTTTTTGATGAGGAGGGTATGGGTATCAAGAATGAAATATTGTCCAGAGTTTTATACTTTCTTTGACACTGAGTTTGTAAATCTCTTTTGATGCCATTATTTGCTTTATGCATGCATCCATGTATTAACATGAGAAATTGGAATACAGTGTAAAAGAGGAACCATCTCTTGTAAAAAAAACAAAAAAAAAAAAAAAGAGGGGAGGAGACAATCAATCTTTCTGATTCCCAAATGGCCCGTGCTACATCAAGATCGCACTCTTTACATGCGACGCGTGCTTTTGTGCATCCTATTAGAAGTGTAGAAGTGAGAATATTTTCGTTTGTATCCATCCTATCTGTACAACGTTACCCAAAGCATTGGATGAACATCACATCGCATCCAAATTATGTCTTTATAAGGACGGGTTGACACTGTCATATCCTATTTGGCTCGTCTGAGGAATTCATTATAATCCTATCCTTAACGACATTCCATTTGGAATGATCCTTCCCTTGCTAGAATGTCCGTGTGGTACATGCATGTTTGTAAAGTTAATAACATTTCAGTCCCAAAAACATTAACGAGGTTTGTACACGAAACAATCCGGAAGAAAAAAAATGAGTATAAGCAGCTCTAGTTCCAAGTTCTTTTTTTTTTTTTTTTTTTTTTTTTCTTTCTATATATATAAATATGTATTTCTGTGCATTTTTTTTTTCTTTCTTTTTTTCTTTCCTTTTTTTTTTTTGATTAAAAAAAAAAAAAAAAAAAAAAAAAAAAAAGTTATTTTACAGCTTTAATTGTGAGGCCGGTTCGATGGATATGGGCCTTGCTGATAGTGCCCACGCTGCTGTTCCACGTAACTGGAACCGCTTACAACGCTTCCATTAGGGTTAGGATGGACACCACCGCCCAGACCTGTGGGCGGTCCATGGTAGCCACCGTTACCTCCATTCATCCCACTATAAGGGTTGGGCGGGCCACGATGGCCACTCATATCTGTCAACATGACTGTATCTGAGAAATGATTGCCATTACCGAGTTCATGTCCGGTATGCTGCTGCTGGAGTGGATGAGGCCTTGCTCCACGGCTTGGTCCGTATCCGCTCACCACACTGCCTTGGTTCGAACCACTCAAGACTGTGCTGGTATCTGAAGCCTGTCGTCGATGTGGAAACGCTTGGATATTGGGTTTTGGTGGATATTGATGAGGATGATAGCCACCTCCTGAACTATACGCGCCTTCACTGATCTCACTCCGGTCATCTGGATAATCGTAGGAGTGATTTTGATGACTCAAGTTACGATTATGATAGTGCTGTGCATGATTATCCTGTCGCAATGGCCTTGTATCGCCATCGTCGTCCATGGTAGGGGTATAGGGTCTTCCGGGGGCTGGGGAATATGGCCGTGAAGGCTGTTGTGGGTATTGTCGGCGGTAGGGATCGTTAGGTGGCATTGCTTTACGAAGACCAGGCGATCCTCCCATGTATGGCGATGGAGCTGGTGCAAGTCTAGGAGAGTTTCGAGGGCCTTCCTCAAACAAGTCTATATTGGGCAATGTTGGTTTTTGAAGTGGGGTCTCGCCACCCTTTCCGTTCTTTGCATTCTTGGCTGCCTCCTGTGCACGCTGCTTCGCTTTTTTCTTGACAATTTCATCAATTCTATGTATCATTAGAAAAACAAAAAAATAAAATAAAAATAAATAAATAAATAAATTGGTATTACTTTTTACATATTGATGTCCATTTTTCTTAATAGCAACCAAGATTGTATACCGTTTATCAATCTTGTGGCAACAGAATTCCTTGAGGTTTCCTTGAATCTGCATGACCAAAGGGATGTAGAGACAGACCGCCACAAGCATCAGCAGAATCGAGATGATCCACAATGTAAGCGTGAATGTCATGAGAACCAAGGTGATCTTTGTTGTGTTTCCTCCTGCGACCTTGTATTCGAAAATATTCAAACTGTTTCCCTGACTCTTAATAATTGTCATCAAGATGATCGCATTGATAACCTGTCTTGGCCCATCCGCAAACAGCAAGCGCTTCCAGCCTACGAATAGAATAAAGTAAAACAAAGTTATATAGGCATCCTAATAAGCGCGAGCGAGTATGAAGTACAACTACAATCTTTTTTTTTTTTTTTTTTTTTTTTTAATAGTACCTCGGAAGGTGAAGAAGCAAAAGAAAGCAATTTCGTCCATTGTCTTTTTGGAGTTGTGGATCTTTTCGAACAGACAGAAATGAGCGTAGCTTTTGATAGCATAGTATCTGTAGGCGATCATGCTGGTGAATGCATAACTGATATCACGACTTTGAACAATTGCCACCGCTTTTTTCATGTCCCATGCCAGCAAAATAAAGGATAGAATAATACATGCGGAAAAAAGATACTATAGCAAACGTCCAAAAGATGAATTAGTTACGAAGAAGAAGAGGAAAAAATAAACATATCTCCCTATACTCTTTTGTGTGCTTTGCGCTGATATGTAGGTATGATCGATAAATAACACATGCATATGAAGTAGCTTACTCTGTAAATTCCGGAGGTGATGTTGATGCCACCTATATTAATAAGAAAAGAAAAAGAAAAAGAAAAGAAAAGGAAATTGCAATGATGAGTTTTTGTACCTTTTTCATCAAAAAAAAAAAAAAAAAAAAAAAAAAAATAGCTATTACATACCCCAGCTGAGTTCTTTGTTTCCCTCGAAACCTGCCAATTGCCAGTTTTTAGTCACCAGCAAGTTGACTGCCGTCCTGAGAGAGGAAAACGAAGGATTTCAAAGGAATAAGGATGCGTATGTATATCAAGTGAGCGAGTAAGAAAGATGTAGTGAAGGATGAGTGCATCGATGAAAGAGACAGAGGGGAACGACAATGCCAATAGAATAGAGTAAATAAATAAATAATAAAATAAAAAACAAAAAATAAAAATAAAAAACAAAAAAGAGGTGAGCATTTTCATTTCATTTCTCTTATCGGATAGACATGCTAAATATCCAAGCCTTGGCCTGTTCGGCAAAAGCACTTTCTGAAAGAAGAATAACTTACCATAAATCGGCGCAGTAAATCAATATGCCTTTGATGACAACTGCAAAGACAAGCGAATATTTGAATTTGCGATAGGGAGAGTTGTCAATGTAGTCTTCGACATCAATAAAGTCGAACTTGTGGTCCTGAACTTTCTGTCGTTTCCAGTCACCTAAATCAAACCAAACCAAGTAAAAGCATAGATAAATCCTTGTGAGTTTTTTTTTGTTTGTTTGTTTTTTAAGCGTATTTAATATATTCCTCCAGGAGGATGGAGCACAAAGTTATCCGCAGATAAAGGGTTCACAAAAGCAAGCAACTCTCTGCAGTAAGATTTGTTTGCATTGTGCACATGGACGCAATGTCATTTACAATGGCCCAAGGTTAAAAATAACTCGTGCGATCCCAAAGCCCAAAATTAGAATAGATTGACCCAGTCCCCAAAAAAAAAAAAAAAAAAAAAAAAATTGAAGTGATTCTTCTTTTTTTTTTTTTTTTTTTTTTTTCCTGTGTATCATTCTATTCATGTACGCTGTAGGTCCTGATCTGACTATCTGTATCCATAAAAGACCAACGCTGCAAAAGATCACTTTTTTTTTTTTTTTTTTTTTTCTCATGTCCTGTTGGGCAAACATGCGGTGAGTAGTCCATGGTTTGATACCATTGAGCTACACAAGACTCTGTGGGATGTTTGTAATATTCACCACATTGAAAAAATTGACGATACACAAGTTTTTTTTTTTTCTTTTTGTGGTTGAGGCCCCCTGTAGATACAACAAAAAAAAAAAAATGAGGGGAAAGGAGTGGGAGAGAAAGAGGTATTCGAAACATTTTGCTGGAACGAAGAGAGAAAGGGACTTACTCATATTGTATGAAATATATAATTAGCAGATGTAGAACCAGCACCTGTCTTCCTTGAGATAGAAGTGTTAAAGAATATAAAGAAAAAGAGAGAGAGAGAGAAGGGATAGTTGACGCGTTCAGTGCGACAAAGGATATGCTTGCAGGGTAAAGGTATATAGACTTGTGTATGTTTAATAGTAGGAATGCGATATATGAAGTAGATGAATGAATGTGGATGAAGAAGTTTTGTTTTCAGTGTTTGTGCAATGTAGATGTGGACTCGATTGTCAGGGACGGAAAGATGAGATGATGAGGTGATGAAAAGATGCAACAAGGTCGTTATAAAAAAAAAATAAAAATAAAAAATAAATAAAAATAAAAAGAGAGAGAAAGAGAGGGAGGGAGAATCAGTCGAGGTTCATGAACGAGTGTAGAGATGCTGAACCACACGGAATCAGATTATGAGATGAGAATGAGATGATGGTAATGGGATATATAAAAAAAAAAAGAGAGAAGACAGACAGAAAGGAAGGAAAGGAGGAAGAAAATGGTCTCTTTTGATATTTGATGTTTGTTGCATTGGATGGCTGTGTACACTAGATGAAATAAAATATATCAATGTAAAACCAATTGACCATGGGAATGATAAATAGATAAATACATACACTATGATATATTGCATGTCGAAGAGAGGAAGTTGAGTGGTCTAGTTTACAGTTAGTCTACTTGTCCTCTGCTCTCCGGTCCCTGTCCATGGTCTCTGTCGCCAGCTTCATCGACTGACTGACTGACTGTGGCTGACTGTGGCTGACTGTGATGAATACAAATCATAAGAGTCCTACACCATGTCCTTTAGCCTAAATATCTCGACACTATTGCTGACGACATCTTCCGTCTTTCAGACTAATAAAAGGCATTGGCTCACGGCATTGGTGGCATACATGTTATATAAACTATTCATTCATTCATGTACATGTACATGTTTACACAGGATATGACAAAAAATCCTCCAATCAAGATCTTTATGATTAGGACCATCTGTTCCTGAGTTTTCAGACATCTTTAATTTGAATTAGGAATTAGATATTTTACTGAAACACGGCCTATCATCCAAATCATTTAAACCCAATTTTTCTCATTTACTGTTTTATTACAAGTGTCACAAGGATCTATCGTTTTTCTGTGACATTGTAAAAGCAAACAACATCCCTTCTCTTGCCATAACCTGACGATAACAAAAAAAAAATTCAGCTGGCCACACATGAAGAGAAAAGACTCAAACACAGCATATAAAACTAGTATGAGGAGCCTTTTTTTCTGAGTGATAGCTGGCCTGATATAGACCTCCTTAGATGCCTTTTATCCTTTTTTTTCTTTATTTTTTTAAAAAAGACAATACTCAAGTTCATTATGCATGGCTCCTTAATGCTCTCATCCTCACTTTCCCTACACATCATGCCGTCTCCTTCTCGCCATTGCGGTTGTCAAGGCCGGCAAATGTTAAGAAAACGATAAAAATAACATCATCGTATGGATGATGGAAGGAACCTGTCATGAACCACTTCAAATATATAACCCCAAATACAATGGTGTCTTGTCCTCTAGGTTGGGGGCCAAGATTGATGTTGTGGCTGGGAAAGATGACAAAGGTCGTCCTCACTATTCACAATATGAACAAAAGTAGAGACTTGGCACGACTCCGAGCTAGGAAAACGTGTCAGAATTTGCTGACTGATGGATATATTTTATCGCTGTAAGAACCTTTAAAACGTCTATCAAAGAGCCTTCAAACCAATGAACAAAAAAAATTAAATGTTGACAATGCCAGACGCCAATGAAAATAAAGCATTTCTGGAACCTTCACCTCCTTTCGCAATCATGCTCTTGTAATCTGGTGTTGGTCTTTGCCCCTTCTCATTGTCACCCTGACCTATAATCGACTGTTGAATAGACTGCATAAGACATGCATGCATCTACACCGGCTTCTCTTGATTTTGCACAGATTGAAAGGTAGTCAGCTTCATTACTGGGTGGTGTAAACTCAACTCATCTGAATTGGATGCCCCTACAACTAACGCATGAGCATACTACACTTTACTACATTTCCCCTGTTGAGCATATCCAGTTTGAAAATAATTTACATAACATGCCACGAAAGATGGGTTGCCTTGCGGAAGAAGAAAGAAGGGGCCGTTGTGGACTAGAATAATAATAATAAAAAAAAAAAAAAATACATATAAGAGTTCCTTTTTCATCCTTTCTTACTAGTTTTCATTCTGATTCTGTATTCATTATATCTGTTACCCATTAGTTAGCAAGAATCAACCACAGCCATCTTCTACAGAGCATATCACACTACATTATGCCAGCTAATTCAGTCGCACCATTGAACATTGCACATAGGTCGCAATCCCAATCAACATCATCGTCAATATTAAACACAAAACTCATATCCTCAGCACCGGCATCAGCATCAGCGCCCTCGCTGCTTTCGCCCTCTTCTGTTCCCCCTATGTCGTCATCCAAGTTCAAAGGAAATATGCAGAAAAACAGCCCAGATACTCATTGTAAACTGCATGTCATTGATACCCACATATGCGACCGAGATTCGCAAAAACGCGGCAACAGGAGATTTTTTACAGAGAGATACTCAAGTCTGAAATCATCATATCCACTAATGTCCCCTACAACGTTCACTCTGGCCAAAAACGACATCTCCAAAGTCAACAATTCCGTCATTTCTCGATTGAACAGCGAAATTTTACTTACCTTGTTTCCCCCACCACCTCATGCGTTCCCAAAAAGTAAGGCCCAAACTACCCCTTGTTCAAAAACCAGGTCTGCCCCTGTTTCTACCGGACTGCCTACAATTGAGTCTGAAGAACCAGCAGCGTCGTCATCCGTGTCTCCTCCACCTTCAAAATCCGGTAAGAACCGGAATTGGGTCATCAGCTCGGGCTTCTTTGTTACTCTTACTGAGGATGGTCAAAAGTCCCATATAAGTGTAATACCAGGAATCGCACGTTTAAGAGAGCAAGGGTCAGAACCAAATACACCAGATACGCCTATGCTTAATATCAAACCCGTCCATAATCAATCTTTACCGCCTTGCCAGCCCTTATCATCTTCTATACCTCCCCCTTCACTAAATCCATCCACTACGTATTGCAGTTCGGACCAAGCTTCTTGTGCGCCGCCACAGTCGTCACGTCTCTCAGATTACTGTAGTGATGTCAAGGCCCCATATGCGCCAGTACCATTTTTGGATGAAATGAACTCGTTGTCAGAACGTCTCCTAGAGATTGAAACTCAAATGAGAAGACCATCCTTCCTCATGAATAGGCGGACATCTGTCCTATCGGCGTTATTTCCGTCAAACATCATTGCTCCAGTTTCAGTTTCAACTCCAGTTTCGGCTTCAGTCCCAGTAATGGGTGATATGATTTCTAAACATCAGCAAGAAATACTGCTAGCCGAGCTTTCCTTGACCGTTGGGAGTATTACCACTCCATCACCAGAGGTTCCTGCCTTTTTGAATGGCCTGCACAGCAACAGCAAGAGCGTCAACAACCGCGCGGCTGCGGTTGAAGCTGCCTTTGACAGTGTGCGTGTTAGCGATGAAGCAACAGAGTCAACATTAGTATCAGCACCGCTGATGGACTGGGCACGGCGACGGAAGCAGCTGCCTTGTCCGACGGACCCACCACTGTCGTCACTGTTTTCAACAAACATGCCCAATGGGAAGCCTTACTCATCCTCGTCTACTAAAGCCTCAGCAATGTCCTCTACGACTAAATCAATGGGTCACAAGCCTCGAAAGTTCTTTTCAGCGCTCACAAATCCAGGTATTGGTGCTGGCTCTGCCCCTTCAGTGTCATCATTCCCAACACAGATGTCCCGCCCATCTCCATCAGGGTATCCTCGTTCCAGTACCATCCCTCTTTTACCGATTAAGGACGATCATGGTGAAGATAGTAATGCTTACTGCTCAGCTCTAAGGAAGAACAAAGGCCATCAAAAGTGGGGTGAACGGCTCCAGTCACTGGTCCACACTTTCCAGTTCACAAATAATGGCAACAAAAGTAATAGGCTTTCTAAAAAATTAGCGGGTATCTTGCCCAAAAACCGTTGGGATAAACGCTCCCGAGGTTCCCCTCGCACTCATTATCGATCGTCATTTGAATTAAAGAGATCATAAAAATATATATATATATATATAAAAGGTCTTTTGCTCCTATTTTCTCTCGTTGGTGATTTCACTTTCAGCTCTAGAAGCAGTTGAGGCTATTCAGTTGAAGTGACAAAAAACCTATAATAATAGCCTTTCGCTATTTGATCAAACCATTGGCCATGAATGCTTTAATCATCTTTTCCCTTTCTTTCTTTATCCTTTCTCGGAATCATTCCTTGTCTCGACCATGCATGAATGAAACAAAACCCCTACCTTCCTTCGCCTATTTATCCATTTATCCATTTACTCTTTTGTATTTCTAGCGAGAACAGTCAAACAAAACATCGTGTAACAATCCATTCAAGTCGCACTAAAGTGAGGATTGTGTCTAAAAGAGGGGTTTTCTGGGGAAATAAAATGTATACTTAAAAAGAAGCTTTGTTTTACATCGGTTCTCTGAGATTTTATCCACTGCCTTTTTTTTTTTTTTTTTTTATTTTTTTTTTTAGATCGCTTCAGCTTCCTAGTAGATTCAGCTTATCCTACGATACTGGTAAAATTCATTTCCCGAAACAAAAGTGCATTCGATTTGCGCACAAATGAAACTAATGTCATGGATTTGTAACATGTAAGACAGATAAGCGGTTGACCATTGGATTATCTCACATCAAAACGGCACATTCAATACATTCACATTCACAGAACGGAGTCCGACCTTGTCACTCTCATGGCGAACATGCGAGCGATATCTCTCCTTTCATATACCGACAGTATGTGTTCACTTTGTATATTAAGATAGACTCAAGAACACAGAGAATTGTCAGTGTTGTAATTTGTAATTGTTGGGTTGATCGAGGTCATCCATATATCCATGGATACATGTCATTTATACTTCTTACTTCTTCGCCGAGGTTTCAAATCTATTCATTGTAAAACGTTACTCCTTGAAGGATGGAAGGGGGGGTTTTTCGCATTCTTTATATTTTTTTTTTCTTTGTTCTGCAGAATCTCTGCACTCGAATCAATCTCTCACGTCTGTTTACATATTTTGTGGAACAAACATTCTGCGATCAGACCCTCTCTTCTACTCCAAAAATCAATCCATTCATGTCCAATAGCAATAACCGTAACGCCTCTTCCAATCCTCGCTTCATTCCAGCAGGCACCAGTAGGATAAACGGGATCAATGATCCTTCTCATAACAACAGCAATAGCAACATCCGTGCTATTGACAACCGTTTAGCTGGCCCTAGTAATGCATCGGATTCAGCTCCGGACAGGTTTCCTAACGGTCTTCGCCAGCATTACATGACTGCTGCATACCAACGATCAAATCACCAATACTACCCACTTCAACGACCCACCACTCCAATCGCCTCTCCCATATCCCCCCATCCAAACCTTAACCAGAATCAGCGCAATAATAGTAATAGCAGTAATCACATCCCCCAAACACCAAAACCGGTAGCACTAAGCGCACGCCATCCTTTCTCTCTAGATTCTCTTCAGATCCAAGAAGAGTCTGGCACCCCATTGACAAGCTCTAGGAGCTCTACTACGCATTCCAGCCCCAATTCCAGCCCCAACACTAACTCTATAGCCGATAGTCATGCCATGACCTTACAACTCCATCGCGCACTATCAGATCTGGCCGATAGCAGGGAAAGGGAGGGGAAAGGAGAAAGTGATGAGGATGGACCAATCATGTTGGAGGGCTCCAAAACTTCATCTTTGAAATATAAATCCCCTGAAACCCAACCCTTCAAGAAAGTTATTGCAAAGTGCTCCATGGTCATCAACAGCTTGGGTCTTGGATCGACTGGACCAGTAACAGAAAATAATAGTACTACTACGTCTGACACTGCCAGTCCTTCAACCACTACTCCTACAACCTCTGTGAGGGCAGGCCCCCTGACACATGGAATCGGAGGTTCAGATGTGACACTGATACCATCAATGTCATTTACTCCGCCAGCTGAGGAGTCCTCCGGGAAGAAAAAGGAGTTGCATGTGCTATTCAAGGAGCAGGTCACGAACAAGGAAAAGCCTGGCGGCAATAATCGCCAATGCGATCGCATCTCCAGATTCTTTCAGGGAGATGTAGCAACACCAATGGTGTCTGTCAACCGAGATCAACAATCACAACCTACAACAAACACTGCCGCCGCCACTACTACCGCCGCCGATTCCTCTCGACAACCTTCTAAAGCTGGTGTACTCAGCAATTTGTTGAAGCTCCATAATAATGGGCGTCACCAAAAGGTACATGTGCGTAAATCGGATCTTGTCTTTCTTTTTTTTTTTTTTTTTTTTTTTTTTTTGTGCCTGACTTTGTATCTAATGTTGCTTATTGACTTTATTATTATTATTATTATTATTATTATTATTATTATTATTATTATTATTATTATTATTATTATTATTTTCCCCCTTCGATGTAGTCAAACCATAGATCGTTGTCATTACCGAAGTCCAAGACGCCCAAAGAAAAGAGGAGTCTGGATCTGTCGACCATTTATGATCGTTCTGCCAATAATTCGACTTCCTCAATTCGAGAAGCTGTCTTTGGTACATATCCACCTCTACCTCCAATCCAGAATGGTGGACGAATCAATAGCCTCTCCAATTTCCAGCCTACTCCAAACAGCGCCAGAAGAAGAAGCATTGGTACCCTTAATAGCCACCGTCATTCAACCTACTCCGACGCGTCCTCAGGCCAACAGCCATTCTCAGCCATGAATTCATCCAAACAGACACTCTGTATGCCCCCCCGCGGATCTTTTTCAGGCAGCGAAAACATGCATGGATTAGACAGCGTTCCATTTAATATGAGTAGTAGTAATAGTGATGCATGTGGGCGGGGTAGTATATTTGATTCACGGTCATTATCGGGTGACGAAAAGATATGCATTACCGTTGCTATGGCGGATATTCTAGAGCGTCAAGACTATATTCTCCGTCTAGCGAAGTCCATGATCAAATATGGAGCTCCCCCACATCGGCTGGAGGACTCGATCGATCAAGCTGCACGCCATCTTGAGCTCCATCTCCAATGTATTTACTTGCCCAACTTGATGATCGTGGCCTTTACGGATTATGAAACCCACACATCCGAGACACACTTACTCAAAGCCTCTGCAGGGCTGGACATGTACAAGTGTGCATTAGTTCATCAAGTCCATAAAATGGTCACTCATGATACCACCACAGTAGGAGAGGCCATTATGAAATTAGAAGCTATTCATGCACAGAAGGATATTAATTCACGTCTCTTGACGCTCTTGGCCTATGCCTGCGCAGCCTTTAGTACCACACCCATGTTCTTCCAGGGATCCTTGGCTGATGCTGGGGTTTCGTTCTTGATGGGGGGTGCTGTGGGTTTATTGGCTTGGTTGTCCGAGATAGTACCTAATTCCACACATATCTGTGAGGTCGCCATGCCGATGCTCGTTGCATTCGTGACTGAAGGCTTGCGCCGGTATCATGTCTATCCAGTCTGTCAGGGTGCAGTCCAGTTGGGAAGCATTATTATCGTTTTGCCTGGTTTCACCATCGCCTGCTCGATCTTGGAGCTCAGTGCTCGACATGTTATTTCGGGCTCGGTCCGGCTCTTTTATGCCGTGCTCTATTCGTTGGTGCTTGGCTATGGTCTTTCGATCGGTACCTCGATTTGGGACCTATTTGGTCGTTTGCCTAGCGAAGAAGCAGCAGGGAAATACACTCCACAATGTCCATTGGAGCCACTGGACTCTAAATGGAGTATCTTGTTCGTACCGATGTTTGCGATTTCAATCAACATTTGGCTTAAAGCCCATCCTCGACAATGGCCCCTGGGCATCATTCTGTCCACAGTTGGGTTCACAGTTGGGTATATAACAACGACCTATACAACAGTCACGTCAGACGTTTCGTCCGCCTTGGCAGCCTTCTCCATTGGTTTGCTGGGCAACATCTATCAGCGTTTGACTCGACAGCTATCATTCCAAGCCGTTTGCTGTGCATCATTCTTTTTAGTTCCTGGTTCCATTGGGTTAAAGGGAGCAATGTCCATCTTTACGGATGATATGGCAGGAGGCATTCTTTTTGCACGCCAGATGGTCGCTACCGCCATCTCGATCAGCGTTGGGTTATTTGCTTCTGCTCTGGTGGTATATCCAACGGGCAAGCAACGATCCCCACAAATGACTTTTTGAAAAAGAGAAAACTGTACTCATCTTTTCAGCACTGTACTTATACCCCCACTCCCTAGCTTTCTTATACCCCCTTCTGTCATCAGAATACTTTTCCGAAGTATGCCTCCGATTGTATATCCGTATATAAAGCAAAATGGAGAGGTTTTTTTTTTTTTTTCCCTCCTTTATCCATGAGTCAAAGATAGCTCTCCGTGATGTAAAGAGTTGTTTTAAATCCTTAGCCATTCTTGATTACATTAGATACTGTCATGTGGAGCGCATATGGTGATGGGTTACTGAATTTCAAAAAAAAAAAAAAAAAAAACGACTGCGCCTTTATAAAAAAAAAAAAAAAAAAAAAAAAAGTTTTTGTTACTCCTGATCTAGCTCTTTTTTCTATTTATCCTTTATTGTATTTATAATTTTATTATCTCTTATCGATCCTGATATTTCTTCTTTATTTTGTTTTTTCATTCCTCTTTCTTCTTGATTGAGACGATTTTCAAAAACCAACGAAAAAGGGTGGGTGTGCTTCATGCATAAACGAGACGGAAGATGTCATTGGCAACATAGAAGTTGCTGCCATCGTGCTTCAAGTAGAAAGTCTGCGTGAAAAATTGAGGGTTCTGTTCATTGTCAATCTTTATATATATAATAACAATAATAATAATAATAATAATTCAAAGGCGTTAGTAAGACGTTTTGTTTCCTTTTATGCATCACCTGAAGGAAAAAAGAAAAAAGAAAAAAAAAAAAAAAACTGATGACGTGGAGCCGCAGCACTTACCAACAACTGTCCAGTAACAGAAATAACAATAGAGTTGTTATCAGATGGCTGAGAATCGTGGGTGGAAACCTTGTGGACAACTGATTGGAAAGGAAGAGACTGTTTATGCCATAAAGAAAACAAACGTTAATAATCAAGGATAGATGAGGGGTAGATAGGCAATGAGGGGACCTTCTTCTCAGACAGAGCTAAAAAAAAAAAACAAAAAAAAGAAAAAAGACACTTACGATTAACTTATCGACAATAGCCTGAGCACCCAAAGTGTGAACACCCTCGAAAGTCAACATGGAGTTGTCACGCTATCGATGGTTTGTGTAGATATATTTATATAAAAAAAAAAAGAAAGAAAGAAAGAAAAAAGAGTAGGTCAATTAGTGTATGATGAATACTAATATCCAACTGTTGCTCCGGTTCCTGATATCCATTTTATTAGTGATTGATGCTTCGACAACGACGCGTCAATAATGAAAGCATGTTCAGTCAAATCTTTAAAGAAAGAAAGAGAAAGCATACGTAAAGAGGAGCGAGGCCGGCGCGGCTACTGTCGAATGTACCATAGTAGTAATCAGTAAACTGTTTGCTAATTGCTTGGATGTCGGCCATGATGTGTACTTTTTGAATGAATAAGAGCGGAGAAGATTATGTGATGAATGATTCAAAAAAAAAAAAAAAAAAAGAAAAAATAGAGAAAGGGACGAAAAACAAGAGGAGGAGTTAAGGTCCTTAAGGGTCGTGATGGATTTAAGACTTTTAAGGGGTAAAACAAATAAGAAGTGGCACGCGGACCAACCTTGAAGATAACAGGATACACACCAAGAGTTTATTGCTTGCCACCATACTCTGCATCCTCTGAAAGGACAGTCTTTATGGCTTTGATAGGTTCATGCGTATTAAAATGAGGAAAAGTATGAAGATGGGCAGTCAGGTCAATTCAAGACTTGTAAAAGTTTTGAACTGGTCCTTATAAGCGACAGCAATGAGTTTGTGCAGACTCTAGCGTCAAATTTGAGAGAGAGAGAAGAATTTGGGCACCCAAGGGTCATCATGTATAAATATGTATATATATTGCTTGGGCCGTAACAGGATCTCTATAAGAAGAAAGAAAGAAAGAAAGAAAAAAATAGAGTGTGCCCCTGAATGAAAGTGTAGAATAGAGTATGGAGTAAAGTTGAGTGGAACGCGCACAAATTGCTAATTCACCCAACGTTTTTTTTTTGTCACCGTGCCCGTTTTTTTTTTTTTTTTTTTTTTTTTTAATTCCACCGTGCCAGGTTAAGCAGGATATAGTTGAAAAAAACTTTAAATATAGAAAATGCTTAATTTAAACACATATTCAATTGAAATCAAACAAAGTTTTTTCTTCATGTATGTAATACATGTGTACATGTCAACTCGATGTCATGTCAAAGAACATATTCAATTCGCTTTCTGCTTTGCCCGAGCGGTCAAACAAAAAAAAAAAAAAGCGTGTACAGATTTCAAAAACGACCGTCTGAGAATAATGTCATCCACGGACAATGGAAAAAGAGGAGTAAATTCAAGTTCCGGTTTGTTAGTAGAATGAAGGGCCTCCTTCTTCCTACCTTCTTGGTCTGTTTAGTATTTCTATCCCTTCACTTCTTCACTCTCTCTTTTCTTTCTCTCTCCCCGTCTTCTTAAAAAGCCTTTTTTCCGAAACCATTTGTTCTTCTTTTTTCTTTCTCCCCCCCCCTTTTTAACTCTACTCTCCACTCTTTGTACTTTCTTTTCCATAGCCTTTAGTTTCTCATTGAAGTTGCTGGTAGTTCACCACGTCTGACCCATCAATTTCAACCAGCCCTTTGCCACTTCCACATCAAACCTTTCTCTTCTAGCCTCTCCTTTTTCATTTTTCATTTTTTTTTTTTTTTTTTTTTTTTTTTGTTCACAATGTCAACATTCACTCGAATGAGCTTGGTCATTCCACGCCAAGCTCGACTCTATTCTACCACATACAGAGCACTCAATTCTACTCCAACGACGACTGTAGGAGCAGCGCAACGTCCCCGTTTCTCTGTCCCTTTCTTGTACAACTCCCATGGTCGCATCTCGTCTCATAGGACGACTGCGTCTTTTGCCTCCCTAAAGGTCCTTCAGACCAAAGGCTTCTCTACCTCGGCCTGTTGTGCTGATCCATCGTTGACAACACCAGTTCCGAACCCCGTAGCCCCTGAAGAGACTTGTCAGAACAACCAGTCAGAAGAAGAGGTTAAGCATGCAGTAGTTTCGACTTTTGATCTTTTCTCCATTGGCATTGGTCCGAGTTCAAGGTAAAGGAGATACAAAAGAAAAAGACTTTGGAGCAAGAGCCACAGTGTGACGATAAACCCAGATGGAACCTTGTTAAATAAATTAAACACCGAGATATCAGAGCAACATCATAACATCACACAGGGGCAAAAAGTGGGGTGAGCGGGTGAGGGAAGAAAATGGGGCTAAAAAAAAAAAAATTAAAAAAGAGCACAGATGGATGTGCGAACCTGTAAAAGGCCAGGATGAAGAATGATTGGTTCGTTTCAAGCGTGAGAAATACTTGTGCAGTTGCCCTATTCAACCCATGCAATGCAAAAACACGTCAAACTGGACTAACCCACTCAAGCTATTATGAATGTTCTATCTCTACCCAAACTCGCCATCACTCTTTAGTCACACCGTTGGCCCAATGCGTGCTGCAAAGATCTTTGTAACAGATCTCAAAGACCACAAAGTACTTGATAAGGTATGGACATGGACGGAAGCAAACACCCTACATACTACACCCTACAACACCTCATTTACACATACACACACATACACATACATACACCTTATATGATGGCCGTTTTGCTCATACTTACTCCTTCCTCCTACCAAAAACTGCTAAGCAACTACAACCCTTGAAGTGATTCAACTCACATGTTTATAAATCTATTTTTTTTCTCCTTCCTATTTTATCATCATACACTTCCCATCTGTACTTGCCTTTCAACCGGCTGCATATTTGGGTCTGAAATCATATTTTATTGTCACCTATCTATCATTCTATTCTGCTCCCAATCTTATCCATAAAAGGTTGCCACTCTTCGAATCGACCTTTTTGGCTCTCTTGCCCTCACAGGCATCGGTCATGGTACTCCTGACTCTATTCTCATGGGTAAGAAGTCGTTTTTATTTATTTATTTATTTTAACATTACAACAATTGTGAAAGATACATGGTTGTAAACACGTGTTCTGTCCTTTTAATCTAATCTTTATTTTTTTTTAAAAAAAAAAAAAAAAAAAAAAAAAAAAGGCATGGAGGGTGAATCTCCCGAGTCGGTCGAGACGTCAACGATCCAAGCACGTCTGAAAGCGATTGATGAGCAAAAAGCCCTGACATTGGACTCGACCAACCGGATCAAATTCGATCCAGCCAAGGACCTAGTCTTCCACTACTTTGAATCTTTACCCCAACATCCAAACGGCATGCGATTCTGTGCGTTTGATGACCAAGGAGATCTCTTGGCAACCAACGAATATTTCTCTATCGGAGGTGGATTCGTAGTCAACGAACGAACTCAGTTGGCTCATGGTGAGAACGTCTTCTACAAGAATGAACAGGACAAGGAGACCAAGGCCAACAAGGTCATCCCACAAACCCGTCGAAGCCAGGATCTGGCCACTGCAGCCCTACCCTTCACAAACGCTCAAGAATTGTTGGAACTCTGTCATCGAGAGAATATGACGATAGCACAGGTTGTGTTGGAGAACGAACTCCGATGGCGATCAATGGAAGATATCAAGGAAAAGACTTTTGCCATCTGGAACACTATGGACAATGCAATCAAGAATGGTTGTCTCTCAAGTGAAGAGATGTTGCCAGGACGTCTTCGTGTCCGCCGTCGTGCCCCTGGCCTATACAAAAAGCTCTTGAAGGGACTCTATACGACCACTCCGCTCTACAAGGATACCACTGTAGGATCTGGATCCAATGCTTTATTGGGAGGGGGCCATGGATTGACTAACCAAGCACCTGAGCGTAGTATCGACAGAGTCTTGCCTAAACGTGCAGTCAAACGCCTTATGCTCCCTGCATTGGATTATCTCAGTGTGTATGCCATCGCTGTGAACGAAGAGAACGCAGCAGGTGGACGTGTCGTCACTGCACCCACTAACGGTGCTGCCGGCGTCATCCCTGCAGTCCTCAAATACTACCTCGAGTTCATCTCCGACAATCCTGAACAGGACATCATGGAATTTATCCTGACTACTGCAGCCATCGGAATGTTGTACAAGCGAGGTGCATCCATCTCGGCTGCCGAGATGGGATGTCAGGGAGAGGTCGGTGTCGCTTGTTCCATGGCTTCTGCAGGCTTCGCAGCCGTCATGGGCGGTACAGTTCAACAGGTCGAGAATGCTGCCGAAATTGGTATGGAGCATAACCTGGGTCTGACATGCGACCCAATCGATGGACTGGTCCAGATCCCTTGCATTGAACGGAACGCACTAGGTGCAGTCAAGGCTGTCACGGCTGCTCAACTGGCTCTGAACGGAGATGGGCATCACCGTGTGACCTTGGATCAGGTCATCGAGACCATGCGTCAGACTGGAAATGATATGCAGGCTAAATACAAGGAAACCTCTCAAGGAGGACTCAGTGTCTGTGTTCCTGTCTGCTAAAAAAAAAAAAAAAAAAAAAAAAAAAAATCGGATCGATCGTTGCTTCTCGCTTCCCTTTTTTTTTTTTTTTTTTTTTTTTTTTTTTTCCTCCTTCCTGCATACCTCTTACCTCTATTTGTCCATAGATGAACATCATTATCCATTCTTATTTTTAGCATTTTCAATCATCCCTTTGTACTTTATCTTTTTTTTTTTTTTTTATTCATACTCATACGCCAAAAGGTGTTTTTTCATATGATCCTCCTTTGGCAATAATAATAAAAGTAAAAAAAAAAAAATAAAAAAAAAAAAAAAAGTAATAATAAAAACAAAAAATCATGTAAGCATCGGAAGCAATGCCTATTCAATTCTTTTTATTTACTTTATTTTATTTTATTTTATTTTATTTTATTTTGCTTTTTGCTTTATTGTTTTTAAGCGAAGCTTGAGGAAGCAAAATAAAGGTCAGCATTAATGATGATGACACACATAAATATGTATATATATATTTAAAACTAAAAGGAAGATTGCAAGTGTCAAGTCTATGTAGAATAAAAATGTGTAAGATGTAAAGGATATGAAAAAATGCTACAGCAGTAATAAAAAACCTTTATTAGGGAGGGAGAGAAGGAGAGCCAAGTTTTCGTTATGACCACATGGTCCTTGACTTTGGAGGCGGTACATAACCACCATCGTTGGTGCTGCTCCTATTGTTATCATTGCTGCTTGAACGACGCCCCCCATAATCAGACCCTACTTGAACCTTATAATCATGATGACTCTGTGTTTCATCAGCACCATCGAGAGCAGTGCCCGCTTGAGCTTCAGCTTCTTCTTGACGGGCCCGTCGAATTTCTCCCAAAAGTTCTGCCTTGTACCGATCATCCGAATAATGAGATTCGGCAACAGTGATGTTATCAGATTGATACAGCTGAGGACTTCCCTTGATACGTGCACTACTGTTGTTGGAGTCCGGAGTCACCATCCCTGTATCAAAGTTCTGAGCCGCTCCAATGGAATAAGGATGATGGTTGCTAGATCCTCCCCCAGCTCCTGATGAGGGGACTTGATCAAGCACCGAAGATGAGGGCGCGGTCGTGCTCCCTAAAGTGGCTTTCGCAGTGGTCGTAGATGAAGGAGCTGTAGTGGTAATAGTAGTATGAGATACTGGTAGAGGATAGGTGGCACTGTGACGAGGCGGTGGCGGATAAATATCAACTGTCGATCCCGATACAGGAGGAGGTCCTGAAGTAGGATTTTCTGGATGATGTTGTTGCTGTTTAAGCATCCTTTCATGTTTTTGTCTCTGAAGAGCCTCAGCCATGTTCTGATGGTAGAGCTGCTGTTCTCTTAGTTGTTTTGCATATTCCAAATGTGCCAAAGCCTTCTGTGATGCCAAGTCCTCCTCATGCGTTGGCTCTGCGTGGTTATTGCTAGTGTTATTAATGTTAGGCTGATTATGCCCATGGTCTATTAGAGTCTGGCTTCCCCCATACTGCGCGCCAGGTGCCCTAGCTCCTGGTGTCTCGACGTAGTTAGAGGGCTCTTCAGTATACTCGCCTCCTGTTATGGGCACCGCCGCGGAACTTTGGTTTTGATAGCTGATGCCTGTGGTTGGGATCATCTCGTACGATGGCCGGTGCTGTCTCTCTAATGCGTAGTTACTGTTGTAATATGCCTCATTATCAATAACTGCCTGTGATTGCTGCGCTTGGGACTGAATCTGCTGCTGTTAGAAAGAAAAAAAAAGAGAGGGAGAGCACTCTTTTTAGACTTAACGAAGCAAAAGAAAGTGGGTTCGGGTGATAAATGCATCTTCGCATCTAGCGTTTATGTAGTGAAGCTTGCGACTTACATAAGGATGATTTAAATAACCTGACGAGTTTTGATGTTGCATTTGGTGGTTGTAATAGGGCTGTTGGTTATTAACAGGATTAACGCGTGGGGTTTGATAGTGATGTTGCTGATATGGTTGGTAAGGATGTGTGGGCCTTGGTTGGGGTTGTTGCTGTACAGGCTGTATAGGTCGATGTATTTGCTGCTGTTGTTGCATTTGCTGCTGCTGACGCTGCTGAGCACGCCTTCTTTCAGCCTCTGCAATTACAGCAGCAGCCTCTTCCCGCTCTCGCTGAGCAGCATCTTCTTTGGCCAACGTTGAGGCCATGGTCGTGGGTGAGCTCGTGATCATTTCCTCTGTCAGATCCTTAAATTCTAAGGGTCGACTACGGAAGAGCACGACCCAAAGGATGGTCGTTGCAAAGAACAAGACGCCACAGGCAGCACAGCCTAGCAACTGACTCTGCCATAGACGACAGTGGATCATGCTGTCATACGAACTTGTTGAACAAAGAAACTCATTGGGTTCTTCATTGGCGAAAGTCTGATAGAACTGCCAGGCTGCAGCAAAGAGATACAGACCTGAGAACAGACCGGTGAGCACACACTCCTGGACTGTTGGCCTTCCATTTTCGTAGAGCCTGGACTGAGAGATCCAAAGGAGAGATTGCAATGCACCCGCGCAACCTAATCATGCAAAGCGTCGTAAAAAAAAAAAAAAAAAAAAAAAGAGGTCGTGCGTTAAAACGGAAAGATCGGGTTTCAGAAGGATAGATAATCTATAATTACTACATTCACGCGCGAGCCTGTAAGGGGAATGACCCAAAGCGGTCGAGACCTTGTTTTTGTTGGTTTTTTTTTTTCTACTTTTCCTTAGGAGAGGGAGTGCTTAATGAATTTTTTTTGCTTTTTTATATTAATCAGCTTTGTCTTATACACTCCAAAAGAAGGAAAGAGAAAAAGGAAGGGCAAAAGAGAAAGTGAGGCATTCACTCTGTAGCAAGGTGTGACAGAGCAGGAAGGCTGATTTTGTGTCCGTTACTTTCTCTGGCCTTTTGGAATATTTGATGTCAAGAACGGATTGTGTTCCATTCCAATCATGCTCAAAAATAACAAACAAATAAACACTGTAACCGTTTTGGATACAGTTTCAACCCTTTTTATAAATGTGTCCATGTGTATCATGTCTTTGCCCGAAACAAGGAAAAATACTTTTTGGAGTATGAAGTGGCGAGGAAATCATCATTCCTTAATCTGGTCTATCCAGGGGTTGTTTTGTAGTTTTAAACATTTGGAGGCAAAATATTAATAAACAATTGTTGACTTACTGACGCTTAAGAGATAATACGTTAGCCAACTATAATCATAGTTACTGCCTTCGTCCTTTCTGACCCTGGTAGTAATGACTGTTCGTGCCCAGGAATAGATCGAGTCAAGGAAAATAAAAGTTAGATTTAAAAAAAAAAAAAAAAAAAAAGGACTTCCCATATTGTATTAACACAAAAACAAACAAACAAAAGTCTTACTCAGTTCAGCAACTAGACAAGCACAAGTCTTTTGTTAGGGGGGAACATGAAGTTGGAAAAGAGTAGCATGAATAAAAAGGGGGCAAGACACGACAAGTATCAACAAGTGGTAAAAAATAAAAAAAAATAAAAAAATAAAAAAAGACGTTGAGGTGGTTAGGTGTGAATTGAATAGCCTAGGTCATTCTATTTTCCAAGTGCCATGAGAATGAATGAAATAAAGTACCCCAGCTGCAAAGATGAACAGGATCAAATGGATCAATCTGGCTGTAATTCTGCTGAACATTGTGAAAACGGACGTGGACAGCTGAAAAACGTCCTTTCGCAGTGGCGGGTAGAATTAAATGTATTTGTGTAAAGTACGGGTATTATGTAAAAAAGAAAAAGAAAAAGAAAAAGAAAAAATTAAGGGAAAATAACTGTGTCAAATATCCAGTGATCAAAAGTGTGAATGAGTGTGAATGAGTGTGAATGAGTGTGAATGAGTGTGAATGAGTGTGAATGAGAGGAGTGGGGATGAGGATGAGGATGAGTGGGAATGAGCGAGGGTGTGAATGAATGAGAGTTGGAGTGGAGTTGAGAAGGGATGCCCAAACTAAAGAGACAAAAGACAGAAAAGAGGCGGAATGAAGAAACAAATGGCGATGAGGCAAGACAAAGCATGAGCATGAAAAATAAGTTTAATGTCGGGTTTTGAGAATTTTTTTATTTTCCCCTGACTTGCCTGACTTGCCTGACTTGTCTGACTTGCCTGCCTTGACTTGTCTGATTTGCTGACTTGGTGTGCCTGGGCTTGAGCTTAAAAGAGTTTAGAAGGGGGGAGAACCAAATACACACACAGACATGCAGGACACTTTTATTCAATTAAAGCTTCCCTGCAAGCCCAACATCTCATCTATTCTCACAATACTTCCCTCCATTCTTTGCATCGCTTCGATCAGCTTTACCAGGATAGCATTACATTCAAACTCTCATTCACCCAGACATAATTTTCGCAGCTCCGATGCCAACAACAAGTGCAGGGATCCCATCTTTCTCTGTTCACACAAATGATAGGAGGGACCTTCTGCTCATTCAATCAGCCATTCACCTGAGGCATACAATTTACATTGTTGCTTCGGACTTTTTGAATGCAACAAAGAAACCCCTGACCATGCTCTGTCTGTGCCCTTTTTGCTTTTCGCTCATAAATTGCAATAACATTCATGTCTATATCTCTTTCTATACATCATTATCACCATCATTATTATTATTATCACTATCATTATCATCATCATTATTATCCTTCGCTAGAGATTTCTGTGAGCCTTTTCCATTTCACCAAAACTTTTTTTTTTTTTTTTTTCTTTTTTATCTCACCATTTGTCAGTTACGAAAAATAAGCCATATCAATGCTTACCGTTAACGCGTCTTTTCATATCCTTGAGCGGAAGATCGTCAAGTAAGCCATTGGTATAGCCCGTTTCATTTGGTCATGATACCTTATATTTTTTGAATACTTTCGAGTGTATTGGCAGCCAATTGGCTCGCTTGTTGCGAGTATTGTTGCAAGTCCGTCACGTAGTGAAATGCCACCAGAACAATTCAATCATCGTTTTTACATTAAAAATATAAAGTATCATGACCAAATGAAATTGGCGATACAACCTCGCATTTATTATTCCACTTGCAGGCTAGGCTCTTGCAGCAGACAAAGCAGTTGGCACATCCTTAAAGTTGATATTAGGAGACATCGTGCAGACATTCATCGCTTTATCAAGAATTGTCCATACTCTTGTACACAGCGTTTTATTGTAAACCATATTAAGGCGGTTTGACATCAAAGCATCCCATCGTCACAGTATACGGATTGGTAGCAAAGGCCTAAGCGCGGCGTTCAGCTTTTGCCATGGCTTTCTTCGAAGCGTTCTTACACGTGTCACCTTTGGTCCCGTGACATAGATCCCAAATGCTACAGCCTAGTCCAACCATGAAGAGAATATCATTCTAGGGCCGGATGCCGGCCATAGATTTTAACAGTTTATGTAGTGTGACTCTTGGATCGGGCCCTGGTTTGCCCACAAGGCTGGCTCTAAACCTAAGTAGCATTGTTGAAAGCGAAAGGACGCCGTCCTTACTCATTTACTCGACTTTGTATTCAGACTTCTTCACCTCCTTAATGAGATAGCATTTTACTATCAAGGCGGTGCACTAAAAGACGCAAGTTGGCTCATTGTCGCCAAGGAAAATACTCCACAACTCACTAAAGCGCCTACTTTCATCCTTAAATACAATCGAATATGTACCCCTCCTGCTAAGGCACAGCAGACTGCATAGGCTGTAATAGGTCCTGATTGTTTTAGCATTGCAGACCTACATATTCTAAAAGTCCTCGTTGAAATACTGTTTAATGTAAGGTTGGATAAGCAAGTATCGAGAAAAGTGTATATTACATCAGAAGCCGGTCTAAAATGGGGTCGCATCTTACATTAAAAGTCGCCTCCGTTGTGATAATATGCTTTTTCTCTTCACATTAGTCAATTTTGGAAGCTTGTACCTACATCTTTCAAATAGCTTACATTCATAATTGGCAAATCACTACAGCCAAAATTTTCAGAGTTGTAAGCTTCTCTTCTATCAGCCTGAATAGATTCAGGTAAATAATACTCTATACCTTGTTATTTTTATTAGTCGCACAGCGTGCCTGACCATTTTGATTTTTTTTTTTTTTTTTTTTTTTTCCCTTTATATACACCATCGTTTGGTGGCGTAGCGAGAGCTCATTGATAAGGGATAGATGCAGATTGCATATTGATATGCGATTCAGTTCATTTGGAGAAAAGACATCCTTCAAAGTATGCGCTTTGGTCTCTTCATTGTATTCTCATTTCCCTTGTCCACCCTCCTTGTTCGTGTATAAAAAGGGACCTTTTTCTTTTTTCTTTCTCTTCTTTCTTTTAATATATACACTCAGCTTTCCTTTTTCACTCATCACTCTCCACTCTCCACTCAGTTTTTGCAACTTTTCTTTTACCCTACTTCTTCATATCAAGTAAAATCACAATATGTCTGGCGTCGTTCACCTTGTCAAGACCAACCCTGCTTTGGCTCCTCTCTTCCTCTTTGGCGGTTCTGGTATCGTTGCTGGCGTTGCGTAAGTTACAAAAAATGCAAATTCTCTTTTTCTCTTCCTCTCTCTCTCCAAGTCATTCTCTTCCACATCCTTAAGTGCTTTGATCATGAACCACAAGTCTTACCATCCTTCTTTTTCTTTTATATAGCTATATCGGCCATTGTTTGAAAAACGGACCCGACGTAATCATCAACAAGTCTGCTCCTCAAAAGCCATGGCAACGTATTCAACCTCATGAGAACGCCAAGGTAAAGACTCGATAGGAATCAAAAAGGACCTTTTCCTTTCCTGAATCATTCAGAAGCGCAGTGCCCCCCCCCCCCCCTTTTTTTTTTTTCTTTCTTGTTCCTCCCAGCTTACATCCTCCTTGTCTTTCTTTATTCTTTAGTTGTGGTCTCCCAACACTGAGTTCTGGCAACAGCGCAAGGAACGTGCCGAACAAGCCAAGACGGCGTAAAGAAAAAAAGAAAAGAAAAGAAAAAAGAAAATCAAACAACAAAAATACTGGATATTCTTGTTTGTCCCTTTCTCCAAAGCTCTTCTGAGGAATTCCACTTACCTCTTTCTCATTCTCTTCCTCTCCACTCTAAGAAAAAAAAAAGTTTTTACAAACACATTCGTACATACAAAATAAATCTTTTTTTTTTTTTTTTTTTTTCCTCGTCAGTTCCGAGAACTAGGAATAAGTAAAAACAAAGGAAATAAAGAAAAGTAATCATCTTGTAAAATAAGAATGTATGCGCCGTGCAATAGGTTAAAGAATATGATGCTGAATATGCTGTGCAAATGTGTATGTTGGATACTCCGACCTTCATTTGTTGTCGGACTTTGGAGTAAGAGTGAGTAAATGACAGTTCTTAGTTCTTTCTCCACAAAAAAATCTTGAATCAGTTTTTGACTCCAATAACAATCCAAAGTGGAGGGGCTCTTTGGGAGAAGAAGAGGGGGGTTGGAAAAGAGTTTGACCATTTTCTTCCCGTCATGCGTATGTGCTACTACACGCCTCTTTCTTTCTCTTTTTTGGTTGCATTAACCAATCATATCATTGTACCTGTCATCCTCTGGGCTCCTCCACCCACTTTTTTTCTTTTTTGTAAAAAAAAAAAAAAAAAAAAAAACTGGAGAACCGAGCGCTCTAGTAAGGCTAACAAGAGTAAAGAGTACACATGATCTATATCATTCATGTATACACATATTAATATATAGACATGTCTTATTCATTCTGTAACGACCATTAGCCTGAATCTAGTGCATTTTTTTGAGATTACATCCAAAAGTTTATAAACAAAAAACAAAATATATAAATATGGGGCTATTCTTTCCTTTAGATGACATCGCACAACTTCCAACCACTGACACTGTCAGGATCTGGTAACAATTGAGTGGTACTCCAATAGATAGGATCTAGTTTCATGGCAATCACAGATACCGTGCCATTGCGCGCCTGGATCTTGATACGCACATAACCCTGAGATTGTGCTGCATCGTCCCCTTGTACCATTGTAGGAGACGGTTCTTCCGCCTCATCCTCATCCAACAAATGAGCCTCTCCAAAGCTGCCTGATGAGCCTCCAAGGTCCATTGGATGTATTCCATCAGGGTTAGAAGAGCCCAACTCAGAGTTCAGAATACCGAGGCCAAGACCATTGAGGGCAGCAGTTACACCAGTAACGGAAGGCGGAGCAGGAGCGTTACCGCCAAGGACATTTGTAGCTGAATGACCCTGAGTGCCTTCGGAATGAGTAGATAGAGGATGTTGCTGCGTCATCTTCTTGAGGTTTAATGACAAACGCTTGAGCCCAACTTCACAGACACTACCCTGTCGAGATCGAACAACCTTTTTCTCATGATGATGAACCGCATCCAAAAACTCATCCAGATTTGCAACAGGCATGCCATCCACCTCTGTAATCCAAACCCCTGGCCGCAGGGCCGTCGACGCTGGAGAACCATAAAGTGTGCAGGACACATACACACCCGTGGGAGCGTTTGACACTTGCTCAAGGACTGCCTTATAGGGCATCTGAATCAATGCACCAGCCCAAGAAATGATACGATTCGTGTCTGTGCCCATCAACGGGACCGTTGGAACTGTTAAATTGAGCACCTTGCCTTCACGGAGCACAGTCTAGGTTGATTATAAGAAAGGATGAGTGGTTAATTGCAATGAAGAAAAAAAAAAAAAAAAAAAAAAAAAAAAAGGAATAAACGATAAGCACCCTTGCATAAGTGCAGTTTATTACCATCTGAACAGAGTCCACGTTTCGAGCGCGCTCCAGATCCTTCATACCAGTTGCAACTTTGCCCCCGAGTTCCAGGACAATGTCTCCAACCTTCAACATCTGGCTGCAGGGTGTACTTGTGTCCAGCAGGCTCAACACATAAAGCAATGAGTGCTTCGAGTTCGGATCGCTCTCAATTCTCTGAACCCATGCATCTGTGAGTCCCAGGGAACGGGCTGCTGCAATACGCATCGTCCAGAACTCAACATCCAAAGCTCGCAACTTTGGATATTCGCCTCTCATAAAAGGTTCAATCACTGTCTTAACACTTGCAATGTCCAAGCCAGACATGAATGTGATATCGTTTCCTTTGTCATCTTGAGACGAATAATTCACCCATAGAGCCTGGACTTTACCCTCATTGTTACAGAGGACACCTCCCTGAGTACCGATAGGGTCATCAATCTTGATACCCTCGACGTTCATAGCACGCCAACGAGGCGGTGAGCATTCGCGCGTACCAATGTTTCCGACGTTCGAGACCGTAGTCTTCTTGATAACTGGTGACTGATCGGTGCCAACTCCGACTAGATAGCATTCATCACCCTGCATCAGAGGCTTATCACTGAATGTCGCAGGTCGCACAGGGGTATCTGCCAGCAACGCTGCATCATAGGTCAAGACCACAAAGTTGTAATGTGGGTGCAAATAAACCAGGCGACCTGGGATAATCACACTGTTGGCAAATGTAATAAAGATATCGCCAATTGAGATAGGGATCGTGTCACGGTCACAGACCACCAAAGGTGGATTTGTAGAAACAACCAAACCAGTACCATAGAACTGAGTCGCTTTCATGCCGTCGACCAAGAAGGGAAGATGGAAATCAATGGCGACAAAGGATGGCATCAAGACTGGTGCAGGATGCAGTGCAGGGTTAATAGTAGGATAAATGGCTGTTGCTGGAGCATATGGTGGAGATGGCGGGGGAGGAGGCAAATCCGTAAAGTCCCAGAGACCAGTCTTGTCTAAATTAGACGAAACAGAACTAAATGTGAGCCCTCGGATCAATTAAGTTTGAGGATGATAAATTGAATGATTCAAAATTAGGAGAAAATCACTCACCATTACGCACAGCAACGCGACACTTGTGCCAGTGACGATCCACATGCATAATCATGATCTTCTCTTTGAAGGCCTTTTGCAAAGTATAGAATCGAATCGGGACACGAGCACCATCAGGCAAAGTTGAAATAGCATGAATAAATGCATCCAGATTAGGCGTTGGGATGTTGTTGACTGCAACAATAACACTCTTACGCCATGCGCTGGCAGAAGCCAACATATGACCCGAAGTCGCCACGTAAACTCCTCCACATGGCTGACCATATGAATGAGCTAGCTGATAAGATAATTCGTTCACAACACCACCTCCGACCTCCACGAAACGATCAGGCGTGATCGAATGCAAATCCTGAACTGTTAAGGTGAAAGTCAGCAGCTGAGAGTTGGATCCACGCACAACAGTGAGTGTGATCTTTTGACCCACAGAGTCATCAATCACGGAGAAGAGTTGAATAAAGTTGGCAATAGGCTCATCATTGCATTTAATCACAATGTCTCCAGGGATGAGATGATCTGCCGCAGGACCTTTGGGTAACACGGTCTTGACGACCAACATTCCAGTCTCGTTAGGGAAGTGCTGTCGGATCTGTTTTTCCATTGAAATCTTGAGACCCAGGCGCCGCAGCTCATCATATGGGAAATACTCAAAATCTGTCTGTAAAGTACCACGAGGTACTTGCTGTCCTTCCTGAATGAACTTGAGTGCACGCTTGACTCTGTCCAAAGGCAAGTAATAAGAAGCTGAAGCTTTGCTGGCACCTCCAGCATTTAATGCCACAGCATGGCCTTCAATGTCAAGGACAGGACTTCCTGAGGACCCACCACTGGTTGAAGAAGCAGCCTGAAGATAAAATGTGTTGAAATCATTGTATTCTCCTTGACCATAATCAGGTGCTGGTCGATCCAGACGAGCCAGAGTTCCTGCTAAAATGGAAAGCTTTTCACCAGCATCATTCCCCACCACACGGATTTCCAGGCCAACACGGGCACGCTCGGGGCTGAGCGGAATTTCTTCTAGCTGCATGAATCGGACTTTGGTAATATCAAACTGCATAAAACCAAAATCATGGACGGGATCGCGGTAGATCGGTTTGAGTTCAACTTCCTCATAATTGGATAGGATAGCGAGAGCAAGGATAGGAGCGGGTGAAACCACATGGCGGTTGGTGAGGATAATGCCGCGCTTTGCATCAACGAGGAACCCCGTAGCGGAATAGGCGCCTAATTAGTTTTTTGTAGTCATCATATTGTACATTGTACCCGCAAGAGGAGCCAGATGAAGCGTAGGTTAGTAAGAATGCATCTCACAAGCAAAAAAAGGAAGTAAGCCCAGAATGAAGGTAAGACAGTGTCATCAATGTGATGCGATTCAAAGGAGGAAAGCTATTTTAGACACCAAAAATTGAGTGATGAACCAAAAGCCCGATATCATCATCAGCTCAGAAGTGGAGTACATGCAGACTGTACGTGCATATCCTTTCATGATGCGGGTTGTTATCCCAATATAGTTCGGTGCTAAATTTTTGTACTGTAAATTTTTTTTTTTTGCATTGACCCAACCAATCGCACTAGAAGCTTGGCTTGGGAATAGATAAAAAAAAAAAAAAAAGGTGAGAAAGTGATAGACGTTACCAGATGTTTCCGTATCAAAACTCCTGACATGATTAGCAGTAATCGACACAATCGAACGAATCGAACGCTCCAGCGTTGATTCCCATGTCTGGAGTCTGGGCGTATCCATGGGACTGAGTCCAAGGGTGGGCGGTGGTGGACCCATCATTCCGGCCTTTATATCAATAGTGGTGTTTTTGCCTGTGTTATCCAAGACCAGTGCAGGTCCACCAACACTGCTACCACTGCTGCCTCCTCCGCCTCCCACGCCACTATTCAACAGCGATCCATGGTGGTGTAATCTATGCTGCTCTTCATCATCTGCATCGTCGCTTCCATCGTCATTTCCACCGCTTATTCTATTACCAGCGCTGCCTGATCCCGATCCTGTTCCTGCTCCTGGTGAAGCGGCCCATGACCCCTGTCGGTTGCTCTCATTCGTATTAAGAATGCCAAACATCTCTGAGGGATCGACAGCACGACCATTCATGGCCTGCGCCCATGAAAGACCAAAGGCTAGTGACTTGGATCGAAGCCTACCAGATCGACCACTGCCACCAGCTAATTTCTCAAGTGAGCTGATTTCCGGTGATGGACGGGTCTGCTCCTGGCAGGCAAAAAATTCAAGTGCCTCTTTGTCTGCATTGAGACAGTTGAGAGATTCACGGCGCGCTCGGTTCATGGTTAAAGAATATGAGGGGAAAAAACTGTCAAAGAGAAAAACTGTACAGTAAATGATATGATTGGAAAATATAGGTTATTTGTCATCAACCACACATGGAGAGGATGAGAGAAAGAGATGATCTTTGTTGCCTTTGTAAAGGTACAAACACAACCAAGAGAGGTGTTGAGGTGTTACAAAGAAATTGAAAAAAAGATCCAAATTTCGAGTTGATATTGAACTAGTAATTGTAAGGTAGAGAAATGAATGGAGTATATAAGAAAGGGATGAAGAACGAAAGATGATAAAAAAGAGAATAATAAATATGTCAGAAAAAGAAAAAAAAAAGTCTGCCAGCTTCGTTTGGTTAGCACGAGAGCATGAGAGTAGTTTGAAGTCTGGGCCATGCATTTTAAATCAAAACAGCTTAGTGGTTCTGTTGCAAAATTACGAAATGACAACCATTTCAATTAAATCAATCCATCTTCTTGTTTCTCTGCCTCGCCTCCCTGTCTCTTACCTCCCTAATTTTGTTTACCTGTTTACTTGATTACCTGTTCTGCCCGTCTACCAACCTTTTTCTCTATCTGTCGACCTGTCTATGATTAGCAAGATATCCGAACAGTGGACTGAGTAAGTAACAAAGAAGGCACCTATTGCTTCGCCAGATAACGCATTGATCGTTACGCGAAAGAAAAAAGAAATAAAAAATAAAAAATAAGGTTACCCTCTTTATCTCTCCTCCCACAGCTTGTCTTGTGAAATGTGCATGTACTGTGCAATTCCAAAAAACCAAAGCTCACATGCATCAATGATGGACTTTTCTTCTTTTGTCTCCACACAAACATGTACATGTATATAAACGTTTTAAATATATATATATCTTGATTTGCCTTCGACCTCTCTTTCATGAACTGAAAATATATATATATATATATATATATTTTTTTTTTTTTTTTTTTTTTTTTTTGGTTTATTTTCAATGTTTAATTTAAGCAACATCTGCATCGGAATCCGAGTTATCATCATCGCCCGATACTTCCGCATTTTCTTTATCAATTCTCGCCAACAACTGATCGAGTTCCATATCATCTGCCTCAGTGACGGCCTTGGGCTATATAGATATATATATATATAAAGACAGCAAAAAGATGATCCATTAGAATTTTTTTTTTTTTGTGGAAAGTAGAAGGATAGAAAAAAAAACCTACACTCATCTTCGTGACCATGTTGCCGTTGGCCTTCTTGATGCTTTCTTCCAAAACTGCGATAGCCTTCTCCATTGTATCAATGCCAAGCTGCTTGTCTAACGCGTTGGTGATCATGACATACAAAGGTGGCGCCACCAACTTGACGCGGATCGGTACATCGGCCAATGAGACAGCCTCAGCTTCCTTGAATGCAGTTTTGATTGCATCAATACCCTCATAGTCAAAGCAGGTCACCTCAATATCTGCGCGGATTTTGATCGGCTGTGGAGTCAAACGACGTTTAATGTTGTTCAAAAGCTCCTCCTTTGTGCTCTCAGCGATCTCCAATCCTTCAAAGACCTTCTCTGGCTCGCTACATAAACAAGATCAACAGCAATATTAGCAAAGGGTAAATGAACGGAGTAATTTTATAACCCACATATGTCATCCTATGTATATAAACGCTGATCTCGAAATAGAATAAATAAAGAAAAAAGTAGTGTTTGGATCTACTTACTTAAGGGCAACCTTGAAGGCATCGTAGGCATGACCATACTTGGCATAGAGAGGCCAAGCTAATTGTTCGTACAGAGCCTCCAGGTCCTTGTTTTCTTTTTTAGCAACGGTTGACATAATAGAGTGCACAGCCTTAGATTTGTTATAACGTTCCTCGCACTTAATGATATCCGTGGCTGAAACACGACGCTTGGAAAGATCAATATAGCCTAGAGTGAGCAAGGTTATAAGTTTTATGAGGCGCTAATTTCTTAATTCCTGCTCTGCTCCCATGTCTTTAACTCCCGCTGGGTATTTCAATTCTCGGTGCAATTTCTGGCTGCTAAAGTATGTAATGAGATGCGATCCTGAACCTCGGGCACGTCCAATACTATCTTTTTTTTTTTTAAGTATATATCATCCATCCTGCGGTTGAGAGGTTATTTTTCTTTGTCTCAATTCTTGCTTATGATTCTGTAAAACTCCAACAAATAATTACAGTTTTCAAGGAAATATACGCCTAGCCTAAATACACTCACTTATATCCCAATATCTCAAGCAAAATAACAACCAACCACAATTATTTATTACCTTTCTCTTTGTCAACTCTGAGGACGACAACAACCTCGTTCTTGCCAACACGGATAAGTTTCTGGATCGAGCGAATACGACGTCTGGACAACTCGCTCAGGAGAATCATTCCCTCAATATTGTCATACTCGAGAAGTTGGACATAAGCACCCATCTCAGCAATCTGACGAACGTTAACCATAACCAAGTCATCCACTTTTTTTTAGAGAGAGAGAAATGAAGATTCAGTTTCTTGTTTAGTTACAAACACGCAATTCTTTATTCTTCCCTATGCTCTTGGCCAATTGATCATTGTGATCATTGATCATACGAACGAGGACAAATGAGCTCAAGTGTCTCATAACTTGCATTTGTCGTACCTTCGGGAAACTTGTTGGCGTACATGCGGCATTGCAATCTTCCAGCCATGATGGGCGATGTATTTAAGCACTCGAAAGACTAAAGAAAGAGATATAAAAACTTCTTGATGCTAGTTTATTTAAAATGCCTCAGGAACCTCTATTAGAAATAGTTATCACGTGATTTATAATCCATAAGAGGCGCTTCTTCCTCTGGTTCCCCTTCCCCTTCCTCTTCCCCCTCCTCCTCTTCCCCTTCCTCTTCCCCTTCCTCTTCCTCTCACTGCTTTTGAGTCCGCCAAGTCGCTTCCGCCAGGTTGGTCTCTTCCGCTTTGTAACTTCGCTATTTTTGTGCGATAGGGAATAAAATCATCATCATCATTACCACCATCGTGATCGCCACGGCTCTGATATTCAGTACCATCCTCGCTCTTTCCTTCTACTTGTTGGACTGGCGCCTCGGTGGTTGCTCCCGCATGGTTTCTGCTTTGATCCAAGAAGCTGCTTTTACGTGTAATTCCTTGCAACGCGACTTCTTTACTTTCTTCGACATTCTATCGGATGGAACGCTCAAAATGGTCGGAACAATAGCCTCCGAAAAACTCTCACAATAGACCTTGTGTCCCACTTAGCCTTACGGGCATCCTTACCTTACGCTTTTTACTAGATTTGTCCTCAAGTATAGCCTCTGTAGCTTCATGCCCAGGCTTCACAGTATGATGATACTGGTCCTCGGTAGTTTGAGGCTAATAAATTTGTGATGAGACAATATGGACAAAGCTGTTTGATTAAAGCTAAAGCTTAGTATGACCAGGATATACAGTGGTACACATCTCTTACTTATCACGTACTGTCGACGTTATGGATTGGTCCATCGGCCATTGCAAAGATCCAGTGCAAAAGCCTGATCCTAAGTGTCCGCTGTGAGCCTGTGCAACACTACTAAACAATTCTGATCCGTCCAGAACTGGATGCGCCCCTGTATCTCCCCGACGAGTTGACCTGCTGAAAGCATTTTGCATCTGTTGGATTTCTTTCTCCAAGGTGCTAATTCGTTTTTGTTTTTCTTGATTGTCTTTCATCATCTGTTGGTGCTGTTCCAGGTGCTCTGCTTCTATTATTTCAATCTTGGAATTAGATATGATCAACTCCATCTCCTACACAAACATTAAGGAAGAAGCATTGATCCTAGATTAGTATCAAGTTAGCCTTTTTCCCGTCCTTGTAAACTGCTTTGGTTCTGAATTTCCTACTTTGCTTGCGAGTTGCTCAACTGCTCCGCGATGTTCATCGATCTAAGCAACGAGCAATATAAATTGGTTAGCGTTTCGGATATCTCTATCTTAACGGGCTTCAAGAGGGCTGCTGCAATCTGCAATCACTAACAAACTTTTCGCGCTCATCCATAATGTCCTTTAGCTTCTTCTCGAGATCCTGGATTGTAGTAAAGATATGGAAATGATTACAGTAAGTATCTGACCCAAAACTAATCTCATGATCATATGGAGAACATTCTATACCTCTATCTTATCATTGTTGGCAGTTGCTTCATTTTTGTGCGTTGTCTCGAGTTTTTCAGTATGCTCATGAACTAGCAAACCAATCCTCATAGCATTCTAGGTGTTTACTTGAGTAAAGACTCGCTCTTGCAAAAAAAAAAAAAAAAAAAAAAAAAGATGGCAATTAGCTGGCTCCAGCTTTTGTTGATAGTTACCTCACGCTTAAGCTCTTCATTCTCTTGCTCCATAATTGACAGTTTTTGGCAAAGAAGATCGTTATTTGCTTTTTGATCCTCGATGCGCTGTTGCAGACTTTCAAACTGTTTCTGCGTGGCGAGTTTGGACTCCATACTCCCCTAAGTATTTGTTTACAAAGTGTTCACAGATTTAGCATATGCTTACGGCTTTAGTTCATGCTCCTGCAATGTTTCTATTCAGTAGGAAGTACGTTGATCTGCTCCGAAAGCGCAGCATTAGTTTGCGCCAAGGCTTGTAACTCGGATTTCTGGGATGCTATTGTTTTTGCTTGCTCATCTGTAATTGTTCTTGTATTATCAATGATATCCTGAAGTTGCCTCGCCCATGAATGTAAGTCAATAATAGTGTCGTCACTCGTGCCCACACTTGTTGATTTAGTTATTGTGCTTTTAACGATTTGTTTAAAGATAATTAGTTTCAAATGCGTACTGTATCAGTCACACGAGAAAGCTGCCAAATTTACCATATCATCCACTACGTTCACAGAGGACCTACCACTTCTTAATATCAGCATTAAATAGCCTTTCCTTTGTGAGCTCATGATTGGCCTGTGCCAGCTCATTATGGGCGCTCATGAGCCTACCAGTATTTCATTGATATATCAACTTTCACTTTCACATGAAGCCTCATTAAGAGCAGCAAAAATAACAGGTTACAACACATATATATACCAAGTTTTCCATCTTTCAAGTTCGGAGTCTGCTAATTCACGCTCATCGGCCCTGGAATGCGCGTATAATTGGACTAGGTCCGTTTTGGACTTCAGTGCCTCCTCCAGCTCACGTATTAGACACGTCTTTTGATCGATATCTGTGGAAAGTTGTATACAAGTTGTTCTCTGAGACGCAACCTCGCCGCTCAATTGCTGTATAATGAGCTCGTGGTCTTTGCACCTAATTAGGGCCAATAAAATATGGAATGGCTGTCAAAGATGAAAAAATACTGACATGGTCAGTCTGTTTTTAAGCAATAGTGTTACCTGTGAATATATATATCAATCTCCTCAGACTTCTTCGTGACAAGCTCTTGGCTTTGAAAGTAACGAGATTCCAGCTGCTGTACCTTGGATATCAACTCTTGTCTCACTGTTATGTGGTTGGTTTGAATGCCTGCAAGTAGCTGAGAAAGGTTATTACAATCCTGCGAAAGACGGGCTATGTCAAGCCGTTTTTATTAGCAGCTTCTAAAAGTCAATTTCAATGCGAAAACTATGGTATCTATGCATTTGGTTAATCCTCAGGATTCAAGGACTTACTTCGATCCGTGCTCATCTCCTGAAGAGTTCCTTGAAGGCTGCAGATATTGTTTTGGACTCCCTTGACTTGATCCGCCGTCTCTGTAAGAAGCTGGAATAACTCTGCACATTGACTTTTGATAGAGTTGACACGCTCAAGCACCCGCCCTTTCATTTCGCTCTGAGCAGTGATTAAACGCTGATGATCTGGCCAATATCAATTATTACAGTTTGAGCGCGCAGCAACCACATTTAGTAAGTCTACCATAATATAATGCTATGGTAAAAATACCAAAGTATGAAAACAAGGACTTGAACACAAGATTTACCATGTTGTAAGTTCATGAAGCGATCAGATGTCTGCTTCAAGCTTGCTTGGGTCATCTCCAACTTACAATTCTAGGATACAGATGTACCGTACCTATGGTATCATTTATTGTGGATAATGATACACGTACACTTTAAAAAAGAAAGAAAACTTACTGCTTCCAAGAGGCGAATGTCTTTTACTCTCAATGCTGCTCCAATTAACTGAGCGGTATCTACATCTTGGGACGATAGGTGAGATAGGTCTTGATGTGCAAGGACATTATTTTGGAGATTGCTAAACCAAGATATAGGTTGCTGTTTTATGTCTTCATAGTTTTCAAACATTTTACTGTGGCTCTGAATAGGCTCATTGATTACTATGTGATCGCCTTGCTGGGGCCAATTTTGCTGATAATGCGTAGTGAAGACCTGAGGTCGAGGTTCGGAAGGTTCTTCAAATGCAAGCATACTTGGGGCTTCTTTTTGAGCGCTTTCTGGGATACTGGGTTTTACAGTTTGTTGTTCGAGTCGGCCTTGCTGCTTTTCAAGATAGTTTTGATTTGAATATTGTAACTTTGATAATTGCGCGATGTTGTTTTGGTGAGAAAGACTGCGCAAACTTTTGAATTGGGCCTGGCCCCATTACAAACGATCAGATAAAGCTTACTGCACCCTTCGGGCTCACGAGTGCATACCTCAGAATAAAAAGTCTTTCCATCTTGATCATTAGTATTCTTTGACTCTTTAGTCCCCTTAGCTGTCACTGTGCAGAGAGGGCTCTCTCCATGTGTCTTCGCTGGTGTCACAGAGCTACTAGATGGTTCTAAATGAGGTACCAATGGCCTAGTAGTTGGCGGTTGCACATCCGCAGCTAGATTTCGTGGCATAAATGCAGAGGGTGGACGACTTGCTGAGTCACTTTCCAATATTGCTGGAAGGACTATTGGCGGATTAAGCATAGGTGAGCTATGCCTGCTTCTTCTGGTCAAATCAGATAAGCTTTTGGGTCTGAATAGAGATCGACTTGGGGTTTTTGTCGGTTGAAATAGGAGCTTCGGCATGACCGAAGGGTCCGCAAGGGCCATACTCCTGTGCTCTACGGATGATAATATAGATGTCGGCGGCGCATCAGAGCCTTGGAGCAGCTTGTCATCTGTACCTATATTCTTGCTATAGCTGGTGTTATCCTGCGCATTAATCCGGTCCGCCATGATATTCGGATCCAAAGTTTTTGAGTTGCCTGTTTCTTCGTCTAAGAATGGACGAGCTAGCCGATGGTTCATCGGCGCTATAAAGAATGGTTTATTAGACGAACCAGATTGTGACGGAAGGTTGTCGTTTCGTGGACGAATACTCATGTCGGCTATTTTGAATGGTATTGAGCAAGATAGCCAGTCGATAATAAAATATAAAAAGCGTCGTAATTGAAAGGTAAAAAAAAAAAAAAAAGAGCATGATCACTCGTAGCAACGAGCAAACGAGCAGCAAAGTAAATCCCGGATTTCGTGTTCTCAGAGTCACAAGACCAGCTCAGGTCATTACTTTTTCGCACAAGCGATTCGTGTTTTTATTGTAATTGGGTTTTTGCATTTATTTTAGTTTTTTTCCTAAGCAAGTTTGTTGAAGTACTTTGGAGCAGCCTACAGGCAGTTACAAGGACAGAAGAAGAACATATGTCAACTAATTGCCATTATTTGACATGAAGGATTATAAGAAAGGGATGGTAGACACAAAAAGTACTATTAATGATACTTACACATTCATTGACGCAGTGCAAGAAATGATAGAGCTCTTCTATACAGTCCTCATGTGCGCCTTCTTCTTCGACACGGCGCGTGCACTCATCAAGGTGATGCTTCAATTTTGTACAAGCTGCAGTCTCGGCACAAGCTACAAAAAAAGGGTTTGTTTTAATAACAAGCAAATAGTGTTGAGGATATGTGACAGCAAATTTCTTTTTCCCATGACGCGACATCGTCACAATGGCTCTTCCAAAGGCATCTCTCAATTGAATTGTACACCCACCTTCCTCGATCTTGGGCTTGATATCTTCTGGCTCCTCTTCTTCCTCCGGTTCTGGAGGAGCTGGAGTACTCTCTTTTGAGCTGCTCTTGCTCTCTTTCTCGGGCTTTTCATCGCTTGCTTGCTTTACATTCTTATGTCCATCTCCCTCGTCTTCTTTATGGCTCTCTTTATGATCCTCTTTTTTCTCCTCCGCCTCGTCTTGCTGTTTCGCTTCTCTGTGATCTTGCTTATCTCCTTGCTTGTCATGCTTCTCCTCCTTGTGGTCATTATTCCCTTTATGCTTGTCATCTATCAAATCATGATCAGGAGCATGAGCCTCCTGAGCCTTCTTCTCCTCGGCATAGACCGCAGGGAACATATCAACGATAAAGCTAAGCATGTTAGAAGCTTGGGGAGATCTGTACGCAATGAAATAAATAAGAGAGAAGGAACGAAGAAAAAAAAAAAAAAAAAAAAAAAAAAAAAAATAGGAAGTGGTACTTTAAAGAAACAATGAGAAAAAGGAGAATGTGAATGTGAGAATTTAAAACAGATCGTTTTTTCGTTTTTTCCGAAAGACGTCATTGCAGCACATGCGATTAACACATTCCAATTATGACATTTCCCCATGAACGGGAATGGATTTTTTTATTAACATTAATGGCACTGCTGGCTAGAATATAAAAGGTCCACAGAAAGAACATGCTGTCAGAAGGATACTGTTGCCATCCTTGGCCTAGAACAACATGCACTTGTTCTTCTTTCGAACCACTTGAGGTTCTAAAGCCGCAACAATCGCCTCGTCGAAGACGTTTTTCAAGCCTCGCTGGGTCAAGGCGGAGCATTCGACATATTTGACGGCGTTCTGCTCGCGACACAGGCGCTCGCCACTCTCAGTGGAGATAGGCCTCTGCTTCTGGCGCGCCAATTTTTCCACAACTGTTGGATCATCACGTAGATCAACTTGCGTACCCACAATCAAGCAAGGAACACCAGGGCAATGGTGATGGACTTCAGGGAGCCACTTCTCTCTGACGTTCTCAAATGATGCTGGGGAAGTAACTGAAAAGCAAACAAGGAACACGTCTGTTTGAGGGTATGATAGAGGGCGCAGACGATCGTAATCCTCCTGACCTGAATCAGAGATGTCATCATACAAACAGAGGAAGTCAGCCAAGGTTCAGAAAACTAGGGGTTAAAAATTAAAAAGAGAACTATTCTATTTGCTAACACAGCCTTCAAGATGAGTTGGTGCTCCATAACTTACCAGCAGTATCGAACAGTCCAAGTGTATAAGGCTCATCACCAATCATAACAGTGACGGCGTAGTTATCAAACACCTAAGCACGTCAAAAAAAAAAAGTAAAATCTGGTCAATCAGTCGTGAGAGGATAACTTTATGGAGAGAAATAAGGGATGGAAGAATCATTTTCCAAAGAAAAAGCAATTATGACAGGTGAGCAAGCCGCCGTTGTCCCTGGACCCTAATTTGTGTCAACAGAGAAGCACGGAGAATCATAGAAATGAAGAGGCTTCCATATCGTAATACAACATATGCAACATGCACACATCTTGCCATCCCCTCAAACCCGATGAAAAAGGAGAAACAAAAAAAAAAAAAAAAAAAAAAAAAAAGAGCCACCCACAACTGTGAGTAAAGCTGCCGTAACTCCGATTTGCACAAGTTCAATACGAGCATCTTACAGTAGGAACATATTCAGAAGGGAACTTGTTAGTTGTATAAGAGATAAGAAGACAGGTCTATGAGAGGCAATAACGGCAAAGAACGCATAGGTAGCATAGGGTTAGTACATTGCTTTAGCCTTTAATTTAAAAGGATCCTGAAGAATTGTTTGCTTTTGAAATCCAGGACCATTCAAAGCGTGGGTCTGCTTGTCTGTCTAGAAGTCAAATGTGCCTGCCTGAATATCAGACAGCCTGATTAAATGTCATCTCCGTGTCAGCTATCGGTATTTGAACAAAAGAATTGACATCCTTGTGGTCGAACATGTTCGAACAATTATTTTTTGTCTCTGAGCTCAACAGAATGATCTTTTTTGAATCAACATGTTGCATGAATGTTGAAATGAGCCGCCTCCTAAACTGTAGTTATTGCTGGTAGAAAATAAAAATCCTTTGTCCTGCCTGTCTGAAAATCTTGGGAGCAATGCCGTCTATCTTTCAAGTAGGTCGTGGTGCTAATCGAACTTTTATATCAAACCGTAGCAACGACAACAGGAGACTTGGGCTATATTATTACCTTTCCGACAGCACCGTCTAAATAAAGAAAGAGACGAGGGATGTATGGGGAGAATAAGAAACGGAGACATCAGAGTAAAAAGTAGTTAGGAGACAAGGACTTCGCCCAGAAAAGCCATCCAAAAGGATTCCCATAGTGCATAGCTTAGTCAATAAACTAAAATAAGGGTAGCCACCGCTAGATGAACTGCTACTCTGGATAGGTGGATAGATGAAAGGGGACAAAGTGAATGCAGGGTGAAAAAGTGAGCAGTTATCCTTTGTTACTTGCCTCCAACAACGACGCACTTTATGGTTTGCATTGCAAGGAATAAGGAATTAAGTCGAGAGAAATAAGAGAAAACAATATGTGAAAAGAAAAGAAATAGAGAGTAGAGTAAGAGAGAAAAAGAGAGAGGGAGAGGGAAGAGAAAAGAGGAAGAGAATGTGAATGAATTTAATGAGACAAACAGCAAAGAAGGAAATGGAGGGAAAAGAAGAAAGGAAACATTCAAGCAGAAGAGGGATAGGTGATAGCACTTTTTTTTTTTTTTTTTTTTTTTTTTGGATGAAGGGGCCATGCCGCTTGGAAGGCCACGAGGCGTGTTTGCCCCTGAAGAGTACGTCAGTATAAGTATATCTGTATTGTGTTGTGACCAGTCCAAAAAAAAAAAAAAAAATAATCTTTTCTTTCTCATTACCTGTCACCATTACACGCAATACCAACTTTTCAATGCACAAACATATAATGGGACTTGACTGATTCTGGTCACTTATTAGGAATTACTAGCACAAGCTTAATGCCCACTCGCAACCCCGCCTCACCTCACGCCTTACAACAATCTAACTGCTGGCATTCTATGAATCGCTGTACTATCCTGCTTTTACACCATGGTACGACCATCCAATATACGACACCTAAACCAGACAGTCAGGAATAGGTTCCTGACTAAAGATTACTTAAAGGGATACATATGCGAGACAACAGTGCAAGAGCAACTGAGGCTCTAAACCCATTAAAAAAACTCTGGATCTGAATCGATCGTGTGTGTGCAAGCATCATTTCTAATTTATCAATAAATAAATCAATACTTCATTTCACTGGAGGGCAACATGTTTAAGTCTCTCTGGTTGTATAATGCGAACTCAAGGGAATAATGCAAACACGAGTGACGCAGGTGTTTCCGGGATTTGGATATATTTCACTACAAGAATATACAGCCATTTTAGCGACAAATACCTCAGAATTGATTTCTGGTGTATGAGATGGATTCTACGCCTCCCATATCCTCAACTTACAGATTCTTTTATCGTATCTAGCAATGAATTCAACAAGAGTGTGACGACACTCGGACCACCTCCGAACTTGAAAATGACCAGGTAACTAGCCTGTTGGGATCAGAAGATAATTTAACTTCAGGGGCTGTGGCTGACCATGGCACAAATGTCTATGGTATATGCAATTCGTCTGCAAAGTACAGATCAGGCGCTTCTACCATCCGTACTCGGGTTGTTCGACATAGGGGATATTAGTCCTAATGAAGATTGTACGTGGATATCTCTGCAACCAGGCCCATCCAAATGTCTGATGAACTGGACAGGGAAACGTTGACTTGGGTAGATGATTGCAAAGGTGACCAAAAATAAGAAGCGCCACTGCTGCTTACATAGAGCCATCATTATGCTACATCCCGGAAATGGCCGCTGAGCTTTATTGTGGATCTCTCCTCCCCACTTACTCAACTCAAGCTAAAGCTGAGCAAACTACTTCTCATAGTGTAGCCATGTATCCGCGTTCCTTGACATGAAGATTGAAGTTCAGATAGAGATGTCAGCACGCTTGTGTTGCGTGTTCGTGTGAAGACATGTCGGTGATATTACTGACGAACACGTGCTGACTTTGTATCTTGCATATTTGTGTGTAACCCCGTTGGCCCTAACTACAAGTCCATGATGCCTCGAGAAATATCATGGTACGTAATATCTACCCACGAAATGTATGTATTCATGTTGGGATGGATTCGCCATCTTAAATCTGTAGTATCTCTTACAATCAATGAAATACCAGCATCATTCCACTTGCCTTGATATTCATCCTCACAAAAAAAAAAAGAAAGAAAGCTGCACAAAGCTGGGTTCTCAGAATGATAAAAGTACAAATAAAAACCTTCACTTCATCCTTCCGAATTTGGTTTTCTCATAACAAATGAGAGTCAATGATTTGTATTCACTCTTTTATAATCGTGGACTGCCCTCATTAATCCCTTGGCAAAGGTCCTAGAGCACCCGCCTACCTACCTTGACACGCATTGGCACTTCCACAAGCATTTTATTAGCCTGTCTAGCTGTCTCAAAACTGAAGTGTACTACGGGCCTATCCAATGAAGAAGCGGTCCATATGCATGTATGATGCCAAAGCCAAATATTCCAAAGAGGAATAATGACAGTAGAGGTGTCAAGTTCAAAATCACTAATCCACCATACATCCATATGCTGAATCCTTTTTTTTTTTAAAAAAAAAAAAAAAAAAAAAATCGAGAACGGGCTCGGTAATGTCACCAAGAGTACAAGAGTACAAGAGTACAGTCAAACTGCTTTTCAAACGGAAGCCACTGTGGTATGGCATAACAGCCTCTTGAAGTCAAAGATGTACGCAGGATAAGTGTTTAATCTAAACAGGCGCTAGTGAACATATCATAGTCAAGATCTGATACCATGTTATTGTTGGTAAACCTACCAAAGCTCAAATGCGCTAGGGCAAGAAGGTCGATGAAGGAAGTGGCATATCATAAAATTCATGGCACAAGGCTTTCCGACCTCTCATCTGCAGTATAACCCTAAAAGACAACACGGCATCTAGTGAGATGCATGGTGATCCAGGCAGCATATTCTGCCAACCATTAAAGCAATAAATACCTGATAATCACTGCTGTAAACATGTTGAGCTTGACTCCTGCTCAACAGCTACCACTTGGATTATCATAGGCATCAATGATCTCGTGTTGACTATGTTGATTGTATCGGTTTGGTTCTCAGTACACAACAAACGTTATGATCTCGTCCTTTGAACTAACTGCCTAAAATAATTTTCCACTAGAGCGCAAGCTCAAGTATAGCTTTTATATAGGAAAATGTGTAGCTTTTATCAGCGGCAGGAGAATTTACAAAGTCTTTTTTTTTTTTTTTTTTTTTTTTTTATAATACACGCGTCGGATAGGATACGGGAGAAGCAGGAAGAAAGCACACATTTCCAAGTTCGTAAACCCACGGGTTTACCCTTGAAGACATAACTTAAAATGAAAAGGTTGTGCATGCACAACACGAATTGTCCTACATCCCACATGTACTGCTTCGAGATATGATGCCCGCATTTGCTGTGGAGCGGTAAATTGAGGCTGGGACACACAAAAATCGTTGAATGCCAACACTGTGTAGAAAACCCTGGCCACAAGAGTTACTTCTAGACATATATATATATATTTATATATGGAATATATATCTATATATTTATAATGCCATAATGAAAGTTCTTACAGTAAGAAATAGTGAACAACCTTATCACTCCTAATCAAAATGTATAATATAATCGAAACTCAGCCATTTTAAAAAAGTGAAAGTGAATAGAGCGGAGTGAATTGCCCGCAGTTAATCAGTGCTCTCTTTTTTTGTATTGGATGCCTGTTTCTGACTTCTGCAATATTAATCTAGAATTCATGGGCAATCTGTATTTCTCAATGGAATATCAATAGCTACACCATGTCTAGAGACTATACCAGCATGTCAAGGCCTCTATACCTCTACAAGATGTGGTAACAGTTCCTCCTGTTTTTAACATTTAGAAAAAGAGAAGAAGATTGCTTTAGTCTTCTGTCATGTTATTGGACTTGCAATGGATGGTTCTTGGAAATAAATTTGATGGGAGCGTGCCCGAGTATTTCTGATTTAGACTGTTTTTTATAATTTTTCCCTCCACATCTCCTTGCACAGAGTTTACACCGCGATCTTATCATGGTCGTTTTTTTTGGGCGGGCGTGGAAAAAAAGACCCACACGAACCAACCCCATCACAATGAGACCCTCTACTGTCTATCAAACCCGTTCTCTTCCTTCTTTCTTTCCCTTGGCCGCTTTTTCTTTCTTTTCTTCTCTTCTCTCATTCCATCGCTTCTCCCTTATTCTCTTCTATACACATATTCTCTTTTACATTCACCATGTTGTCTTCTAAAAGGATCAGTCTTGCCAAGGTCGCTGCTAGAGCCTTTATTACTCCTGTGGTAAAAAAAAAAAAAAAAAAAAAAAAAAAAGCCTCTTCACTTTCATTGTACACACCACCTCCATATCCGCACAGCATTAATCGTAGGAACCATAATGGACGACCAGATCAACAATACATTCGTAGGAATTCAGGGAACACCAACTCATCAGCCTTTTCAAAAAAAAAAAAAAAAACGCGTTTTTCACTCTTCAAAAAGTGTTACTACTGCCATTTTCTGTATACAGAACGAACAATAATAACCTTGGCATTCAACACGAAGGATGATAGAAAAAAAAAAAAAAAAGAGAGAGAGAGACTGGTTTTTATTCATTTGTTGGTTAACGCAAGAGATAGGACAAGGAGCATTGCAATCGGACTATGAACGTGTTCTATCAGCGACAACAGGTGGTACCAACTTATCGCACTAGCTGACTGTTAAACCCACGTCACCTTCATCTTTTGCTCGTAGACTGTCCGAACATTTGCCTCGTCCTCTATTGCACGCAATGTTAACATCACACTCCACAAAGCCTCATTTGAGACCTACAACTGCGATACTCCTTCTCTGGAGGTCAACATCTCCAAGGAGGAACTCGTCAAAATGTACCACAGTATGGTTATCATGAGACGCATGGAGATGGCCTCAGATGCCCTTTACAAGGCCAAGCTCATCCGTGGTTTCTGCCACTTGTGTACTGGTCAGGTAAGATACAATGCGTCTTTTGTCATTGATCTGGTCACCTGCCTTTTGTCATTAATTACTTCAAAGAAAACTGGTTTTTGTTATGTTCATTAAACCACTTGCCAAGTTCTTGTCACTTGGTGGAGAAAACAATCCAAAAGAAAAGGAAGGAAAAGGCTTTGACTTGCGCTGAAAACCTGAACTCATTACCTTCCTATTCCTCGTACCTCTATCTCAATCTCTTAACATAAATAATAATAACAGGAAGCCGTTGCCGTTGGTATGGAAACTGCCTTGACCCCTGATGATAAGATCATCACCGCCTATCGCTGCCACGGCTTCACCTATATGCGTGGTGCCTCTATTACTTCTATCTTGGCTGAGCTTCTTGGACGTAAAGCTGGTATCTCAGCTGGAAAGGGTGGCTCCATGCATATGTTCACCCCTAACTTCTTTGGTGGTAACGGAATCGTCGGCGCTCAGGTCCCCTTAGGAGCCGGTATCGCTTTTGCTCAAAAGTACCTTGGTCATAATGCTTCCACATTTGCTCTGTATGGTGATGGTGCTTCCAACCAAGGTCAGGTCTTTGAGGCCTATAATATGGCCAAGCTTTGGGATCTTCCCTGTGTCTTTGTCTGCGAAAACAACCGCTATGGAATGGGTACCTCTGCCAGTCGCTCCTCCGCTAACACCAGCTACTTCAAGCGCGGTGACTACATCCCTGGTGTGAAGGTACATATTTGATTAGTAATTTTAGTAATATGAATACCTACAGACATTTTGTACCTCAAATTTATTTATTTATTTTTTTCATTATTTTCTACATGCCTCAAGGTCAATGGTATGGATGTTCTAGCTGTTCATCAGGCTTGCGCCTATGCCAAGGAATGGACTACTTCTGGAAAGGGCCCCCTACTACTTGAGATGGAAACCTACCGTTATGGCGGTCATTCCATGTCCGATCCCGGCACTACCTACCGTACTCGTGAGGAGATCCAGCATATGCGCTCCAATAACGATCCCATCACTGGCTTGAAGCAGCGCCTCCTGGAGCTCAACGTTGTTTCTGAGGATGAACTTAAGGCCATTGACAAAAATGCTCGTGCTGAGGTTGACAAGGCTGTCGAAGAATCTAAGGCCTCGCCTGAGCCTGAATTGAAGGCATTCTGGGAGCAAGTTTACAAGAAGGAGGCTGGTATTCCATTCTTGCGCGGACGTGAACCAGAGGAGACCCATCACTTCTAAACAAACCGGAACTTTTTTTATTTTTTACAGACGACAGGAAGAAAGGGCAGGAGGGGAAAGGGCACCAACTCAATCACTCATTTTATCCGTAGAAATTACTCGGGTGCTTATTGCATTCACATATTACATATTAAATACACTTCTTTCATAAAACAGAATACTCAATATGTCCTGCTTTTTATTGTTTTATTGTGTCTCTCATTATGGATAGATGAACAAAATTGTTGCATTTGACTAAGGAAGAACGTATTTTGGATACGAATCAATATATGGAAAGCGTATTTTAAATTGATCCTTTGACCCCTTAAAACATCTTCGGTACATGTCGAAGGCTTCTTTCAAATTTGTTTTCGCGAGTTTCATTTGGAATAATATCATTGCTGTTTCGGTAATGGCAAGATGAACTTGGATAGCCATCGCCATTTCCCCATCGAATTTTCGCAGAGCAACAAGGAGATTATACAACAACTTCATAGCACGTTGTGGATTTTTGAGCATTAAATCCTGGGCCACTTGAAAGATTGGAGCCCTGAGAATGTAGACATCCTGCTTGCTGAGTCCGTTCTCTAGGTCGATGTGGCGCATGTGGCAAATTTTCTCTATCTGCGCTACACTCGGAGCAGCTAGTATTGCCTCGATGTCTGATTTGTTCCGACGACCTTGCCACTCAACACATGTTGCACAGTTGCACTTGAAGAAACGCTCTTCCCCACGTAAGCCAAATTTCCTTGGGAATTCAACTCCAATATCGAAATACCGTGTTAGTAGCTCTGCCCCCGCAGGAATGTCCTGTCGTGCGAACACGTACATCACATCATCTACAATTGACGAATATGTATTCGGGGCACAATCGTGATTCATCTTTGACGTCAAATTCCACAACCCACTTCTACCACCCTTTTTTGGTTCTTCTCCTGGAGAGGGTGGTTTGGTTGAAGCTTTAATAAATTCGTCGTGTGTTCTGCCCGAGAATGTATTAGATTGCACAACTTCATGGATGCTAAGTAGAGTCGACTTGGACTCGGGATTTATATTTGCGGGAAAAAGGTGACTCACAACACGCAAATATATCTCGCCGCTTGAGCATCTGTTGAGGAAAGCCAACTCTTCGTACAACGCATAGGTGTTGATATCTTGGTATTCTCTTTTGTCTGACTGGAATGCAAACCCATATCGACTCTCTGCGGCAACGATTGCTTTCTCAGTGAGGACAATCTCATCCTTCTTTATATGTTTTGTCGCAAAAAGACCTTCTCCTGTGGCCGACGGTCGCACTTCAACATTCGCTAAGAAGTTAGCAAAGCATCGTTCAAAGCCTGTGGGGGGACTGCGTGTAGTTTGAGGAGACAAAATGGCGCTGACATTATTCTTGAACCGGTCTGCGAAATCCGGCGTTGGTTGGTTTGGATGGAACTTTATGTCATCTGGGTCGTCAACTCGAATGAAAATGTTTTGGACAAAGCATCCCGTGAATATGGCCATTGGATTGGGCGCTGAGCATTTAAGGTATGGTTCACGGATGCGGATGCGAGCTCCCAGAGGCATGGCCCAGTCGAGGTCGCTTAGCGATTTGATATACGTACGTGGGAGCCAGTTGTATAGCGACAACTCCACAAACCCCGAACTATCCTGCACACAGGTCATGACTCCAACCATTATAGCGGGCTCAATGGTAACTACGACATCAATGAACACCCCTCGGTTGATACCAGGGACAAGTTTCGCGATTGATGTTTTGGAGCATTTCTCCCACGGAGATCGAGAGGAAAGGCCCAAAAAATCAGTGGTTGTTGATGCGACTTCGAAATTCCCATCTGCTTCTCGAAGTGTTTGATTTAGAATGTCGCGCTGTTTATGTAGTTTTCGTCGTACTTCGTTCATTGCTTAGAAAATACAAATAAGCACAATTTAGAAGTAGATTAGAACCCTGTTTTTAAAGGGCTTGTTGAAAGAAGGTTTGCGAGAAAGTTGGGACAAAGAAAGGGGGATTTGCAAATTAAGATTATACGAACGAACTTGTTTAAAAGTAGTGAAGTAGTGTCTTCAAGAAAGACATATTTTAAAATAAAGGGAATCTGAAGAGAGTTCAGGTGTAAGTGGGGAACTGGCAGTCATTTAAAGGATTGCTGTGTTGACAGTGCTTCATTGTGTTAGCGGAGCATTTGAAAGACACTGGTGGTACGCGTTTTCACATGTCTTTTAAAACCACACACTTGACTTGTAACAATCTGATATTTTAAATGTCGATCATTGATAAACAAATATTAACCCCCGAGGAGGCCCAAACGATCTCTAAATACACTTCCATAAACAGAATAACCAAGGTGGTCATTGGAGTTGTTGCTTTTCATTGTTTTATTGCATCACTCATTATGGATAGATGAACGCGTGGTTTGGTTAACGTGAGAGAGATATGTATTCCAACCTAGGGTGGCAGAAACAAAAAATGCGAAATGAGTTTTTGCCATATCCATCAAGCCAAACTGGGTAATAAGCCTATGCTTAATTAAAAGTAGAGTGATATAAGTGACACTGTGTTTTCTTACCCAAGGCAAATGTGTTAACTACCATGAGTCGGTGTTGTAGGGGTACGAGCCAAAAGTTTAGGCATTGGACCGCGGGCCACACCATGTAGTTGCTCTTCAGGGCTTCGGGATATCCCTAATGTGAGATACGACCACAAATTTTTGGTTATCTTTCATAATCATGTTCAGATTTAAACTGGTCGGTTCCGCTGGATCTAATTTCAGACAAAGAATCAAGCATTACCTTTTTCAGCTTGTTCAGAATCACTTGCTGGCCCTCATCGGCCAGCAAGCCCTGACCGACAAAGAACGAGGCAATGAAACAAGGCGCAAAAAAGATCTGGTCCACAGCAACACGACCTAATAAAGACTGAACAGGCGTGGAAAGACGGATGGTTTTGTCCAGAAATTTATACCATTGATGCAGGACTGGCCCTGCAAAACATGTACCAAACAACATCATTCTTGCAGTCCTGGCCTTATCCCAGCTTTGCATGCCGATGCTTGTGTCAGTACTTTTCAACCGATCATGAGATACGACAACTTTATTCTGATGTTCGATCAGGAATTGAGCTATTAAATCTCCAGTACCAAATAACATCCCTTGGAGGATCAAAGCATACGTTTTAAAAAAATCTTAATAGTTATTTCTTATCATCCAAATTGGTCATCGTTCAAATCTTACCAGTTGTGCCAGCTTGTGTTGCTATGGGATAGTTGGACAAGATCCGTGTATAGAAACCAAGCATGTTTAACAGAGCAACTAATAATGCGAAAATAAATAAAAGTTCAGGTTTATTAACAAAAATAAATAAAAATGGCGTTCTTTTTTTTTTTGTCGGCATCTCTAAAAAGAAAACTTTTCATCATCCAACCACTTTTTTTTTCAATCGTGACTCGATGACAATAAAATCTATCAAAAGAGTTCCCAATCCGGGGTTCGAACCCGGGCCGCCTCGGTGAAAGCGAGGAATCCTGACCACTGGACCAATTAGGAGATTCTGATGTAATGTGACGTGGAAAGATCTGTTAATGATCCCAAAGATTGACAAAAATGAACAAAATGATAATAAAAAGTTGGACGAAGTGCCAAAAGATAAATTCATAAATGGACAAAGTGCCAAAGAAAAGCCCAATGGCTGAGTAGTATACTCGTCAGGGCACCCCCCTGTCTAGCCCAGGGGCCGGGTTCGAGTCCTGGTTAAGGCACATAAAGTGAAGCAAACATGTGCCAGGTCAGGGATTTGCTTGAGTTTTTATACTTTCTCTCCGAGACAGCCTAGTGTTCTCCGCTAAGGCTAAGATCGTGGGTGCACTACCCTAAGTCGCCTGGCTGGCCACATGTCTTAGGTTTATATTCCACCCCCCAGCCGAACCAGCGGTACATCTGGCAGCACATCCCCCCCATCCACCCACTTGACTAGGACAGCGATGATCACAAAGTTTGACGGAGTCCAAAGTAGAAATTTCAGACCAATCCCGCAAGATTTGGGTCCACATGCCAGTGGATTTGATCGAATAGAAAAAAATTAAAAGTCGTCCTTAGCTAGAGTCGGCACGCCAGCCTCCGCGGCTTTTCACGGGCGCAACAGGCCACATCGGAAGGATGGACTTCGAGTACCGATCACGGTGTACAGTGGAATCTCGATAATTGTACATTTTTGTACAAATTTCGAATTTGATATATTTCTAGGCCATTGGTTGGCTAAGAGCCTCTCAATTCAAAAATACTATTGTAAGCTGACCTCTCTATGTCAAACATGGCAGGAGGGCAGGTAAGTGACTGGCAAGTGAGGGAGATTGTAGCTAAAGGAAGGGATTGCAACTGAGGGAAGGTGATGGCGTAAGCTTGAAAAGATCTTGTGGTATTTTTTTTTTTTTCTTTTGTCAATCATCAAACACGACACAATCATAGCATCAGCCATCAAGCAAGTCCCTCTTCTCTAGTCCGTTCTATTCACGATGTCGGCTACTCTCTCGAGCAACAGACACAGCTGCAGCTGCATTGGTCCCTCTCTACCCTTAGGGCAGGGAGAGTTTAACAGCCATCTTCGCGGTGGCAAAATCCCACCATCTTCGCCATGGTGATGATTGTTAGTGACCAGCGCTGTCTCTGCAGTTGGTTTTCTGTCTGCTTCGAGGCCCTCCGCAAGCAAGAAGCAATTCTACAGGCTGGACGTCCAAACTCTTTCTCAAGCAGCAGACACAGTTGCAGCTGCATTGGTCCCTCTCTACCCTTAGGGCAGGGAGAGTTTAACAGCCATCTTCGCGGTGGCAAAATCCCACCATCTTCGCCATGGTGATGATTGTTAGTGACCAGCGCTGTCTCTGCAGTTGGTTTTCTGTCTGCTTCGAGATGGAGCAAGTCTTGATCCTTTTCACTGTCGCCTCTGTCATTCTCGCTGTCAATTGCCATAATAGTAACCACCTCAACATTTTTTCAGTCTACAGCTGATATAACATTTTGCCAGTACTCGATTCTAACTTTTTTTTTTTTTTTTTTTTTTTTTTTTTTTTAATAATATTAATAATCATATTATTACTATTATCAATATTATAACATACAAGACAAAAGAAGGAGGATCCGGAGCATCCGCAGCCGCACATGGACAAGAATGTTTGGCCTTTGTTGTTCACTCACCACTCACTCCCTCATACTTATTCGATATATAACATTTAATAAATCTACAGCTCGTCACTTTATTACTTTTTCCGGGGGGCTGGGAATGTGAAAAACCAAGTCTAAAAGTACTCCTCATGGATGGCACTTTGTGTGCATTGCATTACATTATGCTGTCCCGAGAGCTCCGTGCTTTACCGTTCCAAAAGATAAACGCTGCACTATTTATAAAAAGAGCTGAATCACCCATTATCCAATTATCCAACACTCTCAATCAACATTTTCTTCAACATGCCTAAATTCACTACTGCCAATAAAATTACTGCCAATAAGAAAAAGAGCAACTCTTCAAAAGTGTGTTCTCTCCCTTTCAATTAGATTGCCAAGTGCTGAAATAGCATTCCAAAAACATTGAACTGCCAACTAATATGCAACTAACATGCAACTAATAGGGACTCTCTATTGTTACGAATCTCGTCGGCCGAGGAACAACATCTTGCCGCCTTTCCCATGAACACTTGATTATTAATAACGTAGATGTTTCGTTGAAGGCAATGGAGGCGCGGGAAATATTTGTGAAGAAAGAAGCGACTTTGAAAAAAGCTGATGAGTTATTGTATGTCACTGTGTTCGCAACTGTGTTCGCAACTGTGTTCGTAGAGCGTGGAATGCGGAGTTGATACTTATATTAAAAACTCCCTTGCCGTAATATCTCTAGAACTCTCAACTTTATCTTTTCGAAATCAATTCTTAAATCGCTGGTTAGTGACCAGGTTCTTGGAGAGATATTTGGGACCAGGAAAGTAACCAGGATACCCGAGGAACATTGCAGTTTCCTTAAAGGATGAACCCGAACTGCGGGTACCCAGGATTATCAGCATTTCCAGGATAAGCTTTCCAAGGCACCAAATGCTGTCAGAAATTCGCTCACGTTCAAGGTAATCCAGAATATGACCTGTACCGATCGAATATGGGGGACCAAGAAAGGCCAATCGCTCAATGAAGCGACATACCAGCATTTCTTCGTTACTCCTGTAATTGAGACGCTCCTGCATGGATTGGGAGCAACAATTGCCATGTAATCACGAATTCATTTATAAGTATCTGCCAACCGGCAAAGTTTCCCCTAAAATCGTTTAACGCTCGATTTATGTCTTAACATCTGCTAGAGATTCTCGCCTCGAGGAGATGCCATCCCTGGATGCCAGTCTGGAAGAATTCCGACCCGACATCATCGCACGGGTAGATGACTTTCCAGTTCTCCTCGTGGAAGTGAAAAAACCTGGGATCAAGGCTGGGAAACTCCTATCGTTTGATTATCTCAAGCTGCTCTCCATGATGAAGCTGTCTTTAAACAAGATGGTCTGGGGTAACATCAATAACCCAGTGGTTGTTGGTGTGCTTGTCCAAAGTAGGTTTCAAATATCTGTATTTTACGTATGCACATATATATGTTTTTTAACACTATAAAGCCAATGCGTTTTAGGTACAGCAATGAGATTTTACATGATGGAGTTGAGGTCCGAGGCACTATACATCCCGAAGGAAGTTGGTCGGATGCATTTGCCCACCGATAGATCAACTTTCTCACGGATGTGTGGTGGGCTTGGGATTCTGGAAGACGTGCAGGTACCCTTGTCATGTTCGAGCTTTGATCCACATTGCATTATAAATTAGATCTATTATTAATCAGCTCAATGTTTTCTTGTTACTCGTAGCCGCTTGTACAGCGCGTGGCAGAGGCGGTTCGTGGGCGTCAGGCTTCGCCTCCTGGGCCTTCACCCCAAGAACCCCAAGATCTGAAATATACTCGCCCTTCGTATTTCATACGTCGTCGCGAATAAGGCTGAAGCACTGGCAAATGGTTGCCCGGGTTGTTTTTTTACATTCCTTTCAGAAGTCGGAACTTTTGGCAATATTGACACCGGTCTAAAGATGCACAATAAAGCCCAATGATACAGCTTTCAAACACCACTTGCTGAAAAAGGTTCGTGAAATTCCGATTTTTGTCACGCTCTCCATCCGCAGATAGATTTATAATAATATCATTGATGATTGTGGATGATTGTGACTCTAAGTAGCCCCATGGAGCCACCTGGCCTCTGAAAGCGATGTGTGTTGCGTATCGAGGCAAGCACCTCAGGGGCACTTTCATTTTTATTCATTAGGTTAGAACATGGTGTGACGGTCAGGCGAGACTTTAATAAAAAGTTCTGTCTGGCAACAATCTCTTTGGCTTCAAGACTCGAAAATATCGGCCTTGGAACTCATGAGCCAATAATAATCATAACAATCATCTCTAATTAACCTTGATCAAAGTTTGCAGAGAGTCAACTCAGCATTTAGCGCTTAAACATGGCAACAGTCCTTGAATAAATACTGGCATAAAAATCCTCAATCTACAACAAAACTATTCCTGCTTCACTCATCCACTCATAATCTCCCTACTTCTTACCATTTGCATTTATTTACAATGGAGTCTCAAACACCCATTCAACAGCGCTTGATATTTGTGAACTACAACGAGACGAATATGCATAGCGATCTGCTAGCTTCGCCTAGTCATAGAAAGTCTCAACAGCTTTCCACGAGTTCTCAAGAGGCTCCTTTGGACTTATGGAAGTATAGGCAGCAGATTCTTGATGCACAAAAGAAAGACTCCTCAATGCAAGGCTCATCAAAACAAAACTCGTCAGAGCAACATCCCCCATGGCTTAGTTCCGTGCTGCCTTCATCACAATCTTCAGAACAGTTTCCTGCACCGCTTCCACTAGCACAGTATCCACTCCTCCCTCCACCGCAAACTCCATATCAACTCCCTCCACCGCTCAATCTACAGCCGCCCGCACCACAACTTCAACAGCAGCGCCCAACACCACTGAATCAACTATCTCCTGCGCCCCAACTTACACAGCGGCTTCAAACACCCCTTCTACCACCACCACCACAGTATCCGCTGCTGTCCGCGGCACAGCCCCCACAACAGTTCCGACAACAGCCTATACAAAGCCCCCAACGGTTTCAATCTGTCGGCTCTAAACATGGGCCTGCGGGACGCATCAATAAGCCTGTGGTTTTAATGCCCAAACCATCCACTTCAAAGTACGAAATACATAGCTTTGACGTGAAGGAATATATCCTTCAAATGTGGAAGAGTCATGTAGCCAACCATCAGCTGTTTGGCGGAAAGCATTCC